TGATTAGCATCCATTGTGGCGAGTACACATACTAGTGACATTTAACTTATACAACCTCACTTCAAAATGTGTAGGTTCTGTGAGAATAGACATAAACTGTCACTTTGTTGGAAATTAACCAGTTAAGATGTGCAAGAGTAGATGATACTCTTGTTGTATTTATAATTTTCTTATTATTTGAAATATTTAAGAATTATTTGTGTTATTTGTGTGATAACAGGCTCAAAAATGTATACCGTTTCACAGTTTGACTTCAGTGTCGATCTCTGTTATTGATTTGTTACTTAAACTGTATTGTAAGTATAATGTTAACCTGTCTGAAGATGAAAGACACATTTCTGCAACTGACATGTTTGAACACAATAACTTTATTTGTTTACACTCTGTATGGAAAAGTTTACATTGAAAAATATTCACTTCATTTTACTCAGTTTACACTGTTGCAGGCAGATAATCCTATAAGCAATCTCATAAGCAAAAATTAACCCCAGCCTGAGAAACCTCAGACACTCTTTCTGTTGCTTTCTTAAACCACAGCGCTCTCACGGCACTAAAACAGATTCACCCCATCTCTGCTGTTGACTCAGAAGTCTCACTCAAAAATAGAAGAACATCAGTGCAAACATCTTTTTATTCACACTGTAAAAATGGTTAAATTATATTTTTGTTTTCAACTCAACGTTTCACATCACATAATAAAAACAGATCCTGATGTATTTTCACACATTGGTTGGTTTTGTTTTTAGGAACAAATACTTCTAAGTTTTATCTATGAAAGGACCTGTGCATTATAATCACAGATAGACTGAGGGCTGGCCTTTGACCCCATCTCTATGATTTTTATTTGTAGGTTTTACTGTCACTGTACAGAAATATCGACATTAAAGGAAGGTAACCTCGTGCACATGAAGTAAGCGCACAGCAGTCAGATGAACAAAGAGCAAACTCCTTCCACACTGATTGTTTCAATGTGAATCTGAGAGCTTTTGTATTTGTCCTTCAAAATGTTGCATCAGCTCAAAATCAAACATGTCTTAGACATCAAAAAGTTAGATGCCTCCATTCACATAATGCCAGGTAGTGGTACAAAACAGCATAGCTTATGCAGAATAAATTTACACAGTGTAAAGCGATCATACCAGTTTGCTTCATGTAGTACAACATTCCCCCTTCTATACAGAATGAACCTTTGTGAATTTTACATTTCATTAAGTGAATCCTCTGATTAGTCATCCAAATATGTCTTTCCACAGATGTTTGCTATCAAACCAAAGTAAGGAGCTCTAGCATTGCAGCGTGTAGCATACTTAACACGTAAGGGACATAATTCTTTGCAGTCTATAGTCACAGCTCAGTGGAGGTTGTGTTCTGTGGATGAATCTGGCATAATGGAAGAATGAGAACAATTAAAAAAACGTTTTTGCAAAAAAATCATAGAAAATGCTTGTTATTCAGCAATCACAGTCAGTATTAGATGCTTGGAAGGAAAAAAGTTGACACCCATGTAGTTTTTGACTCATTCTTTGAAGATGTAAAAGATTCAGACAGCATTACAAAAAAATTGCCTCTTACCTTCTTGAATGGTGGGGTTCCTGTTTTCTTATGCACAATGCAGACAGCAACACACAAGGTCAACAGAAGTAGTGGAACCACGCTATTCCTTACAGCCATACCAACAGGGTAAAGAGGATTGATGCCTATAACCCAAATAAATTTTAGTCAAATTTTGAGAACAACTACAAAGATGTACACAAAAGCATGAGACTTGTTAAATAGAGGTACCTGCTGTGTTTGCTTGAGAAGTGTCTCCTGTGAAACAGAATTCAATTAAGGAAAAACAAAATCAGACCGTCATAAAATCTTGGCTGGTGGCTATCCTGTTCCTGACTTTTTATTCATTATTTGCACTAAATATAAAAATCGGATTAAAATTTAAATCTAAGAGTGAAAATGATTCTCTAATGTGAGACTATGCTATATTTTCTGAGGTGCTGTTAATTATAATGATTTCTTCTAAAAAGTAACTCTTTGTATTCGTTATTTAGCTAAAATAAAAATTGAGAACAAAATACACTTAGATCAAGGAAAAGTCAAGCTCCTGACTAAGTTAACAGGTTATAAGGGAAATCAGAAATCCGAGTTATTTTCCAAAGTTCTTTTTATTTTAGCGCTTGCCTTGTCCGAATATGTCCTTGTCCGCAAGTGCTAAAATAACTTTGGTAGATGTAGCCATCTTGTTTCAGGCCTCTGATTTCACTTTTTTCTGACTTGGTAACTGAAACGCTGGGAACTCGGGTGTGACGTCATTTTCAGCTCCCACATCTGACTTTCGAGGTAACTCGAACACAGCATTAGAAACAGTGAGAAAGACCTCTGGTAGTAGGAGAATAAACTACTGTACCTCTGCAGTCATTCAGATGAATAACTGTTTCCTCGCTGCTGACATTGTTCCAAATGTAACAAGTCAAGTTTCCAGTCAGCTGACTGGATAAGCTGATTGTAACACTTGCATTTCCTTGTTCAGATTGAGTCCAAGACAGTGGCTGTGTGTTTGCAGCCGCGCTCCTCAGGGATGGACTGTGGTTCCTTGTTTGCGTTATTAAGGCTCTGTCCAAAGTGAAAGCAAACTCTACTTCATCTCCCTCAGAAGAGCAGGTGATGTTCATCTGCTCTGGTGACAGACACATCTGAGAAACTGCTGGCTTCAACACTGGAGCTGGAAGATAAACAGAGTCACTTGGAGAATACCTGAAGTGCAAAATTAAGCCACTGTGTCCTATTAAGTATATATGTAGGTTATTGACTGCACTGCATTATCTAACACCTCACATGGATTTCACATACCCTGAATTTTTAGACGCAGGTTCACTTTCCTTATCAAAGTCCCATTTGCTCGATATTCCTCCAACATGTAGTCTCCAGAGTGTTTCTTTATTGCTTTTCCCAGTGTAATTGTTCCATTGGTGAAGAGTTCAGCATGGCTGACATATTTTTTATGAAGAGTCTCGATTTTGTGTTTGTTTATTTTTAGAATAATGTATTTGTTGTCTTTTTTTAACCGTATGTTGGTATCTGCAGTATTCGACAGGTGAAAAATCAGCAGCTGTCCCACTGCTCCAATACACTGCTGAGCTCCTGTAACCCCAGAGAGATTACATCCAGTAGAGCCTAAAACAAACAAGTCCAAATGAAATACTTCATTTATAGCACAGTAAACATTTTTATATGATATAATCAAGGATAGGATCAAAACCGAGAAAAATCAAATATTTTATCAGTATGTATTTTTTCACTGAGACAAAACACATTTTACTGCCCTAATCAGCCACTTTCTGTCAATAAATCTTTGAACTTGTAACATTCTTAACACTGATTAAACATCGCAGCATGAGGTATTAGGTTAAAAGTCACTTACCAGTTCTAGTATAGAATAGGACATACAAATTAATTTAAAGTTATAAATTTGTCCACAGGGGGCGTTAAGTCCTCAGAAACTGAAGGTTCCACATAGCCGCCTTAATTATCTACAGTTTGAGTATTTGCTGTGTATTTTAAACAAAATACATAATGCCTTACATTAATTATTTTGAGAAAAATATTTTCAGATTAATAACATACTTTTACCCTGAGAATGTGCCAGAGCTGCTGTTGCCAGAGCTGTAATGATCATGTAGATGGACATCTTTTTTTCCTGCTGTGGCCAACAGAAAATGTTTATTAAAACATTGTCAAATGTTATAGTTGCTAGAGCCAAGTCAAATTGAGAGATAAAGGTTAAAACCAAAATATTGAAATGTAACAGTTCAGATTTCCATTCATAAACTTTAGTAAATAAAAAAGAAATTATGTTATGGATTGCTGTTTATGAACAAAAAATCTAAAAGTCGTTTTCCTGCTTTTATCTCAGATCAAATTGATTTCAATGCTACACTGTGACTCACCCCCCTCACACTTGTTTGATGTCTTCACCGGTAATTTTCCACTGAGAGATGCCTCGTGTATATTTTTTATCTTGTCGTCTTTTATGAAATGCCTCATTAAAAAGTCATTGCGACATTACCCACAGCTTTTGCTAATAAGCTTTTACAGCTATGTCTAGCATTCTGATAATGACAAATAACAGACCCAAGAAATGTGGCATCACAGAATACACAGGAAATGACGCGGGACTATAATTGGTAGCCCCTGAACACATTTGATGTGATATAAGGTGACCTATTTACAGCCACTCATGTGAACATAGTTACAGTCCTCCTGATAGTAGGTACTTCAACAACACTACTGATATCACAGTCTGTATATCAAGTCCAGTATGACAAATCTTACACCAAGTCATATAGAGCTGTTTTTCTGAGAGCCTTAGTCGTTGGATAGGAAGTGCTGGTAAAAGTTTCCATTTACATACAAAGAAGACCAAATATACATACATACACAAAGCGTATCATAAAATTAACCCGAGATGTGTTTCATTTACAGGAAGATAATGAGAGAAAAAACACTTCCTGTGACGTTTTTCTGAGCAGCTACCACAATCACCAAGGTTTCTCAAACAGCTCAGGTTAAATTAAATCTCATGTACGGCTGACAGTTAAAACCATAGCTCTCTCTTTAGCTGCTGTCGTCGTAGTTACTTAGTTAGAATGTTTGAGGGCTAAGAAATTTTGAAGGGGTTTGTTTAATAACAGGTGCAATGAAAACAGGCAGCACAGGGTTTATAGCTTCCACAGAAAAAATGAAGTTATTTCCATCTTTACAGATCAGTTTTACTTCTAAAGGTACAAAGGTTGCATCAGTAATGCTTAATAAAACTTTGCCAGTTGGGAATTATACTTCTGTGAGGTCGCTGGAAACCAACAAGCTATTTATTAACCAGGCAGCCAGCACTACAGTTCAACGAGTTTCTGCAACCCACAAACACCATAGCAGCATTTAGCTGGTGTCAGACACAGTCATTGAAACAGGCCTGAAAGTGTCTGCAGTTTAGACTTTAAAAAGCAGGATTACAGTCGAGTGCTGCTCAGATGTACATCTTGTTTGTTTAAGTCTGTGTTTCTGTTACTGGAGCTCACTGAAGCCAAGTCAAATTTGTTGTTTTCTGACTGCAGGTTGTTTTCCTCGATGTACTGCAGATCACAGCATCCAGGTGTGTCCAGTCCTCTTTGTTCCTTCCAGCTCTCATTAACCTCATGTTCTTCTCCTCTCTGTTTCTCTTTCTCTGTGTGTTTTCTTATACCACCTTTCGGTGACGTCACTGCTCCGTCTTTTTTGCAACCCCAACCTGTGAGCAATAGTAGTCAGTAGATAGTAAGTGTCTTAAAAGGCAGTTATGAGGTTTGACTAAAATGGTAGCAGAGAGGGAACTCCTGCAGTACTGTTAATATATTAAAGATATCTTGTTTACCTCTTCCCTGCCTGCACCACAGTGTTACCCTGGTGATGAGGTCATCTAGGGGCTGCAGTGACGTCATCCAAACAGGAAGGAACCCCCAGTTCTGCAGCGCGTGTGGCAAACAACCAGGTCTACGTGCCTGCAGCATGTTAACTGTGCCACAGAATAAAACAACCACAATAACTGGTACACCAACCCCGGTCATCACCTTCCATCCAGCCATGGAGAGGGCAAAGACAGCGGATGGGAACACCAGGAAGCAAAGGAGGAGGTACAAAACGGCAAACCAGCGGTACCTGTGTGTTTGAATCACAGAACTTTATCATTTTTTATTCATTGTAGAGTTGTCTAACTTTAAGCATTCATAATAGAGAGACATTAAAACACATACTTGGCAGTTTGTTTGCCAAGGGCACAGGCCATACGTATGGGCAAGCGGGTGGCTGGTATGGGGTACCACAGCAGGATTCCAAGGAGGTTAAAGAAAAAATGACATAAAGCCACCTGAAACAGGATGAAGAGGAGATAAACGAACATTTCTACCAAGTGAGACAAGTAGGAAACTGCAGAGCACTCACATGGGACAGGTATTAAAATTTGAAGAGGTAGAGCACAAGAAATTATGAGAAGAACTGTCAATGTTTTATAGTACGAGTATTTGTCTTTCTGTACCCCAGTCTAAATAGATAAAACTGCATTTGTAGGTGCTTGTGTGTGGTACCTGTGTGGCAGCGGCTAGTTTATCTCCTGGGCTGGCCAGGGCTGCGAGTGTTGTTGTTGTCGTGGTTCCAAGGTTTGACCCCAGTGTAAGAGGGTAAGCCCTTTCAATACTGATCACACCAATCCCTTTGATTGACAACATAAACAGTAACTGTACTTCTGTATTTGACAACATTAAGCAGGCGTTGAATAACAGAAAATAAATAAGCACATATAAAAACAATAAGTTAAAGTCAGGTGATGTTTTGAACATCTTCTCAGTGAAGTATTGTTCATCAAAGTGTTGGCACAGAGAATGAGCACAAATATACTGATACTACAATGAGCTGAGTTAGACAAATCCACAGCTCTATCTTTTGTATTTCTGTGCCATTGAATACTAACACCTGTGTAGAAAGTCATCACCCCGTCTTGTGCTCAGGTCAACAAGGCGATTTTTACTGCCTACAATGTTAGGCTATCTCTAGGAATAAACTAATCTTTCACCCATATAGGATTTTAAACCAACATGCTTAACCATTAGCTGCTACAATCCTGTTAATGCTGTACCAAGGTAGCAGGAGAGGTGCACTGTTCTGGTGGTAATTCATTAATTGTTGTAGCTGAAGAGAAATGGATGACAAGTTCTTAAGTTGCCATCTGCTCTTATAAGGCTAACATAAAGATGTTCCTCTGTTCCCCTCAGAAACCAATAAAGATTTTGGTGTGGCAGGCATTAGGATCACATGACACATTACAGTTAATACTGAGTATGAGTATATGGGTGTGTCTGTATAATACCTATGAGAGGAGTGATGGCAGAAGTGAAGACAGAACTGCTCTGTACCAAAAAGGTCATGCCCGCTCCCACTAATACAGCGAGATAACCTGCCAGCCAGCTGAAAGGGAAAGGAAAATCTACAAAGCACAGAATGAGACAAGGCACAGGAAGAACATTTGTAAAAGTGGAAACACTCTCTCCTGTACATTGTCAGAGTTTAAGTTAAGCGTCAGTCAAGAATACATTTTATTTATTGGTAAAAGGGCATTGGTCTGCCCACTTTTTGTTACCTGTATTAACAACTTTATTAATGGCACTGGCCACCTGGCCCTTTAGGAGGGAGTTGAGAAGTTTAACCAGCAGTATCAGACAGCTGCACAGCACCAGAAGAGAGCAAGACAGGAGGATCAGACCTATAGCAAGGTCTGACAGTGAGCAGTGCACAAAGAGATGCCTACCTGAGCAGAGACAGAGATATGCTGTGTGTTACAATGAGATTTGGGAGATGAGAACAAGGTTTGTTGTGCGATTGGTAAAATAAAGCTGTCATTCCTTTTTTTGGAAACACTTGACAAAATATCAGACCAAGTCATGGCTTTGTTTCATTTGCATTGCATTCTGAAAATTGATTTGCAAGTGAAATTTTTTCGATTTTACTCACAAGAAGGGAAGGAAATACATCAGAGGGAGGAATAGAAATTAGTAGTTATTTTATCACAGATGACTTAAAATCACTTAAAGTCATCTTTAAAAATGGATAAAATGGCATACATTTCTCTGTATGATCTGAAAGGTTGTGTGTTCCCCAGGTAGTCTCATTTTCCTGTTAGCAATGATAAACAGGCAGAGTGCAGACTGAGGCAAAATGATGGTGGGACAATTTCTAAATGTGTAATAATCAGCTGTGATACGTGTAATACATATGGTACACTTAAAGTTTTAAACATGCAGTACAAGTTTTTCAAAACTTAGATTAGGACACAGTGTTTGGTACCTGCATCTTTGCGGTTGTGATGTGACACCATCGCTTCACTAGACTCTGGTTTCTCACACTCTGATCTCCTGTGGCGATGGCTGTGATGACTGACTGATCCAGCTATACAGGAATAATCAGGTTATCACATTAATATCAAAGTTGTTACTTAAAGAGATTATCTGGATATCAGATGTCTCCATCAAAAGTTTATTTAAAGATAATATAGAAGAGAGGTTGATAACTTTTCAAGAAGGTTTTCTCGTGTTCGGAAGCAAAGAAAACTAATTAAATGTCCTCATGGGAATAAGTGAACATAGTACCTGTATGACCATTTTGGTGAGTGGCTCTGTAAGAACTTTGAGAAGCTCAGGAGCTTCCTCTCCAGCGCTGAATTGAAGTGATTTGACCACGGCTTGTGACAGTCGCCTCAGCAGCCCACTTACAGCTTCCAGAGGGAGAAGCACCAAAACGGATAACCAGTTAAAACAGTCGTGGACTGTCGCTCCAGCAAATGCCCTGAAGTGAAAATACAACCACTGATGAATCAAATGTTTTCATAAAAACAGGAATACAAGGCAAATGTGGTACCTTTCAAACTCATTCCTCTCCCCTGCTTGCATTAAAGCCACAATGGTATTAGTGACTGATGTTCCGATGTTGGAGCCCATAATGATAGGGATGGCTGACTGAACATCCAGCACTGAATAGAAAACCACATTTTTAAAACAAGTTAGATTTGATTGGCTGAAAAGCAGCGTTATGGTATTATGTTTACCATGTCAAAACAAAGTGTTTACATAAATTAAACTCACGGCCAGAAGAGACCAGGCTGACAATGATGGAGGTCGAGGTGGAGGAGCTCTGCACCAGCACCGTCACTAGTATTCCCACCACCAGCCCAGCCACTGGGTTAGACAGGATAGCATTTTTCTGGAAGATATCTCCTGCTAACCTCCCTGACAGACAGAGTTTAAGAGACAGACAGCTTTCAAACAGCATCCAAATATTCATTGTTTGTCTATAACACAGAGGATGTTAATTTTAATCTATCTGTATCAAAAACTGTGAGAAATGCTAGAATGAGAGTAACTTTGGGAGAGGAATGTGACAACAAGATTTCTTACCTCCAGCTAGCTGAAAGGCAGAGCTTAAAACATCAAGTGAGCAAACGAAGAGATACAAGAGCAGAAAAAGGAGCGGGATTTTGCAGAGAGCAGATATGACTGCTTTTAGCTGTTGAATATCCATGGTCAGATCCTGTAGGGCATCAGTCATGAGTAGAATCAGTAGAATTAAATGTGTATTGGGCCTGCTGTGATGCTTCTCAAAGACACTAAACCAGCTGAGGAAGTTTTGACCGGCACTGATTACCAAAGCATGAAAAATGATACCAAAGCATCATAAATTACATTTATTAGAAGGAATTTTTCCCCATACCAAAATTACTCATGAAAAGTACATGCTATCTTTAAAGACTAAGAGCAGATTATTTTAACAAACCTTGTGTGTTGGTAAAGTTCAGATGGTGAAGGCTGAGCAGTAATGCAGCTCGAAGTGAGAAAGACGAAATGGAAAGGAAAAACTATTGAACTTGAAAGCCGGGAGCATAATAATCTTTCTCTAAAACTAGTGTAGAAACAGGTGAAAAAAGAAGACAGTCAAACAGAAGGAAAGAAGTGGGCCAGAGAGAGAAGTGAGGCAGAAAAAGAGAAAGGGAGGTGTCAATGTGAAGTGTAGATTAACTCCGTTAGTAGAACATACGTGAATGGTGATAAAATGGAAACCTAAGATATTTCCATGTTCTTTCTCCCTTGTGTTCACTCTCTCTCTTCTATATTCATAAACCACTGTATTTGTATACACACAGTGATTCGCCTGAACAGTTTTTATCACTGACTTGTGAGCTGAAATTGAAAATGTTTGCTCGAAATGTCTTACAACTGTGCATGTTCAATCAGCTGTCCTTTTATACAAGATAAACAGCAGCATCTAGTGGTTTATTCGAGATAATCCTTTGTTTTTTAAGAATAAAGCATCACCACCATATTTTCATACTGAAGCTAGAGGAGAGTGAAGGCAGTATGTTGTGAAATCAAGGGGCAAAAAAACCCTGTCAATTTTGGCAAGAGTTTGGATATTTCACATGAATTAAAATGAACTAGTCCATGTTCATTTTTTTAACTACAAATTCTCTTTTTCAGTACAGCTATCTATGCTTTAATCCTTGTCCCTAAATAAATAAATCGCTGTGTGCTTTTGTTGCATAACAGACAGATATTCAGTTGAAAACCCCTTCAAACCACATTGTTTGTTCTGTGAGCAGGTTTTGCCATGCTGACTGCATAGAGAGTGCCGTAGATCTGAGTTCTGCTGCTGTAAAACACAGCACTCAGCATCTCTCAGCACCTCCCTTCACCTTTCCACAACTCCCTTCATCTATCGGCACCTCCAACAACTCCCCACATCTCTCGGCACCTTTCAGTCCTTCTTAGAATCTGAGTGGTCGTTCACTGTCACAGGAGTGAAACTATGCTCAATGGTCGACCTCACAATTCATGAAAATATGAGCATGTTCACTTTTACTTATTCATGCTCAGCACTGTAACTAGCAAGATCAGAACATCCTAGTAATGTGGGGAATAACAGTTCATCACTATTGTATTGACAAGAACGTGATTGTGACAAATGATTATACCTTGGTCGTCTATGGATATCTTTAGAATAATATATTTGTTTTTTTTATTTTTGTGCACATTTAGCAGGTTTTAAATGTGTTTCACTTTGTATTTATAGACAAAAAATTATCTGTCAGTTGAGGATTACTTCAGTCACTTGGTTGTCAAGCTGATTGGATGCTTCAGTTTTACCTCCTGTATTTCTGCTGCCTGTCTTGACAGGTTCACTTTCTCGACTGACTGTCTCCAAACTCGACACAGCTCAGCTCTGCCCTGTTTATTGTCTGTTTTGTCTTGATATCTGCAGAGGTGTCATTGTACATTTCCATCGAGCTGTCACTACACAAGTTATACAAGAGTTATGCCCTTGGGAGGGGCCTTTTCATCCGGCTGGTGCCTCCAAGTAAGTGGCAATAACTGACATTCACAAGATTGAATTATTCTGACTTTTCATTAATCCAGTGACTTAGCTTCAAACTAGGAGGGCTATATAGCTAAATAAGTTTCTGTTAAGTTCCTGTATTGGCCTCAGGCTTGTATTGACAGGCAGCCCCCTGAAGCATCCATATCAAACTGTCACAGTTGATTGCAAAATTGTTTATGTTCATTATGTTGTATAAAAAAAGGGTTTGGTCTTTCCAGATAGTTATCCAACCCATGACATCTAAGGGTCATGTTTAATTACCTCCCATTAATGAAGGCTTACAGTTGTGCGTAATCATAGCTTAATCCTTTTTGAGTGACATGTTAGTGCTTCAAACTGTTGGGTAAGTGCCACTACCTCTTATTCCAGTCATTACACTTCAGCTCTTTGCTGCAACTCTGTTTTTGATTTGTTTTGGAGACCTTTTTCACCCTCATTGGTCACACAAAATGGCTCACAGTTCACGTTTTTGACACCTACCAAAGAAGTCTGGTGTCTTTTTTTAAAGTATCAGTCATAATGAGCAGCTATCAGTTTTGTCCTCATTGTACCTGTTCCCTGTTTTTATAGATGAGTGTTGGCAAAGGCGTGGCAGTCTGAGAAGAGCAGTGAAAGTTAGGTGGTAGTTAGAGGGGCTGTGAAGTAACCTTGTTTGACTTGTCCTGATTCTTCTCAGAAGTTCTCATAGCTTCGTTGGTGTGATAAACATCCCCAGTCTATCATTGTTATGCAACCTGAAAACGGCTGTGAACTTAAAGAGAGCTCATCAAGAGATGGTTGTTAATCTATTGCACTACAGTATAGATTTTTCAAGTCCTACTACGCATATGCTTGGAAGTGAACTTACAAGTACAACCGGTGTTATATCATGTTTGTTTAAATTTTCATCTCCATGCATCATGAGAAAAAATGACAAAAGGCAGGGCGGGTTGCAATGTGTACTTAATGTGTCTGCATTAGATGAAAGGGCAGTCAAGGTAAACACGTTGAAGTGGTGGAGAGAGAAAGCTGTTTGTCAGTACAACAGAGCTCTACCCCAACAGCACTCAGGAGCACAGACAAAGCAAAGAAAAGGGCCAAAGGATCGGTGATAGTATGGAGTTAGCAGTGAGTATATCTTGATTATGAGTGAAGAACAGCTGGACTGCTGCCCCATGGGAGGGCCTTGCTCACCCTGTTGAGTTCCCAGTTTGCAAAACCACTCAACCACTACAAATTCTCTAAATTATCCTGCTTATCATCTGGCTACCAACTAAAGACATGGACAAGTTTTCCCAAAATATTGATTTGTATATGATTTTAATGATTCAGACTGTTTTATTAATACAGCTCATACAATGACCTCAGATAACATGGTTGGTGCCGCCTATTTTCAAGCTGACTTTACATTTGACTCATCATCTTTATCCCTGGTTGACATGTTTCCACTGACATTTTGTCTTGATACATAAAAGACTGCTGACATTAAGAAGACTTGTTAAAATAATCTGGATAAACTCTCATTAAGTTATGAAAAAAAGAAACACAGGAATATATAATGCTTTTTGAAAGTCGTCTGTTACTAGTTAATAGTGATTTGATTTGCTTTTGGACGTCCGGACTCAACAAAAAAGCAAAAGAAGCAGAAAACTACAGTACATCCAACAGTTGAAGTTGGACATCTCTGCTTCTACAGCCTGTTAGGCGGGACAATGTTGCGACAAATAAGACCAATATTAAGCTTTTGCGTTCACAGTAAGGCAGAGAGGCAGTTGTTGGGAAGTGCCAAATCATGTCCTCGTGATTGGATCTCTAGTATTTATAGTCAAACAGCCAAATATAAAACACAGACGCTTTTCTGTTTGGTTATGCAGAAATCAGCAGTATGTCATTGAACCCCTAAAGGTGTATACTAACTGAACAGTTTAAGATCAAGTTTTTGTTCAAATACTCTTGGTCTTAAACATTGTGATGCTTCATGGGTTACAGCCTGTCTTGAGGCTGTGCAGTGTTATTAAAACACCACTGTAAAGCTCTACTAGGATTGCCCTTGGTTGCCTGTAGCTGCCCTGGAGGTAAAATTTCCTACAGTCAATAAATCACCCTTGTCCTCTGAATACATTCTCTCCTAGCGCTAGATCTGCATCAGGAAATATTTGGTTGAACAAGTAGGGTAAATAATCTTTTCATTTTGCCTTTATGGGTTTATAAGATAAACCTTTATTCATCCCACAGTGGGGAAATTTGCAGTGTTAACAGCAGCAGAGGATCAACATAGCAAATGTAGAAGAATAGAGGGATATAGCAGTATTCTTCTACTCTATTACTGACAGTAAAGCAAACAGTTGAGGAGCTTTCTGTCTGATGACTGGGTGGTGTCTGGAGGCATGTCCTTAAACAATAACAGGTCTTTTCAGAGTGCTTACTCAAGAAAAGACACAGCGCATTAAGTATGTGTCTGAACAGATCACAGTAGCAAGAAGATAGAAGGATAACATCCACAAAAGGTCCGACAATGAAGGATTACGCTGAGAGCATCGCTTTTCTGGGTCAGTGGGGACTTTTCCAGCAGGTCGTCTTCTTCCTGCTCTGTGCCAGTATCATGCCAAATGGATTCGGTGCCTTTACGCTCGTCTTTCTGAATGACATACCGAGCCACCACTGCTTCGTTCCGGAGGTTAACCTCACTGAAGACTGGCATAAAACCATCATACCCTTTAAGGTGAGACTTCTCAAGCTCCTGACAAAAGATTCAGCTTTTTATATAGTCTGTACCTAGTACTTTATAAGCTTTTATTCCTTTACTGCCCACCCGACAGTTTATAGCAACACATTAATATAGAGATGAATTAAAGGGATATTGTTGCCAATGTCTTAGGAAAAGTCATACTTTATCTTACCTATGAATATTTATGTAATAATTCATATTTGTATGTCCTTTTTAAACCATAGACTAATCATAATACTTTCGTCAAAGCTTGAGTTTCAACTTTAGCAAAGTAGTACATATCAAAAACATCATGCATTATACAAACTGACGGGAAACAAAAGAGATCCAACAGCAGTTGAAGCTTATGCTGATCTTCTTGTGTAAGGATGAGTTTAGCCTCTGTAACTATTCTGAGTGACACTCTAGGGTTAAAGTTGCATGATAAGAAGGTGCATCCATGCAATTAAAGGATTTAGTCAAGTCAGTCAGAATGTATTGGTCGGTGACTGAGTTGTGTGGTCATGAGAACAAATATGACTTTACAAAATAAGAAAGTGATGAAAGAAAGTAATGAATTTTGTGTTGCTGTGACTGTGAGATGGTGAATGGGAAACAGGAGCTGAGCAGCTGCAGCAGATACAGGCTGGATGTGGTCCAAAATCTCTCTGCTCAGGGATTCATTCCTGGCAGGGACATCAACCTCACTGGTCTGGAGCAGGAGGGCTGTATAGACGGGTGGAGTTACAGCAAAGACATCTACGAGGCTACCATTGTCTCTGAGGTGAGAGTTCATACCCCAAACCGCAAGATCAATGTCAGATTCAGTTTTTCTGAGCAGTCTCCTGGATGTTGTCTTCAGCTTTTATTTCCAACCTTATTTTTCCTTAACTGTATTTCTTTCTCAATCTCTGCGTCTGTATAGCCCTGTTCCAGCCTGTCTCTGTGTTTCATTTGCCTTTTTGCTTTTGGATTATTTAAGGTAGAACTTTCCCCAAAGCCTTTTGGTGTCACTAAGCCCATCACTCTGCAACTAGTGAAATGTTAAGCCAGAGCAATGAAAGTTCATCTGTCAGTCATCACTCCTTGTCAGCGCTCATTGTCATGCCTTTACAAAGCTGCTTGTAAAAAATGTAATCATCTTAAAGCTCAGAGTCAATGGCTGACCTTAAACTTGCTCTTGATGTCATTTGACTCCACTGCTTTCTTTCCCAGACCTGCCTTCATTGGTTTGTTGTATGTGGTGCTTTTTGCTTCCTGTATTTTCTCATGCTTTCAATGGTCTGTCATGTGACCTGTATTTGCCTAGGCCCGAGGCAGATTTGAATATAAACTAGTTGAGCAATTCTACACGCTGAACATGTAAGGCAACTCAGTAAAATGTTCAAATTGTTTAACCAAATTGAACATCCTTCCATGCATTACTGCAGTTCAGGATAAGGCACGGGATTGAAAATACATTACCAATTCTCATAAATATCCATTAAGTAAAGTTTTAGCCTAAAGTTTTGTAAGTGCCTTCATTATCATTGATTGTGTTCAGTAAATTACTTTATATCGGCTTGTTTAGATGCCAAACTCAGGCTAGTTCGACATTTTGTTTCTATATTGTGGTTGTCTGTTGTTATTACCCTCCGACTGAGCAGAGGTGTGAAGTTTGTTTTGCTGGTTGTAATCATAGAGCTAGCACGTCCCACATCCTGTCCCACACCTTGTCATTAAATTGTAAGTGAAATGAGAGATAAACTTATGAGGAAGGTAGAGCGTTTATATAGATTAAGTTCTTTGATAATTTTATTAACAACAGCCCAAGGTAAAATAAAAAGGTACTGTAAATACTACCAGGCAGCATCTATTTTGTCAATGTTTGTTGTTTCAGTTTGACCTTGTGTGCAGTGAGCAGTGGAAGCAGCCGTTCACCGCCACAGTTTTCTTTGTTGGGGTTCTTTTTGGATCCTTCTTCTCAGGCCAGCTCTCAGACAGGTATTTCTTAAAATGATCTTATATGATTAAAAGAGATATAAAGAATATGTGCACGGCTCTTTTGAAAATACACTACATCAGCTCTGGTGCTGCTGTGAATCTGACTTCCAGCACAGTTTTTGCAATTAAAACACTCAGCTGGTCTAGAATAAAAAAAAATATTGAGGTACTTGTAAATAATATAAGTCACAGGGGATCCTCGTCAGCTCAGCTCCTATGTTAAGTAATTATTTGGTAAACTTAAACACACCCTGGACTAAAAGCTGCTGAAGATTGGGGTAGCTCAACCACACAGTTCAGGAAATTTTAACAAACGCCAAGCCCTATTCTCTGTGTGAGTGTGGACTTGATTTGGAAATTTCTCAACTTTTTGCTCTGTCATCTGAGCCCCACTTTTTTTCCGTTACGAAAGATATGTGTTCCTGATAAATCAACTGGGTCTATGATATGTGAGTCATCAATCTGTTGTGAATTTAAATATTTTTGCACTGCAGTTTGATTTTATTTTGCACATAAAATGTCTAAGATTATCTGTCAGACAGTAATGGCTGTAGAGTTTATTTTGATAGGTAAACATTGTACGTAAACATGGTTTCAGTCATTGCAGCACTGTGCTTGCTCTTAAAAATACAAATATTAATAGAGGAGAATAGAAATAGGAATGAATAAGATTAAATAATAAATTGCAACTGTTAGTAAAAAGTGCAGAATATTTCAAATAAAGATATTTACAAAGCGCAGAGTCTTTAAGAAATAAACTATCTACAAGCCAAAAACGTAGGAAGAGTGTACAAAACCAGTTTGCAGTGAAGGATATTGCACAGAGTGTTATACAGTTTAACGAAGTATTTCACTGGTAAGACAAATATTGCGCAGTGTCGCTTATAAACACTATATTATTTTTATTGCACTCTTCGATTATTGATGTTTTACTGGTTAACTACAGTTTGCAGAGTTCAGTGTAATTATATGTAGTGGAGAAACTTTCAGCTACTATGACGAGAATAAGTCCAGGGACAGACAGTGTGTCACACTTAGAGGGGGAGTTATGACGCTCTATGATGCATTTTAGGGGAATGAGTCCTGTGTTTGACCAGCAGGTGATGGAGTTGGTGGTGGATGCTGTCCAAGATCACGTGTAGCTTTGACAACATCCTCCTCTCTGTCACCACCGTCAGAGAGTCCAGCTTATTTCACAGAGGCCTTGTGGATGAGTTTGTTGAGTCTGTTGGTGACTGCTATTCTCAGCCTGCTGCTCCAGCGCACAACAGCAAACAGGATCTCACTGGCCACCACAGACTCATAGAACATCCTCAGCATTGTCCTGCAGATGTGAAAGGACCTCAGTCTCCTGAGGAAGTAGAGACGCTGAGGCCCTTCTCATAGACTGATGAAGAAAAAGCTGAATTCTGTTCAGCACTTGATAAGGAGAAAGTGACACTTAAAAAAATACTCTAATTTTTTCTGTTATTGATTAATCATCCTATTGGTCTCCTCTTTTATGAACCGAATTATTTTAGATTTTTTATTATTTTTTCTTTATAGTTTATAAATGGTATGTCAGAAAAAAGGGACCTTTTTATTTCGGTGTGTAGCTACATAATTTTGATTCCTTTTTTTCTTCCTTGATATCCAGTTGAGCCACAGGAATGTGTCATGACTGCAAATTAAAGGTGTTGCATGCCTACACAGGTTTTTGCAGGAAATGTGGAGACTGAATGTTCTCTGGGTGAAGTTCTGGAAGGCTATGCTGGGTTTACTGGTTTTCTCAAGAATGTTGATGATGCAACTTCTCTCACAACAAAACTAAAAGATGAGAGAGATGACAGGTCTCATAAGGCTGTTCATTAGAAAAAGGTAAACAGGTGAAGCACAGGGTGTGGACCATAGGCATACCTGGCCCATGAACTGCAGGTTTTATAATGGCTCAAATCATCTTCATGTCTCTGGTCCACATCAGACTGAAGTGTATCAACAATGATAATGTGCTGATAGGAAGTATTTCATATGCAGCCCTTGAAATCTTTAAACATCTGTATATGACTGTTAGCACATATGATATGCATTCTTTGATAACAGTAAATGTCTACTTTTTGTGAGTTATTATGTATAAATTGTAATGTATGTTTCAAAAGTAAGAGTTTTTTGTTTTCATGCTATTAGTATTTTAAAGTGTTCAAAAATCACAGCACATCAAAAGTGTTGGGAAAAGTTTTAAGGTGACACAAGAACACAGATTTTTTAACGTTTTACTTACTTAACTGTGCTCACTCTGTTTGTGTTGTGATTATCTGACAAGTTCTCTTCCACAGTGTAAAAGAAAACAACTCTCTGTTTATATCATATTTAATTTTTTACCTGTTTCTGTTGATCTCCCTTTAATAGATTTGGAAGGAAACCTATTCTTTTTGCAACCATGGCTGTTCAGACAGTTTTCACCTTCATTCAAATCTTCTCTGTCTCATGGACCATGTTCACCGTCCTCCTCTTCTTCAATGGTTTAGGACAGATGTCCAACTATATTGGTGCCTTAGTGCTGGGTACATATGAACATCCTATCTTATAAATACTGCCTCAGTAGTTAAACTCAAATTTCAGATTTTGGTTTTGTTTAAATGCTGCAAATCCTGATAACCTTTCTTTTGCTTGTCACCCTCTCCTGATTTTTCATTACCCTTTTACAGGTGCTGAGATCTTCACTGGAAATGTGCGAATCCTTTACTCATCTCTGGGCACATGTTTAGGCTTTGCCATTGGCTACATGTTGCTGCCTCTGTTTGCTTACTTTTTGAGGGATTGGAAGTCTCTCCTGGTGGCCATGTCTGTGCCTTGCCTGGCCTACATCCCCTTCTGGTGGTAAGATACATTAAGTACAAGAAATCTTACTCCATTGATTACTCAAGTCATTATCTAGACACCAATTTAGTGAAGATAAGCATAAGTTAAATAACTTTGTACAAAGAGGACAAAGAAGAGAACTCAAATGCCTTTTTTGTTTTACGCTCGTTCATGTCTTCAAGTGTTAAAATATTTGTCAACTAAAATACATAGAGAAATAAAAAGAGCTAGACTTGTTCATGATGTCTCTCTCCAGAAATTCGCAGCCAGGCCCAAACTAATATGAACAAGCTGTTGTGAAACACAGCAATAGTCTTCAGCAAACAAGTTGATAGATTGATGACCGTGTTCATGTTGAGCAGAGTTATTGTGCTTTATCCTCTTGCATCACTAGCTGTATTACAGAGTATTTTGGGCTGTAAGAACATTTAAAGTTAATTTCAAAGCAATTAACTGTCATTTTAGAGAACTCCACGTTGTAATTATTACATTTTCTTTCTCTGACCCAACTCTAGACTCATCAGATCCAACCTCTCTGTTTTTCCTGTCTAATGAGGCAGGTTCATCCCAGAATCTCCTCGGTGGCTCTTGTCTCAGGAAAGAGTGGAGGAAGCAGAGGCCGTAGTGAGAAAGGCGGCCAAGTGGAACAAAGTTCGGGCCCCCAAGGTCATCTTTCAAGATAACACTGTAAGTTCACACTGATGAACATTTATGACAGAAGATCTTAGCATAGGACCTTGGACAACTCAGACACACACTAGCATAAAAATCTCAAATTTAAAGCGAATGTGAAGAACAAGAAACAATAAAGCTCCAAACATCTCTCTTCATGCAACAAAACGAGACCTTGTCATTACGCTATTATTATACATTTAACAGATTTAAAAACAGCCGGGACGTACCCTTAAAATCTGTCACTGAATGTCTTTATTTCAAGCCAAACTCTTGTAATAACTCTGCCAAGTGACCACATGTTTAAGAGTTGGCACATTTAGGTATGAATGAGAAAACAGTCAGAGTAAAAGAGAAGTGTATCCTCCGTTTTTATTTTGGATATCTTTGTAAAGATCGATCGACTGAGTGTGTAAGAAACACCAAAGAACTTAGCTCACTGTATTGGATTTACACTTCCTGGTATCTATTCAAAAAAGTATTTGTCTATAATAATACACCAACAACATGAATCTAAACAGAAGATGTGATTTTTTTATACTTTGCAGATTAATGAGGCAAAAGCACAACCTAAAGAACGCCACAATGTGTTTGACCTGCTGAGGAAGAGCAACATCAGAGTCATTACTCTCAATCTCTCCCTGGTGTCGTAAGTCAAACCCACAGTTATACTCTAACAGACAAAGAACAACGCAAAATGGCTACCCTTTGGTGACAGTTTTCTTACAGCCACTCATTGGAATACACAGGTGATGGTTAGTAAACACAAGTTTGTTATTCAGAAGAAGTTCATTTATTGATCTGACTTTTAACTGTATCTGCCAAGAGCACATATTTGTTCAAATTGATGTATTAATCAATTTTCTTAGCTCAGGGGTGTCTTTTTTATCATCTCTTTAAGGTTCACCATGATTATTGGATATTATGGACTTTCCTTCAACACGCCACAGCTCCACGCCAACCCATACGTCAGTTGTTTCATCTCAGCTGCTGTGGAAGTTCCTGCTTACATTTCCAGCTGGCTGGCTTTGCTGTACCTCCCACGGCGGTTGTCTGTCATCAGTTCTCTGCTGCTCGGAGCTGTGCCACTTTATCTTATTCAACTTGTGCCCCAGAGTAAGCACCAAACTGTATGAAAAGTGACGTAATGTAATGTTTGATCTTTTGCCATAGTTGCCAAGAATCACAGGTACATTCTTCCCTTCATGGTACATTACATCTTCAAGAGTGAGAAATAAACAGAGGCTTTGTTTGAACCTGAGAGTTGGCTGACAAAAGCTTGGTTCAGTGGTAGGGTCAAATGTCTGTCGCTACCAGGGCTGTCGCAATAACCTACAAAAACAATCTCCACAATATTTACTAACAACATAGTAGGCCTCTGCAACAACCTCGCACGACGTCATGATACCTAACTGAGTGTAACTTCACTATTTTTTTAAATTTTGGCTTTCGACCAAATTTAAAATCAAGAGCGGATTAAGATGAGCACTGCCCTCTACCAGCAACGAGTGGAGGCGCAGCTTAATTCAAAATGAATGAAAGACTAACAGAACATTAGTGAGGTGAAATAGACAGGGTTAGAAATCGCTGAACTTTGACTTAACCAAGCACTCTTTATTTATTTTTCAGATCTGTCAAATCTGGCTCTCGTACTGGAGATGTTTGGTAAATATGCATTCACCACTGGATCCTCGTTGATGTTCGCCTACATTGCAGAGCTTTACCCAACAGTACTCAGGAACACAGCAACTGGGACATGTAGCACAGTTTCCAGACTGGGCTGCTGCATGTCTCCTCTGTTGTTACAGCTGGGTGAGTTATTTGACTTTAGATAGACTGTATTACACATAACAAAAGCGATACAGACTTTCCTCTGATCTATCTTTCTTTTTCAGGTTCATACTTTAAGTACCTTCCTTATATCATACTGGGGACTCTGGCTGTAGTGTCGGCCATTGCAGCTTTCTTCCTCCCAGAGAGTTTTGGAAAACCGCTCCCTGAAACAGTTCAACAGATGCAGCGGAGTAGAAGGTGGGCTGATTGTTTCATGCAGCTTAATGAGGGATATTGCCACAACAGATAATTCAAAAACAACTACCATTGCCTTGCTAGTGAAACTCTGTCACAATCGGTGCAAGTACAGATGTAAGGTTTGGATCCCATTTCTATTTTAGATCAAGAAAAGAGTCAGTTTCAGGATTAAGAGTGTCCCATGAGTTACACATCTCCGAATGAAGGGGACTGTGGATGACAGGTTTACTTTTTGATGACATGCATTAAGTGGACATATAAGTAAATTAAGTGTAAGAACATATTTGTCAACAACTCAATTTTAAAACAGTAAGTCAACATCAGAACCGGTTCCAACTAGCAAGTGCAACGGTTCCGCTATCGGTGCCGCCCACTTAGCTCTGAAATACTAGAGGTAGTCAGCGCAGACAGTATCCATGAACGTTATCATGGCTGACAGAAGACAGGAGCCAGTCAAACCGCTGTTGAATACAACTGAACATCGTCATGTTTACTAAAGGTACAGCATAACCCCTCACTGTAAAATCCACTTGCTTTGTAAGACCAGCAGCTTTCCAATGATCAACTCTGTGTGATATCCATTATCTGTCTTTTCTAACCTTATATTTAACCTTATGTTTTGTTTTTCTTCTCCTCCCAACAGAGTGAAGTGTCCGTGCATCTCTGGAAAAGAAACCATCAAGACTTCGGTGCTCCTGGACAGTCCCCTATGATGATCTCCTGAAGTATTTTACAGATGTAGTACAAACATCAATATTTTTTATTGAGCATTGATATAAATGTTTGTCAATTATGTTTGATTTAAATAATGTGTCATTGTGAAAAAGTATTGGTTTCTGTTTTATTACATTCCACACCAAAACAACTCTTTGCTCTCAAAGCCTTTAAGGCAAGGATTTATGAAAGGATCACCTCATCTATTCTCGCAGTAGCTACATTTAAAGGGATGCTGATTTGACTTGTGCATGTGAACGTATTTTAATCTTAGATATACTTTTAGTTTGTTCGTGTGTTTGTAGTTCATCACAGCTTGGCTGATAGTAAAACAGAACTCCCTTTTGTGTATATTGCATCCCAACAAACCTCACTTGCACTTTCATAACCACAAATAAGATTTAATTAATAGAAACCACATTATGTAGTTTCTGTTAATTAAACCCTATCTGATTCTTCACACTGCTATGTTACATAACAGTGTGAAGAATCACTTCAGCAGTGTTTTATTGCACAGTGTCTGCCTACTTCAATAATGTTCTGGCAAGGATACAAAACCAGGTGTGGCTGAGGTGTCTGGTGTTTGAGAATTACAATGAAAAACAGAAAATGATAAAACAACAGACGAATATTGTGAAATCACAGCATTTCTGTTACAGGGGAAACATTTCCAGACATTTCTTTGTGCTCGTGGTCAACATCTTACACCACGGATCCGGAGCTTTTTCTGTTGTCTTCTTTCTGCTGATATCTCCAGACTCCACTTTCTGGTTCCTGATTTTAAGCTTGGCTCGGTGTCATCATACCGGCTGAGGTAAACAAGAGCTGTTAAGCAGTGACACATTTTTTCTTTCCTGTGGTTTTTCAGCTCTTATATTTATTTTCATGAATGGTATTTGTATTTTGAGGGGAAAAGAGGCTTTATGAACGCTGCTTGTTCTGTACCTGCCATCAGTTCTGAGGTTAGATAGATTTAAGAAATCTATCTCTTGCTTTTAAAGATTGTGTTTTTGTGATTTTGAGATGATAAATAGCTGCCTGGTCAAAACAACTTGTTTATAAGTTGGGGTGGTACAATAATGGTGAACTCAGCCTGTAGAAACAAACTTATTATTTCAGTATGTGTGGTTGCTTTTTTAATTAAAAAGTGAAATATGATGATAAAACCACAGAGTTGCTTCATGCAGTATTATGCAGCATGAGAACAGGCAGTACAAATTCACCCCCTTGGGGTCTAATAGTTTCTAAACAGATTTTCTAGCTCTAGTCTAAGTTCATGATTATTCTGTCAGACAGATACTGAAACCATGATGCTATTCCTAAATACTTTATATGTTGTTGATAAATAAAACATTGAAACAGACAACACAATCCTGCACATCCTTTACACTAAACACAGTTCTTTATTCTCTTACAGATTATTTTCTAATCTTTCCTGTTTGCCTTTTACTTAAGTTTGGTAAAAAGTTTTTTCTGGTTTACTGGTTTCTCATGATCCAAGATCCACCTACTGTCCACCAGGCAAAGTGTCCTCGGACCAGAGACTCAACTCCAAACAGTCCCAGTTGGCTGCACTTTATGTGTGAATGGAATTAGGTAATACTGAGGGGGGCCTCTGCTATCGGTGTATGAATGCGGTATGAATGGGTGAACTGTAATGTCATCAGTATAGTTAAAATTGACCTTGAACTCTGTGTATGTCATCATGATCTCACACAGACCTGTTTGAGGCACAGATAACTGTTATAATAGAGTTGATCTTTATTGTCATTGCACTCACTACAACAAAATCATGTGTGCTGCTTTCAGCTGTGCAACATTAAAATACACAATGATTGCACAGTTAACCCTCACATACTGTTCAAATCCTGTACCCTCACAGAATGTTCTGGGTCAAAATTGCCCCTTCAAAGAGTTCAAAGAGCAGCTTTCTGTGACAGAAAGTTCTCTTGACTAGTAAGGTCATTTTGACCTCTGTCTAGGTGTGTCTGTGTAACTGTATGTCTGTGCGCGCGTGCGCGCGTGCGTGCGTGCGTGTTTCTGTCAAGGTAATGATAGTTTCATAATGATTTGAATATCTTTTTGAAAATCAAACCTTATATTGAACACTGTTGTTACTGTTTGTCACTTGTCCCACACTGCTAGATCTAAAATCCATCTAAATATAGATTTGGGTCAAATTTGACCCGAAACAGAGGGGAAAATTTTGTAGCACATAAACAAAAATACACATGAATATTTTTAAATTAATTTCATGTATTTCATCAAGTCATCAAGTTTCAGGCTTAAAGAATGACGTTTAGGGTATTTTTACTGCTGTTAAAAGTCAAAACGGGTCAAATTTGACCCGAACAGTATGTGAGGGTTAAACAAAAATAGCAATAATTTTATCCAAACGAGGAAGGTGACAGACTGACAAACTAAGAAAATGTAAGACTGAGGCTCTGTATCTTGTAGGCTGATTAAAAAAAACCTAACCTAACAAAGAAACATAATTTCTTCAGCTTGCTGAGGACAAAAAAAAAAAACATAAAACCTGAAATTTCTCTGTTCCTAGTGTGAAAGGTATGTCATCAAGGCACTCTGATCACTAACTCTTAACAGTAAAGACAGGAACTTTTGGAAAGATAAAACATAAATCTATGATACTGTTGCCATGTCAGAATTAACCATGCTTTTTGTTATCAGAGCTCCAAGGCTCTATTTTCTACTAACTTCCATGTTTAACGATTCCCTTTGTGTGTTTTCTTAAATACACTACAAATACAGACGTTGGTCTGAAATACCACTGGGTGGTGCTGTTGAGTTAATTGAAAACAAAAATACAAGGGCCATGAAGGTACTGTGAGGTACTTTGGCACTTCTGGTTTATTTCAAATTTACACCACAAATCATTGAGGTGTTAACAGAAGCGTATTATGACTTACAAAATGCTTCTAAGTATATGTGTTGTTTTTTTAGCATGACCATTTAAAAGTTATAAGTATAGGCATGACAAAACTGCATAAAGGATCAGTATCACATCTATATAACCTGGGACTATAGTGAGGAGCACTATATCCAGAAACATCCCAAAATAAGCTTTTATGTGGGATTACAGATTATGACAGGGTATGATTTGAAATAATCCTCCAGAAACAGGTTGATTAAAACTACATTTTCATGCATTTATTACGTGATTGATATGTAGATTAATTTAATTGACTGCAATCATTATGAAAAAATAAATTTAGTTGATAGTTTTGGGGGGTTTTTTTTATTGCTCGACAGCACTGGTAGAGACAGAAATGTAAATAGTAGTATATATATAAATTTCATTTGTTGTTCACATGTTTTGACTTCCTGTAAGTGGACAAAATAAGGATCATTTTGCCGCATATGTACAATCAAACATTTGAATAACATAACAGAGAAAATGCAAATCAGTCACCTGATAGTCAAAATGTCTTGCAAAAGTTGCAAGGTTTTTGTATTTGTCAGCACTCATTTGAGATCTGTAGATTTGACAACTGTACTCTTTTATTACTCTCTTTTATCACTCAGCAAGTTTTAGATTACCTTTGAGTCTGGTGAACATATGACAAACCCTTTTCAAAGTCTGATCCTGTCTTTTTATTCTGATTGTGTTTAGAGAGCACGTGCGAAAAGTTTTTGATCATATTTCATTCATTTTCATTTTCGAACATTTTTAAGGCTGTTTTACTCACTTTTGCTCAAGAAGCTGAAGTGCTAAACAATCCCATGTACTCAGCAAGATTGAATGTAAATTTTATTTTAGTTGTGATATTTTTTCTGGACTTTGCACAGAAGCTTAGATAATAATCATGACACAGTAGAGTACTGTCAGCCCTCAGGGGTTGAAGCTCTTTGTCTGAAAATCTTGCGGCTATCGTTTGTTTAGATTTTAAAGACTAAGATTTACAGACTTAAAATAACATCACAGCCTACAGTCCCTCTTGTGCGATACTGGCATTATCCAATGATTGTAGGAGTGTAATAAAAAGTAAGACCTTTATAAATCCTACCAGTATCCTGACTCTGTGGAGTAAAAGAGGTAGCTTATGGATTGCTTGATGCTGATTGAAGCACTTTGGTCCACTCCCACAATCACAGTACATCAACTTTATGTGTGACAAGGTGTGGCTGTATATCTGGTGACAAGACGGTATGATTAGCTGCAGCAAAATCAGCAAGAACAACTTTTGAGAACAAAGGATTACAGGATGCAGGATTATGATGAAAGCACAGCGTTCCTGGGTCAGTGGGGACGCTTCCAGCAGGTTGTCTTCTTCGCACTTGTGACCAGCGTCATACCCAATGGATTTGGAGCTTTTTCTGTTATTTTCTTTGCTGATGTTCCCACCCACCACTGCCTGGTTCCTGATGTTAATCTAACAGAAGACTGGCTCAGTGTCATTATACCAATAGAGGTAAAACAAACAAAAAATGAGCGCTGTAGTTTTGTTAAACTTTTTCTCTTTATATTCGTGACATTTGAACAATTTCTCCAAGAAACTGACTAGCTGAAAAAAATGGCCAATTTAAGTTTTTATTTTTGTACTGTTTTTTTTTATTATTTTCTTGACGTTATACTGATATTTTTCTGATTTTTTGTGTCTTTTTATCTTGTATTTGCAACTTAACAGTGTAAATTCAGTTTACATGTCAATTAATATGTGAAAGATAACATCTGGAGGTGTTAACAAACCAACAATCTATGACCAGACAGACGTTACAAGTTATTTGGTACATTGATATTAAGAATAAAGTTTATGTTCTTGTGTCTGTGAGGTGATAGATGGAGAAGAGAGGCAGAGCAGCTGCAGCAGATACAAGCTGGATGTGGTCAAAAACCTCTCTGCTCAGGGATTAATTCCTGGTAGGGACGTTAACCTGACGGAGCTGGAGCAGGAGGGCTGTTTGGATGGGTGGAGCTACAGCAAAGACATCTACCAGTCTACTGTCGTCTCTGAGGTGGGAGTGTTATGTCTCCTTTTATGTATCTAGTCATCTAGTGAATGTCACAGTGTACATATAGCTCCAGTAATGTGCCTAAACTGGTTCAAATTAATTGGAGGAGTTTTGGAAACGGTACAGTTGCATGTAGTTAAACTGTGTCACTCCAGTCAGACTGCCTTCAAGAACTACAAGTCAAAATTAAAGCTCACTATTACTGCTTATAGATTATATAATTCAACTGTGTCTGCACCTTTTTGTGCATGTTATATAACTTTTTTTTCATAATACTTGTCGATGGGTCCAGGTCATTGGGTCTTCATATTTTCTTAATCGTGCACCTCCTTTAAAACACGACAAAAGCTGATAAATTAAAAAAAAAACACCTCTATCAAGACTTAAAGCAAGGATAAAAGACATCATTAGATGGCTGATACACTCTTGATACTCTTTTTTTTCCCCCAAATTGTATCCTGGCTCTTGCTTTGACAATGTCCCTTTGATTTAGTATATAGATTTGTAAAGCAAAGTCAGCTTACTTAATTATATACCTAAATGTTTAAGATGTTCACTGCAGCAGCATAGCATGGATCGTGTTTGGAGTCTACGCTCCACTATGATCACTCTTTTCAGATCAGTTTTATGCGCAGAAATGTGTGGAATTATATCTGCTGCTGGAAATAATTGCTCGGGGAGAAATGTCACAGCTTTTGACAGACAAAACTAGTGGAATACAGCTAAACGTGAAAGTGTATGAAATCAGTTCCTGTTTGAATGAGCTGTATCACTTCACGTACGATATGACTCCATGAATGAAACGAGTTTTCAGTTTTCAGTAGTTAAGCAAATAACTTCATTTTAATGGGCAGCCTTTTATTGCAACTGTGTTGGACTAGCAAACAGATAGATGGAGACAGAGAGAAAGAGTCAGAGACAAACATAGAAACTACTATGACAACAACAGCCTTTTCTACAGTGCCAATACAGTGAATTTCCCAGTTTGGGATCCATCCATCCATCCATCCATCCATCCATCCATCCGTTTCAGTCTATATGATAGTGGTTCCAGGAAGATCCTTTTTTGACCAACTTTTGGGATATCTGTAATATTGTTTCCAGGTCAACATAAACGGTTAGTAACTTTAATGGTACATGAGAACTTTGTGATGTGTAGACAGATAGAGGAGAAAGGGAGAAATACAGAGGATGTGTGAGCTTGTTCCTCGAGCATTGTAAGTCGGAAAAGTCAAATGGCGCATAAATAAAACTGAAAGGCTGCTTTACAAACATGAAGCAGCATGAATGAAGGATTGACATTCCCTTAAAATGTGTTTAACTGTGTGTGCGTGGATTTTCCAGTTTGACCTGGTGTGCAGTGAGCAATGGAAACAGCCGTTAACCTCCACCATCAACTTCCTTGGAGTTCTTTTTGGATCCTTTTTCTCAGGACAGCTCTCAGACTGGTACTAAAATCACGACCTCGCTCAGATTTTATATTTTCATGAGTCACGCACTTTAGAAAAATATCTCTATATCATCCCCTTGACATTCAAAATTTAAAGAAAGGTTGCCATAGAGGCCACATTTGCTTACTTGCTGAAATTTGGTACCAGCCATCTTGATTTGAATTTGAAATTACTTGTCCAAGATGTTTTTGTCACATGGTTTGTCACACTTATCTTCAAGTCGGTGGAAAAAAAGACACATCATAGATTTCATGAAACCAAAATATGTAAACCCTCATAGATCTCATGTACAAAGTTTGAACCTCTCTGAAATGTATATGTATGATTAAAGTCCTGGGTGGAATACACTTAAATCCAAGTTTCACTCTCGAGCTAGACAGCTATCTATGATCTGACATGTTTTACTCTGTGACAGACATCTCCTGACATGCTGTTCCCTTGTTTAATGAATGTCTTAAGAAAGCCCTCAGACACTCTGAGTTTTAGCTGAAGGCTGTGTTCCTGGTGTCTCATCAAACTTTGATGTCTCACCATGAAACATGACAGCACAGCCTACTGGTGTAGGGCAAGGACTGAAGTACTAAGTCTTTTTACTCGGTAATATATACGTAATATATACTTTTCTTTCGTTGATATATTTTTGTCCTAGGTGGGGGAGAAAGCCTATTCTCTTTGTGACCATTGCAGTTCAGGCTGTTTTTGGTTTTGCTCAAGTCTTCTCAAACTCTTGGACGGTGTTCTGCGTCCTCCTGTTCCTCAGTGGAATGGGACAGATTTCCAACTTTGTGACCGCTCTTGTGTTGGGTAAATGTGAATATTTCATTCTTTTGTATTACGTCATTACACTGAACAATATTAAATTATTATATAAGATATACACTCACCGGCCACTTTATTAGGTACACCTGTCCAACTGCTCGTTAACACTTAATTTCTAATCAGCCAATCACATGGCGGCAACTTAGTGCATTTAGGCATGTAGACATGGTCAAGACAATCTCCTGGAGTTCAAACCGAGCATCAGTATGGGGAAGAAAGGTGATTTGAGTGACTTTGAACGTGGCATGGTTGTTGGTGCCAGAAGGGCTGGTCTGAGTATTTCAGAAACTGCTGATCTACTGGGATTTTCACGCACAACCATCTCTAGGGTTTACAGAGAATGGTCCGAAAAAGAAAAATATCCAGTGAGCGGCAGTTCTGTGGGCGGAAATGCCTTGTTGATGCCAGAGGTCAGAGGAGAATGGCCAGACTGGTTCGAGCTGATAGAAAGGCAACAGTGACTCAAATAACCACCCGTTACAACCAAGGTAGGCAGAAGAGCATCTCTGAACGCACAGTACGTCGAACTTTGAGGCAGATGGGCTACAGCAGCAGAAGACCACACCGGGTGCCACTCCTTTCAGCTAAGAACAGGAAACTGAGGCTACAATTTGCACAAGCTCATCGAAATTGGACAATAGAAGATTGGAAAAACATTGCCTGGTCTGATGAGTCTCAATTTCTGCTGCGACATTCGGATGGTAGGGTCAGAATTTGGCGTCAACAACATGAAAGCATGGATCCATCCTGCCTTGTATCAACGGTTCAGGCTGGTGGTGGTGGTGTCATGGTGTGGGGAATATTTTCTTGGCACTCTTTAGGCCCCTTGGTACCAATCGAGCACCGTTGCAACGCCACAGCCTACCTGAGTATTGTTGCTGACCATGTCCATCCCTTTATGACCACAATGTACCCAACTTCTGATGGCTACTTTCAGCAGGATAATGCGCCATGTCATAAAGCTGGAATCATCTCAGACTGGTTTCTTGAACATGACAATGAGTTCACTGTACTCAAATGGCCTCCACAGTCACCAGATCTCAATCCAATAGAGCATCTTTGGGATGTGGTGGAACGGGAGATTCGCATCATGGATGTGCAGCCGACAAATCTGCGGCAACTGTGTGATGCCATCATGTCAATATGGACCAAGCTCTCTGAGGAATGCTTCCAGCACCTTGTTGAATCTATGCCACGAAGAATTGAGGCAGTTCTGAAGGCAAAAGGGGGTCCAACCCGTTACTAGCATGGTGTACCTAATAAAGTGGCCGGTGAGTGTACATGTCTGTCTTGAATGCATCCTGTACAAACTTACTAGCACTTCGGACATAAGTATGTCTTTCTCTACTTTTCAGGAGCTGAGATTTTGACCGGCAATGTGCGAGTGATATTTTCTTCAATGGCTGTATGTCTGGGTTTTGCTGTTGGCTTCATGATGCTTCCTCTCATCGCTTACTGCTTAAGAGACTGGAGATCTCTCCTGCTGGCTTTGTCTTTGCCTGGGCTGGCCTGTCTACCCCTCTGGTGGTAAGTTGTACCGTGGTCATAAATTTTAAAAATATGCATTAACGATAATGCAGCCTTACTTTGTATTATAAATGTCTTGTTTTAATTTTTGTTAAGAGCTCTTTCAGTCGATCTTTGTTCTTTTTTCAACATGGCAGGCTTATCCCAGAGTCTCCCAGATGGCTGCTCACTCAGGGAAGAGTGGAGGAGGCTGAGGCCATTATGAGAAAGGCTGCTAAGTGGAACAAAGTTCAGGCTCCACAGGTCATATTTAAGGATTACAGTGCACATGTAAGCCCACCAAAAACACTTTTTTTTTTTTTGCAATTTAGTTATTCCTACCATGTCCAATTGAAGAGATTCAATGACAAACTAGAATGAGGTGAGACTAAGGTTTTGTAATCTGTAGGTTGGTGAGAAAAAGGTCGACGATCATGAACAACACTCTTTCTTCAGCCTACTGAAGACAAGCAACATCAGAAACACCACTATCATTCTGTGCCTGGTGTGGTAAGTACGCTGTCGGGATACGTAAATCATCAAATTAAGACAAGTGCAAGAATTATTGGAAACACTTTATCTTGAACCCACCTCTTGTAACGCATAATAAGCACATGAATAAAACCTTATAAATGAATGCATAAGGCTTCATAACAACCCTTATGAGCGATGAGCAGTTAGAACAGCTTAAAGCAATGTTAGTGATGTGGTATAAGTCATGAGCATGACGCCTTCCAAAGTTATGGTTTCTTATGCATTATACCCCACTGCTTATAACACCTCAACATTGCTATAATCTATAAAGGATGCTTATAATCACTTAAATGGGTTTCCTATTTAGCCTTATTGTCTCCACTCACCGAGCACCAGTAAAATAATTCACGCGAATGAGTTACATTCTACGACTCTGGCGGCGTGAATTGGGCGAATCTCAGTTTGAGCGAAAATTTCCGTCACAATAACTACTCAGCACGAAGGTTTCCAGGTGACATATGAAAATGGACGGTTGTTTACTGGTATCTAAAATGGAGGACAAACTGATCGAGTCAGTGTGTGGTTGCCCCGAATTATATATCTTTTCTTTCCTTCAATTACCGAAACCGAAATAATAAGGAGCTCACGTGGAGGCAAGTGAGTGAGGAGGTCGGATTACGTGGTAAATTGTAAAAAACCTTTGACTATCACTTGATCCTGCCGGTTGAATTGGAAGGGATTGCTGTTGAAATTACCGTTGACGCGCGAATGAAGTCAGTAAATGCTATTGATTCACGTGTCTGGATTCGTGCGAATTAAGCGAGTAGATGATTTTAGTGTGAACGCCTCATTGAAGATCTATCTATAGGACTTTGTAAATGTGCTTATGATGCATAATTAGAGTTGGGCTCATCTAAAGTGTTACCAAATGATTATTGTGTTCACACCTGAAGTGTTATTGCACTCTTCAAACTGCTCCATTGTCTGTATCTTCACAGGTTTACTATGAGTGTGGGATACATGGGCCTGTCCCTGAACACATCCCGACTTCATGCCAACCCCTTTCTCAGCTGCTTCATTTCAGCCGCTATCGAGGTACCAGCGTACATTACCAGCTGGCTCGCATCACGTTACCTACCACGACGGTTATCCATCATCTGTATCTTGCTTCTTGGAGGAGTGTCGCTTTATCTAATTCAACTCATACCAAAAGGTAAGCGGTATAGTGGGGCAGCCAGACATCACCATATTTCAAGGGAAAGATGTTCTCATGCACAGCGATATGACCGAGTCAGTTCCATATCGAGAGGAAGATATGACTTGAAACATAACTTTTAAGAGAATTTTTAGAGAGGAGTATGATGAGTCATTCCTGATATCCCATCATAATCCATCTCTGACCTTTCAGGGTTATTGAACCTGGCTGTTGCACTGGAGATGATGGGTAAATATAGTATTACCAGTGGTACATCTCTGCTCTATGCCTACACATCAGAGCTTTACCCGACTGTACTCAGGAACACGGCCATTGGAACATGTTCAACAGCATCCAGATTGGGCAGCTGCATCTCACCTTTTGTATTACAACTAAGTGAGTAAAAACTCGTCTTCAATTGTAAGCTATACTATTTGTTTATCAGTATTGTTTTGGTGGAAAGCCAAAGTTAGAGTCTTTTGAATCCTCTGTACATGTCAGTAAATTTGAATGTTGCACAAGACAAGACTTGCGCTTAACCCCAAATTTTCTCACCTTCTTGGAAAGGTACATACTTCAAATACCTTCCATACATCGTATTGGGGACCATAGCCATTGTATGTGCCTTTGCTGTTCTCTTCCTGCCAGAGACTTTCAGGCAACCTCTACCTCAAACTATTCAAGAGATGCACAAGAGAGAAAAGTAGGTTTTCAGCTGTGAAGTGTACCAGAGGTTTCCCTTCACACAAAATTGATTCTTTGTGCTCATCATAAAAAGCGGCAAAACTGTCGGGTTATTTGTTAAATTTTTGAAGGAAAAAGAAAAATGCAAATCAAGAAAATTTAAAATTGCAATATTTTTATTTTGAAAACTAAAAGAAGAAGAATTTCTTTGTCTTTTGTCCCAACAGGTTGAAGTGGCCATGCATCCCTAAGAAACAACACTCAAAATGTGGGGTGCCTTTTGAAACTAAACTGTGAAAAACTTTTGATGGATGACTAGACCATTTCATACTGACATGAAGCTGTGAGTAATCTAAAAAATTAAAGCTTAACATAGAAATGTAGTTCACTGTTTCATAGTTTTGGAGGAAATAAATTTATATTTTAATGACGTTAATGTTATGATTAATAATTTCAATAAAATATTTACTATACTCTTTGTGATATGTGTAAAAAAGGTGAAAAAACAACACATTTATCTTTAAACAAATCATTAACATGGGTTACAACTGTAAATTGCATTGGCACAGACATGTCGGAGTAAGTTGCTGCATTGTTTCTTGTAAAGTAGTGACAAAGACGCATCATTACTCCGTGTTTGAGAAGATGTTTTAAGGTACTGTTGTATTTTATAAATAAACCTCAAGATCCTTATTCCTGCTGAAGTGCCATCATTTCACAGGTCTGCTGGGTTTCCCTTCTCCTCAGTCTGGGTAAGTGTGTAAGATTTTTTCTGGCAACATCTAGAGGGGGAACATCAATATTAGTTAAGGTTATTCACAGAGCCCAGAAAAAACTCTTCTGATAATGATTGGTTAATGGTACTGTGTGTAAACTGAAAATTTTAAATTATACCAAAAGTCAAATACGAAATTATAGTATATTTTCTGTTGTTCATATTTAGCTACAGCTTTACTGCATAGAATTAAAAAAGCTAACAAGGATTCCTATAAGGCTGCAAAATCTGACAGCAGTGAATATTGTTAGGACTCCAGCACAACTGAACAACCACTGAAGTCCTATCAATTCCTGCGATAGATAGATAGATAGATAGATAGATAGATCGATCTATATGTATGTTGTACATTAATTTAAAGAAAATGTTTGACATGATTGGAATACAAAGTAGTTATTGTCTTTCCTGCAAAGGGAAACCTGATATCCTTTGTAGCTGTACAACAAGTACAAAAGTTTAGAATTAATCCCAGAATTTTGTGAAATAAGAAACTTCATGGGTCTGTGTTTACTGTATTATGTTTTGCTAATAGGAGCAATGAGAAAATAGTTAAGGATTGTGATGCTTGATTTGACTTTTTTGCTCAGGCATATCTTATAGTGATTGGACAAAAGTTTTTGAATTGAAATGTAACCCGCCCAGTCTAGCAGTACCGTAAACTTTCCAGGAGGTGCAGTCTTACCCAGGGAAGCGTTGCATGTGAGTGATGGTGTCGGGCAAAGGCATTCCTCGGGTCTCAGGCAGCAGGAGACTCAGCAACCCCACCAGAACTGTGAGACTTCCCATGAGGATGTAAGGCAGTGAAACTGAATAGCTTCCTGAGGCAACACATCAAAGGAGATGAGAGTGAAAACCAGCCTGGGCCACAACAAACCACAGAGCAGTCAGAAACAGAAAGAAACAAAAGAGTGGAGAGAATAGTCCAATCTGGCTGCTGCTGCTGCATAAGTTTAAATCCACTCCATTTAATCTCTAAAGAAACTTATAAATTCTCTGAGGCAGCTCTAGGACTTTGAGAAGACTGGTTGATCCAGTCTGAGTGCTAATTGAGTTTGCTTTTATGTTTTCCTAGAGATATTTGTTCACGTTTTAGGCACCAGCTTCTTGTTTTCCTCTTTTGTAGCAGCGTATGCACAAGTCAGTGAGGAAAAAGACAGCTTTTCTAAACAGGATGCAAATGTTTACATTCACCAGATCTTTCTTAGGGTTTGATGTGAGACATACATTGCTCTATTTTAATAATCTGAAGTGCATGAGGCAAAGTGAACAACGGCATGTCCAACCAGAATTTGCTAGTTAAGTGGCACACAATCTTTGCTCTTAATAAAACACTCCTGATTGTTTGTAGGTGTGTTTTAGGGGTAACATGACTCATGACAGCGCATCTGCTCTTATTCCCTCTACGAGTCAAAAGCACCTGCAGGCACACTTGTTGCTATTCAAACAGAAGGAGTAAACAGTTACTCTATTCTCGGCCTAGAGTGTTTGTCTGGTGCAGGGCTGAAGTGAAGCAGGCGTGTTCAGTCAAAAAAAGCGATGAGGATGTCCTTGTCTTCTCACAGGTACTGTGTGGTATATGTGAGGAAACGAGGGTGAAAAGAAAAGCCCTCTGTCCCAAATAACAATGACACCAATATTTCTTTACGAAACACAGCACTGCTCTGCATATCTCTCTCTGTGTAAAAGAAAGAGGAATCAATATTATAAATGGAACCAATGGCTATCTTGCGATCAATAATCTGCTCTCTAAACAGCAGGAAAGTACAGCGCCACTGACTTTAAACTCTTAAGATAGGAACACACCACCTTTGCGCTTTACTACTTCTAATTTCACTATGAATCTAATCACTGGGTGCAGGATTATTTGCTTCTCACACAATATGGGTTGCTGGTATAAGTATGACAAATGCATCAGCTGGAGAATACTGATGCTTGTGCTGCATGCTGAAATGTAAAGGACAGCCTTGGAATATTTTTTGGTATTTAAGAGCTTTAAATATGTTAAAATGATTGAATGCCACCACTTCTATCGTGAAATTGTTTGCACACGTGTCTTTTACAGGATATCCATTCAGATCAAAATCAGGAAATTAAATGATAGCAAGACACTCTTTGCCAAAGTACTAGCAAATTTAGGTTAATCTCTGGAGATCGAAATACACTTCATTATGATGAGCTGCTCATAAAGCATCCTTACTTAGATAAATGAAGTATGGAGCAATGATGCTGCCTATTCTGGAGGCCATGGAGCAGGTACCGACAGCTGTATTCCTCAGAACTGTCGGGTAGAGTTCTGCTGTGTATGCATACACAATAGCAAATGCTGTTGTCACTGCAAACTTCCCCATCATCTCCAGTGTTATGGCCACAAAAATGTGATCTGGGAAGAATGAAGCATGACACATGTCATTTGATAATCTGAAAGTTAAACGTTCAAAAACTTTTTTAAAACTAGAAAATGATGATTTATCACATGACAGCTTTATGATTATTTTGTATAAAAACATTTAGTTTTCATACTCGCAGGTACGAGCTGTATGAGGAGTAGGAACACTCCCCCCATTAAGAGTGTTGACGACAGACTCCACCGTCTTGAACACCAACGAAACATGATCCAAGACAAAGTGTAGGCAGGCATCTCCACCAGGGCCGACAGGAAACAGTTGAAGTACGCATTACCGTGCAGGTTCGCCGTGTTCAGGGAAAGAGCGAAGTAGCCGATGGTCACAGAGTTCCTGTGGAGATAGTAGTGAAGCGTAAATATTAAACCAAAGATGTTTACATTACTTTGCTTTGATTATTATAAATTTTCTATAAACGTGTTGTTTAGTAAGACATTTCTAGTTCCATTTTGTTTTGTCTTAAAGGGACAGTGTAATTAAATAGAATGTTGTTTCAAAACAGGGCATGGATATAAAATACTGAGTAGGGAGTTTGTTTTTGGTGCTAATGTCCCCAGGTGAACCCATACATAGAGTATTATTATCAAAAGTAAAATGGAGTTATGCAAGAGTCCTTCAGCTTACTTGGACACCAGTAATTTTTTCTGCAGCTGCAGGACTGACACTGAAAAAAAGTGATTTCAAGAAAATAGGCATACTGTGCAGTTACATAAAAGTGATTTTGATCTTTGGTGCATGCTCCACAGCACCTGATGGTTCATTATTTGTTGTTAGTGAAACAGGCTGTTACACGGTCGAGGGTAATGGATACAGACACAAACTGCCTATGCATGTATGTTTTTGTAAATGCGTAACAGTTTGTGCCCAGCGTATGCCTACATGCGCACTTTTCTGCCTGCAGGGTCACTGTACTGAATGTGGAGGTCAGGCGAAACGGCGGGGACTCACCAGACCAGCCACAGCGTGACTGAGATCCAGCGGATGTTTGGAGAGCGGAGCAGGTCACAGATGTTGTGGGCCTTCCTCTGCTCGGATTGAAGTTCTATCTGTGAGGCGGTAAGAACATGTGGAACAACAAACACTTAACGAGTAGAGCCATCAATCTGGAAATAATTCAGTTCGAGAGGAGATTATGAATGTACGGCCACATGCAGGGTGAACACATGCATTTATGCGTGTCCACACATGCGGGTCAAAAAGGCCTGAATCAGGATTATGGAGGCAAAAGTTCAATGTGCGGGCAAATGCTGGATGGAGCAAGTGCTTGCAGTAATTAGGAAAATCATTCAGTGAGGCTTCATCAAATATTCTTTTATTAAAAAAATAATTGGAGTTAAAAGACGAAACTAATTCAACATGTTTTATTTCATCTTTTTTGACCCTGGGAATAACTTTTGACTATAAAAGAACAAGTCACTGTTCCTCTTCATGGTGCAAAGGATATCTTTCTGTTTTTTCAAGACAAGTTTACAGGTCAAAGGTTGTGTGTCAGAGAGGACAAGTTGGATGGAAAAATGAAATCCAGATAAGGTTCTTGTCATGATATTAAACTTTAAGCCAAGAGACTAACTTTTGTATTAAGTAAATATTTTAACTTGACAGACACTTTCATAACAGCTCAAATCTTTATCATGAGAAGCTGAAATCATGAGTTTGATGATTTAAGTCTGAGCCTGAATGAGTGTAAGCCTAGTTTTGTATCTTTTCTTACCCTAGTTCCTTCATTTATTATTTTAAAAATACCCATCCCATATATTCCTACACACTGCCATCAAGATGAGAGCTCCCTCATGTGCTGCATAGTTAATAATTACACCACACTGGGCTGTGAACCATGACGATGTCTGCAGACCCACTTCTTATCTGTTTAACAAAGAAGCTAAGAAGAAAGCACAGGGCAGGGAGGAATCCTGTATCAACAAAGAAACAGGCATGGGCTGGTAAATGGCTGAAGAGCAGGGGGTCAGAGGTCAAAGCACTGTTGTCTTTTCTCTGGTTCTACTCACATGACATGACTTAAAGACTAATGTCAAATTTCCTTTTCTCTCACTTGGTATCTCTATATAAAATTATTTATTTAGCCATCAGACAACCTTTGGAGTACATTTCAAACATTAGGTGTTTTAGATTTAATGACTCCAGGACTGTAAAAGATGTTCAACAATGAAGGTCTTAAAGCTGCTTTCCATAACCTGGTGATTTGCAGGAGCTGTAAAGCCTGAGGTCATCTTAAAGTCCAAGTTGTACTTTAACTGGTGTTGACAGCGGGTTCTCACAGAGTGTAAGTCCACACATCAGAGGGGCCTCAGTTTCCCACCAAAATAAACACTAAAGACAATATTGTCAGCAAACAATAGACAATAATTCCTGAGACTTTCTTTCTTTAACCACATTAACAAGATTGACTGAAAGGAGGGGGTTAGGGTTAGGGTTATTAAATCTTCTCACCTGCAGAGGACTGAAGATGACCGATGGAGGTTGGATTTTGTTTCTCTTGGCGGCATTTCTGATGATGGCCTCAGCCTCCTCTACTCTACCCTGAGAGAGCAGCCAGCGAGGAGACTCTGGGATGTACCTGCCCCACAAGAGTGAGAGGGATTTATTCAATAGGAAAAAGGAGCAGTGAGAAAGTAAAGGTACAATTGAGGGTCTCTACAGTCTCTTGATTTCTTGGGTGCCTCCCTTTAAAACAAGCCCCACCTATTTCAAAAGCTGTCAGAGAGGTGATTTTGGCGAGAGTTGTTGCAGTGGACTGGGAGGAAACAGTTCAAAACAAAAAAATAAACAAATAAAAATCACATTCACATTTTAAATGCAGGTTCAAACTGATGTGTTGCATTTTCATTTAAATTGTGACCTGAAAAATCAACAACTACAGCAGATATAAAATGACCTGTTATGTTTTCAGACTATGAGTGACAACTATTAAGATCTAAAGTAGTGCAATATCAGATTTTCACTTCACTAGTATCATGGCCATAAAATATTGCGATAATAATATCATTTCAATATTTTCTTGAAAACTTGAAAATAAAACAACACAGTCAGTTACAGGAGGTGGAGCAGCACACAACTTCATAACTTCAACCCCCCACAGAGACCTCTTTGGAGAAGACATTGCTTCATTAAGCGTTTGTTTGTCATGTTTTTATTTTGATATTTGTTCTGTCTTGTTTTTGGTTGCTCCTGCAAAATATGCTTTTATTTTGAAGTTTACAACTTCCAGTCAGAAAGAAAACTGTGTAATTGATTAGTAACCCAAAGAGGCACAAAAAACAATGCATACAAATGTATATATTAGCAGGAATAATGGTGATTTATCTTTTTCAGATTTATGGTGGTAAGATATGCTCACACTTTAGTCCTGACATAAAAATATTAGACAGTGTTTTGAAAGTATTTAACGCTCTGCACAAAAAAAGCTAAAAAAGATATTTGATGTAATGAACACGACTTCTCTTAAACCCACACAGACAAACACACACCCACCTACCACCAGAAAGGAACACAGAGGACGCTAGGCAGAGCCAGCCCGAGAAGAAGCATCCTCCAGTCTCTGATGAAGAAGGCAAACAGCGGGAGCAGCATGTAACCCGCACCGAAGAAAAGGCTCACACCTGCCGTGGAGTAGATCGTCCGAACACGTGGGCCTAATATCTCTGCACCTTAGCACCAGAAAACATGAAAGGATTTGAAGCACACAGAGAGAAATAGACAGTCTTTTTCTTTGCATTGAACTTATAGTGGCCATTTTCCTATAAAATAACACTCAGGGTAGGAAGCTCAGACAGATTAAAGTAGTACAAGCATGAAGAATCGGACAATGTTATCATTTCATGGCTTTCTGATTGATTAGCAGCTGAAACAGCAGTGGCAAGTGAAAGCCTGGAGGGACACTGAGCTACATGTTAACAGCACACTTTTTAAGTAATAACCTACAGTTGATAACTGACAGAAGCCTTTCACCCAAGCATGCTTCACCGTTTCATAGTGTAATAGTTACAGTTATTATGCAATAGAGGTAGTTAGAAAGGTTTTGAGTGCATGCACTGACTGCTCTCTAACAAGTGACAAATGCAATAGACAGCTTTATGCAGTCCTAGCAGCATTTAAATTGATATTAGAGAAATGGAATAGGGTGGGTTATAATGAATATCTCAGCCACTGATTGCGTATTAGAATTAATTGAGAGACCGTTGAAAGTACCTAGCACAAATGCAGCGACATATTTGGAAATCGATCCGAAGCCGACAACAAAATAGATGGCGCAGAACATAACCCAGGATTGTGAGAAGACCTGAACAAGTGTGGCCAAAGTCTGGAGGGCAATGGTAGCAAATAAGACAATTTTTCTCCCATACCTGAAAACGACACAAAGCAGAAGTAATAGTCACTGTGAGCATGTTTTAAAGACTGGAAGGTAGACCAACATACCTTATATCTGTGTATGCAATTATCAAGTTCCAAACATTGATTTTGATTGTTCAGTCAAACCTCATATTTGATTGAAAATACTGAACAGACAACACACCAATTGTTGAAACTAGTTACAAGCTTATGGAACTGCCTAAAGTTTGTATCATGTTACACTTAGTACTGGTTAACTGTTTTTTTTTTAGCAAGTCTCGCTTATATTACAATTATCCTGGAATACAGTTGGTGAAATACAGTTTTTCTAGTTTACTTCACAGCTGGCTGGGACTTTGTACTGCGTCATTACTCTCAACAGTAATGTTAGCTGGAATAAATCAAATGATTTTCATGATTAGAGAATCAACTGTGCAGCAGAAAAAAGATTATTCTACAGATTATCATTATTAATTTACTTTATCCTTTGACATATAAATATCTTTATTTTTATTTAACTAGAGCAGGAAGGGGTAATTCTGGAAAACTTCACATTCGTTGTTAATAACCTGTCAGAGAGCTGTCCTGAAATGATGGAGCCGGCGAGCACCCCACAAAAGAAGATAGAGGAGGTCAGAGGGTTCATCCACCGATCGCCACACACCAGGTCCCACTGCAAAAACACACACAAACACACACTCATTAACAGCGATATCAATATTTGATACGCAAACAATCAAAATGCCTTTATTGAAAGAGGTTTTTGATTTACTGCTGTTGTTTTGCTGGAAATCAAAAGTAGACTCAATATAATGATCGTAAAAACAGTCTGTTTGTCGTTAGTTCCAGTTTAGAGACGCTGGGAACCGTTTCTTGACCTCTTCTGAAGCCTTGATAAAAAGAGCAGCCAAGTAGTGAGTGTGAAGCAAATAGTTTGTATTGGTTGAATGACTGTTTGCGATTAGATGAGGGAACGATGCACGACGCACGATGCAAACCTACTTTTATATCAAACTGATTAATTACCTGAAGTAAACCATGTAGTTCTAACTATATTTAGGATGAGATGAATGAACGAAAATAGTTTTAGTCAAGGCACTGAAGATGTGATTCCTGGGTGATTTAATTTGTATGTTGAAAGGCTGCAAGAATAACACATAAGATAACACTTAAAAAGCTGCTCAGCCATCCTGTGAGAAGTAAGATAAGATAAGATAGTACTTGATTGATGGCTGGAGAGGAAATTTGGTTGTTGCAGAAACACAAACATTGTAAGTTAGAATACAATAACAGTAAGAGTAGAGAAAAAAAATGAAGCTAAAAAAATAAATAGCCGTAAATAATAAATAATAAGCAGTATATGCAACTGTAATTGTTACTATAATACAACTGTTATTGATGAAGGGAAAGCTATAGGATACAGTGACGTGGTATGAAGTCAAATGAGTCCACAACGGGGTAATGTCAAGCTGTGATATGATGTTTACAATAGAAAATTACTATAAGATCGTGTCTACAGTATAGCAGTGCTAATATGTAAATATAATATAATTCAATGTAACACTATATAATGTTTTAGTATATAATACAAAACAAAAACAGTATAATAAGATATAAGTAGGCAACTCTAAAGGCAAATTTATCTGCAAATATTCTGTCAACTCAAGTGTCAGAAATGTATATTTTCAGATGTTTTTGAATAAAATTAGGTTAATGTATTTTTTATGTGTCAGTAAAGGTTGTGTCCTGTAAGTTACTTCATCTGTGGCACTAACACTTTAACTTCATGTATCATTCCTGTACCTGCAGCCTCCTGTTGCCTAAATAACCTCAGAGGTAAACAAACCTCAGATGTGATGGTGGTAGTGTACACGCTCCTGTCGTACTCCCACCCGTCGAGGCAGCTCTCCGTGGACACATGAGACAGGTTGACATCGACGTCGGGCAGCAGACCCCTGTCCCAGAAACCCCGCACATCTTTAAGTCTGTACCTCACGCACTTGCTGGGCACGAGCGCGCCGCTATGACTGTCCACCTCGAGCGGGATACTGACGTTCCTCCACGCGTCCGTGAGGTTCAGGTGACTCGGGATGAGGCAGCTGTGGGGCGGCGTGTCCGCCACGAAGACGATGGACAGGGCGGTGAATCCGTTGGAGACGATGGTCAAACAGAGGAGGAAAAACACCTCCTTCTGGAAACGTCCCCACTCACCGAGGAAGGCGGTGGCAGCTTCATAGTCCTTCATGTTGCGTGAACACGCAACCTGGGGCAGGATGTGCAGCAGAGTCAAAGGTAGACACGAATGGGGGGTTTCAGGGGACGCGTTTCAGAGCAGTGGTTTTGTGTCGGCTTCAGATAGTCATCCCACCCACCCACCGACCACCTGCTGTTTTATTTTGGGCTGCAATTTTGTCAAGTTGACTGGTTCTCACAAAACAAGTCCAGGCTAAGGAAAAAATTTATGAGCGTGGTCCTGGAATGAGTTAACAGCAGTTTTACAAAAGGCCAATAACATGTCTCAGTATAATAAAACTAACAAACCACAACTGATAATCAGACACTTGTGGAGCCCCTCTCAAGTTTCATTTTAGCAATCAACTATTTAGACGTTTAATTAAACTTCTGTTACTCTAAATGTGTCCAAAATAAAGTTAAAACTGATGATAATGCTCATAGTTTCTCATATGAGAAAGGCATCATTTTTAAGTGTTGTAGTAGTAGTCGTTTATTCAGTCATGTCAACACCAAATATTGTACACGATATTGACAATTCACACAAAATCACTAAATCAAGAATCAAGTGTTGAATATTGACTGAAAAGGCAGAAGCAGACTGTTTTAAAAGCCTTTCCTGTATTGTCAACTTTTTAGGCTGCCGACCTCCAGAAAAGCAAAGAAACCACAACAACAGATAATAAATCAAACTTACAAGCTTCAAAAATAGCTTTACAAAGCATTTTCTTAAAAACCAAAAAAGAATGACATGTTTTTAGATTTATGTTGGTATCATTCCAGAATTTAACTCCAGTAATGCAGACACATCTCCTTTTCATACCTTTTTTAGCTTTTTTACAGTAAATTTGCAAGCACCTCTGAGATTATACGGACTGTCCTGAATTGAAAAGAACCTCTGTATTGAGTCAGGGAGCGTTTTTGATATCGCTCTAAACATAATTTGCATTATTTTATAATTAAACAGATCATAAAATTTCACAACATGAGAATTTTCTCTCCAACTTTGATAAAAAGTGTATTCATCTACATAATTTAAGCTTTTAAGGAGGTCTAAAAGCCACAAGATGAACAAATTTTAGTCTTTTAAACTAAATCAACAGTCTCACAAATTCAGCGAAGGACACCATCTTGCAGGTAAAACTGTTTAGAAAAGTCCATCAGAAAGAGGGAGTTGGACAAGCTTGGTCTCTTTACCCAAGAGTCTTATGTTCATCTTCCTACATGTTACTCTCCTTGGTAAACTTGTGCACTCTGAACCTTTTTATCTCAGCACCTACAAGTGAGTCCGACTTTGGTCCGAAGTCAGATAAGAGTGTATTTTATAGGTTCTTTATGGGGGACAGAAACCACCGTCTTTGGCCTGTCCTGTGCCTCTCATACGTGGACATGTCAGACTGGGAAAAACCATAACACCGGATTTTCCTCACAAGGGACAGAAAACTATTAAAGTTAAAGGGGTATTACAACAATTTTGGAGACTGCAGAAACACTATTTTCCACAGAGTTGATGAGAAACTTAAAATTACTCTCAAGTAGATCTGCCTAAAGCTTCTCTTTGTTGCATGCTTGGTTGTATGCTCCAAAAAAAAAAAAAAAAAAAAAAAAGAAACAATTTCCCTTTAACTTTGTCAAACAGTAACATAATCAACATACCAGCCTCTCTGAAGATCAGCCATTAGGCAATTGTGTTAGTTTACCCCCAAACAAACCAGACCGTTAAAGTAACCATTCACCTCATTAAAGGGAAGTAAACTGAAGTGTGCTGGATTATTTCTTGACCTGGAGCAGTACTGTAATCTTCACGTGCAGTTTCCTCAAATAATCCAGATTAGTTGATAGTGAAATATCTGCAAAGAAATGTGTTTCTAGATCCAAATTTAATTCAAACCATTGCTATATTCAGTAATAGGCTCATGTGATCATAATTCTAAAGTCGTATAAATTATTGCTGAAGTTTACATGTAATGTCATGACCTAAATGTAATTTCTATTTCACCTGTATTTGCTCGCTGAGAGCTTTAATCTGTATCTGTTGTTTTTCAGTTCCTTATTTCAGTTTAAATAGTCTGCTAATCCACCAAAATCACACACGTTTTTTTTATTTCATCGGTTTATACCAAGTGGTAACTTCCATTACTGAGAAATGAAGCTGTTGCTGAAGTGCCAAAAACTGCAGTTCCCAAAGTGTCCACTTAAGGACGACCACAGAAGCACTGCAAACCATATACTGTACATACACACTTATTAAAAAATAAAAGCAGATCTTCAGAACATTAATTAAGATGTTTACAGCTTGGTTCAAAGTTTAGATCTGAGTTTTAAGACTACATGGAGGTGACTTGGCCAAAGCTGAAAGGCCCACCTCAACAACAACTTTTTGTAGGTGTCGGTAGGCAGAGTTAATATGATGACGTCTGCTTAGAGGCTTAAGAAACAAATAGGTGATGACATTTAGACTACACCCATTGACATAACTCAAGTAAAAAAAAGGTTAAAAGAATTTCCAATCATTTCTTAAAATTGTAAAAAGGTTTATTAGCTTATAAATTGTGTAGAGCCGCTCAAAATCCTAACATTTGTCTACTTTGCACAGTATTTTACAGATGATGGATAAAGATGGGAGAAGTGTGGGTCTTATCTTACCAGATGAGACCCAATCTTATCTTTTCTTGAGGTCATAGGGTCATAAAGATCTAAAATGTTGATTGATGGTTCGGGATGTTTTTTAACAAGAGAAAAGAAAAGTAAGAAAAGAAAGCTCAAGTGAATAATTAGAATAATTAGTGGGTTTTGTCTTACCAGATGAGACCCAATCTAAGCTTTTCTTGAGTTGAGGTCTTAAAGATCTAAAATGCCAGCAATTGACAAGACTATTGTTTCTAGAGTCAGGTTAAAGACACCTATTGTGTCTTGCAAATGTTGATTGATGGTTTGGGCTATTTTTTAAACAAGAGAAAAGAAAAGAAAAGCTCAATTGAATAATTACCCAGGCTAAGGGAAGGGCTTAAACCGTGGGGGGGGGGAACAAAAGATGCCAACATCAAAGCCCCATTCCTTGCCCTCTGAGGGGCGGTCCTCAAGCATAAATGTAAGCATAAAATCCCATGTTCTGGGTCTTTCTTGATTCTGACTGCTCGGATGCAGATTGACCTTTTCTTTGCAAAGAAATAAAACCTTGTCGGCCGGCAGAAGTCTCTATTTCATTATTCACCAGCAGCGACGGAAGAAAAAACTTCCACGACAACCGGAAGATATAAGAGTTCAGAGTAAATGTGTTATTCTAGATTATTCTTTAGAGATATGCCTGCCACATTTTGTCAAATCAAATATGTGGTATCCTGATCATGTGGGATAAAAAGACCTTCTTGCAACCATTGCAAAGATTAGAGAAATATGTCTTTGCCTGCAGTTTTGCCGAAGAATAAAACTTAACCAAGACTTGTGCAAAAAAAAGCTTTAAAAAAATTACAGATTCAACTTGTTTATATTAAAAAAGTTACATGTGCCCAGTTTAAAAAAAAAAAAAAAGATGTCAATTTTGGAAATTCTGCATTTTATAAAAGTCATTAAATTCATTTTTTAACTATTTAAAGCAACACATGCCAACATGAGGTCTCTCACAGTGTTGAGTCAGTCTGTTGTCACTCATTTCTCAGGCGGTTTTCTTCACAGCGGTGCTGCTCTGGCTTTGTGATGCAGTTGCTCAATGACATCCGCCTGATTAGCTGCAGCTGTCTACGTAGCTTGTATGTGGTGATTCAGACTCATAATACTTTGGTGGTTGTTTTAGCTCGCTTGACACAAATTGTCTACATAACTGCATTTTGTCACCCAAGTATGTGGGACTTTTTAGAGCTGAACTGTGCGATTTAATGGTGCAGAAGTGTCATTATTTTCCATCAAGGTGGCGGCTGAAATCAGAGTCACTGCAGCTTAGCTATGGTGTAGTGCTGCAACTAACGATTATTTTTTTGTCGACTAATCTATCGACTTGTCGTCCGATTAATCACGATTATTCACTATCTTCTTTATTTATAAACAGCTATTTCCGGGGTGTCGGCGTTTCAGGTGCTCATGCATCGCCGTGGTGCTGCCATGGTAGGAAAGCTGAGCTTCGAACAACGTGTTTTTTTTTTGTTTGTTCTCCGTAAAATGTTCCCAAACTTTTGAAGTTTTGGTTCGGAGTTTTGTAGCGTCTTTTCCAGTTTGTGCTGCTTCGTTTTCGTGTCGACGTAATCGATTACGTCGACTAATCGTTGCAGCCCTACTATGGTGCCCCAAAGGGGACAAAATAGCAAGCAAGAGTCCTTAACTGCATCACAATGAACATGTTTCTGAAAAGTTACTGAAATCTCACTTAATATTTTTGAGATCATTAAAGAGAGACATTTTAATACCATATGAGTGTAAAGAAAAAGTATGTAGTAAATACTGACTGCTAAATGTGCTCCAATGTGCAAAATGGTTTAACTGGTAACTGTTTATAGAGATGTCTTCCTCTCTGTCAGCAACTTTAGCTGTTTTCTTCTAATCCTTTAATCATCCTCTTCCTCATCTGTAGTTTATCATGGTTAACATTCAATGATGAACAATCATTAGTTGTTTTGTTGCATCAATTTCCTGTAAAAGGCACAATGACACATTAAAAAAGTAAGTTCAAATTTTCCAGTGAAGTTAAAAAAATACATCTGTTTATGAAAATAAATAGACAGCAAATTAATTACAGGCATTTGAATCAAATTTTCTACTTCAGCACAACAGTGAGCACTTACTGCATCAGCTGAAAATGCGTCAGTCGCTTATATAGACAGCATTTTTCAATGTGCTTGAATAAAAAAATGAACTTTTTTGTGTGTAAAGAATTCCATGCTTAATGCAGTGAAATTGTCACAAACAAGCTTTACATGCAGTAACTAACTTACTCCTATATTAAATCTGCAGCAGCATGTGAGCCCGAAACCAAAACCCCATCCTGATCCTTTCATGGTTTCCTGTCCTTAGATTGTCCCATTTGCAGATGATAGGTTGTGTCTGAAAGCAGTCAGATGTCCTCACTGATGAAGGTCACTGAAGGCTGTGATGTGATTAAATTATAAATAATGCTCAAAATCAGCATAAATAATCAAAGAAAAGTAGCATGAACATTTACACCCTATTGTTAAGATGTTTGTGCTAATATAATTGGATAAAAGTCATCACTCTGTTCATGAAAAATGCACTTTAGTACCAATGTGCACAGTAAGCTCAAAACAAAGATATCAACATCAGATAGGTGCGCCACAGATTGAAATATATCCTCAAAGATCCTGAATTTTTCCATTCGTGTCCCCTTTCAAACAAAGCTGCACCTCGAGTGCTTTTGCTTTATTTTATATGTGTGTTGTGTGAGTGTAAGTTGTGCTTTTTAGACAGAAATTCTCACCCTACTCTATACTGACAGTTAAAAAATTGACTGCATGTTCTGAGGGAAATGTAAAGGAAAGCTCACTTTGTCTGTTGGAAGAAAAACGTTTTTTACTGACAGTTTGATTTAGTCTTTTTTTGTGCAATTTTAAGGCCCATGTTTAAACAAACCCCACCAAGAGTTTTTGTTTTGTTTTTTCAGATCAACTCCAACATTTCTCAGTGTACTGTACATTTTTTGGTAATTCAAAGTAATCAAAATTATTTTACATACATCAATAGGTGTGTCCCTAACCCGCACCTAGTCAAACAAAGAGGAAGTTGTTTTCACTCCTTCATACAGTGTTCAATCTTCTCCAGATTTCCTAAGCTTGATTAGAACACGTCTATGAGCTGATTTTCTTTAAAATACAGTCATAGCGCCACCACGTGGGGCTAAATGGTAATGACTTAACTCAAACATTTCTGGATTAGCTTTCAGTAATTACTTACTGACTCATAACTTGTCATGAACATTTCCACAGATGTTAACAGTATAATAATAATATAAATAAATAGATAATATATATAAAAATAATAAATAATAATATATATAACTAATATATAGGGATAACCAGATACCCCAGAGCACTGCTAAAGCTGCTGCACAACCATAGACTGTATACAGAATGGACAGCGTCGTCCTCCTTGCCGGGGGAAACCACCTAGAGAACAGCACCCTCTGGTGGCTGGCTGCAGTATAGGTAATAAATCCTCCTCCGCCATCAAAGCCTATGGTGCTCTGGACAAACTTTACAAATTTATTACACAGAACATACATTTTTTCCCCCCCTGGTTGCGATGTTGACATGTAGTTACTGTAAGACTGGTTTGTGTTTAAGTCATTTTTTTTTGTGTACAGCTCTGTTTTTAAAAGTTATTAGGGGGTTCATGTTTTCGATGATTGACACTTGATACAGCCTATGGGCGTTCAAGGATTGCGTAGGTCACTCTGGGGGGATACACTGTTTGAGCCAAGCGTCATCACAGCGACTCTCCCGCCGAATGCGTACGATGCTACTGCGCAATGTTGGTTTCAGGAAATGGAGAAAAAACGCAGAATTACCGAGAACTTTTCGGCTTCAAATCTGTATACAGGTGGAAGGCGGAACCAAGTTGTCCATAGTATATACAGTCTATGTGTGCAACCAACAGCTTCTTCACACCTTGCAGTTGGGACAAACATAGGCAAAGGCGTAAAGGCCTGATCATCACTGGTTGTGGTTTTAATTTACTTTTGTAGCTGAACTAATCAGTGTAATTGTCCTGCTTCGCTACCTGCTTGAATCTCAAACATTTTGAACTTGAAATCCTACATATGCAATATTTCTATCCCCGTATTTGTCTCTGCTGTGTGGCTTTAAATAGTCGAACAGGAGTCTTAATGCTTCTAAGGAACTTCTTGAGTACAGGCGCATGCACTTCTTTGGGGTATTTAAAAGTGAGGAATGTTGTTTAGAGAAAATACCGCACTGACCACGGCGCGGGGGTTGGGTGGTCAGATTGTCCGTTCCTTTAATCAAGTTTTTCTCTGAGTAAATCCAATCAAATCAATCAGGGAGAGGTCCGTCATTGTTTTCCGCAGATAAAAAGTGACAAACCGATGGAATGTGATGGTCTTACCGCGAGTCTCTCTGGGAGGAGTTATACCCCCCAAAAAAGAGGTTTAATACCCTCTCAGGACTGGAAACATAAGTTTTTCAGTTGTAATTGTTTCCCACAGAGAGACCAGCTCACTCTGCCCCACAGAGAGCTCAACCCTACCCCTCTGGTACTTTAAGACTTTAAGAGGGATACCACGTCTCATACTCTGAAGAATTTCACTGGATTTATTTTCTCCCTCTGGAGCAGGGAGGTATTTTTGCATATAAAGAATGGGAGACTATGATGAAGACACTGCATTTCTTGGACAGACCGGTCCTTACTTCTGGATCACTTTCTTTCTCCTAAATACAGTTTTTGTCTCAACCGGATTCAATGGACTCTACATTGTGTTCGTGGGGGCAGCCCCTAAACATCACTGTCTCATCCCGGACGTTAACTTGACAGAGGAGTGGAAAAGTGCCATAATTCCTGTAACAATAGTAGATGGAGAGGAGGTTCAGAGCCAGTGCAGTAGATACAAGCTGGATGTGGTGGCAAATCTCTCAGCTGAAGGATACATTCCCGGGAGGGATGTCAACCTCACAAGCCTGGAGCAGGAGGGATGTTTGAATGGCTGGAGCTACAGCAAGGAGATCTACCAGTCCAACATCGTCACAGAGGTCAATATCAATGTCCATTTGTGTGTTTGACATGAAAGTAGTGAAAAAAAATCCTTTTCATGGGGTGTAATTTGTGTTTAATCTTCCCACAGTGGGACCTTGTTTGTGACAATCAGTGGAAAGTTCCCTTTGCATCCTCGACTCTCTTTGTGGGATACCTTCTTGGATCTCTGATCTCCGGCCAGCTCTCTGACAGGTACTTCATCCTTTAGAGTCCTAACATGTCTCACCTTTGAACCCTTATCGTCCTTAGATATCTTTGTCACTGTCTAATGGGGGTTTATTACTTATGAAATGTTGCTCATCGTTTCTCTCATGTTGTTAAAGACGCGAGGACTTAGATGACTTGAGGCTCTGACCTTATAAGCCCTCATTAAAACAACAACGGCCCCACCTACTGTTAAACTTGATGAACTGAAGAGCACATGTTTTCTAAGGTCGAAGTCTACCTGAGTTTGCTTTTGTGTCTTGGTCCATGACATCCAGTCAGGAAAAAGTCAACCCAGGCCAATTATTTGATAGATATTAACTGTAGCTGTGTGGCCTAAAGTGACAGTGGGTGGCACCATCATGTCTGCTCTTTTAACCTGGTCTGTACACCTACAGTCAAGAATCTAAAATATTCTTAGTAGTGTGTTTTAGATATTTAGACTTTTTAATGACACCCATGAAACTAAGTTTTAAGATGGTGTTTGATTTCTGCGTTGGTCGTACCACCTTTTAGTGTAAATCTGAGACAAAGCGGTCCAAACACAAAGACTATCAACCATCAGAGGTGAAGTGAAGCGCTGAGTTGATGCACCAGTTTGTTGGTGATCTTTGGGGTTGTTGGAAAAACAGTACAGACTAATTGGGAAGATCTGTTAGTGTTCATCTCTCACAAACACAACCGTCGCATACCTTAGACTGTGAAGACGCAGGGGGCCGAGGACAAAGCAGTATGGAACATTTCCGTGTTGATCTGTCCTGCTCTTTTGCAGCTGTGAAAACTATGCGAGACAGAGGGGTGAGGGGGTTTGATGATTCAGTCTCTGTCTTGATTTAGCTGTTTAAGACTTTGTACTCTTCTCTGTGTTGCCAGCATTCAAAGAGGAGACAATCAATTCAAGTGAATTAACAACAGTCCTAATGTTTGGTGCCTGCTTTTTATCTGTTCTGGGATGTTATGCTGGGACTGTCTGCAGAGGACTGAACAAGGCAAAGTTATTGAGGAGTTAAGGGCAAAATGTCTCAACAAGACGTGATATAATATGTTATGCAAGTTTGGGCCTTGTTAAATACTAAATATCTACATCAGCAGTGCAGGAATTGTAAATTTTTACATTTAATGGTGGTTGTAAAATAATCTCGTTTGATCTTGTTTATCAATGTTCTGCCAGCTGGGTAGCAAAGTGCCTCACTTGGAGCTTGTTTATTGGCAGCAAGTGGAGCAAAGTCAACCCTCAGTTAGATTGAAGTCATGCAGCCAGTTAATAACATTCTCCGGTTTATCAATAAAAAAATCTCTTTTGTTTCGTTGTTTGGCTGAGTTGTGGTGAAAAAAGTGTGAAATCAGAGGCCTCTCTGTCATTATGGTTAAATGCTCTTTGTGTATTGCCTAACTGTTATTTTATTCTTTTGCATTCAGGTTTGGGAGGAAAAAGGTTGTGTTCATCTCACTCGCAGCACAGTGTGTCTCTGTCATGCTGCAGTCCTTTTCTCACTCATGGAAGATGTTCTGCGTCATGTTCCTCTTTGTTGGGGCCTCCCAGATCTCCATCTACATCTCTGCGTTTGTACTCGGTAAGAATCATAACCTCATCCTGTGTTTGGCACGAGTTCTTGTCACCTGTATGAGAATTCTGATTATTCTTTTTGTTGCTTATCAGTAAACATGTGTATCTTATTTCATCCTGGCCAGGAACTGAGCTGTTGAGTAAAACTATGCGAGTGATCTTCACCACTCTGGGGGCTTTTCTCTTCTATTGCATTGGATACATGACTCTACCCTGGATCGCATACGGCATCAGAGAGTGGAGGACTCTGTTGGCCGTTCTTGCCACAACTTCAGTTATCTACATCCCTCTGTGGTGGTATGTTCTCCACATTCACTGATATTTCTACAGAGTGACCTGCACAGCCTGCATGTCTGCTTTTACAGACACATCAAATCATACATTTTGTTTACTTTAGTGGTAAATGTGAACTGTTCCTGCAGGTTCATCCCAGAGTCTCCAAGGTGGCTGATCACTCAGGGGCGAGTGGAGGAGGCTGAGGCCATTGTGAGAGATGCTGCAAGGAAAAATAAGGTTGAAGCTCCAGCGGTAATTTTTAAAGAGTCTGAGGTGAGTTTTTAGTGATTCGATTGATTTATTATAATTGTGTAAGTGTAGTATAATCAAATAATGTCATTTAAGACATTTTTGATGAAATAGTTATTTTACCTCTGAAAACAATGTCTTCACTCTGGCTCTGTGGATGACAGTCTCATCCATGTTGGTTACTGTTCTTGTTTCATCACATCAATCAACAATTGATCATGTAACTAAATGGCGCCAATATATGGCTTCTGACTGGGGTAATAACCTTCATCACAGGCAGGAAAGTAGGGATTTAATAATGAACCACACATACAGAGGCCATAGTCATCAAAGCAGGCAGCATGGGGCTGACTCCAAAGATTAAACTGGAACAGAGAAAACCTCTCCATGATCTGGAAAACACTTGTTTGTGCCAAGAATTAATCATAAGTCACTACTTTCACAGTTCTGTAAAAAAAAATGGAGGTTTTAAAATTAATATTCAACAAGCCTGCACCAATGCTTTCATTGCCGAAACCAAAACAGAATCTGTTCATAAACTGTCTTAGAAATGTCATAACTGAGATATTGTGTGTTTGTGTTGATTTTCGCTCCAGGCGAGGCCTCCAACCAAGACATACACCATGCTTGATATTCTGAAATCACAGAACATCAGGTGCATCACGCTCATGTGTCTCCTTTTGTGGTGAGTGGTTCTTTTCTTTCTTTCTTTGAAATCCAACATTAAATGACGGCTGTCTGTCATACTATGTAAAGCTTGTTATTATTATTCTGTCTGTATAAATGGACTACGTTAGTAACAAAAACATCAGAAGACTTGATACTCATAAAAGTCCATGTGTCTTTAATTGTATTTTTCTCCTTTTTCAGGATGGCGATAAACATCGGGTACTTTGGATTATCCCTGAACACCTCCAACCTGAGCGGCGATCCCTTCATGAACTGTTTTCTGTCAGCTGCTGCAGAGGTTCCCGCCTATGTGGTTTCCACTTGGCTACTGAAGAAATGTCCAAGAAGAGTGCTGCTGTCAACGTTTCTCATCATCGGGGGAGGAGTTCTGCTTCTCATCCAGTTCATCCCTGACTGTAAGACTTTACGAATCTCATCATAAAACACATTTAAGTAGTTATGAAGACTTCATTATGACCAAATAGGCAGGAAACAGGTCAGCACAGACCTTTTTGTATTGATATCTCTTTGTAATTCATAATGCATATAACATGAATACATCCTTTGGGTCATTTGGGCAAGAAAACTCTGTTAAAGGGTCTATTGACTGGAAACTAGAATCTTGTTTTTTTTGTTCCCCTTTCTCCTTAGTCAGAGGTAATGTTACCCTGATAAAAAGCCTCTCTCAAAATGTCTGGAAAGGCTCTTGTCAAAGAACTCTGCAGAGGCATAAGAGGCATAGCGCAAGCTGCTTATTTCTGCAAAGCTGTACTTATGACCGTTTCATCACATGGTATATTTCTGTTGTTGATTGTGAAGTCCAGGTCGGTTCAGGTTTAACAGTGCATCAAACTCGAAGTCAAAGTAGCACAAGTAATAAAGTTATGTATGTCCAATTAACCTAACAAATACTGTGTATTGTTAAATTCATGTTCTTCACTCTGGTTATGATAGAATTAACATTTTTGACATAATTTCAATGAATCCATACATGATATTAAACCAGCGCCATGTGAGCTTGTTAAACTGACACCAACGCTAAAATAGCATTGAGTATTTTGTAGTAAAATAATAACATGTAATTCGTCTCGACTATATTAATATCTGTCTTCTTTCTAATTCTGGTGATTTTCCAGTGCGTCAACAAATTGGTGGTGAATAACCAAAATCTTCACATTTCCTCTCCTCTGTAGCTCTTCAGTCCGTGGCTCTGGCCCTTGAAATGACTGGCAAGTTTGGCTTCACCATGGCTTTCAGCATCGTCTACATCTACACAGCTGAGATTTATCCCACTGTACTCAGGAATGTCGGCATGGGGATGTGCTCCTCAGCTGCCCGTATCGGCAGTATCACAGCTCCTTATGTCATCTATTTAGGTATGAAGATGTTGAGTGGAGCGCAAATATAAAAAGAACAAAAGAGCCTGCACATAGTGAGAAATCAGTGCTCATGAAGCCATGTTTTCAGCATTGTTTATCATTTAACTTCATGTAAAACCTTGTTCTCTTATCATTTGTAGGTACTTATAATAAGATTTTGCCATATATTCTCATGGGGAGTTTGACAATTGCCTCCTCTGTGGTGAATTTCTTTCTTCCGGAGACCCTCAGCAAAGATCTTCCAGAGACAGTGGAGCAGATGCAGGAATGTCAGGGGTGAGTACATTTCTCTCAGGTTATTCTGGATCATACATGTCATTTTTTTATTTTTAACAGCTATTTATTTCTGTAGATATATTCATCTTTTTTTTTGTTTTTGTGGTAACCTTATCACTCATCAGTTATTTCACCACAGTGTCTCTTTGGCTATCAGGTTGTGCAGTGGACCCAAAAAGAAGAAATATGTTGAAAATGGAGGGAGGGGAAGTCCAGCTCTCCATCATGAGGCTAAATCTGATGTGCAGTCTCTTACTGCCTAATCCAGACAGGCAGAGAGAAAAAAAAGAAAACTGAAGAAACATTGTGGTTGCTTGAAAAAAAAAAGAAAAAACAAAAAGAAAAAACAAAAACGGAAATCTAAGAAGAAAATCAGAAACATGCACAGCTGGATCAAAAACCAGCCCCAACCGTGTGTTTCTGTTTTCTTTTAAACATTGTTGAAGAACTCTATTTTTGTACTCATTCAGTAGTTGTTCCAGAAACTTCTCTAGAAATGTTGAAAAGGAAAATGTCATCAATAACTGTTTAAAAAAAAAATCAAAATTAAATTTTTATTAAAACTTTTTTTTCTCAATGTTTTGAAACAAAAATAAAAGGCTTTTTTCTATTTGCCTTTGAAAATGTGTTTTTATTTATTTTGTGGGTGTGCATTAGTGGAGAAAGGTTAAATAAGCAAGCATTTTCAATTGCAAGTAAATAACATTTTAGTAAGAATATAAAAAATCACACTACTCTAACTCATCATACTGTGAAATGGGCAGAGGGTGACACCTGCTGACTAAAACCTGAACAGCAGTGAGCGGATTGAGAGTCAATTTTTTCTTAGCTGCAATTGACAACCTTTTTATTTTAAGACACTTCGAAGCGTCTTTAAAAATATCTTTAAAAAATTGTGTGTGCTGGATGTGAACGATCTTTTTGAAACTGCAGACACTTAGTGGTCTCTAGTGCGCAGTGCAGCAATATTAATCTGTGGTTAAAAAATTGCAGATTAATGACAAGTCTCGTACTTTTGAATTTGACTGTTAAAAATGGTTCAATCTTTATTTAAATGGCACCCCTCCCCAAAAGTTTTCTGAATACACTTAACAAAAAGAGCAAGTCTGGACCTCACTCCTCATCTGTCTGATCTGGAAAAAGCTGGTAAGAAGATTACAATTGTTTTTTGAATTTCCCACAAATTAGTATTTTCCTTTTTGTTCATTAATATCAAAACCAGAAAGACGTTCTATCTTTTGCCCGGTCTGAGCTTGCACAATTGATGATAGTTAAAATTTTGACTCTTTTGTTCACTTTGACTATTTAGAATGACCTTGTAGTCTTTTCTGTACTGGTAATTTACTGCATTTGTGTTGGGAAGCTTCTGCGTATTTTTAAGTCTCACTGTAGCAGTGGCAGGGAGCGTAGTGAGGAGTCCTGCGCTCTGATGAGACGCAGCCGTCCCCCGTCAGTGGCAATAAGCAGCTGCTCTTCAGCTCCAGCTCAGGCTCCTGCAGGCTGCCAGTTCATGCCAGCCTCTTAATGGTATCCAGGCTCTCCTGTATGCCAGTAAGGAACTTTTTCTTTGATTTTTAAGTGTCTTGTGCCTTGATTCTGTTTCTCCTGTCTCTTCATGCTAACCTCAGGGCCTCCATCACCAGCCTGCAACTCCTCTAGACAATCTCAGTTGTTTGAACTCTGTAAAGCTCCCTCAGCTTTTTAATAAATGGTCCTCAATACCATGTGGTACTTCGAGTCTTAGGTTCTTTGAATTTGGAAACCCCTGTGGAGCTGCAGTATGGTGTGTAGACGACTTTGTGAAAAAATGTGATTAAGTAAACCCAGTTGTACGTGAATAACCCATTCTTACTGTCTGCTCTTGTCATTAAGTTCAATTTTCCTGCAGAGCTCATGAGTAATGATGAGTCATGTTGGAGGGAAAAATAAAGCAGGAACTTTGGAGCCAAAATAAAAGGATAGCACGAATTAAGAGAAAAAGAATCCAAAGTTTACATTCATGCAAAGTCAGTTGATGTGTATATATGAAAAGATGCAAACACAGAAGCAGGGTCAGGTTTATACGTTTCATTTTCCACCGCCACAGTTTAAGTCATGAAATATTCTTGTACTGATTTGATAGTAATTTAACAATCATTTAAAATCTTCTTTTCTAGACATTGACAGATTTCGGTTATGTATTTTATTCTGAATGGGCTCTTTTGTTGACCCCACAGTGACACCTGATGGTCAGACTCCTTTACATCTGTCGCCTTGCACATTTCTTTGCAGTGTAAATCTGTTCATTTCACTCCTTATCAACCTAGAACAACAAATAATCTTATATCCTGTGTGAGTGTAATACTTTAAAGTAACTGTGAAGTATTACAAATGATTTATATAAGACCTATGTATGAATCTTACTTTAAAACTCTCTAATTATGAAAATATCCAAACATATGAAATGGGTGGGCTTAAATAGTCAGTTTTCTCTGTATTGACGACTAAAGTATACTTTTATTCCTCACAGAGATGAGAAGAGGTGTCACTTTTAGAGATAATGAGGCAATGTTTCATCAGATGGTCCTCCTCCTGCCACATGTGCACCAATGTTGCTCTATCTAAAGACAACTGCTGAAGTTTCTTGAACCTTATCTGCCAAGTCCTTAAAAGTGTATATTGTGTGACATTTGTTATAAAATTCACAGAATTAAAATCATGATGTATTACAATTTAACCACAAACAGTAGACACTATAAACACTTAAAAATGTGCTTATAATGTACAATTTCTTTAATTGCTGTTAATGGAGACAGAAACAGCACTAAATAGGAACAACAGAAACGACATGATCACGTTATTCAAAAACTATGTTCAGATATTTCTGTCCAGATGAGACCAGCCAGAGAACAAGCCTTGTAAATCCAAATCCAGGTTGTAAACGTGACGGGTTGCATGGATTTACATTACCGTAAACCTCCTAGAAGATGCCTCGGAAACCCAGATCCAGCTTGTAAACGTGACGGGTTGCATGAATTTAAACATTCTAGAAGATGTAAATGTGCGGAGGAGACATACTTTAAATGCCCCCATTAAAAATAATCTGACTGATACAATTATACTACAATCCTGCGTCTCTAATATAATTTGTCTGTGGGGACAATAATAAAAACTTAGACAGGTGTATGTTAAAGTCGGGCATTTTCCTAGAGAAAATTTTACGATTGAAACAACAATAGCCGTCAAAATAATCTTGGTGTTCCGAGTTCGGACGTCGGAATTCACGAATGCAATTTAAAGCAACGCAATAAAGCTCCAAGAAGAATTTCCCTGCACGCGTATTTGCAGTATTACGGTAAACCCTCCAGGAGGTTCTGTACGTGGCAGCGGCTGAACCCCACTCTGTCCTCCTCATAACCCCGAGGTGCCAAGTGAGATAGTGTCTTCGCGTTGAAGTCTGACATTACTCTTCAACCCCCAAGAGAAAGCAGGTAAGAAAACTTCAGATTATGTGCTTTTTTTAATCCAGAAACACCACCCTTTCACCGTTGTTAGGTGGCTGAACCGTAGAGCTCGCGTGCGTACCGAACATGCTGGGATGGTTGTCAATAACCGGGTTCAACAGGTTTTCTTCGGAGGGGACCTGTGTTACAAGACACCCCAAACTTTGTGTTTCTGCGAGGGTAAAGCTACACTAAACTACTCGGCCTTTGGCGTCTTTAATAATTCCGACATGTTGGTTGTAGTGAAACACAAGAGGTGGAGGCTCGGTTTCTCTCAGCAGACAAACGGGAAGAAAGTTTTTTAAACTTTGCGCGAACTTTTTGTGACAGAGCATCCGACACTGAGGTACTTAGGTAACACGACTTTGTCATGTATCTGTTTCTTTTTCGGAAATGACACTTATTTTTACACGTTAACTGGACAAACGGCAGCAATTCACGCTGGTGGAGACTCTCTCAGGACCCAAACGGCTGAAAGTGTTTGAGAATTTCTAGAAACAACTATCTCGGCATGACGTCACGGGCACAGTCAGTATCCAGCTGGAAGTGATGGAGGCCAGATCCAGGATCAGCGAAACAAGGGTGGATGTTTTTAAGGTTTAACGCGCTGTTCTGGTGTCAAAGTGATTAAAAAAAATCCACTGAACAACTTTTTTTTTAACCGGAGAAACAGTTGCTATGAAAAGTTAACACTCAAGATAAGCAGATTTTGACACATTGCAGTAGGCCCCGGCCGATGCCGATACCGATTATTAGGGGGGATCCGATTACCGATTAATCGGCCGATTTTTAAAATCAACATCAAGTATTAAAATTTTGTTAATTTAAGTATATATATATATACATTGATACCGTTTTTTTTTTGCACTATAAGGCACACTTAAAATCCGTTTGGCTTGTCGGAGCTCTGCAGCTACCGTATCCTTGCAGAGTTATCAAACTGTTTTGGTTGGCTTAATGCGCTTTATAATCCGATGCGCTTTATGTGTGAAAATAGACGCAAATAGACATGTTCATCGATGGTGCACCTTTTAATTAGTTGCGCCTTATAGTGCGAAAATTACGGTACTATTTTTTTTCACAAATGGCTGCTTTTGAGCCTTTCAAACACTTAAAAGAATTAAAGGCAGAAAACTCATTTTTTCCAACTCAAAATGAGGAACACTCGATATACTGAAGGCTACTGCTCTTCACACTGACAGGAAGACCGACTGATCATCTCAGTAATATTTCACGAATCTATCGTGAATCAAACTCGGACCAGAAAAGGGTTTTCAACTGCGTTGTTCAAATCACCAGAACTACAGATGTTAAAAATGCATCAGGAGCAGCAGACTAAAGCCAGGTGTCCTCAAACATGTTATTAGAGGAGAGCAATAGACAACAGCTTCCACTAGTGACATGGAGAACTTTTTATGGGACACGACTACATGATTGGGTAAAAAGGATGATAAGTCAACACAGAGGTCACCCAGACTGGCAAAGCTAACACACCAGTGTCAATGCATACCAGCAATATTTGTGCCTTTTGAGCATGTGTTTCCTGCCACTGGCATACCGACACCGAAACAAGTGGGCATGCATATTTTTTAAGTAAGACTAAGTAGACATCAAACTGGACACAACAAGTCTGAATTTATTCAGAATCTGTTCAGTTCTTCTGTTGACAATCTTATCAGATAGGTATGCATATCCTCAAATCTGCGCAGTATAAATCACTGTACGCCTTTAAACTGAAAGAGGTGAATGAATTCGTTCACCCTGAGCAAATACCATAAAATGTCACTGTACACACAGTCCCAGTACGAAGAGTTGTATAGAAGCCGGGTTCATGATGCCCTGCAGTGATTTACATGAAACATGATGGCAATAATTGGATCTGGCAGCCATTGAAATGTGTATAAATGGAGGGCAAAGAATGGAGGGATGCCATCAATCTGTCAGAGTTAATTAGACTCGATGGCAGGTGACTTGCTTGTTCAAGAGGATGTATTTTTAGCTGTAGCTGTCAAGTAGAACCGCAATCTGATGTAGTATCTGAGCACTTCAATGTGATCTTAGTAGGCTTTGCTAAATCTGTCTCCTGTATTTGCTTCATCTCTATCATTGTCTGTTTTTATAAGAGATAATGAAGCATTAATTTTGATTTATTGCAAGGGTGTTATCTTATTTTATTAATCTTCATTTATATGGGCCTCCAGTGTTTACATACCATAAAAAGCTTATGGAAGTGGATTTTTGAGCATGTGTGGTCATGTAGCTGTCTGGATGTAAACGAGAGCTTGCAACTTTGACCCCGGCTGTATCTCCATTCATACTTTACTGTTTAAACAAATCGCACTGAGTAAATATTTACTCTGTAGTTAGAGTGATGTGCTTTTTCAGAGCTGAACCTGCATACATGCAATAATCTGGCTAAGGATAATCAAAGCGAGAACAGTCTAGATGCCACGTTACAAGGTTTAGTCATTTGCTGTTGCAGGGGAGAAAATACAAAAAATGGTCGTCCCTCAGAACTTATTTTTAGCTGTAATTGGGTTGCAGATGTTCTGCATCAGCTCTCAATGCATCTGAAACAGATTTACTATAACGTCAGCCACACATGGTCAGCAAAAGCTTGGGACTTTTTAACCCTTTACATACTCAAAGATATTTCTATTATATTTCTGTTATATTCATCGATATTAATGTTGAGAGATTTGTCAAGAAATATAAAGAATAAACCGAAAAACAAAAAAAATGAGAAGATGTTGGCTGGGTTCCCGTGAGACGATGACATAAAGAAAACTTATTTCCGTTTTCCCTGGGCAGAGATCCACTAAAATACCAGTGTGTGTAGTAATAGTGGCCGGGTGAAATGTAGTTGTGAAAGTGCTTCATCGCTAAAAATGTTGTTCCTTATTCACTTACTTGTGATTTTTAGAGGAAGTGAAAGTTAAAGCAAACTTTTGTGATCTTTGACCTAAGCGAAGACCGGGCTGAGGGAGCTTGTGTCCATTTACAGATTTGTTTTGTACTGGCAGTTCCTCTTGTCTTGACAAAACCCATGCAGTTCTGTGTTCAGCAGCCTTCGTCTAAACACCCTCAACCTGGTTTTCTACATCTGAATCCCACATATGGCGCTAAGCAAAAACTAAAATTCTTTTGTTAAGTCAAAGTTTACGAATTTGTAATTATCTACCACAACAGGATTTTAATTAAGGTTGTGCATTATTGTCAATTTCCCCCTTTGCAAATAAAAGACACAGAGCTGCTGTAATGACAAGTTTCAAGCTTGAATCTGAAATTGTTTTTTTCCGCAAGTGTGGAGAGTTATATCTCCCCCGGGCGACACTCGGTGTTTGCCTGAGCATGTTCACAGCCTGTGGATACTGTGTGCACATGCACATACTTTATGTGAGGAATTGTGCAACATACATGTATCACCCTGCACTCATGTGTTAGAATGAGGAGGATGTGTGTCCCTGTTTTGCTTTGGTCTGTACATGCCAGGCTAAATCAATCAGAAAAATACCTGCTCAGCATCAACCATTGGTTGTTTATCTTCATCAGCACTTACAGACCAGAAAAGTTGGCAAGCAATTTGTCCTTTTATGAAGAGATTAGAGTTCTGGCCTGCAGCTCTTGTTCATTCTTGACCAAAATAGCTGACGTCTTGCTTGAAAGTAGTTTAATCAAAATAGTCTTTGGTTTTTACACCACTGAAGATTGATTTATGAAAACATGAAGAACAGCAGTTCTTTGGTTGTTCTGATCATGCTCTTGTCATTGCCAGTCCTTTTGAATTTGTGCTCTTTGGCTTGATTCTTGCTTGTATTTCTTATTAAATTGTGTTTTACTAGACTTTTCAGTACTCACCTGGCACATTTCATCTGCTTTGCCTTCAACCGGACAAAGAATTGATGTAATTTAATGACTTCCTGAACTGGCACTTGTATGGCCAAAGACAGCTGTAGTTTAGACCAGCCAGGTTTTTTCTCTGTGTGTTCTTTTTTTCCAAGTGAGGTCCAGCAGAAAAGAGAACATGAACAACTACAGATGTAACAGATATCACGGTCCAAGTTAGCCCTTGTTCTGCAGAAATTCCTGCCCCGCTGTAGACTTTGGATCCTGACTGCTCTGCCAGAAAGCGTTGCTTTGGTCTTATCTCCCTCACAGCGCCACACCTCCATGTGAAAATGCAGAAGTCTGGAGTAACTTGAAGCCAGCTGGATGGAGGTGTCGAGTTCTTGATGTCGTCATCATTGGATCCAGACAGAACAGTGCTTCACAATGCAAAGTAGTACTGCTCAGTGTAAGCAAACAGGTTTTTCCAAGTTAAACATCGGAATACGAGTATATTTAAAATGAAACAATAAATCACCTGCAGTAATTAAAGTTACTTTTCTTGGTTACCCTCATTTGGGATTGTTTTTAGGGTTTGTTGTCGTAGTCGTCGTCGCCTTCTTCCGCTTCATCCGGGTCACAGCAGCTTCAGGAGGGAAGCCCAGATAGCCCTCACCCCAGCCACCTCCACCGGCTCCTCCGGGGGGATTCCCAGGTGCTCCCAGGCCAGGCGGGAGATATAATCCGTCCACCTGGTCCTGGGCCGGCCACAAGGTCTCCTCCTGGTGGGACATGTCTGGAACACCTCTAACGGGTGGCGTCCAGAAGGCATCAAAATCAGATGCCCGAGCCACCTCAGTTGACTCCTCTGGACGTGGAGGAGCAGTGGTTCTACTCTGAGCACCTCCCAAGTGTCGGAGCTCCTTACCCTATCTCTAAGGCTGAGCCCGGCCACCCTGCGAAGGAAACCCATTTCGGCCGCATGTATCCGCGATCTTGTTCTTTCGGTCATTACCCAAAGTTCATGGCCATAGATGAGGATCGGCACATAGATCGACCTGTAAATCGAGAGTCTCGCCTCACAGCCCAGCTCTTTCTTCACCACGACTGATTGGTTAAGCATCCACATCACTGCTGACGCCTCTCCTTTTAAAATGCAAAGATGAACTTATTTCAGGTCATGTGGAAATGACAATAAAGAGGGCAGCAACAGCACTACAAGATTCAATGATAGTCTGAGCTGCACATCTATGGAGGGAGTGTGAGAGTCAAGCTGCGTGTATCTTTAGATCAGGCTGTTATGTTCTCTGCTCATTTTTAGACAAGAATTCCTCAAGTATTCATCCTCCCTTTAGTTTAGACAGGATCCGAAATACCTCCAGAGATCAGAGTTAAAAAAAAAAATTATGCATTTTTAGATTCAGAAATGATTTTGATGTTTTAATGGCTTCATGATGTGTTTTTCTAAAGTCACGACAGCTGTTCAGCTACTGTACAAAAGAGAGTTTTGTTTGATGTCTTTCACATTGTGCAAAAGGTTTTTTTCAGGGGCAGAGTGACGAATGTGCGTTTACGTTGACGAGACGAGACTAGACGAAAACGTTAGTGGTGGACGACGAACAGAGCTGCAAAATTGATGAGCATTTCGTCAGTCAAATGCTAAACATATATTCTGCAGTGTTGTTTTCGTTGACGATGACGTTGACGAAAATTTCGTCCAACGTCATCGTCAACGAAAACAACACTGATCCATGCAATGTGGTCAGTAATCTTTCTTTTCATTCAGACACCTGTATAAAATCGGTACTCTGCGTTTGATCTGTCACATATCCAGCTGTCAGAAAATTGTGTAAGACATTCTCCTTCTTACCCATTGGTGCATCTGGAGGAGAGACCAGACTGTTTTTTTTTTTTCAGATTTATTAAGTAAGAGGAATACATTCATTAAGTACAAAATGTATAGGTCTATGATGAGACAACAGCTACTTCGACCTGTCCTGTCTAAATTTTGTCACATCATAATCTTTCCTGACATGCTATCTCCTCTGTGCTTTTTCCTTCATATGCCTTCATACACCAGGAGGGGGTCAGGCAGGGGGACTCAGGAACGTGGGGAAGTAAATTTGACAGGCCTCTTTCCAGGAATGTGCCATGGTGCTACAGCCTGCAACAACAGGCAACACAGTGTTTGGCCTGGGTAATCGCTCAGGCTGTAAATTACAAGGAGAGGGATTGAGTCCTTTTATTTGTGCAGTAGTTTAGGGCCGTGGTTGTTGTAATCTGGGCTGGCACTCCTTGAATAAACCATCAGCTCTCCAAGGTAGCGCAGAGGAAGCTTAATCGCTGCAGGGCTTTTTGTAATGCGTTTCACTGAGACTCTAAAGTTCTCCATGGAGAATCGAAGTCACTTTCAGGAAGCTGCAGTGGAGGGTGGGATGCAGATGATGTTTGTTTACCGTAGGAAAGGCTGAATGTCAGCGTGTCTTTGCAGCACTGACAATTTGGGCTTTGGCACAAACCTGAATCTGACCTCATTTACCCATACGTTGCATAAGCACCCAAGCCAACTGAACATATTGATTAAGTATTTTCAATAATCAGAAAAGAAAATATGTCAGTTGTGTTTTCTTTATTTTTCATAGCTCTGCAATCAGATAACACACACAGTAACTTGAGCAAGTTTGGGTTTGGATTGAGATGACGTGCACTCTTCTCTTACATCTGTGGTGTATCAGACGTTTGCAGACAGCTTTTTCTCATCTTGAAAGAGATATCATGTTGAAGTCCTCCTATCTTTTTTCAAGCTGATAAGATGATGGTTCTGCTGAGCCAAGAACTGATGCAAAATATGTGTTTCTCCATGAAGAAGTCACATTAAATACGGCTTTCTTTTTGAATTTTAGTCCGTTTCGTGAAAGACACAGATCTATTTGCTCACACCCAAAGTGGTACATTCCAGTTAAATGACTATAATTGTAAACCATGAAACTGGGTCACAGAAAAGCATCCTCTCTACTTCAAGTTTTTACTCTTCAGCCTGAGTTATTCGGACAAAGGTTTGTTCATCATAAATTTTGTTTTTGATTTTATTCGATCACTTTTAACTTTTTTCACTGTGCGGCTTTATCGGGCAGGGTTAGAATTAGGGCTGTAATCAACCAAAGTATTTTTGGTCGATATCAGCACAAGTAGGCAATTAAACACAAAAGGCAAGTTGAAACGCTCAAAATAAAAAGAAATATTCAGAAAACCACCGGACATTACGTGGGCGCTCTTCAATCTTCCTGTCTCCATTAGTGTTGTGTCGTTCGCGAACGATTTGTTCAAAAGAACCAAACCTTTTAAGTGTACGTATTGAACCGAATCACTTCCTCGAGTGATTTGTTTGAAGTGAGAAACGGCAGTGCCAGGCCAGCAGCCGGCAAACGAGGGACCACATGCACCAACGATTTGGTCTTTTAGACCAGAAATGCTCAATGGGAACTTTTAAAACCAGTTCAGTTCTTTGCTAATTACATGTCCTGTCAGCTAACAGCATAGTCTTGGCTGTTTTGGTGTTTGCCTCTTTACTGGCATCCATTTGTCATGAAAAAACAGCCAAATCCAGACTCTGTTCATGTTTCCACTACAAGTAGTTCACTAAGAAATGATGCTGCAGAACGGCTTCGTTCAGGTTAATCGTTTGTCCTTCAAACTTGTACAGTCTGTAAATCTGTTCCAGGTGTTGATGGCTCTCTTCCTCTTGGTGTGACTGAGTGTCTCTTTGGCTGAACGCCCAAACTCTACTTCTGTGTAATGCATTAACGTTATCCCGACTTATTTTGGCAACAGCAGTAAGTCGACGTGTGTTTTGTCAGCAGGTGTCATGAAAGTGAAGTGACTGTCTTTACCTGAAGCAGCTTCCTGGCTGAGTTATTATTAAGGTGACAATTAGTGGTTAAACATGTCTGTCTCTTTAAGCCTTTGGTGAGAAGGAGGAGGAGTGTGTGTGTGTGTGTGCGTGTGGGTGTGTGCTTAAACTTGAAGTATAATTGAGCGTGTTTTACAGATGCCACATTAAACAGTTGTTACTGAGACGTCACATGGTGAAACTGATCTGGACATTGGCACAGAGGTGAAAGTGGAGTGGTGTTACTTTCTGCCTACAGCCACAAACAAAGCCAGTGTTTACTGCTGCACTATTAACAGAGGGTCTCTGTAAGGCAATACATCAATGCAGCCGAAAACCATTACAGGGTCATGTAATTTCCTCTAGTCCTAAAAAGACTCGACACTTAAACTGTATCCAGGGAGGAAGGCTATTTTAACCAAAATTAAAGAGTGACTTTTAGGGATGTTTTGCTGTGTCATCTGTAATGCGATGAGTCATTCATTCATCTTGAAGTCGTTTAAAGTCTCCCAAATGTTTAAATAAGGTTGAATGTTTCTGTGAGAGTTTCACAGTCACATCTTAAGCTCTCACACTTTGGAGTATCATGTCTGTGGAGTCTAAAGTTTTCATTCTGAAAGTGGATTATTTTTGTGAATCTGCAGTGCAAGCTCTAGTCTGTAATTGTGTTTGGTTGAGGCATTACTCATGAATATTTTCAGCATCTGTCGGCCATGTTCACTCCATGAAAGAATGCAGAGAAAGAGCTTTTATTGACTGTACCTGTGTAACATGCACATGTTGTACCTTTTCTATTTCAGAGTGTACGCTTGTTCTCATTGCTGTATCTGCAAGAGGGAGAAAGTTTAAAAAAACGCTTTTTTCTCCACATTGTCTCCCCTGGCTCCGGGAGTACAACGACAGCATGTCTCCAAACAGGAATTAGTGACTCACTCATAAGAAACATACTGGAAACTTTGAATATTGTTGGATGAGAACATATCTCAGTGCAGTAACACATTAGCATTTCACAAGCTGTTGACTCAGGGTAATGCAAACCTCATGTTTTGTGCTTGTTTGTGGTTGAAGGATTTTTAGGGCAGTTTGGATTTGAAACACTTCTGGTAGGTCTTGGGTTGCTAGTTTCAGTTACCGGGTATAAAAACAAAAGACAGACCCAGTTGGATTAGATGATCACTTTCCCCTTTTTTTTTTTAAATGTGGGATAATTTATTCAATAATCTGATGACTAATGAAAGCTTTCTTCATCTCTGGGACTGGTTTTATTAACAGATTATGCGATTGTGTTCTTGCAGGTGACTCATAGATACACGATGAGGAAGTTCCTGTCATCTGTCCTCTGGGCTCTGCTCTTCTGCTGCTGCTGCCGAACTTCACAGGCAGAGATCTTCACTTCAATAAGTACGTATAGAAGCCACATTAAGTTATTTCCTTCACCTGATGTGATTTACACTGTTACTGAGTTTCTTCCCCATGCCCTAGGAGGATTGTCAAGACATAGTCAGTAAGCTGTACATTCACATAAAAACCTGCACGGTAACTCTAAAGCATGTAAGATCTTCTCATTTCCTTTTAAAAGCACTGTTGTTTAGTGCTTCACTATCAGTCTCAATTCACAGAGCTGTTAAGGAAAAATATGGACTGATTCACTCTGAAGCCATAGCCACCAACTCATAATGGACTACTTATGACCTTAATTTAGCATCTTTAGCTTCTTAACATAAAAATCTGCACGACAGCTTTCAGCAGGGGTGTCCCGATATTGATGTCGAATATTGGTCCGATATCAACAAAAAAACTCAAATATCGGATTATATCGGCCTGCATTTAAAATCTCTGATATCAGCACTCCGATACAACCAGTCCACTCCAGACTCCGCTCCAGTACCCCTATCTAGCAGCACCTGGATCCAGCATGTAGAGCCTACGTGATCATGACAACAGTGTGTACTAAAATACTAACAAAGTACCAAGTAGTGAGAGTGATGTCGGCCCTGTGGCAGTATTTTTCATTAAAGTCTGAAAAAGACGTTGCATTTGAGTGCAAAACTTCTCATGCACAAGTTTGTGCTAATATCGGATCAATATCAGTATTGGACAATAATGAGGGCTACGTATTAGAGGTAAAAAAGTTGTATCTGGACGCCCCTTGTGTGACGTGTTGAAGTTTCAGCCAACAAAATATCAAAGTCAGAGACTTGATCAATTTCACTGAATTTACCATAAAAGTAATTTATGAGATATTGTCACTTTAAGTAAACTAACTTGTGTTTTTATTATCCCATAGATGTCTGCTTGGTTTGTGATTACATATTTGTTTAAAATATATAGAAAACTAATGTAATTTATGATCATTTATTTAGTTTATTTATTTATTTATTTATTATTATTATTATTATTATTATTTATTTATTTATTTTAGTTTATTTTATTTATTTAGTGTAGGGTTAGACAATTATTTACTTCATGGCATCACTGATTTTACATTTAACTCCTGAAAGTCTGCCGAAATGTGGACTTGAAGCACTCACACACTTAGCGGGAAAGCACATTGCAGTCTGTCGGCCTGCGCTGCTTCACCCATATGACTCCTCCACGTGCGCTTGTGCCTGAAAAACTCCTGAAAAGAGCAGCACTTTAAGAGGTCACAAACAGCGAAGAGTACCTAAACAAACTTATTTAAATGTCGTACATATAAAACTGGAGCTTGACACCCTCCCAGGAGTGTGTGCCAGGAGCATCAGCAGAGTGCCGCACGTAGAAAAGAGGAAAGAGTTGTGCTCAGGAATGTTTGTATTTCCTTTCTTATAAAAAAGAGTTTTTGGATGGAGGAAGTGGCAGAGAGGCTTGTAAAGTTTGAGTTTGTTTACAGAGTTTATTTTAAGGGAACTTGAAGAAATAAATGCGGTCTACTGGATGTTTAAAATGAACAAATACGTCTTTAATGGCAAAGCACTCAAACCCAGTCTGCATGTTTTCTGTAGGTGATATCAACAGGTCTTGATATCACTTAGAAGAATTGGCTCAAGTACCAGACAAACACAAAAAAAACTATTGATGAGTGTGCGAGGCAACTGATTAATTTGCTTTGCACCACTCAGCACGTTGCATGATATGAGTACCACTTAAATCACATTGATTGAATGCACTTGGCTATGCTAACTGCGTGCACACACAAAGAGTCCTATTACTTCTCTTCCCTGGCAACCCTTGAGAATTTATCATGAGCAAGCCTTTCCATGGAAGTGTTCATGGTGAATGCTTCACAACAACTGTCCCCCCAGAAGGCTCATGGATAAAACCCCCACTGTTATTTCCTCAGTAATTCTATGTAATCACAGCACCGTAGCTGAAGCCTGAGGATTTATTTTTATCGGAGTGTGAGTCTGAAGGAAAACTCACAGGAAATACATTTCTAGGCCGAGATATAAAAGTGAGGGACGTTGTTAGTGAGCCAAACTCATAATTTTGGAGCCTTAAAATTTTTGAAAGTCCCTTTAAACTGAGCACAAGCTTTATTCTCAAGCAGGACAAACATAGCTTTTTCAAACCAAAGCAAGGTTATTAAAGGGCGGTGATTCATTTGTATGATACTTTTATGTCGGTATCCGTTCATTTTCAGTATTTATCTGCTGTGTCTCCCTCTGCAGGCCAGATGACAGACCTGATTTACACAGAAAAAGAGTTGGTCCAGTCTCTAAGGGACTACATAAAAGCTGAAGAGTCCAAACTTGCTGCTGTCAAAAGGTTTGTCTCGATACTGTGACTAATACCAACTGAACTTTATATCAGCTGCAGCTGTCATGTATCCAGTTCATGAAAAAAAGAGTAAAAGAGTCCATCTTTATAATCCATACAGTAACCTGTAGCTCTCTACAGAGATTTCCTGTTGTAATCAAGTTTATCTGTCTCTTAGCTGGGCCAACAAACTTGATGCTGTGACCAAGGTGTCCACCTCTGACCCAGAGGGCTACCTGGCCCACCCGGTGAACGCCTACAAACTGGTGAAGAGACTCAACACAGAGTGGTCCGAACTGGAAACGCTGGTGCTGCAGAACCCCTCTGATGGTAAGGAGTACAAAAAGTCTCTACATTTGTTACGGTGCTACTTCTTCTTGTGAGCAAGCTGCATATAAAGACAAAAGCTTGGTTTATTAGATCTGCCTTTCAACTACTTAACGCTGCTTTGGACAAATTTTCATCTGTTAGCTTCTACTCTCTTACCTTTTATTTGCCACTGGATGAGTTCACATCACAACTGTATATGTCTTCACATGATGTTATGCACCTGTATGGCAGCATTCATCACTCTCTCTTTCTCTCTCGAGCTTCTTTCACTCGAAGCGCAGAGCAAGTGACAAGTGGCAATTACAGAATCCAGAGCCGATATGAGCAGAGTGGTTATATTTCTGCTCTGCTCTAATACTCTTTTCCCCAAATGAACACAAAGAGAGCACAAGATGTCACTTCTCAGAAACAGCTGTTTCTTATCTCTGCATAGTTGGGTCGTGTTCTCATTTTGTAGCCTAGTGTTTGTGCCTGTGCATGTTCAGGCGGAGGAGGAATATCTGCATGAGCCAGATGAATAATGCATGAATAACAAATGACTCTGTACATGTAGATAGAGAAAGAAAACACACGTACTGTATATTCATGATATATTTTGCTTATGTAATGCTAAAGAGAGAGTGATGGCTTTAGTTGATCATTTCAGTGAAAGAAAAACTCAGTAGTTAGTCTAAAGTTATGGGAGCAGTAAATACATGCACGTTACCCATGTATTGAGTACTATTATGAACGATGTTTGAAGCCATGAACAATAATAGTTGTCTGGACATTGAATATATAGATTCTAGATATTGCACTAGGCACTTTATGGCACTTAGTACTTTGAAGCACTAGGCACTTACTATGCACTAAGCACCTTCCACCAGTGGTCTACTCTGCCTCTGTTTTTATATTTGTCGTGTTTGTCGTCCGCTACTGTATTGTTGTCTGTTTTTTTTTTTTTGTTTTTTGTTTTTTTGTTTGTTTGTTTGTTTTTTCCTCCTGTTTTTTTTATTTTTTATTTTTTTTGTTGTTGTTGCTTTTCTGTTTGAGGACAACGGATGGAAATTAGCCTTAGCTAACTCCGGCTGGTTTACAATGAGAATAGACATACATATTTCTTGTATCATGTCTTCTTCTCCTTGTCCATGAACTGGTACTGTCCTGTCTAAATAAATAAATAAATAAATAAATAAGATTACACTAGATGAGCGACGCCACTCTTAACAACCAGATTAATGATGCCAATATAACATGGCTTTCAAAGGCTCCTCGTATGAACCTGTTGAATTTTATGAACAGGAAACTTGATTTCAACAAACTTGATCTTGAATGAAGTTTTTTTTTTTTTTTTTTTTAATCTTTATATCACTGAGTTGATGTAAAGTTCAAGTTCATGTTCGATGCCAGAGTTTTTTTGTACCGCTTGATGACTCAAAATACTTCCACTGCACCTGCTCTAGCTCTCTAAATATCCCATCTGTAACATACTGACTATCCTGATCTTATTTTATATTCATTTATCTCCAGGGTTCATATCCAACATGTCTACACACAGACAATACTTTCCCGATGAGGAGGATGAGACGGGTGCAGCCAAGGCGTTGATGCGCCTCCAGGACACGTACCAACTGGATTCTGAAGCTTTCTCGAGAGGAAAGCTGCCAGGTGAACTTGTAGCATTAGAGAGAGCTTGAATACACGAAGAGGTGTAGAGCTGTGTGTGTTTATTTTTACAAGTAAGAGAGGAAGGCGAACTGAGCCCACCCTTTGTGATTGTTAACTGGTGTGTTTGTGTGAGTTTATACCACTCCTCTCTGAAAAGCTGCTTTTAGGGGTTTGGATCCCGTCACAGTCTGCATGTTTTTGAAATGAGTTCATGTTGACAAATCTTCACTTCCTCAAGAGATAGAAGTTATCCAAGACAGAAACCCTTACACTGAACGCATACTTCTCCTAAAACTGAGGTCAAGATCAGCAGTTGCTTGAGATAGACTTGGAGTACAGTAACAAGGTTCAAAGTGTGGTCCCATTTTAGTGGCATCTAGACGTGAAGCAGTAAAAAAAACCAGAAGCAACAAAAGTGAGGTGCATCATAATAAAAAGGAAGAAAATGACACTGAAATTAAAAAAGAAAAAAAAATGGTTTGCTGTTGAAATACTGCAATGAAGTAAAGGGCATTTCCACCTTTTTCTGTATTCATCCGTATTAAATGTCAAGAATCTATTACTGGTTGCACAGAGAGAAGTGTTTTACAGGTCGCAACTGAACCCCAATCACTTACTTTGTAGTCCAGTGAAACAGTTTTGATCTTACAACAATCTTAATGCTGTACAGTCAGTATTTACTGTAAGTGGACTTTCCTCCCCCAGGTATGCACTCCCAGGCCCTGCTGACAGTGGACGACTGCTTCGACATGGGCAAGACGGCATACAACGAGGCAGACTATTACCACGCCGTGCTGTGGTTGCAGCAGGCCTTGAAGCAGCTGGACACCGGGGAGGAAGCTGAGGTTCCGAAGTCGGACATTTTGGATTACCTCAGCTATTCTGTTTACCAAATGGGAGACCTTCCTCGGGCCATTGAGCTGACACGCAGGCTTGTGGCTATTGGTAAGACGAAGAATACACACACATGCATGCATGCAGACAGACAGAAGAATGTGGGTCGAGCCAGTTTGCACACTTCTTCACATGATATATACATGAGGCTCTGTGGTTTTAATTTAATGAAAGATTGAAATAACAGTTTTATTAAAGGGTCTCTGTTGAGGTTGTTAGTCAGATCCTCTTCTACAGACCCCAGTTAGCTGACCTGTGCAGCCACAGTCCTCTACTGTGGGTTAAACGAAGGGTTGTCTTTTAACTCATCTCTGGCTGCAGGGTTGCTTTACGCTTGAATGCAGGGTGTGGTCCACCCACAGTAATGGCCCGTGGTTTTGTTATTTTAGTCTCTGCGTTAAAGGCTGCGTTGACAGCTGCAGGCCATCTTCTCTGAGCCGTGCTACTCTTGTTTAGACATCAACTGAAATGAACTGAGGTGGGGCAGATGGGACAAATATAGACCCACATTTTGGTATTAATGCTACAAAAGAACATACCAGTGATGCACCCTTTAAAAAAAACAACGTATGAGGAAGAAAGTATTGTCAAAACTGAACAAATGATATCAAACAGGAATGAGAGGAGTGAGATTTATAGGCGGTACTGATCACAACATAGAGGGCAAGTAGCAAAAGTCAAAAAGTACTGACTCAAAACATTAATGTTGAGGGTTCAGTTAGGGTTGACGATGCAAAAACAGAAAGAAAATGGGGTAAAAAAGACTCTTTTAAGCCTATCAGTGAGAGTTCAGTATGGCTATTTAGCTAATTTAAATGACAAGTACCACATAGGAGTGGTTTTCCTATGTATTTATTCATTTAATTGTTGGTTTATGTCTCTTCTGTTGAGAATGATGAACCTTTTCTCAATGAGATTTCCTCTGTAAACAGAAACTTGGTAAGTTGTTGTCCTGCAGCGCACTCACTCATTTGTGTTGTTTCTCCATGTTTTGACTCCCACGTAGATGGATTAAATTACTTCCAAAGAACGTTGGAGGCACAAACTTAGCTAAACCAATACTTTGAGAATGTTTGGTTTACCGGTGATGTTCCCGTTTATTTACATGAGGCAGCTTTGCTCCTACATGGAAATGAGCCTGAAGCACAGTGGGTCGCTTCTAATCTCTCGCTCTTATTTCTGTGTGTTCTCTTAAAAGTCCACAAGAGGGAGTGCTCTCTTCACATGTAAACACAGTGATAGTGGTTTTATACCTTGAACATCAACAAAAAGAGTTACAGGAAAGAGTACATGAAACCCCCTTTTATTTATCTATTTATTTATTATTATTATTATTATTATTATTATTATTATTATTAGTAGTAGTAGTAGTAGTAGTAGTAGTAGTAGTAGTAGTAGTAGTAGTAGTAGTAGTAGTAGTAGTATTTTCATTATTATTATTGTTATTATTATTATCATTGTTATAATGATAATGATGATAATAATAATAATTATTATCATTATCATCATCATCATTATTATTATTATTATTATTATTATTATTATTATTATTATTATTATCATTGTGTAGCTGGATGTTTGTGTCTGATTGAATAATTATAAAATTCTGAAATAATAATTATTCTCAAATACCTTATTTGGTAGATTTATGCATAAACATTTTTTATCTGCAAAATAATACCATAAAAAAACTGAATAGTGGATGTGAGGAAATGATGATTTTCTTAATCGTTACAGTTGAAGTATTTCATATAGATACTCAGGTACACGTACTGCACCTTTAAGTCAATAAATATGCTTATTACTTCTTTATTGGGGCTGAGCTCAAAGAGGTGGACCACACAGAGTTATCTAAATGTTTTTTTTTTTTTTTCATAAAGCAGAGTTATAAATGTGATTACACCTCATCTAAAGCAGCATCTCTTTAGTGCTTAGTTTACCTGCTTTTCTTGTACTTGCAGACTCCAGCCATGAGAGGGCAGGAGGGAATCTCCGTTATTTTGAACGGTTACTCACCAAGCAGCTCAATGAGATGAACCAGGAATACCAACCCGCCTCTGAGGAGCCCATCCAGCTTGGAACCTACAGCAGACCTAAAGACCATCTTCCAGAGAGAGAAGCCTACGAGTCTCTCTGCAGAGGAGAGGGGCTACAGCTGGTGAGGAGAAAAAAAAATTACTGATGATTTATCCTTATAGTTACTCAAAACATACCTGAAATAACGACAATGTCAAGTACAAAAAACAGTTTTATGTCAGATTGAATTTTTGTTAGAGGTCTTTTCAGTTTTAAGGAGGAAGATGTTTGGAGTCCAGCAGGATTAGGTGTAAATTCTGCTTTCCTTACACTTTGTAGAAAGTCTGATATTAACGTCTGTAGGTAGATAGATGGATGAATGGATGGATAGATGATATAAAGATTTACCAGCTGCAAACGGGTACTAGTGCTGGTTTAGCAAGTGAAACTAGTTTTGAGGAGTTTTCCATAACAAATCTACTTACATTCAAACTTTATTTTAACATGATGGACATGATTTCATTGTCACTTAGTGCCCTGTGTTGTTTAGATTTATATGAATGCAGATTTGACCTAAAGTCCGTTAATTTGTGTCTATCCTGTAAATTTTCCCAGAATGATGTAAGGCGCAGCCGATTGTTCTGTCGCTACCAAGACGGAAACAGGAACCCACGTCTCCTGCTGAAGCCGATGAAAGAGGAAGATGAGTGGGACAGTCCTCATATCGTTCGCTACCTGGAGATGCTGTCAGATGAGGAGATTGAAAAGATCAAGGAGCTGGCGAGACCCAGGGTGAGACTGTAGGACCTGAAACTCTTTTACCTATGAGTTCAAACTTTTCCTCTAGTCTTTTCTCAAAAAAAAAAAGCACATCATAATCCTCTGTGTTTTGTTCATTTTTCAAGCTGGCCAGAGCGACTGTACGTGACCCCAAAACAGGCGTCCTGACCACAGCCAACTACAGGGTCTCAAAGAGGTAAACAAATGTTTACTCATGAAGCCTTTTGGGGGGATTTTAGTCATAAAAAGATGGACTACAATCATGTTGTCAGTTTTTATAATTTTCCATCAGAACGGTGAAACACATCAATCACTGTTTGCTTTCCTGTTTTGCCTTTAATCGGCAAAAATCTGCCTCCTGCAGGAAATGAAACAGTCAAATGTTCAAAAAAGTCTGTGCATATATTTGTGTGTGTCCTTCATACTTAAACGTGCACATATTTTGTTTTTCCAGTGCATGGCTGGAAGGTGAGGAGGACCCGATCATTGAGAGAGTCAACCAGAGGATACAAGACATCACAGGCCTCACAGTAGACACTGCAGAGCTACTACAGGTAATGTAACACACAGTATGCCACAAGGAAATGTTTCATGTGACAATTATTGCAGAGAAAATTATATGCAGCATGTTATTACGACTAAAATGTAGAACCAAGTATGAACAACACTGGACAAAAATGAAACCAGGATGAGATCACATTGTTATATTGTCTTATTGTCTCACCAGGTTGCTAATTATGGAGTTGGAGGACAGTATGAGCCACATTTTGACTTCTCGAGGGTAAGTCCACCTTTGTGTATATTAAGATGACTGACTAATGCTTTGACATGGTTTCATTAAAGTAAATTTGTGGTGCCAAGTAACACAAAATACACAACTCTGCTAGGGCCTCTGTAGTACTTGAAAACAGATTAGGGAGGACTTTGTTTACGAACTTTTTAACATGGAAAAAGTTACATATGATCTCCTGGAGGATAAAGATCCAGGTCCAAACATCTCGAATAAGACGGTGATATCAAGACAAGAGAGAGAAAAGGAGAGAGATTCCATCCCGGAGACATCTTAGCTGAAAAACACTCACAGCTTGAATCCTCATAATCATAGAATAGACAACACCTTTTCACATATATCCCTCTAGCAGGAAAAGCATAATCTGTAAATACTCTGATTTAAAAACAACATGTGGGAGGAAAATGATTAACAGTTACAGCTTGAAGCAGTTAAAGAATAAGCAACAAAATGAAAGTGGAGACACAAAGATGACTCTGAACTTGTTGACTTAAGCATTTGACACTCACCCTGAGGAGGTGTTTGTTGTAGCCTGTGATTTTCTTTTATTCTATGAACCATATTCTTGTCCTCTCCTCTTGCTTCTCCTGCCTCTCCATCCTCCATTTGGTGCTGAATCACATCCTTCCTGTCTGTCTCCCTGAAATGAACTGTCATTTAAATGTTGTTCTTTCTTGTGTGAAGTTTTGTCAAAATACATCCACTAATGAATCTCCTTTGATTCCAATATGGGCTTAATCCGAAAGAGCATCCCTCTCTGTCCAGTCGTCTGAGCTGTGTATGATGTCTGTTGGTTTTGTCTGCTTCTGGTACCATCAATGGTCCTGCCACTCCGATCCATTGTGATGCTAACGCCATAGTTAGCATTTTTCTGCTGTAAACTGAATCATCTCTGTTTCTTTTCCCATCCTGAAGGTAAATCCTGGGGAGACTGATCTATTGATATGGCTTCTTGAAAGCACCTGCATACTCTGAAGAGTAGTATGCAGGAATCAAGTTTGTCAGGTTTATTTTTTTATGATTAAAAAATTATTTTGTTGAATGTGTTTAAATTAAAGAGCATCCCCCAACTGTGCAAACGCTGATATTTCTGTGTCTGTCTGTCTGTCTGTCTGTCTGTCCTTTCAGTTTTTTGTTGCCCTCCTGAACTTTTCCAGCACGTCTCCGATGTTTTGGATTAACCATAAACTTAACTGTCATCCTGAAATTTGGTCAATATGTTACAGGATTACCTTAAACTTTTTACCTTATCTCATTAACTTTTTAAAAATAGGTTTGTGCTGCAGATCCAAAAAACAACCACCCATATTAATCTTATTATCTGAGTCGGTTTTATCCAATACAAACAAGCCTTATGGCTCCTCTTTCTTCACCCTGTTAACTTTGTCCAAGACGTGACACCGAGCTGACTGCCAACATTTTCAGGGAGTATACAGCCAGTGTTGTGAAACATAGGCAGTGCAGAAGATTGAATATGAATTTATGTAATCAGGATTATTTTCCGTCTTCTCACGAGGATGTCTTGTCCTCTGTCTGCATATCATAAACTTTAAATCACTGCTTTTTAACTTTTTCACTTTCTTTCTTTTTTTTTTTCATATTTTGAAGGTTGCTCAAATTTCTCCCTCTCTTCTCAAGTCGCCATAATGTTTTCCAAAATTTTGATTAGTGTCTTTTTTTTTAAAAACACATTGTCGGTATTACTTAACATTTATTTTTCATGTAAGAGAGAATAAAGGGGTCAGTATCCTTCCCTGAGGTGTCACATTTAACAACCAAATTTTCTGGAGAGAATTTTCCAGTAAAACTTGAATCAATCTTCCGTTTGAAAAGTCTTTGGTCCATCTTTTACAAAAGTAACTTTACATGAGCTGAAGAAATAAACCTTCTCACGTTTCTCCTGAGTTTCTCTCCCTCTTGGCGAGTCCCCTCTGATGTAATCTGAGAATAAGAATTAAACTAAATGTATTTGCCAACATCTCCACCTCCCTCTAACTGTAACAGCTGTGAGCCTTAACAGTTGTGCATTTACTGGACCTACTCTTAATATCGCTCCATAATCTTCTTCATTCTTTAAATGTGCTGCCAAGGTTATCCCTGCCTTTTGGCTGGAAGAATTTTATTGTTTTGGCTTGTTTTTAAGGTTTCTCAAAAAGTCCTAAAAACAAGGACATTTTACTCATCGTGTAAACAATTTCCCCTCAATGACTTATGAACATATAAAAAATAAACCTATAATGCTGACAGTAAACGATGATAAAATGTGTTGTCTTCTGAATCATGTCATTGTAAAAGGATTAAAATAAAAGGACTCAAGTTTTGATTCTTGAGCTATTTCCATCATCAGTTCTGTGGGCACCGTTGTCCCTGAGGTTAGGGTCCAAAACATGCTTGAAAAACATCCCAAACCTTTGCTTTGTGATCTGTGTTTGACAAACATGTCTTTCTGTTTGATCCATGATTTCCTTTTTCACGTCCGGCTCAACTGCAGATGATTTAAAGCTTCATGTCCACTTCAGCAAACATCTCTAAGACTTCTGCCTCAGCTTCTCAGTAACCACTTTCTTAAAAACTCATCCTCCTTAATGAAAGCTCTACAGTAACACCCTCTCTGTCTGACTCCCTTTAAAAGCTCAGTGTTTCTTTGATTTCACCCCAGCATGATCCACTTCCATTTACATCTTTTTGTTGGACACAGCATCTTTGTGTCAAAATCACTGAATATGGTATCATCCACCCATGCACAGTTTTCTGTGGAGCTATCCGAACGTCTCTGCAAAGTGATGTTTACACGTATCTTTATGTAGATGTGCTTCAAAAATGACAAAACCCAGGGGCTTCTTACCTGACTTGAAAAAAGTTAAAGCTCCTATGAGGAACTTAGAGGTGGTGTCGCTCAATAACAGAGCTGCAGTTTTTATTTATTTGTACATGTGTGAGTAGTATTTCATGACAAAAAAACAAACTATACTTCCTCAAACTCATCAGAAAGCTTTAAAATTAAAACTGAAAAAACAACTTCTGGTTGTTTCATTCATCAAAATCACTACAAAGAGAAATTCAACAATGTTAATCCTCTCTTTGCTGTAGTAGGATGTATGAATGATAGCTAATATCCTTTATGAAAGGAAATATTCATGCTGCATTGAGTGCTTAATGTTCTTGTGTTTTAATTGAGCATTAATCATATTATCGATGCAATGTGATGTTATCAGTTTGGTCTTAATAAAACATGTTATTCAGTCATGTTTTCTGTAATATAAGACCATGGTTTTAAGTGCTATGATAATAACTAATGCCCTGCGTGGCGGGTTCCTAGTGTGAATCTTTTTAGTGATGAGTTAAACGTTTATAAACATCTGTTGCAGCGCCCTAATGACAGCAACCTCAAGGTCGATGGAAATAGACTTGCTACCTTCCTAAACTACGTAAGTACCTGTGTGTGCGAGTACGCAGCAATTTCACCTTATTCTTTCATTTTGTAATTTTATCCCTGTAGAAAGATGAACCTGATGCTTTCAAAAGATTAGGGACTGGAAATCGTGTGGCAACTTTTTTGAACTACGTAAGTATGTGCATCCGGTCGCCGTTGATTGAAGGCTGGTTTGTGGCAGTCACTTGAAACCGTCAGAAGTCTCACAGATATATGTATGATGACCATGACCTCTTAAAGCTGTAGTTTATGGTGGTGGTTAGAGAAACATTAGCCACGTTTACATGGGCAAAATTTCTTGATCTGACTAAAAATCTAAGGGATCGGATAATCCGAATCCACTGTTTATATGGGTGCAAAATCGAATAATCCGATCATGACGTGCGTATACATGCACCAAGTTTTATTCAGATGAGAAGCCTTTGGACATGCGAGAGTTGTCTGATTTCACTACAACAACTGCAGAAGAAAAGTTGTATAGACGCCTGCGCTGTCAACAAACCAACAAACGTGGTCGTGGCTCACTTCATCCAATTCAGGAGTTTTCCCCTTGTTAGATGCTGTCACTAGATGGCGCACTTGCATATTTATTTGACTGTTCTGTCAAAGGTTGCGCTGTGCGTGCAGACACGGCACCTGCGGTCGTGTTTTATGCCAGAGTGTCAATAATGAAACCTCCTGTACTGACCTCAATAAATAAACCAAAGGCTGAAGAGTGAAGATCGGAATAAATGTTTACATGGATGCATTTCGGAATAATGATCAACCACCCCTCTCAATTGGAATGCAACTTCTTTCCGACTGTACCAATTTGGATCAGAATCTTCCGATCAACATATTTAAATGACGCATTTTTATTCCGATTATTTGTGCCCATGTAAACGAATCCATTGTGGAGTGGACATACTTTGATTAGGTAAGAGCTTCAATTATACCGGTTAGTGTTGCTAAAGATCTTGGAGTTAAAAAAGATGAGCCAACAATGAAATTTGATTTCACTCTGAACACATGGAGCAGTCAACTTCTTAAAGGAAAACAAAATCAAAAACTCTTGATCACATGATTTAAATAAAAAAATCACTGGTTGTTGCGTTAACTGACATATAACTGTAACTCTTTGTCCCCACCACAACCAAAGACTGTTATTGTCTTCTTTTAGTGTCTATTTTAATTGGGTCTTAAGAGGTTGTAGTTGTATCACTTATCTCTGTGAGGACCGGCTGCCTGACATCTACGCCACATTCTCCTTTATTTTAGCTTCATGGGCAGATACATAAGCTCTGGTTCAATCTTGCACTTGGATTGATTGACTTTGATAACGGTTGACTAATTGGCTTGTTACAGTCACAAATGGAGATCTGTTTACTTTATGTGTTTTGAGACAAAAAGGCTGTAATAATTCTAACAGATTTTGGGGAGTTTTTTTTTTTGTTTCGTTTGTTTGTTTTGTTTGTTTTGTCAATCAGTTCTGGTACATATTGTGGAGAGTTTTGTTGGCCACTCCCCATTAACACACTGATGCAAAAGACACAGTTTTTCCCTGCTAACACCGGCGGAATGACCTTAGAGTTTTACCCTAAAAGAGAGGAAAAAAAACTGTTTCAGTACAGTTTGTCCTCTTAGTGTCATTTCCCCCAAACTAGTATGATGATGGTTTGTAGTTGACCATTTATCATCATAATTTAAGTCAATCTTAAGATATAGACAGTATAAGGCATGTTCAATCACAAGTTACAACACTGTTACAGAGAATTGAACATGACTGAAGATGGTGTGAAGTGAAGAAGAAGCTACGTAAACACTTTAGGTTTATTTCTATTTGAATGTTTGGTCAAAGAAAAACATCTTTAATTCAACACTGAGTTTTTTTTTTAGATTTGAGATCACCTGTTTAGGTTAATGTTTAGTTAAAAGAAAAAATGTATATATATTTATTAGTATATGCCCTAACAGGTCATTGTAGTTCAGGTTTGTGATATTAATTAGCTTTTACCTCTCATCACAGTATGTTGACGTTGTGTTAAAGAATCTCTCATCTTTGATCCTGATGGAGAACTGTTCGGTTTTGTGTTTCGTTACTTTTTTACGCTCAACTTTATTTTGTGCATATTTTCACAGTTAACAAACGGTAATTAGTCTGTATTTATTCTAACAACATATTATGGAATTAAGATGTCAGATGAGTCAGTTTTTCTCCAATTGATAAAGACATACTTACTATACAGATGTTTTTTCTGAGTTGAAAGCAGCCGGTGATTTTTAGATATATTTTGCTGTGACTCAGAGTTTAAAGGGATACATCAGTGAAGTACTGAAGAGTGTTATCATCGAAGGAAAACACGGAGACCAACTTCTTTTATTGTCCTTCTTAGATGACTGACGTTGAAGCTGGCGGTGCCACAGTCTTCCCCGACTTTGGAGCAGCGATCTGGCCCAGAAAGGTAACGAGGAGGCCTTTAAACCTTGGTCTCTCTCTTAAGATCAGACAGGATGTGGCGTCCGTGGTTATGATAATATAGAGTTATAAATATCTTCTTTTTTTTGCTCATAATTTCATGCCTGATACATGTACATCCACTGAAATATTCTCTGAGCTCAAAACAACAAGCTCTGTGTGTTTTGACGTTCCTTCTCCTCTCCACAGGGGACGGCAGTGTTCTGGTATAATCTCTTCAGAAGTGGAGAGGGGGACTACCGGACCAGGCATGCGGCCTGTCCTGTCTTAGTAGGAAGTAAATGGGGTGAGTTATTGTTATTGCTGACCTGAGATCATCACTGAAGTAGACTGAAAGAGAGACCTGACTGTACTGACATTGAAAATTTTGCACTAAAGGCTTATTGTGTCTATTTTTTGTTGTTTTTTTAATCTTCACGTTTCTCTGCTCTCCAGTCTCGAACAAGTGGATTCATGAGCGAGGACAGGAGTTCAGGAGACCCTGCGGCCTAACAGAAGTAGACTGAACTTAAACCAACACTTAAAGAATCTGCAGAAACTCTCAAACACACAATCTCTCAGTTGTGCCTTTACTCTGGTAGTGATACAATTTATTCTATGACTCATTTTCTACATTACTCTCAAACTATCAGAAAAAAACATATCCCCCCGTGTTTACCCACACCTCCATAACGAGATTAAGATTGAGGAATTAAATTCAAATTTAATAGATTTAATAGACTTTTATGTCAAATTCAGTTAACTCATGAACACTGCAGTCATTTCAGGTCACTCTTTTTTTTTGCCTTTGAATAGTTCTTTTGAAGCCATTCAGATCAAGCTTTATAAAAGTAACCTGATTGTCCAAATTTCTGAGAATTGACACAAAATACTAAGAGGGAAAACCCTGCAAATGTGTTAAATTCTTCAAACAAATCAGAGGTATTTGCATTCTACAGAGCCCGGGAGGTGACATAAAATTTTATTTTTTTAAATTTGCATGTTTTGTATTGTAAAATTGTATCTTGCGCATGCGTTTTTGTAAATAATCCTCTGCGTGCCTCATTTGTAACATTTTCTTTTATTTAGGTACGACTCACAGAGAGATACTTGGTAGCTTAGCGATATTTGGTATTGCTTTGAGTAGGAGACTCCTCATCAGGATCCTTAAAGCACAGCGACTTTGCCACCAGCGATATTCGGAAGTGATTTTGTATATTAACGAACAGTTCAATCGCACCTGTGATATAATAAAACGCACGTGCGAGATAATAAATCGTACGTGCAAATTAAAAAAAAAAAGTTAATGTCACCTCCCCGAGTCTGTAACATTCCTCAAACAGAGAGGAAAATCAATTCAGTAGTTTGTTTATTTGGGGGGAAAATAAAATAAAATCCAGACATAATGCTTTTAAAAACGGTCTGCTTCTGAGCTTTGCAGTGAATTTGGATATTACATTTAGAACTGCGCTTTAACTAGCTGTTACCTCTGCTTTTAAACACAAAGACATCTTCAAACTCTTTAAAAACAAAAGCAGCAGAGCATTCATTTCCACTCATTCTCTATCATTTACTTTCAAAGTGTCTTACTCTTTGTCAATTTTGTCGAACTTAAAATCAATTTCCTCAAACCCTGTTCATGACGTTTTTATTATTTATAGTGTTTAAATTATTACACTGTTACATTGTGGATGCTCTTTGGGCAAGATTGCAAACAAACCAGTCAATAAACAGTGTCTTTTATTAGAATGTTTTGTGCCTGTCTTGACTACTTTAAATCAACCCGACTCTGTAATCAAACTGTCCTTCTATTATTTCTGACCTTCAGACTATCCCTTGAATCTTTGCCTTTGATGGAGCTCAGTAGATTTGTCGAATTTTCTTTGGTTTCGCACAAATTGCAAACTTGAAATAAAGAATCACACAGCCTGATTCAGAATTGTTTTTGGCCCTCATCGCTCATTTTTTTCATTCGAAACGACTTTGAGGCTGATATTGTCGAATAATTCACCTGTTAGAGATGAGACAGGCCTAAAGTTACATAAATTTAAAAAGAGCGGGCCCTTTAAACAACTGTTGGATCGCACAAACAGTCTGCTAGACATCACATCAGCAGATTCCTATCACTGAATTTTCCCGCTTGGCTTCCCTGTCCGTACACAGTCGGTCTGGCTCTCAGTAAACAACAAGGCACCTGCCAAAATTCCAAACTGGAGGCTTCAAAATGGTAATCCACAAACAAACGGGTTATCACGGTCGCTCGCTTTGTCAGCTGCGTTAGTACGGTCTGATGTTTTTAAAGGGCCCAAACACCAGTGAGTTTTCTGGCTATATTGTGAAATAATTAAAGTTCTTCGTGCCTTAGACAAATCAATACTAATCATGTAATTGGAATGATATTTGTAGTCAGTAGAGCTGCCCTCAAGTGGGTAGCTGTGGAACTGCAGTTTTTTGTACGCCCATATTGGCTTCAATTTTAAACACCAGAAGTGACCTTTTCTTATGATCTGATCTCAAAGTGTTTCCTCTCGGGAAAATTTACCTCAGACCTTTCTATCTGTAACTTTTTTAAAACCCTGTCACTCTTTTTTGCAGCTCAGCATGTTGACCAGGAGATCACGAGTGAAAAAGGAAACACAAGTCTAATTTCTTTAGTCGCAAACAGTCATTTAGACTACAGGAGTGTTTGCTGGAGGTCATTATATATTTCTTAATGGTACAGAATTTATATTTGAAGTATTTTCTTTATTTCTTTAAACCTTAATGCTTTGAATGTACATATTTATTTTAAATACATGAAATCTTTAATAAGTTATTTCATCAAATTTGTTATGAGATGAGTCTGTAAGCTGTTTGCTGATGTGTAACATACTCATCCACATTTGTTCTCTTCTGAGTCTGGAGTTGATTTTTTGTGGTGATCTTTTTTGCCAACATCGTTCTTGTGGTTTTGACTTGATTCCTGCAGTTTGGCTGTATTCTTAGTGATCCATCTCAGCACTTCTGTAGTTAGAATTGATAGTTCAGTGGTGTTCATCTGACCAAGTTTTAATTTCCGATGATATTAGTAACTTCAAATTCACGATTGTTTTCATTAAAACGTGACCAAAAAGTTATTTTTTATCTAAATCAATTTCAGAAAAATTAATATTCCTAAGAGTTTCATTTTTTATTCACGCCTAAACTTAAAACTGGAGATTTTCTCATCTCATTAAGTGAATGTTCCTCGTGACTGCTTTACTCAGGTCCAGAAGAATTTGGTAAGAGATCCCAGAGCTTAAATTTGTGATCTAACATGGGGGAAGGTGTGGTGCAATTGGCTAAAATTTCCAAAAAGGATGGACCAGAGGGATTATGGGTTTTATTTATTTGATTTTTTTTGGAAATGCAAACGAAGCACCATGTTCCATTCTTTTCACATTTCTTACAGCACGTGGAATGAGTAACCCAGTCCAAAAGTAAAAGTCATTTTTTCAGGTCCTCAGAGGCCGCTTGTATAAGCAGCCTTTGAGAACCATCAAATCACAGCTGAACTGAGGGGCCGATGCAGACTTTGGTGGAATATTAAATGTCTTGTAAACAATGAACTAATAGTCTATCAAAGTCTTATTAAATGGATATCTGTGATCTTTTATAAGTCCAAATGTGAGGAGTTACACACATAATGTTCAGCAAATGTTAAACAGACGTTGACCAAATGCAGAGAGGATACTTCCGCTAATTTTACCCAATGCCCAATCCAACCCTGAGGCACAATACCGTACAAGTGTTTGTTAGTGCATTTACATTGTAATTTAAGATGCACACACCACTTTAATATGAGATATATAAAATGTTCATGTTTCTCCTCCTTCGCCTGGTTTGAACTTCCTCAAAAGTTTGTGTTACAACTAGAAGAGAGGAGAGGATCAGTTGTGTTATCAGTAATATCCATAACAATGACCCAGAGTCACGTATTCATGTCTGTCTCCTTCCAACGGATGATGGGAGATGCCAAACCAAATACGTGTCGAGTTTTCAAGCCCCAGCAGGAGGTGAGGGAGTTGCCGTCCTTTCCCAATCTTTGTCTCTTCTCTCCGTAATCATGTCTCAAACAGTCTCAGACAGTTGAAGTATTAGATCGTAACATTTAAGGGAACTTTGACCTTGTCTGTAACTCCAGACCTGCCATTTTTTTCTTACCTTTTGGCACTTATTTGAAATTAGTAACTCATTCCCAAAGCTCAAAAGAAACATTTTCCATTCCTTGTCTTACGTAAACTGTCTCTGAGAAGAAGAAAATCACAGTTCAACACAGGAGGCCTGGCATACATGGATGAAATATTAACCAAGCGCTTGCAGGGATAAATCATTATCAAATTCGAACAGTTTGCACAGTTTAAGCACCATCACCGGGAGAAAACCACAATTAGAACTTGTTATACACCTCTACTTAACACTCACCTAGTTGTGTGCAACCACTCATGTGTGTCCCATCGAACTTCTGTGTCACTGTAGACGGGCCAGAGGGATATCTAACTAAACATGCACAAGTCCTATTTTATTGAAGTTGGGATGTTGTGTTAAACATAAATAAAAAAAAGAATATGATAATTTGTAAATCTTTTTCACCTATATTCAATTAAATGCACTAAAAAGACAAGAAATTTAATGTTCAAACTGATAAACTTCTTTTTGGAAATATTTACTCCTCTTGAATTTTCATCAGCTTGAACATTAATTCAGTCAAAGGATTTAGAGATCACTATACTCTGTTTTTATTCACGTTTCACACAATGTCCTGACATCATTAGAGTTGGGGTTTGTATTTAAGAAACATTTTAGATTATATCACTATAAAAAGACAAAAGTAGGTCTGCAGAAAAGAGGGCATGAAGTACTATTCTGACAAGACACATAACACCAGTTAATGCCCCACCCTGTCCTCTGCGGAGCATGTTTGTCCAGAGACTGTTGGCGCTACGGCTTAATGAACATACATGTGAGGGGCACTGTGAAAGGAAATTGTCTCGTAACAAAACTCAGATGGCATCATTTCCCAAAAGGATAGAAAAAAATAACAAAACAATACAAGAAGTAATTGAATTCCGGGTTGTGCTGAGATATGGCATTCATTACAGTTAGACAATAGGGACCCTGACCTTCATCCACCGAAATGTTCTCCGGCTCGTCTTTGAGTGCAAGTGAACGTTTGTGCCAAATTTAAAGCTCATGTCTTTTTTTATGTATGTAAGGATCAAGGAAAACCGTGCGTACAAGAATGGAAATTCAACAAGAGCTTTCTCTTGTTCAGGGTAAGTTGGCCCTTGACCTTTTGGAACTAAAGCCATCACTTTATTGTATTTTTTTACCATTAGATATCTTTATAAAATGACTTTATGAATTTGTGAGTTAAATTTTGTAAGCATCTTAGATGGTCGTACGGATGGCGTGTTAACTATTAATTAATTAATGCTCATTACAAGGCTTTTAAAAAGTGTTACCAAATACTGTCTAAAAAGTGGAAATCTTCACCCAATTTAAAGAAACTCCCATGTGTTCAAGATATACTTAAAGGGATATTCCAGCGTAAAATTAAGTTAGGGTCAAACACACCGAAACACTGAGCTAGCAGATAGCAATACAGAGAGCCATGAGCTCAACCAAAACGCCACTCTGTAGCCAAAAATAATGCTCAGAACAGCACCTAACTTCATCAATAGCACATAAAGGGTCCCAGCCATAGTACTCACCATCAAACATCTTTTAAGCTTGGCCTGGTTTCTTTATCAAAGAGACTAAACACAACTCACCCTCTCTCTTCCAGCAGCCGTACTGACCAACCGTACTACCAACCACAAAATGGTTTAAAAAGTACCAAAAATTATCTTGTATTTTTCAAAGTGAGTTATTTTTTTTTGTTTTTATTTTTTCATTTCAAAGTAGATTACTATGAGGCTCTTGTTAATAGTAATTGAATAACTCAGGGGATCTAGCTAAAACAGAATCGGGATAATAACTTCTGCAGACAGTCTGCTTGACCCAAACTCTTGACTTAGTTTGTCTGCGCACTTTCTTTAAAAATGTTTGATTCTGTCTGTTTGAAATGTACCATTTGAAAACTCATTTTTGCTCTATTCACAGAGTTTTCCTCCGCCTGCACTATACCGCCTGACCAGAGCAACACAAGAAACAAAATACAGTACAAAGTTTGGATCTGCTTGCTGAGTCCCTCATGATTAACTATCCTCAGTGTTCTCATTTGTCTTTGTTTGATGTATACACGTTGTTTGTCAGTACAAGTGTTTATTCCAAGTATTTTACATATGTTGTAAAATGTACTTTGCCTTCCTTGAATTTCAGTGAAAGCATCAGAACACATTAAAAAAGTTATACAGCAGAAGGCACTGAAGAATAACAGATGGAACAGCTGCATCATGACATATGTAGTTGCAGCTTCTATTCAAATGAGGTCTCCTGAGGTGATCCCTGTCTGAGAAAGAAAATCTAACTGTATTGCATAGGTCTGTTCATGACTCACTGTCTTTCAAATATTGCATTATGTGGATGTTGTTACATCCACATAGAATACCAGACATCATCCAGAATCTTTTTATGGAGGAATGTGTTTTTATTTTTTTTTTGCCATCAGGTTTTTATTTTGTTATTTTGGAAATGGCCCACAAACACTAAGCAGATAATCATATCCTTCTGTGTCAACAGCTGTTTGTGTTATAATGAAATGTCCTGCCAATGCTTTAGGACATTTGTGTGTCTTAATAGAAAAGCAACTTTCTGGTTACTCAACCTCTCAGCTCTTACATGTGTCTCCAACAAAGAAATGTGAATGATCTAAAGGACAGATAATGTATAACAGTCCCTGTGTTTGTCAGTGAGTAGCAAAAAGTTACCGCTCATTTTATTACTTTTAAATTTTCACAGTGAGACAAGACGTCAGGACAAGCTGCTCCTCTGCCTTCATGAGATGGACACCAGATGAGACTCAGCGTTTTTCAACAGTTTCAACTGGTAAAAGAGGTAAAGATGAAAAATAAAATATTCACACAGCACAGTAAACTCACATATTACATATTTCCTTATTCTCGTTGTTGGAGTAAATGTACTGTGGTAGCTGTGCAAATTTGTCCAATCAAGAAAAGTCTCTTGAATGTACCCTAAACTCAAGAGGGAGTCAGCAACTTAGGGTTGAATATTGAAATAAGAGTTATTTTTAGTGATTTTCTCTGTGTTTATTAAAACAAACTGTTCCGAGGGGGTTTACCCAATCAATTCCAAATTTTACGGTGTATTATGACAGAAGATTAAAAATTATCAAAGGTTTTTGACTTCATCAGTGGGTGTGGCTGTGGCAAGCCCTTAAAAATAGTTGTTTTCCATGAAACAAGAAGTAGTTTTTCCTCAGCCAAGCATGCTCCAATCAGATAAATGTGCACTAAACATAGTGAGGGTCCAGGCCTTAACAGTCATATGCCAGTACTTGGTCCCAGTCATAGCGCCTCCTAGATGCAGCAGGAAATATAAGCATGACAGAATTATCTTGAGATGTTGGTCTTCATGTGTGCCAAAAACTGAGTTTTCATTAGCACAGTGTAGCGAGATTCGATGTAATACTCCCCAAGACATTTCAAACTATCCTAGCTCAGTCCTACATCAACAAGTCTCCGCAAAATTCCCTGTGCTTATAAAGGGTCCCAGTCTGAACTATCGCTCTAACTTTTTGTGTAGGTTACAGAGGCATTTGAAATATTGCACTTAAATATTAGAGTCAAGGGAGATTTCTTGCCAAATCAGCAGTTTATCTCTGGAAATAAACCAACATCAATGTAATGAAATCTCAATGCATGCTGTTTCACATCTGTGTGAAAATACTTATTTGTTCGTAACTTTTTTTTGGTGCACAGTTCAGGCTGTGGTGCATTTGAGTAAATTCATACATTCCTGCTCTCTGGCTTCGTTTTCTTTTCTCCTGTTACTTCAATAGTTCTCAGCTCTTTGAAATACATTGCTCCTCAGGCATCATTACATAATAAGTTTTCATAACCTGGTCATTCATACGTTAGGCAACTGAACCTCCTCACCTTTCCTTAGCTCAATTTTTAGCCTGCAAAACCAGGACAAGTGGCTTTGGTTGACCGCAGCTCTGTAATATAGAGGGGAGCCCCATCTGGCTGCTTCACAAATGCCTACATACATTCATATCCTGTTAGTTTGTAAAAGTGACTCCAACATCAGCAAAATGATCAACTGTCTCACTTTTTTCTCAGATGGCCCCAAAATCAATTAAACCCGAAGGTTTCTTGTTGTACCCTTGAATAGCCCAACTTCGACTGAACATGAGATTCTGTGAGAAACACAAATCCTGGACTCCTAGGTTTCATGATCTTATCAAGCTACCCCGACTTCCTGCTCACTCAGATATTCTGTCTCTTCATACTAAGTCATCTGACTTTCATTTATAAAAGCAACCTCCTAACTGAAACAAATTCAACACAGTCAGAGTCACAGAAAATCCCCCAAAACTACTGTGATACCCCACAATCACAAAAATCTTTCACTCATGTGACTTCTTACTTTGATTACTTTGATCACAGAATAAAAAAATGATGTTTTTAAAGACAATTTTACTAGCTTTGTGATTACGTTATATTAATCTGATAATGTTTTATTATCTTGTGATAAGGGCTGTCACCATTTTAGATTTTCTCCTCAAGATTATTTTGGCCATGAAATGTCATAGTAACGTTGTTATTGTGATCTATTTCTGGAAAACTTGACATTTAGAGATGCTGTACACTGTACATTTCCTCATGGAAATGCAATCAGACCGAGACACTAAGGCAGACGAACTACAGCCTCTGCAGTGCAAAATGATTAATATGATGATTATTCCTTCAAGGAAATGATTGAGTAATGATCAGAAATGTTCTTCCTTGAGCTTTGTCACCCCGCTGCAGTCGATGGACTCACCCGGAGGTCTCCGTACAAACAAGCGGCTGCTGGAAGAGAGTGGGTGAGTTGTGTTTAGACTCTTTGCTAAAGAAATCAGGCAAAGTTAAAAAGATGTTTGATGACTAGTACTATGGTTGGGACCCTATATGTACTGTTGATGAAGTTAGGTGCTGTTCTGAGCATTATTTGTGGCTATAGAGTGGCTTTTTGGTTGAACATGTGGCTCTCTGTATTGCTATTTGTGGTTGTTACTAAAGTTGGTAAAACTAGAGAAGCAAGCGGTCATCGACTTTCATCTCTCGATGGGATGTCTAACTCGGTGTTGCGGTGTGTTTGACCCTAACTTAATTTCACGCCGGAATATCCCTTTAAACTGAGAAGAGGCAAACTTTCATATTGATATGTTTGTCTTGTGTTTCTGTTACTTTATTTCCTACATTCGCGGGACTGTGCTTTTATTTTGAAGTACATGCAATTTCCGGTAGACTGTAAAGTTCCGAGTAATTCATGGATAACAGAACCGTTAAGAAGTATAAATGTTAAACTAATCAGTAATTTGGAGAGACACACGGTATTTATATTTAGTTTTACTAAATTTTATTGAATTTTAGTTATTTAATGTATTGAGTCGTCCCTTAGAGAGCTGCTTCAAGCTAGCACAGGCAGTCCGTTCCGTCTTCGTTCCTCCTCCGTAGCAACTAGCAAAATGACGCGAAGCTAACTTATGTGGATCATAGTTGGATACAGTCCAGAAATCTTTGTAAAAGGCATATTTTCGGTTTTGTGCCAGTATCCGTATCAATAGTTTCATTTCCCACGGAGCACTTTTGGTTTAAAAGAGTTTTTAGACGTCTAAATTTAGACCGAGTTTAGACTAAATCTAAATCTGGGCTATACTAAACGGTATATTTCTCAACGGCTATCATAATTATCTTGGTTAAGTACTTGGAGATCAGTTATACAACTCACAGTTGCTTTTTGAAATAAATAGTTATCCAATAATGGGTTAAAGTGTAACGTCTAAATTCCATTTAAAAATATACAGAATCTAGACAGTTGAAATTAGGTTAAAAACAGACATCTAATAGCTGTCTATTGCTCAGTGGGTTAAGAAAAAAGACCGGTTTTTATATTCAGGTAACAATAGACATGTACGTAAGTTAGTTTCATAGTTTACACTGAGAGGATTGAAAAAGTACCTCCTAAGTTACACTTGAAAACAAAAGAATAGCAGTTTCTCATGTAAAGGATGACTAATCATATTTATTGTAGAACAAAAGTCCATTAGGAAAGACATTACATATTCAGTTCAATTTTCTATAACTTTCTATAAGTGTACAAACTACACATACAGCGTTGCATAATACAGTAAAATGTTGTAAGGCACTTTCCATAGTTCATCATATGAAGAGGTATAAAGCACTAAACAGTTTGCATACATTCAGAATCACAGACCACCAAAGCAACTGTCTGCAAATCAATCGTCCAACCTAATCTCATACTCTTATATGATAAATGGAAACCAAACAAGAAATTACATAGTACAAAGGAGCTGGTGGGCTATAATGTGTTATTAATAAACATAAACAAAGTAACAGTATTGCAGAAAAATGTTAAAGTGCTGCTCTTTAACAGTCCATTTCCAGTAATGTTGATGGAGCCGAAAAAAAAAACCCCATTAAATAAACAAAAAGTCTGTTGTAGCTTATTATTCGTACCCCGACAGTTGTGTGGAACTGTTGTAGAAAAGTAATGGCACACCTGAGATTGTGCCGTTATACTTGGTATTTTCATGACTGTAATTATCTCCCATGTCTGAATCATAGATTTGATGATATCCAGTACAACAGTGAAAGCTTCATGCTGATGTTACAGTGTTACAATATTTCAGTGTTACAGTTTAATTGAGGCTTTCGTCCAAAGTAATGTTCATCTGAGAGTTAGTACTACACAAACCACGGAAGGGAACAACATTAGTGTCGTGACGACTTATAGTCTGGTTGGACACAGGTACTGAAAGACAATGATGTAGCCTAACTAAAGAAGGTCATAATGCTGTTCCCATGAATATGTTTCACACATGGGATGATAAATGAAAAATACACAAACATGTTTAAATGAAACATATCAGATAGAGATCCAACGCTGTGTTGGCAGGTGTGTAAGCTGTAAATGCTCCAGAAATTGTGCCTTACAGATGTTTTTATGGCTGCAAATACTTGCAAATGGCAAAAAATAAACAAAAATAACCCTGATTTACTAAATGCCACTATTTGAAGTTAAACAGCTTTGTTGTTGAAATGATTACAGAGCTGATTTGACTGGTGTGATAATGTTCCAGACCTGTCCTGGTCTTCAAACTGGTCTGAATTCTGTATTTGTCTCTGCCTTGTCTCTTAAAAGATTTAATTTTGAGACTGATTTGTTTTGGTTCCTGTTAAAGAGTACTTGGGATTTTTGTGGGAAAGAGGATCTTTTAGAGAACACCAGATAGTGCATTTTGTTTTCTTGTGAAAAACTTAAAAGTGAGTCATAAGGGGTGGGACTTGCACTGGTTTGGGAAAATCAGCCCTTAGCTTACCTGACCCATGGTCAATATGACCTTAAGTGGTGGTCACCAAAAAGGGTCGGGACTTTGACCCAGTCTTGCTATGTCTTTACGTTTGTATGCACTCAGTTTCAACCCCTGAAAGTCTTGGTCTCTCTAAACATTGGTCTTTGTCATGTCATGTTATCAGTGTAGACAGTCATAATTAAAAACAAAGAAGTCACTGCATAAACCAGAGTAGGCCACTTGGGCTTACAAACCAGATTGTGAAAACCATCCAATGCCAAACACTGCCAAAGCCACTCCTCTTATCAATAAACCTACACTGTTGGACTGCAGCCATAAGACAAGCCCATGAAAGAGCCTTGGAGCAGTGCAGGGCAGCTCAGTCATTGCTAACTCTCCTTTGACATCCTTGTGTGACCAGTTTGCTAACTAGCTTTGTGAAGACTTTGGTTCCTTTATGTCTGTGTTGCTTTTTAAAGCTTCACATTAAATTTCTGATCCACGTGAGTAGAAGCAAATAATCAGATTTCTTCTCCTTCAAATCTGAAGAGTAGAGGCAATTTGTCACATATCCTTTGGTTAACAGAAACGACTCTATAACAAGCAGCTTGACTGAGTCAAACCTATTCTCAGTTTTTGAACAGCTTAACATTACGGCACTTTAAGTTAAAGCACTAATGGCTGAAGATGGTGCCGTCCTGTGGTCTGACCTCTACAGATTCAGGAACCCAAACCTAATTTGGTTTGAATTTTTCAGACTGTTCCTCTTTTATCTATTTAAAAAGTTTTACTACACAACTTTGACACACATTGAGATTTAAAAAAATTATGCACTATCAAATAATAGATTTATGAAAGTGTTTGGATCTTGCTTAAAAAACACATAGGTTCAAATCAGTTAAATGCCTTTGTATCTCGTTTTCTCCTTGTCTTTGCTCCCAGACTTTGGCCAGGTGTGCTACATGTAAAAGCTCAGTAAGGTGTGCTAAATAAGGTGCACCTCGCCTGGCAATCAAGTGTCCATATCCTCCTGTTTAACATCAGAGGAGAGAGGCTTTTGTTGTTAGGGCTGCTGGTCCTTCTACTTCTCAGTCAGGGATTTTGCACAGTGGTTACAATGTGCGCCTTTTGCGGTCCAGATTAGGTGGTTTGTTCATTTTAAATCTTGATGTTACTAAATAAACAGATTAGGTTGATTTGGTCAGTGGTTGAATTTGGTTTGAGCTAACTTGGTTGCCCAATGCTTTATAAATGAGTCTTTACTTTTGGCCAAGGACCCTTTTGCACTGTAGGTTGCCTCTCTGAGATTCTTGGAAGTCTGATGATAATTGCGGGACAGGAAGATCAAACACTGATGCATAAAGTTTCTCCCTGCACAGAAAAACCTCTCTGTCTTCAAGGAGTGACTTCTGTGGCGTGGGACAGGGGTTTGAGCTCAGTTTGGGAAGCAGCGCCAAGTGTAGGAAGTTCTTTTTGTTCCACTGGGAGGTCGTCCATGGGCTGGCAGAGCACCCATAGTCTCTGCGGAGAAAGAGGTCAAAGAGTGAAATCAAATACACTGAAAGCTGAGGATGAAACAGTTTAGTCTATACTAGTTTGTGGGTGCCAGGAGGTCTTATTCTGTGCACTGAAACAAGTGTGGAGATTCTTAGAAACATCACTAAACCAGCCAAAACAGTGACCTTAACAGTCGAGATTTAAAGAAATACTCTGGCTTGTTCAAGTTCGCTTGTATGACGTCTTTGTCAGTACTAAGCACAGTATCCACAGGAGATTAACAAGACAAAGCCCCTGCAGAGGAGTTAGGCTATCAGCTGCTGCAGATGAGGTCTACTAAAACCCAAACTCTTGCAGTAATGTCTGTGTGGGCGTACAATCTGTCGAAGATTTTCAGCTCTGGGGTGACTGACAGCCACGGTCATATGTGGTTTACTGTGTAAAGGAGGGTAATTCTATGGACTTGAGTTTACTGAGGATTTGTCTTGGAGAGAAAATGAGGTGTTGCTGTCAAGGCATAAAGCTCCAAGAACAATGTACGAGTGTCCTGTTTAGCGTTTATGGGGGGAAAAAAACTAATTTAAGTATTTCCACATCTGTTAAACCATCCTATTTAACTGACTTCCCTAAAAATCCAGCTGAGAATTCTTCAAGAAAAGCCAGAAGTTTCATCACAAACATCAAGCTGTACTTATGTGACCCCTGTACTCTACCTACCCCCCACCAGTCTTCATGGAAATGTTCAAGACCAGGTTCAAGTGAGGTCAATGCATACATGCAGCTGTTATAATTTTCAGAATGTATGGCTCTGTGTGAGTACAAGAAAACAAACAACGCTGAGGGAAGATGAAGCGCCACAGCACAACTTTCATAGCTTAGCGACATCATGCCACATCAGAAATTGAGATTGTGGGCGCTGACAGTACAAAATATATCAGTAGTGGACACAGGCCTTTAACAGAAAGCTGAGGATTACACTCACCTGTCGAAGAGAGCCTTTCCCTTGCATTAACTGATGTAGCACAAATAAGGGGATGAGGGACAGGGAGGCTGAGGCGATGAACCAGCCCAGGATATTTGCCCACAGAGGATAAACATACGTGTTACTGAACTTCAGAGGAGAATACTTGATAATGGAGAAGATGAATGTGCCCTGTGATTGGAGGAGATAACAATAAAACTCGCTGTTATATTGTGAACCTCTCAAGACAAGACATGCTTTCAAAATGTTATTTTATATGAGGTTTCAACATGGTGGACTAGGGGATGGAAAGTAGAACATTTGAAACCACTAGAGGGGGGAGTATAAATGGATCCATGTAAATACAATTAGATGACAGAAGTTAAAGTTGGGGATTTAGGTTGATACTTGTGCTTTACTGTTATTAGAGTACAATGATTGCACCATCTACGTAAAACTGCACAGGTGTTTGCATTGATCGTGTCTTCTCATGTATGAGACAGACAGCGACACATGAAGGGAGTAGATCATGTGGATCGATCATGTGATATTGTAAACTTACAAAACAGAATAAAGGGGTGATGTAGCTCCAACAGTACTTCATGAACGGCAATGGACGATAGCCAATCATGTGTGTGATGTTGTCATAGAAACGATCAGCACCTTTAAGGAAAGACATTTATTTATTTCATTTCATTTAACCTTGTTTGGCCAGGCATGTCCCACTGAGATCAGAGAACTCTTTACAAGAGAGACCTGGCCAACACAAAGTTTCAGCATCAAAACAATCAGACAGAAGATCTCAACAATCCATTAAAAAAGTCAGAACAACTTTTGCAGAAAGCCTGAATTTCAGACTTTTCATTCAGGCAAACCCCGTTTTGCAATTTGAAATCAGACTACAGATTTTTCCAGGGGATGTTTAATATTTATATATAAATATATTATGTACGTTTGGGAAATTTTCTTCATGAGAATTGGTGTCCCCTTGTGGTACCCCCCTATGGGGTTATAGTGCCTCTGAGGTAAAATAATCAAACAGCTTGAGTCTTTCCATGGAAGAGTTGGTGAATCACTCAACTGTACACTCTGAAAATGATTTGATGATATATATATTTTATATTCTGACTGACAAAAGTACGAGTCTGGTAATCTGAAATATATTAGACTACCCGAGATGTACAAGAAGGTTCAATCTCATTTCCTGGGGCTTTCGGTAGAAATCCAAACTCAAACTGTCAATTTTATAAGAGTTTATTCAATTAGAGAAAAACTTGTGTCTCTTTTATGCACAGGAAATATATAAATATCAATAAAATAATATATAAATGTTGGCATGCATTGTTTGTATCTCACCGTACACCCAGGCAATGCTAATAGACTGGCTGAGCGAGAGGAGAAGCAGAGTGGTGCCACTGCAGACATGGTGATCCAGCAGCTGTAGAAGGTACATACCTCCCTGAAAAAGTCCACAGAGATGAACTTTAATCAAAAAGTGTTCCCACAAAAAAATCCAGCCAATACCTATCAGCCAAAGTAATGAAAAATGCCCCCTAACAGTCTATTGTTACTCTAATGTACAGGCCCAGCTGTACATAGCAGAGAGAGGCAGACAAAAAATTCAAGTCTTCATAAAAATGTACAATAATTTATATATTCTCTTGAAATGTATATAGACATGACTTTTTTTCCCCATGTTTCTGTGGTTCAACTCTCTACAAATCCCTTACTGAGTGTTTCAGTGTCATGAGCCTTTATTTTGATGTAGTACAACTTATCCTCTCGTCCTCTAGTTTCCAAATACTGCATCAAAGTTACAAAAAACGGACTTGATAACCATCTGTTTAGTTGAAATCACTTTAAAGAAAATTTCAACACTTTTCCGACACATAAATATGCTGTTATGGTTTATGGTTAAGCTCAGTGTACACAGGACAAACCTCAGTGACCAGGGTGAATCCCAGCAAACAGCAGGTAGTGCAGATAGCCAGCAGCACCAGCTCACGTCTGCAGCCTTGGCGTAAGTGTGTCGGGAACAGATCAACCAGGGAGGTCATCAAACACTCCAGACCAACAAACTGGAAGGAACCAACAAAAGAAAAGTGAGTGAGACCTTTTTTTTTCTATTTTACCAATTCATTCAGAAATATATCAGTTCATATACATGTATTTATTTATCTGTTTAGAGAGGTTTGGCTAGTACCTGGCTGTCCAATCCAAGGAGAATGATCATGATGAAGAAGCACACTGACCACACCTGAGGCATGGGCATCATGGCTACGGCTCGTGGGTAAGCTATAAATGCTAATCCTGGACCTATACACACATGAATACAAAAACACAATCAACAACAGAGGGTATACGCATGTCCTCTGTAATCCAGATAAACTAAGAACTTGATCATCGAAATACAGCATTTCATAAGATATGACATAAGGTATCAGTTTCTTGCCTGATTGAGCTACTTCAGAAATATCCACTCCTTGTTCGTACGTCATGAAACCCAAAACGGAGAAAATGGCGAAGCCTGCTACGACACTGGTGGCACTGTTCAGTAAACACAAGTAGAAACAATCCCTGAAAGAAAACAAAAAAGGTCAAGCACATAAGAGTAGATATTCAAAACTTTGCAGAAGTTGGTGCTTTAGCCAAGGTTTAAGTCTTCTTTGCTTTACAGCAGTTTGTTGATATAAAAGACAAGAAACACTCATATTTTCTGTTAAAAAAATCAGAGATATGGTGACATTTTGGTTTTTGCAGACCAGCCCTGTTCGTACTTGTAACAGTCATTGTTGTAAGTATTGTAGCTCCCAAGAGAGGTTAGGAACCCAAGGCCAACTGCATATGAGAAGAAAATCTGAGTGCCGGCATCCATCCACACCTGAAAAGGTCAAAGAAAAACCTATGAGTGGACGGGTGTATCTTTGGATGGCTGAAAGAGTGCGCTGCTCTATTCCAGAGATTGTATTTGTGATTTTACCTGGGGATCTGAGAGGCGAGAAATATCAGGGTAAAGGTAGTAAATGATTCCATCCATTGCCCCCGGTAAAGTAATGCCCCGTATGAGCAAAACTAACAGCATCACGTAGGGGAAAGTGGCTGTGAAGTAGGCTGCCTGTGAGGAGAGGGGAAACAGAGAAGAGAAAAGAGTTAGTGATATGGAGTACGGATTAGGAGCACGTTTTAGACCATTTGGAGAAAATTAGTACAAAAAAATCAGGAGAAAGGACAAAAATTTTGTAAGTGTTAGGGTTACGTTGGGGTAATGTTGGGGTAAGGGGGTTAGGGTTAGGTTTATGGGGTTAGGGTTAAAACCTCTGTCCACAACCTTTTAAGGGGCACATTTTGGACCATTTGGAGTCAATTGGTACAAAAAATTAGGACAAATTTTAAAAAATATTAAAGTGTAAGGGTTATGTTTGGGAAACGTTGGGGTTATTAGGGTTAGGGTTAGTGTTAGGGTTATGGGGTTAGGGTTAAAATCTCTGTCCAGGACCTATTTACCAGCATGTTTCAGATCATTTGGAGTCAATTGGTACAAAAAAAAGTTAGGAAAAAGATCAAAATATTTTGCAACTGTTAGGGTTACGTTGGGGTAGCGTTGGGGTATTAGGGTTAGGGTTAGAGTTATGGGGTTAGGGTTAGGGTTAAAATCACTGTCCAGGACCTTCTTAGGTGCAAGTTTCAGACCATTTGGAGTCAATTGGTACAAAAAAAAATTAGGAAAAAGGTCAAAATTTTTTGTAAGTGTTAGGATAACTTTGGGGTATTGGGGTTAGGGGTTTAAGGTTAGGGTTAGGGTTATGGGGTTAGGTTTGGGTTATGAACATTTTCTTACATTTGGCGGTATGGCTCCATTCTGGGAGTTCCCTGCCCTTCCATGCGTTTCAAAATAAATTGATTAAAATAAATTTATTAAAATTTCACACAGAACAGCGCACGCATCAGTGACAATACATATGACACTAAAAACATCAGACACAACATAAACAGGAGGAGCTGGGTTGGAGGTGGGTTGCAGAGGGGTTGCAGCAGGCAGAGTAGGCAGGAGAAGCAGTTTAAATAGGGCGCCACTTTGGCATTTGCCAATTTGAGTGGAATTTGTGTGGTCAGCTGACTGAGGTCTGGCTTAAGATCAGCTGACTGTAACCCTTTAACTTGACTTCGTGTCCTGTCTGAACTAACGCTATGCTCAAATTTTGGAGCACTTCTGAACTAAATTGGTAACACATTTACCCGCACGCAATGAAGAAAAGTAAGCTTAAGGAAAACACCCACGCTTCTGGAAACAATACATCCTTAAACTGGTTACACAACACAGATCATTGTTCAAAAAGTGTCATGATGTCATGGGTCCAAGATGTCAGGGATTTGGACAAAGGAATAAAAGTTGTACTCCCCACAAGAAAAAAAGGAGAGATATTATTTAACTTTACCTCATCTGACCCATCAGTGAACAAGTTTGTAGTTTAGCTCTTAACTCTTTGTAGTTTCAACACAGAGAAGAGCAAATAACTTGATACTTATCCATGCTAGAAATCCATGCACTCTATCAAAGCATCATTCAACCCGTCCTTCTGGACTGTTCCACGTGTTTCTTTAACATACTTTCTGTCACCAACCAGGCCAAACTCACTCGCATCACAAATACTGCTGCTAAAATCATCGGTCTCCCCACACCCAACCTCACAGAACTAGATAACAGATCCATCACTCGCCGAGCAAACACCGTAGCACAAGACATCACTCACCCACTGAACCAAAATATTATCCAACTACCCTCAGGGCACAGGAACAGGACCATTAAGTTCAGGAGGGCTCAGATCCCTGTAGCCATATACTAACTGGAGGGAGAGGTTTACAGTCGCCCCTGTGACCTTTATGGTCGAAACACGGAGGCTTACATTTGACCTGTGGGGAGAGGTTGCCATATCATGTCGACGTCCCATACCTGATTAAACTCCTCAACACAGCCAGGTAGAATAAATAAAAGCATGATGTTACGAGCCACCCTGTACACTCTGAATCTGAAACACAACATGTCAACATGGCCTTTCAAGCTAAATAGTTTATCAAGGTGTATGTCAAGATACCTATTTGAATACTGAGCTGTGTCTCTGTGTGTGATAAATGCTAATTCTGAAGTGTGTGAAACTCATAAACTCACGATGAATCTGCAAACAAAGTAAAATGTGCTGCAGCAGGCCAAAACATATGCATCAACAACAAAAAACGCGCTGCAAATCATTAACAATGCAGATTCAGAATTTGCAGCTTGTTTCTCTCAATGGAAAAGTGTTTTGCCACTGCAGCAGTTTTGCCCTTGTTATCCACCATATAGTGACAATGCACTGCTGATCACAGTAATATGGTAAGCCAACAGCTCTGACGCGACACTCCATATCTTATAATAGGATTACCTCCAGTGCGTTGTTGTTTATCAACAACATCCCCGACCCCTGAGTTGGCAATGAAGAGCTGCACGGATACCACTTTTTTAGCCCCTCTTTCACCCCCTCACCCCTCAAGTTATTTTTATTTTGATGAACACAAAGAGAAACGTCATCTTTATTGTCCTTTTCTATCTTATTCAAAAGGCTCAATGGAAGTCACCTACAAAAGATAAGTATGGGGGAGGACCAGAGCAACTGTTTCAGACATATCTGTAAACACATCCAAACATGATGTATAAATAATATAAAAGAGTCTCAACACAAATGGGAGTCTGGGTTGTTGTAGGAAGCTGCAGAGCTGCAAACTTCAGTATGAGCTTCTCATTGTAGAAGTGGTGAGAGATGTCCATTCATGCAGTTGGACTTGGACTCGTATGAATGTGATTGAGAGCAGGTCATCCAGTGCGCTGAGCCCATGAGCCAGAAGCAGTAATGAAACAGCCGAAAAAAAGCGGATCAGCTGATGCTTACACAGGGCACATGCTGTGCCTGAAAGGAATGCTTTATGCTCTTTGGAGAACATTCAATAAAACCTGGATGTATTCAAGGTGGAACTTTACGAGATAATTAATCTGATTTGTTTAAACTCAGAGAAGACACTGTGCACCGTGCTCTGACATTAATTTGTTCCTGAAACATGACTTACTTTGAATTTACTTAAATTTTTCTTTGTTCTCTGAGTGCTAATTTGGATGGATAGTTGTAATGGTTTGTCTCTATTATCTTTACCTTCAACCCAAAACAGACGGCACATTGTGCAAAATGCTGCAAAAAAACAGAATTTCATTTAAACCCCACATTTCATTTAAAAGTAGTGCGATAACAACATATCAAATGTTGATACTAAAAAAATAATGTGTTGTTTTATCAAAAATATATCCTTATTTTGAGCATGATGTTTCAGAAAACATGAGACAGAGTCATTGAACATCCAAAAAGTGAAGTAACACGTGAAAAAACACCAGGAGGAACATCTCCCGTCTAATTAGGTTAATTTTCAACAGGTTAGTACTATGACTGGGTATAAAAAGACATTTTAAAGAGGCTGAGTCTCACAGAAGTAAAGATGAGAGCAGGTTCACAACTCTGTCCTCAGCGTTAAAATGCAAAAAATCAAAAATTTCATCATCTACATTCGTATCATCAAAAGAAACCTCTGCGCAAAAGACAAATCCAAAATCATTACTGGATGGCTGTGATTTTAGGCCTGTAGGTGGTGCTGCATTGAAAAAAAGACATAACGCGGTAGTGGAAATAACTGCATGAGCTCTTAATCTTTTCAAAGAGTATAAAAGTGCATCGATAAATGCAGCTAAACTGTAATATAGGAAGAAGAAATCGCATATAAATATGATCCAGAAATGGCAGCAACTTCTCTGGACCTTAGCCCACTGAAGACAGTTTGACGGAGGGTTAGAAATGATGTGGTTTGTGATCACCTTGTTGAAGATTGCAGTTAACATTAGAGTGTAGATATCAGTAGAAACCTGCATTATTTGTCTATCTGCTTTCTGATTTTCACATAGCTTTTGTTGTAACATATTCCTCCTGAATCTAGAAAAGTCTCAAACCTTTTTCTTCTACTTTGCATTAATTCATCTAAGAGCAGCTTCACCTTCAACCATCTGCATTATAACTCTGTAAATGAACAGACAATGTACCCAGGCCTTCATGCAAAAGGTCAAGTGTATGCATGCTGAGTGGAAAAGTATTACTACTCCAAAGTATACTCCAAACTTGCCAACACTTCTTTGTAAGAAACGGTTAAGGTCACTTCGTCACAGCCTTTTAATTACCCTTCCTGTTGACTTGATTCCTTTCCAAACACAGAAATAGCAGATGATCCAGCTCAGGATGAGACACAAGCACAGTTCCCACCTCAAGCTGCCCACCTCCTCGATACCTCCAGAGATGTTCAAAACCCGCCGCCTAGACAGAAAGAGAGCGGGATTAATGACAGGTGAAACAAAGAGGAACAAATTGACATACTACAATTGTTCTGTAGGGGAGATTAGAACTTCCTGCTAAAGTAACTAAGATGTCAAAGTGTGTTAGCAGTCGACCGCGCTGCTACTCAATCTGGTGTATTGTAAACACAGTAGGAAAGTCAGAGAGTTAGAGGCTAAGATTTAAAGACACACATACTTGAGGGTGGATTAGAGAAGGGGAAAGTACTTCCTCTTGTTCCTCCAATTTGAAGGTAGATATCCAGAACTTAATTTAGTCAAAACTATTCAAGACAGAGAGTAGAAAGTCAAGTGGTTGTTAGCTAATAAAATACTAGCTCGACTAGAGTAACACTTAGCCTTCTTCCTGAGTGAATTCTGCAACCCATCTTAGGTTGGTTCTTGATCATCAAACAATGAGCGTGGTCCAGACCTGCTCTTGTTCCTTGAAAAGCGTCTTGAGATGACGACTGTTGTGAATTGGCGCTATATAAATAAAATTTGATTGATTGATTGATTGATTGATTGATTTTAATGTCATGTCATTGTCTGTTAGCACTTTATAGACAGCTATATGTGTTATGAAATATGTTGAATCAGCTGGTTTTGTTGTGGAAAATCCAGCATTAACAATGCACAGGAGATAGGATGAGATCTGAAGAACAGCCTGGGCGTCTTTTATTGTACAGATGTAGAAATCAATACAGATGACAAACAGGGTCTTCTTCTTCTACTCATCATGGGTATGTCATATCAATTCTTCAGAGGGCTACCCATGATGACATGTCATACTGTTCTGATCCTCAACACTTTGTTTAGAGTAGTCTTAACTCTCGCAGAAATTAAATGTTCCAACAGACAGATAGTTCGGGCTCCTGCAAGACAGCCTTGCTTGCAACCTCAGGGTCATGAGGCTGCATAAGCAGGTCAACCTAGATTATTTGTAGCTCCTTACTAAAAGATAATTACTCTATATTTCTTAACCTAAATGTATGAAGAGATTCTCCTACAGTTTCTGTTTGCCTCATCAACTTTAACCTTATGAGCCAAAAGTAGGCCGCACCACAGCGGTCCCAATAATGTGAAAAGATAAACAAATTTGTCATGAGTGAAAGAAAAAGAGGGGGAGGAACTCAGAGGTGGGTGATGGAAGTGGGGATAGAGGGGAGGAGTGACAGCGATAGGGAGGGCAGTGAAGAGAAATGGTAAGAAGAACAGGAGCAGAGATCTGAGAGCATTCAGTCACTTGATGCTTACTGCCAGAACTCCACAACCGGAAGAGTAGTGTTCAGTCTGGCTGTCATGTTGATGGTTGAATTTCGCTGATTTAAGTCCAAGCATGACTCTAAAAAGTAAAAAAAAAAAAAAAAAAGGAAAAGAAATGTGCAAACTTTTGACAAGTAAACTTGAGATATCCTCAAAACATGGTCTATCATCTACATGCTGTATTTATGTTTTTCTTTTTCTTTTTAGGCCTTCTGATAAATTACTTTGCCAACAAATTTCTGTTTCTTCATGTTAAATTGCATATATGAAAAGGAATTCATCTTGCATTGTTTTGGCAGTTCATGAAACGTAATTTTACAGATCTGAAGCACTCTGCTAGTAGCTGCAGGACAGCGTGGCCTACCTGTGTTCCAGTAGTTTCCACACGTGGCCCACGGCAACTCCGCACTGAAGGATGAGAACAAGTAAAAAAAGGCCCACGCAAGGATGATAATGTAGGAGGTGGCACTGAATGAGATGATGAGATGACTGGCGTAACCCATTCCTAAAAAAAACGAGAGGAAATTACAAGGTAAGCTGACTTGCAGAGTTTGCTACTAAAGGGTTGTAACATTATGACAGCTTCCTTAAAATACAGGGGGAAAGAGTCACTAATTACATTTGGTAACACTTTACATAATTTATAAATGGTAGATATAAGGTTTATTAATGTAAGTTAATAGTTACTTTACCATTAACAAGCAATGAAATTATGATTATAATTTTAATTGATTATTAATGGGCTATTTATTAAAGGGTTGTATAGGGTTTAAATGTTGGTTGTAAAACATCTTGATTAAAATGTGTGTCAGTAGCACTTTGTAAATGGTTAATATTTGGTTTTTAAAACTTCTATAAACGTTATTTAGATGATTATTGTAATGTTGTAACTGATGATTGTAATACTTTGTAAATGATTAATAAGTGGTTTATAAACCACCTATAAACATTACTTAGATGGTTTTTGTAAAGTAAGGGTTAGGGTTAGGTTTTAAAATTGTAAAATTTACAATTTATTAATGGTCTATATGCTATTTATTAATGATGATTAAACATTAATAAACTATCTGCTTACCATTTATAAATGGTCTATTTACCATTTATAAGTTATGGTTATTGCAAAGTGAAAATGTACTTATAATTTTTTTCAAGTTTTTCAGAAAATTTTAAAGTAAGAACTTTTACGAAAGAAATTTCTTGTTTTTTGACTAATGTACTTTTAAAAAAAATATATAACATCGGTTACTAAGAGAAAAATCTTATCAAGTGAATTTGTCTTAGTTTTGACCTAAATATTTCATTACACCCAAAATGAGCAACAGTAAAAAGACAGGTCTGACTCTGAATATAAATCTTAGGTCACCAAATATATATATATATATATATATATATATATATATATATATATATACACACCTAAATTGAGCAACGATAAAAAGACGCTCTGAATAAAAATCTTCAGTCACTAAATATTTCATTACACCTATGTTTAGCAACAACATAAAGACAGGTCTGAATGTAAATCTTTAGTCACCAAATATTTCATTACACCTAAGTTTAGCAACAACATAAAGACAGGTCTGAATGTAAATCTTTAGTCACTGTACTTTGAGCCAAGTTTAACTAGTACATTTTTGTTTTGGGCTTATATTTATGATCCTCTCTGCACAACTAGCCATGAAATAAGTGTGAAGGTACTGATCTAAGACAGTGCAATAACACTCAATAATTTCAAGAAGTTGGGTAACAAATGCTTTTACATAACTTATTGGGCATTTCTCACTCCACCCATCCCCGTGGTAGTGGGCAACGAGGGGTAGAGAGGTCATTGCTCAGTCGTAAAGTAAAGTAAATGTCCAATAAATAACTTTTTGCCTTTACTTTTGCAGATTAACCGACAATAACTATGAGATTAACTGCGCTTTTTCTTGGGAATTTTTATGCACTCTTTCTACCTGAATGTGCCTATCTAAAAAGTCATTTTCTCACCTTGGAAAAGCGGACAAATCTTTCTCCAGCACGTGATCCCCCCCTGGCTGGTGTATTGCCCTAAGGCGGTCTCGAGGAAGAACAGGGGGACCCCGCAAGTAAAAATGAAGAGGACGTAAGGGATGAAGAAGACACCTGGAGGAGGATTTGTACATTTCAGTGCACCGATGTTGATTAAAAAAATATCCTCGGAGTCGTCACAGATTGGCAGCGATGGGAGCCCGTACCTCAATCTGAGATCAACAGGTACCTCACTCACTCACTCACCTCCTCCGTTTCTGTAGCACAGGTAAGGGAACCTCCACACATTTCCAGGTCCGATGATCGCCCCCATCACAGTCAGCATGAACTCTGCTTTAGTCCCCCAGTGTTCCCGAGCCTCCACCTTCTTAGGGGTCGTAGGGCATCCTTTAGACACAGAAACAACTGTGCAGGTGCCATTCTGTTTGTTCATCCCCATCGTGCTTTTCTTTTTAAAATAAACTTTCAGAGCAAATTTAGTCTGGAAAAAAAAAAGAAAAGGAAAGGAAAGAGTGCACAAAATCTCTGCAGGTAAATGCAACTTTAGACTCTGTTAGTGATGTGAGCTAAAGGTGCAATATTTGCTCCGATTATGCTGTAACTGAGCATGATGTTGGCTGACACAGTGACTTTTTAAGGCGCATGTGCACGTGTTTGTTTTGGGGGAGGGGGGGCGCTGTAGAGGGGGCCCGTGAGTAAAGGAAGTTTGGGAACAGAGCACGAGGGCGGGCCACATCAGCTGTTCCGCCTTATATTTACTTTATTTACTTGACTGAGTGCACCTCATTGTGAAGCTTTACTGAGGATTATCATTATTATTTGGCATAAAAACAAACAAATTTGATGTTTTCACTGACATCCATACAGATCTCTCTCTCTCTTTTGTCTTTTTAGGATGTTATTTTACTATATCATTTTCTAATTACTAAACTAAATGCACTTTTTGCATAAGGCAGCTGCAATATAGTTTGGCTATAAGCCGATAAACCAGCAAACAACATCGACAGTAACACAGTCAGTGCAGCCAAATGTAAGAAACATGTGCAAGAGGGAAAAATAGGTTTGAAAAACTGGTGACCCCGATGAATTGGAATTAAGCCAGTCACGCACTTTATGATAAAAGGTTTATCAATATCTTAAAATTCGGGTGTATTTAATTCAGAGTTCTGTGTCTGACCGGAGGAGGGCGCTGCTCTCATTTATTCCTGCTTCATTTAAACGCCTCACTGAAACTGTGCGTCCTGTAGGGGAGAGTGGGGTAAGTTGAGCCACCCCCCGTCGCTTGGAAATGGTAAAAGAAATTGATAATGTGACCAAAATTACGAGATGGGCATCAATTCATGGAGTCTGTGAAGGTTAGAAGCACATGGGTGAAGGGGTTAGACATTTATTTACAAAAACAACATTTTTCACTCTTAAAAGAGATTTTAGTCTGTCATCAGTTTTATTAGAATTGTGTTCAGACCAAAAAAAGATCATTTTAAATTTGTTTTATACATCAGTTGTGGTATCTATGAGCTACAACATGAGGTCAAAAACCTAACATAAAAGTCCACCATTTCAGTTTAGAGGACTAATAAAGTCATAATCGAAGTTCAGGGGTAACTGAGAAAGTAAAGAAGTCTGATGAGAGGATCAGAGTTTCAGTTCAGATTGTTGAAATGTGTTACTTTGTCTTTTAAAAAATACAGCTGTGAATGTTCTGAATCACTTAAAGACATTCGCATGTTTAAATGTCTTTTTACAAAACAGCTTTTTAGAAGTTATATGCAACAATAATAAAAGAATTATTGTACCAGTTGAATAGTGTATAATAGATAAAAATACACATGAATGTGAAGAAGTGACTGTTATTTAAGGAGAGAGAAGGTGAGGGAGGGCTGGGGTGGAGAGTTGGGGGGGTAGTATACAGCTCAACTTACCCCGATCCTATGGTCAACTTACCCCATACACGGGGTAAGTTGACCATAGGAGACCACTTTTTTATCATGCTATATTATCAAGACAGTTCTGTTTACACTCATTCTGTTGGTTTGCAGGGATGCACAACATCTTGAAAAATATGCAGATACACTAGTTAGAGACAAGACTGTGATTGTCTTGATGTAGCAATCAGAAATATAAAAAATGGCTCATCTTACCCCACTCTCCCCTACTGCTTAGATTTAGGCCAATAACTTTGTTGCATAAAAGTTAAATCTTAACTATATAGGTACAGTGTGGCGTAGTCTGTGCACGAGTCGCGGGTACATTTGACAAGAATAGTTAATTTGGGACTGTCTTTACCATTTAACTACTGTAAAAGTTATTCATATAACCTTTAGGTGATGGAAAAATGACACCTTCTGAAACTTAAAATGCAAACTACATCTCTTTACGTTTTAAAACAAAGTACAAGGTTCAATCGTGAGAAACTGAGCAATGCCAGGAATGAGTTTACGTGATGATATGAATACTACAGTAAGCTTTTAAACAATTATGTAATAGTACAGTGTTAATTTCTGACCATTTTAACCATTTCAAATATGAGTTAATGATAATGGAGATGAGTTGTGCAACAATAATTTAAAGAGGGAAAGCAGTAGCATATACAGCAAACACTAATATGTATATCAAATAGCAGAAGAGTCCCCTCTAGTTTCAAATGAGACTCTTGTGACTTTATTAAAAAGTCAAAAAGTCATTGATTAGGGAACAGAAAGCCCATAGGCCATATTCTGACCCACCACAACTCTACCTCTGCCTCTTTCTTGAGCCAAGTTAGTCCATCACTACCATTGATGTCTACTGTGACTGCTAACGTACAGACAAGATAATATGATACTGTGAATATTCATGTTCCTTCTAAAGCACTTATCAGGAGTTTTTTATGCTTATCAAATAGACTTAAATTGAGGTTGTTATCTTATCAAGGCTTCTCAGAGAAAACAAGGCAGACTATCTATATCCTAATTTTTAATGCCTTAAACTAGGGCTGGGACGATATGCTTTTCTCCCGATTTGATTCTTCTACGATTATTCGGATGCTGATTCGAGTCTGCATTTTTAACATCCGTGAAACAGTTGAATGATTATGATTGTCTACTGACTATTCCAGGAACCATGTTTCCCCCCAAAATACACATAACAAGTAAGTCAGTTTTTAAGATTTTTTCTTTAATTAAAAAAAAAGAAAGAAAGAGGTACATAAAAACAGGAAAATCAGATTTGTCCACAGGGCGTGTGGAATTAATTGACATTAACCAGAAGATCCTCACAGGAGCTTCAAAATGATTGAGTATTATGGTAATTTTTGAAGGTTCTTAGCTTAAATCTTAAAGGTACAGGGGGGTAGTAGGAATACGGCTCAACTTACCCCTCTCCTATGGTCAACTTATTTATTTATTTTATTGTTTATTTAATGTGGACATCACAATTATTTTGGACAAACCAGATGCATTGTTTGAGTGTTTTAGCACATGTGCTAATTCGCAACACTTGTCCACAAGAGGCTTTTGAAGTGATAAAAGTAATAATAAAATAAATAGGAGAGAAAAAAAAGGAATACAACGTAAATTAACATTACAACAGTAAAAGAGAGACAGTTTTTCTGATTGAATACATACATAAGCTACAAAGCAAAGGCAAAAGACAACATGACCCACACACGGGGTAAGTTGACCATAGGACACCACTTGTTTTTGTCATGCTATATTATCAAGACAACTATGTTTACACTCATTCTGTTGGTTTACAGGGATGAACAACATCTTGAAATATATGCAGATACACTAGTTAGAGACAAAACTATGATTGTAATGATGTAGTTATCGGAAATATGAAAAATGGCTCATCTTACCCCACTCTCCCCTATATCTGCTATATAATATATAAAAAAAAACAACGAAATTTACCATTATTTTTAAGTTTTATTTCATATTTTGGGAAAGTAAATTAGCTGCATTTAAACGTGTTAAAATGATTTTCTAATAGGGAAAATGGCTAAGCAAAGGGACTTTCTTATTATCTACAAATGAATTTAGACACTAATATTTGTACAACTTTTGATAAATGCTGTATGGTTTGTAAAAATGTAAATGTCGGTGTCTTGTTGTCTGTAGTGTCTCGGTGCCGTCTGTGCTGGTGGACTGCGGCGGCACTCGGAGCCGGTGGTGGCCGTGCTGGAAACCAGTGAGCTCATTCTGGCTGCACGGGGAGGAGGAGGAGGAGGAGGAGGGCGGGGCTCCCAGCATCATCACCACCGGCCATCACTGCTTCATTGTACGGACCACTGCTGCTGCTGCTGCTGATGCTGAGATCATAGCGGAGGGGGAGAAATCTGTCCAAAATAAGGAGCATGTCATGGGCACGGTTTCTCACGGATTAGGACTTTACGCACGACGAGGATCGATTCAGAGGTAAGAGGAGAGAACGAGTGGTAAAACGCTGCTTTTACTGGGTTTATCATCGTCTGAACTGGGAGTACTGGGACTAGCGGGCCTGCTGGTTTGAGTCAGATTGATCATGCGAGGTGCAAACTATACTCGTTTTATTTTGTCTCCACGTTGACCTGAATCTATAACACTGCAGGAAGAGATGCAACAACCGGAGGAATCCCTGAAAAATGACCCTAATCTGAGTTTGTAGCGTATTAGCTCGTACATATCGGAAGTGGCAGAGCTCGGCCTACACGAGCAACCTCCTCCAAGATGACGAGGATGGAGCTCGTGTCGGCTGTGGGGATTTTCCTCGCCATGCAGGGCCATTTTACACACACCGAGCATCATGTATGTGTGTTTCTCTGCAGCTTTGACTCGCTCTACATGTCGTGCATTGGAAAAGCAGGTGTGCATTTGCTTCGATTTGTGTGCTTTTGCAGTATGTGTGTGTGCATTTTTCTGCATGACAGGTCATCACACTGAAGTGGTCATGTTTTGAAAGGATGCTGCAGTAATGTGGCAGGAGGATGCTTCAGTGGTCCACAGTGTTCAGGAAGGGCCCTGATGATCGAGACTGAGGCATCAGGTCTGGAGCCTGCTGCTGGTGCTGCTGCTGCTGCTGCTGCCTCAGGGTGTTACACTGGCCTGATTTATGCACATGAACCCAGCTGGGGAAGGTATTTGTCACACTTTTAAGGTCAGCAGAGATGTAGGTTAGTGACTGACCACTAGTTAATAGTTATAGATTATTGTGCGAAAGGGAAGGCGTTCAATATCTTGTTTTGATGAAGCAAAATAAAGCAAATAATGTCATTGTGAGAACAGAGTAGGATGAATTCTCAAGACTTTGCCATTGCAGTCATGATAGGGTGAAGGCACAGGGTGCAAATGACAAAGTAACAAGAACATAACAGGTTATAAATATACACTGATTAGGGAAAGGTCAAACAGATACAAATTACCATAAATAGAACACAGACTAATCATCAAACAGTGATAGAGACAATATAAGTATTCATAAAAAGGAAAGAAACATGATCATAACAAATAATGACGTGTTTAAGACACGATCAGATGAGATTTTGATGATACTTTAAAGGAGTTGAGGGATGATATTGATTTTAGAGATGCATCCAGATTATTCCATAGTTTCAGTCCTCTAAAAGTGATGTTAGACTGATGACTAGAAGTTCGACAGGAAGGTAACCGAAGATGGCCATTTTGTCTTGTTGAGTATGGGTGAGGGTCGGATGAAAAGGTAAAAAAAAACAACATTTCATTTCATTTTCATACTTTATTTCATCCAGTTAATATTTAAAACATTTAATACAAACAAGAAAAAATCTCAAACATGTGAATGAAAAGGAGCAGAAAGAAGAAAACTCTTTCATTATATATTAATTAACTAAACACATCATAAAAATAAACAACATGCCTTTTTACAGTTCAGTATTTCTCTTTTTCAAAAACAACCCACAAAACAAACAGAAAAGACGACGTTAATTCACATTCTTTCACAAAACAAACATACCAGGACTTAGATTAACTGAATTCCCTCGATTTATCAACATACTGGCTTTGATGATTTTTTTTGAAGATAATTATTATTTTAATTGACATTTTGTTGATGTTCTGACGAAAACAACAAGAAAATAGAGAGAAAAATCCTTTTCATTTTTGCACTTGTGCACGAAGGCTGGAACAAACTTGCCAATAGTAAGATCCTACAAACAACAACAGATTAGAAAAGCACAAAACAACTTAAATAATAACAAATTCATTTCAATTTGATTCAATTTTAGAATCTGTCATTTATCTGGAGTTGCACTTACCTCCAGTTAAGCAGCAGTGTCATATAAACATCTTGTACCTATGTGCCATCAAGTCTTCGCTGCATTCCTGCACATTTTCATCACTCCAGATGAAAATGTGAATTGTTAATGTTGATTTGATATCTAAATTTTCAGTAGCAGGGTTGTCAGAAATATCTATCTAAATAGATACATATATATTCTTTACAAATTCAACAGATCCTTTTGGCATGTCTTTAAGGATGCACGTTATGTTACTGTCCGATGCTGACAGACAGAAAGGAGAGGAAAGATAGAGCGATGTCATCTGGTCCGTATGTGTAATATTTTAGTCCTGAATAGGGAGCTTGACACCTCTGCAAAATGACTAACGCCCCCAAAATGACCTAAACAGATTGAGAAAGCTCATTTTCTGAATATACCTGCAGCACCACTTGATTCCTCCGTGCTATTGAGAGAGAGTATTTTATGTCAGGTCTACATTTTGGATGTTGTGAAATTAATTTTTTTCCCTGCGGTTTCATAATAGGTGGCATATTTTTTAACAGAAACTACCTGTTTGGGGCGGTAACTAATGGCTTCAGATCCGCTGTACATTGATTGGTTACTCTGCTATTCCAGATATACTATTTTAGGCCATATTAGAGACTATTGAACATCTCTAAATGTCACAGATGTAAATACTCACTCTGTGTGTAACTGCTCCTCCTCTGCTGTTAGTCTTACAGCCTCATTCATGAAATCGGTTGTCAGAGCATCAGGTTTAATTTTTGCATGGCTGCACTGTCGGTCAGTGCTTCAAAAAGCATATCTATTAAGATTAAAATGACGAAGCGTTACTGTAGAGAGCTAAAAGTAAATTAAATAGAGATTGGACAGTGATGTTATGTAAAATCACATAATCACGGTCTGAACCAGAGGGTCCATTAGATCATATTCTCATGACTAAATTTTTTATGGAATTAATATTTTAGAAATTCAACCAAACTAAACTTATGGTGAAAGTTGCATGTAAGTAAGATGTTTACATAACACTTTCCTGCTTTATTCCCAGCATTAGTAGATCTCTGTTTGTTGATAATTTGACCTCGGATAGAAAGATTAGAGCCTTTTTGGTCTGAAATAAGAAACATAATCTCAACACAAGCAGGAGAGTGCGGCTCAACTTCAACTGATGCGATAGCACTTTGAACCAACTTACATCACAACCAGATCCTAGACTGATTAAGCTTAAGTTGCTCATTGATGTAAGGGCGGTTCTGGCATCACTTTGACTAACTTAGGCTCACTTGATTGTGTAACAGGGATTTGTAAAAAGGCGAAATAGTCCTGAAATAAAATGTACTTTTAGCAGGAAATCAAAAGAACACAGAGGAAAAAAAAGATTACGTCAAAAATGCGCGTTTATTGTGTATTTATAGAGACATGACTTAAGAGATCTGCCTGTCTGGGTCTGGTATTATAGAAAAGTCTGATTTCCTGCTCCATATCATGAGTAGGAAATTGGGGGCTCATTGTGCGCTGATAAGATCAAACTGAATATTTTTTCATAAAGTTCAAGCCAAATGTTGTTTTTAATATTTACAGTACGTTTATTTTTCGTTTTGCTGCTTTGCTTGAGAAGTTTCCAACATTGTCCCTTTCAAAGCTATTAGGCCGTAGATGTTAACATCAACATAGATTTCACAGTGGCTCATACCCCATTATTGTGGGTAGGAGAAGCTCAATCTAAAAGGATTTGCTTGGGAAACCAGAGGGTTGCTGGTTCAGGGCATGTGTATGGGATTCTGTTTGTGCATATCAGCCTATGTGTGCGGCTTGATCTAACGGGGTGAAAAAGAATTGAACTTCCCTCAGGGATCAATATATAAATCTATCGGTAACCCTTTCTTTTACACTTATTACCAGGTAATTAACAGGTAATTATTTAGTAACAACATGAAATTATCTGGTAATTACATGATAACTACTAAGTCAATACTGCCAATTTTTCCTTTTTTATTTTTTCTGTGCAGCTCCATTTTCAAAAGCTATTTGGGGTTCTTATTTTCTATGATTGACATTTGATACAGCCTATGGGCGTGCGAAGATTGCGTAGCGATACGCTGTTTGAGCCGATCGTGTCACAGCGACTTACTTGCCGAATGCGTACAATGCTACTGCGCAAGTGGTCGTTCCAGGAAGTGGAGAAAATCCTGGAAATACCAGAGCGATTCGGCTTCAAATTTGTATGATGATGGAAGGTTACCTACCTGGTAACTAGACAGTATTGACTTAGTAGTTATCATGTAATTACCAGATAATTTCATGTTGTTACTAGGTAATTACCTGTTAATTACCTGGTAATAAGTGTACCGTAAAAGAAAGGGTTACCAATCTACCTTTTATGTCTGGGAGTCTGTTGGATTCAGCCCTGTCTTGAACCCGGACCTTCCAACAAAAACACCTCTCTCTCCCTTTAATCTCTGCCTCACTAGACACCTTGTTTCCTTACCTGAGAACAGTTTTAAGGGGCTTCTAGAAACTAATACCACGGTCCCCACTCCCCGCAAAGAAAGCTTATCTCTTTTCTTTAATCCGAACCCTAACCTGAGGCAGATTACAGTTTGTGCCGTGTTTTGACTGTTTAGTGGATGACAGATGGTAAGGTCCTGATACAGAAAATGTTGGCTCAAGGTTGAAGGATTTATTTTGGGAAAGAAAAAATCCTACAGAATGCAACAGCCTCGTCTCTTGCAGACAGAGAAACGCTCACTCAAGTGTGCTCTGCTCTGACTCTGACATGCCCCCAAATTAATGTGAAATGCCACTTCCTGGCTGTTAATAGACCTCCATTGATGCAGATTGTAACCTGCTGGCTTTTTTTTCTCCCTATAGCATTGCTTAAACCGCTGAATTATATTGCAAATTAGGCAAATTTGGCATAAGATGATGTAAAATTTTGCAACATACGGCATTTTCAGACAGTCCAAACTATCATCAAAGAGACTGGAACATATCTATGTGTCTTTCGACTTCAGAATAACATCAGACTGAAGCCTGCAGGCTGCAGCAGGCTCTGCTTTGCTGATGCTGTTAGTACTCTGCGAGACTCTGTCTGGAAAATCCGGCACTTGCTTCCAAATTTTGATATCTGAGGAGTCAAAACTGGGTCATAGTGCCAGTGTGGTTTATGAGAAAGGGGCTGCTGCAGTCAGCAGTCTTCTTGAGCTGGCTTTTAAGCATCTGTCAGCTCAGTGTATTGTTTTGACAGACTGCTCATTAACAGATTATTTTCATTGGCAGCTGTTTTTAGGGGAAAACCTCCATAAAGCTGCAGTGCACAATCTGTTTAGCGCTAAATGAAAGACAGAGTTAACAGCCAGTTTACTGAAAGAGAAATGTGAAGTGTCTGACATCTCGGAAACAGAGATATAGTCGATAATTGCCAAAAAAACAAATAAAACACAAATGAAAATACATCAGCATGTATCTGCTTTGTCTGGATGTGTGAGCAGGCAACTCCTCTGTCATAGTAACATGACAGGGCGATGGTATGTCAGACTCCTGACTTCCCATCAGCTCTTCTGATCATCTATGCTGGATCCCACCAAACTCTTCCCACTAATGCTTTAAGTCCCAGGGGTTTTCTCTGAAAGCCTTTAGCTTATTGTGCTTTTGTGGACGTATACAAATAATAATCTAAAACCACTCCACCTCAGTTTGCAGCGTATTCACTGTATTCAATAGAAACGAAAGAGGTGGGGCTGATGTGAGCAAACAACGACAGTGTAACCGCCTGTAAGTCTACTCACCTATCTATGCAAAATGAAGGTTTGAAGTTGATTTGAGGTGTTTGTTTTCAGTACAGAGGCTCTAATAAGACCAGCATTAAATGGTAAAGAGACAAATTTAACCATTTGCTAACCATTACTAGGTTAGCACTCGGACTTAGTTGACATCAAATCTTTTGATTTGACTTGGTTTTCTGCTTTGATTTACTGACTTGTGCGATAAGTCAGTAAAAGTGGAAAGAAACTGTCACGTTTCACAAATGTTGATTCTTTCTCATGAATCTCCCAAAACCTCGTCTACCTCGACAGCTTCAATGGTTCCCAAACAGTTTTATTGTTTTTTTTCATACCAAGAAACTCTTACATACAGCTACAGTTTGGGAAAATAGGAGGTTACTCGTAGTCTCCATGTATATTTAGTCGACTGTATGTGTATTCTCCCATAGTATCCACAACCTGTTTAGCTTATTCTTCACACACTGGGATGATAATCGTTAAAAGTTGCTTTCATTTAAACTTGATCTTAGTTGTTCCTGTAATGAAGGTATTATTTGGCTCTGTATTTAAATGGAATTTAATCAGACTACTGTGATGAATTGTTTGCTTGCCCTCTTCATTAAGATCTTAAAGTAATACTGAAAAGCTTTTTTAAGATCCAGCTCTTTAAACCCCTCCTGGCATAACAGCAGAAACGTCTTGTATAAGCACATGTTCTTCAGTGTGACTATTTCTTCCTGGAGGAACCACAAGTAGATGCACGTAAGGAAATGCTTCTCTTCCTATCTATCTATCTATCTATCTATCTATCTATCTATCTATCTATCTATCTATCTATCTATCTATCTATCTATCTATCTATCTATCTATCTATCTATCTATCTATCTATCTATCTATCTATCTATCTATCTATCTATCTATCTATCTATCTATCTATCTATCTATCTATCTATCTATGCTTGTTTGTAGCTAAGTTTTTGTTTTTACTCAGAATGTCAAAAATTTTCCTGTTGGAGAGATGCTTGCGTAGTGTGGGGTTTGTTTTTTGGCTCATTTGTTTGCTGAATAATACAGACTAATGCATCACCAGCCTTTCTCTGTGAAAATAGAAAATAAAATTGTCATCTTTTAGGTAGAGTTTGTTTTTTCTGCAGAGATTGAGATTTGCTGCAGGTTAGTGGGGAATTTTGTAGTTTCTTGTTCTCTCCGAGCAAACACTCCTCTTCTTTAAAGCTCCTGTGAGGAGTTTTTTTTTCTACATTAATGAAATAGTTAATTCACAGTGATTCTTTTTTTTATAATACACAAAAGCAAATAAGAAAACTTTGCAGGAGATGCTCTCACTTGCTGTATAGTATGCAACTACAAACCTATTTCTAAACTTTGAGAAGGAAAGGTCTCTTCAGGTAAAATTTATCTCTATCCACACGTGTCTTATGAGGGGTGATAAAGGATAAAGAGTATAATGTTTCAAGAGTTCCTTTAAAGTTTGATCACACTCTTGCTAGATAGAAGTTGTTTTCAATCCTCTCTTAAACCAAAGATATCTCCTACTTTGTCTTCCTGTGCTTCCTGAGTATTTAAGTTATTCAAATGTAAATCCTGCCATGTGAGAGGAAGGAGTGATGGGGAACAGAGGGGAAGTGAAATTAACCCTTAGTAATAACAGTAAAAACTGTGTTTTTATGAATGGAAATTAATGTCAAATAGGTCAGACAGCCAAGGTCACATTTGGTACATGGCTCAGTATTACCCATGATGCTTGTCTGTGTGTGGGTGTGGGTGTTACATTCACTTGACTGGCTAGTCTGGGATTATTTCTCAGGGCGGTCGGAAAATGGAAAATGGAAAATGACAGTAATCAGATTGACTCTGGCTCACGATGAATTCATTTCTACTCTAACCCGGCAGAACTGTATCTGGCTGCAGAGGACGGTTTATAGGTCAACACAGAATTAGTCGTCATGGTGAGTCGTGTTTGGTTTTGTATGGAGCTGGACCAACATGGATGTGGATGAATCATCATTGAAAAACTAGAGGAGTTAATGATGATTAATGTGTTTCTCCCTCGATGCAAATGACTTCTCACACGAATTGTTACTCAGCTTGACCAGGCGCACCACAAATATAACAACAAAAACATTTATTTTTTTGAGATATAGTTGTATTTCTGTAATCTCCAATATTTAAACCAATAGATCAATCATAATTTATGACAAGGAGTGAGTTGTGCTAAGCAGCTGAAGTGCCGTTTATGAGAGATGAAGAAAACCCTTCTTATAAAGACACTACAATCAGATCATAAACTGACCTTTGACCAAAATAATAAACATTTTAAGCGTTATCTAAAAAGCTTCAGATTAGGTTTCTGTTGCTAAGATAACAAAACAATTGTAAAAGGTTGTAAAAGACACTCTTTGGTAGTTTATTTTAAATATAAGTCAGTATTTTCTTCGGTAATTAATAAAAACTGTATACATTCAAAGACATAATACCCCCCACAGGACACAAATCCGTATTTTAACAACTTCATGGCATTTATTAAGGGATTTACACAATTTTTAATAGCATTATCCCCAGACAGAGAGGATTACCATCAGCCAGTCTGACAACTCAAGGCTTATTTCCTGTAGTTTTGCTTCTATAAAGAATGGATCACTTAATCATTAAGAGGTCATTATCAGCTTCAACGCCCTTGAAAAATGGAGCTTTTGGAGGTGGTACCAACATGAGAAAATCAGAAAAAAAATACATTTTGTTACCGATTTCCTCCATCAGAATCAGTATGTTGTAAAGTGTATCGATAGATTAGCTAATGGTACTCTCCTGCCTGAAGGGCTGTGAGTTGGAATATGGTTTGTTAAGGTTTAACCTGCGCTGTTTTCCCCCATAGTCCATCTTTTACTAAGAATAGATAACCAGCAGTGGAATACCTCATTGGTTTTTCACTGAAATATTCCTACAGCGTTGCATGTGTTAAAATATTAACATGTAAAGGCTGCCAATGGAGCGCTGAGAAAGACGGATATGTAAGCAAAGAAGGAGGGGGCTCCACTCGCTCACAGGAAAACAGACTGGCTGGTATGTGTCCAGAACCCCATACAGAGCAGTACACATTATATAACCATGTGAGTCAAAATGTGGTGTTTGTGTTAGCATTTGGTACTGTGGTTGTGTCTGAAATGTTACAATCTGCCATTTGACCATTTTTAGCGTATAAAACTGTAAAAAGGCTGCCACAGCTAAAAAAAAAATTGACATACTGAATTTGCCAAATTTACTTACAAGAAGATTGTAAATATTTTCATATTGTGTATTTCAACATAAATATTTTATGAGCAGTTGTTAGACCAAAGAGTAATTATATGTTTTAAGAGTATCTTATTTAGATATGGCTCATGGCTTATTCATTCTGTTTCCAATGATCTGCTCTTTGTGTTGAATGTAAGGCCAATTCAGAAGTGCAAAAAAACTGCAGTTCCTTAACTGTCCACTTGAGACTGTCTCTAAGAGCTATGAAACCCCATTAGAGTCTGTTTAAAATACCCATTTTTACATCAAGTTAACAGCCAAACCAATTCAAGTCCCGATACGAGTTTTTTTTATTTTATTTTGTAGCAAAGGTGCATTTTTATTACTCTGCTGCACCAAGAAGTGCGCATAACCTAAGCATAAGTGGTGGTTACTTCTTACCTTATGCAGAGCTAGTTTGAAAAATAAATCTTAAAGTTTGGGAGGTCAAAAGCCGACTTTCTGAGGCACAGATAATAAACCATGGTTTCAGTACATTTCCATTCTAATCTGTAATCCTGATCACCTTAGAGTGACTCTGATTCACTTTAAGTTTAGAGATTCTCTGAGAACAGGATGAGCCGATTAAAGACACCAAAGAAAGACTGACTGATAAAAACAAATGTAACTTAGTTTGAAAGATTCAAAGCCTTCATTAGTGTAAAAGGAAAAGTTGATGATGTTGAATGAAGCAAGAATCAAACAAGCTGATATGGCAATTAGTGTGTGTGCAGAACTAGAACAGAATATTTTCTTATGTATCGCTCTGAACTACAGCAGATAAGCCTGAATAGTTAAAATCTGATTTAAACAGGACTCAGAATTTAGGTCAGAGTGTCCAGACAAGGAAGAAGCAGATGAGTTGAGGTGTTCAGGCAAAAGAGGCAGAGTCTGAATTGCTCAACACAATAGGTAGCTGTTTTAAAGCTGCCAAATCGCCCAGTCCTACAATGCCGTATTAGACAACATAACAAACAAAAGGTTATTGATTGTGGGCTTTGGGTCTCGCATGTTACACAGTCCATTTCCAGTATGTCTGGATCTTTTCTCAAACGTTTACTGTAAATCATACAGTAAACTGTAACTTTCCCCTAGATTTGCAGACATACACAAACAGAACCCTGGATCAGTGAACGATTCACTCGGTTTGATCAGTGTGTCTTTTGGCCAGGCTCCATACGTGATACTTAAGAAGAGCAGCAGCGCTTTAAAAAAAACTGCCCATCCCTTTGCGGCGAGTTGAACCCATGTAGAGTTAATGTTCTTAATCTGTAAATCTAAAACTCTTCCAGCTATGTTATGTCGGGTTTCCTCAAATTATGACCGCCAAGACTCGATATTGTCACTTTTAAATGATGTTCCCATGATTTTAATGGAGCTGAAATGATAACTTGAAAATGGAAGAAATGCTGTGTATTGCATTGACCCCAAAACTATGACTTTCCAGGAAATTAAAGAAAATCCTGTTTTCCAAATGACTAAGCACTGCATGAGACGTACAAGCTTGTTTTTTTCTTTCTTTTCATCTGTTAAACTTTAGAAAACCCGCTGACAGGCATTAAAAAGGATCAACAGCACAGAATAATGCAAAAAAATAAAGATGTAATGAGACGTGGAGGTGTGAGATTTCTACCTGACAGCAACAACATGACACAAAGAATAAGAAACAAGGATCTGAACTCAACAGGTATAATCGTGTTTGTCTGTGGGCTCTGTATTTGTATGCATGGCGCTGACGGCTGTAGCGGTCTGTGCACCCCACATATGCAGAAGGTAGTTCTGATCCCAGCAGTTGCCAATTTGGATTTCCTAGGTCAAGACCCTTTGAGATTAAGGTATTTAGGCGTACTGCCAGCAGACACAAAGAGTTACTGTAAATTTAATCATTTGACTGACCCCAGCTACACCTCACAAATACAGTACATGCCATGAGCTACAAAAACACCCCCTGCACAGTCAGTTCAAAATTTCTAGGAAAGAGGAATGGATTTATTCGAAGCTGGTTTTTAGGGTTGAGGAGTTCGACATTCGTCGTAAAAATATCACGGATTTCTTAGAAATAGGCCTGAGTGCTGGGAAACAACAACAATGATGCATTACATCCGCCTCACACATTTACTCCAAGAACTTAAAACCCACACAAAATGACTTTACACGTGAGCTTGTTTGTTTCGGTTTTTAAAGACTTTGTTACCCTTCGGCTGTAGCTTTTCAACTCGGTCACCTTTTCTGTCCGTTCACAAAAAAATTTGCACTTCAGTTTCATTCCAGCTGATATAGTTATTTGAGAACTACGAGGGATGTAAATATCGTAGTTGAGACCACAGATTGATCATGATTAGACATTTATGCGGATTTTGTACCTTCAAGTAATGAAAGTTCATAATTTTGATGTCAGAAATCATCTGAGTTTAGAGAATTACAGTTGAATTAATGGATTATTTAGTTAGACCACGGCATCAGGTTCGGCAGGCAGAGGATTGCGTTGCTGCTTTTTGCGGATGATGTGGTGCTTCTAGCTTCGTCGAGCAGTGACCTTCAGCTCTTGTTGGGGCGGTTCGCGGCCGAATGTGAAGCGGCTAGGATGCGAATCAGCACCTCCAAGTCCGAGGCCATGGTCCTCAGTCGGAAAAAGGTAGATTGCCTTCTCCAGGTCGGAGGGGCGGTCCTGCCTCAAGTGGAGGAGTTCAAGTAACTCGGGATCTTGTTCACGACTGAGGGTAGGATGGAACGGGATATTGACAGGTGGATCGGAGCGGCGTCAGCTGTGATGTGGATGCTTAACTGATCAGTCGTGGTGAAGAGAGAGCTGAGCCGTTAGTTTTGTGCGTGTTTCTCAAAGTCCTTCCACATGCTAAAATGATATGAACACAGAAACAGTCTCTACTCCCGGAGTCTCTTCCTGATCAGTGTTCCACCTCTGTCATCCAATCCAGAGTATCTGATTGGTGAGAGTGTGTGCCAAGTGTTGCTAGTTAAAAAGAGAATCATCACAGGCTGCAGCGGGCAGATTAAATCAGCTGTTTGTGTTCTCTGGTCACTGCAGGGGCTTTAGTTTTGCAGACACAGACTGGCTGTGATTGAAGGGACTAATCATCCTGTGCCACCAACAGGAAGCTGTGTGTTTTTGTGGTTCAGTATGAACCATCACAGTGGTGAGATATCCGGCTGATCCTCTGACCTCAATTAAAGGATCTGTGCTCATCAAAGTTGAACTTAGTTAAATAAACGTTCACTTCCCACAGCACCATACTTATTTATAGTTGGTGTCAACTAGTTTTTCAGAGAAAACATAGACAAATTTTACGAAGCAATCTATCGCTACTTATCAAAGGGGAATTACGACAGTCGGATTACCGCCTCTTATAGGTTGCCAAAGGAGATTCACATACACAAGTTTTCATTGTATCTCCTCTGCAGTCTGTGTCTAATTGTGTCTCTCTTTGTCTCCCTTCCACCCCCAAGCCCTTTTGTCTGAGAGGAGAATGAGGAAGAGGAGAAACTGGAAACCTTTGGAGCGCCTCGGAAAGTTTCTGTGAAGTCTCAATGAACGCAGCTGAAGAGCCTCTCTAGTACTCGACTCAATGGCCAAGAAAGGGCGTACGAAGGGCGAGAAGCCCGAAGCGCTCATCTCTGCCCTGCAGGCAGCCAATGAGGATCTCAGGTCTAAGCTAACTGACATTCAGATAGAGCTGCACCAAGAAAAATGCAAGGTACTGTTCAACATTTATATGCATTCACTGTCCCTCTAATTACTTTTGAATACTTGCTTTCACTTTGGATTATATCTTAACTATCACAGAGTTGAATGTCCAAATCTTTACAACAAGCTTTGACCAGGGTCTCAATCATTAACGTACATATCATGGCATGAATATGTTTGTGCAGTAAGTTCGTCTGCATATGTGACTCATGAGCAGTCGATGGTAAAGCTCAGCACATGCTCCATGAAACACTCTGTTTTCACACAGTTATACATGGCGGATTTTCACAGACATGGTTAAATATTGTCACTGAACTGGTGCAACATGTACAAAACATGTGCTCTGTGTTTTCCTCATCAGCTGTGCATGTCATGCAAAAAAAAAAACAGGTACTATGTGAGCGAGAACAAGTGGATGGTTTCCTGTTACTCACATTAAATGATCTCTCTACAAGGACCGCTCTGATTTTGTGCTGTAATCATGAAGAAGGGAAGCACCTCTCCCATCGTCAGGAGATGATGACTTGTCAGAGTTTTAGGTTTGACATCTTAAGAGCTCAACTGCTATCCCTGTAAGTCCCCAAATGCAGAAACGTCCAAATTGTTGGTTTCTTACTGGAGTGTTCGTGGACAGAACTTATAGAGAATGTCAAAGTAAATCGGATAATAATGTGATGATAATAAATTGAAATTCTTTTTAATGCCACTAACTTTTTCACACACGATTTATACGTCTGGGGCTGTGACAATGGCCCTCAGCCTGCCCCCTGTTGGAGATCAGGAAGTAATGCGGCTACAGTGTTGTGGATGGCAAGCAGAAATAAATCTCCTTGAGCAAAAATTTACAAAGAATTATTCCTTGTGATTGTTACAATAATATTGAAGATGCATTTGCATAAATCAAGGATATTAGTTTACTTTTGTGTTGATTGGAGAATCAAATTGGGTTATTTGTTTATATGCAGATTAAACATAGTCAACAGTGCAATAAAACGCCCTGGATGAGAAGAACCGCTCGACCCAAAGAAGTGCAAACAACACCCAATAAGTACGACGAAGAATAAAATAGAATAATATATAATAATAATAAAAAAGTATAAAAGAAATATTTACAAAGTGCACAAGTGATGTAGCAGCTGCTGTCAGAGTGTGAACGTGTGCAATGGAGGATAATTTAGTGGGATAAATGAGGTACAAATTGCCATATTGTACATGATATTGCACATTACAGATAATATTGCACAGTTAAGTAGGTTAATGCATAGTTTACAATTATCTCTAGTCAGAATAGATTAAAAAATAAGTGATATATTTGTGGTGTGATTTCTTCTTTCCTCTTTCTCCAAAGGTGAGCAAACTAGAGCGCGACAAGGTGCAGGAAGTAAAGCGGGTGCGAGAGCAGGAGCAGCACCGCCACACTGCCATGTTGACGGAGCAGCGAGCCAAGTGGCACGAGGAGAAGCAGAAGGAGCTCCAGGCTCTCAGGGAAAACCTGACACGGCAACATGAGCAGGAGCTGGCCCGCCACGCCAAAATAAAAGACCAGGAGAACCAAAGGCTCAAAGCCGCTCTGAGTGCCATGCGAGACGGCAGCGGGGAGAAGGTGAATTAAGATTGTGCACAGAGTTTGCATTTCGAAACATATATGGGGAAATGAACAGATAAAGTCCAGTCAAAATAAAATCCTGAGGCAGCAGCTGGGAAATTGAACCGTGACAGGTGGGATTGGCACAGGACGGTCACCTTCATTTCATTTGAAGAAGGAGCTCCACCTAACACTGAAATAAATATTCACTCTGCTCGGGATAATCCCACAAAAAAAAAATCCAATAAGTATTCTGTTAAAAATTCTGCTGAGTAACACCATCATCCTTCCTCTTTTCCTCCTCCTGTCTTCTTCAGGTACGCACAGCGCTGACGCTGGAAGCCAAGGAGGAAGCACGGCGCTTCTTCGACCAGGAAAGAGTGAAACTCCTGCAGGAGATAGCAGAGCTGAAATCTGTGAAGAAGCAAACGGATGAGGCTCTGAGCAACATGATTCAGTCCGACAAGATGAAGGCGGGAGACCTGCGGGTGGAGCACCAGCAGCACCAGGAGCAGATCTCCAAGATCAAGTGGGACAGTGAGCGAGACATCCGCAGACTGGTCGGTTTCATCGATGTTAATGGGATAAATTTTAATTCAAAGTTGGATGTTGTATCACTTTTTACAATTCTAACTCTGTTTTTCCTGTAGGTCGATGAAATTAAATCAAAAGACCGCACCATTTTTGCTCTGGAGAAGGAACTGGAGTCGACAGCGGGTTTTTTGCAGAAGCTGCAGCTTCAGAAAGACGCTCTGGATGAACAGCTGTTTCTCGTAAAGGAGGCAGAGTGCGGCCTGGGGAGTCCAAAAAGAGAGATTCCAGGCAGAGCTGGAGACGGGGCAGAGCACTGTGGAAGTCCAGTAAGTAGATGGGAATATAAATGTGCAAACCAAACATTATTTTGAACGTATGTTTCACGTTCATCTTTGCTGTCGCTCTTGAATACAACCTTGAGGTCTGAGTGCTAACGTAGGAAAAAGTTTCTTTGCTCAGTCTGCATGTGGCCGTCTGATGGTCACTGACACAGATTTGCAGAAGCAGAGTAGAATTTGTGTTAGAGGAACAGATGAAATGAGCGTTCAAGAGGAATTCACATTTTCATGCTTGATTTACTCAAAACTGCTCATGCTCACTTTTGTTGGTTAGACTGCACTCACGGAAAGAAAGATCTAGTTTATGAATCACAGCTTTGTGTGGTTTATTGGGCCTGATGTTGGGCTCCCTTGGTTTGTTTACTAATATAATTTTAAAACAGGCTCAAATAATAACAGTGAATAAAGCTGATTGAGTTTACTCTGATTTCTAAGACAAAGATGAGGACATGGTTTAAGAGCGGCAAATTTAACCCTTTAGCATAAGTCAGTTTGGAAACAGGAAATCTACACACATCCTCACATATTGTAGACTAAACAATGAGGCATACTGATTTACGCCACTATAGAAAATCCCCCTTGACCTCCTCGTGGCAGCTGACTCTGAACTTCTTGTCTCGTCCCCCTTGATCTGTGTGTGGCCTTTGACACTGTCTCTCACAACATCCTTCTTGACTGACTGGCCTCTGTTGGAATCACTGACACACCCTTGAATTAGTTTAAATCTTATCCCTCTGGATGCACTCAGTTCACCCAACCCTAAACCTTAAAATCCCTGAAATGTCCTGTTAACACCGGTGTCCCCCAGGGTTTCGTTCTGGGGCCCCTTCTGTTATGGCAACAGGGATTAAACTTGAGGTCCTCCTTATTGTTATCAGTTCTACTTTAACAATAATTGTCCGTTTATCTCTCACCATAGACAACTCCGTGGTTTCTCCCTCCCTGCAGATGAAGAGTCTATTATTCTAGTGTCTTATCAATAATGTTACTCACTCTACATGTTTCCATCTATGCAACATTAATCACCCTCCCTCACTCCTGACTGTACTGCTAATCTTTTTTACATCATGCATTGATTACTGCAGCTCTCTATTGTCTCCCCCTGAAGTCCGTCCATACTTCAGCTCCCTCCAGTAATAGCATCACTAGCATCATTGCCTTTTATTCTTATTTATTTATAAGTGTTCAAAGTACTTATTTATTTATGTATGTATTTATTAATTATTATAATTTCCCTGTATTATTATTATTATTATTATTATTATTTATTATTATTATTATTATTATTATTTATGTATTTTTTTATTTATTTTATTTTTTTATTAATTTATTTTATAGTTTTTATTTTTTTTTCTAATTTTATTTTAATTTTTAATTATTGAATTATTTATTTTCTTGTTTTAATTATTATTATTTGTTTATTTTCTAATTATATTTTATTTTTTATTTATATATTTATTTATTTATTTTCCAATTTTTATTTTATTTTTTAATTATTATTATTATTATTATTTATTTATTTATTTTCCTTGGGTCCCCGTAAGCCTTGAAAAGTCATGTCTCTGATATCTTAAAGGGGTAATCCTTCTACAGTTTCCTCATTAAATATTATTGGCAAGTCGATCTTTTTGGGGATCTCCAGTAGTCTTGATTTGCCAAAACATTTGTGGAAAACTGAGGCAACAGACCCAATGTTTTCCTCCTAAAATCAGCACAAGATGTGGGGCTGTCCCATCATTAGCTCTAAATCACAAAAAATACACTGATAAGATTAGACTGCAATACTTCATAATCTAACCTCAACCTGTACTGATGAGATTGAGATCTCATCACCGTCTGATGATGTAATCTGTCTGCCACGGATACATAAACCCTCTTTATTAAATTGGACATCATTTTTTTTATTGTTAAAGCAGCTTCCCTCAACGTGTCAGAAATCTTACAGTATTAAATGTGGTATTTTTGCTGTAATTTCACACAAAAATGCTGCTTTGTTTTAGTGAAATTTTAATTGATAGTTTTTTGTCTTTTGTTTTCAGGACTTGAGGAGAAACCAGAGGCGCATAGCTGAACTCAACTCGACTATACGCAAATTAGAGGACCGTAACTCCCTGCTGGTCGATGAGAGGAATGAACTGGTATGATTTCTTCCTCCTGTCACTACTCACCCTACAACTCACCCAGTTTTCATCCCTGTTTAAATTCCTCTCAACTTAATACCTTCATGTGTTCGTTCCCTTCATCAGCTGAAGCGCGTCCGAGAGTCGGAGAAGCAGTGTAAACCTCTACTGGATAAAAACAAGCTGCTCAGCAAGAGGAACGATGATTTGACTCTGACTATCCAGAAGCTCGAGGACAAACTCAAGAGCTTGGCCAAGGAGAACCTTGAGATGGTGAGCACATAATCACAGCCACACTTTAACATTTCATTCCCTTCTTATTGATATCTTAAAGTACAACATTTTTTTTCCTTTGTGTGTTTGTGTGCATGCAGAAGGAGAAGATTAGCTCCCATCCTCCACTGAAGAAGCTCAAATCTCTGAATGATCTTGACCAGGCCCATGATGACCAGGAAATAGCTTTTCTGAAGCTTCAAGTGCTTGAGCAACAAAGCATGATCGACGAACTGACAAGAGTATGTTGTTTTCTTTTAATCTTGGGGTGCAGTGAACGTTTTGTTGGGCAACTTTTGGGGGAATTTGGTGTTGAATGTTAATATTATTTGTTTTCATATTGTTGTAAAAGTCTGAGAATTTTGTGTTTCTGGTTTTAAATGACGTTAAATTTTTACTCATTGTTTACTTATGTAGTTTTTTTGTTTCATGTTCGCCTGCCAGTGTGATCCAAAGTCAGACATGCTTTTTAAGGAGTTTCTTCCACTGCCTTTGCATCAACTTTAGGTACATTAAGCCATCTTTGTAACTCATTTTACAAATTCAATCAGTTGCAACCTTCGCTCGATTGGATTAAAGTGCATACTCTGATCATGTGACAACTGAAACAAGGACTTCAAATACTCACAACAGCCAACATTGTCTTGGGTCACAGACAGCAGAGGTTAAGTAAATTAACAAACGGTCTCTGCAGTGACCCAGAGGAATTATAGTTCCCTGGATGAAGTATTTGATGTTAATTTTAGATAAATAGTTAAGAATATTCTGCTGGAATAACTAAGACAGAACTGAATGTACGAGTTTGTCTTAAAGTTTGTGTCGGTGTTGTATTGTGTGTGATTACATTCTTATTAATTGATTCAGGACATTTTAACGTGACAGTGGAGTCATTTGTTGTCTTTTTCTCCCAGGACAGAGAAAAACTTTTGAGGAAGAAAAGACATAAAAGAAGTTCAAGGCCCATAAAGGTAGATATGAGCACGTTTTTTTTTACCGTCTTTTGGTTTGTTTTTGGAAAGTGTATACTCTTATCTATTTATTACTCTATATTTTAAAGTTTACATTGTTGTCTTCCTACATGTCTTATTACAGTTAAAGCTGTAGAGCAGACATCACTTATCTGTCATGATCTCATTATGGCCCCGAATTATCTAGCACAGAAATCTTAGTTTGAAATGCGTTTACTCAACTCAGGCTTTTAGGATGGAGGGAAAGTGCTGAAAACATATTGGTTTCATTTAAATGAAGACACACCTGTCTTCAAGGATTATGAACACATTTAAGCTTTGAAGGTCTAAAATTGAAAAAAAAGCCTGTTTCATTTCTTTAAATGTGTCTCTGCTGAAAAGATAAATAAATAGACCTGCAGCAGAGGCCTTGAAATTACACAGAAATCAAACAAAAACTCTGCCTCTGACTCTTAGATCAAAAGTCTGACCTGATTTCAAACATTTTTTGACATCCTGTAGGAAAATATAGTGAAAAATTATTCTTAATATGTAGAGAAATATAAAATCATCAAAGCGACTAAGACTCTTTGATCTGGGATCAGTTCAGCAAGGTGTGCTGACTGCTGCAAAAGCATGATAGAAGTCTGAAGAGTTGTAAATATTTTCTTCTTTGCAGAGGCACATCGTAGTGGACACGTTTTTCGGGTATGATGAGGAGTCGATGGACTCGGAGACGTCCTCTGTGGCTTCATTCAGGATGGACAGAACTCCTGCAACACCTGATGAGGACCTGGAAGAGGTGAGGGTTTTCCTTTGGCTCACAGGGAGCAACAGAAAGTGCTTAAGTGACTACAGCGTATGAGACCACTTTGTTGTCATGGCGTGACTTTCAGTGTCACCTTCAGGTCCCAATTGCATCTAAATGGGTGAAAGAGACAAAATATAAACATTGACTGAAAACAACTTAAACCTGCTTCTAGTTGCAGAGAAGCACTTTGGATGAGGACGCTGTTTGAAGAACAGAGGCTCTCATCACTGAAATATCTTAGTTTACATTTCTAGTTTCAGGCATTATCACAGGAAAGATGGACTTTGTAACCCTGTTCTGAGATGAAATACTATGAATAAAGTTTATAGTTAAAAAACTGTTTATGTGCCATTCAAGGGTCTAACCACAGAGGAGTCGGAGCTGCGTTTCCGACAGCTGACCAGGGAGTATCAGGCCTTACAGAGAGCCTACGCCCTGCTGCAGGAACAGAAGGGAGGCATACTGGATGCTGAGATGGAAGCAAAGGTAAAAGCAAATTCAGCTGGTGCAGTGACATTTTCGTGCCCGCCAGCGGCGTGGGAAGTGCGCTGAAAACTCGCCGATTCAGGCGGAGCGTAGCTGGTCTAGTGGTGTGCGGCAAAGTGCGCATACGTCACCGATGCCCCACAGGCAGTTTCCACAGTGTCAGGTACATTTCAGTGCAATAAAAAATCAACAACAACCAATATTTAGTGCAACTGACTCAGCACATACATTTAGATCTATATCGATATATTCTGATCTATATCTGATCTGATGAGCACATTTGGCACGCGTTAGGACATTCCACCTGACTGAATTAACACAGCTGAAACCGCATTAAATTAACAGTCACACATTATGAAGTTAACAAGATATTTAATTCGTCTCGCCTCGCCGTGGCAGATTTAAAGGTGAGGAGAGGAGCTGATATGATTGGTAAAAACAGGTCTCGCCTGTGTTAAACCCACTCCACGCCTTCCCCCCTCCCTCTATACTACTAATTATGCTGCTGGGAGGAGCTGAGTTAGGGAGGGGGGATACTTACGCCAAATTGTGCTTGGGCACGCCTTATCAGGGCATGGCGGACCTGACTTGCGCTCTGCCTGCGCCACAATGCCGGCGAAGGCACAAAAATAGAGCCCTTCAAGTTTATTCTTTTCATTTCCATTGATTTTGTCTCCGTTCTATCCATCTTCATGTTTGTTCAAATACACTTGTAACAAAGTATATGTATAAAAGCTTTAATCATCATCTTTTTTGAGGTTTAAAGTAAGAGATGACAGCACATTCGCGTCACACAGATAGTATAAAGCTGTAGGAATTGAGTTACACACAGGAACATTTCGTTTGTTATCCAGGACATTAGATTTCTTATCATATAGTTTGTTTCTGTTGAGCAGGCTGGTATTTCACTGCTTCACCGTGTCTGTAAGGGTCAGTTTGTTCTCTATCACAGTCTGGTACACTTGATCTTGTGTGATGAGTGAAAACAAAATGTCCAAAAACAGAGTCAATCTGCTCATAGACCAGCTGCTCAATGTCCAGTTTATTTTCATCAAATTCAATTACAGCCTCTGACGTGGAGTGGAAATAGAGTTCTATTCAGACATGGAGGCTTTTGCAGTCTGAATAAATAAGAATTAAATTCGACTTCTGGAGCTTTAAGAAATGTTTCCGGAAACTTTAAAATTATTTATCAGACTGAAAATGGTGAGACAATCACTTTCACTTCATAAACTTGTGGTTTGGCTGTGAAGCAGAGTACCAGTAGAACTTATCCAACGTCTCAGAGGTGATGAAAGAGGAGAATACATTTTCTCATCATACCCTGTACTGAAAAGTTAAGACTCAGCTGTGGACTTGTCTTTTATTATTTGCCTCAGGAAAGGATGTTGGACACAAATTAAGTGTTTTTGTTTTGTTTTGTTCTTCTATTGGACACTCAAATGTCTCTTTTCTCTTTTATTTCAGGCCCATGAGCAGCTCCAAGCAGACGTTCAGAGGTATAAAGCCAAAATAGAGGACCTGGAGAAGGAGCTGACCTTAAAGGGACAGGTTGGTCACTATTGTGCACTCATGAATGAAGGCAGATGTACTCATGGTGCTGTTGACATATCAGTGGGCACACCTAATATGATTCCCCGTACTGAAATTACAGCAGTAAAAAGAGAAATTCAATACGATGTACTCTGTGTGTATGAGTGTGATATCTCTGGATGTTGAAAAAGACAGATTATGCAGTAGATATATTAGATTACAATTTCCTTTAAAAATGATTGTCAGAAATTGAATTATGGTGAAATATTTCTTACAAGACCATGAAAGTGCTATCAGAAAGTTTATCAAACCTGACGAGTCGTTTCATCCACAGCAATGCTTTGCTCTGAATCACTGTTTTCTTATTTTTTCAAAGAACAGCCCTGTGTTAATTTTGTTACAATGAGCTTCCAAGATAATTTATAATATATTTTTTTAAAGGTTAAAGTGTGGGGAAATTATTCAACAAACTAAAGTAACTTTAATCTCCTTGCTGCACCCAAGCTGCTGATTTAAAACCATGAAATTTACAGTTTCACGGAGGGATAACTTATTACAGCTCTCGCTGCAGGATTTTGTTTTTAAAAGGTAACTGAATGTTTTAGAGGAAGATGCACCAGGCTGTAGATACTTTGATGGTTGTCTGTCATGCAACCCAGGATATTCTGACCTGTCTTTGTTAATGTCATGTGCTGTATGTCGGCGTTTGTTAAAACACGCCCCACGCTGTTAAGGTCTGCACACTGTGACATTTTATCTCTCAGTATTTGCTGTAAAAAGGTTTTTGAGTCTTCATGTGGAGCATTATACTATTCTGATGTTATCTATATAATATAGACAAAAAAGGCTGAAAAGTAAGAAGATGAATTAGAGGGCAGATCATTAAAATGGATAAACACTCAAAGGACTTCACTGCAGCAATGGTGAAGTTCTTTGGCAACAAAAAAATCCATTTCAGCCAAGTTACCTGCTAAGATAATCATGTTTATTAGATTTTAATGTGTATAGAATAATCAATCTGTATCTGACTTTTCATTCTAACCCCAGTTTTTATCTTACATTAATGTTTTTCTCTTCAAATATTTAGATGGCTGCACAGAGAGTTCCTTGTGGAAAATAGTTTTTCTGTTTACGTGTTTTTGATGAAATATTCACTCCAGATCAGTGACATTGATTTTCATTGGTTTGAGTCATTAAATCATAATGTGTTGTCGTATTTTGTTGTATAACAAAATATGTTGGATAGTATTTCTTAGACCCTTCTCTATCCATTTTGCAGGACTCTAAATGGGTGGAGGAGAAGCAGCTCTTCCTACGAAGGAATCAGGAGCTGTTAGAAAAGGTCGGACACAGTTTTGTGTTTGTTTTCTGAAAGCTTAAAAGTGACAGAAATACTAAATTTTCTGTAAATATATGAAAGAAGTCAAGATGTTGACAATTTTTTGTTTTCAGATTGGTCACTTTGTATGATTTAAACTCACAATGACATCCTGCAGTTGGTGTTGGTTAGGAAACTACAAAAAGAAATATGAACACACAAGAGATAATTTGAGCCAAAGTGTTTTTTCTTAAAAAGAGATATGGATGTGATTGAACACGGATGAAACCCATAAGAAACTAAGATGATAAACGTAGATGCACCTAGAAAGATCCTCTGAGAGAAAATAGACAAACATGAAAATGTCATGCCAGAATATTTAAAGACATCATACTTCATACTTCATACTCAAATGTCGTGTATATCTGATTCATCATTACTTTCTCATGGATTTCACCTGTTTGATCACACAGATGTTTTAAAGATAGTGACTCACACTTTTATTTCATGTCCAAAGAACAGCATGTTGGCTCCAAACAACATTTGTGTTCAACAAATCCTCTCTATGGGAGCTTCCCAGTGTGCAGTTGTTTATGTCTTTTTTTAGTGTACTTTGTATGATTCGAAAACTTAGTTGAACCCCCAGAAGGAAATCGATTTTTATTTGGTCTGTGGAAATATGCTGTTCACACTCTGAGGTGATGCTGACCCCTTCAAAATAGTTTTAACTCAAATAACCAGCCGTTTTTTTTCCCTCTATGATATCTTGTAATGTATTTTTCCATCCAGTGTAGCTGCATCGATCTGTTTTCTGTATTAATCCCGCTTCTTTATGGCGTTCAGGTGGACAAGATGGAGTCAGAGTGCAGCCGGGCACAGCAGGAGTTACAGGACTCCAAAGACCAGAACGAACTGTTGGAGTTCAGGATACTGGAACTTGAAGTGAGTCACAGAAAAAAATCTACAACCATGTTCTTGTGAAATAGCAGCGTGACATTTTCTCAGAAGAGAATCAGGAAGAACTGAATTAAATAGACTGTACACCCCGGGGGACACATCTAGAGACCATTATCACGGTCTTGACCTAAAAAACACTTTTCAACTGTTTAAGAAACAATAAAATAAAAATCACACAACTGTTCGAATGGTTTCATGATGTTATGGTCTAGATAGTTTTTTTTTCCTGGAACTGCTTTTGTGTGATCTGATCTCGGGGATTTTCTTGGAAAACTGCTGTTGTGAATTTCTCTGAACATCATCTGAACATGCAAACTAAAGTGAGCCCATTTTTTTTTCCTATATGTCCATGAATGTGTATATCTTTATACATTAATGTGCATGCATTTACTTATAGATAGCTATAGATAACGATCTATATACACACATGCCATTAAAGCCATTAAAGATCAGTCTTTCATCACAGGTAGAGCAGGGTACAGTTTTAATCTCTCTGTGGAGTCATTTGACGCAGACAGTCGTCTACACAGACAATACAATATAAACAACACGACAAATGATCCATACACCTGCTATAAATCACAGTGGTAGACAGTCTGGCTGAATCTTAACCTCCCCCCCGAACCCTGAACCCTCAAGGACTTAATTGGCGTTGCCTGAAAGGTGATCGAGTGCATGAATCCGCGAGGGCGCAAAACATTACTGGAATCGTACAGCTTTTTGTGACTTCTCAGAAAATACTGACGTCAAACCGCGCTCTTGCTCTCCATAGTGGTGGATTTATTTTACTTTTTTACATGTTTTTCCCTCACAAACCTTCTCTGTTATTCCTGAAACGATCGTGAAAATAAATACTTCCCCTTTGTGCTTTCTAAAAAGAGTCAGAAAAGCAGTTATTTGATTCATCTCTGTAGACGCTTGGATGACGATATAGAGGCTTGTTAGTTTTTATGCTGCAGTGTGAATGAAGCCCTCCAAGTAGAGAGAGGGTGGACATCGAGATTGGGCCTCTGTAACTGTAAATGCTGCACTTGGGAACACTGAATAGAAGCATCTAAAAACTCCACCGGTAAAGGATGCTGAGGGTTCGAAACAATGACGTTTGCCTTTCATTTCTCTCGCTTTAATTATTTTAAAAAATGGCAAAAAGGATAAACACTTCACAATTTATTACACTCTTTTCTTAGATTTACTTTGACTGCAAGAGAGGGTTCATAGTACATCATACTCTGAAATTAAGGGACAAAATCTGGGTTAAAATTCGTATCGTTATTCAGTTTTACAGTTTTATTTGTAAAATACTTGCGTGTTTTAAAGACTTCTATGTACATTCAGTCACATACTCCAGGCAAGTCTCATTAATAACCAGCTGACAGGGGTCTTTGTGTCCTCTCTGTGCTGCAGTACAGAAACTGGCGGCAGCTTGTGAGGTCCAAGCTGCCCCCTAGAGAGCAGAGAGGAGAATGGATGAACAGTAATGACTGAACAAAGATAGTCTGAACAAAGCACCACCTACTGAAAGTTACATAATCAGGAAAAAGACACAGGGCCTATTAAAAACAGGGGGCTGAGGTTAGTGGAAACGCTAAATTTGGTGGACTCTTGGCTGCAGTTTTTATGGTAATTGGCGACATAAACAGGATTGTTGTCAGTCCTGAACAGCAGAGGTTGTTTTGTAACCTCGCTCATAATCTGTAATGTAAATTTGCCCTCGACATTTGTCACAAGAGGTAAATTCAAGTATAAATATTGCTGAACAAAGTTGAAATGTTCATTTCTGTTGTGGCAGGAGCGTGAGAGGAGATCCCCTCCATTCAACCACCTGAGAATGCATCCTTTCTCTGAGGGCATCAGCGCGCTGCAGATCTACTGTATGAAAGAGGGAGTCAAGGTAAGAGAGGATTCATCTGCTGTACAAATTTATAATTTATCACAGCAGAAAGGAGCCTACTCAACCTTCACACAGTCAAGTCAATGTTTTTGTCTTGATTGATACAAATGCTATAAAGTTAAGACTGATTTTGTTTAATCTGTGTGATCCTAATCTTCTTTTCCGCTGTTTTCTTTGCAGGATGTGTGCATACCGGATCTCATCAAGCTTCTAGATATCCTTGGAGATAACGGGGTAATTCATGTGCGGTTTAACAACCTCAGCTTTAACTAAAATCACCCTTTTGCTAATCGAGGCTTTTGTTCTATCCCCCTTTTGTTCAGAATTTAAGAAACGAGGAACAAGTGGCCATAATTCAGGCTAGCACAGTTTTGTCGCTAGCAGAAAAGGTGAGTTTGAAAATCTTATTATGGGTTCTAGTGTGATTTTTTAATACTGCAGACACACACACACACAGAGTGATGTTTGCTGTGCAGACTCATGTTTGGATGTTTGTCGCCCTCTAGTGGATTCAGCAGATTGAAGGGACGGAGGCAGCGCTGCACCAGAAGATGATGGACCTGGAGATTGAGATGGTGAGTCACTACAACCCAGGAGAGAGAGAATCTTTTTATAGAGATGGTGTTGTAGAGTCAGATGATTGAGGCTAATGCATCACAGACTCTCTTAAAGCAGTCATCTATTTATTTTTGTTCCAGTTAAATCACATAATAAATGCTTCATATATGTATGAATAGTTGATGTTTACATCTCCAAAAGTGTCCCATCGACAGCCAGTATTTTAAAGCTCCTGTGAGGAATTTCTTGACATCTCTAGAACTCTCTAATAGCGATGTGTATGAAATGTTGTGATTTACAGCCACAAAACTGTTCCCCTTTTTTTTTCTCCCTTGTTCTCTGCAGGAAATGTTCTGCAAACAGAAAGGATACCTAGAAGAAGAGCTAGATTACAGAAAACAGGCCCTGGACCAGGCCTACATGGTGAGTGTGCATTTGTTTCTGAGGTCAAGACCTATACCCCCAATTTCCACTGCGTCCAGAACGGCTCTGCTACAGAACAGCAGCGATTTTCACCGTTCGCCAATTCCCACTGGATGCGTTTGTTAGGTGAATTTCGTGGCAGATTACGGACAGTGGGAATCGCAAGACCTCAAAAAGAATCCGTGGATTCACATGCAATCACGCGATAACGAGTTGTTTGTATAAAGACAGCCACATAACCATGTAAGCAGTAGATTGTGTCCTTCCAGAGGAGGAAATCCACTTCGCCTGGAACACGTAGTGCTTTATTTTGAAAAGAAGCCGGATGTGTTATTTTGTGTCTGTGCCCGACTTCCTTTCCAGCACGGGCGAATCTGTGCTGAATTTATGCGGCATGCTGCGGCGTCTGGAAAAAAAATGGAACCCTGACGATCAGCTGCAGAGTCTGCTGAACCGCAGCGGGAAGCAAAGAAGCCGGTGGAAATTGACACATTAACTTGAATGGAAACGATCAGCTGCAATCAGCGCATACGGCCTTTTTGCAGCCGTTTCGGATGCGGTGGAAATTGGGGGTTAGCTTTCGAGTAACAGATAGATGATGGCATCAGTTTGGGGTTATGCATGCGGCTGTGGTCAAAAGTAACACCACCTCTTTCCTCTCCTCCAACAGCAAATCCAGGAGCTGGAAGCGACATTATACAACGCCCTGCAGCACGACAAGGTTCCCCAGGTCGCTACAGATTAAAACCTTACAGTTATTAAATGATAGGATCACCTAGACATGTGTCAAACTGTGAACTTTGGGTATCCACTCATTCTCCTCTGCAGGTGATAAAGTACGGAGAGCCTCTGAACGAGCTGCAGAAGGACGAGCTGCGGACAGCGGTGGAGAAGCTGAGGAGGCAGATGCTGAGGAAGAGCAGAGAGTACGACTGCCAGATCCTCCAGGAGAGGATGGAGCTGCTGCACCAGGCCCACCAGGTCGGTCTATGAATCTACAAATGTTTGTGTGGACATGGTAGGACAAATAAAACGAGTGGACAAAGAAACAGTCCGCCTTGAATTTAAGATTCAGGCAGTTATTGTGATTTTGTTTTCTGGAGCCAGATTTGACCATGCTTGAGTAAAACGTAAGTTATAAGGCTGTCTTGGTTAGCAGTGTTTTGTCATTCCTGGTATCTGAACAAAAGCAAACTTTGGCAAGAAAAGATAGAAACCAAATTGTATCAAAAGGTACAGCCAACACGAAAAAGCCGAAATATCCCCAGAGGATTTTGAGAAACCGTTAAATCACAAGCTAGCCTCTTCTTACTGTTTTCTGTCTGAATGTTTGCAGAGAATTCGTGATCTTGAAGACAAGACAGAGATCCAGAGGAGGCAGATTAAAGACCTGGAGGAAAAGGTAAGTTGTGTTTGAGGTGGAGAAGAGAAACCTGCCGAGAAATGTCAAGAAGCTAACTGAGGAGATTAATTTTTAACAAGGTTGGAGCGCCCCCTTCTGACCGGCTACAGTATGTGTCAAATCAGAATGAGATTTTCCTGAAAATGGTTTAAATGTAGCTGTTCAGTGTTATAAATGAGGCATAAAGTCATGATCGATAGCTCTGCTGACTAATGAGACTGGATGAACCAACTAAAGAGGGCAGGTGAGAGGAAACATAATGAACACGAACAGTCATTGAGTTTGACATTACTGTAAAGACAAAAGAAAAGACAAGAATCTGATCTGCTGACTGTGCTGACCGGAGGATTCCTGCTCTTTTATTGACCAGTTAAATGTGTGTTTTGGCGCGACATCAGCAACAAAAAAGAGAGTTTGTACTGCATAGACTCTGGTGAAAAATACACAGTTAGTCAGCGCTTTTTAAAGTCCCACTCCGATCGTTTTTTTTATCGATTAAAGTGTTCTCAGGGGTCTTTAAATTGTGATTGTGAAGTTACCTGTCACTTTCAAGGGCTGTTCTTCTGCAGAGCTCCGGTAGCTCATTAGCAGTCCGCCTCTGAGTTGTGGGCGGAGACAGCGCTTGTTGTATTCAGCTCTCCGACACTAATGTCTTTGGGGACATGATGAGAGTTAATATCATAATTCGCTTTCTTACGAGCATTGCAATCCACTAACGCACACGCTTGTTCCACGATCGTAGGAGTTACGTAGGAAATCTCACTGTATCTGAACCTGCCGTTTGCGTCTGTGAGAGATTCACAGTGATTTGAATGCAGAAATACTCAGAAATGCAATTTTGCACTTACTTTTCTCATTGTATGTCCTGTAGCATCAGAAAAATTCCATATGAACATGTAGACGACAAGAAAAACATGATTTTCATCGGAGTGGGTCTTTAAGTTTGTATCATAGAAGGGGCAGAAGCATGTTGCCCATGATTAAATATGGTAGCATGGTTGTACGGATACTGTCAGTTTCCCTGCTGTACAGTTAACCTCTGTTTCTGTCTCTGCTATTACTAACGTATCTGTAATGTCCCTCTAACCCTCTCCCTCCCTCTCTTTGTCCCTCCTTCATGTCTCCTCTCCAGTTTTTGTTTCTGTTCTTGTTCTTTTCTCTTGCCTTTATCCTTTGGCCTTGAAGTCTTTGGCGTGTCCCATAGCAGAGGTGAGTCCTGAGGGCTTTGAGTAGGCAGTTCTGAACACCTCCGTCTCTCCCCTCCCCTCCTCCGCTGGACCTCGGTCAAATACCTTTCTCTCGGAGCGGAAACCTGCGCAGCAAGTGTTTGGGTTTCGTTCAGACTCCACAGCCGAACTCTGGGAAGGCTCCAGCTGCAGAGCCTAAGTTGAACTTGACAAGCAAAAAATTGGCCTACATTTGTCAAGCATTTACTTTCTGTAATTGGCTCTGAACTTTAGAATAAGAGTGTTGTTAGGCTGTTGTTTGTTTGGTATTTACTATAAAACCAATTATGGTAGTAAATCAAAGATATAAGTTGATTGATCTTCAGATAATACAAAATATAACTTGTACCAGAACCTTCAAACAAAGACAAATACACTGAAAACTAAACCTAGCAAACCTTCAGATCTCCAGCTCTTGTTTTAATTCAGTATTTGACTCTGGTCTGGTCTGACTCCTCCACACATTTACTCACCTCATCACGCCCTTACTGAATATTCATCTTTCATTTCTTCTTTCTCTTCATGCTCTTAAAATCTTCCCAGTAAAGCAAAGTCATTAATGTGCATGTTTTCTTTATAACACTTCATGTGCAACTCATTTTTACTGACTGGTTTACAGATAGTAGAAACATCCCCATAAATATCCTGTTTTGTTCTTTATTATTTTGTATGTTTTCATCAACTCGTGTCATATTTGTACTTTTTTTAGTTTGTTTTTTTTTTTTGCATCCAGCCTGTACAAACAACACCGACTCTTAGTTTCACAGAATTGAGATGTTACAGCTGAACAGTGTGATGCTAAAGGTGGTTAGATTTGCAGGGGAAAAGTAATGGGAGGAAAACACATGATTATCTATATTTTGTGTGTCTTCCCGTAAAGGTTTCACAAATCTAAAACTCTAAATTTAAAGAGTCTCTTCACTGTTGGTGATCATTAGGCTCAGATCTGACAAGTGTTTGAGTTTTTTTGGATCCAGAGGTTGTCCAATGTAGTCTAGAGAAGAAGAAGAAAACAGTGATATCTCATTTATTAGCATTTTTAATTACAGAATTAGGATTTTACCTTCATGTGGAAAGTGGATGTTATTTATTTTTGGTGAGTCTTGATATTTCCAGAATAGCTGGACTTGTTAAACAAAAGAAGAGAAGTCAAAATCAATCCCCTTGTAGCGCGGTTTTAGTCCTTAAGATATAACCTTGCTTCTTGCTGATTGCTGCTCTGTGTATGGGTTAGTCACTGACTTTTTCTGGGCAGGTGATGGAGGTTATTTTCAAGAAACGCCTGCATGTTTGGCTAGAAAAACAGTCCTGTAAAAAAACATCAAGCAGGGATCCTAAAACAGTTCAGTTGTGAGTTAAAGTCCTAAAAAGACACCAAAATGTTGAAGGAGCTATTAGGGCACTAAGAACTAAAACAGACCAGTTTAAAATCAGTGATTATGTTGAAACTTAAAAGGACTTATATACTGAATAATTTTATGATATAACTTTTATTATCTACCTACTTTTATTTATTTATTTATTTTATTTTATTTTTTATTTTTTTATTGCAAACATTTAACAAGGCATGCAAAGGAGTGAAGTCCAATATGAATTATAATAGAAACAAGGAATAACAAGAAATAAAAAAAAACACCAATGAAAACAATAACGAGACAAAAACAAATCAAAAACAACAACAACAAAAAAGAAGAGAAAAATGTGATTATGGTACATCAGCAAAAAAAGGCTGAAAAAGGCAATTAGAGCAAAAACGCAAACGAGATGGGAGTAGGGAGTATCAGTCACCACTGTTCAAAATGTATGGTAGGGAATATTGTTGCTTGATTGTGTGGATGAGTACAATGTATATGGTTTGGGGGCAAAGCCTTATGTAAAATAAAAATAATAATAATAAGGAAAAACTAATGAGCAACAAGTGAAAGAAAATTAGATAAAATAATGATTAGAACTTTTATTTTAAGTAGTGGAAACACTGTTCAAACCTAAAACAGATAAATTTAATTGTTAAATAAGTGTAGCTGATGGCTTCACTTATTCTTTGTGACTCCTCTCTCTCTCTCTCTCTCTCTCTATCTCTCTCTCTCTCTCTATTTCCCTCAGGTGGTGTGTCAGCTCGGAGATCTTGTTTGTGACTGCAGTGTTATTTATTTTCTGGTCAAGTGTGGAACAACGTGCGTGGTGGCGGCGGTGGCTGCTAGTGTCATATCATCAGTGACTGCTGTTGGTGTAGGTGGATGTGTCAAGTGTCGGCCATGGAAGTCCTCACTTCAGATATTATTATTATTATTATTATTATTATTATTATTATTATTATTATCATTATTATTATTTTTATTATTAATTATACAGGGGTTGGGGTTCTCAGGATACTGCCCAGGACAATGTTTTTTTAACACGGTGATGGACATTAAACGTATCTCCAAACAGCGGGGAGTACTGTAACAGGCTGCAAGAACAACACACGATTTCAAAGACACTGAGTAGATACAGACACACAAAATGCCTACACACACATGTAGAGGATAAACACACATGCATGCAGATGCATTTACACACACATTCACACACACTTACATGCTTTGACAAATCGAAACCAAAGCCTGGGAAATGTTTTCTCTGCCATGCAGGGTAATAATACGCCATTCACTACCATTTAGCCACAGTGGGAATATAAACAGACACACAAGAAGTCATAAACAACAAGGCAAACAAACCGCCCGGACCACAACTTCTGTTCCTCTCTTTTTTTTTCTCTTCCAAACCTAAAAGGAAACTTTTTTTTTGGCAAATGCAACTTCTTGGTGAAATGAAGCGAGCAAACTCAGGGCCTATGAGTGCAGAGGCTGCTTCAGGTCAGATCATCACAAGAAACACTCGGACATGGTGTGTCACCGGTTGGCCTGCCCTCACTGTTCCCACAATGGTGCTTACACAGACTACTTGGACTCTCCAGAGGTTAAACCTTGGGAAAAAAAAACAGAACTGCACTGCAGAGACGGGTGTGTATGGACACTAGAAGGGGGATAGAGGACACTCAGGTTGATTCGTCTTCACTGCGAGATAAAAAGAGGAAGAAAAGATTAATTTGGAGGTATTTAATCTCTCTGATCCCGCTCCATTCAAGCTGGATCTCCACATACAGGTTGTTAAACTTCTTTTGAATTTGTCTTAAAACCAGCAGACCGTAAGAGCTTTACTCTCTGGTTGTCTCTTTTCTTTTCTTTCTTTGTTACAGCCTACAGAAACTGTGTCCCAAGATTTCCACTGAGAAAAAAAACAAACAAACATCTATTCTGTACTGTAATATATACATTTGTTGATATGTACATGTGTCTGAATTATTTCATGTAGTCTCCCCCTCTTTTATTTCTGTGAATAGTTGCACTTTTCTTTAAAGCCTCAAGCAGCTTGAACAGTTGACATACTTGGCAGTTTATGAAAGACTCAGAAGAGTGTAAACTGTTCTGTTTTCTTGTGGTGACAGCTGCGAAAGATGGACTTCACTCCTGGAAAATTATAACTAAAGAGTTGTTGGAATATGAATGTGGAATAATGGAATATTTGCCTCCCCTTTCCCTCTTTCCACCCATCATGTCACACACACACACACACACACAAACATAACTGTTTTTGTTTTTCTCATGTCTACAATATGTTACTCTGGTTGGCCAGCAGGGGGTGCTGCTTTCAACTTAGCAACTTTCGATTTTCCCTTTAAACTGGTACAAACCTGTAAATATTTTCAGATTACCTTTATCAACATTATCAACCTAAGTTCAACGATTGATGAGTTTGAAATCAGAACTAACACTGAAGTCATTGGAACTTTCTGATAATACAAAAAAACCCTGAAAAATCTAAAATTATAACCCAAAAAAACACTTTAACTTTTTTTTTTTTTTGACACACAAACTCATCTTAAATGCATAAAAATCCTCATTCTTCACATTTCTTGTGTCAGACTAGGGGCGTGTCCAAACTTTTTTGACTGGAGCGACCAAACTACAGCTGTCTCTTATGTAGGGGTGGGCACTCACATACTCACATCCCAAAAACAGCATTAAAGGTGGGGCAGGCAGGATCTGAGGAAGTGCCAGTTTTTGGGAGAAATCTTGAATGTAAACACTACCCCTCCCAACCAGTTTTCCCCTCAGCTCCTCCTCTCCCCTCCCTCTCTGCTCCAGCAAGCCCCGCCCACAAACAGACGCCCATCCTCATAGTATTGTTTCAATTAAATTCAGATATAATGCAGATAAATACTTCAGATAATTACAAATGGGGCCCAGTCAAAGTAAAAAGCATTGGTGCTACTGTAGATGCCAACAGACTACCAGCAAACACAATGTTTGCAGGACTTCTACAACTAGGATAAAGTGACATAGTCCAGGACCCGAGGTCAACAGTTTAGCGGTGCTACAACACGCAGCAGGTCCCGTTTGACAAGAAACACTTCTTTTACAGACACTTAGCTTATTTTTCTAAAGCGGTTTACCTGTCCAGCAGAAAGGTTACAGGGTCCGTAAGATCCTGAAGCGTCCTCCATCATTGTTGACCGGGCTTTTTAGCTCTTATCTGGCTTTTAAAGCGCCCGTTATTCCGCCAGAGTCTGCGGTATTTACTTAGTTTTATTGCTTGTGTTGGCAGTCGTGGCTAAAGGAGGATTCAGACAATTTTCTGTACTTTCTGGTTGGTTTCTACTGTCCAATATTGTAGCACGCTAACTTTGTTTGGGCCCCTGAACGACACGGGGGAGCAGCATCTGCCTCACAACCAATCAGGATGAGGGAGGCGGGGAATGGCTTTGTTTACAGTCAGAAAGAGCGGAGCACTCTGAAACTTTAAAATCTTGACTACACAAACATAATAAAACACAGCGATATCGTTATATTACCAAATGTCATCAGTGACTGATATTAACAGCTTTTTTTGTATATACACCACAATAAAAGATGCTTCTTTAACAGAATCCTGCCTACCCCACCTTTGAGTTAAAATTTATCTCCTATTTATCATTTCTAAACATAAACAATAAGGTCTCTTACAGATGTTAAAATCATATTTGAAAGGTATTTTTAATTGGAAAAAATGCAGAAAGAGTAGCGACATAGAAATCTCCCATGTTTCCTTTATCCCAAAAAATATCATGCAATTCAATAAAACATGAACATCAACATGGTACTGATTGGATAGATAGACAATCCTGACATAGAATTATGGGAAAGCACTTCAGGGGGAAAATGTTTAGGGGGACCTTGTCACCCCAAGCCAATCCATGGACACGCCCCTGCTGCAGCAACTCGCTCAAAGTGAAACAGGAGAAAGTGAATGCAACACGACACTCTCTCTCCTCCTCTCCCGCCGGGCTCACTCTTTCCACTCTCTGCAATATTTACAAGTTAACTATGCTCTCTTCCTACAAACCTGAGCTGGTGTATCCACCCTCACAGGTGTAGTGTGTCCAGTCATCTCACTACACAGCAGACAGTATCTAAATGACCAACTCCATTCACTTTACTGAGGGGGATGACTGAGACTATTTCTGTGCAAACTCAGCTATCAAGCAGTTGCCTTAAATGCACTTTCCCCTTTTTTTTTCCACAGTTATTTTTTCAGGCGGTTGATATGATCATGTAATGTAATGTAATGTATTGTATATTTTTTGTTATTATTTAACAGAGATTTTTTTTTATCTTTAACCCGTCTGTCTTCCAACAAGAATTTAACCCCTCCTCCTACTTTCATCTAGATTAATAAATAAACTGAGAAAATGAGCAATGCTGTAAAAAATAAAAAAAACACATGGCCTTTGACGGTAAGAAGAGATTGTCTTATTTTGGGTTTTTGTTAAAGGTGAGCCATCTTCTGTCTAACTTCTTAAACTTTACTTCACAGGTACTTTCTCAGCTGCAGCCTCAGGCCTCTAAAAATGAAACCAATGCATGAAACTGTAGTTCTGCGAGTGTCCACCAGAGGCTGACTCCGAAAGCCAAAGAAAACCAGTAAGAGACCACATTGAAGTGCCGTTTTTTTTTTACAGCACAAATAATCGTGTTGGGTTTTTATCCCCATTTTCCATTTTTAAAAAGAATTCATCTGTTTTGATTCTATTCAGACTGAAAAGTTAAATGCCAAAATAAAGGATGTGGTCGGTTTGACTGACAGGTGGGGACGTTTAAGCTGTTTGCTGGGAGGCTTAAGGCCAACCCCAACTTTTTGCTGGAGTCAGCATTTCCACCACGGTGACAGTCAGTGTCAGGCTTCAGAAACCAATGAGAGTAGCGTGACTGGAGCCACCTTTTAGCATCCCGAACATTAGCGTAAGGTTTCTTGATTCGAAATTTCCCCTTTTAAAGCCCCATTTTTCTAATGTTTGAAATAGGCTGAAATTCATATTGATGCATTTTTTGATATTCAAAACCATTGGCAACAAGACTGATTATTTGTATACAGTAGTCAGGGGGTAGGTGTTAGTATCAGACCAGATGACTGATAAATAAGACAGTCTTTGAGCTGAGGCTGATCTTATTCTTTACTCTGATATGTGCTGCAATAGACAGAAATAGCAAGAGCTGGTAATGTACAGTATGTCCTCTGCTGTCAGGTCAATTTTACTCTGAAATGCACATGTGGAAATTTAAAGTTTTTCACGAAACCCATTCAAAATACAGCTGAAATAAACAAGCAGTTAGTGTTATGTAATGTAAGCTTTTTTGTATATGATAACAATAACTAAACCGCCCCACTCTGAATAGTGAAGGCGTTCATTGTCTCACGAGCTAATTGGCTTTTCGTGTTTTGTTTTTTTTACACAGCGCACAGAGCCGAGTCAGTCCAGACTAACAGTCTGTCTTTTCACTTCAGTCCTGCCTGTCCTTGCCAAACCAGCAGAGAACAGGAGCCAAGCCAGGTTTTAAACTGTGGACCAGCTCTGTCAGAGGATGTCTGTCATAAAAGCACTTTTATCTGTCATCCGGTCATCACAAACACAGTGTCACTCAGGGATTTTAGAGCGTAGTGAATGAATGAATGCCCTTTAAACACCAGTCTGAAGGGAAAAATGAAGTTTTCAATGAGAAAAACATCCCAGGAGTGGAGTTAATGCCCCCTTTTTCTGATTTCTGCACATTTCCCAGTCTCTGAACTCATAATCCGTGATGACATATCTGTTGTGTGTAAATGGAAACAGCTTCCTCTGCAGAAATTTTCCTGTCGCTGCTTTTCAAGCACAGGCCTTCATTTCAAACTCACGTGGCACGTTTCAGAAAAGGGTGGACACTTTATAACTCCTGGTTAGATTGCAAGGCATTCTGAATGGTATGATATCCCCCCACGCTATTGTGTGTCAGACTTGTTCTGCCTCCTCACTGCTGGGCTGAAATCCCTGACAGAACATCCTTGGAGGCTCTTTAACCTTATTTCAGCAGCAGCTGGTCTGCAGCCAAACCAGCCCGGCCGGATGCAGCTGCATGCTCTGCTCCACTCAGCTGCTTAGCAACACTGACTTCATGTCTCATACTCCTATTAAATAAGGAAGAGTGCAAACTCATTGTTGCTGTCATCATGTTTCTTACAATAGTTTCATTTCCATAACCAATCAGGAGAGGGTTCAGAGAGGACAGAAGCTGCCCGTTTGCGATGCACAAGGTTTAAAGGGATGTATTATTGATTTAGGGTCAAACACACCGTAACACCGAGTTAGACACCCCCTCAAGAGATGAATGTTGCTGACTGCTTGCTTCTCTGGTTATACCAACTTTAGTAACAACCACACAATAGCAATACACAGCGGTCTGAGGAGCCATAAACAAACCTCAACCAAAACGCCACTCTATAGCCACAAATAATGCTCAGAACACTACCTAACTTCATCAACAGGACATATAGGGTCCCAGCCATAGTACTTTGCCTGATTTCTTTAGCAAAGAGACTAAACACAACTCACCTACACTCTTCCAGCAGCCGCTTGTTTGTAGCGAGACCTCAGGCCAGTCCATTACGGATTACAGCGGAGTTTCACAGCTCAAGGAAGAAAATTTATGATCATTTCTTCATGGACATGCAATCAGACTGAGACGCTAAGGCAGTAGAACTACCGCGTCTGCAGTGCAAAATGATTAACATGGTGGTTATTACTTTGAGGAAATGATAAAGTAATGATCATAAATGTTCTTCCTTGAGCTGCGAAACTCCGCTGTAGTCTGTAACTGACTGACCCAAGGTCTTGCTACAAACAAGCGGCTGCTGGAAGAGAGTAGGTGAGTTGTGTTTAGTCTCTTTGCTAAAAAAATTAGGCAAAGTTAAAAAGATGTTTGGTGGCTAGTACTGTGGCTGGGACCCTATATGTACTGTTGATGAAGTTAGGTGCTGTTCTGAGCATTATTTGTGTCTATAGAGTGGCATTTTGGCTGAGGTTTGTTTATGGCTCCTAGACCGCTGTGTATTGTTATTCTGTGGTCGTTGCTAAAGTTGGTATAACTAGAGAAGCAAGTGGTCGGCAACATTCATCTCTCGTGGGGGTGTCCAACTCGGTGTTACGGTGTGTTTGACCCTAAATTAATTTTATGCCGGAATATCCCTTTAAGTATAGAAATGCACTAACACCTACTTGGGACTCACCAGACCTCGTGCTCTCTCATTTACCTTCTGACTTTACTTTCATTGACTCGTCTGTGTTACGGTGGCCCACTTACCCACTTCCACATTAGAGTCTCTCTTGCTGTGAGGCCCATCGTGCCAAATCCATGAAGAGAAATGAGTGTGAATTCGCCAAACTCTGTCATATCTGCCATCGTCTCATCATGCCTGGATGAACTTCATCTTAAGCCTGTGGCAATACGAGAGCTGTGGTCTCATGTGAGAAGGGGGGCATTTATTCAACCAGCCAACCTACCTTAGAATTTATTTTCAATAAGAGGATGAAGGATTCAGTCTCCTGCTTTGTTCTAGCATTGCTGCTGCTGTCACTTCTTTAAAAGCCTTGAGTCAAAGAAAATATCCTGCTAGTGAGCTTCTTGACCGAGCGCTACACATCGTTTCAAAGGTGCAAATTTTAGCCAGAAAACAGCAGAATTCTCTTACAATCTTACTATATCCTTTCTGTGATTTTCATGGCAAACCAAAGAAAAAAAAAACTCCAAAAATGTCTGAAAAGACGGAGCTTTCACGGTTTGCATCCATCATGACATCACTGACATTGAAAACCAGACAGCGTTGCTGACGGCTCTGGTGCCTCCCAGTCAGTCTGCGCCGCCTGAACCACAGTTCAACTGGCTCCAGTTTAAGACAAACATCTGCACCAGCCTCTGAGCACTGTCCTTGTTCTCTCATATAACATTTAACTCTCCCTCTCCTGTCATCTGAACCGGTTGGTGTCAGGGTTTTAAAAGTGTGGCAGGCCAAAAACACCAAGCCACTGCATGCGATGAACTCCTAAAGAAAGCTTTTTTTTTTCCCTCTCTTTTCGGTTTGTCTCCTTCTCTCAGCATCAGTTACTGTCTAAACACAAGTCGTGCACTCTTTGGAGAGGACAGACAGACCCCTAAAAACAAAGAGAATTACAGAAGCACGACGTTTTAGTGAGCTCCTGGCATCCCCACAAACCTTGATGCATTAATCACAGGGCAAATTTTCTGCTGGCCTGACAAGCCGCTGTGTTCAACGCCAGCAGAGCCACAGGAGCTGCGACAGTGGTGCACGACAGAGATGCATGTAAATGGAGCTACTTATCTTTTTTTTTTAACTCTGCTTCAGCTCCCTGCAGAAATCTCCACTAAGCTGTGTTTTCAGAATAAAGTGCTTGATCATTCTTTTCCTTACTCTCATGCATCATAACTCTGAGTGGCAGTAAAATCTGTCAAATGTGCAAAATCAGCCACTATGAGACAAAATAATCTACATAATGCAAGAGAGGGACTGCATTTTTCCACATGGGGAAAGTATTGACGCTACACACTCCTGTATCCGGACATTTTGCCACTAAAATACTCCCCCTGGTTGTGTTTTTAGTGTGAAGCATTTTTGAGTTTTTCCAGCAGGAGCTCCTGTCAAGTGGCCCCCTGCCTGGGCTTCATTTCAGTGATGAAAACCTGTCAGATGAGACCTGAGGAAGTGCCCTGTTTGAATTCTCAGTAGCCTACAGCGTGGCTGACCTTGAGACCTCGTACTCTGAGGGCTTTTTGTCTTTTTCATCGTCCACTCTCCCTCTTTCACACACAAACACACTTTGCACTCCAATGGGATGTTGAAAGGGGAGTTGTCTGTCATTTCTCAGCCAGCTGATGAAAGTTTGCACCGAGCTATGACCTCTCAGTGACACCGAACATGTCCTGGTACTATACCAGACAAACTGACTTCTCATTTTTAACTTTAAATCATATCAACGTGTGATTTAAATGGTTTTGATAAGGAATTTTTATACCTGTAGTATCTGGGAAACAAAGTTAAGTTTCTGGAGAGGAGAACTTAAGAGAGAGAGAGTCCCCCAAACACCAGAACTCTCAGACTTCTCATGACCTCTCTCCGGCTAGTAAATCATGCTGATTTATGGCTGTTACATAATTCCACGTCTGTTTGCTGAGGGACTGCTGCCTCCCTGCATTGCCCTCAACACTCAGCACCCTCTCAGCTTGAGACCCGCTGCTGCTGCTGCTGACAACGTCCTGTCTCATTTTTGCTGTGATCAACAAGGTGGATGTTGCCGTTTGCTGTAAGTCCCCCAGACTAGGTCTTAAAGCAACATCAGCGTTAGTCTGCCTGTCTTAAGTTGAAGTGTCCCTGCTCAGTTAAGGTGCGTCAGCCGCTCAGTTCAGTCTCTACTTTTGAAACCTGTGTTATCGGTTTGATGCAGGTACAACTACTCCAGGATTGTTTTCACGGTAAAGATGTTCAGAAACTGCTGGGCTCTAAAAAAGGAAGAATCAATTTTTTCGCTCCCCTCAAAAGTACAGAGAAAAGGGCTTTGTTGTAGTTGTTTCCACCCAATCTTTTTAATGAACCAACCCACAATTTATCCTGTCATCAGTCAATTTATCCATCCATTTCTGTTTCCATCTATCTGTTAACCAGTCTAATGGGTCAATCTGTCCACTCATCTCTTAATCTATCCATCCATCAGTCTATTTATTGATATGTCTACATGTCCGTTTTCATCCATAAAACAACTAAAGCAGCACAAGTTATTCTTCACTTTTCCTATTTCTATGTTTATAAACAATTATAAATATTATAATTTATTTTATAATAATAATTTTTCATATAATAATTATTTATTTACTGCGCATCAATTAGGGTGACCATAAGTCCTCTTTTACCTGAACATGTCCTCTTTTTTGTGGGCTGTCTGGCCTGTCCAGGGGGAGTTTATAAAATCCTTCAAATATCCAGGGTTTTGTGTGGAAGTTTTGAGTTTGTGTAGTGTGGACTAACTGAGTTAGTAGCGCGTAAATAACACTCTGCCCGTCCTGAAAAACCCTCAAAATTTTATGTGTGACTCCGCTCCGTGTGGTAGTGTCCTCTTTTTGGGGATTCAGAATACAGTCACCCTACATTAATATTCAGCAGCCCTATATTAGTATTGTTCACAGCTATGCCATTAAAGACTTAAATCTGTTGGATTTCATCCAAAAAGCTTCAACATTTGTGCCTTCATGTAAAGGTAACAAATGAGATTTCAGGTGAGAGAGGAAGGTTTGTCTCAAGTTGGCTCTTTAACTGTCTGGGATTAAAGGGATATTCCGGTGTGAAATTAATTTAGGGTCAAACACACTGTAACACCAAGTTAGACACCCCCACGAGAGATGAATGTTGCCGACCGCTTGCGTCTCTAGTTACACCAACTTTAGTAACGACCACAGGATAGCAATACACAGCTGTAGTCCATTATGGATTACAGCGGCGGGGTGCAGCTCAAGGAGGAACATTTATGATCATTACTTCATGGAAATGCAATCAGACCGAGACGCTAAGACAGAATAATCACCGCGTCTGCAGTGCAAAATGATTATTATGATGATTATTACTTCAAGGAAATTATAAAGTAATGATCATAAATGTTCTTCCTTGAGCTGCGTCACCCCGCTGTATTCCGTAATGGACTGATCCGGTTTCACTACTAACAAGCAGCTGCTGGAAGAGAGTAGGTGAGTTGTGTTTAGTCTCTTTGCTAAAGAAATCAGGCAAAATTAAAAAGATGTTTGGTGGCTAGTACTATGGCTGGGACCCTATATGTACTGTTGATGAAGTTAGGTGCTGTTCTGAGCATTATTTGTGGCTATAGAGTGGCGTTTTGGTTAAGGTTTGTTCGTGGAGACGTAGACCACTGTGTATTGCTATCCTGCCGTGGTTTCTAATGTTGGAATAACTAGAGAAGCAAGTGGTCGGCAACATTCATCTCTCATGGGGGTGTCTAACTCGGTGTTACGGTGTGTTTGACCCTAAATTAATTTTACGCCGGAATATCCCTTTAATACTGATGTTTCCACATGGCCAAACCATTAGAAAACAACACCATCAAAAATAAATGATATAGATTTGTTTTACTGCAAAACACTACCTACAAATTTACAGACCTGTATTATCAAAGAGTGAAACTACAGGGGATGCCAAGAGGAACCCTAAAGGAAAGTTTCTCACTGTAGCTTTAATTTAAATGATAGCCTAATTATAATCCTTTTCCATGCATGGTTACGTAAGAATAATCTGGCACTTGGTTGATTAAACTAAATAGATAAATATAGATAAAACCCACAAAGATAGAAAAACAAGAAACATGAGCTACCTGCTTCTTGAGCCATCACAGTGTCATCTCTGGCTTTGACTCAAGTCCAGTGCCAGCCTGCTCACACACACACACACACACACACACACACACACACACACACACACACACACACACACACACACAGCACTTCAGCAGTAGTTTCCCTGTGTCTGTCTCGGTCACTTGTTCAGAGCTCCAGCATGGCAGAGCGCAGGAGAAACCGGGACAAGGCAGAGACAGAGACAGAGGACGACCTGCCCGTCTATCTGGCTCGTCCCGGCACGGCAGACCAGGTTCCCCGGCAGAAATACGGCGGCTTGTTCTGCAGCGTGGAGGACGCCTTTGAGAGTAAAACCATAGACTTTGATGCTCTGAGCGTCGGCCAGAGGGGCTCCCGCACCCCGAGGACCGCCAAACGGGAGACCGGTCGGGAGGTGAGGAGCCCGGGGAGCGAGAACTACAAGAGACCCCCTGGAGTGGAGAGCTCCACCACAGCGAGCACGAGGGGAGGCTCACCTGAGAGAGGGAGCAGAGGAGGGAAAGAAGAGCTGCAGAACCTGGGAGATGAGGAGGTAAGGAGACTAAGTTTTGCATGACATAAGGGATGATGATGATGATGCAGCAAATGAAGTGACAGGAATGAGGAGGGGTCTGCTGGGTGACCTAACTTTTCAGAGTAGACTGATGTTCATGCCTCAAAGCTGTTCACACTCCAGCTGTCATGCTGTAGGTTTGCTTGTAGGGCTGGGCGATATGGGGAAAGTTTATCAGGATATATATTTTTTCCTATCAGTCAATATCGATAAATATGATATAAAAAAAGAAATGTAACAGTGCTTATTGGTAGCATGTCTTTTGTAATACAATAAGTTACTGCATCTGTGAGGTATTTCTGTCTCTGACGTTTTGTTGTAAGGCGTTGTGCTAGAGAAAGTGGACTGAATGGTCGGCTGTTTCGGCTGCACAAGCGCCATGGACTCCTTGCTTCATTCGGGGTTTGTAACCTTTTGCTTTGCGCATGCTCTGCGGCGTGGCACTGCTTCAGGTGGTGAAAAAGATTTGAGATATTCCCCGACTTTGCGAGAACATGTGATCGACATAATTTGCAGTACACATTACCCCTCTTCCTGTCCAACCATAAATAACCAAAATACCTCTACACCACCGACTTTTTTGTGCTGGTGTTGTCGACAATGTCATCATCAGTGCTGTCGGCTTCACCTGTTAAAGTGCTATGGTTGCGTGTTGCTGCTGCCTGCTACTACGCAGTTGTTTACTACTTGGTTCTAATTCAGCACATGATTGGTTAAGCGAGAAGCGGACTTGGGACTTGGAGCAACTCCCCTTTTCATTGGCTATTCGTATAGTCTACCAAAACACGGCGAAATGCCAACTATTGAAAAGCATATTGATTATGTTTTATATTGATATAACAGGAAATCGTTATTGTTTTATCGCCCAGCCCTAGTTGCACGTACACATTATCTCAATGAGAGGCTTATTTTAGACACACCATACATTATAGGTTTGATATACAATGCTGCCACAACACTTTAAGGCACATTTTTAATACATTTGTGGTTTTCCAGTCTATATATATAAAAAAAGCCAGTTACTGTTGCCAAAAGCTAAAAGTTTAAGATATCAGGTAAAGAAGGTAATCTAATGAAAAATGCTGCAAGATTCAAAACACTTGATTTATTGTGAAAATAGTCACTGAACAACTCAAAGATTGAGGACTAAACAGGTGATCAACTAGTCGCTGTAGCTCAACATGCATTGTAGAGAAGATATATTTCCTCAACAGGTATTCAGTGTACATGTCACAGAGTGAAAATTAGATTTTTCTGCAAACAAAATTGGCCTTTAGGGTAGATAAGGGGGAAATTTTACTTTGTCTGCCAAAATGATGAGGAAATGAGACAGACATACGACTCACAGCCAACATTCATCAGCATTTGTTTGGATAAAAACACTCCTCAAGCTCTGAGGAAAATTTAGCTAATGTATCACGCGATTCGACTATCAGCGACAAAGCACGCACAAAGACTGGAAAGCCTCGAGGCTGAACAAATGAAATTTTCTGTCATCTGTACAGGAGAGGTCTCAGCCACTCCAGACATTACCTCTGTCCCAGAGAAACCACACAGCTGGCCAACACTGACTACAGAGACAAAAGAGTGTTGTCTGCACATTTAGGAACCAAATGATTATCTAATTCAGTGTGAAATGACCGTAAATCTCACGACTAATATTCAATAATTAGGTGGGTATATTGTTAGAATTGACACTCCGGTGTCGGGTGCCCTAGAGGCAAATGTGCAGTATTGTATCGACAACTATAATGGCTTTAACCAATAAACAATTAAGACTTGGATGAAGCAGCAGTAAAAGGTACTCAGGTTTTTTTGTGATAGACTTTACTTCAAATGATTGGACAATAATTCTGACACATATACTCTCAAAACGAAGCTTAAGGCACCCAGACGAGTTAAAACTTGTTAATATTTTGGCTGAGATCTGTAGAAGTTGCAGACGTTTTCAGGGTTAATTTTCCGTTCAATGTTTTCATAGATGCTTTTGGCATTTGGAACTGTTGCAATAGAGAGCTTATTGAGTTACTATAAGAGCTGATTACTCAAATGATTGTGGATTTTTAGCAGGACCTGCGTGAGTCACAATAATTATATTAAAGAGTATGGGAGTTTGTTTTTTTTCTAGTAATAAAACAGACGGATATCAATCCTGATGCCTCTTTGTGACCTACAAACACAAATAAAACTACAAGGGGAAATATTGATTATTCCCATAAAGTGATTTTTATGTCCATCATCTCGCTCTGGGAAAGCTGTCTGGCAAAATCATTAACGGCACACTGCCTTTTAAAGAAATTTCTGCACCAAAGACAAACTGAAGGTCAGAGTATGTAGAGTATTTAGGTTAAAAGTTAATAGCCTTTCCCACAGTCCTGAAACTTGAAGACAATTTCAGGATATGCTGGATAAAACATCACCCATCATGAAAATGTCAAGACCCCACCCACGTGGCCCTATAAATGCTCAAGCCTTTGACCTTCTGTGTTCATACATCGGCTCATTCTGACGTCATGCAGACATTTTCCTGTGGTTTAGGAAACAGTGCTAAAAAAATCAGATGTACGAATATGGCCGTTTTCATTATCATGGGTAGAGTGCATGTGCGAAAGGTGCTTCATAAGGCAGACAGATTGACTTAAGAATTACTGTGATTTTTTTTTTTCTACATTAGGAAGCTGTGACAGTGAGCTAGCATTCATACCTGACTATCATGGCTCTTGATCAGCACAAGATATTTCCTCCAGCTGATAAATGAGACTTGCAGGAAGTTTGTACTTCTCTCTGTCAGATTCTGGCTCTCTGGGCACCAAAAACGATGATTCATGTCACTTTCTCTCTTTGTCTCTGGTACACACCCATTCACCCAGACACTCTCTCAAACTTGGCTCAGAGAGGAGAGACTGTTTTATACAAAGTGTGGATGAATACACATTAGTCATTGCTGAGCTGGTCACAGATTAGCTCACAAAAGCACGACTAGAAGACATTAGTTTTTACGAGAGGCAGGAAAAATCTGACATCACACAACATGTTATAGATTACAGTAAATCTGAATCCAATAAGAAGTGAATTGTTTGCTTAAATATCCAGATGTATTATCAGCCTGAAACACTGCTCTGTAATCAGCAGAAGCAGATTGTGTTTGCTGTATTTAAAACGAGTGGAAAGTAAACACCGAACTTTCTCCCTGTGCGTTTTTCTTTATGTTTTATCAGAGTGGTGACATGAGGTTTTGTTAGTGTGGCTGCAATAATAAGTGACATAAAGAAACACAAATGACACAAGTTCCACTCATTGTTTCCACTTCTTAAATACTGCCTGATTCATGTCTAGTTTTTGCACAAAACAACACAATCGTCTGTTTCTGCTGCGGCAGCAAAAGTCTTTAGATTCACTCTAAATCTCTGGAGACTCAGCGAAAATCTAAACAGTGACAGAGCTGCTGGAAAACTTAAAGGGAGGTGATTGAATTCACAAATCTTTATTGATTTGGGAACAGTCATACATTTTCAGACCCTTTGTTGAGAGAAACCAGCAGGAACACATTAGAGATAGACTGACTTATCGTTTGGCTGATAAGTCTTTAATCTAACGAGCATCACACTGACGGCATCGGCCCTCACAAGGCCAGTATCAGCGTAATGTTTCCAGATGAGGGTTTCCAGTCTTAATGCAGCTAATCTGCGTTATCATAAACTCTAGTTATGAGAGTAAAGAGTTCAAGTACTGTTGATCTGGATGTGAGTCAGCTAATTTGATTGGTTGAGAGCTAAAATAAGCCTCACAGTTCTGGGCTCAGTCAATACCTGTGACCTAAAGTTGGATTCACAGCAAATGGTCAAGACAGCCTCCTTCCTCTCTTAGTTCCTCTGCTGTTGGCACACAGGCTACATTACTGCTTTTGGGTTTTATTTTTCCCGTGTCCATTCATTTTGAGATAGTGTTTCAAGTCGAGCTGTCTTTGAAAGTCTGACTTCCTGACAATGTATAATAGAGCTGGCCGATAAACCGAAAATTTACCAATATTGAAATTTATGACAATAACCAACGTCATTTTGCCCATGTCAATATATTCGGTGTCAAATAAGTGAATAAATAAAAGTCGGTTTTAGATGTGTGTAGCTAGGCTATGGTCTTATGTCCCTTTAAGAGAGATGACTCCACCCCATCTAGTCCGTAACAAAGAGGGAAAGACAGGTGAGGAGATGAAGGACGGTTCAGAAGTTGTAGCGGCTAGATGAAGTTAATGAGGGAGGGGGTGAGCAGCTTGTTGAGTCGTTTTCGTCCTTTTATCATTATTGAGGTGAACTGCTCAATATATCTTGATATTGATTTGAGGCCATATCGCCCAGCCCTAATGTATAACACTTTTTCCTCTAGTAGTGTATGCTTACCTTTTAAGTTCCTTATAGTTTGCACAAAGCCAGGACATATTCAACTGCCTCATCTGTACTTTAGATATGTCTGAGTTATACCACTCTGCTACGAGAAGGTAAAACTGAAAATTAAAACTACAGAGGTTTTAAAAATCAGACAGTCAGTCTCTTTATTTATGCATGAAGATGTACAAAAACTTCAGGACACTATTTGAGTGAGAGTCAGTTTTATTTAAAAGATGAAACCAAAGTACCATAAAACTACTTTGTTCCTCCCCCCATCCTAGAGTCCAACTTGGTAGAGTCCACACTACCAAAACCAAGAGTGCGTTCAGCTTCGACAAAACGTAAAATAAAAATTAGAATAAATTTATCTAAATAGAAATTTAACTCCCTATTTTTGAGCTTTTTACACATGTGCATTTTCTGCCTTTTTAATACACCTTTATTGAAAAACTAACTTCACAGCTTAGGTTGCAGTTTAACGCAGTTTAGAGGAATACACAAACTTGAAACGAGAGATGGTGCATTCTGGTTTTAGACTTCCTGACAGCACCATCCTCAACTTAATATAATACAACATAAAAACTGTTAAGCCATCAAACCTTAAAACCAATTCCAGTGATAAACAAATACATATCCTCACATTTTAAGAATATATTTCAGTAAACTGTGAACTCCTCCTTTCTTCTTGAGTCTTCAGGGAGTGAAGCTTCTTCACAGCATCTTTCTTTAAACAGCTTTAATGAATACCGACTCTGAGCGTTGAGATGATTACTCCTCTGATCTTTGACTGTGTGCACCCCCGGTGTACCCTTCCTAAGTTTGGCAGGAAGCCAGTTCCCCTCCTGCTGGTCTAATTCTGAACTGCAATATTGCACCTCCTGAGGGACCAGATGATTCAGCAGAAACACACAGACTGAGGACGGTGCTGCTGTGTGATTTTTTTTTTAATGCTTTGTCTGGAAACTGTTTGAGTAGATCAGACTGACAATTCGCTTACGAGTGACATCTTAGAATAAACGCTTTAATACAAACTGATAGGAAGAGCTGCCGGTTTTTCATGTCTGACTTTATCTTCCTTTTCTTTGTCGTTGTTTTCCCTTTGGGTGAAACACTGTCACATTGATCCAGTTTGTAACTGATATTTCAAAGCTGAATTTGCCATTTTCTGTTTATTAATATTTAATACTTTCAATTGGCTTGTTGGAACAATAAGAATCATGACTATAGATTTTATTGGTTTCCTTCTGTCTGGAGAGCTTATTAGTGCAATCAGCTGTAATGGAGCAGAGAAAGGGGAGTGGTCAGCCAGATGTCCATGAGTGCTGTTTTGGGGAACTCCCCCTCCCTCCTCCCTCTCCCTCTCATCCTCCTCTTTGTTATCCTGCAGGGTGGAGGTTAGACTGGGTGGAGCACTGCCTCCCCCCCTAACAGAAGATATACATCCCCTTATATACACATGTACGCTTATACCTATCTATGCACATGCATCCAGGTATAGACGCGTATAAGTGCTGTAATAAAAATAGTTGATTTGTAAATAAGCGGCTTGAGAGGAGCTTTGTCATGGCTGATGAAACAGCCTGAGTGACGTCATATTGATGTCGTTAGCGTAACTCAGTTTGGGCGCTGACATATTATGGAGGTTAACACAAAGACTGATACTGATACTGAAACTGAAACTGGTGAATTATGTGCATGAGGATATCCGAGATTCTACGCCATCCTTTTCCCTCTTGCAAGTCTTGCAACTTTTCCAGATACATGATTAGACTTTGGGAATGACTTTATCATTTCTTACACATTTTTCCTGTTAGCAAACACATTTTTACAGGCATGTATGGTTCTTTCTTACCGAAAACTGCAGTAATGTGCCGTTATTCGCAACCAATTCCACAGTGTATACCTAAAAATGTGGAAAATGGGATCTGAGTAGGTAGGGCTAGGAGATAAGGCCTCAAATCAGTATCATGGTATATTGAGCAGTTCACCTTGATAACGATAAATGGACGATAACTACTCAACAAGCGGCTCACCCTCTCCCACATTAACTTTGTCTACTTCAGCCTCTACAACTTTTGAACCGTCCTCCATCTCCACACCTGTCTTTCCCTCTATGTTACGGACTGGATTGGTGGAGTCATGTCTCTGACGTAGGACAGCGTCTTAAAGGGACATGAGACCATAGCCTACCTACACACATCCAAAACCAACTTTTATTAATGGGCAAAATGACGTCGGTTATTGTCGTAAATTTCGGTATCAGTAAATTTTCAGTTTATCACTCAGCCCTAATTTCAGGCCTCGTTGATAACTGATATAGGAGCTGCTTTTACCCTCATTTTAAAGCAGCTTCTCTTATCATTTTGTTGCACTTCATCGTGGTAGACATACCTCAAAGTACTGGAACAGGGTGTCTGTTGGTGTCTAGTGGTTAGGGGACTTTGAAAATAGAAGTGCTTAGTCTATTATTAGCAGTTACATAGTCACCGGTCTATCTCTAATGTGTACCTGCCAGTAAATTTATCTCAACTTCAAGATTAAATGTGTATCCTCCAGCCTGCAGACATGTTGTCAACCCTTAGAAAGTGGTAAATTAAATCTCATGCATGGCTTTTTTGAGGAGTAAAATATAGTTTGTGGATCTCTAAAAAACAGATGCACAAACTATATTTTCCCTTTGCTGATTTGTTTCTGCTTCCTTTGGTTCGAAGTGATCACACTTTAGCCGGGATTGTAAACGTGACCGTCTTCTCCTTTGGGGCCACCGAGGTGCTTAGTGTGCTGGTGCAGCTTTAAAGACCTGACTGAGTGTTTTCTGCATCCCTGATCTGTCTGAGTCCTGTCTGTCTCTCACTGTCAGCTGCTTGATGTGGACTGCAGAGGTAGCAGGCCTGAAAACTTCAGCTGTGTTGTTATTAATGCATTCTCACAGGCTGGCCGAAGAACGCTGAGGTAATGCTTAACAGCGACTCACTGCCATGAAAGGACATGTCAGCATGCAGGCGCAGTGAGGCTGGAGGCAGGAGAAGTCAATCAATTGACACTGATTTCTTTAAGAAAATCTATTTATTGACAAATTAAGTCCCTTTATACACAACATTTACGATTATAGAGAAACTGTGGATGAGTAAGTAAACTTAAACGTGGGCTGATAGAAATATTTCCAGTATGAGGAAAATATTAAATTTCATATTAATGTTGCTTTTCAAATAAGTAGGGCTGCCTCTTTGAGTTAAAATAAAGGACATCTCCAAAAGATGAATGTTACTCAAAATCTTTCAAAATGTAGATCTGTATCTTGATAAAAAACAATAATGAAAACAGACTTGACTGCCCACTCACACACAAACACACACACAATTACACACTTGTGCAGTGCACACAAACACATAGATGGACACACCCTGAGTCACATGCACTCTCATTATGTTTGCATTAGTCCGGAGGAGCAGAGTGGTGGAGGAAATGACTGGTGATCCACTTTGGGTTCAAACAATAGAGACACATGGTTAGGTGGGGGCATGCTGAGGGTCTGTGAGTGTGTGTGTGTGTGTGTGTGTGTGTGTGTGTGTGTGTGTGTGTGTGTGTGTGTGGGAGTAGACACGTGGGGTGTGTTGCCTGGTGGGCCAGCTCTGTGACAGCTGCCACACCATTTCACCCCTCCTCTGTTCAGACAAAAACAAAACACCAAAATCTGAGGGCAGTGTTCAAATTAAATTCACACTTAAAACCTACATGAATCAGATTATTTCACACTTTTATTCATTCATGTAAGACCATTTTTTGTCTATTTAATCTTGAGGGATTTCAGATAACTAAATACTTTTAATAATAAGTTTATTTTTATAGCACTTTTAAAAACATAAGTTTACAAAGTGCTTTGACAAACAGTCGTAAAGCATCAGCACATGGAAATAAAAACAAATAAAAGACAAAAGCTCAGTTAAAAACAAGGCTTCTGAATTGAAGGCCAATTTCATTTGTCATAAGAAACCCAGACAATACAAGAACCCTACAACATAAAATGAGACCATGAGGACCGAAATAAAAACATAAAATAGGTAAGAAAAAGAAATGTAATAAAAAGGGGGGTAGAAAGCAGGAAACGGGATAGTAAATATGAAAAGAAGATATTAATCTTGATAATAAAATCATAATAAAATAATAATGATGGTAATATTAATGATAAAATGGAATAACAAAAATGAGCAGGTAAAACATTAAAATCAATTAAAGGCCTAAAAGTTTCAATAAGAAAAGATTATAAGTAAAACAAAAGCTAAAAGGACAGAAAGTCGAAATAAGAGATAAAAGATAAAAGTAAGTACTAATGTAAATTCAAAAGTACTAAGTGAGAAATACCCGTATAATTCCTTTAACATAGGTTCAGTTTCATTGATGAGTCCTGTTTTCTCTCTTCTTATTGGCTTTATGGTCCCAATCATTCTCCTCTAATCAATGAATCATTACCAGCCCCCTCCATTGATCCATTCACCTTTTATTGACTTTAGCATGGAAACCACAGCACTATAAACCAGTGAATTTAGTACAATTATCTATTATTCTATGTTAAAATATCCAAGCGGTCAGGAGTTGCAAATATTTCCCATTTGCCAAGAGCTCTTACTTATCTGTTCATTTAACATTATTTTCTTGTTTTAGTCCATCAGGTTTTACTCTTTCTTTTCACCACTTTTATTTTTATTTTTATCTCCAGTGTTTCCCAGAGGTAGCTCTTTCCTCACGTAATGCCTCGGTGTCAGGCCATGTCTCTTTAATCATATATCTTAAATTCTCACACTGTGTGTGCTTGTGTTTGTGAGTGAGGGTGAGTGTGTGGATGTAGCAGATGTAGCTTTGAACTAGGAAACTTGTCATTGAGTAGCATGGGAAGGAAGAAAGACTGAGAAATGCCACACAAAGGGAATCTTAATTTCTCTAATTAGGGGTTGTAATGTGAGGTGAAGAGTAGAAAGGGTCTCTCCAAGGTAACAGGCAGGTGGACTTGGCCTTTGGCTGGACTGGACAATGGATATGCTCTGAATTTACATGTCTGCTCCCATGATTCTGATAGATAGATTCTGTCATTAGTTGTTGTTTTTAACCTCAGTGAGGCACTTTTTTTGTATGAAAAATGCCATAAAAATAAAGTTAGAATTTGAATAAATTAGGAAGAAAACGTGTGTCAGCAGCAGCTGGCCGCAGTCTGCTCCACAGCGCCCTCTGGTGGACTCATACAGACACCGCTGAGGCTCGTTGAGGGAGGGGCCGGTGACTGAAGCTCAGACGCTCCTGTAGCTCTCTGAGCCACTTTACATCGCACTGACATAGCGGCCACCATTCCCTGAAGCTCCCATCCAACCGAGGGCCGCTGCAGCATCCGCACAGAGGGAATATCGTTGTTCAGAGCTCGGCTTTTAAGGTGGAATCGGACGGAAGATGTCTTACCAAGGAAAAAAGAACATCCCAAAGATCACTGTGAGTAGAGGGACTTATTCATGCTTCACTGGCCGGGGGAACTTGGAGGCGCAAATCACTGCGCGGCTGTGGAGATTTATCACAAATGTGGTTCCTGAAAGACACGGAGCTCGTGGTTTTTTGTTTTATTTCTCAGACTTGATGGCTCGGGAAAAATCCGCACTGTGGAAAGAGAGAGAGACAGAGAGAAAGAGAGGCATGAGTGGCTGCCATAGTGACAGTCAGGCAGGGAGATGAGGCGTTTTCTTAAAGGTGTCCTGCATCTTCTTTGTTGAGGGGATCCATGCGTGCTGAGAGCCGGCTCGCCCATAAAAAAACCCCTCAGTAATGCTCCTGCGGGGACATGTGCTTGTCTGCGGTGCGTGGATGTGGGTTAAGAATGGCTGTATCTGACTTAATGGACGTTTTTAATGGTTTGGTAGCATATCAGTAAATTGCATTAATGTGCTTTTGAAGGCAGATAAATCCACACTGAGTGCCTCAAATCTGATTTAAAAAATTAGGAAAATGTGATTTGGAGATCTTTGATTCTCTAGAATGTGTGGGAGCATTTCTCTTATGATTTAGGGATTTGAGGCCTTATTGATCACTAATATGGGGGCCTATTGTACACTGATTTTTTTCATTTTCAATCAACAACTCTAATCAATTGATGCACATTACTTTGCGAGGCATAAATCAAAGTCTAAGAAAGATGCGAGTATCTAAAATAAAGGTGAATGATATGTATATAATAAGATGCTGTTATGTAAATGAGGTTTTTATTTCCACAAAGGCTCTCATTTGACTTGATTTCCAGGTTGAAATGTGTGCCCTGCGGTCTGCAGACATGAGCTCCTGTTCATGTTGCAGGCTGGTGCAGAGCAGAGTGAGAGGAGAGGAGGAAGAAAAAGAGGTGGGTGGGGGGGAAATACACGCCCATTTGTGAGGAGCTGTGATAAGCTGGTCTTGTAGTGGGGCGTTTGTAGCCGGGGCTGCATCACACAAGAAGAAGAAGAAAAAAATGAGGAAAAAATCAAACCCTTGTAAGAGCATCTGTAGGGTGGAGGTTGAATGTGGGGCAGATTGTTGGTGGTGGTGTGTGTAACAATCAAATAGAAACCTCACTCCCACTTCCCCTCCTCATCCTCTGTGTGTGTGTCAGCGTGTGACAGAGGGAGTCTGAAATGCCTGCCTTCCACTTCTCATTGTTGCGGCTCAGGCTGCAGTCAGGGGTGTGTTTCTGGGCTTTGTCCTGTCTCTCCAGCTGATATTACACCAAAAAGGGTGCCTTTGGAGGATAGCTTGGGTAGCTTTGTGCCCCTGTATGCTGCCTCTGTACTCAGAGCTCAGTCTCTGGATGTCTTAAAGTAGGGCATGTTTCTATAATGTGCTAAAGTGGGCCAGAGTTTTCCCTGGTATGTTTTATACGATCATTATAGGAATGGGATTTTTAATTTCACCAACCCCCAACAGATTGGATTAGTGTGTTTTCTATAGCTTTCTTGTATCCTAGATTTTTGGGGTGTTAGACCCATAGAAGGCGTGGTGCTTATGTCACAATACACACCACCGCGATAACATCTGTTACTTCATCACGGTTCATCGCAAAGTGGAAAATCAGAATCATGAGTGAGCTGTCTGCACCTTGAAGGTCTTAAGATAGACACTGTCTGCGTACTCCACGCCAGATTTTCAATTTCAAAGCGCGGATTCGTAAATGTACGAAGGAACTCATGATGTCCCCGACCAGGAACAGAGATAAGGTGACTTTGCATTTCTAACTGAAAGGATACCAACTGCAGACTGTGTCTAAGAGGTCGCTGTGGCCTTGGTGACATAACGCAGTGATCTGTGGAAACTGGAGCCCAAGGTTTAGCATTGTGGTGGCCACCATCTTGCTCCAATTTAAGATGCCAAATTCGGCTCACAAAGAACAGGCTAATCTACACACCAAATAAAAATTAACTACCTACCCTTGAAAGTGGTTTTCAGTACAACCAAACAATAATTATGGTGGATGAATGGAAAAACAAAACATCAAACTTTAGAGGGATAACCCTAACCCACCCACCATAACCTTTACCAACCCCAACCTAATCCTGTTAGCCCATGTCCTTCTGCAACCCTAACAGAGAGGTTTGCATCATCAAACTTTGACAATGGCTTTGTTTATTGTCCAAAAGCAAAAATGCATTTTGCAACCTCTAGCGATGAATTGTGAAGCTAATGCAGAGGTGCAAAAATGCAGTTTCTTGAGTGTCAACCAGGGGGCAGAGTCCAAAGAAGCATAATTAGGTAGAATTGGGGGTGTGGCTGAGTTGACGGTAGGGCTGGGTGATATGGCCTCAAATCAATATCACAATATATTCAGCAGTTCACCTTGAAAACGATAAATGGACAATAACTACTCCACAAGCTGCTCACCCCCTCCCACATTAACTTTGTCTATTTCAGCTGCTACAACTTTTGAACCGTCCTCCATCTCCTCACCTGTCTTTCCCTCTTTGTTATGGACTGGATTTGGTGGAGTCTCGTCTCGAAGGACGAAGGACAGCGTCTTGAAGGGACATGAGACCATAGCCTACCTACACACATCCAAAGCCAACTTTTATTTTTTCATTTTTTGGTACTGAATATATTGACATGGGCAAAATGTCCATGTCCAAATTTACGGTTGTTGGCGTAAATTTTGGTATCGGTAAATTTTCGGTTTACCGCCCAGCCCTATTATACACAGTCAGAGAGTAGGACTTTTAAAGACAGCTAGACTTGAAACACTTGTGGACACTGAATATACTGACATGGGCAAAATGACGTCAGTTATTGTCATAAATTTCGGTATCAGTAAATTTTTGGTTTATCACCCAGCCCTAGCTGATGGACAATTGTAACTTCTTTTTAAGGTTGAAAGGATAAAGCAAATTAGAGGTACAGCTGCTTTAACTGATGGACAGTCACACTGAAGCTGGTAGCGAAGAGGCTAAAGGCCCGCATCAAGTCCTCTCTGCTACGCAGCAGATTTACAGTTAGTTGGGTCGAGTCAGCATTCTTGGCATGGCGTCTGCTGTCAATAGGCTTCAAAACTCCACCCCAGAAACCAATGGGTGATGTCACCGACAGTATGTACATGTTTTATACAGTCTGTGCGTGTAAAGCAGAGATAAGGGTTTTTATTTTACCTCCGAACCTCTGTTAGGGGTTGAAGTACCTGTATAGTGGGGGAAGACATGGATGATGTGGAGCAACAGAGCCGGCGGGGTGAAACAGTGTTGTATGTGCATGTTGGAGTGTGCATGTGACACTCCTGCCATGTATTTGCAAGCCATGCCTTTCACTTCAGCAACACTATAATGCAACAAGACATTGCTTTAGTAGAAAAAACTAGCCTACAGACTGAGCTCTGAATCACAGCTAAAAGTTGCAGCTTGTTTCATCAGTAAGTTCAGGAATACTTTCAGACTTTCTTGAAGTCACCATTAAACCTGTATCTATAACAGCGCCATGCTAAGATATATTTATGAACACTCAAAGTCTGACAAAATTGATCAAAACTTCCCTGTAGTTTCTGATATCATGAACTCATTTATAGTATAAAGTTTAAAAAGGCCATACACTCTCCGCCCCTCTCAGACTTTTCTCTCTTCCAGCTGTTTCCCCACGTCTGCTCTAAGCCGGAGTAGCTCTGTCAGATTTCTAGGTGTGGTTCTTCCCTTCCCTCATACTCCGCGTACTGCAGCCTCAGTGTTGTTCCAGGCTGGTACATGTCACCAGTAATCCTCTCCAGCTGGAAGCAGCATCTGTGGGCATGAAACTGCTGGCCACTCTGCCCGGGAAATAAAACCCCTGATTCCCCCTGTAGACGCACCACAAACACAAGCTCTGCCGCACCAGTGTGCCACCGTCACCACCACTACACAGACAGTCAAAAAAAAAAAAAAAAAGTGAGTTGGAGATCAAACCAGAAACTCCTCGGCCACCCAGATGTTGCCGTGGTGAACAATTTACAGTTACAATGGCGTGAAAGTAAATATCCTTTTTGATTTATTGTATCCTGATGTGATTGGACACGCAACTTTCACTCTCCTTCACTGGAACAATTTATGATTCAACCTGTCCAGCTTGGTTAGATTCATATATTCTTCTTCTTTTTTTTCTCTGTTGCCATGGTTACACAATTACACCACTCCAGCCTATCACATAATCAACATAACGAGACAAGCAGGTTCTGTCTTTGTAGCAGCTGCTGGCGTGAGTTTCTGTATTAATTTAGATTGATAAGCCTCATTGTTTTCACTTTTGAAAATGTGAAAAAAAAAAAAAGTCCTGTCCAGATTTTGGGTGAGGAGTAAATATTTTTTTGCTCACTAGGCAACAGAGGCCATGGTGCTCATTCAGGATGATTACCCTCTTCCACTGGTCCCTGCCCGCCTCCCTCCCTCCCTCCCTCTCTCCACCACCTACACAGGGGTCTCTGTCACACTTAATGGAGAGCTAACAGCTAATAGCACAGTTTTCCAGGACTGTTCCCACTTATTAAGCAACACAAAGGAGTGGCTTTTGGAATTTGTTTTGCATTTTAAAAGTCTTTCATTCTTTTAGTTTTCTGGAAGTGAAGAAAGTTCAGACCGTAGTAGTGTAAGATCAACATCCTGTCGTCTATTTTTAATTACGGCTGGCGTGTGGAACAGAAAATGACAGTTTCCTGTGTAGGGAGAGTGCTTTATTTTTGGCGCTTTGTTCCCCTGGAGTTGAATGACAAGAATATTTTTTTTCCCACCTGACCTTTCATCTACTTTGTTGCAGGAAATGTAATAAATGGGCCTGTCAGCACAAGGCAGATGCTGCAGTTGAGAAGAGGAAAAGGGGTTTAATTCTTATATTCCAATGACGTCATGTTGTGAAAAACTGGCAGAAGCAGCTGGAAGCAGAGTTTATTAAGTCTTACCAAATTATTATTGCGCATTTATCACTTATGTTTGTCATTTTTGATCGAGCCAGTTGGTAGCATTTGCGATTGACTTAAGGAGGAATGTTTAAGGGATGCTGATGCTAAAACCAGAACATCCTAAAGTGTCCTTAATTTGAAGAAATCCTGCGCAATGTGACTTAGACTAGTGAAACACCAAATCCTCTGCTGCTTAGAGGAAGCCCAAGTGTTAGTAGTGGGTCACACTTATACACAAACACAAACACACACACACACACAGGAATGTTGAATGAGTAAGAAACATCTGTGTTTGTTGGAGCCATAAAAGTCTTCACCCAATGTTATTTGCTTGTACTGAATCACCTAGGGTCACACGTATTAGTCAGGGTAGTTTTTAATAAGTATTAGGCAGTAAAAAAAAATCCAGCAAAAAACACATTTCTGCTTTTTTATTGGCTGGAACAGCTTGGCGAATGAACACAAAGAATTCAGTCGAAATCATGGTCTGCTTTTTGTCCGAACACACGTATACAGTTCTTGTTTTCCAGTCACTAGAGAATCATATAAAGCTCCTCCAGTAAGATTGCTCCCCCTTTACGCTGCTGGCTGCTCTTACGGGGACATGATTGACAAAGGAGGACATGGTCAGCGACCCCAGAGGTCAGATCAGATCAGGATCAACCTCGATACTAATGTAGCCTAAATTGTCTAACCCTGGATTCACAGCCACAAGAAATTGAGGTGTGGACACATTCAAGGGTGATTCGAATACTTGTGTTTTATTAAACACACTATTAGAGTTGTTGTTGTAGTCCCTCTAAGATGATCTCTACAGGATACCCACTTGGAAATGAGATCAGAAAGCAAGAACAAAGCTAAGTGAAGCATGATGTACATATAGAAGAATCACTGAAATACTTTCTTTTGTGATATCTTATGATATACAGTACATGGACATGATGCTTGAAGTGAATCTATTACACAAGCAAATGGATGCAGAAAAGATAGACATATTGGCTCTTCTCGTGGCTCTAACTCTGCACCCTCTGCAGAAATGAGACACCGTTGCTGCTGCTTACTCTGGAAAACCCTGAAAGTCACTCATTATTCTCACTGTCAGGTCAATGAGACAGCACCTCTTTTCACCAGAGTCTGAGCATTACAAATCAGCTGGTAAACTCACTGTATTAATTCGCCGCCCCTCAAATCATCAAAACACACATTTAACAAGCCACTCAAACCAAAACAATCCCTCGGGTCGGTTCAGTCTAGAGCTAAACAGCTTCTTGAGTCAATTTATAGGAGACATTCATGATGTCCAGTATAATTTGTGTGAGTGTTCATTAAGTCGCCTCATGTCATTCTTTCATGACACTGAGAATGATTACACTGGATAATAGGTCAACAGAGCTCTCAATCATGATGATAACCACCTGTAAATAGAATCAAATAACCAAATCAAAGTGTAATTCTCCTTAAATTAAGACGTGGACAACCATTGGTTTGATAAGGACTAACTAAAATGGCTAAAGCAATTTTGGTGGTATATTTTGGCTTCACTTCGTAGAGCTGTCACTTTGTCAGTTAGAACGTTTACATGCACAGTGAAGTCAAGCTACGGCCATAGCTCAATTTGTCCAATAAACTCGACTGCTGATCTTGATCAAGTCTTCAAGGCAAGACTTGGCAAGACTGGATTCACTGACGGAAGCACGTCTACCTCCAATACAGCAGGTGGTGACATGCTCCCTTTTAGCGCGTTGCTCCTACGACATCAGGGTTGACCTATTATGTGTCAAAACAGTCAACAAAACGCGTGAAAAAAAGGTTAACAGAACAGTTAGAACAATTGAAATCACTTTTACAGCTCTGTACTGTTTGTTTGTATGATAACAGGACTAGATGTGGTCCGTTTGGGATTACAGTCGGATTACAAACTCATCAATCTGTTTATGAAGATCAGAACAGTATCGTTATGTTGGCACCCATGAAAATCTTGCATAAACTAGATGCTGTGTTAATCAGCAGTATGTAAGAAACTGTACTTGAACATTTGGACAGATGTAGTCCATATTTGATTTTTACTATTTTTGATATTTATTATTTATATTATTTTATTTTATTTTATTTTATTCATTTATTATTTTATTTTATGATTTTATTTTATTATTTTAATTATTTTAATTATTTTATAATTTTGGGACTACTGGTCAAGAAGCTCATTAACAGAAATGTGAACTAGTCTAAATCAATGTCTAAGATTCATGGGTAATTCTGGCTCCAAAGTAGATAGTAGTAAAAGTTGTAGCAAGCTTGTTATCCACAGTCAGATCATACCTTTCTTTATAACATCTTCATGTACTCTCATAGAAACAGTGTTGGACATTGAGTCCCATCTTAGATCTTGTACGTGAATACCGCAGCAGCCGCTTAATTGTCCTTGGCTGCAACAAAACTTGAAACAGCATCATGACTGCGGCATGTGTTCATGATGTGGATGGTGCTGCCTTGTTAATGTGGTAACAAATGGTTAGATAGTTTTCCCTTAACCACATTATAGCACAGATGGTTTACCTCTGGCATCAACATCTATGTGAAAATTGTTGTTTGTCGACGCAAAAACACTGTTAACCTAGATGATTTGAGGTAGCACAGATAGTCCAAATATTACAAGAATGTATTTTTCTAGTCTGGATACAGTCTGAATCAACAAACAGTCTATGCTGCTCATTGGATACATAACTGTGGCAGCATTGGGCAACATGCTGTCTCACTCTATTTCCTAACAGATGTAGAAAGTGTGACATATTGATGTCTGAGGTTGAAAGACATGAGCCCTGGTAAAAACTGCGCCATAGATACCGAAAAAAACTTACAGTAAATGTTGTGCTAGTATTTAAATTTATGAAAGATTGTGAAGAAGCGGCTGTCTTAGATTATGTGTCTTTGGAGAAGCTTGACAGTTCGGTCTCCCGCATGAGCACCACTTAAATTAGAGGAAGGTGTTCGTGATATTCTGTGACAGCGAAGTCGTGATGTGCCGTTGTGTTTATGAATTGTTGGGCATTTCAACTGACTGGAAATATCTGGATGCTAGTTCAGTGAGTTCACTGTGTATTTGAACCAAAGATATCAGTGGGCTGATGGTTGCTGTAATGGAAATGTTCATCTATTGATTGTCAGATCATTGAGGTCTGTTGCATGTTCTTCAACGGAAGAGAGAGAGAGATCCTGTCAGCAAGGCGCCCATGCATGTGGGCACTCTCCTCACTGCAGTGTTATAAATCAGTTTTGCGTGTACTGTTGAGTCAGCGAGATAAGAAACGCTGTGTCAGGTTGGGCTTTAAAGTCCTAGACGATTACGTGCTAAGTCGACCAAATATCTGATTGGTCAACTTGATTTTTTTTCCACGTCAATTTAAAGTCTATGGTTGATTTCATCAAGAGGAACGTACCAAGTGCTAATAGGGGTGTTTTCAGAGCACCCCTGTTTCACAGGCATAGAATGGACGCAATCTGCCTCCTCGCTGGGTGAAGCCACTCTGAGAACAGCACCCTCTGTTGATGGGCTGCAGTATAGGTCATGTTTTCTATGATTGACACTTGATACAGCCTATAGGCGTACAAGGATTGCATTCCTCACCCGGGGATACGTTGTTTGAGCCGAGCATCATCACAGCGACTCTCTAGCTGAATGCATACAATGCTACTGTGCAATGTTGGTTTCAGGAAATGGAGAGAAAACTTGGAATTACACTTGATACACCGAGGGTTTTTTGGAATCAAATCTGTACACTGGCGGAAGGCGGGACCAAGTTGTCCATAGTATATACAGTCTATGTTTACAGGTAACAGCCTGTCTCAGGACTCACCCCTTGTTTTTACCATTTTGGATTCACCCATCCCACTGGAGACTGGCTGGAGACAGGCAGATTAAAGAGCGTCCACATAAATCAACATCCAGCAGTTTGCTGGATATTTATTTTTATTTTGAGCGTTTCAACTTGCCTTTTGTGTTTAATTGCCTCCTTGTACTGATATTAGTATATTTTCACCCCGCCGAGCCGCGTCGCACCCCACTGCAGAAGTGTTTGCCGTCAGGGTTGGAAACATTTTCTTACAGTTTATTAATTCAAAGTTCAAAATCTATCAAGTGAAGTAAAGTTCTTTAAAGTATTCTGCTATTTGAAGTTCCTGTAAAAGTATTACCAGCACAGGAACCAGACAAAATAAGCAAAAATGTGGGCGGTACCACTTATTCCACAGGGGTGCCAAATCCACACAAACTAAAGGCTCTTAATAAGCAGTTCAATTAGCCCTGAAAAATGTTGGATACTAATTGGTGAAAGTTTGGCGTATCTGCTCTGCATCTCAACCTCCTGCTCTACTTTTCAAATATAGGTCATTTCCTCTCAGCATTCTTGATGCTAGGAGTTTCTGGGTTTCATTGTCTGGCTCTGGTTTTGTAATCCACAGTAGAGATGAATATCAAAGTCGAGAGAGCCATGAAGGAGTTGAGATGAAGTAATGCAGACGCTGTATGCGCTCCATCTTTAAGTTTAGATTAGGATAAGGAAAGCATTGTCTTTGAAGTCATGAGTGATGGTTTTAGGTCAGCGTGCTCCTCAGCATGATGTGTGCTGGTTTAATGTTCCAGTCTCTGATGACTGTGTGTTGTAATGTGTTGCTTTAGGGTGTGGTTACTCTGTAAGGCTCTGGGCTCTGTTTCACACTACTCCATCACCACACACACACACACACAAACACACACATTACATGTGTTATGAGCTCAGCAGATATTGAGTCGTAACCATTTGAGCTCCGTACAAAACTGTTATTGTGCTTTTTCCTTTTTTTACTGAAGTGTGAAGGCGTGACTGCAGTTTATTGTAGTGATGGAACACAAGATCTGAAGCCAAGGGTGTAAATCACTGCACACATGTGCTGATGAGAAAATATGGGAGTGTGTGTCCCCTCCTAGCCAGGCAAGGGAAGGGCCAGACACTTCAACTTATAAGTATGTTAAAAAATGGACGACACATCACCTCTGTTGTACAAAGATGAAGCAAAAATACCACATTTAGGTCAGGAGATGATGATTTTACTCAAGTCTGCACCGTGAGCTGCAGTACTGTCATCTCACCTTTTGTGATGATCAGAAAACACATTTAGTTTATCGATAAACTGCAGAAGTTTCCCCAGATCAGCACAGTTTACAGCCGAACATCTTCTGATGTGTTTTTACAGACCTTCATGATTTTTAGCAACTGTTTTTGAGAGTAATTTGTTTTGTACTTAAAAGTTTGACCCATGTCTTGACGACAGGAGGTTAGTTTTGACTCCTGAGATGGATTTTAAAGTGTTTCGGTTTCACTTTCAAGGAGCCGGTGTGTCATCCGTCTATTTTACAGTCTTATGAATACAACCTAAAGTCACTTCTTTGTTATTTGGGTACAAAAAAAGAAAGAAAAAAGTAAATTTACAACAATTTGTATAAAAATCTGTCGGTCATAGTTTTGTGTAGCTTTTTCTTTTCCTGCTTTATAATGTTTTGTATTTTTTCTTCACATTATGTAAATTGCAGGAAAGAGGATATCCACCGTTTTAACCTCATTGTTCCAAGTTTATGGTCGGGAATATTAGGACATTGTTTGCACTTCTTTAGCTTTAATTTTAGGCGTCTATTGCCTTTATTTTAGAAGATGTTGCAGTGACCGAGGCAGGAAATAGGGAGAGAAGATGGTAGAGTGATATGCAGGAATGGAGCTGCAGGCTGGAATTTAACCCAAGCCACCCATTTGAGACATAACCTCAGTAAATGAGGTGCGTGTGTAGTCCGCTAGGTCAGTGGTCCCCTGATTGGGTTGTTTCGTGGTTTTGTAACACCCTTTATGTCTTTTGATTGTGGTATTCTATAAGCCAACTATCAGTTTCTCACACATCTCACACATGCTTTTTATTTGTTATTCATGTAACTTTAAAAAAAAATATCTATAATAAGTAGAAAACAAGGTATTCAATGAAGAAATTGATTAATAAACAAATAAGTGAATAGATTCGAAAAAGGACCATTAATATCTTTTTATTCATTTGATATATTTTCCCAGAAACAGCCCAGAACCCAAACACTGATATGTTCAGCCCAAAGAGCTCTTCACACTTTGACCTGCTCAGCACCCTGTTGTTCACTGAAGCAGTCATCCAACAGTCAGCAAGACCAGGCTTCAGCCTCTCCTCCTCTCTAGTCCGTCTCCCTGCAGTCGAACTGTTGTCATGACAACAGCCTACTCTAGAGTGGGCCCTCAGTGCAGCAGATATGGTGTCTGACTGTGTGGCGTCATGGCAACGCCCAGATCAGACCATGTTACAGAATGTAAGTTGAAGGGAGTCTCAGATGTGACAGAGCGGTGTGGTTTCACTTTGACACTCAGGAGGAGGAGGATGTGTTCACATTATATTTGAGTTTTTCTCATGCAGATCAGAAATATCCTGCATCATGACAGGAACGGGAATCAAGATAGCTGATATTTTTTATCCTGATAAGTGGATTTAACAGAGAACACCACATCCACAGTTAGTTAAGTTATGTAACAAAATCTGGATAAACGTAGTTAAGATTTTAATCCATGATCAGTCTGTAAAAGCAGCTTCAGTTTTGGCACTAGTGGCCAGATTTGATCCTCCTGAATGTTTTGACCAGGCTGGCTCAGGGTCGAGTAAGTGTTAAAAGGGTTTCATCTCTGGAGGGGGTGTCTAACTCTAACTGTTATGGTGTGTTTGAGCCTAAATTAATTTTACGCTGGAATATCCCTTTAAGCAAAATAGTGTTTGTTTTTGGAGGGATTTAACTCACAAACCAGACCACAAGGAAAACAGGGCAGACAGGCACAAAGGGTGATGTGTTGTTTTATTTTGATTTGCTAAACAAGGACATAATCTTTCTTACAAAGAAGAAGAGAACCATTGTCCAGCTTTCACTACAGCACAAAACTGATTTCATAGATGATGAAGTTCAATTACTTTTGACGTTGCTGTTGGCCGAACTGGGTCTGTGCTGGAAAAAAAGACAAAAAATGGCTTTGAATCACAAAAATCTTTTGTCTCTCTTTCCTTTTCTCTCCAGAGCGACAGGCTTCTGATCAAAGGCGGGAGGATCGTGAACGATGACCAGTCCTTCCATGCCGATATCTACATGGAGGATGGCCTCATTAAGTAAGTCCTGAGCTGTCCTTCTTTTTTCATTCTAACTCAGTGTTAATCCTTCACCTGCGCCCCGAATCCTCATTTATTTTCAGTTTCTTGCCTTTTGAAATTAATCTCTCTTATGGGAGAGCAGATGAATAATAGACAAAGTTATGATGGGGGAAAATTTGATCCTTGTAACATAAGTGGAAAATGTCATATCAGAAAATGAATAGATTAATCGGGTGTACTAGGGATTTTAAAGGAACTAGTGCTAATGTTGCTTTTATTGTCTAGAACCCCCAAACTAAATATAGCAGCCTAATTAACTCTCCGTTCAGAATGAGCGAATTGTAAACTTCAGAGAAAAACCCCAAAGCACAAGCTGCTCCTTTGGGCACACTGTGTCCTGCTGGCTGGTCTGGACCGAAAACAGAGCCCCTGTTTTCAGGGTTCGGCTTGGAGGCAGTTGGCTCCAGGACAAAGTGATAACAGCCCGTTTAGCCCCGAGTTTTATGTGCTAGCATGAACAAGTCCCCGCCCCTCCAGACAAGGCGAGGGTGGTTTGAATTCCCCTGTCTGTGTCTCCCTGAATCGGCCTGTCCTCTCTTTCCCCCCAGTTCAGTTCCCACTTGATTTTCCAATTATAGTCTCTTTGTCCCCCCCCCGTCCCTCAGTGAGGCGGCTCAGAGAGAGGCACCCACAGAAAGCCTGGTGTTGCATAATAAGCACCCAGATGCCTGCTGGAGCATTGAGCTGCTGGCAAACTAACAGAGACACTGGCTTCGGTAACCCTGTCTGTCTGTCTGTCTGCCTGTCTGCTGGGCCGGTTTGCTCTATAAAATCTGAACAACAGGGGCCAAATGTTGAGGTGTTGACATGGTGAGCTTCAAGCATGGCCCACTTTGATTCTGGTCACTCTGAAAACCCCAAATCTCTTCAGATGTATCACCGAAATGCATGTGAAGATATTTGTTGCTGCTACCTTCTTTCTACTTTTAATAGTGTAAAAACAAACTGGTTCTTTGATGCTTCGAAGTCTGAACCAGCACTAGCACCAGGACCGCTTTGGTAGGGAAAGGGTATATGTGTGTTCGTTTGTGCTGCCAGTGCTTCATATGTAAATTAAGGACCTGTTTTTTCAAATGTAAATAAAATGTCAGGCCCTGGCCCCCTAAAGTCCCTAGACCCTTGGAAAGCACTAACCCCCCTGACCAAGATTTTTTACCCCAGAACTAAATTTAGACCCTAGTTCCTGGGGGAAGTTCCTGTGGTCGGGAAGCACCTTAATTGGCAAATTAAGCTCTTTAGAAAAGCTGATGTGGTTTTGTCCTGGTGCTGTGCTGCTTTGTCATGCATAGTTGCAGCTTATTGTTTTGTGGAAAACACACCCCGGGTTTATTCTGTTGTCTGAAACCTTCAGCTGTTCCGCCATCGACCTAATATGACTTTATCGTCCCTCCACAGGCAGATTGGAGACAACCTGATCGTGCCCGGTGGGGTGAAGACCATCGAGGCGAACGGGAAGATGGTGATCCCCGGTGGCATTGACATCCACACCCACTTCCAGATGCCGTATCGTGGAACCACAACCGTGGATGACTTTGCTCAGGGATCAAAGGCTGCTCTCGCTGGGGGCACGACCATGATCGGTAAGGAAAGGTCATGCACGCTGTAAAAGTGAGCTTCACATAGAGAGTAAAACCGAGAAGAGGGTTAATAGTAGAGAGGGGAGGGAGGAGACCCCGACAGAGTGCAAGAGAAAGAGATGGGAAGCTTTATTAGTCTGGTTTTGGGCAGCTCTCCAAAACAGGCCTGTACAAAAGACTGAGTGTACGGGGGACCAGGGTTGAGTAGGAGGGTATGAAAGGAATCACTTCTCCTACAGAAACACAACACCGGTGTCTGTCTGCAAAGCTGTACGTGAACGCTCTGGACGTATATGTATGCTTGCTGTAGTTCAGACACCAGACGCTAAGTCGCGAACAGCTGGTAGATACCATAGCCTCATTAATACCATTAACTTCTTTTGGGCCGGCTGCTACTCTGCTCGTTGTCTGCCAGGGGAACACTGTGTCAGAGCAGACAGGCGTGCCACTGTAACAAGCTCTATTCATGGGCTCCTTTCATTCAGGGATTATATTCCAGAGGGTGAGAAAGAAAGCGAAAACACGCGCTGTGTTTGTATCAGGCAGTGACACTGTATTTTTCTGTCTCTAACAGATGACGTTGTACCTGTGTGTAAGGTCAGATCGCTGCCGTGCTAAGTGACAGCGTTTTATTGCAACTGCTGCTTCCAGCTCGATCCTATTAACATGCAAAGAGCAGATAAGCAGATTGGGTCATCTTTAATGAGATCGAGAGTACAGTCAGTTGGAGAACCAGCAGGCAGCCTTATTGTATCACAGCTGACTAAGATGGCGCGGGATCTTTTCTGTGTGTGTGGTGATACTCTTGTGCAGGATGAGGATTAACTCTTCATGAATAATCTCAGTGAAAACGATAAGGGGACCATTCATTTGAAACATTTAGTTTAAGTTGCAAATGAATGTACAAGTTATAGACACATCAGAAACAAGTTTTAGATGCAGGTCTGGGATTTTTTAAGGTCAGTGATTTGATTACAGGTAGTGATAATCAGAATTTCAATCAGATTTACTGGCTCGGTGTGTGCACACATAGATAAGGATTGACTTGGGTTGAACTTACTTTCTATATAAAGCACAGGTGTCACACTCAAGGCCAAATCTGTCCCGTGGAACAATTATATCTGGCCCACAAGATCATCTAATATTTGTATTATTATTGGCCCACCAGTATGAAGTCTGCAGATTTCCTCCAGGATAATAAAGTAAACTTTAGCACCATTAGTTAAAATGTCCTTAATAAACCATGAAAATCTGGGAAATTAAAGAGTGAGGAAGATTTGATAAATAGTCAAGAATGTGGGGGAAAAATATTTGGTGTTGTTGGTGTTTTCAATTTTGCATTTCAAGATTACAAGTCAAACATGCTTGGTTTCTTTTTATTTCATGCTTTGATTTTGTTCAACTCAGTATTTAGACTTGTTTCATTTTTATACTTTAGATTCCAATTTTAAATTTAAATCATATTTTGACCCTTTAAACCTGATTTCAACGTTCTCCTCATATATTTGCTCTTTAAAAGCATTATTTTTCTATTTTTATTATCATGCTCTGATCTTTTGAACTAATAAATAAAAACAGAATAAAAAATTAAAATAAGTACATTTTTATACCTCAGATTGCCTTTAAACTTATCTTTTTATCTTTTTTGAATTTCCAAATGATTTACAATCATTGCTGTTTTTGAAAAGGAGGTCGACAGTTTTGGTGAAATGTTGACCCTGTTTGGCCCTCAGGTTAGACCTAAATCCAGATTATGGCCCTTGCTGTGGTTGAGTTTGACACCCCTGATATAAAGCATCAGTTATAATTCACATTTAGCTAATTTGTGCAAGTCTGTGTAAAGGTGAGGAGTGCCGAGGATGATGAAGGATAAAAATCATGTTACAAATGGTTAGATTAAAGCTCCCATGAGGAACTTTTGATTGGTGTGCTCTTTGGCGTCCCCATTTACAAAGCAGTTTTTACTTATTTTATTATCTACATCTTCAAATTGTTTCTTATTACAAAATCTCATCCTGCTGACTTTTGAATGTCTGGTCTATAATTTAGTGCTTAGCTGACACCTACCCCCCTTACACTGGTTTTAGGTATTAAAGAGTACAATCTAAAAGCCCTCGATCTTGTCACTTATGGTCTTGTTTGCTTTTGGGTATCATAAAAAGGCATAGATACAAAATCCAGTCTATTTAATTGATATCATAAAACCACTCACTGGAGCTTTAATAAACAGTGTGCACAGGTGTAAATCACAATGATAAAGTCGTAACTCAAACAAATTTTAACAAATATGACTCTGCAAAGACACTACTTTTTTTAAAGATAGTTTTGAGCTTTTACTGAGACAGGACAGGTCAGTGGACAGAGCTTAAAATGGGAAGAGAGCAGGGTATGATATGTAGGAGAGGAGTCACAAGTATCAACTAATGCTAACCACATGTTAGCATTAAAGTTCTTGATCATATCATGTCATGTCATGTGATTTTATATATCATATATCAAACTTTATGAGTGTCTTAGCAGGACGGTTTACTTTTGTGAAACTTCTGCACCTCATTATTTAGTTTTATCCTATTAAAATTAAAAATTTACTTCTCTACAAAAAGTTTAAAGATACTTGAAATATTTAACTGAGGAACTTCCATCTGTTTCATGCCATTAAAATCCCATGAATCACAACACTGCTCCACTGGGGACACTGTTTGAAGTGGCCTGCAGGGAAAAATCCACTGGTCTTCATGTGTCATTCTGTAAACCTGAGTGTGGTCATGCTGATTCAACCAAAGAGAAAAGTCTGGAAATAACCACAGTGAAAGTGGACCCCCGAATTTATCAAGGACACCTGCAATCAGACGAAGATGTTCAGAACGTAATGTGACATCTGACAAGGTTGGTCCTTGCTGGCTGAGTCAAGCTGGAGCTCAGACAGACAGCTGATTATGCAAGATAAACAACGCTGGGAGAAAGTAGCAACACCAGCAGACAAATCCTGACATCGCCCTGTCTGCTTCTTTTTATGTGTGATGGTCCACACCCCACTCTGTCACGCCTTCGTCTGTCCTTTCTTTTTAAAATACATCACCTTCTTCCTCTCCTAAAATATTTCCTGTCCTTTCGTTTATTTATACTCTCCTCTTCTTCTTCTCCATCTCCGTCTCCTCCAGTTGACCATGTGATCCCAGAGCCTGGCAGCAGCCTGTCGGAGGCCTATGACCAGTGGAGGCAGTGGGCGGATGAGAAGACCTGCTGTGACTACTCCCTCCATGTGGACATCACCCACTGGAACGACAGCATAAAGCAGGAAGTGGATAACCTCATCAAGGAGAAAGGTAGCCCATTACTATGGTCACATTAAAATGGGATTGTTTTGAGGTTAAAATACAGGAAAATGACATATTTTGTAAAGAGACTCAAAGCCCAAAGGGGTTAGTTTTTGAGTTTGATCTTTTTAGGGGGAGTCGAAGTAGCAGCCATCACATGTTTTTGTCTTTTGTACAGGTGTGAACTCTTTCCAGGTCTACATGGCTTACAAGGACTACTACCAGATGAGCAACAGCGAGGTAAAGTCACCCACTCTTCAAACAAGACATTTTCTTCTTGGCATTTGTGAAAACTCTTAGGTTTTGATGCTGATGCTTACCAAAAAGGTTTGATGCATTACTAGAGATAATTTAAATCTAAAGCCCGCACACGAACCAGAAAATGGCGGCGCGCAACACACATAGATCTTCTCAAAGGCTGTTAGTTTCAGTTCAATAACTCCCTCAAAAAGTAGCTGCAAAAAAAATACTTTCAGTATTTTTTCTTGAGATCAATATTGTGCTATGAACTCAAACAGTAGTGTTCTGTGATCATCAGCGTAGGTGTCCATGAGGAGTAAGATGGGTTTCGAGTTCAGAATTTTTTAAATATCAGACTGTTATCAAAAATTTACTCACAAAACAAAAACCTCCCTGAGTTTGACACTTGGCAGGTGATAATTTTACATCTCAAGTCCTCTTTTTTCTGAGCAGGTCCATTTTCAAAAGTTATTAGGGGGTTAATGTTTTCTGTGATTGACACTCGATACAGCCTCTGGGCGTACAAAGATTGCTCAGCTCACTTAAGGGACACACTGTTTGAGCCGAGCGTCATCACAGCAACTCTTCAGCTGAATGCGTACGACGCTACTGCACAAGTGGTGGTTCAAGGAAGTGGAGAAAATCCTGGAAATGCAGAGAGCAATTCAGCTTCAAATTCGTATAATGATGTAAGACCAGAGCCAAGTTGTCCATAGTATATACAGTCTATGGTTATTACATTTTTTTAAACAACATTTTGGCTCATTGTTACATTTTAGGCTCTTACATGCCTTTAATCAGAGATAGGGTGATGGGAAACTAGAGAGGGATGACACGAGGTAAAGGTTCACAGGTTGGGATTCATGTCAGCTTTTTTTTGATATTTCAGATTACTGATGGCCTTTTGGAAGCTTGACACAAAGAAGTGTGTATCAACATTGTTCAGGAAGGAGGAATAATTATTGAAATAAAGACAGTCTTTTCATGTACACAAAGATATAAGATGGATCTGAAAATGTAAACTCTCCTTTGACATCGTTAAACATGCACAAACAATACAATTGTTCATGTGCAGCTTGTTAAGTGTGGCTGCACTGCAAACTCAAAATATGGTCATTTAAACATCATTATCCCATTTGAGTTATCCAGTTGCAAACAATATAATCCATCACTGCTGACATGCTGAGAAATCAGATAGTAAACAAGCATGAAAACACGACACGGAGGCATTGTTTTGGCTCTGAGCTGTGCCACAGTGTCTATAAAAGTGAGTAAATTATGACCGTTCGTTTTATGTAACAGTCAAGATTTCCAACTGGAGAGTTACATTAAAAAAAAAATCTTTTTTCTCTCTTCTTGTCCTTATGTAACTTGTCGTCAGTGATGTATGGTCGAAGCTTATCCAGCTGGTAAAAGTTAAAACATTAAGTGTAAGTCCAGACGGTGTGAGGCAGAACTTTTTGAGTTTCTCATGCTGCCGTAGCTAATTCAGTCGGTCGGAAGAGCACATGAGAACAGACAGAAATAGTCAGGCTTGATAAACTGATGTCATGCAGCGCAGGAGGAACTATGGCGCGGCTACAACTGCAGCTCATCATCCCACACGGGGTTAACCAGTTCTGGAGACCACACACAGTAATTGCAGTGTGTCATGGTGGCACACATCATGTAAATTGTGGCCTTCTGCTTCAGTTTGACCCATGTGATTAGTGTTTGACTCCTGCCTAAACAACCGTACATGAAAACACACGTCACTGTTATTTCACCGTTTTTGTGTTTTCCCCTTCAGCTCTACGAGATCTTCACCTTCTTGGCAGAAAGGGGAGGCATCGCTCAAGTCCATGCTGAAAACGGCGAGATCATCGCTGAGGTAAAAATAAAAAGATAAATAAACCGACTGGTTCTGTTTTCTCCGTCTCCCCCTCACTTTTCTTTCTTGTCTCAGGTCCAACCCTGTGATCTGTTCGAGTTTAATGTGATTTACTTCTCTTAAGGTCACTTCAGTTCACCTTCCCTGTCTTATCGTAGATCATCTCCTCTACCTACAGACTAAACATGCTGTCAGTGATGAGAGGGGCATGCGTTTCCTGCTAAACTGTTACGTGTGGGCGTATTAAACACAGGATAGTGCTGCGCTGTGGACAAATGAAAGTGAATGGACTGTAAAAGTTGGAGGACTGAGAAGTGTGGTGTTAGTCACAGCTCCAGACAGAGCCTGGACTCTGTAACTCTCTTGAGTGTGTGTGTGTGTGTGTGTGTGTGTGTGTGTGTGTGTGTGTGTGTGTGTGTGTGTGTGTGTGTGTGTGTGTGTGTGTGTGTGTGTGTGTGTTGGATCTGATTCACTCCGAAACCCCCTTCCACTCAGTTTTAAATCAGGACTTTAAGGGGGTCTGACTTTCATCAGTTTAGAGACCAAAGTTGACTTCACTTATACCGCCTTGTTTAGATCTGTGTTTATACGTGTTGTCAGAGCTGGAACATGTTGTAACCAAGTGACACCTACATGAATCATTGAACAATCAATGGTGTGTAGATACAATCTGTCCAGTAGGTGTATATTTCTTCAGATAGAGTAATTAGATTACATCTACATCATATGAAATGTTTTTTTTTTTTTGTGTTTTAAATCCTTTTTCATGAAGTGCAGTTTTCAGATATTCAAACATTGACTGTATCTAAAGTGGATCAAATTTGTTTCAGCAGACTGTTGCAAACCTGCCAACATTTAGGTTATAAAATTCAGGAGAATTTGTGGCGCGAGCCAGGAAGTTTTGGGGTTACCTTGTATGGTGGATATGAGCTAATTATGAGAGCATTTGTAATTAAATGGCTCATTTAAATAAGTATAAGTGAAGCTGCGCACTTTTTTGTTTTAACAACAACAACAAAAATAGTAGCTATGATATGCCTTGAACTAATTTAGTCCACTAATATTAGTGTTAAAGTCCTCGTATGTTTTACATGCTCTCTCCCGTATGAAGGTCTCTGAACATCTGTGCGTGCAATACAGCACTCTTTTATCCAAGACTCTGAACGTAAATATTATATCTCACGTTTGTTTCCCTTTCATTAAAGTGTTAATGAGCACTGTGTAAACCGACCTGAATCATCCCAAATTGTAAAGTTAAAGTATCAATCCAGTGTCTGTGAGGCTCAGCAGAAACACAGGACTATCTTCACTTGTCTGGAAACTTGGCATCTTTGGACAAATATAGTGGTCCGATTCATTGAACCTGGACCATGCAAACTACAGGAGATTCATGGGAGGTGGGTGGGAGATAGGTCTGAAATACGGGAGAGTCCCAGGAAAAACAGGATTGTTTGCAGGTATGCTGTTGGACGTTTTTTGCTCCTGAGACTCAAGCTTAACCTTGTAATGAGTTTCCAATGATCCTGATGCTCAGTACATTTAAAAATAGATTTATGACATTGGTCCAAGTAAAACTGGACATTTAAAAACATGAAAACACGTTAGTCCGACTTGCAAAGCCAGGCTTTGAGCTGGTGGTTGAATAGCATGGATGCGTTGCTAGGAAGCCAAGTAGTTGATAAAACCTCAACAAGCGAAGAAAAGATGTAAAATACCGTGACTTTCCAATCTTAAAAATTTCAGGGTATGGAGATGTTAAAGTGACTTTCTCTTTCTGCAAAGAAACAACCACCTTAAATAGCGATGAAACCAGTGAGTGAGTGTTCTTCTCATGACCGCTTCAACATTTAGATAAGATGAGATATGCTTATATACAGCAGGAGTCTTTTGGTAAAACAGAAAAATCTGTTCCTCAGTCATAGTCACAGCCACTCATCATGCATAGAGATGACTTTCTGGTTTGAAGCATTGACCTCCACGTCTGAGCTGCTTAATTCTTTTTGTAGTTACACACCTGGAGTTAATCTCATATGCAGACACGTCTAGTGCTCTTCAAGTCTGTCATCAACAGGTTCTCACTCCTCTGACAGCTCTGGAGAAAAGTCACCACAGAGAAGTGTAGCCTCTCTTCTGTGTCTGAGGTGACTCACAGTTTTCATTTCTATAGTTTACCCAACAATCAGTCAATACACCTAGCTAATTTCTGTTATCTTTTATTGTGTAGTTGCCCTTTACATGTTAAATCCATGACACTCCACTGCTGCAGACATGATTCAAACCAGGACATGAATAGTTCTAGTCAAGAGTAGCACAGAAATCTTCATATAGGTATGTTAACTCAGCTATTAAACTTATTTTCTAAAATGCAAATTTTGATCCGCTCAGACATTTCTTCTTCCAAGTATCCTTAAGTGGGGGTCAACTCGACAGACACAGCCACAGCTTTTCTGGAGGTAGGCCTACAACTTCACAGGGACCCTCACCATTGTGGGATTTCCCACAGTCCTCTGTGTGTGTGGCCTGACTCAGATGACAACACTGCGGCTCTTTTGCTTCTCACAGGCAGAAACAGAATATCATGTTGGAGTGTCACCAGCAGCTTACATCAGCCAGAGCGCTCAAACCACCGAACACCAAAGAGTAATCCTGCGTGTTATCTGTGCGCCAAGCAGCTAACGGCCTACTTTCTGTGTGTTTGCTGAACAGGAGCAGGCCCGCATGCTGCAGATGGGCATCACTGGACCAGAGGGGCACGTGCTGAGCCGGCCAGAGGAGGTATAACTCTAACATACAGAATACATATATAAGGGCAGTGTAGACAGGATTTAAAGCTCCTTATCCTACTTTCAACAGTCAAATACTGCACAATAGAGCATCTATAACCGATCCGTCTCTACACTGATGGGTCATAAAGAGGCATTCATGTTAATTAAAACCTGCTTTATAACCAGTACAAAAGTATTCAAATGAGCTTTAAACATGTGAGAACTAAAAAAGGATTTCATATTGAGGTGCAGAAATAAGAGTTTTTATTGAATTATTGAGAGTTTTATTGTATTTTGATCTGATTCTTGATATTTTGTCAATCTTACGTACACTAAACTCTCTGCTCCTGCTACATCTTGCCAGAAAACAGCTGATTTTTGAGGGGGCGGGATTGATAGATTATGGTCTCAGATCAGTGAATTAAACTGGCATACAGCAGAAACTGAGCTTTAGGCTGTATCAGAGGCTTAGACCAGCGCTGGTATTAGAAACAGTCATTTGAACTCTGTAAATGTAGTTTTTGTGCTTCTGTTTTTAATATACACTGACTAAGATTCTCCTAAATATACAGTTTAGTTTTTTAAAGATCCATGTGAAGCAGTCAGGATACAGTTGCATATGCAAACACAGTCTCTGGTTCCTCTGGTTTCTTTAACAAACAGCAGAATAAAGCTGTGCAGCTTCCCTGCTTTTAGCCTGACATGGATTTTCCACTCTGCCGTGTGGTTTTCCCACCAGTGTTAGTGTCATGCTGTGAATTTGATTTATAGGACTCAAACTTACTATCTTAATTAAATTTAACAGAGTTGGAAGACTGACTTATCAGTGCCTGGTGTCTTGTTTGGTTTCTTTTATTGGTTCTTGGACTCGGGTTGAACTTGTGCACCGGCACACAATGATCAGCTCTAGTGCTGTTTGTGCGTCATCCTGCAGACTGAAAAACAAGTGTATCAGAGACAGCCGTCACATCTGGCGCTCTATTAGGCTCTCTACTTTCTGCTTTTCTATGTACTGGTTACTATGCAAGATGTTATTGTGCCTCACCGCTTTAGAAAAACACTTGAAAATGGAGCGAGGAACATTTGATGATCACAAACCTCAAAGTCTTCCATTAGGGTGGAAGAAAATTAGCAAGTTTTGTAACATGAATATCTTCTGTAATCCTTACTCTAAGCAACTGAATAATTTAAAATGACAAGCTTCCCTCTTGGTTTAAACGGCATTATTGAAATAATACAGTTCTGGAAATAACTAATGCGATGTGGTCAAGATATTTTAAGTGTGTTTGAGAAAATCCTAATGGGAAAACCGTCTATAAGTCAACCACAATGTCCTGTCCCTCTCCTGCAGCTGGAGGCGGAGGCCGTGTTTCGTGCCATCACCATCGCCAGCCAAACCAACTGTCCTCTCTATGTGACCCGGGTCATGAGCAAGAGCGCCGCTGACATCATCTCACAGGCCCGGAAAAAAGGTAAAGGGGACGAAACAAACACTTGATATAAGAGAAGGTTTTGTTAAATGTGAGTGTGCTTCTTATGAATAATGTTCCTTGTAGGATATGAGGCGTCCTTGTTAGCAACTACAAGCTAAAACAGAGAGTAAATTGTGTATTTCACGAACATTTAAAGGGTTTTATTTTTACATGATATTTGTGAAAAGGTTGTGGTTTGGGCTTTGTTTGTTGTTGTTTTTTCTTAAAAAAACTCAGGAAGTCTTCAGTGTTTTTGAATCAGAATGATGAAACAGACTGCCCGGCTTCCTGGTGTGGTGGGCATGTCTCTTAGTGTCTAAGAGGGACTTTATAAAGCTCAAAACAAGCTGCTCGGAGACTCACATTTGGGGATTCCACTGTAAAGTCTGAATCAGAGCAACTGACCTCCTTTCACTTTGAATATATGTTGAGTTTTCTGATCTGGGCTCCAGATTTCTGCTGCTTTTCATGTGGAATTAAAATCCAAATGCCACCGCACCTTTGACCTATCAAGACAAACCCGGGATCTTCTCTGAGGCGGCAGCTGTACACAGACTTTGGGTCTGCTCCACATCATGAAAACAATGCTTCCCTCAGAGGAAACTTGATATTTGACGTTCATGTCTTTTGTTGTTAAACAAGAGGTCAGAGGAATCTGAGGGGCTGTGATGGATTTCAAAAACTTCAGAGCTTGAAGTGGAAGAAGAAGAATGTATGTTGTGAGTTTTTGAGGTTTTCACAGGCAGCGCTAACCTCAACATCCTTCTGCCGTTTCATAGATCCGACAGGCTTGACATCTTGGTTTAATTCTCATGCTAGTTACCGAGGGGAATCAAACCCTCACCTCATGCATGAAAGAAAGCTTTGTAAGATCTGAGCCAATATGATTTCTTCTACATTGCCAAAGGGTGATGTTTTGCTTCTCAGAGATTTGGCAATGTTCCTCCTCTACAAACACGCCGATGAATTATCGATGTTTTTAGCAAGATTAACCTGCTGGGGAATTAATCAGACTCGGCTGGTGAAACTCATGCTCTGGAAATCGCAGTGATTCCCTGATACGAATCAATCTGATACACTCGACATTTGATACACTAATGTTTCTTTCCCAGGAAATGTTGTGTTTGGGGAGCCAATCACAGCCAGCCTGGGGACTGATGGGACGCATTACTGGAGCAAGAACTGGGCTAAGGCGGCTTCTTTTGTAACATCACCTCCTCTTAGTCCTGATCCAACCACTCCAGACTATTTGAATACACTGCTGGCCAGGTAGGTATCACAACCAGTCTCTGTTGTTAAACCTATTTTCCTGTACCTAATGACAGAATTATATCTATTTTAACTCTAAAATGTTCGAAAAACAAAACTCAGCAACTTAAAACAGTAAATTAATTTTAACTATGGATCACCTACCTTGTAAGTGAGTTTAAAGCTCCTGTTGAGAACTCTTAGATTGTGCTAACATTGACACCTCCTCATGTCTTATCCTGTAAATAAAAAAAAAAAGTATTTATGTACAAAAACCTCTTCCTCTTGTCTTTTAATAATAATATCATGTATCATACCTACCTCCTTACTGCAGCTTTAAAACGATAGAGTAATGATCAGCGTTGTTGCTCGCGGTTTTGTTCGACTTTGAAGGCCAGAAAGAAGCATCAGTTTCAGTTTTAGTCTGTTTCTCAACCAGGTAAAAACTCCTCATAGTTCCTTTAAAAAAAGTTCAGTATACACTATAAAACTTTATGTAAACACAGACTTATTTCAGCTTATCTGCAGATCTTCTAAATCTTTATACCTTTGTGTCATTTGATATGTGCAGTGTGTGATTGGGAATAAATAAAACTGACAATCCTGAGAAATTTCACACTTTCTCTAATTGTTGATCCCCAGTTTCTAGGTTGTTACACACACACTCTGATCGTTTTGTTTCTACAACTTAATTTGTTCTCAGTGGTCTTTAAATTGTGATTATGAAGTTTTTAGCCAAAGTTGCGTTACCGGTGTCATTTTTAAGGTCTTTTCTTCTGCAGAGCTCCAGTAGCTCATTAGCAATTCACCTCTGAGTCGTGGGCGGAGACAGCGCTGCTTTGCACACTCCTCTTCACGTTAGCTTGTAGCCTAACATTGCCGGTGTAGTAGAAGTAGCAGGTAACATAGGAGCTATTCAGCTCTCGGAATCTAATGTCTTTGGGGACATGATGAAAGTTAATATCATAATTAGCTTTCTCACGAGCCTTGCAATCTGCAAAATCTCCGAGTTAGGCCTGCATAGCAAGGCTCCGGGGGCGGAGCTTGCAGCTGTGACATAGGAAATCTCACTGTATCTGATCCTGCTGTTTGTGTCTGCCAGAGATTCACAGCGACTTGAAGCAGAAATACTCATAAATGCAATTTCCCACTTACCTTTCTCATGATATGTCCTGTAGCGTCAGAAAAATGCCACATGAACATGTAGACAACAAGAGAAACATGATTTTCATCAGAGTGGGTCTTTAATTCTGAATAAGTAGATCTACATCCAGCATGTCTAGTGATTTTAAAAAGCAGTGCCATGTGTATAAATTAGTGACTCACCTTATAAGCCACTGATCATACACTGACTAATACTATAATTCATACAGTGGACTTCCATAATCTGTGTGTTCAATGGCAGAGTGGAAAAAGAAATGTCGAACACACCTCCTGAGTCCTGAGAGGCTGAAATCTGCCTCGTAAACAACAACGAGCCTGCCAGGATCACCTGGCTCTGAAAGGCAATGAGATAAGACGCTGTCATTGGTTTGGTTCATGTTACTCCCGAAACACACTTAAGAATAAACAAAGGACTACATCCAACCTCTTAGTGCTCTTAAAATAGAGTACATCTGTAACTCATGAGGGTCCTGATTTCAAATGGGGTGCTTGTTTGGCTCTTAAAAAAGATTTAAAAGAAAGCATACGAACTGAAAAAAAGGGAGAGGGTTGTTGCCTGTAGTAATACATTAAAATAACTTGTTGAAGTTAAATTGAGAAGTGGAGTTTCTCCTCACTGGTCAGTACAAAAAATGCAGTTTTGATGCAGCTGTGCATCAGTATCTCACCCCAGAAACAGACTTTGTGCACTTCTGATTCACTTTGAGCAGTAAGTGAGTTGGATTGTTTTGTAACACAGGAAATCTGTCATGGTTAGTACTGTCAGAGTAAATTCTGGCATGAGACAAAAGTAATAAATGAACAGACATTTTTTGCTCTTGTGGACCCTTGGCTGAAAACAATAAACATTTCCTGTCGTGATTGTAGAACTTGGCCCGCATGCAAAGCTCCTGCTGAACTAATATTTACCTTTACTCTATCTCAACTCTGTTTTCTTTCTTTCCTTTCAGTGGAGACCTGAGTGTGACCGGCAGTGCTCATTGTACCTTCAGCGTGGCCCAGAAGGCCATTGGCAAGGACGATTTCACTCAGATCCCTGAAGGGGTCAACGGAGTGGAGGAGAGGATGACTCTTATCTGGGACAAAGCTGTGGTGAGGACTGCATATTTTTCGACACCTTTTGTTCAGATTTGGCAGACAAAAAGGGAGGAGCAAAGAAGATAGATATGAAGATTTATTCAGAAGTGTTTTATCTTGATTCAGTCCCGGAGGAGAGGAAGACGTCTGTAAGCTTTAGTTCAGTCGTCTCCTCTCCCAGTTTGAAGTTTCCGCAGTTAGTCCACACCTTACCTTTTTCATTCCTGGTGTTTCTATTTTTACTGAGTTTTGTAGGACGCTCTTCCTCCCTGTCTTCTTCTTTTTATCTGGCTGTCTAGTTTCCCTACACTCCCTTGACTTTACGCTCTCTTTTTTTCTCTCTCTCCCTCCTGTTTTTGGTTTTATCTCAGTGTCTTGCTGTCACTGTTTCTGCATTCCTCTCCCTTTTCCTTTTCTATCTCCACATCTGTCCTTTTCTTCACCCTCGGTTACAGCACACTGCCCTCATTTCTTCCCCTCAGCATTCTGGGTATAGACACAAAGCGTGCGGCTTCAGACTGCTGTGTATAATATGTGGATTGGCTTTTAGGAGGTTGAACTGATCATCTGACAGAGACAGTTGAGACTGATAAAGCAGATAAAACCAGTAAATACGTAAGAGTAATAAAATACATTGAAGCCTTTAAGTTGATTAAAGGTCAGTAAAAAAACACTATAGAGTTGAAAGCATGAACATCAGGATTCATAAATAACTATTTTATGCAAAAATCATGTGTCATGTGACTCTTTGCCAAAACACGTATGTTGTCAAAATGGGTACAGTTGTACCTCATGACCACTTTTTAAAGGCACTGTGAGGCTGTTTGCGTGTTTTCAACTGATTTTTAAATAAGTTTTGCCCCTAAACTGATGCACAGTTGGAATTTCCATACTTTTCCATACCCTACTTTTGGGAATTATTTTTGGAAAAACCTACTTTTCTATTTAAGAAAACAGTATTTTAGAGCTGTGGTAATAGTCTGGAAACATGAATATTTTTCCATACTTAATTTTTCTATTTCCATTCTTTTAAAGACCTGGAAATTGATCAAATTTATTTCTGTACTTTTCCATATATTTGTAGGACTTTAATGATAATGTGCAAATATCAGTGTCAAAATTGGTTCTGTCTTTTCAATTAATTTCCACAAAAAAACTGTTATCCATCACTCGCCCCTAAATGGTTGTTTTTAACTCCCCTGGTAAAGTTTGGCAATAAGAACTAAGAGACTTTTTTCTTGTGTATTTGTTGGACTCTTTGTTGACTATTTGTTGTGACTTATGAGCTAGTCTGGAGCAGGACTAGCAAAAAGTTGTGAACAGAATTTCATCCTGATGCCAGCGTGTGACTGGTTCACTGCTCTTCTGGGACAAAAGAGTTAAACTGTCTGCATATTTATGATATTTGGACACTTAGTGGGCCACATCATAACACTGAGGCTGTGACAGGTGACATTAAACTGGTCGCCTTTTGTTACCTAACAGTTTATATATCAGTTTTCACTATATGTGTCATTGTTACACCACTTTAATCTTAAATCAACACAGTACTTTATCGCTCTGCTTCTTGCAGAGCAAAGACAAATACCGTTAAAAACGAAGATTTGTATTCCAAAGCAGATTACAGCAGTGGCAGACTTGGTACTTATGGGAAATGCAGTCTCCGTCCCCCAAAATAATGCAACTGTTTTTCTTCCAAAGGCTGACCAAGTGACTTTGCTAAGTGACTATTTGCTTTGATGAATCAATGAGGACATTAAAGCAAACAAATGAGCAGATGAGACATAAGAAGTCGGCTAGTTTGCTTCCTTCTAAGTAGCCCTATAAGATGATCTCTTTTTATAATGCTCACTTTCCTCTTTTTTGTGTTCGTCTCTCTCACAGACCACAGGTAAGATGGATGAGAACATGTTTGTGGCCGTCACCAGCACCAATGCGGCCAAGATCCTGAACCTGTACCCTCGTAAGGGCCGGATCGCTGTGGGCTCTGATGCTGACCTGGTCATCTGGGACACAGACTCCATCAGCACCATCACCGCTAAGACACACAACTCGGTATGTACAGTGGACAAGTCGCATTTAACCTTAAGTTCTGTTGTAGGCTGGGTCCAAAATAAAAAAAAGCTGATTTTTAGGAAAATAATGAAGCATTATACGAGATAAGCCTCCACTCCTGTGTGTATGTTTGCAGAGACAGAGAGAGAGAAAGAGAGAGAGAGTCAGGGAATGAGAGCGCATACTTGAGCAGCTTCCAGAGAGCTCTCAGTTCCTCTGAGCGGAAATGAAGTCTCAGTGGATGTTCGCTGCTAATACGCCTCACAGTGAACTCATCCTCAATGTAAATCAGAGCCACATTAAACCCTAAACCCCTCTAAGAATGTGAACCACTCAGATGCACACATTTATCCAAATACAACCATCATACTGTTAGCAAGCAGTCTCCAAAATGCCCATGTACAGTAAATCAACGGGGAAACTATGTGCTGTATAATCAGGAGGTATTTCCACCCGTGTGTATCACGTTCTCCAGAGCAGATCATCCTGAATAGTTTTATGATTGGACAACCAAAAAGGGTTTAGAGTAAATACTCATACTTGAAATAATTTTCACAAGCTCCAGAGATTTGTAACATCTGCGAAGATTGCTGTTAGGAAAAACAGCTTAACTTATGAGTAAGGCAGCTTTGGTTTTGGGATGTTTAGTGGGATAAATCTCTCTGAAACAGAATCGGTAGATTAAGAAGACCAGAATTTACTCCATGATTCTCCATCTGAACTGACTTTAAGGTGCCCTGCAGAATTAAATGATAAAAACAGCTTTAGGACAACACAGATTTTCAGCGTGAGTTACAGAGATTTATGACTTATACTTCATAATCGAGCGTAAACTGGAAAGACGGAGGAAAACAGGTAAATCCTCTGTTCTCTTTTAAGATGAAACATAAAATTTCATTTATTCAAAATATGAACCATAATGGAGACATGTGATCCAATAACTCGCTTTAAATACACAAAACATGGTGAAAAAAACTTTGTTCCAGTTGTCATGTGTTTAGAGTTAAGTATCAAAACAAAAGAAACCTTATTAGAAGCACATGGAAATGTGTTATCTAAGGCAGACGTTTTGCTCCTTTACTTGTTGGGTTTCAGACAAAGAGCCTCATGAACACGGATTCTTTTTCACTCGCTCACACATTTGACATGAACTCTGCGTGGACGGTTCACTCAGAATCAGCACATGTGAGTGACGAGCTCTCTGCTGCCGCACAGATATGGGAAGATTGAGAACAGGAAGTGTCCGGACGGGAAATTGCAGCTTTGCTAACAGAGATATATACACTAGAGAAGAATGCAGTTACTCAAAGTGTTTGCAGGTCACACATGGGAAAACAAAATACTGCTGCTCTGTGTCCAGATGGAGAAACAGAGAAAGCTGGACTAATAATACACCTCCTCTGAATATGGAGTACATCCTCTGAGGATCTGTTATGTAACAATGTCACCCTGTCATTTCCTGCTGGAGGTCCCCTCAGATAAAGAAGCAGAAGACGAGAGCATGGAAGCTCCCCGTCCTGATAAATCCATCTTAATGGATAGCCTGATGCCAGACCAAACAGAGGCCGCCTTGTTTAGCAGCACATCTGACTGAGGAGCGCATTATCCAATAGAGTAAACAAGACTAAAACCGCACTGTTGCTTTGCCTCCTTATCGGCGAGCCCACATCTGGTCTGCATTTCTTGTTGTTATCAACATGAAAATACATAGATACACATGAGGGTTTTCAGACACATAGACATAAACAGGCAAAAACACACACACACACAAATGGAGACACACTCGTCTTAGTCATGACATCATGTTTGGCATGCTGTGGCTCTTAGTTATGTCCTGTTCTGGCCTGAATTTGGACGGCAGCAGAAAACAGAGCCGTGTGCAGAGGAAATCAGCAACAATGGAATGAGGGGAGGGGACCATCACAGATCACAAACAAGCGGAGGAAAGAAAGCTGGCATGAAGGAAAACTGCAAAAACTGAGCATGGTAGGAGGAGGGAAAGAGAAGAGAAGAATGGAAAGTAGAAAAAAAAAAGGTTGATTGAATTGAGGAGACAGGAATCTGGAGAGGGCAATGTGGGAAAAGTGATAAGTGCAGTGTGGGTATGAACCAGCTGGATGAGGGCAGCTGTTGGTACATGCCATAGAGACAAGTGTAAGAAAGTCAGTGATGAATGATAAAGAACTGGAGAGAGTGTGGGAGTGAGAGGGGCGAGAAGGAAAAAAACTGAGGTTATACATCTGCTTCACGTGTCCTCATCCATCCTCCAACAGCACCCCCTGTTGTCACCTCGCTGCTGGAGGGGCTTATTTTGGTATTTATTTCCCAAAACAGAATTTTTATTGATACAAAAAATAATAAATAGGGAAAAATCAAACTAATCTTTAAGCCCCATGACTCTTGAACTATTTCGTGAACACATGTTAGTTTCAGTTAAAGTCATCGTCATGGGAACTTTTTTGCAAACTTTTTGTCGGCCTATAAAACTTGATGTTGAGTCATATCATAAATTATATTTAAAAAGGCCAGGATGCTCGATTGATTCAGGACTTATTCCTTCACTCTCTGTGGATTTTGGGTCATATATCATAGCTGCACCTGCTCTTAATTTTTAGTGCATTGATATTACAAGAGCTTTTACCGTATCCTGTGTATTTTATTGTAGCCACATACTGTATATCCTATTGCCGAATTCTGGTGTGTTTGTTGTTCCAACACCGCACTGTGGAGCTCCTTAAGGGACAGGATGCTCCACCTGAAGTGTGTGACGGAGAGGTATCCAAGGTCATTCCTTCCTGCATCTGTCAGACTCCACAACAGAAACCTCAGTGTGCAATAAACCATATTTATATGTATATTCTGTACACATGTATATCATAAGACTCATGTACATATATTTTTTTTTAACTCCAAGTTTCTTTATCCTTTAATTTCTCTTTTTGTATCTGTATTCATGCTGCTGTAAATTGGAGTTCCCCCCTGTGGGACTATTAAAAGAATATCTTAACCTAATATTAATGATCTCCTGTTTGTTCTGCAGGCTGCTGAGTACAACGTCTTTGAGGGTATGGAGCTGCGTGGAGCCCCTCAGGTGGTGATCTGCCAGGGGAAGATCGTTGTGGAAGAAGGAAACCTGCACATCACCTCCGGCGTGGGTCGCTTCATTCCCTGCTCTCCCTTCCCTGACTTTGCCTACAAGCGAGTTAAGGCCAGGAAGCAGGTAAATACAGGAATCCCTGTAAATAAATATATGAAATGCAGTGTCTTTTAAAAGGGGAAACTCTGATTTTTAACTGTATTAAGCTACCCTTGTACAGACATGTCCAACATGAAATGACAAGAAGCTGACAAGCCCCTCATCCTGCTGCGCCGTGCTGGGGGGATTTCCACATTTCTTGAGTTGTGCTGTACTCTGTTGGATCACAGTAGCTGCGTTTACATGGGCACAAATTATCGGACTAATGGCCTAATTGGAATAAAAAAGCGTCATGTAAACATGTCGATCGGAAAATTCTGATCCAATTCGGCTCAATCGGAAAGAAATTGTATTCAGATTGAGAGGGGTGGTTTAAGGCCGATTGCTATTCCGAAACGCGTCCATGTAAACACTTATTCCAATCGTGACTCTGGCATTAAACACAACCGGAGGAGCCGTGTCTGCTCCTCCAGTAACATAACAAGGCATACATACCAACCTTTGACAGAACAGTCAAATGAGTAAGCAAGGGCGCCATCTAGTGACAACATTTAACAGGGGGGAAAATCCTGAATTGGACAGAGTGAGCCACTACTGCGTTTGTTGGTCTGTTGACAGCACAGGCGTCAATACAACTCTTCTTCTGCAGTTGTTTTAGTGAAATCAGACGACTCTGCGCATGTTCTAAAGCTTCTAATCTGAATAAAGCTTGGTGCATGTATACACACGTCATGATCGGATTATTTGATTTTGCACCCATATAAACAGTGGATTCAGATGATCAAATTTTTTAATCAGATCAAGAAATTTTCCCCATGTAAACATGGGTAATGATGTCTGATAACTGCAGTGCAGATGGGAATATTTGTTGCATTTTATAATTGCTAACTAAGTGACACAGGAGCAGATTAGGAGAAATAGGAGTCTGGAGGTAGTAGACCGAGCCTAATAGATTGTAAGGAGGGAATTATGGGAGTTTTGGCTGACATAAACCTTTCAGCGCTGGAGGAAAAAAGAAGGGCGAAAAAGGATGGAAATGGGATGTGGGGGGGGGGATGCTTTACAGTAAGTCTGACATCACCCTCTGATGTAGAGCCACACAGGGCTGGATTCACTGTTACACTCTAATGTAAAAAATCCATGCAGTGAGGGTGGTCGACGGTTTGTCAGAGGGAGACCTACCACATACAGGAAAAGGGTCACCACAGTATACACTTAAAAAAGAGGAGCGGCCGAGAGATGGTCAAAGAGCAGGAAAAAGCCTTTCTTGTGTCAAAAGTAAGATATCAAATACAAATTCAAGGTGTTTAGCAAAGTGGGACACAAATATCTCAATCTTTGATCCTTTGAAATGAATCTGATTGATTGTAGTCAGACAAAGCCTCTTAGGAAACCGAGGTCAGCACTTTAATTTTCAGGAATATCTGCTCTAATATATTCAGATGTCTGTATACCACAAAAAGTTCCTAAAAAAGAGCCAAGAATCCTAAGAGTTGAACCCAACTATTTGATCTATACCATCTTAAAGTGAAAACAGACCCCGCGCTCTGCTCTCTTACTTACGGGGCCAAAAATCTTATTGTTCCTCCATTTCCTAATTTGCAGCTGGCTGCTGATGAGAAAATGGAGCTGCAGCAGCAGTGAGCTGTTTATCTTGGTAGCCGTCACTGTTATGCTTTCTTCGCTCACAGATGTCTCTTTTTAACTCCTGACAGAGCTTCCAAGATTCCTCTAAGTCACGCCACTGACAGACACATTGACAGACTGACACACTGAGGGAAAGACAATGCTCTGTTTCATTGCAAGCATAAACTTGATCTGAAAGCCGTTTGGGGCTCCCGCTGCTCCAGTGTGCACAAGCGTTAGCGTACTTGATGTGTTTGTGTTTGTTTTCTGCGAGGATGTGTAAATCTGGATCTGGTTCCCAGCAGGAAAAAAAAAGTCTGAAAAATGCATAAATTATTCAAAGACAAGCAGTTGCACAAACAACCATGTAATGTAAACCAGGTGCTGACTTGGTTACTTAAATCTTCTCTGATACTACACTGTGTTTCTTTGTTTCTAACCATCCTTTTCTCCTCCTTCTTCTTCTTCTTTGCTCTGCTTGTTCTTCCCGCAGCTGGCCGTCCTGAGGGCAGTGCCCAGAGGAATGTACGACGGGCCCGTGTCTGAATTCTCCCTCTCCCGTGGTGGTACCCCCTCTGCCTCAGCGCGTACCTCTCCCACCAAACAGCCTGTCAGAAACCTGCATCAGTCTGGATTTAGTCTAGCAGGTAACCCTGCACCCTGCGGTGAGCCCAGCTTCTTTCTACACCCCCCTGCCCATTTACCACTCAGTCCCTCTCATCTGTTCGGTGTGTACTGATTCATGTCGGAGCACGTATGTTCATTAGTCCATGCTGTGACAAACATGAGACTTTTAGCATGTAGCCTCTCTCTCTTAATAGGCCATGATAATAAGCCGTAAGCCTGTAGCATGACTGAGCTGAGAGTCTCTCATTATTCTGCTTCGTGCTTTATGATGTGCCGAGTATGGCATGCATTTATTGGCAGTATTACAGGCTCCTCTTTAGCGGGTTTATACAGAGTTTATATGACAATTTGCCTGTTTATGTTTGTCATAAAGTTGGCTCCTTTGCGTTTTTATGACTCAACAAACAGACAGCATGAAACTGAATTTATGTCTATAATCAGTGAAGGTCGGCTGGTTCAGTGTGGTTAGACATGAAGTCATCATCTTAATTTAAAACAATACAAATTCTGTTTTCACTCATACTCATCCATAATCTAAACTGTATAGGACATTTTTTTTGCAAACACACAGAAAATGATCGCCTCTATTATCCAGCATTTCTGCATGATTTTGGCCCAGATTTTTTGTTTCCTTTAATTTCAAAGCATGCATACAGTTTATTGAGCGCTCTTTCCTTATTCTATATCTCAATATATTCACTTTTCTTCCTTAGTGCGTGCAGAAACTCTGTGAAATGACTCACCTCTAAAAAAAAACGCACCTCTGATCCTCCCTCGTGCTCTATTTTAATCCTTTTTTGATCACATTCAGGACACTCTGACCTCAAACCACATCCACTTTGCGATGTCAAGTTACAGTCGGAAGTGTCTTTTTTTTCCATTAGCACTTGTAAGTCACGGTGGAAATGAAATTTGGCTGAAGGCCTGAATTGTTCAGCGTACAAGATGTCATTTAAGGCATCTGGACATGGTCTATGAGGACAGCCTATCTAATGTGAGAGATCACAACACCATATGGTCACATTCAACATCTGTTCCATTACGCAGAGCTGCTGAGTGACAGTCTAATGATGTTCGAATGTAAGGTCAGCACTGAGTTAGCTCCGATGTAGAAAGTGAGTGAATAAAAAACCTTTTTTTTTTGTCAGGAACTGAGACTCTAAACTCAAAAAGCAGATAGTGAGTATTTACACTGCTTTATGTCAAACAGAGAAACCAGAGCTGGTCATTGTGTCCTGTCTGGTGGACTAAATGTGTCTGTGTAAATCAATGACAGCAAACTCTTCAAACCTGGACACAGCACAGCTGCGCTCACCGCAGTCTTGGATGGTTTTGTCAATGCATACAGCAGGCCTGTGCAGTTTCCTCTGTGAAAGGGTCACTTATAAACCTATGTGGACCTCCAGAGCGAGAAATACAGATGCAGCTCACAAAAGTAGAATCTCACGAAAAGTTAGTTTTTTTCCCCCATGGGTGAATTAAAAAAGTGAAACTTCTGGATAATTTATGGTGACCATATTCTGATTCCCCTAAAAGAGGACACGACTATGCAAGGTGGAGTCACAGAGTCACACTCAGTACATTTTGAGTTTTTCGGGTCGGGTTGAGTGTTTTTACGGGCTTATAACTCAGTAAGTCCACACAACACAAACTTAAAACTTCCATGCAAAACCCCGGCCGGACAGCCCCCCCAAAAACATGTCTGGGCAAAAGAGGACATATGACTCAATAAGCTGATTATAGTTCTTTTCAGGACTGAAAAACTAACTTTTCCACAGTCTTCTTATTTTTTTGTGAGCTTTAACCATCAAGATTCAAACAATATAAGTCTTGAAATATTTCATTTTCTGTGTGATGAATCTAGGAGTTTCACTTTTTGTGTAAATTCTGTAGTTAAGTTTCTAACTGGACAAAATTATAGAAAAATGAATGACCCAGAACCTTTCCTTTTATATTTGCAGTTTTCATTGATTAATAAAAGGCCAGATTGAGGTCATTCAAGGGCCCGATCCAGCCTCAGGGCACACAGTTTCATGTCAAATAGTTTAAAAAAAAAAGAAACTCATTGTGGGAAAGAAGTCCTAAGTAGAAATGTTTTGGCTGTGTTTAGCAACCTGCTTTTACAAGCATATCTGATGTATGTAATAGCTCATCGATGAACAAAGAGCGTGACCTCCTCTGGAAAGAATTCCCACTTTTAGGTTCATAAATTTAGAGAGGAGTAAAGCAGCTCCTGGTTTCTCAGGCTTTGTAATCATTCTGTGTGTTTAAGAATACACACCCTCCTGTATGACTGCACTGAGTCAGTCTCTTGTCTATTTTAGTTTTTCCAGAGCCACCACATACAGAGTGGATTAACTTGTCTGGAAGGAGTGTTTGCTTACATGCAGCATCGTATCGCAGTCTGACATCATTCGACTTTCCATGTATGTGCTAATTTGTTGCAGCAGATGCCCCTGCTGGCTCTCTCTCTCTTCGGAAACCCCATGCTTTATGTCAGGCTGTAGTTTCTTTTGTTCATGTTTCAGCAGCACTAATACGGGTCATGGTTTGCAAAAAATTTGCAGTCGTCTGTCTTTTTAGTGACATAGAAAATATATCAGGGAAAATAATGATGTGTCTTCAATGATTGGAAGAAATAGTCCAATTATTAAAGGACTTTTATTACTTATAGTGGTGTAGTTTTAGGAGAGGGAAAATTCTGGTATTGGAAATATGGTCGGCGATTTATTAGGGGTAAATACATCCTTCCTCTTTGGGAATTTTAACCAATTTGCATCAACATAAAAGAAACTACTTGTACTGACTCAGCAGTATTGGTCGAAGGATGTTAGTTAGGCTGCACTTAAAAGAAATCACACAAGTTTGTGGCAACGAATCACTGTTTGATGTTAAGAGCCTCAAAGGATGTAACTACTGCAAAACGTTTTTAGTGTATTACATTAAGGTATGTTAGTCTCTCTTTGAATTTCCTACATGATTTACTTTATCACTCTTGGACGATTTGTACTTTTTCCAGGCTGTTCATGTAAAAACGCTCCTCTTCTTCTCCTCCATCATTGTGTCTTATGAAATTTTGATTCGCCTGGTTTCCAGTTTGGCCTCCCTGCCCTTCTTGTTCGGTCTCCCGGGCTTCTTCACCATGGAACTCTCTTAATCCTTCCTTTTCTCTCCTTCCAGGTCCCCCAACCCCTGATGACATCCCCATCAGGCCTGCTGGCCGCCGTATCGTAGTGCCCCCTGGTGGTCGTTCCAACATCACATCCCTCAGTTAAACAGCAGGAGAAGGAGGAGGAGGAGGAGGGCATGCATCCAGAAAAGGACAGCAGCCAGAGTGCAGGATTAAAAGAGAGGAAGGGAGGGAGGGAGGGAGGGAAAGGGGAAGGGAGGGAAGGAAGGAGGAGATGCATAGGACCATGATTAGTTCAAAGTTAAAAGAGCAAAACACTGAATCCTCATGCCTTACCTGTCACAATGCTACCGTGCTAGGATGAGAACAGTATCCCTTTTCCTGGGGACTTTGTGGTTTTGAATTGGTACAAACGTTACCATCAGAGCACTTTACACTTGAACCAGTTGTAGACTCACTTTTTACCAGTATAGAAAACACCAAAAATCCAGTTGAAACACTCTCACTTGGTGCTTTGATAATGGGATATTACCCCAGTTAAACTCATGCCATCACATCAAACCAGAAAACAAAAGCAAACTCTCTCCTCAAAGGAAAATAGATACTTCTTCTCAGACTGTTGCTGTGCTTCTTTCATCCTGGTCCGCTTTCAATGTCACCCCCCTTTCAGTCGCCTGCTTTCTCCCCTAGTCAGCAAAACACTAACTCTAGACCCCACATTAGCCATGTAATATCATGCAGTACCATTGGTTAGCTCTAGGTGGCATTGTATGTACGGTAAATGTAATGTAGCTTTGTGAATGATGTTGTTGCAGCCTGTTTGGGTTAACTGGACCAAGTTAACGGTACTTCTCAGCTCTCAGAGGAGACGTGCGTTTGGATATGGAGCTGCATGGGCCACATTAACACTGGTGACGTGATCCATGGTCCTTCAGCACCTCTTTCCTCTGAGGTGCCTGATAAATACCATCCCTATAATGTATTGATTGCATAAATATTGATGTGAAAAAACCTAGAAAGGCTTTTAACTTTTCTGCATCCCTGAAAGGTTTTTATTTTTTATTTTTTACTGCTTCCATCATGGCTCTATAATGAAGAACATTGTAAGAAACCGTCCTCTGCATTTGCTTCTAGCTTACTGCACCCTGAAATGTCATCATGAGAATGGAAAAAGATCAAAAAAGGATAAAAAAAAAACACAGGAAGTACTTAAAAGTCGTCCCTTGTAACTCAGTAAGAGCTTTGCATCTGAGGAAACCAAACAAAAACAAACACACAAAAAAAACAGATGCAATGATATGAATAAGCAACAAAAACCTGCATTCAGATAACAGAACTTTACCCTTGGCTTTACTTTTCCACCGCAAACAAATCAGGCTCTTATTTTAAAGGACAAAAGGATCTTCATTATTCCGTTGTCATGCCAACACAGCCGTCCTAAGTCAAGGTCAGCCTGAAGTAACATTGGGTCCAAATCAGTTTACCAAAATCACTCTGGATCTTATCGTGTTGGGGGTCTCAATAGCTTTTTTTATGTCTCTGCTTGTTTTCTTATAAGGCAGAGGATTGTGGTGCAGTAAAGGAAGCTTTTATTTTATCGCTGTCCCACTGTGCGGGAGGGAGGGAGGGAGGGAAGGAGATGGTGTTTTTTTTTTTTCTTTATTTGGCATTGGTGTGGAAGGCAGGCGGTAAAGCGGTGGTTTGTTGTATTTATGTTAGTTTGACAACCTTTGTTATTGTTTTTTTGTTGTTTCTTTTTTACTGTTGTATCAAACCCAGAGATGGCAGGTCAAAAATAAGGTGTGTTGTGGAGGTAGGATTTGTTTCCTGAATAAACATGAGTTGCAACTGAATGACAAAGACCCTTTATTTTTGTTATTAAATTGAGAATTATGATGTATGAACTATCACAGATCTGCCTGAAACAGTCAAAGATATGAGTTCATCAACTAGCTTATACACAATAGTACAGTGACCTTTTATTTTGAAAATACAGACCTTAATGTGGAATTCATGGTTTTACAACTCAATTGAATATACTGGGTATTTATCTTGCTATTAAATGAATTTCACATATCAAATCTCTTATCTAAACTGTACAAAATGTCTATACTCAACTCTAGACGAACCATAGCTGCTTCAAACCCCTACGCATCCACTTAATTGGAAATTTGTTTATATAGTGCATGAGCAGCCTATCATAGAGACAGTGACTAATGCCTATGACTGACTGTGTGAGGAATTCAGACAGACTCCAGAGGTTTAATTAAATAAGCCACATTCATAATGTAAACAACACTGGAGAATCTCCTTATACAGTCACTGATTCAACACCAGCATCATTCCCAGTTTTTTACAAGACACATGACCTCTTTTCACAGGCAGGATAAGAGTCAGAGAATAAATAGAAACCTCAGCATGCAAAGACATATATCATGATCCGACAGGAAATTAAAGGGATATTCCGGCATAAAATTAATTTAGGGTCAAACATACCATAACACTGAATTAGACACCTCCTTGAGAGATGAATATTGCAGACTCCTTGCTTCTCTAGATATACCAACTTTAGTAATGACTGCACGATAGCAATACACAGCAGTCTGAGGAGTCATAAACAAACCTCAACCAAAACGCCACTCTATAGCCACAAATAATGCTCAGAACAGCACCTAACTTCATCAACAGTACATATAGGGTCCCAGTCACAGCACTAGCCACCAAACATCTTTTTAACTGCCTAATTTCTTGAGCAAAGAGATCAAATACAACTCACCCACTCTCTTCCAGCAGTCGCTTGTTTTTTAGCGAGACCTCAGGCTCAGGCGAGTCCAATACGGACTGTTGCGGGGTTACGCAGCTCAAGGAAGAACAATTATGGTAATTTCTTCATGGAAATGCAATCAGACCGAGACGCTAAGTCAGAAGAATTACCACGTCTGCAGTGCAAAATGATTAATATGATGACTATTGCTTCAAGGAAATGATAAAGTAATGATCATAAATGTTCTTCCTTGAGCTGCGTCACCTCGCAGCAGTCCGTAATTGGCTGCTGGATAAGTTGTGTTTAGTCTCTTTGCTAAAGAAATCAGGCAAAGTTAAAAAGATGTTTGGTGGCTAGTACTATGACTAGGACCCTATATGTACTGTTGATGAAGTTAGGTGCTGTTCTGAGCATTATTTGTGGCTATAGAGTGGCGTTTTGGTTGAGGTTTGTTTATGGCTCCTCAGCTTTGTATTGCTAGCATTCAGTTATTACTAAAGTTGGTATAACTAGAGAAGCAACATTCTTCTCTCGAGGGGGTCTCTAACTCAGTGTTACGGTGTATTTGACCCTAAATTAATCTTACGGGGGAATATACCTTTAAACTGACTCGCCACGGGGTTTAAAAGGTACTAGATCCACTTAAAAAAGTATGGACGGCCTCTTTTTTGCTGCAGTTCAACAAACGACCACAAGGGGCAGCAAGAGCGGCACTGCTGCATAGGTGTAAAGTGAAGAAGAAAAGCTGAAGCCGCTAGATTGTCAAACAGTTCAGCTGGTCCTCTGGAAACTTCTTTACCTGGCGCTAAAAACTCCATTAGTCCTCTGAAAAGTTTACTCAACATTTTTAGGATATTACCAATAAGCAACTCAACAAAAGCCAAATACCTGCCGCCGTGAAAACTCTCAAAGAACGACGTTACCGCCGCACCAGCTCAGCAAACTAACCAGATATCCATGAGTAAAGGAGGTAATTTTCACTCTTTTTAACCTCTCTGGAAATTTAAAACCTAAAGCTGGTCAATATGAGACATTGCTGATGAATTTTCGACTAATGTCGATTCATTTATTCGATTTTTTTAGTGTGGGTTGTGTGCTTCAAATGTCTTCTTCATGTAAACTATTATGGGATTGAAGTGGACCATGAAGTAGTTTGAGATAATCTTTATTAAATAACTTGGAAGTAAAAAGTGGACAAAGTAAAGTAGTTTCCCTGTTTTGTCTTCTTTTTGGTGAAGCTAATAGTACAATAACTTTACATAGATTCATGGATTTATTTTTTGTTTTAGCTCATATTGCATGGTAGAAGAAGACCAAATGTGGATCAAACTTTACAAAGGTAAGTCATATTTTCCCCCATTCTCTTGTACTAATTCTGGAACAAATAACCAGCTCATGTCAGGAAGCGTGATAACTACTTTACCTTTGAAAAAACAATCAGACACTGGTTAAAAACAAAACAGTCATGTTCTCTGAAATAATCTGCGTCCTCCTCTGACGCTCATTCCTGGAGGCTTTGGGCTCATTTCTCATGTTCACCAGTCTGTCATAAATAACACTGTGTCTATGTTTACATTGACATGTGAAATGTCTTGTGATATATTTGGTTGTCACATAGTTTTTTGTTTATCTGACCCAAAGCTATCTATGAAATTAAGGTTTTGTGCTTATTTACAGCATATTTGCATGAACACATACTGCTAAAATGTTGATTAATGTGCACTCTCCTAATGAAATTAACTCCGTAAAAAAACTAAAAGGATAATAATTAGGGATGTACAATCGTGTGTTTTTGCAGGTATCCATTATGTTAATATTTTAACACATTTCCCCTGTCAGTCTCTGACTCTTCAAAATACATCCACCCATCATACTGGCACAACATCTGCCACAGAGCCGGCCCAAGTCTCAATGGGGCCCTGAGCAAAATTTGATTTTGGGGCCCTCGATTTCTGCCAATAATATTGATTTTTGATCATTCACACACCTTCACAAATCTCTGATTAATATTCCCTGACATGCAAACATACCTTTATCTTGGCTTTTGTTCTCTTCTTCCTCTTTCCTCTTCTTTCTTTTCTCTGCTCCTGAAGGATATGTCCTTTTTTGCGACATTGTTTTGTCCCACAACTCCCTGCGCTTTGGATGCTCAGTGCACATTGCACAGCAGGAGGCACATATCGTTAGCACAGCTTTGACTTATCGGCTGTAAGAATTATAGGCCTATATCCGCAGCATTACTGTACTTTATTTTATTTTACAATAATGTATTTTTGATCATACAGAGAGCATCACTCATACATGATTGCTCTTGGGGGGCCCCCTATTCGCCGCGGGGCCCTAAGCAGGCGCTTAGTTCGCTTATGCCTCTGATCTGCCATATAAATAATCAAGTGCTGACCATCCCCATTTTCATGTATAAACTTTAATTAATAGCTTTTATGTTACAGAGTGCTGAGTCAGTAGTCTCAGTCTAAAACAAAAGTGTGTGTGTGTGTGTGTGTGTGTGTGTGTGGTACGATTCAAATCAGTGAGAAAGATCCCAAACCTTTGCCTGTGTACACCGAAGTCTGCCGCTTTTATCTGTGGTTATTTCAGGCACATTGTAGAAGCATCTATCAACCCAACTCCTCCTCAGATCAGCTATTAACTAAAGTGCTGCGTCAGCTGAGCCCACTGTGGAGGAGAGAGTGGGGACTGTGACTTCTAGATGACCCAGAGAAATGGTAGACACAGATCTGTTTAGTGTGTGGGTGTTTTGGTAAAAGAGAGAGAGAGACGGGGAAGAAGAAGAAGACAAGCATATGGAGCATGACTCATGCGTTATCTGGAATTGCCTCGGGACACACAGACAGAGTGGGAGAGCAGAGAGAAGATTCTTGCAAACACTTAAGAAATCAGAGGTAGCCAATTAAGGTGGAAATGAGAAATGCATTCACTTGTCCTGCTGTTATTTTTAAAATGTGTTGGATGCTTGTCCATGAGCTGAGGTTTAACATATTTATCTTATGCATGCTAACCCCTCAGTGCTTGAGGCAAGTCCCTCTCCCCCATGGCTGCACATCTCATTAGTCAACACTAGAGGGCAGCATTGTGTTTTGAATTAAGGAACTCAATCAATATATGCTGAATATTTGGCAAAGTATGAAGACCGTTTAGCACCCTTTGGCATCTTTTGATTTTGATAAAAGCTTTTGTAAGTAGTAAACAGAGATATAGATAAATGAAGCACACACAACTGCCAGATTGGTTCAGAAAAGAAAGTCAGTATTTAAGGCACACCTTAATAGTTTGCAACTCCATCACATTTGAGTACAATAAACACACAGTGACAACTCAAGGACAACAAAACCTTAATAGGAATCAGTTTCACAGGCGGGGAAGAGTTCTGTCCCCGGACTAAATCATTATCATTTTAAATAGACGTCTTGAAGAAAAAATGGTATAACTCAAGAAAAATAATACTTGACAATGACTACTTTTTGGGGGGTTTGAATCTCCTCTATTAGAAATATCAAATCTGACACCTCTGGGTGAAATCATTGTCAAGTATTATTTACTCCTCAGTATTATCCACTCTCAGGAAACGTCCAACCTTCCTACTGTATCTATACAGAAAACCACTTTTGGATATGTCAAAATACATTAGTGACAACAACAATAACAACAACACAAAGATAATTCAAAACATCGTATCAATTTTGAATATAAAAGTGCCAACAGGTATGAATTTCAACAGAGTAAAGTGTGTCTTTAATATAACTGCATGTATTTTATACTTGAGTGTTTAGTCATATTGCAAATATCAATAACTTTACATTAGTAGAAACCACATGAACTTACTGGTTGTGAAAAAGGTTTTTACTACCTACGCTTGTATTTTTAGGGAAAACTGTTGTTTTACAAGAATGTTGCGAGGCGAGGACATTGTCTTTAAAGTGAAGGTTATTGCCTTGTTTGGTATCTACAAATTTTCTTTACTATTTCAGATATCTGTGTTTAGTTTTATCTAGTTTGTAATAGATCACTGTTAATCTGCACTAGATTGTCATACCAGGATGTTTTGGTCTTAACTGCAAATACAAATCTACAGACTCATCTTGTGGCACATACAGTATGTAATTGGTTTTTAATCAAACATGAAGTAGAAGGACACTCAAAAACCATTGGATAAAAACAAATTTCAATGCAGAAGGTAACTAAAAAATGAACCTTATCTAAGACTCGGCTTAATCCTCGTCTACAAAACCATCCCTAAGGGAATATGTACTCACTCACAGCTTTAGATTTTTTTGTCTCTCTGTGCATAAATGCTACAGTAGATGAGGAAGCGTGTGCAGAAGCAAGGTTCAGTGCAGAACATATAACATCTACCATCTACAGTTTTTACCTTTTCACAGCTATGAACCTTGATTTTACAGCCCAGACTGTCTTTTGAAGATAAAGGCGTCGGCTAAACCAAATGGTCACTGTGAGGTCTTCTTACTTTTAGATTCAACCTGAAAACTCCAAATAAACACCCGTGGTGCAGAACTGACCTCAAGCTGAACATTTAAACTGATTTTCTTTTGAAGTATTTTAGATTTTAGAGTAACTCAAAGCATTACAAGTGAGGAAAAGCACATTGCCTCTATCTGCAGCTGATGCAGCCGGGCCATTGTACCAAATATTGCAGTCCCTACCATCTTTGTTAGCTTGACGAGCAAAGCTAAGCATAATGAATACTACGACCATGTATCTGCTGCTATGATAAAGTGAGCCGTTCATGCTCAAGCACACAGTTCAACTCTTTAGTGTACTTCTTCGAGGAATCTGTGGTTGCTGTCTTAGAAACGAAGGCCTCGTTGTACCTTATCGACCTGTCCATTTTTATGTTTTGCACTCTTGGTGTCATGCGTAAATTGTGGGGTATGTAGTCCATGTAGGACAAAGCCATCCATGCTGGAGAGCCTTTGTGACACAGAAATAGTTATCCAGAAGAGGCTTAGCTAGCTGAGATTAAGAGTCTGAGTGTCCCACCACGGCCCAGCAGCAGCTTATCCAGCTTCTTGCCACGGTTGACCATATCAGGCTTACGTCCTGTGCGAGCTGAGCATGTGTGGAGTTGTCTCCTTTAGGGCAGGGGAGTAACTTTCACCTCATGCTTCCCCGCAGAGAGGTTGAGCAGATGTTACAGCACCGCAGTGACATACAGGAGCGATGACATGAGTAAGTTCCTGGTGACAGGAAAGCAAAAAGCTCAGCTGTGGGCTTCACTAGGAGTCCATCTCCCTCCTGTATTTCTCGATCTTGTGATTGTGTGTTTTTGTGAATGGTGAAGCACAAGTACTTTCTGCATTTGTGTGTATATAGATGGTTAGGTGGTGCAGGAGCATTTAGACTGGATCTGAGTGCCTGTGCTGATAGAATAAGTGTCTGAGCGTTAGCTGCAGATTTAGAAGCTGTGAGAAGGTGCCAGTGAAAAGGGAGCGAGTAGGAATCTTGAGTCAGGAGAGCTATCCTGAAAGGTAGGCAGCAGGTTCAACGTTGTTGTTCTGTCCGTCCTCTATCGCCTTGTTCTTCTCACTGATGGACAGGTCGGAGGACTCGGAGTCAACCACTGCTTTCTTTGACCTGTTGAGTAAAGAACAACTCCAATGAACCAGTTAAACAGATAACAGATGATCCTCCTTGTGTGTACAGATGATTTCACCCTTTTTCAGTCTCAAAGAAATGAAGTAGTCACATTTCGTGTTAAAATGTGCATATTAAAAGATTGTGGCTTAAAGAGAACTAGTTCCATTACATTTAAATGATCTTTCAGACAGTCAAATCTTCATTTTTGCTCCAATTGAACACCCACAGTGGGTACAACAGTCAGAAACCATCCTTTTGCATTGTTTCTCATGCTTTAACCCAGCAGCAAGGAAAAATCTAATATCTTCTTTGTGGTTGCGGGGGGAGCTAGAGCCTATCCCGGCTGTCGTAGTGTTAGAGACGGGGTTCACCCAGGACAGGTCCCCAGTCCGTCACAGGGCTGACGGTAACCAGTTAACCTGATGAGCATGTTTTTGGATTGTGAGAGGACGTTATAGAGAGAGAACTCATGCATTAGATCCCTGTGTATTTGTGGTATAAAACCATTGCAGTCGGACAAAGTAGGATTACAAACAAAACAGTTACTGTAACAGAGGAATCTAGAATTTCTCTCTGTTTCCCAAATTTCTGATTAGAAGTTGATTAGAACCGAGAACACACTGTTCAAAATCAAGCTTGTTAAACATGAAGCGCCTTGAGGAAGCTGTCTTTGGCAGCTCTTCTGCACTAATGATCTTAGTCGAGTCTCAGTGTATGCTGATAACTCAATCATATATCCAGTAGACTCTGTCTGGTATCATGGCTTTAAAGCTCCTGTAGAGAGTTTTTCTGTTTATGAATCATACTGGAATTCACAGTGATGTCTTATCATGATATCTAAAAGCAAATAAGACCATCACAGGCAAGATTGAGGATTTTTCTACCATAGTTTTTAATGCCTGAAACCAGTGCAAGAGGTAGATGTTAGCTTAAAGAAGCAGCTGTTTCTATAATTACTGGGGATGGGCTACTCCAAGTCTGATACCATGATCTGGGCTTTAGTGTCAGCCGATGACATAAAGTCATTCCTCCAACAAACGTTAAAAAAACAATATATGAATGTACACCAGTATTTTTTCTGGTAACCTCCATTAAGTCCTATTGTTATTATTATTATTATTATTATTATTATTGTTTTGACACATTCCACCAAAGTTGTCCTCATTTGCATTGACAGGCGTTGGTGGACGGTGCATAATAGAGCTTTAGTTTTGATTCATCACTACTACTCTTCCTATCCTGGAACCCAACAGGACTAAAAGACGACACTTCCGGACTCTTATGTTGCCCTCTACCTTGTATTTGTCTTCAGCTAAAACCATTACAACATCGGGTCGATAATGTTTTGGTTGCAGAAAGTGATGAGCAGGTGATAGAAATTTCTTACTTTTCTCTGTTGAAGACTATGAAGTCTCTCTGGACATTATCCAGTCTCTGCTGCAACTGACCATTCTGGAAAAGAGACGAACACAAAAAGACAAAACAATCACTGATAGCAACAACAGCAACAAGAAAATCTGGGTTATAATTTTCAGGAAAAGTTTCTTCTACTTAAAAAAAAAGATAGCAGACTTGGAAACTTTGGAGGACACTTGTGCTCTGTTGTCTCCACCTGTGCTCATACATATTTCGCCCTCTTAATCAGGAGAGCACATCCTGCTCTGTGGTGCCAGGCTGTTCTCACAATCACTGTAGTGCCAGGACGAGTAGACAGGTGCTTTCTCACCCTCACAGGGAGGCCGTGAAGAGACAGATCATGAGGTTACATCATGATTTTGACACTTTGCTCTGTGCGTTTATATGATAGAGACACAAACTAGCAGACGCCTATGGGACATATATATCTCCTATATGTAAATATGCACTGCCCTCAACTACCTATGTCCAAACTATGTCCAAAATGATCATAACGACTCCCAAATTATTCACTTAGTACTTCAAAAAATGTTCGCTGAAGGATTTACTCAGCCTCGAATGGCTCACTCTTCATCCCCAAGGACTGTCACACCCAAGTGGGAGAACATGCTGCTTCCTCCCACACTCCCCTCCAGTCACATCGGCCCTTTAAAACCCCAACCACACGCAAGCTCCAGGAAGCCTCCTCAGGATAAAAATGGCTGACTCCCTGCCCAGAGCTGTCAGTCACACAGCCCAGCAGAGGGGCTGAGTACAGGTGCTGTCACAGTGGGGAAGCAGCCACTGGCACACAAAAAAGCCATCTACTAAATAAGGGCAGGAAAACACAGGGAAAGAGAGACAAGAGGGAGCTGTGTATATACATATTAAATGTGAAGGGAAGTGACACAAGGTGACAGTGTGCATTGTGTTGTCGTAATCCATGCATGCATAAGGGAAAGGTTTAATAAGACAGAAGGAAACAGACACAGGACCATGATTAGCATATATGTTAAATCATAACTGAAAAGGAGAGACAGTGTTTTTTTTTTTTGTTTTGTTTTTTGGTGAAGGGATCCAGCCACAGCAGTAATACAGGAAAAATGGCAAATTACTATGGAAGCAGCTGAAAGTGAAGCATCTTAGCAGAGGCAGTGGAGGATGGTGTCCTTGTTTGTTTGTGTGGAGTGATGCAGATCACCAGAAAGGACATAGTAACAAACGGACAAAGACAGAGCAGGAGTACTGGAAAAGAAAAACTGTGGTGCTGCATTGATGGATGTAACGCATTAGGGACAGGACAGAGGACAAACAAGGTATGATATGATGTATCAGATGCTGTCATGGTGACATATTCCTCAGTGTTAGAGATCTTGACAGGACCTGACACACACTTGAGAACCTCCTGTGATGGTCCGTTCACAAACTTAGGATCTTCCTTGTGCTGGTTAAGGAGGGGGTTGTGATTCACCATTATAGTAATTGCATCTGTTTTAAAGTATATAATATTCTATGGTTTTAATAATCTATCCCACTCTCCTCCAGCAGCCGCTTGTTTGTGAGGGAGCCCTGACAAGTTGATCACTGAGTGCAGCGGAGTTTCGCAGCTCAAGGAAGAACATTTATGATCAGATCAGAAATGCAATCGGACCGAGACATTAAGGCAGAAGAACTTCCGTGTCTGCTGGGCAAAATGATTATTATGGTGATTATTATCATAGATCAGATCTACACTGAGGAAGGTGGAGACTGTTCTACAGAACATGGATCACCCACTTCACAACACCTTGATGGACCAAAAGGCCAATGGTGGTGGACGACTCCTCTCTCTTCGCTGCCGGACAGAAAGATTCAGAAGATCTTTTGTACTAACAGCCATCAGACTTTCTAATTCTTGTTTAAATAGTAGATAACTTTTAGAGACATATTATGTGAGACAACAGACAATTGAATTTCCCTTCAGGGATTAATAAAGTTCTTCTTATCTTATTACTTCATGGGAATGATCCGCTGCTCTCAGTGATCGACTTGTCAGGGCTCCCCAACAAACAAGCGGCTGCTGGAGGAGAGTGGGTGAGTTGTGTTTAGTCTCTTTCCTAAAGAAACCAGGCAAATTTAAAAAGATGTTTGATGGCTCATACTATGGCTGGGACCTTATATGTACTGTTGATGAAGTTAGGTGCTGTTCTGAGCATTATTTGTGGCTATAGAGTGGCTTTTTGGTTGAGGTTTAAGCATGGAGTGAAAGACCGCTGTGTATTGCTATCATGTGGTCGTTACTAAAGTTGGTATAACTAGAGAAGGAAGCAGTCAGCGACATTCATCTCTCGAGGGGGTGTCTAACGCGGTGTTACGGTGTTTGACTATTACTTAAATTTATTCCAGAATATCCTTTTAATTGCTGTCATGCTCCCGTAAAAGAATGATGTTTGATGTCTTCCCAAATCATTAACAACAGCAACAATGTAGTTTGGTAGCTTGTCGATTTTGTTGATGAGTAGCTGACTTAGAAAGAGTTCTATCATCGTACATAAAGAAACATAAAGCCTTCAATGAGTACAACACACGTCTTGCTTAAGTGCATCTCACCCTCTGCACCCTTCAGCTGTCTCTTAGTTTTTCTCTAACATGTCTTGGTTGTAACAGTTCCCTTTTTTTGTTCAAACCTCAAAGCACATAGACTCATTCATTCACACCACGTAGACTCTTTGTTAAGTCACATCTAAACACAAGTCCAAGTAATGCCACTGTTCTTGCTGTGACTCTCTGCCAAGGTTTAGTCATCAAACTTGGCCCTGAAATTATGGAGGCAATTTGCGAACGGCTCGACGGGACTTTAAAGAAAGCTTCCCGAACTGCTGGACGTCCAAATAAAAGAACAGGAGCCTTGAGAAAATAATGAAAGCACGGTGGAGTGACTATCACAGAGACTTTGTGAATGTCCTCTATTTGTATGCTAGACAGCTGGTCATTGACTTGCCTTAAATAAGGGGTGTAGGTAGGTCACAGCAAGTGTATTTTCCTAAAAATACTTTGAGCACAGTGAGAAGCAGAAGTTCCTGTAATACTTTTTTTTATTCCTACAACCTTTCTGCCCCTATTTCTCCTCTGTGGAGAACGTAGCACTTTCTGTGTTTATGCACTTACTGAATCAGTTTTACATCTCTCTGAGAGGTACAGAGTCAAATGAAATTGTTGATATTTTCCTTTTTAGGTTTAAGAAAAGATGGATGAAAGACACAGGAAAGATAGAAATTAGTGTAAAAGAAAACATTAAGCTAAAATTTAGAAAAAAGGGACAGAAGAAATAAATGATGGGGTCAAATCTAGAGAAAGAAAGAAACAAAATAAAGAAAGAAAAAATTCAAGAACAAGTAAGGAGTGAAAGAAAAAGATACAAAAGGGGATTAGGGCCACAAGAAGAGAAAAAAATAATAATTACAGGAACAAGATTAAAGTCGAAATTTCGAGATTAAAGTCGACACGAATTAGGTCAGAATTTTGTGAATTAAATGAAGCTTTCGAGATTAAAACCGAAATGGGTGGTAAAAAGTAAGTAAAGAACAACAACAAATTGATTAAAAGAAAGTACAAGTAAGTAAGAGGAGTAAGGATTGTAGGAGGGAGCCCTGTGGTCTCACAGAGAGGACAACAACAATGCTGTATCAGTTGACACTTCAGCACTTCTCTCTCTCTCGCTCTTTCTCTCTCTCTCTCTGTCCCTCCTGCTCCTCCTCTTTATGTGATACCGTTAAAAAGACAGTTCAGAAGCTAATTGCCCCAACTGCTAGATTAAACTTTCCATTTAATGAGACAAACCAACAGGGAGTGCTCTGCTGGACGGGAGCCTAACAGGGACATTTCTCACTGTCCTTATCCAGACATACTTAGCTGAGGAAAGCTTTTCTTTTTTTTGATAATGTGATTGCTTTGAGTTCCTCTACTCTAAGTAAAAAACACATAAGAATCAAACAATCAATTACAAATTCCCAAGTAAGCTTTTTTTTTTAAAGCAACCCACATGTAGACTTGAAAAACCCATTACACACAATGTTGTTAATGTTAATAGACTTAACTTAGCCATGGCACCAAATGTTTACAGGCCACGTGTTCAATTCTTGCAGAACAAGTTGTTCCTTCCTTCGGAGCTACAACTGTTTGACTTCTTGTGATGATGTTCCTGCTCTCAGACCTAAACCAGAGTCAAGCTTTGATTCTGCACTTCTAATTAGGAGCACACCCAGAGCTGGATCCCCCTGATACTCATGCAGACCTCTGTATCTTCTTGTGGTCTACTGCTCTACCTGACTCTCATACTAATTAAGAGATTTTCCGATATTTCCATGCAGCAGGCATACACAATTTTGTGTCAAATCTGCATTTTTCTCTATATTACAGCAACACGAAAGTTTTAGGAAGAACTTTTAGAGCCTCCCCTACTGTGCTGTGCTGTAAGCCGAAACCCTGCAAACTTCATGAAAGCATTTACTGTACATGTGTAATTAGCTGGTCCTTAAAAAAATCTGTCTCAGCTCTTTATTTATTGTCAAATGTCCCGCTGAAATATATCACTCATGGAGGGTTTATTGCAGTGGAGAGTGAAAAAGGCTGTATCAGCGGTGTTACATTAATCACTTTGTCTGTCGCCTGCCTGCTGCCAGGGGTTTCAGACATTAAGAATAACTGCACTGATCTGAAGTGGTTCCTCCTCTTGTTGATGGTCTTGTTTGTCGTTGAGATTCTTTACTTAATTGCATCCTTTGCGGACCCTCTAATGCTACTTTTTCCAGCAATAAGACACAGAGGTGTAGTTTAACCACTAATTATTCCCTCAAAAAAAAAAAAATTGATGTAAAAAACGTCAACAATTGGAGCCTAAACTAGGGCTAGGCGATATGGCCTCAAATCAGTATCACGATATATTGAGCAGTTCACCTCAATAACGATAAATGGACGATAACTACTCCACAAGCTGCTCACTCCACATTAACTTTGTCTACTTCAGCCGCTTCAACTTTTGAACCGTCCTCCATCTCCTCACCTGTCTTTCCCTCTTTGTTACGGACATAGGACAGTGTCTTAAAGGGACATGAGACCATAGCCTACCTACACATCCAACTTTTATTTATTTATTTATTTATTTGACACCAAATATACCGATATGGGCAAAATGACGTCAGTTATTGTTGTAAATTTCAGTATCGGTACATTTTTTGGTTTATCGCCCAGTCCTAGCAGCTATAGTTTTGAATGTGCTTGATGAAGTCGATATAAAAAGTCCAGTTTTTTCGATGTTATACCCACACGCCTTTTCTACCCTGCAGGATATGTTTAGGACCTTGCTTTTAAGTCTGAATTATTTAATACCTGTTGAGAGACAATTAGCAAACCTAATGACAAACCTAACCCATGACATCGGTTATTATCGTAAATTTTGGTATCAGTAAATTTTCGGTTTATCGCCCAGCCCTAGCCTAAAGGGCATGAAACCATGCTTAGATACCCTGAAAATGCCATGGCACCAAGCATATGTGACGAGTATCCTTTGGAAACTATGAGAAAGTTTTCAGCATCACTTTTACAGCCTTAAAGCAACACTTTATAAACCAAACAAGACTGTTGTACCAGCCCCCTGCTGCAACTTTTTAAAGAGAAAGGACAATACTGTCACTCTATTCTGGTCTCAAACAGAAATTTGAAGAACCAGTACGTGCACAAACAAATAAAATATTTACTGATTTAAGAAATCCCAATTCCACACAACAAAAATCCAAATCCCCCTTTTATGTTTCATCTGTTTTAATGTTTAATTTATTACAGTGGGGTCATTGAGAGGGCTTTTAGACACTCTCTTTATCCACACACAGATGCATTCCCACATAGACACATCAATCCCTCTGTTCTTTGATATGTGTGTGTGTTTGTGTGTTTTTGTGCAGCAGAAGTCTGCCAATTTGTATTGTTCTTGCAGCACAAGTTAAATTTTCTGCTCTACATTATCTGTGATTTAATTGAGCTAATTTTATGGTACATTATGAGCGTGGCCGCAACAGGGAGGCAGAGAGATAAAAGAGGAGCTAGAAAAATGGATGAGGAAGGGGACTGATGCTGGATGAGTGAGGGAGTGAGGGAGTGAGGGAGTGACATAAAGGCAGAATTGTGGGAGAAGGAGAAACAAGGTCACAGAGGAGAAGAAATGAAGAGGGACAGAAGAAATATGCAAAAAGAATACGGAGTGGCCTCAGGGTAATGAGTAAGACGCTGGATGGGACAGACATTAGGGCAACTAGCTTTTCTTCATACAATATTGATCTGCTACGCTTCAGTAACGCTGCACAGACCGACGCTCCCTCTCTTTCACAAACACACACATCAAGCGCTCACTTTCTTTCTGAGACTCTGTCTTCAATGAATCCATCAAGAGCGGCCCCACAGGTCTATTGTTAATGGATATGGACAAGCATTTCCCAAACAAACAAAAAAAACCAACAAATATCTGTTCACAGTAAAGCATCTATTACTGATGTGCGTGTGCGCCACGCCCCCGTAACCCTGGAACAAAAACACCAGAGAAGAGGAGTAGCGTGCACCTCATCTCCAGAAAAAGTAGCATACATCATGATGTACATGTACGACAAAAACAACGCTGTACGATGCATCCATCTTCTTGCTCAAAAATGCCCAGCAGCAGTTGTAGTCACTTCTGACGTCTGACGTCCCCTAGTTTTGGGGAGGGGGACATAACCGAATTATGAAGTTAGTCCGATTAAGCTGTGCATGTAAACGCACTGATTGTTAATGGTTCTAGACACACCGTCATGTAAAGGTGGGGGCTGAACAAAAACAGGGTTTGAAAAGGACTACGAAGTTCGTAAAACTATCAGAGGACTACTGACGTCAGACATGATGTCAAATGTTTTGAAAAAAGAGCTATGAAAAAAAACAGACAAATGGAGAATACAGAATACATCTATAGAGTAAGAGAAAAAAGAAGACAATAGTGAGGATGAGGTGTTAATCAAGTCCTTGTAATGGTGGGGACATCTATCTTAGCTACAGCCTCCAGTCTTGGGATACTCATGCTAAAAACTGCAGTTCCTCAAGTGCCCACTTGAGGCTGGCTGCAGAAGTACCACAAATCACAAACACACTGAGCCAAAATAACAAACTCAGTTTTTCATTGAACAAAATAATACTTTTAGTACTGTCATTGTAATGTCAAATGTTTTACCGGCAGTCTTAATCTTAGATGAAAAAAAACTATCAAGTAAATCCATAATGCATCAGTGTATTGGCTGAACATCTGTATGGGCTGATATTTGCCCTGATGAAGGACATCAGCCCATTAACAAATAATGCGCAGTGCAGTAAAGTCAGGGGCCAATGTTTATCTGTCATCTTAATTGCATCAACAAGCTAGACTACCAAACTGCTGATTCAGAGAGAAGGGTTTTTATTGGAGAGATCTCTAATTTGTTCTCATGGTCAAATAAAGGAAGGTGGCAGCACTCTGAATCGATGACTTACTCAAATCATGAAAAGAGAGGGACTGTTTGCATACACCTGAAATAACAAATCAAGAGTTTCAAAGGCTAAACTGTATTGGCCCTGATTTTCATAGTCCCCCAACTCTCTAACTTATCCCGATCCCGCTCAGGCTGCAATTAGGAAATATTACTTTAATGATGCCAGGATGCAGTGGGAGTTTATAATCGGGAAATGAGAGAGATCACAAGAGATCAAAACTATTTCACTGATTTAATGTTGGTTTCCCTTAGTGATCCTACTTTTACTTCCCCCCCTTCACCATAAACATAACAAATGTGTCCCTGAAAGGCTGCTATCATTATTCCATTAGAATAGGGGACTCTGGTCTGAATAGGCTCAGGGATGACGAATGTTGTCTGGCTGCACAGTGAGAATATATCCACGCAGACAGGTCTCCACAAGCAGCTGTCAGCTTTCATAAAGCATGGTGCTCTTTGAGCCAGCTCTGACTTCTTATTGAAAACCGGGAAGGTATGCAGAGTCTACGCCACACAAATTGCTTCACTTCTAATAGAAAGAGTCTCATAAACACTTTTAATGTTCCAGAGAGTGTGAGAGCGTCCAAATGTATTGACTCCATAATGAAATAGGTTTTGTTTGTGTGTGCAAAAAGGCCCGGCTGGGTGTGTGTAGATATTGTTTGTGCATGGCGGGTTTCTGCAGAGCACTTCTACTGGTGAAGGCAGACAAATTAAATGACCTATTTGATTCGAGCTAAGAGTGTTCACTGCTGGATCTCTGAGCTTTTACTGCCTCACCGGGACATCTAAAGATTCAAAAACTGGATAGAAGCCCAGAATTCAGTGTGGTACTAACCCCATCGTAGCGATCAATTTATTCCTCTACTGTAAATACACTTCAGATAAACAGATTTGTCTGCCTGCTCAAAAGTACGCCACTGAAAATCTCCCTTGTTCTATTAAAAGTTTTTGGGTATGGTTTTATTGTTTGATGCAGGAACAGTAATTCTATTTTACTGCATCTCTTCGACACATCAGCAGAGAGAGAGCGAAGGCGCATTCTGACATTGTTTTTTATCTCCAGGTAGCAATTACGGGCAAAAGCAGATCCTGCTGAAGTGGGTATGCGTCTTCTTCGACTGGTTTAAAAGGTTCTTGCATTGAACTTCAGGGTTCTACTAGGGGTGTCTCGATACGATATTGATATCGGATATCGGTCCGATATCAGCAAAAATGAACTAATAAATAAATTAAAATATCTGATTATATCGGCCTGCATCTAAAATCTCCGAAATCATCACTCCGATACAAGCAGTCCATTCCAGACTCTGCTCTGGTACCTCTATCTAGCAGCGCCCTGATCCAGCAAGCTGAGCCCACAAAATCACAACAACAGTGTGTACTTGTCATGCACAATTTTGTGCTAATATCGGATCAATATCGTTATCGGTCAGTATTGAAGGCTACAATATCGGTATTGTATCGGAAGTCAAAAAGTTGTATCGGGACACCCCTAGGTTCTACTCTCTGTTTCATTTCCAGGCTGCTTTGAATACTCGAGCCTGATTGGTCAAAACCCCGTGACAATTGAGATAAATTATCAACAACAAAAGCGAAACCAAGGATAACCTGATAACCTGAAAGTATCGCTCCAGCACATTTCTGCCTGACAATGGTACCAGTCGGTGAAAGCACCTCCAAGTTGCAGATCATCACAAAGTAAATTAAACCATAAGTAGTAGTGGTGATTGTAGCAGCAACGTTTATTCCTTCATTTCTTTTTAAAGGCGTATCAACTGCAGAGTTTGGATAAGAGGCTGAACTAAATGAGGTAGGAAAAGTTCAGTCCACCCTGTTGAACATTATCTTGAAGTGACTTATAAAACATAAACAGGCTAATGTTTCGGATGAGACATAAATGATCCCTGACTTATTCTCAAAACACCAGCAACGGTGGCTCGATATTGGGGAAAAAACAAAAACATAAGACATCGTATAAATCCTCTGATTTATACTTTCAGTAACAGTGTCCCAATGCAGGGGCCTGCCAGACTAGATCAGTCAGGCTGAACTGATTTAAGATGGTCTACCCTTTGGAGGATTGAGTACTGATGATGGCTCTCACCTCTCAGCAACAGGCTAACCAGACAGCATAGCTAGTGTCACGTAACTCGACCATCACCTACATTGTGAAGATAATTCCAAATTTCAATTAAATTGTCTATAAAACATTAAACACCTAGAGTTCAAACCAAACACTATTATTTGCTTGTAGATTACTTGAAATTTTATCTTCATTATATTTGTGCACAAAGAGTCACAGGGTAAGTAGAGCAGCATCCGTCTTCATGGCCCGGGAAATACAGGACACATTTGTCAGCCTCATTTAAGGTAGCCTTCGAAATGGAACAGCTTTTAACACACTGCTGTGACACATTCAGTTTTTGGAGGCTGCAGGCCCTGAATTAAGACACAGCTAGTGTCCTCCACAAGAGTCAATCAGGAAGTAAAGCTAAGTGAAGCGTATCACAGGCTGTACTCAAAATAGAGGTTATCATATGCTGCATGATATTACCTACAATTTAGCCGAGGAGGAGTCAAATCTATTAAAATCATTCATCCTATAATATAAAAATTAAAACATCTTTATATTGAAAGCCAAAACAAAACATGAAACCGTTCTACCAACTTTCAAATAATTCTCAAAATACAATTTACTGTTCATAATTTCTCACAGAGCTCTTAAATGGACAACAACACCAGCATGTATCATCATCGTCATCGATTCAGGAGTAGGCAGGATCTGAAATTAGTCTCAAAAAAAGAGGGCACGTCTGTTAAGTCAGAATTTACACATGAAGATACAGATTTGATTAGCAATGTTCGCCTCCAAAAAGAGAAGGAGCAAGGAAACAGACCAAAAACCTGCATGTTCATAAAGAACCATTACTACATATTAAATTAAAAAACAGCAACTGTCTGGACTGGCCCCCCTAACTATGGACGTGTTTTCTACATTTGTCATGTGTGTATGCCCGTGTTCCTCCCACGTCTCTCATTGGACCGGGTGATTAAATTAACCTTTCAGGGCTTTCCTCTCTGTTAAGTATAAACACCCAGAGGACAACAGCTGATTTATGTGGTCTGAGTGAAGGACTGAAAGATGAGGGAGAGGTGATTGCATTCTTTGCCTTCCCAATACGCTCAGCAGTCAGACGGGCCATTTGTTCTGATGAAGGTGAGGAGGACGGCGCTCTAAAATGTGTCCTCAATACCCTTAATAGCACTCTGGACTCACTTTAAAGACAAACTAAGGACTAACTTATCACCTGTAACTGGGCCAAATGGAAACAGTGGTCAGATTTCTTTAATGAATAATGATGAGCACTAAAAGAGAACCACGCTTAAGAGACTTGTGTAATCCACTGCAAAAGGGATAAACCAAACTAAAAATGGGCTGAGATTTATATTTAAACAGTGGCTGTGAAAAAAAGGTCACAGTGACTAAATTATACATGATCGAAGTGATGTTAAACTCTGTCTCTCCAACAGTTATTCTTAGCTACTGCGCTCAAGATGCAGGGGTCTCCTCTCTTTCATCTCTCCCTCTCTTTCTTTCTCTCTCTCTTTCTTCGGTCAATAATAAATGGGGTTTATGTTTCTGATTGAAAGCCACACCTGTGGGGATCCGTCAGAGCCTTGGTCCTTGGTTTTCCTCGCAAGTCGTTTCTTCTTTTTGTGAAGCGGTTTGGATTCCAGGATCATTTCCTCCAGCTCAAAGGTGGGGTCACAGTTTAGTCTTCGCCTCTGCAAAGAGACAGGAACATGCAGACAGGACTTTAAAAGACAAACCAAACAAACCTTCAATTAATCAAAATCTTCTTGTGAGTAATATTTTTGGGGCATTTTGCCATCATTAGGAAGGACAGCTGAAGAGAGGCAGGAAATGCAGGGGGGGAGAATAAGGGAAGACATGCAGCAAAGGGTTGTGGCCGGGAATCTAGCCAGCATCTGCTGTGATGAGGACTATAGCCTCTATACTTCAGCCTCTATTGGATAGCAAAGCCATCTGTGTCCTCAATTATCAGTAAATAAAACACTTCAGCATGAACCGAAAGCCAGGTCTGTACTGGAAAAGTTGTTCCAGTCAACATGGACCTTAATCTTAATGTACTAATATCTTGGTATCTTAATGTGCAATCTTTTGTCTTCCTTGAGTCTGTAATTCAGTAGCTGTTACCGAACATTTAAGTAAAAAGAAATATCTTACCATGAAATGATACAAACTAAACATTTTTGGCCTTGTAGGCCACTATACCTAATTAGTGTGTGGCGTCTGTGTCCAAATAAGAACTATGGAATCACTAAGGCTATGTTCACACCGCAGGTCAATTCTGATTTTTTTAACCATATGTGGCACATTTTTTCATGTAAGTGTGAACAGTGCAATTCAGATATTTTTCAAATCCGAGCCAGGCCTCTTTTGTATGTGGATATAAATCAGATATGTATCCGATGTGACTGCAGTGTGGACGCTCAGGTCGCGTTCATCCGACCTATACGTCATCAATATGCGACAAACGTCACCATTGTTCGACAACACAAACAGGCGCGGAAAGCAATTTGTGCTTTGTTCGCATGCGGGTCACTTCACGGACGCATTCCGTTCACATTAGAGTCCGCATTCGTTGTTGTTATGTGTTAAAAAAATGTGCATCATAACCTGCAGTGTGAACGTAGCCTAAGTTAGATGCATGACTAGGGCTGGGCGATAAACCGAAAATTTACCGATACTGAAGTTTACAACAGTAACTGACATCATTTTACGCATGTATATTCGGTGTCAAAAGAATAAATAAATAAAAGTTGGTTTTGGATGTGTGTAGGTAGGCTATGGTCGAGACGTGGCTCCAGCCCATTCAGTCCGTAACAAAGAGGGAAAGACAGGTGAGGAGATTGAGGACGGTTCAAAAGTTGTAGTGGCTGGAGCGGTGGCTGAAGTAGAAAAAGTTCATGTGGGAGGAGGTGAGCAGCTTGTGGAGTAGTTATCGTCCATTATTCGTTATCAAGGTGAACTGCTTAATATATTGTGATATTGATTTGAGGCCATATCACCCAGCCCAAGTATTACGCAACCCAATCTAATATTACACAATGTAGCACAATAAAATACAGGGTGATGAAATCCAGGCTTTGTTTATTGGTGAAACATCTCAGCTTGAGCATCGTCAAACCAACAGAGACACAGTAAAACGAATGAGGGGAAGTTAGGGAACAAAACATAAGTGCTGAGTGCCTCCTGTCTATAAGGGACTAAAGAAAGAGGATAGGCCTATAATTAGAAAGAGACACTGTCAATTCCCCATTGATCCTCTGTGTTTTTCCTCCGCTGTGCCAGGCAGGCCGCTGGGGAAAACCCGCTGCTCTGCAGACGCTACTGACTGAGAATGAGATGAAGTCATTCAATCTTCTATTCACTTGTGAGAGTTTCTGTATTCAACTCTGACACTGTGACACTTTGCTGAAACAATACGGACAGATTTTTGTGTTGCTTTCCCATTGAGTAGAGATGACTGACCAAACAAAGAGAGACATACAAAGCAGACGTTATACAGGCTACAAAGTCTGAGAAAATGCTGCTTTTACCAGCTGTACTGATGCATAGAATTTCTTTAGTTTTTATGAGTCATTGGTACATGTTTCCATGGGACTAAAAGGAGTAAAATCTGTACTTTTAAATGAATTGGTTTGCATGCACACTGGAACAAAAGTGGGGTTTTCGAGTATCTTGGTTACGTGGCTGCATACTTGAGATGCAACTAACAGGTATTTTGACGGTCAGTGAGTCATCAATCTTTGGAGAGATTAATCTTACAATTGGATGATAAACCCCAAAATTACTCAATGGTTTATTTAGTTGCCAGCTTTTAAATCTGATGTTACTCATTCATACTTTTTAAAATCTTAGCTCAAGACATTTTTGTATTAGTGTTACACATAACTTGTGTAATTGTGAGATGATCCGATTTAAAAATGTGTAGCATGGTTACTATGGTAACATGAATCGAGTTTGCCTCACATTTTAGTGGTAGGAGAGGAAAGAGAAAAAGAGATGAGATAAAGCGCTGAAGGTGAGGGCTTGTTGATGTGAATGAGAGTAAACTGAATGAAAACTCTGGGATTTTAGGAGCTTTAAGACAGTGTTGAACCAGCTGCCACCACTTTTTTTTCTATGCTTGGTACACCTGCCACTTCTCAGTCGCAGTTTTACATGTGCAACTGCAACAGGATGCGAGCTGACTCACTGCTCAGCATGAAAAATACACAGGATGATGTAACCGGCTATTCATATCATGTTTGCAATGCATGCAAATGGACATACAGTACGGATAGTATCTTGTTCTGGTTTTGAGAAACTTTAATATGCTACCTTCATTTTTTTTTTTTTTAGTAATTACTTAGATACTGTTGCTAACCAACACCTTGTAAACATGGTCAAACACACTGGAACAAAATCAAGAACCCAGTGCTGACTGATATTAAAGCTCTGATGAGGAATTTTTATCCTGTTATGAAACAGATTAGAACAAATATTTATGTCTCTGTAGACCAGACCATAGATGAAAAGATAAATCTTTTCTGTATTGTTAATTTTGACAGTTGGTGGGGGTAAGGTTTCAGGCCACAAGTTGGCAGCACCCCCTTTTATTTTTACTTATTTCGATGTTTTAAAACTAGTTTTACAATAAGAGGGGTGAGAAAACAGTACCTACACAGAATTGAATTAAAGAGAGAGGAAGGGGTCACCATAGTCAACACAAACAAAAAGTTCCTCATCATATCTTTTTAAGAAACCTGCATTTTGCCATGTCCTTGAACATTTAGATATAAATATTCAAATTGTTTTTCTCTCATTAAAACACCACGTCTACAACAAGATATAAGCTGAGACAAGGTCAGGACAAGGAGCACGCTGATTTTTAAGAGTTTCTAAAAAGAACATGGTTAATTAAGTGGTCAAATTACCAGTTAAAAACGTTATTTGTGTAATTGCTATTAATAGTGTAATTTCTGCTCCTTCAGTTGTTTTCTTTCTCTGATTAGCGTGGATGATACTTTTCCTTTAAATAGCAGGAAAACCTGATAAGCACTCTCGCTCTAAAGCACTCACATTTACTGACTGATTGAAGTCACCTCATTACAGCTGTTGTCACTTTTTCAAGGTGATGTCAAGCAGTACAGCTACAAAAAACCACCTCGTCTTATTTTTATCTTGATTTATTGTCAGCGAATCATAATGATCCAGGGACCACCTTTGGAGCTGCAGGTACACAGAGAAAGAGTCTTTTCTTTGCTTTTGTCTGTGTCCACAGCGGCACAAACACATACGTGAGGTGCTTATTTTTTATTCAGTTGAAACACTCAGTGGGAGACCCCGTTCAGCCCAGCAGGGGGTGGTGTCTACAGCCTGACGAGAAAAGATGGGATGAAGGATGGGAAGTTCTGGCTGCATCTATTTTTTCACCGCCTTCGGGGAAATACTAGTTGGAGAAAACATGGTAGACAGGTAAAAGGGAGAAAGGAGGTGGAGTTTCAGGGAACTGATGTCGTTTCTGATGTTAAAGAAAGGGAAGGGGGGGGGTACAGGACATCCAGGCACAGGCACAGCGTAGTCACATGATATTTGTTGATTTGAGTGTCTTGCTGTCAATTTGCAAACAATCAAGGAGATTGTATTTTTTCTAGTTTGGCATTATAATTCAGCATGACATAGTATCTGTATGCGTACAGACAGAACTCAGTTTCCCTCCTTATACTCACATTGGGAATAAAGCCTGGAGGAAGCTGTTTGCTGAGCACAGCGTCCCAGTTGACATCTGACATGTAGTCCAAATCCTGGAGCTCAGCTAGACATGAAATGCGCTTCTGGACATCTATGCACAGCAACTGGAGGAGACAAAAAGGATTAGAGTAAAAGCAATTTTCCACGGAGGGAAGCGCGGATGAAAAAAGTTACAGCCAAGAGTCCCATTGAGACATGAAGAGGACATGTTTGCCCTAAAGGATGTCTGTGAAAACATGGTGACAAACGGGATAGAAGTGGTGATATGTAGGAAAGGAGAGAAGGAAGGAAAGGAGGAAATGTTAGACGTATAGGAAGCAAACTGTGATGAGGGGAACTTAAGGGGCTGTGAAGGACAAATATATCGAGGATGGATTTCCTCCAGTATACTCACTTTCTATACTACCCCCTCTCTCTCTCTCTCTCTCTCTCTCTCTCTCTCTCTCTCTCTCTCTCCCTGTCCCTCTCACATACACACACATTCACACGTGCGACTGGACTGCCAATGAGGTGGTGGAGTCTGAGCACGCAGCAATGCAACAGTTAGACTGCAGTGGACCGCTGCCATGAGACAACGCCACAACAACAGCTTTTTGCTAGTCGCATAAGAGTGACAAAAAAAAGAGATTTGTAAGATTTTGCTGCTAATTTCACAGATACGACATACGACATTAAATGGAAGGAATTTGATTTGTACTCTTATGTGTGCAATGCTGAGTCCTGTTCTGTGTTTACTCGTCCTGAACTGTGAAAACTTTGTGCTTCTGTTTTTACCTGACAACAAACAACTCCCATTCCTCCTCTTGAATACTAATTGAACCTTACTTCTTATGATTTTAAAGTCTCCGGCACTGCACGCTGCCAGATATTCATCAGCAGATGAACCCATGGTGCATCCAGCAGGGCTGCGTCGATGAGAGTGACCCCCTGATTAGAATTCTGACTACGCACCTCATTTGTGAATGAGATGCTGTTTTTTTGAGGTTTGCTAATTGTCTCTCAACAGGTGTTAAATAATTCAGACTTAAAAGCAGGTTCAAAACATATCCTGCAGAGCAGAAAAGGGGTGTGGGTATAACAGAAAAACTGGACTTTTTATATCAACTTCATCAAGCACATTCAAAACTATAGATTCTAGGGCTGGGCGATAAACTGAAAATTTACTGATACCGAAATTGAGGACAACAACCGACGTCATTTGCCCATGTCAATATATTTGGTGTCAAAAATAAATGAATAAATAAAAGTTGGTTTTGGATGTGTGTAGGTAGACTATGGTCTCATGTCCCAAACAAAGTCCGTAACAAAGAGGGAAAGACAAGTGAGGAGATGGAGGGCTGTTCAAAAGTTGTTGCAGCTGAAGTAGATGAAGTTAATGTGGGAGGGGGTGAGCAGCTTGTGGAGTAGTTATCGCCCATTTATTGTTATCGAGGTGAACTGCTCAATATATGGTGATATTGATTTGAGGCCATATCGCCCAGCCCTAACAGATGCACTGATTAAGCTTTTTCAAGTCCTGATACCACTACCTGAGTGGTCTGTGTGTGAATACGGCCTCCTCCAGAGTTGACTCAGACTCCTGCTCAGGAGGTGATAGTCAGGGTTCTGGAGCTTTTCTCTTTGTCTGCTTGGAGGTGACGTCAGAACTCTCTGCTCTCTTAATCAGCTAAGTAGTCCTTTGTTCACAGCCTTGATTTGTTATATTTTGGATTCGATCTTGTAGGGGGTGAATCAGCAGTTTGTTTACTAATGTTTTCTTGTGTTTTGTTGGTCAGGGATGCCAGAGATTGTATTTTTTTCTTGAATTGTTCTTAGCTTGCAGCTCTGGACTGTGTGCTGGACTTAAGGGTGACAGCGTGCTAACATAAGAGCATTATCTCTTACCATGTTGTAAGTGTTTGCTCACATACTTGTACAGTTCAGGCAGAGCAATGTTAGAGGAATATTAACATCGTGAGCTGTGTTCAACCTGGCAGCAGAATCCCTCCGAAACATTTCTTAACAAGAACAGAAAACTGCCTCTGGAGTAGCTCCTTTCCTGCCACATCCACTTGATGTGAAATGAGCAGATTAAAGCAAACCATCACTCCCTCCGCACCTACACTTTCTGCGTCATATGTGTGCCACTCATTACCTTTCTGAGGAGAGACTTCATCTCCAAAGACCAGGCTGCTGGGTAGCTAGGATGGACTTTGTGGAAGGTCTGAAGTATCTCATTAGCTGGAGTGCTGGATCTCATCACATAGGGTCTCTGAAAAGGAGAGAGGAGAAGGTATGTTATAGATTTCTTGTATCCTTTGCGTTGCTCTGCCTGGAGGCGTGTCTTTGATACAGGACTTGTGTTAAAGTTAGTCAGCCGTCCTTTTTCTTTGCCTCCTGTGAATCCATTTACTGCACCGATGTGAACGAACGACTGAGGAAACAGGAATTTTTCTTAAAACTCTATTCAAAGTCTCTCCTGTGGGTCAGTGGAAAGCCTGTTGAGGGTCCTTCACCCTCTGCTCTGTATCTGAGGCGGGTAGACTCCCACAGTGAAGTTGATGAATGAAAAATATATCAAGGTATCAGGGTGGTGGGGATGATTCACACATGCTTGTTTGCTCAGATCTTTTCTTTTTTCACACAAATTTATCAAAGCCTGCAGAATAAAAGTCAAAGATAATCAAACTGCATAGTTTAATATTTTGAAAAAGAAATAAAGGGTGCTATTAGCTGTTATAGTTGATCCTTATACTGGGATGACCTTATTCTGAATCCCCAAAAAGAGGACATGCCTATGCAGGGCGAAGTCACGGAGTCGTGCATAGGAAATTTTGAGTTTTTCGGGTCAGGTCGAGTGTTTTTTACGCCTTCTAACTCAGTTAGTCCACGCAACACAAACTCAGAACTTCCACACAAAACCGCAGACATTTGAAGGACAGTCCCCAAAAAAGAGGACATGTCCAGGTAAAAGAGGAGATATGTTCACCCTACTTTATACAGTGAAATAGACTCCAATAAAAAAAGGGAGTTGACTGACTTGTGTGGTTAATCATGGACATGGCAAATATACCTCAGGCTCAATCTAAGTAGTTAACTACAGACTGATAGTTGAGGCGGTTTTACATAGAAATATTTCCCAGTTCTGCCTCCAATTCAGGCAGTTTTCAGTTTATTTACTATAAGGGGTCATTTCTCTGTGACATTGAAATTGCTATTCAATGTGCAGTCAATAATTTTAATGTTATTTCTCGGATTTCATGTTATTTAAACTAATGAAAAGCAGGGAATGAATAACAAACGAGTGGTGAAATGCCGCCTTGGACAAACATTTGTACTGCCTCCTTTAGAAGTTAATTAAAAAGACTTAATTCTGGCTCTAAAAGACCTTGCAACATGACAGTTATTCACTTGAGTCAACCAGACCTCATGCCCAAGTTGCATGAGGTCTGGTTGAATCAAGTGACCACCTATTTTTCTCTGGCTTTCAGTCTTTGTCACCAAACTTCCTTCTTTAATACACAATATCATTCCCCTCATATCTGCACAGTCACATAAAATATCCAAGCTCTCTCTTGTCAGAGGTTTTATTTACCAGCTGGTCTGTTTGAAATGCACTTTGAGGTCTTTGTTTTCCCCTCATGGGCTGTCTAATTCAGAAACAAAGCAGGAAACACAGACGGAGGGTGGAAAAGCTGAGTGACAGTGATTGATTTGCAGATCTGAAGGGAAGTTAAGCTGCCTGGATTGAAACCCTGGACCCATGATCAGACCTGGCAGGAGGGCACAGTTATCCTGTGAGGAGTTAAATGGTCTAAAGAATGAAGAGAGGGAGGGCTGGAGCTTTAAAAAGAGAGAGATGAGAGGGTTTGAGGAGGGTTTGAGAAGGTGCCTGGAGCTGAATCATAGCGGGTAAGCCCTCCATTTTCGACAGCCAAATAATTCTGCACATCCAACAGGCCAGTTTTTAACGCCCCGAGAAAGATTCGTGCTTTATAGGCAGCGATGAAATGTGCCAGTCAGAAAAAGGTGTAGAAGAATGTCCCTAAGAGACAGAGGGATAAAGTGAAAATGAATTTTCTGGAGGGAGTAAGGTGAGGTGAGAGAAAGTTGAGAAGAGGGTTTACATAAGGGGAAAAAAAGTGAACTTTTAGGAAAGCGTGTAAATGGGGCTAACGTCAATGTCACTCTGGGTAATTTCTGGGTGTGGAGATGTGCAAATGTGTGCTCACCAATCCATCCTTGAAGGAGTGAAGGTTAAAAGCACTTGAAAAATCAGAGTACACAGCTTTAAGGTAAGCAGAAGACACCACGCATATGTAGGTCAGGGAGAGTACGAAACATGTTTATGTAGGATTATCTGAAGGAGACATAAAACCTGAGGGAGGACTAAAGATAAAACTGTGGGTGTGAGATGAAACTGTCAACAAAAAGTTTGCTGAATGCATCTGAAGAAGTTTAACGTATAGATATTACGTAAAAAAAGTAAGAAAGTTTGGGAATTATTTAAAGAAAACTGCAACAGTCTCGGGTTTTTTGTTAGTCCTCAAAAAGAGGTCTCTAACGTCAGAAAGAGTCTACGTTCAATGTATGAGAGTGATCTACATTAAGGGCTCGACTTACACACATCTACAGTAGCATCAAAATTTAAGAAAACTATGTGTTTTGCACAATTGACAATGCACATTAGACAGTAGGTTTCATAAATTGCACGGCTGTTATTGTGATTTACACAACAGATAAAAGTTAAGTATGTTGCATCCAAAAATATATTGTAAGAAGAATAATGTATTAAACCAGTAAAAGGCAATTTAGCACTTTTAGAAAAGTAACATCCACTGATACCTACTTGAACACGAACACTCTCAGTGGTAATTATTTACAGTTTCTTCATGGCTTTAGGATTCATTTGCTGTTTCAGTGATGGTTTGCTTAAATTCAAGTTTCTAAGTCACCTTGAATGATTTGTTTCACTCCATTACTAAAAATCTGAAGAACTTTGTAAGGTCAGATTAAAAGAAAATCCACTTACAACTTCCCCTTCTCTTAAAAGACAAGGCTGGAGACTAGTTTTGTGTCTTTGGAGATGTTATTTGTAGAATTTCTAAAGTGTAAAAACATTGTGGACATGTTTGTAGTTTGTGTTGTGTCTGGAATTACCTGTCCTCTAAGCAGCTCATATGCCGTGATGCCCAGTGACCACCAGTCCACAGAGAAAGAGTAGCCAGGGTGGGACCCCTCGAAGGTCTGAAAGAGCTCAGGAGCTGACAGACAGAAAAACAAAGCAGGAATAATGAAATCTGTCATTGTACCTTTCTCATACTTTAACCAACTTCTTGTTAGGTGTTCAGATCCCCTATTCTCATTTGGTCTGGTCCTTCTTTTTCGACCTAAACCTTTTAAAACATGTACGTTATGGATCAGTTTAAGTCATGTTTGATGCGTTCAGTACAGACATGTCAGTAATAAATGTTTTAAGGCAGAGTAGAGAGGCTACAAAAGAGTTTTCATTCGATTTGACTAAACTGTGATGAGTTTTCAGATAAGTGTTGCTGTTGAAGGCAAGATTTATGACCATGACACCGTGATTTATGACCATCATCAGCTTGTGAGACACTCATTCTCTCTTCTCGGATTGAGTGCTCTGATTCATTTTCTTACTTATTAGATCAATCAAAGGACTCCCCTTTTTTGATGTTATTGGCATTAATGGAAACTTCGTCAATAGTCAGGGATACTCTAGTTGGCGTTTCGTAAATGTCACCAAATCTGAGCCGGTGTAGTTACCAGATGTGCTCTAGCTGCCAGATCGCCTGTTGAAGACGTCACCCTACGGCAAGTCCCCTCATTGCGCTCCATTTAATGAGTCAGATGTACTCAGTTGTAAGCCCCTGCGGTTTTCTTTCTTTGCGTTTGTTTATTCAATTAACCTTGAAATTTTCTCTCTTTTAAATGACAGAGAATTACAACTTACTGCACTGTAATTTTCAGATGGCTTGAATTGTACATGTTAACTTTTCTAAGGAAAAGAAAAAAAGAAGATGTACGCAGGATCTCCGTTTATCAATAGAAAATTTTGCTTTTATTCCACATTCCATTTGGCAACCTAAAAAGAGGCGGTTTGTAAAACTCGTCCATGTTTTCCGCTTCCGTAATGTCCGGACCAACCACATTCTTCTATCTACGTCATCCGAACAACTTCCAGCCAATCATATAGTTTGACGTCATCAACAGGCGCCGAGCCCCGAGCCGATCTGGCAGCCCGAACACATCTGGTACCTACACCGGTCAGACAGCTGTTCAGTTTAGTGACGTTTAAAATGAAAAAGGCAGCTATGGTGTTAAAAACAATTTAGGACTAACCCTCAAACTGCCAGTCAGTTTACAGTAACACATTTTATATCTAGTCATGTTATAAAAACTGGTACAAGGAGGACTGAAGTGTGAGAAACTGACAGAAGGCTTTACAGAGGAGTCTGAGTCACTTTTTCACACTTTACTGTTGAGTTTGTTGTTGTTCTCAGATGAAAAACATTAATTTGGTTGTTTTCGCTTCAGGCAGATTATAATTATTAGGATCTAATTTGAAGCCAATATTAAACCATGATTTCCTGTTAATAAATAATTAATTGAACAGGTTCTCTCAGCAGGACACACCATCCCAAACTCTGTCATTGTTTCTCTCTGTATTATTTCATTATGTTTTGTTGTTGTTGTTGTTGTTGTTTTGGATGGGAGGAACCACACAGTTCACTTCACTCTGGTCGACACACACACACTCACACATACCCACACACACAGACAAGCTTCTCTCCTCCGCCATGACAGGTTTGTTCACTTTCTCGCTAAGGAGAAAAACGTGTAGTTTATCTATAGAAGCTGCTGAAAATGTTTTTCCTCTCCCCAGAGACCCCATGAATTATCTATTAGACCACAGTGTGTTCCCCTGATATCGGCAACAGGGCGATAAGATTATAGTCCATCATGAGCGCACACTTAAAATGTGCAGACACGCACACACACATACAAAGTAGATGAGCTGTCCTGTCATTACTTTCCCTGAAATTATTCTATCTATTTGGTCTCTCAGGATGTTAAACACACAATGAGAGAATAACTTCAGGATGTGAGTCGTGGTTCAGGGCTCTTTTAATTGAATATATGCTCATGATTTCAGTAAGAAAATAAATGTCAGATTGAGTAAAAAATAAAAATAAATTAAAAAACATCTTTTTAACACCAAAAACCTTCAAACACATGGCTACTTGTAAAAAATGTTGACACACACATGAGGTCAAAACTGAAGGTGATGCCTTCATTTACTTTACTTAAGTATTACCAAAACCTCCCTCACAGAAAAAGGCATCAAGTGACGGTTTACTCTGCGACAGAGTACACACACGTGTTTGTCAACACATGTTTCATTTAGTTTTCTCTCCAGGTCATAAAGGCAGTCAACACTGACCAGGTTTGATAATGGTGGCCTTGGCTTCAGGGGTTCTGGTGCTATAAATCCTTAGTGCTCACGTTGTAGTCTAAGTTTTTATTATCCCTCTATCAATCACTCTTAAATAACAGAGTTTGTAATCTCTCCTTGATAGGTTATTTCTTACAAATAAAGCCAAAAAAACTCACAAGTAAGAGTATGGTGAACCTGTTCTCTATGTGTCACACACAGTGATGACACCACAAAACCGAACACGAGTAAAAAATACCAAGTTTAGAGAAAAAGAAGAATCTGTTCTCTGGTGGATTAGCAAACATCGGCCTGCTCTCTGAGGTCTGTTGAAGGTATTTTACTTTCCTTGTGATGCGGTGTTAAAAAGCAGCCCTCTTACCCATGTATGGCTTAGTCCCGGCAATAGATGTTGCTTTTAGGTCGTCTTTCACAATGGCTGCAATGTTGAAGTCTGTCAGATGGACGTGCCCTGGAGAAAACAGATTGCATCATTACACTGTGGTTCAGAGGTGGTTATTAATACACTCTTAAGTATATCAGCTGTGTGAACTCTGTAACGGTTTAGGAAAGCTGTACAATCAAATAGTTGTGTTTACACCATAAGTAATTTTGGTTTCCCCTTGATAATTGAAGCTCATAAGGTCAGACAGAGATGCTAAAGTTAGAAATTAGAAAGGAGGGGGTCTGGCTTTATTTGTCAACCAGAGATGTTGTAACTCTTCACACATAACCGTCAAGGAGAGGATGTGTTGTCCAGATACTGAACTGTTTGTCCTTCGTCCATATTATGTTCCAAGGGAGTTCAGTCCTATCATAACAGTACTCGTATACATTCCACTCATGGCAACAGCTGAAGTTTCGTGAGATGTTCTCCATTATACTGTTGCTAGGATACAGACTCAGCATCACCTCACCCTCTCCTCTCACCTGACTGGATTTACAGAGCATAATTTGAACATGCAGTACATCAAGCAAACAAAATGCAAGACATAAAAAATTTCAGAATAAAATCTTTACAGACAGTCGTTTATGCAGCAGTGTCTTCTCCGAAGAAGTTTCACTCACTGTGCTGGTGAGGCGGATAAATCATAAATTTGGACATTGATTTGAAATGGTGATGATATGTAACTTAATTTGTCAGTTAATGTTGCTCCACTGTTATGACCTTGTGTGTCGTTTTATCGACACACAAAGTTTTCTATCTACATCACAATAATACTGTTATCACAATATTTTAGGCCAGATGCTATTTGTGTGCGCTTTAAATGGACAAAAATACACAGAAAAAAAAAAAGATTTTACTCTACAGGATAGTGACATTACGTTATTTGAAATGCCCGATTCTTTATTAGAATATTCTGACATTTGTGTAACCAAAAAGCATCTAATAAAATTAAACTGCTGCTGTTTGAATGGAATAAATGTGTGTGCACGTGAATAAGAGGTGGGTCTGCGCCAAATGTGTGTTTTAACGGCAACCTCTCAAAGTCAAACCACTGACCTGTGTCTCGCATTGCTGCAAGATGGCCCAGAGTCTTTGCCATGCACACCGAGTCCACACTAATGAGCTGAATATACATAGTGTGTGTGTGTGTGTGTGTGTGTGTGTGTGTGTGTGTGTGTGTGTGTGTGTGTGTGTGTGTGTGTGTGTGTGTGTGTGTGTGTGTGTGTGTGTGTGATTCTGAGTGGCAGAGCAATACAGAACAGGAGAGGGTTTGCCGCAGAGTGATTGTTTGGATGAATGGTTGTCCCCGGTAACCCCAAAAACACATACAGTAAGACTAAAGACCTTTTATCATCTGAAACGATGTAAATAAATATATTTGAGTGAGATACTGAGCCTGTAAGATAAGAGAATCTGAGGAAAATGTCACAAACCCGCTTTCTACTCTCCTCTTCTGTTACTCTGCATTATCACACCTTTTCATTCAAGGTACCTTTTTTATTCCACCCGCTTTCTTCTCCTTTCCCATCGACCTCGATCCTGTCCTTATTTTTCATGTTTTAATTCTCGTTTCCCTCCATAAACCCCATATCTTTATGCTGCTGCTCAGTGATTTGACTTCTTTACCCCGCTGTGTCCTTCTCAGTTTGAAACAAGCCCACATTATAAACCATATTTAGTGCCTGGCTTTTTTCAAATAAGTATTTTTAAACCTTTCTGAGGACAGCGACAAAGGTGTGGCAGGAGTCAAGCGTTAGTTGAGTCTATTAGTGGAGCTTGAGTGAGAGTGGTGTTTTCATATTTAATGATTCCTCCTGTCTCTGTCAGATTATTATCTCTAGCCCCCTTTTTCCCCCTCTTCTGTCTTCATCTCTCTTTGCTTTGCAGGAGACAGATTTGGGACAGCAGGAGTTTTACATGGTAGCCAGCAGGGAGAAAGAGAGGACTAATATTAAAATATTTAGCTACTGTGGCAAAAGTATCAAATGGTTTCATCCTATGTTTTAATATGAAGACGGGTGTGATTTTAGTCGGTTTAAAACAGCTCCAGGGGCGGCGGTGATGATGAGTCATAGTGTTTGTTCCAGTTTGGTGGTGGAAGCAGAATCAGCCTCCAGTGGTCTGTTGCTGAGGCTTTAGGTCTCATGGGATTGCTCCGGTTTGATTAATTTTACGGTATTTAAGTAAATTTCTCTTCTCATCGGAGTTACCTTTTTAAAAATGCAGAAAAATCACAAAGGGTATGAGGATCAGGAACTGTGTTGTAGTTGCTGAGTGATGCTGATCAATGCAAAACGCTCTCAGCGTTTGCGGTTCTCTGTTGCTGCGATCTCGGTTGAAAATACTTCAACTTTTGGAACAACGCTTCACTCGTCAATAGCCATGTTTACATGTGCAAAATTTCTTGATTCAATTAAAAATTTGAAGGATCCGATAATATGAATCTACTGTTTCTATGGGTGCAAAATCGAATAATCTGATTATGACATGTATTCATGCACCAAGTTTTATTTAGATTAGAAGCATTTGGACATGCGCAGAGTTGTCTGATTTCACTAAAACAACCGCAGAAGAAAAGTTGTAGAGACGCCTGTGCGGGAGTGGCTCACTCCATTCAATTCAGGTTTTTTCCCCTTGTTAAATGTTGTCACTAGATGGCACGCTTGCTTACTTATTTTACTGTTCTGTTAAAGGTTGCACTGTGCATGCAGATGTGACATCATTACGCTGTATACCTCTTGTTAGGTTACCGGAGGAGCAGACATGACGGCACCTGCGGTTGTGTTTTATGCCACAGTGTTGATAACAAAACTTCCTGTACCGGCCTCAATAAATAACTGAAAGGCTAAAGAGTAAAGATCGAGTCAGGTTAGAGAGTCACGATCGAAATAAATGTTTACATGGACGCGTTTCGGAATAACAATCGGCAGCCGAATTGGATCAGAATCTTCCGATCAACATGTTTACATGACGCATTTTTATTCCGATCGGGCATTTATTCCGATTATTTGTGCCCATGTAAACTCAGCTACTGTCACTCCCCTGATCACAAACCGGTCAGACTTCAAAAGGTTCCACCTGTTTTTAATTTTCATGCCAATACCTGATTGATCAATTCTACAAAGACTACAAACTACTAGACTACTACAGATGGAAAAAAAGACCACTTCCCATAATTGAATCTATGCCCCCACAGAGCATGTTACTGGATATTACTCTTAGCTAAAAGTGATTCATAATCTGGTTGGTTCAGAGTGAGGGCAGATGGCTCTTAAACTAAAAGAACACAAACATATCACAGTCAGGGACAGATGGCATTAGTAGGAAAACGATAAAGAAATGAACTTTGACAGTTTTTAAATCTGTCTCATTGAAAGACGTGGCATCGGTGGATTGAGTAAAGAGAGATAGTGAAGACGTGGTCCCAGGTTTTTCCATAAGGGAAAATTAAAAGAAAATTTTTATATTAAGATGCTGGCTACCATCAATTTATTTTAGAAAGAAACAGGGATTGTAATATTGGTGGAGAGTTTTGATGTTTGGGTGGTGTTACCCACTGTAGAGGCACTAGCAGGAGTTTGCTCGTTGCTGGGACAGAGAGGAAACTCATCAGTCTGTATGACGTCATACATTCAAATCATTGAGCAAAATTGCCTGATCCAGGGTGGAAATATAAATTCTCAATTTTTTTCTAAATACCTGGAGATCCTCATTTGTTAAAATTGACGTCATTTGAAGGGGTATCATTCCCTTCAATTCAAATAAAAGCTTTAGCTCATTAATCTGTCAGGAGTTAAATAAATTAACCCCTATATGATCCGGTGAGATTAAGTTTGTCAGCATTCAGACTGCTTCCTCTGTGTGCTGCCTGAACAATGGCTCAGCAGGTTTCCCGTTGGCTTAGTTATCTAACATGTTTTATCAGGATTACTTCCACAACTGTCGAGGTTTGGTCTTTCCGCTGTGTCACGCTCTGTGTCACGCTCTGTATCATCTCTCCTATTTTTAATTCCTCTGTTCTAACTGCTACCTTAGTACACCCATACAGCTGCAAACAGCAGTGCACTGCAATGACCTCAGTGATGAACCTGCAGTGGATTTCTAAAGATCACTGTCGAGTCACCTCCTGTAAACAAACTCCATCAGCTGCATGAGTCACAATAGATCAGCCGGTTGAAGTATGAACCAAAGCAGGTCAATATTACTGAAACTGGTCTATTATGTCCAATTTGCCTTCACCTGGTCATAATCCTAACATACTCTTTATATTATACAATTTTTTTTCTTATTCTCCTGTCTATCAAACAAGAGGCGATCATATATTGTCCATTTTTAAAAAGTCCCATGAGTGTTAAAGTGGCAAACATGCTTAGACTCCTCTGTTGTTGGGGGAGAAGAAGTGAGCTGTGGTTTTCCTCACTTCACCTTTCAAAGTGGATAACCCAGACAACGGCCCCCTTGGAGCTTCGCTCATCAACCTGGGGCCATGACGTTTAAGAAAAAAATTGTCACCACACATGCATGAGTAAATTGTTTTTCTCTATTTGAAGCAGCCCCCACAGGGGGAATCCTGGGAGATACGGGTCAATTCCAGCTTGAAAAATTGGCTGGTGAGCAGAAGCAAAACAGCCAGCTCCCCCTCCTCTAAGACCTCATGATGTTCCAGACCCAAGCAGAGAGGAAGGCTACGGGTCTGAGCGGGAACACAGATTGAGATTGAACGCATGAGGAGATGGGAAGTGGTTATTGAGTTTGAAAGGACACGCACATGTACAGAAAAGAGTAGTAAAGTCCCGGTGAACGTTTGTTGTCTTTTGGAAATCAGGCCGACAAAGCTGCCTCTTTATCTCCCTTCTCCACATCTCTCCTTCCATCTTTGTCTACCTTTGACATATCTTTCTTCAGAGAAATGTTTGCTCATCACTTCTTCTTCCTTGTGGCTTGGCCTGTGTGTTTCACTGTTTTATCTTTCCTTTCTTTCTTCTTTATCTCTCTCTCTCTCTCTCTCTCCTTTTCTTTCTGTCCTACTTTGTTTGCTTCCATTCTGTGGCGACAGCAGGCCTGCCATATCTCCTCAGCTCCTTGAAGCAGATGCCCAGTGCCCTCTGAGACCCCTGGACTCAAGCAGGTGTGCATGTATATGTCTGTGAATGTGTGTCCATATGTGGTCAAACCTATATGGATACTGTATGGTAAAGTTTAGAGGCTGAGTGAACTGGCTGGTTGTTATGACTCCATGTTGGACCTCACTATAACCTAGAGGTCCACAACCATGGCTGTCAGTAGAAAGCAGCACAGTGACTGACTTATTTGGAGGAAATTCTCTGCTTTCGTGGAACTGGATGACATTGACACTCATTAGCGTAAAGCCTGAGAGCAGTCAGGACCTGCAGGGCTGAGGACAGAGTGTAAGAGTTGTGGTGAGGCTCTTTAATTAGTTAATTAATTAACAGGGCTTACCTTGCAAAAACAGAAACTTTAAATCAGCTCACCGTCTGAGTAGTGCTAAAACTACGTCTCTCATGCACTTTAATTAATCATCCTGTAAACAAGGCGACTTGTTTTTCAACTTCAGTGAACGTTACTCGTTCGACTTGCTCAAATAGGCCTTTCAGTCTGTTTCTAAACCCTTTATAAACTCCTCACAGTGCTTTCAAGTCTGACTGGGGTGCAGGGCACAACTTGAAGTTGGTTAGCTTTTAAATCCAGGCATATGCCCAACAGCTGCATTCAGCTGCAGCTGTTTAACTTAGAAAGGAGATGAGCAAATGGACATTTTAATTGTCACATGGGTGTATTAAGACACTGCATTTACTAATATGGTTAATCAATGTATGTACTGTTTAATTACATAAATTGACTTTTATTTTTCCACTCAGGTCCCATTTTTGCCAGAAATATATATATAAATTTTCAAAGTATTATAAAAAAAAGTATTAGTGCATACTGTTGAAGAAAGAAAATAGTTATAAAGTCCCTCCTGTCTAGTTTTACAAAGTTTACTTGCAGGACTCTTTCTTGCTGGGTCACAGTAACTTGCTAGAATCTTCCTGTCACTGTGAGGTTGCCGGGCAACCAGCAGACTCCTTTAATGATCAGGTCAAGATGCGCCTGGAGGTTTGGATTTTGAACAAACCAATTAACAGTTTCAACATAACTCGGTCTCTTCCTCGTCTACGTGTTTTGTCTTGAAAGACTGCAGGTCATGTTGTTTGCATATGTGTTACCATGCCTGTCTTAAAAAGCTTGTGTTTCTCCAGGGATGCATCATCATAATAAGTGCCTTTAATATTTAACATATTAAAGCACATATGGCTATGATTTACTACAGTCCCCCTTCCTTAACACATGGGTGTATTCTGTATTTATGTGCATGTGTGCTGGTTTAATTATGTGAAACAGCCTCTAAAACCTATGATGACACTTCAATCATTCACAGCAGGATTTTTTCCTCACAGTAGAGAGGAGCCATGATGAATATCAACCCTGTCCTCCAGACTACTCTTACATCACTTGCTCTTATTTCATCACATAATTTAGGGGGAAAAAAGTGCCACACCGGACAAAAAATAGAGATGCAGATGTGAACCCTGTGTCGCATTTAATAAAAAATAAGTCTGAGGTATTTTCATCATTGCTGGAAGGCCTGTCTGTGAAACCTGCCGTGAGCTTTTCAACTCCTTTGATCTGTGCAGAAGTGATCCCGAGGGGTGCTTAAATCCTGAGTCATTAGCTGCTAAGTCTTGAATTTGGGGCACCAAGTCATGTCAGGTCATATATTACCATATGTACACGGGTTACAAAACAGATAAACATTTATTACAAAGTTTCCAGACTCTGAAAATGACCCCAAACATCAATCTGTGTTTTACGGAAAAAATCGAGTCAGAGATAAAACTCACCATGTTCATCCAGCAGTATGTTGTCGGGTTTGATGTCCCTGTAAGACAAACCACAAACAGAGCACAGATTAGAATCAGACAGAATATTTTTTCTGCACAAATATCTACAATTAAGATATTTTCAGCACTGTTTGGAGAACTGAGATTTGCAAAATCAGATATGTGAAATGGACAAATTTTTACCCCCATAAACAGGATTTCTGTTTTCATACATACTGAGCTTAAACTTCAGATAACACATCACCAAGAAGCCCGGTGTTGTCATAAGGTATGTTTGTATGCAGACGATTATGTGGTGTTCCTTTAACTCAATCAATCCATCGAAGTTTATTTATATAGCGCCAATTCACAAGTCGTCATCCCAAGACGCCTTGGGAAGCGTCTTTTTTTTTTTTTTTTTGGCTTGTCTCGTTGACTTGAGTGCAAAATTTTTCCACAGTTTGTCACGACTTACTGTACGTGGAAGAGTAAAAGTACACCAATCACGATCAAACCACATGTTTTGATGCATAATTTGTCCTACAACTCTTTGATCTGTAGGACTTGTAGTGAATCAAAATTTGTCCAGAAAAGGGATAAGAAAAAATCCACAGCATAATAATACCTTGGCCCCCTATACTTTTGTATACGGGCCTGTGCCTCGGTGCATTTTCTCCATGGCCCTAACAAATGCAGGGTAGAGGCAAAGAACTCTGTCTGTATATGTCAACACTGAATAAATGAACCTTTAGTTTCCTCATCGTAACCAAGGCGTTAACACAGGGCACACTTTCTTTTAACACTCATTTAAGTTGTAATAGGCTGCTTGGCTGCTGCCACTAACATCCATCAGGACTCAAATTAAACTCCTATTAGACATGGGTTTAGCTCCTAAACTTTAAATATAGTTAGCCGATTAAGCCTGTCAGATATCTGCTCCACAGAGAGTCAAATTTAGACCTGTGACTCTTCAGTCTGCTCACATCATCCCACCTTCACACATTCAGTCCCACTAGAGATGCTGTTCGAAATGTGCTCATTTGCAAGGTTATAAACTTTGTTTGGTATTGTACAATAAGTAAGATGGTCATTTTGTTTCAGTACTGCATTTCCTTTAGCTCACCTGTAAATAAGGGTGTGGTTGTGATACTTTAATGTTTTATCTACTCCTAATGGCGGACACGTTTTCATAAGATGCACTGTTCTCTTTGTCACGTACTCATTTCTCATTTCTTGCTCCACGTCTTCTTTACAAACCAGTTTTTCTGACGTAGACACAACAATACATACTACCCAGTGTTCCAGAGTAATACTCAGAAATGTTTGCACAGATTATCAACCGTACGAACTTCCAGGATGTAAAACGTACAATAGGCTGACTCACTGTTGTGTCAAATCATTTGGGTTAACTGACGCTAAAAAACAGTCATGTAATACCGTAATAAGCTCCAACACTGTAAAGTAAATAGTGTGGGAAACAGATGAAGATCTAATACTTTTGAAGGGTTAAAGGGGACAGCAGGTTAATCTGTGGGAGTAGCTGAGACACCTGAGAAGAGGAACAGGTGGAGACTTGCTGAGCCACTGGCCACTGCAATGCTTCTCTTTGTCTTTTTTGTTTTCCTTCAGATTTTAAGTAGACGATTGTTGTTCGGCGTTTAGAGTTTTCTTTATCTCGGACACCGCTTTAATCCAAAAGGTGTTGGAAAGCAACTCAAACTTGTAAACATTCTCAGAAGCACTAAGTTAGTGACAAACTTTATTTTCACGTCAGCGCAGTTTCATTAGTTCCAAATGTCACCTTGATTTCTTTACGTTGCCCAGTGAAAATATCAGATCAATGCCTTTTTATGTTGAGGAAAATGAGTCATTACTCAGCCCTGGAGGTGTACTGATGCCTTTTGTTCCTGTCGTTTTTTGACAGAGTAACATTTATCATGTCATGTTCAGACGCTACGACATTTTTCATTGAGCTGATTTCACTCATTAGTTGATGAATGCTTTTCATGAAAGATGTGCTTATAAATACTCCGCAATCCGCTGAAGCATTCACAGTAAATTATCAGAAAGCACTAGTGAAACAAAAACAAGGTCCCTGATGACATCAATTCTCAGTGATGTTCCCTCTAGTTGTTGATTTCAGCTTGAAGCAGCATTGTTCCCCCTCTCCTCTGTCATTATCACACATCATCCTGTGTCCTTCATACCGTCAGTTTTATCTTTCTAAGCTTTTGATTTGACTTGAATGCAGAATCAGAGCCACAGCCACACATTTGAGGTGTTGTATCATCTCAACAGTCCGGTTCTCAGTGCCTGTGTGTGTCGCTGCAGCCTGAATAAGTGGAGTGGAGGGTACAGAGTGTCCTCAGCTTCTCTCTGTTCTCTCGTCTCTGGAGCGTTCTCCCACAGCGCTTAAAAAATTGCTTTGAACTGGAGAGACGTTATTCAATATTCAGAGCCCTTCTCAAATGTTTCATTTGTGCTCAGCGATCAAATGCAGCACTCATGTGGAGATCTACCACACCCTGAAGTTCAACATTACAGAACGGAGACGTTTGCAGTGGTAGTCGTTTACAAGAACTGATTGCAGGAATTACATTAACAGGGATGTTGAAGGAGAGATGATTGTCATTAGTGCTCACTCAAGAGTGTTTATAAAGCTCCATCAGGGGATTTCAGCGATTAATGGTGATGTCAGGATACAATTATTGTGGTTTTTTTTTTTTTTTTAGGGTTTAAGTTCCCCAGTTTATATTCAAGCTTCAGGGAAGTACTTGTCTTTGCAAAGCTCCACCTTACTGTTCTACTGCTTCAATTCAACATCCCTGTGTTAATTTTCCTGTTTTGATAACAACCATTTATTTTGAGGGATAAAAAAGGTACCTTGGCATGATCGTAGAGTTGTGGGAGTAAATAGAAACAGCCAAGAAAGCCCATCAACAGGGACAAATTTGGTTTATCAGAGGAGGTATCAATATTTAGCTCCATGAATAAAAATAATAAAAAAAAACAATCTCCAAAACAGTTGATGGATATTCTTGTGTTGTCTATGTGTGGGAAACACTGGTGGTGAATCCTTAACTGCAAGATCTTCATGTGCCACCTTTGTTCAGTCTTAAAAATGAAGTGCTAAAAAGTTTAGTTCCTTGTCCGCTGCAAAAGCACCAAAAGCCACTTAGATAACTCAAAAGGGTTTAACTCAAAAGTCCCACTCCAATCATTTTTTTACTACTTAAAGTGTTCTCAGTTGTCTTCAAATCGTGATTATAAAGTTTTTACCTAAGATCATGTTACCTGTGTCATTTTCAAGGGCTTTCTGTCTGCAGAGCTCCAGTAGATCATCACCTCTGAGTCGTGGGCGGCCTAACATTGCTGGTGTAGTAGAAGTAGCAGGTAACATAGGAGCTATTCAGCTCTCAGAGACTAATGTCTTTCGGTACATGATGAAAGTTAATATCATAATTAGCTTTCTTACGAGCATTGCAATCGGCTAACGCATATGCTTGTTGCCATATGAACATATAAAAAACAAGAAAAACATGATTTTCATTGGAGTGGGTCTTAAAAGCCTGCCTTGACTCCACCTCTTTGCCCGGTATTAAGTCGACTTAAAGTTAGGTTGAGGTAGCATTTCCAATGTGGTCGCTGTCAAAAGGCTTCAAAACTTCAGGGGCCAATGGATGATGTCCCAGAGACCATTTTATACAGTGTTAACACCTCTAATAATCAGCCACATCATCATGAAATTAAACACTTATTGATTTAAGGCAACAAGTGCCCCCTGCTGTTTGAGAAAATATCACATTTACTGAACAGTCTCCTGTTACATCCCCCAGGTGACTGTCTTTTTAAGTGAGTTAGGGACTGAATTAAATACGTCCTTCTGTTTAAGGACAAAAAAATAAAGCATGCATATTTTAAAATGACAGGAAACCGGTGTAGTTCCAGGACTAAGACTTGAAGGACACTGGGATATCCAAGAGGACAATTGTGTTAGTGAAATACAACAATATGATGACTGTATCTATATATTCTTCATATATCTTATTTATAGCCGTCTTATTTGACAGCTGAAATGGTTGTGCATCCTTTGTGTCAGACAGCTAGCGCCTCCTCTAACTCCCCTGCCCTGTAGGAGTCCAGCAGAATTAGCATATCAAAGGCCACACTGACCTGTGTTTTGTGTGTCCCTGCCTACGCATGCTTATGTGTGTCTTAGAAAAACAACCAGTGTCACCAGTGGCTCAGGTGGGGGTGGGTGGGAAAGGTCGATCATGTAACCCTTAATTAGCTGACATTTTCCTCAAAGGCCGGTATCCGGTGGAGAGAAGAGCGGCATGTGTTGCTGCTGAAAAAGGAAGCATTAGGCAAGAACAAGGAAGTGTCTTTTATAACTAAAGGCCACGCTGCCATTGTTAAGCCAGAGGACAACGAGGGGCCGATACGAGCAGCTCAGGGATAAACCAAACAGTGAGGACTATTAGGAGGAAAAGCCAAGCTGCTGGCCAAACGATGATGATGATGATGATGATGATGATGATGATGATGTAACCACAACCGTTCAGGAACTACGACAACTTAACATTTGTTATAATACTCAAAAAGCCTCCCTGAACGCTGTATTCACTCAACAGTACTCATAAACAAGGCTTGGACACTAGCAGCTGAAGACGAAATGGCAAATGACATGAAAAAACGGGCAGTTGCACATTTTGTCTGAATAACAAAAAGAGATAATGTTGTATCAAGGCTGTTTTTAGTTAAACTGACATATAAGCACTAAATTAGAGTAACCAGCAGAGGCGTATGGAATTTAATCAGTATGGAGAACTGAGGGCTAGCTCAGCTAACATCAGCCTCACTTAACAAACCAATTCAATGTCTGTGATCTTAAATTTTAATGTTTTCAAAGGAATAGTGGCCTCAACTTTGTTGTGCTTTGATACTCAAAACTTTACTTAAGTTTCCTAACCAGTCATCGTCATATAGTAAAGCACCTCCTAACTCGTAAAATGAAAAATAACACTGATAAAATTAAGTATTTTTACATGCTTGTAGCAGCATTTCATCCTTAAATATTGCAGGACAGCTAATTCTTATTTCAGTGTAGGGCTGGGCGATATGGCCTCAAATCAATATCATGATATATATTGAGCAGTTCACCTCGATAATGATAAATGGACGATAACTACTCCACAAGCTGCTCACCCCCTCCCACATTAACTTTGTCTACTTCAGCCGCTACAACTTTTGAACAGTCCTCCATCTCCTCACCTGTCTTTCCTTCTTTGTTACACACTGGATGGGGTGGAGTCACGTCTCTGATGTAGAACAGCATCTTAAAGGGACATGAGACCATAGCCTACCTACAACATCCAAATCCAACTTTTATCTTTTTATTTTTTTGACACTGAAAATACCGATATGGGCAAAATGACATTGGTTATTGTAGTAAATTTCGGTATCTGTAAATTTTCAGTTTATCGCCCAGCCCTATTTCAGTGCATATTTTAATAGATCAGAGCTTTTATGCTCACAGGAAAATTCACTGGAACTTTTTAAGCACAAGCTGCTTTTAGTTTTCTTGTTAGCTCCAGTAACACTCTTACCAGTGGGATAATGTTATTAATCTTTGGGTCGGTTTTGGTTTGCATGATGTCCTTCAAGATTTTTTAATTAGTGATCCTTGTGTGAATTTCCAAGTTCTTCGTAAAATAACATTTAACAAGCAATTAATATACGTACACATTAGTTTTTACCCCAAACCCTTAAATTCTGTCACTAAATTCGACAATATACCACTTTTTATAAATTGCACATCATGATATCAAGAAAAAGGTCTGTTTTATTTTTTCTTTAAATCGTCCTCATTTGAACGTGTAAAGATGTAGTATATATGGTATACTGTGAAAACAAAGTTTGGATTTAGTGTCTTTAATAAAAGAAGCACTGGGGATTTAAAAAGATACTAAATCACAGATTTATTAACTCAGACAGTAAATGAAAGCATCGGTCTCAGACAGGCTCTGTATAAATAGCCGTTTTGCACCAAAATCATAAATATTTTATGAACCTCAGAGACGTACAAAGCCTATTCCAACAGTCACAATCAATGCTCGGCTTCTCAGTTGTATTCAATTAAATGATCCATGAATTTAATTCTATTTGCCTTTCCCAGTAGCTGACATAAAAGAATTACCCAGTAATTACCGGCTAAAGTCCTTCTATCAAAACAAAGTCCTAATCTAAAGTAGGTCAGACAGTTCTGTTATGATGATGATGATGTCTGGGGAAAGAGCAGAGCTAATATTCACGGGATATTTTCCTTTCCTTGTTTTATCGGGAGACTTTTGTTTACCCTACGTTCATCAGAGCAGCAGGAGGGCTGAGATTTGATAATAGCTATTAAAAAAACATTAAAAACCTGTTCAACAACAATCTTCTGAAGACGTCTGAGGGAACTCTTCAGCTTGAGTGTTTCTCCACTCAAGTCAATTCTTTCTTACATACGGTGTGTATCAAATAAAGTGACTTTAAATATGCATAACTGATTTAACTGAAGGTTTTTAATGATACCACTAACTGTTCATTGCTTGAGTCAAATATTAAGACTTGTGTGATAATACTTTAGTAGTTTCTCCTGTATTTATTAACCGGAGTAAGTGTTATACAGAATATATACTAAACAGATGGGTCTGCTGCAGCCCGGTCGCAGCACTGCTGTGTGAGGACGGGACAGTTTGGCCGGCTGACACCAGAACCATCTGCAAGTATTAAACACTTTGAACAGGATGCTTTTAGTGATGACACAGCAAAAGGTGGATGTAAGTTAGAGCTGGGCAGTAAATCAGATTTTAATACCAATTATGATTTTGGCTCTCCAGGATCATAAAAATATGATAATCGATAATAAATGATATTGAGCTGCCCGCTGTGTTGCCCTCATTACATCCTACACGTTAAATAAATCGCACCCTTCTGCAGAGCGTCTTATGACTTGTGTATGAATTGAGCAAGGCAGATAAATAACTATAAAAAAAATTAGCATGAGAACAATGTGAGAAAAACAGAATGTACGGTGCAGTTCTGGATAAAGTGAGGAGATTAGTGGGGAGCCAATCAGACGGCTTGGATTAGAGGGAGAAGTGGGGACAGGGATAGAGAGAGCTGGGGGTAAATTGAGCGAGTAGGGTGAAAGGAGAGAAGTGAGCAGCAGAAAATGGAGAGACTGGTGGTTAAAATTTGGGGACTTGCGAGCGAGGAGGGAGACAGAGGGGCAGTAAAGCTGAGTGTAAGCCGATCCCCTCGGCTTTTCTCTCGGTTGACTGATCCTACAAGCTATTAGCAGGATCTAATGGCCTCATTACAGCCTGCTATCAGAGGCACAGGGGTAACTGAACCCTGTACCTGGACATATGATACTTTCCTGACACTGGAGTAGGACAACACACCTGAGAAATGAGGCTCAAACACACACACACACTTACACACGTCATGCAACCACACAGTAATACACTCAAATCATTTAGAGAGCTTATGACAGAACATGTCCACACTCAAACACGCAATGTTTCCACCATTAGATCTCTGGGGATTTTCCCGGAATAGATCTAAAAATAGAGACAAATTATCAATTAATTACATCAGGTTACAAAAACACTAACCCACAGTCTGCCTGTCCCCAAAACACCCACACCATTAACAGTAGAAAACATGCAAACCCTGCTTTACCTCAGGGACATGAAGGACAAAGATTTTAATGAAATAATTTCTGAATTTGGGGACAGGTACCAGAACCTCTTGATTTTTAATGGCCTATCTGAGAAACACAAAGTACAGGAAATATTAGTCTTTTCAGTTTTATTGATTTACGCTTAGCTGCATGAGAAAACTGAGGAAAAAAAAATCCACGGCTGTCAGTGTTATCACATTAATCCCAATTTGGTTAAGGCCCAAAATAAGCACATAATTTATTTTAATCCTATTCATCTTCCTGCCTCTGGCTGCTACCATGATTTAAAGTTAATGTCACATGTAACTTTAGAAAACTCCCTGACAGCTCAGTCCACAATTAACCAGAAATCTGCACTTTGTCCCGAACAGATTTAAAATATCACTGATGTTTTTTGACTCGGAGCGGCCGCCTTCAAGCGAAGCATGTGGGTGCAGCGAATCAGACTGATGTCAGTTTGTTTATTTCCACCATCTCTCCTGCTTCCAGTTCAGACACACACAAACATGAGTGTATTTGTGTATTTATGCATGTCTATATGTAATCATAAATAACACACAAATGCACACAGCTCAGTCAACTTAACTAGGCACACTTAAGTCTTACATTTCAGAATTGAATGAATTTCCTCCAGTGGAAAATGACACGATCGCTGTTGCTCTTATTACAAGAAATTGGTAAGAATTGCTTCACATCGTTAATGTGGACTGGAAACTGTTTGAAATGCAAAACAATTAAACAGCCCTAAAAAGCATAAAACATATTTTTACTATATGATAAATACTAGTTTAGATATTAAACTAGTTAGATAGATAGTATTTGGTTCCAAGGTTCGAACCATGTTTTCATAATTTATTTTATTTTTTACATTAAATTCACTGTTAAACAGATTCAATAGAAACAATCGAAAAAGTCAAAGAAAATGTTTTATTTTTTTAACAGAAAGTTTAAAAAGTCTAAAATTTGATAAACTTCAGTTCTGACTCTGAAGTATTAAGTTAAGAAAACACATAGCGAACTCTTAACTTTGAGAATCACGTTTTTAACAAGATTTAATCACAGAAAACCTGTGCGATAGATATCTTTCAGTGGAGCTAAGCCTGCAAGGTAGTCTGGGTGTAGTGGGAATTCACATTTGGCATGCACCAGCGCTGCTCTGCACCAGTGCTGCACTCAAACTTTCAACCCCTCCATTTCCCCAGTATCAACCTGCAGGCTCTGATTATAGAAGAGTTGAAGATAATGTCATCAAACCTGAATCTCTGCATCAGCGTAGGTAACATGATATTCTTCTTCCAGAGGTTTAATCATGATGGTAGGAGTGGACTGATCAACTTGTTTGAGGAGAAGTTTTGTCCTCCGCCTTGAGCAATGGTAAAAATTAATACGTAGTTTATTGTTTCACTCAGTTATTTCTATTCCATGAATCCGGCGGTGTTTAATCATGTTGGTTGTGCACGACATAACACGACATAACTGTGTTGCAAATGTTGCACTGAGATGACGGTTCATTCTTCCTGCTAAAGTTTAAACTTTGACCGCCGCTGTGGGTTGCACTGCCCACACACACGCCCTGTGGCTTCCCCTTCTCCTAGATTTCGGCAGGTCCTTCTTTGTTGTTGTTCGGTGGCTTCTTCTTCTTCGTTGGTATTCAGCAGCTGTTTCCATCAACATAGTGGCTATTTCTCCCGGTCAACGGACTCTGCATTGAAACTTGGAATCGATAAAAAATTGATAACATATTTGAATGGTTCAAGGAGAATCGTAATGCGTAATTCTTTATTCTTTATCGTAACAGTAGTCCCGGTTCCCATCGATGCTCAAGACTTGATGCCCAACCCTTTACCTGTTAGCTGCCAGGTATCAGACAGTCAACTATCGATGTATTTACCATGACATGACTTAATTCAATGTATACGTTGTTTCGTGAGAACAAAACCAGTTCTCAAGTTTCCTACACACTAGGCTATTTGATGTCATCTGTGCCTTTTTGCGTCGTGGTCGTGGAGCATCATAGCAGTTTGGTGGTAGTCATTAAACTTTTGCACAGCTGCAGCCAATGGCAGGTGGCTCCACTACACCTCAGACACAAAAAATGAACATTATTGTTGGTTCACATTAATAATTCTATTTTGAAGTTATTTATTAGGACCCCAGCATATTGGGGGCGCTAACACAGTTAGGTCAACTAACTAATTTGTTAACCAAGTTTGAAGTTTTCATACCCAACCCTAGTTATATTATGTCTGACACTTTTCTGGGTCAGAATGAAATATGAATGGGTTGTTCTCAGTCATTAAAGCCCTTTAATTCATTAGAGTACAACTTTAATTTTTTACAGAATTCATATCTGCCACAGAGGAAAGTGTTACGGGTTTTCTGGGCTCAGATTGCCGGCGGTTTAATCAGAGCCTCTTTCACGGCTCTGCTGCCTCAGTAGCTCAGTGCTCCACTCCAGAATAAAAAAGCACAGAGCTGTTTGAGATCGTGCCTCTCCCTCTGTGTCACAAAGCAAAGTTGGAGGAGCTGAGGTGGCCCCAGAAAGCCTGCAGCTTCAGCTCCATCTCACACTCCAAACAAGCACATAAACACACAAACACACTGATACGGTTTGTGCGCAGGGATACGCACACTCTCACAGATGCACACGGTGTCAGGATCCCTTAGTTCTAAGTACCTACGCCCACCAGCCATGGGAGAGCGAGTCAGACAGCCGCTGCCTTTGAACGTGAATTGAAAGCCCAACTAGACCCACAGAGGCTAACAACTCCCACCCTGCAAACTGCTGCGTGCCTCACTCACGCTTTCTTCTCTCTGCTAAAGAAAAGCAGCTCTGACAAGTGTGACGGTGGCACAGGTGTACACGTGTGTGTCTGTTTGTCGCCATGTTCACGCTCATGGGGAATCACAGTATATATACTGTGTTTGTGTGTGAGATAGTAGCAACTCCAGAGCTGAGAGATGTTCATTTCTAATTCATTAACACGTACCAAGTGTGTCAGCTTGACAAAAGTCAGGCATGACAGGTCTCCAGTCCAACTCGGAGCTGAAATTTTTTGGGGAGGGGAGAGTGCCGAAAGCAGCGAGTCGGCACTAAAAAGCCAAGGCCAAAGCTCACATCACAATTACCAGTGATGAATAATTCACTGAGTCAGAAACATTCAAAGGGTGTTGCACAAAAAAATGTACGCTCTCTCCACCCTGGCTCCGTCTTTCTGTCTCCCCCGTCTGCTTTTCTGCCAAAGTCTCTCTTCTTTGTCCTACAGGCAGACACGTGAGTCAGACGCACAAGCAGGCAATTAGTGATGTTTTTTTGGAGCAGACGAGCTGGTAAACATTTTATCACGTTCAAAGTGAAAAACCTCCTACCAATTGTCCAATCTGCTGCTGTGACTTGAGGGAGATTTCTGACTAAGATAATGCTTGAAAAATCGAAAGCGCTGGCACGGACTGCGCTACCTTAATCTGTATTTATGAAATATGAGCGAGTAATACCCCCCTTCCCTCCTTCTTCCCTGGTTCTCCTTTCTCTTCTGCTGCAGGAAAATAAAACATTAACACTCCATGAATAAAAAATAGTTCACTTGAAGACATGACAAACGCTTCTCCATTTCTAGGAGCTGATGGAAACTTGGGGCAATGTCTCTGCTTTCCTCTGTGCAATCTGCAGGACTGGATTTTTATCTCTCTTTATTCCAAGAACCATCCACAAGCTGAGACTGTTCACCTTCAATTAACCAGAAAGGTGAATTAAGACCATATTCCCTTTTGGCAGCTTGGCAGAAAACCTCTAGAGGAGAGCAGGATGAAGGAGCAAATAAACTATTTGAAGCAGAGCCATGTCTTGCGTCACTTCCCCAGAGAGAAAGACAGATCCTACAGAACTAAGACCAAGAAGTTTGAATGAGGGAGAGAGGAGCATTGGAAAGAAATAAAAGTACTGCAGATAGAGAAAATAGCACACGAGGGAAAAGGGCAGAGTGGTAATAAGAGAGATTATAAGGTGAAGGAAGGCTGTGAGTGTATACTGTGCATTTGTGTCGGGAGAGGGAGAGAGAGAGGGAGAGCAAAGAGGGGGATCATAGCTCGCAAAAGAGAGTCCTCGGCTGAAATTCGATTGGTGCTGCAACAGCTGGGTCTCTCCATGCTTCAGTTAATTTGATGAGATACATAATCTGGATAAACAGAGTGGACAATTTCCATGGAGAGTTAAAAAAATAAAATAAAAAAAGACCCTGACAAAGTCGAAGTCCGCCTCTGAGCACTTTCAGTCTCAGTAAACTTTCTAACTTCCATGACAGGACTTAAACTCACTCAGCTTAAGATGGAAATGCCTCTCAGTATAGTAGACAGCATTTAACAAATGGCAATCTTGAAAAGGAGCTCAATACACAGATGGAAAAAAGAAAAAAAAAATGTTCTTCCTGCACACAATTGAGGCTGACTTCCTGCATATTAAAATATCCATCATTCTGGTGCAAAAATAAGTCCAGTAAGTCATCCATTTTAAAGGTATAACAGCTAGAGGCCATTCACGATACTTGGGCCACGATACAATAATATTGCGATTTTTAACATTTTGCAATACAGTGAGTATTGCAATACAATATATTGCGATTTATAAAATTTTTTCAACTGTTTAGCTAATTTAGCATTTGTCTTTCCTTTATGTTCGTCTTATTTACACAGTATTCTATTTTCATGTAGGACATCTTGTAAACCTTATATATATATATTTATTTGTTGTACTAACTTTCTCCTGCTGTATGATGTCGCCTCCGCCAACTTCACTGGACAAACAGTTGATTTTATTTTTCCACTATCAGAGATTCGACTTCATGGCAATTGATTTGAAAAAAATTGATACTTAGTAAACGAGACGATACGATAGATCACCAGACAAAATATCGCGATACTATGCTGTATTGATTTTTTTCTCCCACCCCTCGTGTCTTGTAAGGTGCATTACCCGAATCGTCGTAACACGACTCAGCCTGAAAGAAGAGTTTCTTTGAAATCACCTACTGTACATCGAATCAGTCTCTTTTTTTAGGGACTATTTTCAGCTGTGGTGAAATACTGTTGCATCACTTAACCGCCTCTAAATAAGACTTAATTCTTTAGATTAATGCACTCTGAATTTGACTGAACCTATCCTGGCATCCCCAGTCAGACAGTCAGTATAGAAGCACATCTCACCAGGTCCTACTATTCATTTTTAAACTGGAAATCAACAGCCTGATTGATAAGTCATGATAAAAATAAAAAGATTTTGTACAACAATTTACTTTTCTATTACTTACGGAGGATCAGTTTTATAAAACAGGCAAATTCTGATGATTGAAGTCCTTGTCCTACGACATAAATATGTGTATTATTTATGTTCCCGTCTACAGTCATGACTTACTTAATGGACTTCCGTCTCTGCGGTTTCAAGTCTCTCTACATTCATCAATCATTCGTCAATTAACCCCTTAACCACTTTAATGGGCGGTGTGGTTTCTGAGTGAAACACAGAGGCATAAAGACTCATTAAGAGCGTCTGCTGGCTGACATCATGCAGCCTTTCCATTACCAAGATTTCAGGAGGCAACGAAATGCACCTGAGGATTCAGACTGAGATTGTTGTTGTTGTTGTTGTTGATGTCAAAGAGGTTGTGATGAGGATTTCTCTCTCACACACACACACGCACACATGCCTTCCACTGTCACACACTTGCCATTTGTCTTTCCACTTGTTTAGAGAGACCCATCAAGCCTCTGAGGAGGTCATCTAATTGAGACTCAGTCTGATGTTAATAATTTAAACCCCTGAGAGAGCTGAGGGTTAAAAACATGGACAAAACATGCCTGAAGAAGGTTGACCTCGATATCTGACACCTCTGAGGTTCATCATATTCTCTGTCTGATCCCTAAAAGTGAAAATACATCATAATGTTCATACAAAATTTTACCAGATAATTATTCTAAGCTGTATCAAGATAGTCTTTTGAGGCTTTAGTACTATCCGTCTCTGTGCATAGTGAAATACTCTACACACCTTGCACTATATTTAAAGTTCAGAGACTACCTCCTGAATTTTCCATCCACGCTCTGTCAAGGTTAGCTGAACCTTGTTGACCTCGCTTCTGCTCCATCCTCTCCCCTCTGAGATTTATGTTTTCCATTTCTGTTGTGTTCACCTCCGTTAATGTAATTCCTAATATAGCTACAGATGGAGAGAAAACTCCCTAAGATGCAAGACCTCCACACCAAATCCATTTTTTGGTTATTTCCAAATTACTCAAAGACGATTTAATTTTATTTCTGACTGCAGATAACTGAAAAGGTCTTCTATCACTCCACAAACCCCCCAATATTCTAAAATGAATGTTGTTAGTAGGTCTGTAAAGTCTGAGTGGGCTAGTCGACTTGTAGGTCGATACGTGCTGAGTTGACCACAATTCTGATTGGTCGACTCGATTTTTTTGCACGTCAATTTACAGCCTATGGTTAATTTTACCAGGAGGGATGTACCAATTGCTAATTGGGGTGTTTTCAGAGCACCCAGTTTCACAGGAAACAGCCTGTTTCAGAACACCCCCCTTGTTTTTACCATTTTGGATTCACCAAACCCACTAGAGATGGGAAGATTGAAGAGCGTCCACGTTAATCAAGGTCCAGTGGTTTGCTGAATATTCATTTTTAATTACCTTCTTGTGCTGATATCAGTTTATTTTCACCCCGCCGAGCCACGTCATCCCGCGCCGCAGAGGGGTTTGCTGTCACAGTCGGAAAAATCCCCCTTGATTAGTCTATTTTTGGTTGAAAATTTCAGGGTTTTAGTCGAGTTTCTTTGGTTGGTCACAGCTCTAGTTGTTAGCAACACAAACTGCCAAACTTTATAATAAAGTAGACATTTTTGTGTTGAGTAACTGGTTTGTTATAGCTTGTCTCCAGTTCTCGACTTTAACTTCCCAGTGAAACTTCACGGTTGAATGAAGCTACCTCAGTGTATCTAACACGGACATCCAGCCATCACGTTGAGGCGAACTTCTGCTGTACTTTTAAAGTCATTGGCGTCATAGATCAAACTTACAAACAACATAATTACTGTATCATCATGTCGCATGTCACTTATGTCATTATCATCATTACACCCTTCATTATCATCAAAATAATCACAGACCAAAGGAAGGCGAGCGCGTATATCCGGTATTGGCACCTTGTACATAAACACAAACACATCACTGGCTGTAACAAGTCAACACGTCAACATCTGAGCAGGAAATTATATATTCAATTTCCATAGAGATGAGCTGCGAGTTACTTTCAGCTCCTCTTCCTATCTGAACGTAATGAATGCAGATTGAAAAGATGTTGATTCTATCTAAACAAACGCCTCCAACACCTGCGCATCAAGTGGCAAGTCTGTTCCTTTTGAGCGCAGAAACAGAAAACATGATTTACATATTCATATCCCTCAATGGACAGAATGAAAAGGAAAATTAATAACGAGTCTCATATATTTCCCTCTTGCTCTTTTATTTTTTTTACGGTGGACAGGAGCAAGTGGTGTGCTTTATGTTAAATAGCGTAATTTGTTATCTGGGGGTGTTGATAAATGAGTCCTCTCTGCTGCAGTGATGTTTCCTATTAGTCATGATCTGAGACGGCCTCTCTTTCTATGTTTACCTCTTTGCTCATTCACCAGTGTGGAGGAGTAGGTATGAGCCAGTGGACGGAAAATAGACACTTTAGAGATGGATGCCGCCGGGGCTCTAATGATCCGTGCCAGAAGTATGTGCATGTCTGGAGTCAAAAGAGTTCACAGAAGAGATAAAAAGGGACGCAAATCCATCATAGTTTTAAGTGTTTTTCTTTTTCTCTATCTATAATCTTCCAAAAGTGTTGTCAAAGCTTCTACAACTGTAATTTACACAAATTCGTTACAAGAATCCCAAGTATTGTTGCCTCCATAAATAGAAAATTTGTGTTTTTGATTTCCCTCCTCCCTGGTGCGTGCTCCTGCTGGCGTAAGCATGATGAATGTTTTCATCAGGGCAGCTCCATGCATTTGATTAAGGTTAAAAAGACTGTGGTCTTTGCTTAATTAAAAAGCGCCATTATCATTTCTTGACCTTTCGAAGAGAATCGACGGCACAGAACCGCTCCAACTATCATAAAAGATGAGGTAACTGAATGATGAACTGATTGTCTAGTGGAGATTTGAAGTAAAAGCCTTTGCAAACTAAGAGAGTTAAGAAAATATATCCTAATACCTTACTCAGAAGCTAACATGGTGAGTTTTATTGTACTTTTTTTATATCCAGTTTCCACAGAACATTAATAGAGTCGTGATTTATCGCAGACTGTGCCGACTTCAGTGAAAAATATCTTCACATAGATCAAGAAAATAAAGAGACTGGAATGAATGAACAGCCAAGTATTATAGTGTTAAAGAAGAAAAAGTGGGATTCAAAGATTATTGTGTCTGGAACAATAGTAGTTTTGTTATCAGCATGTCTTTTTGTAATAAATAATAAGTAAGCAGCATGTACTGAATACAAACATCAGTGCATGCATGAGTGTTGTAGGAGGAACAAACCTTACCTGCAGAAGAAAAACACAAACTTTAAACTTCTGTTCCGGGGAAACAGTTTTCAGCTGGTTTTTTAATGTACTGAACAGATATCAGAACAGGAACCCCCTCCATATTGCCATAAATACTGTCAAAAATGACAAATTCCCCAAGCGCTGTCTTAGGTTAATAGTTCCTCTCATAGAAACACCCGTCAACGTTGATGGGAGCCTGAGGCAGTTTGAAAATAAGGCTGAGACAGCTGCTCCTCACACTCATGAGAAAAACCCTGAAATGTGTCACACCCTGGTCCATCACGAGGTCCTAGCTATTACCTCGCTGTAGTTTCAAGCTTGTAGTGTCAAAAGCACTTGGGAAATAAAAGTCTCTAAAACAAGATTGTTTTTAAATTAATGTCTCATTTTTCCCCTGAAAATATTTCAGTTATTTATGGGATGCTTGTGCTTTGTTCAGACTCCCACTCTATATAGACCCACTTGTTCAAAACAACAATAGCTCACTTTCAGGGCTGTAAAGAACTGCAGTTTGTCTCTGTTGAAGAATATCCAGGAATAAAAATTAGTGAGTGCATATAGTGTTGAAGAGGCGTCCTTTAGCTGTGTATTTTACCTGCATGGTCCCTCATATGATTGAGGGAAAATTGTTTTGTGTGCCAAAATATAAAAAGGATTAGGGAGCAGTTTTTAACTTTAAGCTGAGTCAGTATATAGAATGTATTTTGGCAGCATCATTGGCTTCATCAGGGTATCTAAAGCCCTCTGAGTCACTTTGAGAACTTAAAATAATAATATTGGGCTATAGCCATGTCTTTCTTGGCTTAGCTTGTCTGTGGCACTGCCATATCGCCAGCTATTTCTGCCTAAAAAGCACTTAACCTGTGTTCTGGAGATTAAATAAGGCATTGACATAGCAGCATTGACAGAATTGGTGCATTTCATGATGGCCATGGTCTGCAGCTCAGGATAAACTGTTGTGTCAGGTTGGACCTTGATGTCAAGACAGCCTGACCTTTCTTCACAGTGGAGGACCATTCATATTAGAAAATATTATTAAAGTGGACAGCCAAGGAGAAAAAGGACACTGGGGTACTTATGGCTCAAACTGTGATGGTGGGAAAACAAGGAGGGAGAGTGAATGGGGGTGGTGAGTGTTTCAGAAACCAGTTTAAGAATATTTCTTTTGTGCTATTTGTGTAGGTAGAAGAAGCAGTGAACCAGTATTTGCATTATTAAAGAAAACAGAACATAATAGACCAGCTGAAAATGATTCAGAGCGAGGGGAAATGAGAGAAAACACCCCACCTGTGAATGATCCGCTTGCTGCGCAGGTATCCCAGAGCCAGGGCCAGCTCGCAGACGTAGAGCTTGACCGTGCTCTCTGAGAAGTGGACGTTCTGCTGGAGGTGATAACGCAGGTCTCCGCCTAAGAGCAAGTCCACCACCATGAACATGTCCTCCTCATCCTGGAAGGAATACCTGCGAAGGAGAGGCAGTCATCATGAGTCGAAAAGGGGAAAATAAAGAGGGGGAGCTGGGTATAATAGAGGGGACACGAGGCAAAGTAGAGTGAACGGAGGGAATGGAAATCGGTTGATCATATCAGGCGGATAGAAGATGAGAGGAAGCAGAAACAGGAATGGGACAGAAAATGAGAAATGAGGAATGCCATAGTCAGAGGACTGGGAGTATTGACAATATTGTAAATATAAATATATCCTGTAGATCAAGTGGGGAAAAGAAAAGCAGGGAAATAGAAGCAGAAAGTGACGAGACAGCCACAGCTGAGAGAGTCATGTATTTATCCACAAACTGTAAAGAAGAGTTTTCAGAGTGTAAAAATAACACAAAGCCCTTTTGTGAAGAGATGGGGGAACCCATCTGAAGACATCTAAGAGAGCAGAAGGTTTTCTTCTACTTTTTCTATTTTTTAACTGCCTGGAGTTTCTGCAATGTTGAGGATGCAATTCATCAGCACTAAAATATCATACCAAATAAAGTTCATGTCAGCAAGGTGCTCTTCAGACAAATCCACCTTTAGAAGACAGTACAAGAAGAAACTGTTCACAAAAATCACTCATCATAGTTTCAACCTCATGGTCTCTTAAAAAACACAAGCTGAGGAACCACCAGGGTCTCTCAGGGCAGATGCTGCTCTGCTAGACTTACAGAAAGATGTATAGGCTGTGAACTGCCAGAGGCAATGCTCATTATCTTGTCTTCAGACAAACACGATATAGCAATCTTTTACAGTCTTCAACTCAAGTAGCTGTGTTAGTTAGGAGGTATGTGGTTCTAGTAACACAGGGTTTCTATTTGATGATTTCTTAGTAGGTCTTTTTTTCATCCTATTTTTGGTGGTTAGGTCCACAGAGACTCATTTGAACTTTCTTCAAATAGTCAGAATTCTCTGATCTGTACAGCTTCAACTAAAGTAGGGCTGTCACAGTGTCCAATTTAAGAATTTACACAGAATATACAGATAATTGAAAATTAAAATTTGAAAATTAGGCAAAAAAAAAAAAAAAAAACAGTTTGAGTAAAAGTGATAAAAGGGTGGAGTGACACGTTACCTCTCATCAGTTTTCTCTGAGAGGGCTGCTACAGCCAGCTCAAGCAGCTGCTGCTTCTTCTTCTTTGCCTCCCTCTGTTTTATAGTTTGTGTCAATTAGCATAAAAGACCAATACTATGATACAGTTTGCAAGACAAAGACTCAAGATCCTAACTCAAGGCTATGAATTTCCGGGAACCATGATAAGTTACTTAAGTATTGAAATCTGAATCTGAATCAGAGATCCAGAAAACCAGGGGTTGTATTTGCTCTTATTCAGAAATGACACTACAAAAGGTGATTTTGGTGTCCTGAATTTGTCTGGAAAAAAGCAGATAAGTCCTAAAAAAATACAGAAACATCATCTGGACATTTATGAAGGAATCTGCTTATCACGGTTACTTTCTCATCGTTGTATCCAATGGCAGTGGCATCAGGTTAGCGTGGATTATTTTGTCACCACAAAGGGATAAGCATATTTGTGATTCAACATTTGGGAATGTTCCATCATCATGAGCTGGTTAGAAGTGTTCAGGCGTTGCTCAATCATAGAGCTCATGCTTTCATCTACTAGGAATGGGCACGACAAATCAATGATCAATTAATTGGTCATTAAGAATACAACACGACAACGACCCCAATGATATACCACTTGAACCACATACATCCGACTGAGGTTAATGAAAGCTGCAAGTGCTCTCAGTCTCAACCTACCATCAGCTCCTTGTTAGCAAGAAGGAACTGTAAGGTGACCTGATTTCAGAAGACAGTCCCCGTTTTGGATGACCTGTCCCCGGTTCAAGTTGTCCCCAGATGTCTCAGATTTTAGCGTTTAATGAATGAGAAAAACGTTCCAAGGATCTGCTCTGCAACACTGTCTTCTCATGTGCTTTACTTTTACTCCTTTCCAGGTTAGACTTGTGAGTGCCTTACTGAAGCAGGCCGTTACACCCACTGAAAAGTAGACTGTTCACTTCCAACAGAGTCTGAAGCTTGCCATGGAATCCAAACTTTTTGCTTAAAAAGTGGCAAAAACTTTTCCATTCTTGACATAACTATGACATTTTTAATATACGTTATAATTATTTAGTTTTTAGTGTATACTTCTTGTGGTGCTTCCTTACATATGCATCAGTGCTGGGATGTTCCAGGCACTACCACCATGTGTGGTCATCTATCTTGTCCTCCATCCATCAAGCCCTGTCATGCACAGTAAGCCTAACAGCATGCCGCCCACTTCATCACCAATTGAGAAGCCGTTGCACAAATCATCATTGATTTTACGTAGCAAGTGTCCCGCAAGAGCCACTTTTTCTTTCCCTCCTCTAAAAGATGAGCTAATTAGTTCCTCTCCCACAAGAAACTTCATTAATGCAGAAATAATATATAAAACGCTTCGGCAGCCAACATTTCCACACTTGCCTAAAGCAGTGATATGTGAGCAACACAACATCCTAAATCTGTGAAATCAGATCTACCACAAATTTTGGGAATTACACGACTGCTCCTCCGGAGTCCTCAGTCCTGATCTGACAGAGACTACAATTCCGCTGAATACCAGTTGTTTTTTCAGTCCGCCAAGGTTTCTCCTGGCTGATACATCCCTGTGAGGACTGTAATCTTTGCTTAAATTCAACCTTCAGTGACCGAGAGTACTTTTCTGCCACGTTGGTGAACTCCCTTCCTCGGGGGGCCCTTCTCCAATAAACTGGAGGTGGTGCTTTTCTTGCAGTAGGTGGATGGATGGGCATTGATTGAGCTGACTCTAAACAGTCTGCTAAGGCTCGGATAATGCTGAGACCACTCAACATCTGATTGCCGATGGCTTCCGAGTGTGGAAAGACTATCCCGTCCTGAAGATGCACACATTCACCAAAGTCACAGAGAAGTGCGGGATGATTCACGATGTGCAACACAAACTACAGTATACACTACGATATCTATCCTTTCTTCACCGCAGTGTTGAGAAGGAAGGAAGGAACGTGCATGAACCAATAATATTATGCAGTATTATTATAGAAATACTCAAACTGGCAAAAATCAAACATGGCATCTTGATTATCTGAATAAGTCCCTCTGATCCAAACACAGATGCACACAGAAAACACACCAACAAACAGTTCTCTGCTTCTAAATCACTTTTGGAGGAAATAAAAGAGATGAAAGAAGGCCAGATCTTCCTACTAAGAGAGACTAACACAGCGCAGCTGAATGGATGGGACCAGCTGCAACGCTATCAGTCATTCAGACAAGCTGCAATGACTTAGCCACGCCTGCGGAGTTCCAGGCTTAGAAGTCTGCTAAACTTTTGGCAAAGTTACTATGTGCCTGTCTTTGTGTGTGCGCTCTGTATCACAATTGCTTGAGTCTCCTAATTTAAAGGGATGTTCGGGCTTAACTTTAAAATATGGTCAAACACACCGTAACACCGAGTTAGACTACCCCTTGAGAGATGAATGTTGCCGACCACTTGCTTCTCTAGTCATACCAACTTCAGCAACAACCGCACGTTAGCAATACACAGCGTTCTACCTCTCCATGCGTATACCTCAACCAAAACGCCACAAATAATGCTCAGAACAGCACCTAACTTCATCAACAGTACATATAGGGTCCCAGCCATAGTACTCGCCATCAAACATCTTTTTAGCTCTTCCTGATTTCTTTAGCAAAGAGACCAAACACAAATCACCCACTCTCCTCTAGGAGCCGCTTGTTTTTTGGGAAGCCCTGATGTGTCAATCACCGAGTGCAGCAGAGTTTCGCAGCTCAAGCAAGAACATTTATGATTATTACTTCATGGAAATGCAATCAGACTGAGACGCTAAGGCAGAAGAGTTACCACGATCGACTCGTCAGGGCTCCTCTACAAACAAGCGGCTTAAATTTACACCGGAATATCCCTTTAACACTGAACATATGTTTCCATGCACAGACAACATAAAAAAGAACCAAAGAGTCCATTGATGAAGCCAAGTGCCAGGGATATATCTTCGACTTGCAAGTAGGATTTGATAAATATTTTGATTTTGTTTCAAAATCATCGTAAAATAACCTTTTTCAATCCGAATGCATGTTCATGAAATTTTTACGACTTGAACAATGCATTACTTCCTTCACGCAAACCTAACAAACAACTTTAAAACTGTTTATCATATTATAAAACCAGAAAATAAGACCAGATAAGATAGCACCGCTGTCCTGTCTCAGAAAAAAACATGTTTGGCTTTGAAATTTCATCGGCTACTGCAATCAAATTCTTAATTTTACATGTTTACAGTATGATCTTGCCTTCTCTCGGTTCAGTGACTTTGTTACAGTTTGTCCAAGTAAAACAAATCAAAAATAAATAATGATTATCACTTTAGCCTTCAGGTTTAGAGTAAAATATACAATCCAAAAACGAGACAGCTTAAAGTATGAATTAATCTATGAGGGATGAGCCATTTTGTTGACCTAAAATCAAACATCATTTCTTAATACACTAACTGTTAATGTTTTCACTATTATTGGCCTAAGATGGCGGTCATATGCCGAATCTGAGCTGGGTTACTGAGAAAAGTAGCAGGCTGTGTTTGTTAGAACATTTAACCAGAGCACAGTTCAGGATGTTGGAGGGAAAGTTTCAGTCTGTGGGGTGATCAGCTTTAAAGTTTAGCCTCCTAAGTAGCAAAAATAGAGCAGTTTTCTTGAATAATTGAAAATAAAAGAGATCCAATTTTAAATGTTTCATGTTCGAAATCCTCTCCGTCTTACTGGGAACGTTGGCTAGAGCCTCCTAAGAAGGGAGGAAAATGACTTAAAAGCAACTTACTCAGAGGAGAGGGATCAGAAAAAATCACAGTTTCAGCTGCTGCCATTAGATGTTAGAGGGGAGATAACTGAAGTGACAGAGTGGATCAATGTGTGTTTGTGTGTGTGCATGAAAACGAGAAGAGTGTGTGTTGGAAAATGATACGGTACTGGCGCTAAGAATGATGGCAGAGATCAAACAGTCCTCATATTAAGATTATATTCTTTTAAAAATCAAAGCAGCGCTGCTCTTTGATACAAGATTTGTAGTTTTTTGTTCCAGCTCTCAGCCCTCTGAGGAGACTTGGGTTTCATTTGAAGTTTCCATTTCTGGATGGACTGATCAATTCTGACTGCGGAGTGCTTGTTGGACCACTCGATGGTGTCTAAATTGACTCCAAATTTGACTCCCCACAAAGCAAGCTAGCTGAAAACTGTGAATCAAAACAAGAAAACAAGCTTTCTGTTCGTTTAAAAACAGCAGATTGAACTTTCTATATGAGCTCTTTTTTACAGTCCATTACTTATTTGATTAACTCTCTTTGTCTCTCTTTTTCACTCTGCCTTTGCCTGTTTCTCTCTCCTTTATGCTACCGCTCTACCTCCTGTTTCTGTCACACACACGCAAACTCACACAGAATGTAAACACCTCTAACCTAGCAGAGGACGTAAAGGTGGTAAATAATCCAAGAGTCTGCTGTCACAAGCATTTAGGAGACACAAGCTGGACTTTAAAGCTCTTTTTCTTGGCAGACCAGCGCTGGCTTCATCCAGGAAAACAGCAGTTCATTTATTTCCTTCATTTATTTCATTGCTTTAGCGTGTGACGTATGCAATTACAGAGTGCTGATTCCACTGATCCTAATTAATTCAGTGACGTTTAACTGAAACGACATTATGTTAGTCTTGGTCTTCAATTTTGATTTCAGCTTTTTTCTTAAAAACTTTCGTGAGAATCAATAACTTCAGATTTTAGTTTGTGAATCTTGATTATTAGATTCGATTATTATAGATAATTTATATGGAAGAAGATTAGGGCCACATAAAGATAAAAAAAATAATTGCAGGGGGGAGATTTTATAAATTTTCATTTCAAAATAAAGTCGAAATTTTGAGATTAAAATCGAAATTTTAAAAAGTAGAAATTTCGACTTTATTTATTTCAACTTAAATCTCAAAATTTCAACTTTAATCTCAAAATTATAATTTATTTTAATCAGGAAATTTCAACATTTATCTCGAAATTTCTACTTTATTGTCATAATTTATTTATTTATTTTTTTTTTTCAAAATGTTGACTTTAATCTCCAAATTTCGACTCTAATCTCCTTTCTGAAATTTCAGTAATCATTTTTTTCTCTTCATGTGGCCCTAATCCTTTTTTGTAGATTTATGTCTTGGATTTGATTATGTTTAATTTTTGATAAATTTATGTATTTCTTAATTTCCTTTACCAATGAGACATTTTAAGACACTCGAAGTCCAATCAAATTGCAAGCATGTCCCCTCCTTTAAATGTTTATTTTTTTCTTGTTGCACTGACCAAACATTGCTCCTCAATCTTCACAAACCAACGTTGGTTTGTCAGGATTAGCACTTTTAAGAATAATGTGTCACAAAGGGAAAAATTCATGTCACGCATCCTGCCTTCACCTGCCTGTTAAAACAGCACTTTATTTTTACTCTTCCTGCACAGAAGTGAAGAAAAAACTGTTGTGTTGGGGTTACAGAAAGGACAGCAAGCACATCAAGAAAGAGCCGAATCGATACCCACATTTGTGAGCCGTCCACAAAACCAGTCTAATGGAGTAGAAAACCTGCTCTCATGCTTGGCTGATGTCTGCATGTTTGCTGTCCCACAAGTCTTTGCAACAGAGCAAAGCAGAGGTGGGAAAAGCCCATTGTTGGGGGGGGGGGGGGGGGTTCAGTCTGATGAACAAACAAGACCGACTGACCTGCTGCAATCTCTCACATGGATGCTCCTGAACAAAGCTCACACACTATAGAGAGTAATAACAGCAGGACAGTGTTATACACACAATGAGGTTAAGTACAGAACACTCTGATTACTGTCGAGTACAAACAGAGCTTAAACATGTATCTAGGCCTGACCACCTGCAAACTGTTATTGTGGAGTATATCTGTGTTCAGCGCTTTCTCTATGCGGGGCACATGTGCTCATTATTGCCTTTAGCCACTCTCAGTGCATACATACGATATGTGGGATATTATTATGGCTGCAAATCAACATCCTCCCTCCTGGGCTGACTGACCTGCTGCTAACTGAGCCTTTTATTTTGTGCCAATTCAACGATAAAACGTTGTAAAATACTCTCCTATGACAATTACAACACAGTTTCAACCTCAAACAGGTGCTCTCTCTCTCTCTCTCTCTCTCTCTCTCTCTATCTCTATCTCTATCTCTCTCTCTCTATCTCTCGCTGTCTCACTCTGACATGGCCCTGCAGTACTTTAAAGGTGTTTGAATATGAATGAAGGCTCCTCTGGCCTGCTGCCACTGCTGTCAAAATGAGTTAGAAATAATACTCATTATGGTGTCCGGCACATGAGGGGGTCACCAAAGTTACTCTAGTTAACATAAATATGACAACATCAGGAGTATAACGTGTGAATGAGCCTCTGAAATGCATTTTGGTGGAGAAATAGGTCATTTGTAGTGGTCTCAACTTATTTCCTGAATGTGTGAGATGAGCAGCTGTGACCGAGTGATCCAATTCACACTATTTTTATTTAACACACATAATTGTTACAGTATCACCCCCCAAACAATTAACACCTAGATTTAAAACACATGGTAGCATACTACTAAGCAAGACAAATGCACCATAAGGGATCAAAACGGCATCTTTTCTCAGCCCTGTTTTTGTAAAACTAGCAGCAGAATAAATAAAAGTTCATAACCCGAAGATCAGGATGTAAAAGAGCACTTGGGAATTTGTAAACATAAGGGGCACTTCAAATCAGTTAGTTTTAAACAGCAGAGGGCGCTCTCTGTAGGGGTGAATGATGAGGATTTTTGTTTAGGTGTTCAAACCCTGACTGCTAAAGACCATAGTCTGTATATATGACGGACAACTTGGCTCCGCCTTTTGTCATTACACGAATTTGAAGCCGACGCTCTCGGTAGACCCAGGATTTTCTCCACTTCCTGGAACCACCACTTGCGCAGTAGTGTTGTACGCATTCAGCGGGAGAGTAGCTGTGATGGCACTCTGCGCAAACAGCGTGTCTTCGTGACGCAATCTTCATATGCTCATAGGCTGAATCAAGTGTCAATCATACGAAACATAAACCCCCTTATAACTTTTAAAAATGAAGCTGCACAGAAAAAAGAGGACTTGAGCACAAACCAGTCTTACAGTAACTACACGTCAACATCGCAACCAGGGGGGAGAAAAATTTATATTCTGTGTAATTAATGTCTAAACTTCGTCCACAACTCCATAGGGATTGCTAGAGGAGGCTGGATATATGACCTATACTGCAGCCCGTCACCAGAGGGTGCTGTTCTCATCGTGGCTTCACCTAGCGAGGAGGCAGACGGCATCTATTCTATCTAGTTTATGCTAAAGACCCGTTTCTGATGATAACATGTGCCTGATAGATCCTGTGACTCCTTCGCTATCTGCGTTTGACTTTTATTGCTTGACAATGAGTAGCAGCAAACAGAAAGACATGCCATGAGACTTGCAGCTCATTCAACATCTCCCAATAGAGAGGGTGTTGTTGAAATAATCGTAAAATAAAAATATTGTGATTAAAATGCCAAAGATAAATGTCGGAGTAAGACAACAGCAGGACAGTGTAGACACTCTCCATCTTTATTCTGCAGCTGCACCAGACTGATGAAGACGGACGACACCAGAATTGAAAGAAGTAGTTCTCAGGCGTCCATTAGCAGCTGTTGCTTGATGCCTCAAACAGCATTTTGGATGAAGTGCAGGGAACAGCAGTCAGAGTGCAGATTAGCACCTGTACATTATGTTGAAATGGTGCAGACTGTTCATTAGCCTTGCTGGCACCTGGTGTCTCTCTAACTTGTTCTCTCCTCTCTTTTTTTTGTCTCACCTTTCTCCCACTCTCTCTGCATCTCTAATTCACTTTTTAATTCAGTGTCTGCATCTGCTCCGCCACACATACTTTTCAGCGCGACCTCTCTGTGTCCTCCAGGCAGCCGGCCTGATGGGAGAGCGTCCTGTTTGGAGCTTTTAGGCGAACAGACACCCCAGGCCACTCCAGTAATGGAGGTCTCCAGACACCACAGGGACTCTGAGGCTAATGGTAACGTGTCCTCACCAAAAAAAAACACTTCCCTTCTGTATTTCAAAGGTAACAGCTTTGACAAACAACACCACACAGCTACTTCAAATAACAGAAAAACTGCTGCAGTTTTCAAATTATAAAAACATTCTGTCCTTTTCCTTGCGATAAATGTTTCAGACACGCAATTTATACTTATTTAAAGTAGATTATGGCTTTTAAATCAAGTGGTCAAACTGCAAGAGTCAGCACAAAATCTCCAATAACATATTTTTTATCACCTACAGTAGTAGAGATAAAAAAATCACCCTCCTTTTTACACAGTAATGGCAATTCTGGCAGCGTTTCTAAATGTACCCCATCTCTGGATATCGATTTTCATGCATTTATCTAAAGTAATTGTACTGCACTCGTTAAAGAGCATGTAAGTTATTTCTTTTTGGGTTTACTTTGGCGCCCCCAATGGACAAAAACGGTACTTCTGCTCTCTTGGCTTGTTGAGGATGTATCAGGATGTATCAACCGTTGCCACAGGTTCAACAAGTAAAATAACTATTTACTCAATAGTTATTTACTCTACTATAACCAATCTTTTTGCTCAGTCTTGTTTGCTTTAGAAAGTCATAAAGAACCATCAGAACTATAAACCATTAAGTCTCATAACCATACGTCTTCTTAACATTTATCAATCAAATCCGTCATTAATTCAAAAAATCCAATTTCTAAATGGATAACTTAGCTATTCAAATTTAATGCAATCTTCTTAAAACGTCAGTGATTGAATTTACAAACTGCCCCCTAACACTCAAACGCACCATCTTGACCAAACCCCCTCACTTTTGCCAACACAGCTGTACACCTGCTTGCACTGTGACACGATGGATCGATGCTGACAGCCCTTCGACCTTCCTCCCACCTCATCTCCAAACACCTCCTTTGACTGACATCTCCCATCAGTCTGTGTTTAAGAGCTGTCATGCAGAAAGGCACACAACAAAATCCCGCCCAAAACAGAGAAAGATCTAATCTCGGGATGCAAATCCAAAGTGTTCTTGGTAAACGGTCTTTGGAATTACTTATTCATACAAAATAAACTCTGAATTTTTCTATCACAGTAGCATCATAATGGACAATACCAATGGCACTGCAAAGCTACAGAACATATAAGGACGTACAAATCGTTGACGCACTGAATTTCAACATGCAGGCCAGGCTTACAGAAATAACCCAAATGGACATACAGTCATGCTGAGCAAGGCCCAAGTGTCCAAATGTAGAATTGCTGCGATGAGAGAAATAGAAGAAATATTTCAGACTCACAGCATCCACTTTTCTGCCCACTTGGCATGCCCACATGGTCAGGTGTTTGTCACAATCAGTTGGGCAGCAGAAAATATACACTCAGTACGCACAGACGTTCTCGAAAAGTCTTCAAACTTTGTCTGTTTTGTTCCTGGTGTCAGTTGTGCATCGCTCCTTAAAGAGAGAACTCAGACACCTGCACCATGGTTACACCCTCAGACTGTTTTCATTAGTTTGCTTTAAAACACGCTTTAAACTTCACAACCCCTGATACCCTGATAGCACTTAACGCTATTACTTCCAATGAAGTAACATTTAGTACTTGATCAGCATGTTTTCTTATTCATTACCATCTCTGATTCTGTGGTCGGCCATTACAGCAGGTCACCTTGACATGGAGCCAAATACTTGACATGCTGACATGCTGCTTTGCTCCGTTCCTTAATGCCTGCGGCGTGAGAAGTAAAATGAGGATGCAGAAACAGTTTGTACAGTTTGTACTTTAAGCACAAGTAGGTCTCGTTAATGCGTCTTTGAATGAAACTCCTCTTTTACTCTTTCAAAGTGAACATAATACCTCAGCAGAGTGCTTGTACTGTACAACATATATGGAACATAGTGGAGCTTATACATTTAGCTGCTTGGAGGAATCCTTGTCTTCTGCCTTTGTGACACACCATGTCATATCTGTTTGGTTTTCTTAAGAGGAGACACATGAATGAAGAAAAATACTGACTGATGTCTCTCTGCGTAGAGATGGAATACATTAGTAACATTACATAATAACTGTGCACAATGGGGACTCCCTGAAGCAAGGGAAGCATTTACTCCACAATATTTTAGGCTTTTGTTAATGTACTTCTTCTTATCCTTTCATAGTTATGCAATTATTCCTGTACAAAACCACGTTACATCACTCTTCTTGTGTGAAGTATCCTATAGGGTCTGTTAAAAGCAGGTTCAGTCATGTAATCTAACAAGGTTGGCTGTAAACATATTATATGTTCTGCTTGGTCCAAGAGAACTGAGTCTAAAATTTGTGGTTGTGTATTTTAATCTCAAGCATTTACTGTTTCTAACCTCTGCAAATGTCTGAAAATTCTGTTTGTTTTTTAATATAATTTTTAAAGCAGCTGAACAAGCAAAATCTCAGTAATACAACAACATAAAACAAGAACACAAAATTATCATAAAGCCATTTCTCTCATTATTCGAACTGTTGTACCAGATGGCATTTGGACTTTCAAAATCAGTAAACCATTTTATTGCACAAGCGCATATTACTGTTTTCTTTCTGCATGACGCCCCATGCAAGTGTTAACACCTACAAAATTGTTGTAAGTACCTGAAACTAATAAAGCAGCCTGTATAAATGTTGGTACTCTCTGATGTTTCCTCCATAAACAACTTAACTCAACACCTCAAGTATCAAAATAAGCTAAAAGCCCAAAACTGCAGCATTTGATGCAAGTTGGCATCCCCTCCTCTCTGTGACCGTTTCTGATGCAAAGGCCAGAGAGAGACACTTCCCTTGTGTCAAAGCAGTGCAGTGCCAACAAGGGCTCCCCTTACACTGAGAGACTTACTGCAGCAGAGGCACAAACGGGCTGTCCCAACAGAGCGGGCATATAAACACACCTACTGTACCACACAGACGTAATGCCAGAGGTTAAAGTATTCACATCAGAAAAAAGGTTTGTAGGCTTAGAGGGTGAAGTGTTTATTTTTTTGACCTGTCTTCCAAGTGCTAAGCTGCGGTGAATATTCACCTATCAAAGTCAGACTTAAGGAAAGAGAAGTGGAGCTAATGGTGAATGGTAACAACTGGAGAGCAGGGGGAAGAAAATAAAAATAAAAGTAAAAGAATAAGCCCTGGACTCTTACTAAACTCATGCAAAACTGCCGTTCTCCAAGGGTCTATTTAAAGCTGAAAGAAATTATATTACAGTCTGTATTAAAAAGCGTATTTTCACAGCAGGAATAAATGTGTCTGTGGACTGGTTTAAATCCTTTCTTAAGGCAATTGTAAATGAGGTTTGGGAACCTTGAGTTTCTATCATATTTGGCGCCCCCTGTGGACAAAAAAGTCTTTGGTTATCTTGTCCGCGTCATGCTTAAGCCGAAAATTTTGATACAAAATACAACAGCATGGCTCGACAGTGCGACCATTTCACTCGCATTTGCAGCTAAAATAGATGCGTGCGGTATTTATTCATGTAAATACCGCGGTGAAGTTAGTTTTAGGTTGGATATTCGACCGAGACATTCACTGCAGATCTACCGGTATCCTCTCACTTTCCATAACCGGGAATAGCAACAGTGGTTAAATCTACTCGACATCCTCGCTGTCATCGTTGGGTGTTGAATAAGGGACCATCAATAAATTACCGGTTGATGTTCTCAGTAAAGGCTGTTTCCTTCAATAGCTTCCATGTCATGTGACCAATTGACCCAAAATTGATTTCAAATTATAGTACTTATGTCGACCAATAAGACACACTTCTTTATTTTCCTAATCTGTCCTCATACAATTTTGTGTAAATTTTTAAGGCAAATTTTGAACATTTTCTTCAATAACTTCCATGTCATGTAACCAAAAGACCTAAAATAGATTTCAAATAATAGTACTTAAGTCGACTAATAAGACCATTATTTGATCAATTTTCATTGTGCCCCTAAAGTTGATGCACACAAACTGGTCATCCATCTAAGCACAGGCACAACACATTTCAACAATAGCTGCCGTGCCCTAGTATGTCAGTATTTCCCAAAACCTGACAAACAAAATGACCGATTGGAGTTTCCAAAATCCTCCACCTTCAAAGGCATTTTCAAAACCTTTTTATTCAGTGACCTGAAACTGTGCTTATGTGTGAACGGGAGGCCAACTCACAGAGGAAGAACAAAACACGTAACTACATTCATGTTTTATACAGTCTGTGGTCCAGGTGGACAAAAAGAGGATAGAGGATGCAGATGAAAGGAGACAGAGAAAAATCAAGCCTTGTTTTTTTCTGGTCACTGGCTCGGTGCGGTTCATATGCCTGCAGGTAATCTGTCCCCGTCTCTGACCTTGAGCGCTTACCTCAGGATGATCATAACTTATGCCAACTCAACAGAGAGAGAGGGAGTGTGGACACAGCGCTGATCCAAGCACATCTCTGGAGAAAATCTCCCCCCACCCGTGGAGGGTTTATGCTGCCAAAAGCATTAACTTCCAACCCTTTTTTTGTCCAACACAGCATGCAATCAAGCAGGAAAGCAAGCACTGGCATTGTTTGTCTGATGAGTCTGTGCACCGCACTTCTCTCTATCCTTACATTCACCTCCTCTCTTGTTTTTCTCTCTGCTTTCTCTCTCTCGTGGCGCTCTGGCTGTTCTCCATTTTCCTAAACCTCGCTGTCCTTTCCAATCCTCCTCTGTTTCTACTTTTTTTTTTCTCATTCATTCCCAATGTGGAAGGATTTAGCTTTGTTTCCCTTCAAATGAGTAATTAAAAGACAAAAGCTTCTGATTCCACCATGGCAGCTTTTTAAAAGATATGCAATTTAAATGGGGAAAGGGTAGAGAGAGGATAGAGAAGTGGGTCGAAAGACAAAGATTGGGTGAAACAAGGTTTCACAGGGATCTTGTTCAGTATCTTGTTAAAATGCCATTTTCTCATTTACTAAGAAAAATTAAAGGGGGCAAGGGCTGCTGGAGGTGGTCTGTGGTGGCTTGACTGACCACACACCAAAAATTTCAACCAATAATCTTAACTGACAAGTATTCGCATAACTTATGATTGGATTACGTTGCAAAAAGGCGCTTTGTGCTCTTATGACGTGTCAATGAAGAACATCTCCACGTGTCCTCCTTTCTGTCTTTCTGCTTAATGGTGAAACCAGGGTGGCTTCCTCTGAAACATCACAGAGCAGGGCGGCTTATCAAGAATTGATGTCGACTCTCAGCCGGAAACTCGACAAGCAGTACTTATCAGACATCTGAAAGTAAGATTCCCCAGTGCTCAGTAAGCTCTGGCTTTCAGATTATGATGAATGAGGCCCTGAAATTACCTGATGAGTCATCTTAGATTAGTTTGAATGAGCTTGTACAGCAATGAGGGAAAGACTTCCTTAAACCCCTAGATGCGCTGAGGCAAACAAGAAGAAGACGCTGCCAGGAGAGGGAGAGGGAGGACGTGCCCGAAAAAGTTGAGCTTGGATCAGTGAGCAAACTAGATTTTGCTTTTAGTGACTTCAAAGGGTGGTACGACATGAATAGAGACTTGGGAGTGTAATTCGACGGACAACACCTTCCTGCATGAGTCTGCAGATAATCCTTAGCTAAATCACTCACATGACAGACAGAATACAATCATTATGATGAAAATTAAGCAGATGACATGAAGTGCATTGATGGGTTATTCAATTGGGTGCTATGGCAGGTGATGATAAACCCAAGCCTCTGTGTGGATGATCTGCTCATGTGGAAATATCTTAAAACCTGCTGCAGAAGCTTTAAATGCATATTTTAGGAGAAGAGGAATGTGTTGTGTAAGAGTAACTGTGTCCTAAATTAAATATAGTCTTGGTGTAAAGTCAAAAAGTAGCAAATGTCATTTCCTTAACACTTTATGAAGTGATTAAAAAAATCCACAACAAACTTACAGACTTTACCTCAAAGAAAAACTTGTTTTGTTTGCTGATCTAGCTGAGCAACTATGAGGGAAAAGCTTTTTCATTGTTTCTGTAGCCCACCTCTACTTCTACATGGTAATTTCAATTGGCTCCTGTGGTGACATCACGACAGGAGTGATTTATAAAACCACTCCTACTACCACTCAGTGCTTTTATGCTACTGTGGTTTTGCTCCTGTGGCAGATTCAACATGCTGAACCATTAAAGCCTGGTACTGATGCAGGTTCTTCTGGAGCACAGTTTATTTATGGGTTTTTCTGCCTCTGCATTTATCTGCATTGGTCTGCACCCTTTTGCCGCAGATAGCACTTCATTATCCTAACACTTCTGGCCACTTAAATCACTGTAAAACCTGAGAGGCTGCAGATCTTCCACAGAGGTTGAATTTCTGACATATCTAGCCAAAAGTACCGTTATATGGGATCTTTAGCTGGAAAGCACAATTATGTAAAACCACTGTGAAATCTGTAATTGCTTACCAGAAGTTGACCAGGAAAGGATGTTCAAGGTTCTGCATGATCTGCAGCTCTTTGAGGACATTTCTCACTTCATTGCGCTCCACACATTTCAGCTTGTTCATGTACTTCATGGCGTACATCTTCTTAGTGTCTTTCTTCTGCACAATGCAGACCTGACAGGATCACAAGAGGATACGTTTCATACTATCGCAGGGAAAAATGCTCCATATACTGTGATAGTTTGATGCTTGTGTTTGCTGTAAAACATGAATCAAATAGCTTTCTGCAGACTCTAAACAGCTTCACGGTCATTCAGCACATTAAGGAACAATAACAGTGCTTTTACACATTCAGAAATGTGTATAATTAGCAGTGATGTTAGTCATCCCTTTATGTTTTTTCTATTATCATTATGTTGTTTTTCTTAACTGCTTCAGGCACTTGAAATGTTGTAGTGCAAGAACCTAAAATGTTGTCCATCTAATGAGGCCGCAAGGAAACTTCAGGATTTCCCTTTAATCTCTGTAATCAGCTTTTTAATCCTCCGGTAAGGCGTTAAACTTTTCACACCGGTATGTTTAGTGTTTTAGAGATGGAAACATCATGTTAGCTTTCATTAAAACTGCCAGCAGGGAACATAGATATGTCTTTACAGACAGCATAAAAATGCCTTCAAAAAGCACTAAGGGTACTGCTGTCAGCGGAAATAAACACCAAGTGCAATGTGGTGTGGAAAATGCGGAAAATAACACCTGGTGTAGTCTGCTAAGCTGTTGTGCCATTTGGTTTGTATCAAACGAAACGTGACTAACTGCTTTTTGAAAACTGTTTCAAGATGCGACGGTGTCATAGCCCAGATTTATTTGTAGGTCTTTTCTGTTCTAAGAGCGTCAATAAGCCAGTGATTACTGCTATCTAAGAGAGTGATCTGTGGAGCAGCTGGCACGGTTAATCAGCTGAACCCTGATCACATCACTCCTCCCATTGAGCAGCTTGCTGTCCACTGTGATCACACTGCTTATCTGCGGTTGGACACAGTATAGCTGTTCTGTGTTTGCATGGAGGTATGTGTGTGTGTGTGTCTGTGTGTGGGTGTATTGCTGTGTATGTACTGTAAACGCTGATGTAAATTACTCCACACTGTATGGATTAACAGCAGGGAGGCATGGCTGCAATCCTCTCAGATCTATAATAGTGGAATTGTAGTTAATCTTGAGAAAGTCAAGCCCGACTCAGTGAACTGTGCATCATAATATTGCTTCAAGAGTGAAAGGATGTCATATGTAACTTTTAAGGTCTAACTTTCACCTGCAACAGTCAGATGATTGGCAGTAAAATAATTGGCGGCTGTCATAATGATTAATTGATTGTTATTTTCAAGCAGAAAAGCCTCCAGCTGCTATTAACTCTCTCATAAATTATAAATACATCAGTTTTTTCATGTTTTGGACTGTTGCAGGAACAGAATACTAATCAGTTTGGTTGTTTGTCTTGGGCTTTATGAAGTTAAACAAGAATTTTTCTAATATTCTTTGACATTCAACAGTGTAAATCAATAATTAAGTAAATGAATAATCAAACCAGTGCTGCAGCTTATCAGTCTTTGCAGAAGCATGTGTGCTGTTTGTAAGCTGGATCAACTTTTCATCATTTATTTGATGAAGGTTTTAGATACATCTTTTTTGAGGGAGCTGTTCACACTGAATTGGTTGTGTGTGCTGTTGTGGAGTTTTTGGACTTTGTTTACATTGTGTTTATGTGTCAATGCCAGTACTGTAGTGCCAAAATAATAACCTATGTACTTGTAACCTGGACCCTTATTCACCTAGCTGAATGAAAGTGATATAGTCTTGAACAGTGTCTCCATCTTGAGTAATTTTTTCATTTATCCAGTTTTCTAGCACTTTTCCAGCAATATACTTACTTTTCCAAAGCTTCCTTTTCCTATTGCCCTCAGGATCTGAAAGTGGTCGAAATTCACTGTAGAAAAAAAAACAAGAAAAAGTTGAGTTAAAAGTTTACAATTACTACATATAAAACCTCAAATGTAAACCTGACTCTAATTTAAAATAAGTGGAAAACAAATTAACACGACCGAACATAAACACTCTTTCAATATGCTGGAAATGAAAGATTTGACATGTGTCTGCTCAAAGAACATCAACTTTTAACCAGAAAGACCCAAAAATGGAAAAAAGGCATAAAAACACTTCCACCCCCAAATATGGTCATAGAGGACTTGCATTGCAAGAATTCAAGAGTTCCTAATTTTCAAACAATTATCTTTTGCAAAAGTTTTATTTTTTATCTTTTACTTCTAAAAAACACTGTTAGAACAAACATTGGGCACTCTGGGTCGACTGATACTGTTTTTCAGGGTCAATACCAGTGCTGATTTTTAGTATATGTTAGGTTAGCAGTTCCTGAGACCAATAACCTGAATTTGGAACTGAAATGCACTGACAGAAAAAATGAAAAACTTTGTCAAATTTTGACTGATAGTCACAGAAGATTGATAGTTGTCTACCCCTACTTTTGTCTATGTTAATGTGGTATTTAAGGAAATAAGAACTTTAAAGCCCCAGTAAAAAAACTCTTTTTGATTGTGGCGCCCCCCATAGACTAAATGTTTCCTCTCATCTCTGCTGTACTTGTCCTGTACACTGTTTTCTGAAAAAGAAATTACCCCTGTTGCATTTCAAAGCATTAAACATCAGACTTTGAACGATGGAGATTTGCAGTAAAAAAAGTAAAAGATGGCTACCTCTCTGACATGCGTTCAGCCTTGTGTTGACATTGACCTACTCTAACAATAACTTGAAATTACTTCTATGCTTTGGCAGCATATAAAGAAGCATCTTTATTAACTTCATCGTGTTTCAATACCATAATAGATTCCAATTCTCAGAAATCAAATAAACTTAATTTTTATGATTGAAACTGGTCTGTAAATAATGTGCGTCAGTCTTCAGTGCATTTACCGCAGGTTCACTCTGAGATTTGCTTCAGGCTCATTTGAACAATACACACACTTAAGCTGGAGCAGATGAGGGTCTCCAGGGCAACCACAGGTCACTGACATTATAGCTGAGAAGTGAAATAAGCCTCAGCACAAAGCACTCTTTTATGATGGTGGCATGTTTTTCTGCAGAACAAAAGCTTTTTTTTTACCGCGTCTCTATCTCCCATCAGCGTTTATATCATCCTCTTTCCTGCGCACGTAGAAAAGTCTGTCTTTGTGCGAGTGTATCGCACCCACACAGACACACAACCTGTACCAGGGCTTAACTGCCTGTCTCACTCCCCTCCGTCTATCAGCAACATTTATCACCAATTGAAACCGGATGGGGCTGTTTGTTACTTGCTGCCATGACAACCAGGACAGAAGGTTTTCCCTCTCGTGTTGTTTCCCTCAGGATGGAACATCTGCTGCCCATCCCTGCACTTATCTAAACACACACACACACAGATGCGCACACTTTGACTCAAAATGCATTCAAAATATTTCCAAAAACATGCTGACTGAAAGCATCACCTGCCTCTCTTCCAACACGCACCCATACAGTTTGCCTACAGTCACTGCGTCTATTGGATGTGACAGTTAATGATATGCTCTGTTAGTCACGTATCACTGGCACTTCCTTCTCACACACTATCTGTGCCTGAGTGTTTACACAACCCGCACTGATAGGGACCATATGAGGCCCTGCTTATAAATCACACACTCACAAGCACAGGCACACACATGTGCGTGCATTGAATCGCAGATTGACAGTGTATACACTTCACATATACAAAGAGACATGCTCCAGATAAACACAGTCATTTTCCTGCAAAGCTACTGGGAGATTTTCCTCCGGGGTTTTTTTCCCCAGCAGACAGATGTGGTTGTGGGTGGGAGGGGAGGGATCGAAAGAGATAAGAGCGAGATATAAAGGGAAGAAGAGGGAAATGTAGAGGCAGACAGGGATTTATGGATGGATTCATATTGGACCCGCAGATTTCTGAATGGTCTAATGTGCCATATTAGATGATGGACACATGAGTAACAGCGTGCGATGATTGAAATCTGCACAAGTGGAATTGACGCATTGACAGCCCCTTTTTCCACGGCTTTGACCAACTGAGGAGCTCATCTGCTAGTCAATTTGAATTTGACTGACACATGCTAATCAGTTTGGATTGATGTAATCAGGCTTGTTCAGTTTGAGTCTTGCACACTGTGCTGTACTGTATGTCTGTGACTTTTTCCTCTCTGTCTATCAGTGTCTGCATCACTATCTGCCTATGTCAACACCAGAGCTGACAAAAATCACAAGTGTGCTCCCTTCTTGGTCTCTGTCTGCACTAAAGGCTCTCACTTACTTAAAAACAGACCCACCAGTGGATCTATTTATAGATATTCCTTTCAATACTTTTTAACTGCATGTATCCTCTCATCCATAGACATTCACAACCACACATGACGAAAATTTTGTCCTTCAGATTGTGTCACTAAAAATGATTATATGAGCTTTACTTCATGTTTCTGTCTGACTCAAATGTGCATTAAAAAAATAAAGAGTTCGTCAAATTTGTCAAACATAGATTTATCCTGTTGAAACAGCTGAAACTTTCACCTCAGCTTTGCCCCTGCTTTGTTTGTAAAATCTTTGCACGAAGCTGGAGCGAGCTGTGAAAACACAGCAAGGAGTATTTTGAAAAATTCACTGTGAGTGAGCAGGTTTATCAGGCAACCGGTGCAAACCTGAAGACAAATCTTTTTCAAGATGATACAGCAACAGATGTTTTCACATCTGCCTGTTTACAAATGTAAAGCACTAATTTAAATGCAAAATCTGTTATCACAGTAAAGGTCGGTGTTGATTCGATATATCCTGCTTCCTGAAACTCATCTTTCTCCTCATTAGACAAGGAAATTGGCACAATGAGGGACATGTGTGAAAATTTCCGGGTCAGAGCTCCTGAAAATTTTCTAAAATGACATTTCTGCATGTCTGAAGAGAGCGTAGAAAACATCTGTACAGAAATGAGCTTCTAAAAGAGGAATAAATGATTATTCCTGTCAAGGATTTTCAGGCGAGGGATAAGTTAACTTCAGAGGACAGCTCTTTGTGTCGGTTGACCCCCTTTGCGGCCACTCATCTTAAAGTACTAGACTGGCTTGCAATCTGTAAACTTCCCAACATTTCCATCCAATCCCTTAAAAAAAAGACCAAAACCAACAATGTGTAAGTCTGTCCCTGAATGCTTTCCAACTCCCTGCCCAAGTCTGTTGCATTCAGCTGCAAGCACAATTATTCCTGCTGGAGACATTACTCTTTAACAACAGTCCACACAAACAGATGGATGATTTCTTTTTCAAAGCCTCAGTTTTTCCCCCACCAGCTGGGTACTGTAGTTTTTGGTAAACTTCACTTAAATTAGTCAACTTTTTGGGGGAAATATTTTCAGATGTGAATTCATCAACATTTGATGGTCCGATTAAGATTTCATGGACAGTGAGTGTGGAATTGACTTAAAAATATACAAACAAACTTGAAGAGACCAAACAGAGAGCATTGTGTGCAGTTATGTAGGACAACAAAGATGAAACAACCATGGTCCTATTGTCTCCCATATTTTCCAGCTCATTGCAGGCATCCTGCCCCGCTCTCTCTCCCTCCTCCTTTTATTCCTGTCTCTCACAGAGATGCTTGTAAATCACTTAAGGACCCACCGACGTGGGAACACCAGTACTCCTGCTGTTGCTCTGACAACTGAAACTGAACCCTTGGGTCCATGTGTCCCTGCTATGTGAATAAAGCATGATCAGCAGTAAACAGGACCTGTCCATTAACAGAGTCTGCTGCATACAGGGTGGAAAACCTGTGTGGCACACGAGGAGCTCAAGCAGTGTACACATTATTCTCAGAGGAGATAAACGTGTCATGACAGAGTTCACCTTCATACACACGTCTCAGTAAATCAACTAATATGGGCTGAGTATGAACCACAGCGAATGACTCTGTCTGAGAGTAAGGAAGACAGTAAAGAGTTTATTGTGCATGTAAATCCTGGAGAGAAATACAGTTTCACCATTGCTACTGTGCAGAAAATGTACTTAAGAATTCATGACCAAGAATCTTTATCATAATACTTAAAGAGAAACTTTGTTGGTTGCTTATTTTAGCAATAAGTTGTTTATCTTATTTATCTATTGGCCTCTGTAGCCTCTAAATTTAATAGATTCTCAAAATGAAATATAAAAAATCACACATTAAAGCTCCTGGCGCCCCTTGTGGACACAGCAGTCTTATCTTATCTTGTCCTCTACAAACAGAGCAGTGTGTCGACAAAAGAAATGTCATCCTGCTGACTTTTGACAGTATTGTTTATTGTGGTTAATTCATAGGAAAACTGTAAAAACAAGGCTGTGTCTTCAGCTGCTCGGCTGACATCTACCCCCTCAAACCAGTTTTAGGGATTAAAAATGTCAAAATGTCAGTCTTGGTCCTGATGGTTTTGTTTGCTTTTTGATATCATGAAAAAGCATCAATGTGAATTTCAGTGTATTTTATGAATGTAAAAAACTCCTTGTAGGAGCTTTAAAGGCCATGTTCCGTGTAATTGTGCATTAGAGACATCAGATTTCAGTATGCAGATGTAAAGCTCTTAAATTATCAAACAAATTTGTAGCTTTGAGTGAAATCCTTGCTCAATAGGAAGTTTTGGTGAGCAAAAAGCTAACCATAACTTTTCTATCCTTGTTCCGTCCATCCTTGTTTTTCCTCTATAGCTGAACGACGTCATCAGACATCCCTTTCCTTAGCAACACTCTCCAGCTCCTCCTCGGTGATCCTGAGGCATCCCTTAGCCAGATGAGAGGTTAAATCCCTCTGGTGGTCCACCCTAGGGTTTCCTCAAAGTTTGGAAATACCCTTAAAACCTCCAAAGGAAGACACCCGGCAGACATCCTGATCACCTCAAGCTGCCTCTTTTTGGATGAGAGACAGCAGCAGCTTCTCTAGACTGAGCTTCAGTTCTTTCTTATCTCAGGGAACCACTTTCACTGAGGCTAGAGTTCTTAATTAATTTGCCTCCAACTACACTTAAAACCGGAGTGTAGTATTTTTAAAGCAGCCGAGGAACTCTAGGCGAAAAGTACCGTTTGGCTAACCACAGTGAAATTATGTGCATTTATAGTGTATTTATTAAAATGTCAGGATTTATTAACTCTCACTGTTGAATTAACAAACAAAAAGAATTCTTCCATTACGGCCTGTATTTCCTTGAAGGGACCTTGCTGTGCCGTAAAGCGAAAACCTTATTTGCATCTTTATTGCTGCTTAGCGAGGTGACTGCGTGGCGTCGAGTCAACACGCTGTGAACTGTCTGGTTGGGGGAATCCTCCCTGCCTGTGCACCTGACATGAGTTTCATCAGCCAGGGGATTACTCTGTCTCCCATGAGCCGAGCCTTTTTTCATTTTTTTTGTGTTTTTTTTTTTGTTGTTGTTGTTGGTCTGATTTAAAACTGCGCGTGCCTGTGTTTATTACTTCCCTGCTCTCGGTGAAAACACCCACTCTGTTTTTGTTAGCACGGAGTCAGAAAGGTGTACTGTTGCATTAAATCTAAGTACCGGGAGGCTCTGTTATGAGTGGCATTTCCAGAACGGTGCACTATATGACTAAGCAGTGAGGTTAACCATGAATAATGATTTCCTCTTCGTGAGCGGTCGCCTCTAGTAAAGCCACAGATATGGATTTCATTAGCCTGTGAGGTGGTAATTTGACACCATCAGGCCCGAAGAATCATTTTAATAAATTACCCTTTTCATCAGACAAACAAAAAAAGCGAATACTAATGAGGATGGATGAAATTTAGCCTTTCACAGAATCTCATCATGTAGGATATCAGACATACAGAAACACCTATTTGCCCTACAGAGAAGTAAAACCTGGGAAAGCCACTCCACTCCTGTCTCATAGACTTATCTGAAGTCCTTGGAGCGCGGCCAGACTGGAATTAATTTCGCAGAGATCAATATGTTCACATTGTGTTATCCACTCATGCCATCAAGAAAAAAAAGAGAAATACATTCAAAACAACAGCTTTATCAATCAGAGTAATAACCCCCTATTTGCTGTTGACTTAACGTCCATCAGCCTAATGAATTGAAAGATAATACGCCCCGCAAGATTCAAGCATATTTTCTAAAATCACAAATATAAAGAAGACCTCACCAGAAAACTCCAAATTATACAGACAAGTTTATCAGACACTCCAATCAGAGATGGGAATTCTGTCTTAGTTCAGTGAGCCAACTCATTTGGCTCGACACGGCAACAAGAGGCGGCTCTTCCAACTCCCCAACAGCTCTGAATGTAGCGCCATTTTTAGACTAAATTCTTCACTCTAGTTAAATAGGGTGTTCAGTTATGACTGATATGTCAGTTTAATTATTCAATACTAACATACTAAGCCTCATTTATGTCAGAGTACAAAAATTAAATCTCAAACTAAAAAATAGAGACACTTCAAGTGTATGATGGTCTTATTTCTGAGCCTGATCTCTAAGGTTCGACTTTTTCAAATTTAGGAAAGGTAATTAAGTAATTTACAACTTTGAGGCTTAATTATTGTTACACACTTCCCTCTGGTACAACTAAAGGAAGTGTTCACAAGCTGCAGCTCTTCCAAAATGCTGCTATGTGGCACTAAATTTTTCACAAGATTACTCCCATTGGTCCAGATCTTTACTGGCTACCAGTTAGATCTAGAACTGAGTTTAAGATTTTGATTGGTAGTTTTGTAAGCCTACCATTGCAAGGCATCAACTTTAAACTGCAGTCTTTGACCTTTTAAGCACTTGATCGCTGTTGGAGATCCTCTGGCAGGTACTTTTTTTCTCATTTTTAATCTTAGACTGTGACCACATTATTATATTATATTATATTATATTATTATTTCCATGAATGGTTGGTGTCATTGTATTAGTACTACTAGTAGTAGTAGTTTACCATTACATACATGCTTGTTACTTGGTGTTTGTAACAATAAAAAACATGAAGCATCATTTTTATTACAATAATAATAATTAACACTTTTAAATAATAGTTTCAAAACAAGTGTTGTAAGTCAGAGACAAACTTTTTTTGTCTTGAAAAACTCTTGCACTACTGGATAATTTGGTTTATAAATATCGGCACGACTTTCATGAAAACATTTTCCATTTGATTTGTCTGAAGAAATACTAAATAGAAAATATTTTCATCCTAGTCAAAATGATATCTACAAATTGTCAAGTATGATTTTAACAGGTTATAGTATTAGCTTTTAAAAGGCCTGGGATGGATTTACAATATTCCTGCTCTTAATACTTCAAAGAGTTGACTCCTTTGTGAACAAAACACTGCTAAAATCAAACTGTGCTTTTATCTGCTGCTGATTGAGACAAGTTTCAGTCTAAAGAGCATTGCGGCACACCTGCCAAACATTACATTAAATGTTACAGCAGGCAAAAGGATAACTTATTCAGACTGCAGATCATCACTCTGAGATAGCATGGTAAATCCTTTCCCACATTTTCTTGAGATTTGATCCTCAGAAGGAGAAGAAACTAAAAGTAACGTGAATGTTTTTCTTACTCACCATCATCTGTGTCATCAGTGACCGGAGCCTTGCTGGACTGTCCGAGCCCCATGGCTGCTCCTCGCACAGATCCTCCTCTGTCTTCTGCTCCCTTAGCTCAACTTAGCATCCGACGGCCTCTCCCCCCTCTTAGACGCACTCATAGCCTGGTCAACACTAGCCCATCACACACACACACACACTCATACACAAATACACTTTGTCTCACGTGCTGGACTGCTCAGCCTTGACACACACACGTACATATGCAGCAGCTGGCTCTGTTCTGCTGACTTGAACCGGTCCTGTCTCCTTCTTAATTCTCCACCTGGACACAAACTCACCTCAGTTGAAACCCACACACTCACTCACACACACATACATACATACAGTAGAGGACTTGTGGGAACACTAAAGGCACTGAAGCGCTGACACATAGGCAGCACCGCTACAGTGTAAGTTTCCTGTCTGTCTTCACTGCTGTTTCGATGAGCGCAGGCAGATGGGTGACTCCTGCCAGGAGGAGGAGGAGGAGGAGGAGGAGGAAGAAGAGGAGGAGGAGGAGGAGGGTGGCTGATTCGTTTGTGACCCTCTGGTGAATGAGAGTCTAACCTGTGAGGGAGGCAGGAAAACATGACACTATCAGCCGAGGGAGGAGAGGGAGGAGGAAGAGCGTGACACATGACCATCACAATCATCAAATTATCAATGAATAGATGAATTAATAGACGCAGGATTCTCTAAGAATCGCTAAGATTGATTTAAAAGAATAAACATTTCTTGTGATATTTAATTATCCACAAAAATAGACACAGCAGTGATATTTCTATTTGGGATATTTTGACTTTCATCGTAGTTTTAGCATTTTGTGGTTGTTCTCATTTGTCTGTCGCCTTTCAATAATTTTTTAATTTTCACATTTTTAATAAGAAACTCATCCAAGCAGAGCCCTGTCTGCGGCACGTCTTTGATAAATGGTGGGATCCATTTTCCCCATTATGAGCACTAAACTGGAGGCTTTTTTGATTTATAGATGGCTGCTGTTATGTTCTGTAAACTGAATCCCTCAGGCTGCCATCTTCAGGACGTGAGATTAGGTGAGTTTAGATCCTCAGGGGGAGAATAAACTAAAAATGTGCAGTCTGAGGGGAAAAATAGCCTCACTGTGAAGAGCAGTGCATCAAGTGTGGGTCTTAAACATGAACCTATGGGAAGTTTGAGAGTCAAGAAGTAAGTTTTTGTAAGTTTTTAAATGCGATTTATCTCCTTTTCTGCATTATTCATGCCACAGCTTCCCTTAGTGGTTTCCTAAGGCAGCTGCCTGAATGACAGCCTGTCCCCTGACACTGTTGTAAAGCAGAATGAATGACTGAACTTATCGAAAATGCAGTTTGGGGTAACACAGGCGAACTTCGTGCCATCCTGGCAACATTCAATCCTCAAGGGGACACCCATTCATGAATGTCATTCCCAGACGACATGATAAGGTCATGAGCACATAAATATGAGTTTTCTCACTAAGCTTGAATGAAATCTTTAAAAAGAAGTGCTGGGAGCCGCAGTGCTGAGCTCCCCGCAGAGGACACTATGCTCAGAGCCCTTATCAGATCACTTGGGGGAGACATGCATTGAATAGAAAGTGTCCCCCCCTCCTCCTCCTCTGTATCCATGCGGGGCAACGGTGGGCACTTACCTCTGTGCATGGGACCATGTCCAGCCCGGTTTTGCTGCAGAGACGTGGAGCGATATAGAGGTGCAGCAACAGTCACTTGTCCCGGAGCTCGGACGGACGACGACGCACCGGGACACCTGCCTCCCGAGAAACGGAGCCACAGAGTGAGACGTGACTGTCGGGATGAGCCGGAGACTGGAGTGCGATGCGGAAGCCTTTGTTTTCTTCTGAATGAGGAGACGACAGAGGAGGAGGACGGGAACAGAGAGGAGGTTTACCCGGGAGGAGGGACCGCTCGGAGACTGACCTCCACGTCGCCGGATGGGTAATGCACTGACTGTTGTTGGCCACCCGCGTGCGCTTGGAGAGGCACGTGTCACTGGGTGCTCGGGCTGCTGTGCTGTATGAGGATTTCCTCACGTTAACCTCCAACGAATCCCATTCATATACATCTAATTCATAAAAAACAACTGATATACATACTTTAAACATTTAGGATTACACATGCCTTTTACTCTAAACAGGATATCTAATGAACAAGAGGATAGTAACCAAATTATCAGACTCAGTTAGCTTATTAACACTGAGTCATTGTTGGGCCAGCACATTTTTTAAGCTACAACCCTGTAATTTAATGTCAATTTTATTGGTTTTGTATTAATAAACAGTCAATAGTCTTCCCTTTTAGCCTACCTACTTCCTTATGCTAGTATTGTCCTAGCAAATATAACTTTAAGTAGCCTGATCTGTATACATTTCTCCCTGTGGTGTTGGATACTCTAGACAGTAAGTTCCCAAGCTAGTAAAAATTCAGGTGAACTCCTCAAATGGAACAAAAACTCAGAAACTCCATGAAAACGACCTCATCAACATGGCCGCAAACTACAAGAAACATGTTTCTACCCAAATTAGCTCACAAACACATACCATCCTCTCTGTATTATCATTAATAGAGCTATAATGTTAATATCAGAACTGTGACATTATTATCATTCAGTTGCCATGTGTTTGCTGTTCTTGCTTTTTTAACCCTCCTCCAATGTTAGGGTCTGCACCGACCCGTTTTTTATTTTAAATGCCTAAAAGAACCACTTAAATTAGCTTTTTTGCATCAAGACTTTTTGAATTTGTCAGGAACCTCTATTTCAACAAAATGAAAATAAAAAAATTAAACGGACTAAATTCTTATTGAAAATTATGAAAAAAAATATTACAATTATGGCACTTGTCGTGTTAGGGTCGCTGTTGACCCGGTTAGATCAATATCTAATTAGAGCAAAAAGTGAAATCGTAAGTGCAGTGACAGGCACCACACTGACAGATCCTCTTCCAATCATGAGAGATTTAGTAAACTTTATTCTGCCATGTTTTTCCCTGCACAAAAAACAACACCAGGCATGTCCGGACATGTGAGATCAATTCAGTACGGATGTGGATGTCTGTGTGAGGAGTATGCTGACAAAATAAAGGCCCAGAGGCCCACAACAAAAACTATTATGAGCAATATTTTCATGGATAATGAAGCCTAACAAGTTAACCTAAAGATGAGAACCAAACTGGATGATAGAGGATTGTTTTTAGTGTAATTTACAGCTGATTTAAGACACGGGTCAAAACCGACCCTTAACATGGTGGATGTGTAGTAAAAGCTAACACAGGAGGAAGGTTAAACATCTTTTCTAACCATCATAAGAATCGTAGTCACATGTCTGCTATTGTTGGTAATGTTTGTATGTCTCCATCTGTCTATGTCTGCATCTCACTTTCTCAGCCTATCACAGTCAGATAGCTGTTGAACATCATTCTGGTTCTGCTCACACTTTCTGTTTGTCAACGAGAATTTTTGCCTCGTCACCATTTTTCACTAAATGTTGCCAAGTGCTGAAGTCATGGCCAGTCAGTGAATAGCTGAATTACCTGATTGTTTGAACTAATGTTGTCAACCAAATAGTTTTAGTCAATAAGAGTGATCTTATCATTGTTAACATAGAGCAGGACTAGATAGACTTGTAGCTGTGAGTGAGACCTAACATAAATCTACAGATGAGCAAACACTCGGCGATGATCTGTGACTGTGGTGTTGAAAAGCTTTCTTTGAGAAGGCAGAACCTTTGACCAGACTCATTGGTGGACATCCATACACCAGACCAGGCGGAGCTGAGGGAGATTGACAAAACACAAAAAGACTTCTGACATATTTGATGGTACATTTTTATTATTTGCTGAAGTTCATAAATGAAGGGTAGATTAAATGATGCACCCTCCTTCCTCACCCTTATTCTTGCTTTTTAAATTGAGTCCTTGGGAAAAGAGATCATGGTTTTGGGGAAGATTGAGAAAGTGGGCAAGAATCTGAATGTTCAGGAGGATTCAATTTTCCCTGTTTTTGACTTCATAGTTAATATGCAGGGCTTTAAAACAAGAAAATGTGTCAGTTTCTCCTGTCCAATCTCTCATGATACATTAACTTCAGAGGTCATTAACTTCCTCCTGTAAAACACATCAGACCACCCTAATGACTGCACGGTCACCAGCGTCCCTTGATAACTGGGCAGACCAAGGTTAGAGGAGGACATCTGAGTGTTGGGACTGTGGGAGCAGAGATATGCTTACAGAGCACTTTGCACATTTTCTTCCTCTTTTTTTTTTCTTCTATATGCCTCTCCGTCATGCCAAGAAAACTCTGTGTGGGCCATCCATCTCTATACAGAGGGAGGAGAGAGACCTTCAACTCCCCGCACACACCACGAGAGGTGACGAGCATCAGTCAAAAACAGGCCAGCGCTCTGTTTGCTGTTTGGCAGCATCAGGAAATGTGCTGTTCTGTTTGATGAGACGAGTGATGGCAGTGTCATATCACAGCTGGACAGAGATGAAGGTAAGCCACTTAATCAGCAGGAAGCTCGGCAAGGGCCTATGATGTCCTGGTTTTATTAAAATATACATATATCTTATTTACTTATAATAAGAATCTGTCATACAAAAGTTATGTTTAAATATAATTTAGATTACAATAAAAAATGTTTGCAAACTAACCCAATTCTTGGGACGATGGCCTTGAGGTCAAATTTGCAAAGTTAGCCCCATCTAGTGGACAAAAATAACATTGCATAATATGACAGAAACTAGAATTCGTTCAACAGGCCAGTGATAAAAATGTAAGTTTCTCATTTTCATGATTAAAACTCAAATTAGAATATCAGCATTAAACAATTACCTCTTTGAAAATACAGAAATGCCTCATGAGCAGACCAATACAAACTGTAGGTCTTTAAAAAGTTTTAATATTTAAAAATATATATATATTTCGGTTGATAGTTTTACTGCGAGCATGTGTTTTTTTTTTTCAATTGTGGCACCGTCTGTGGCCAGAGTGATACCTCATATCATTATATCTTCCATATGTTTATATTATATTATATTTTCTGACTAAAAACAGTGAGTATTTGCAGAAGCAGAAGTTAATTTAAAATAAAAGTTGTTTATCCAGAAAAGCTGATTGTCAGTGTTGATGCTAAAGGTCTCGTTTGCCTTTTTAACTCACGAAGAGACTTAACTATCGATGTCAATCTTTTTTATAACCAGATAAACACTCTTCACAGGAGGTTTATGTACTTGCACCACTACCCAGCTCAACTATTACATTTTTACACACAAAAGGTTCATGCTGAAACGTAAAGGACACTTCAGTGAGGTTAGCTCTTTCATCACTTTCACTTTTAAAAAGGCAGAATAAATGTGTTTAAGCATGTACAGTTCAAATATGACACTCATGCTGCCTACATCAACTCTCTTTATGAGTTTGTTGATGTGCTTTTCTCTCTTATCCTTTTCTCTTTCTGTGATATTAAAGTCATAAATAACCAGAATATCAGCACACATACTTCAATGATAACAGTCCAAATATCTCTTGTGGTGTAATAAGTATAAAGACAGTCCAATTTTGAATCATCTGGTCTGTTTTTTGTGGCTTTTTTGGGCTGTCAAGATCCTCCAGACAAGACACTTTTATTTCATATAGCATGTTTATAGGTAAACTTATTGTGTCTTTGAATTAAACAGATACTGTAAAGTAACATGAGCAGAACAATTAAAGTATTAAAACATAAATTAAATTTGATTGATAGTTTCAATGCTTTTTAATCAACTGAGGCTGTTGAAGAAAACCAAATTGAATGTCCTGTTTTATTTCATTGGTGATTGTGTAGCAAATAAACCCTCAGACAATACCCATTCTAGAGTAAGTTATTGAAATAGGGCAGATAGTGGGTGTATATATATATGTATCTGTTACTGTGTTTGTAATGTGAACCTGTAAGTGTATTTTAACACTTGACACTTGTAAGTATCCCATGAGGTCTTATAAGTAACGCTTTAATTTATTAATGCTTATGACATGGACCTTGATATAGAGTGTTACTGTAAATGGTACAAGATTATACTGTTTACTCACCTCTTAGCAGTGCTATTGCCATTGCGAAGTAAACAGAGGGGTGTGTTACAGTCTGTCCGCATGCATGCATACGTGGCTGTGTGTGTGAAGTGGTCACACACACAAACAAACAAACACATACAGAGGTTTCTGTCAGAGCTGCAGCTGTCACTCAGTCATGGCGCTCTTGAACCACTTGTTGCTCTTGTTCTGTTTAATGCCGCAGGTTCTAGGCACCCCTTTCTTCCCACCAACATGCTACTCCAAGGTGCTGAGCATGGCCCGGGAGCTCACGCAGTGGGCTGCGCACCTGAAGAGGGACTACGAAACTGTAAGTCTAAAGATTTGTTGTTCATTTTGTAGATTTAGGATCTACACTTATTGAAGTTTAACATCACAGCTGAGATTTGGAAAGGTGCTACTACGGTGCTGTATTTTGACATTTATATGTTTTACATTATTATAAAGGTTTTTGTTGAGAAAAGAGATTTCTTAGCTATTTATTGACTCGGTTAGATGTGTTAGTAACCAAAATATAAGAGATTAATTTAGTAATCTAAACCCTGTAAATTCATGTTTCTCATACTCCAGGTAAATCACCCCAAAATCTTTGAGTTCTTTAAATTTAAATATTAATTATCTAATTATCTGTCTGTTAATTTTCTGTCCAGGGTTACTGCATGGCCCACATGCCAGATCTCCACCTTGATGTCCACGTAAGCATGACTTTAATTTCCCTAAAACCTCTTTGTTTCATTGGAAAATGGTCCGATTCATCATGGTACATAGTTTGCATATTGAAATGTACTTTTTGTAAAGGTAACAGAAGTGTCAGATAAAGTTCATACTCTATTTAAAACACTCCGGTGTGAAGAACCAACATCAAATGAAACTGTGTTTTTTCATCTATACTTAAGGTCGTATAGTGAGTCGTGTGTTTTGAGCTCTTTGTCTGTTTTCAATACTTGACACAAACATCTCTGGTATTCTGACTGCAAACCTCGGCTGTAAATCAGGCTCAAGGACACTAATTACTGCTGCCTTGCTTCCACCAGAACGCGTGTGTGATGCACAAAATAAGGACCTACATCTCCCTGATAGAAGAGCTGCGACAGCGGCGCTGCGCTTACACCAGCGACGTGAGGAGGCTTGGGGGCAGTCTGAGACAGCTCTTCATCTTCATATCGCAGAAATGTCACGGGGTAAGAAAAAGGGAAACAATGAGGCCCGAATAATACAGTAAAGGTGAATCTATTTGTGCAATAAATCAGAGAGGTGGAGTGGTACACAAAAAAGTTAACAGTAGTCATGGATACTGTAACAAAAACAGGGGTTTGTCTTATATCAATTATTCTTCTGATTAAAGTGAAAGGACGGCATTTCTATTCTGCAAAGTGCTACAGCGTCTAACAAAAACTATGCCAAAGATGAAGTTGTGCAAAAAACTCCTTTTTAAAACTGTCATTCAGATTATTAGAAGTGGTTTTATAGCCAAAAAGTCCTGCTGTATCCTACTCTAAGATCGATGTTGTCTTCTGTGTGTCCGATGAATCAAGCTCCATTACTCTCAGATATATTAAAGCATCCAGTTGTTCATGTATTTTTAAATTAAACGTAACCAAAGATCCACTCCAGTGGTGAAGTCACCACAGTCAGCAGAGAAAAAGAGAGAATAAACTAACTCTGATGAGCCGTGTTCCAACTGTCCGCTGGTGGGACACTCAGTGGGTCATTTCACAGGATTAAACAGGCTTTATGAAGCAGATTATGGAAAACATTCAGTCCTCTGTGGATTTTTGATCCTCTGCACCTGAACGTCATGTCAGGCACATCTGGGTTTATGTGTAGTTTACTAAAACAGACTCATATGACCTCTTTGGGCAGACCAGGTCGCAGTGTCTGCAAAAAGGCCTCATTTAATTCACTCTCAGGTCAATTGAAGTATTTTTTTTGTGGATGTGCTTGCACTTTTACTACTTTGGAACATGAATTTGAAATTTTAGCTAATTGCTCAAAACATGACGTGTTTTATTAAATAATTTCTCTTCCATCTCTTTTTTTACAGGACTTGGTGTTCACCATCTATGACTGTGCTGCACTGGAGGGCTGACATAATGGAGGGATGTCATCACTTCTCCTCTAGCTACTCTTACAGCATCCAAAGTTACAACACCTACATATATATATAACAGATAAATGTATTGCTACTTCATATTTTAATCTTTTTTATAATACTTATCACCAAATATATGCAATGTTTAATGACCGAGGGTTGATTTCATATAAATAAACTTAATAAAGTGCCTTTTGTTCCTCTCATTTAACACAATGTTCATATAAAACTGCAGCTTCCATCTTTTTCGCTGAGGTGAAGCAGAAATGTCATATACCAAAGGTTGTTGTAAGTTGAATCATGGTTATCACAACTGCACAGCTCATTAAAAATGACCGTACTAAAGTAATCAGTCTGATGGTGACTCCACAAACAGACAAAGGGATACACTGATAAATGTCTAGAAGTAGGAGAGCTGCCAAATTTGCCCAGTTATATTTTCCAAACCATTTACATGGGTCAGTACCAAACCTGTTAGCAAGACAAGCATGACATAACCTCATTACCACCAATTTTCCTCCCAATTATTGGTATTTAAGCTGCTAATCGTTTGACCAATCCTTTCATAGAACTCAGAGAGAAAATGACTCATGCAAATGAGTTATTAAATGAAGGTCAATGAGTTTCACTCTGAAGAGCCTCGTGCTGTCTGGAGGGAAATGTTAACTGAAGTTCGCTGAAACATTTTTTGAAATTCAATATTTTAAAATGTCACTATCGTGAAAAATCAGAGACCAATTAACATTTATCTGAATGGCATTCAACTCTTTCTTCAAACTACGCACATCTTCCCACTTCTATCGAAGAGTCCAGCTGTCGATAATAAAATGACTATACATTAGATTAGTTCCTCCTCTGTAGCTCATGATTTTGCAATAAAAACCAAGAAGATCTTTGTTGGTTAGTTTGGACACTAAAAAAGACTCATTTAAAAGGATAAAAGTGATCCAACATAGATGAATAACAACTAAGAAAGATCAGTTCAGACTATATGTAACTTTGTATATTTTATATTTTCTGCCAATAAATGACGTTTATTAGAAAATACAGGGTAACTGGAGAGTGATAATCCATGGTTAACTAACAAACCTGCAAGCTAACCACAAAATCTTCTTCTGCTGATGCATAATGTTGTAAATTTGTAACATCTTCCAAAGAAATTATGTGATATTTTAAAACCAACAAGTTCATACATCAATTACCTGCATCAGTAGTAGGGCAGAGTGGGGTAAGATGAGCCATCTTTCATATTTCGGATCACTACATCAAGACGATCATAGTTTTGTCTCTAACTAGTGTACATGCATTTATTTCAAGATGTTGGTCATCCCTGCAAACCAACAGAATGAGTGTAAACATAACTGTCTTGATAATATAGCATGCCAAAAACAGTGGTCCCTTATGGTCAACTTACCCTGTGTATGGGGTAAGTTGAGCCGTATCCCTACTACTCCCCCACTCTCCACCCCAGCCCCTTCCTCACCTTCTCTCTCCCTAAATAACAGTCACTTCTTCACATTCATGTGTATTTTTATCTATTATACACTATTCAACTGGTACAATAATTCTTTTATTATTGTTGCATATAACCGTTAAAAACCTGCTCTGTAAAAAGACATTTTAACATGAGAATGTCTTAAAGTGATCCAGAACATTCACAGCTGTATTTTTGAAAAGAAAATTAAAACATTTTAACAACCTGAACTGAAACTCTGATCCTCTCATCAGACTCCTTTACTTTCTCCTTGACTCAACTTACCCCAGAACTTTAGCTCTCAGCTAAAATGGTGGACTTTTATTTTAGGTTTTTGACCTCATGTTGTAGCTCATAGATACCACAACTGATGTATAAAATAAATTTAAAATGATCTTTTTTTGGTCTGAACACAATTCTAATAAAACTTATGACAGACTAAATTCACTTTCAAGAGTGAAATATTATTTTTTTTTGGTAAATAAATGTCTAACCCCTTCACCCGTGTACTTCTAACCTTCACAGACTCCCTGAATTGATGCCCATCTCCTAAATATTTGATGATATGATCAATTCTTTTACCATTTCCAAGCAACAGGGGGTGGCTCAACTTACCCTTTGGCTCAACTTACCCCACTCTCCCCTATCTGAGAAGTGAAAAACATTGAAATCCCTGCCCCAGCATGTGTCTCTCTGGCTGACAGGTACTGAGATGATTGTATCGCTAGAGGGCGCCGAAACTCTGCAAGTGTAAGCGAACTGAGGCAGTGAGCGCTTAATTCAATACAGACACTAAAATAAAAACATTGCAGCAATATCAAGGATACGTTCACATTTTGATTTACAATATTCATGATACAGGATTACATGAACCATCACTCAGAGTCTGGACTGTTTTGGTCTGGTTGTAAAGTCATTAAAAGTAAACTCCTGGACATTACAAAGACGTAGATTTAAGAACAGAAAGAAATTAGAGTCATAAATATATCTGAATGAGATCGTTTCACAGAGCTCCAATTAAAGTGCAGTCTTTCAGATCATGTCCCAGCTGTTCTGGTGTCAGCGGACCCGCCCAGCTCAGACCCGGACATGAAGTCCGTGTGCCTCAGGAGCGCAGCTGTGACGACGACTCTGCTCTTTCAAAGAAACTACATTTCCATGACGGCAGTGGGCGGGCTGTTGAGTAACGAGGTGGGGCTCTTTTCGCACACTTTGAAGCAACAAGTTGCACTGACAGAGCAACAGACAGGCAAGAGGGCAAGAGGATACTCCATCGTGTTTGAGCGGCAGGTGGTCACCGCGCGTCCACGACTCACCGCAGACTGTGAATGGGATTACGACCGCAGAGCCTTCAGAGACCACTCTTTGAGATGGACGGAGTAAAATAAGTTCTTTAGGTTCACTGAGAATACTTTTTAGAAGAAAGGGGAGATTGCCAGATAAGTAGTTTAGGTTTTTTCTTTTGCACTGTCCACGCGTTTCTGCGTGCGTAATGCTCTAAGCGCAGAGTCCTTCCATCCTGTTCTTTTTTTTTAGTTTGATAGGTTTTTGACGCGTTGTTAAAAATGGCACTTGTTAGATTCAGTAAAATCTTCCGTCTGCCCACTATTGAGATCAAAAAGAAAGTCAAACAGTACGAGCACGTCCACCGGGACATCAACCCGAACGACATATGGGAGATAATCGGAGAGCTGGGCGACGGCGCGTTTGGGAAGGTCTACAAGGTGAGTGAGACTCCAGGAACACGAGGCACCTGCAGCTTAGACCACCACTTTAACCAAAGATCTTTTATAAGATCTTCATTCAGACAAATGTTATCGACTGTTCACTTCATTAAGACAATGTCCACATGTTGATCTTCTCTACACAAACTCTTTTTTAAGATTCTGGACTACATTATGATTTATTGCTTCACCTCGAATATAAAGTCGTTTTTTTATTTAGATGCACATGTCTTCTACGCTTTAACTTGGTCTAAAGTTTTCACTACTTCTCCCCACCTGTTTCTGCTTCACCATCCCAGCATTGTTGAGATTATGAGTGATATTTCAACAATGCTGTTGGTTCAGTTTTGAAAGTGTAAAACAAACTCAGGTAGTCATAATACTGTGGCTCTGGGTGTCATAGAAGTGTTTACTTTATGTAGCAGTGACAAGTGCCTGACTTTTTCAGACAGATACACATTTATTGTTCTCATATTTGGTCAAAATGGTCAATTATTCCCATGAGGTTACCAAAGTACTGTTTTAACATAGGTGGAAAAAGTACTTAAATGCTCTACCCAAAAGTACAGGTACTTTGGTGACATTTCACTTAAGTAGAAGTAAAAGAAGTAAACTCATCTGTTAATTTAGGCAAGTAAAAGTACTTTCTTGAACTTAACTGAAAGTATGAAGTCAGCAAAGACTGCTCAGTCCACAGGGTGTGCCATAATTGGTATAGACTTAAAGTTGCTTACAGGAGCTTTAAGTAAAGCAGTAGTCCTGATTTTGAAGAGTACTTTGAGAAGTATGAGTGCAAAAAACAGCTACTCAGTTACACTAACACGAAGAAGTGTACTCTTTATTTTCAACTCTTTGATATTCCCAATTTCTGTGCTTTTAAACAGCCTTTTGTACAAAGTTATGATCCCCTACATTCCACAAAATAAGCCACAGTAACTTGAATGTCTGTTATTTGAGGAAAATTTCAATTAATTCTCCTTTTAATAGTTAAAGTAAACATGAAAACATTGTGATATGAACACAAGAGATGAATTCAGGTCTTGTATTCAGCCTGCTAGCTGCACATCGAAGGTACTATCAGACGAGAGAGTTTGGAAAAATCCCCCCTCACTCCTCGCTGTGAGTCCAGCGTGAAGCAGCCGCAGTGTCACTAAAAGCTCTCTTCATCAGTCCTGTCTGCTCCTCTCAGACCTCAGCAGCAGCAGCAGCACTTTTGGCTCTGAGCAGTTTTTAATCAGGATGTGTTGGCTGCTCAGTCCTCTCTGTGCAGCACCGTACAGTCACTCTGTGTGTGCACCGCCTGCTGCAGCACAGTGAGAGTCTTTGACACTTCAGGGGCCTCAGTGGAAGAAATGATGCTTTACCAGAACAGAAAATGCAGTCTTTTTAGACCCCACCTTGTTTAGGTATTTTGTTTTCACTGGACTGGGTGCATGAAGTTTGAAAAGAAACTCTAGTATATACTCCTAAAAACTCTGAATTAGCTCCATGCAGGGAAAGAGAAACTAACTTTTGCATTTGGATGAATTGCTTTAACTTTTTCAGAGTTTCTTTAAAACTCTGTCAGCTGTCCTGAGTTCTTTTAACCTTTTTCCAGATTAAAAGGAGCAGCTGATTTATGTGCATTGCTCTGGCAGCCGTCATTACCCTTGGCAAGCTTACCGAACTGTTGCATATCTCCACGATGTTTGCACTTCCCTATACAAATGTCAAGCCTTTGCTTTGGCTCCTGTTTCCTTCTCTTAAGTGGTTTGAGGGAGGACAGATCCACACCTGCATGTGTCAGATAGAGCAGAGTGGGAGAGTTAGGGAGGCAGAGTGGGAGCAAATGACAGCCAAGACAGGAAGTCGTGGGACTTCATCGGGGGGGGACAGCTTCTGAACCTCAGGGTAATCGGCTCGTCTGTGGGAGGAGGAGAGAGGCCTCAAGTGGTGAATCGCACATGTGTTTTTTTCCGTCGTTAAAGTGTTTGACAGAGCAAACATGAGAGAGTCCAAGTCAAGTGGAATCAGCCTATCAGGGGCGGGGGTCAGATAGGAGCAGAGTAACAGTACAGATGTGTCCTGGTGAAGTGATGAGTTGATCATTTTGTACATGTGCTAAAGGCCGCTGCTCTGGAAGCTCCAACATCTGTCCATGACATCAAGAGCTGTCCTCTTTATTCACTCGGTGTTCGGTTCAGAGTTAAATATGCTTCTGTCAAAATGACTCTCTAAAGATTAGAGTCACTGTGAGGAGATTACAAACTCTTACAGGAAGTGTCGAGCACAATTCAAGCTGCGCTGTTTCATATCATGAGAGGATTGTGAGGGAAAGGTCTCTCAGAAAAGTTATATAATCTCTCAGTTATTATCAGCTGTTTTTATTGTAGTGTCCCTCCCTGAGTGAGTGTTATAGCTCATGGTATATGACAGGTGCAAAGTCTTTTTTTCAGTAATGTTTCTCTAATCAATGTCTTAAAAAAAGGACAGTTGAATGTCTCAGATTTTCTAACCTATTTACAAAAATTGTTTGATTTTCTTCAAGCTCCACTGAGAAGCTTTTTAAAATGACTTTATGTGACGTACAGAAACAAACAAGACAGGTTATTTTTATAATATGGTTTTTAATACCAGTAATTTTTTCGAGGGGGTAGGTGTCAGCCGGGCAGCTGAGGAAACGGATGTTTTTTTTAAACATATTTTCTTTGTTTTTTGTATTCATACAACAACATCCAACAATTGAAATGTATGGCAGTATGAATAATACAGAAGAGGTAAATATGTAAAATATCCTGATAAAATCAATAACTGTAAAGCTGAATTGAACCAACAAGTTAGTCAAAAATTACTGAGAAATAAATAATAAATACATAAATAGATTAAAAAAAATGAAACAAGCTGTTTTGACATTTACATAAAAATCCACTGTAAATCATTTGGAGTCGGTGGGATTTGATATTTTGTCATGAGACGATTTACCGACAAGGTCACCAGAATTGACCCAAACTGAAAGGTCCTTACAGGAGCTTTAATCTCACATTTAGGATGTTAAGAGTTGATTTGATCTCCTGATTAAAGGTGGGGTAGGCAGGATTCTGTGAAAATACATATTTATTTGTGGCGTATATACAAAAAAGATTTAATATCAGTGAATAGCTATTAGTTATTGATGACATTTGGTAACATTATGATATCGCTGTGATTTCTTATGTCTGTGTAGTCAACACTTTAACATTTTTGAGTGGCCCGCTCTTTCTGACTGTAAACAAAGCTATTTTCCGCCTCCCCCAAGCTGATTGGTTGTGAGACAGACGCTGCTCCCCCGTGTCGTTCACGAGCCCAAACAAAGTTAGCGTGCTACAATATCTGACAGTAGAAACCAACCAGAAAAGTACAGAAAATTGTCTGAATCCTCCTTTGACCACGACTGCCGACTCAAGCAAGAAAACTAAGCAAATGCCACAGACTCTAATAAGTCTGTGGCTTAACGGGCGCTTAAAGAGCCGGGCAAGAGCTAAAAAGCCGGGTCAACATCAGCATAAACGATGGGGGACGCTTCGGGATCTTACAGACCCCGTAACCTTTCTGCTGGACAGGTAAACCGCTTTAACAAAGTAAGACAAGTGTCTGTAACAGAAGTGTTTCTTGTCAAACGGGACCTGCTGTGTGTTGTAGCGCCGCTAAACTGTTGACCTCGGGTCCTGGACTATGTCACTTTATCTTAGTTGTAGAAGTCCTGCAAACATTGTGTTTGCTGGTAGTCTGTTGGCATCTACAGTAGCACCAATGCTGTTTACTTTCACGTTGACTGGGCCCCATTTGTAATTATCTGAAGTATTTATCTGCATTATATCTGAATTGAATTGGAACAATATGAGCGAGCAGGAGCGTCTGTTTGTGGGCGGGGATTTCTGGAGCAGAGAGGAGGAGCTGAGGGAAAAACTGGTTGGGAGGGGTAGAGTTTACATTCAAGATTTCTCCCAAAAATTGGCACTTCCTCAGATCCCGCCTACCCCACCTTTTAAAACAAAACTGTTTCCTGATTGACTCGTCTGAAGTTAAGGAAACACTCTGAAGTCTACAGAAAGTCTAAAATTGAATGGTTAGTGTGACAAAAGTGTGACTTTAAAGCTCCTGTGACAGAAGTTTCTTTGATTTCGGCGCCCCCTGTTTATCCTCCAGGTGTCAAACACAAGCGTTGACAGGCTTTAGAAATTACAACATACAAATCATCTGTCTTCTTCCTGATGGACTGGTTTGCTTTTGTAGGTTAAAGCATCAGCATGAATTTCCTCTTGTTGTGTAACCAGTTAAAAACTCCCCAGGGAGGCTTTAACTTGGCACCAAAACCACAGAGAAAATGAATGCAGTGAATCTGTCAGTAGAGGAAACTCATCATGTGAAAGAGCTGCACAGAAGCTGACCACGTGTGCATACAAGCTGTTGTTGACATTCTCAAGTTTTCTGTGTCAGAGGGTTACGGTATCACTGCCCATTAGTGTCACACTGATGGACTGGAGAGTTAAAGACCGAAAAGGAGGTTTTAAAGCTATGAATATCTTTCAGGATTTGTTTGGCTCAGAAATCCAATTCAGAAGCGAACTTTCCCTCCTGGACTAAAAAAAAACAGGGTCAAAATTCTGACTGGTTTTGCTCGAGTTAAGCTCAAAGTGAATATGTCAGGGATTTACAGCATAATCACTTCTTTCCAAGTACCACTCTGAGCTTTAAATTGCAGCTTTTGGTTTCTCTTTCCCTGTCGGGTCTTCACTCTCACCCCATAACTTTTTTTTTTTATCACGCTCTCTCTTTCTTCTTTCCAGTCCTGACAGCACATTGTGTCACTTCCTGTCTCTTCAGTGTGTCACAAGATGTTGTCTTTGTTTTGATCGCGTCTGTCTGTCTGTGCGTGCGTGCGTGCGTGCGCTTGTTAGAAAGAGACGGCGTGCGTGTGAAGGTGTGAGTGCAGCTGAAGCGTAAAAACAGAGGAGCTGCATGGTTCCTCTCACTAATTAATGGCCCACGTGCCGCTGAGCGCATTGCCCTGCTGCCGCCGCTGAAACATCTCCATAGACACGCTTACGCCGTGAGGTTACGCTCCATCAAACTCCCTTTGTGGGGTGAAAACCGCAGTGGAGCTTATCGCTATTAGTCCCTAATAGAAAGACAGTGTGCTTGACGTGGGCTTTAACTGTGCTGGAACTGTTTGTGCACTGCTGTACTGATAAAAGCGCACTAACAGTTCCAGCTGCCATCTAACACCATTCAGTGAGGCTGAAACAATCTAATAGGGACCTTTTTTAGCAAACTTTTCTCCTTTAAAATGGAAAGTTATCTCAAGACTGGAAGTGCAAAGTTCACCATCAAGTGTGAGCTCATGTCCCTTTCTGGCACAGATAAAGATATTTACTTCCAGGCCAGAGTTGATGAGAAACCTTGTTGCTTGGAGCACATATCAGATAGCAGATGGCAGATGGTAGATGGTAGAAGGAGTGACAGGATTATGGAAAAATCACTCTGGACATGATTATCCTCTTCAGTCAAGTGAAAGATAAAACACTGTGGGTGTCAAATGAGAGGAGGAAGAAGAAGAGGAAGAGGAGGAGGAAGGGGGCAAAGAGTCTTAACATCTTACCACAACCACAAAGTTCGTGTGAAAAGTTCTCGTCTTAATTCAGACACATGGTAGTGACGCAGAGTCGTCACTTTACCAGGATGTTCATCAGAGCTGCTGAAAGTCTAATCTGGAGGAACAGCCGGGCTGACAGCAACTGATAGGAGCCGCTACGCAATGGGCGTGGCCTAAACATGCTGGAAGTCCCCATGAATGTTGAGATGATGGTGATACTTTTGCTTGGCCTTCAGTGTACACAAGTATCTGTCAGCAAAGACAAGCCTGAGATTACACAGAGGTTAAAGACTAGAACCCATGAAGTAGCCATATTTTGTACCTATTTTAAGTAAGGCCCGACCGATATGGAATTTTTGGGGCCGATGCCGATATTGATCATTAGTGGGGGGAGATCTGATTACTAATCAATCCGCTGATTCTAAAAAATTTTTTTATTAAGTTATAAAAAATGTATATACTGTAAATATATCTATAATATACTTTAAACTGTAGATATAGACCGACTGATCAAACTCGGACCAGAAAAGCGGTAAACCGTGAGCCCTCCAATCTGCTGCTACTTCTTTGCAAGCTTTACACAGGAAGCGGGTCTCCTCTGTGGTGGGATTGATGTTTTGTGTTGGTGCGTGCGGCCTTGAGTATGTGCGAGTGGCTGAAGAAAGCAGTGAAAGTGTGTCTTTTTTTGTTTTACTGCTCTCAGAGGCCTGTGCTGATTTCCTGCCTCTCTGACCTTCTTTGTGCGTTTGATTTTGTCCACTTCAAGGTTTTGATTGTGTAACATTGTGCAGTGTTGTTGATCAAGGCTTTCACATCTGGAAGTGACTTCTGTCTAGATCTGAGGTTTAGAGTCTGCGTGTATTTAACTTAGCAAATTTTAGTGTGTAAATTTATGCTGTTTAAGATATTTTTATCAAAAAAAAGAAACCTTATTTTTCTTGTCGCATTAATTTATCTTGTGAATAACTTTTTTTGTGTGACTCTTGCACCTCTTTAAGACAAAGTGATGCTGCAACCTTAAAGCTCCTGTGAGAAACTTTCTGTCTGCGTTGACTTTTGCAACCCTAGTGGACAAAGTTTGAACTCTTCTATCAATGTTGATTTCTTATCACAAAAAAATCTCCCCTTGTTGTTTTTGTACATGAAAATGATCTGAGCTCCAGTAAAAGAGACTGAGACTGTTTTTTCAGCCACTGGTCCTTTTTGTGCTTTCGTAGCCCATAAAGAGGTATCTGTAGTTAACATTAGACTGCCCTGTTCTTACCACTCCCCAAAAAAGTGGGTGATTTTCAGTCGACTAGCATGTCTGTACTAAAAAAAATCTGAGGTTTTCAGTTTGTTATCACTGAAAACAGAAAACCCTCAAACAGTTCCCTTATCCGTACAATTAATAGCAACAAGCTGCAAAGTTAAAACAATATAAATCTGCCATAAACTTCTGAAATTTCTTCTTTTGACAGCTGCTTCAGTATGTTTTTGTTCCCTTTTTTCCATCAACAATGGTTTCGTCAGGTGGTAAGGACACAAACCACATGTTGGCATGAAAGTATCACACCCATTTTTAACACCATGTGCGCACATGAATTCATGCTGCGCTGGAGTTTCATAACACCAACACAGTCACATGTATTTTATACAAACCATTAAAATGTTGCATAATAATTTACACAATAAAACTACAAAAGTAAATGGATGTAAATGTAGCTGTAAAAGCACATGCCCCTCTTTTTTCATGTTATTCAAAAAAGAAAAAAGGAAAGCCACAACACAACAGAAAGTCACAGCAGGGCTGCAGTGGAATGCATTCACCAAATTAATGCATTAATGTGTTTTCCCCTAATTCTTGCTTGTTAATTCTTGTGCATTTATATTCTTTAAAATAAATCATCCCTCAGGAAAACAAAAAAGAAAATGTGTGTTGAATCAAGGTCTTACTTTTTGGCCATAGTGGTTTGTTACAGCACCTGCAACCTCCACAAAGAACACAAGGAACTTTTTGTGTTGCCTGATAAACAAAATTCAGGGCAAAATAGACTTGACAGTTACTTTTTTTCCATGAAGTGAAAGCACTGTAATAATTAAAGCCTGAAAATGATCAAATTGTGTCCTCTCTTTGGGAAACTTTAATAGTTGGTCAAGAGTTGGACACAGTTAGTTTTTTTGTGAATGAATCAAAGTGAAACTGCAAAACTTAAGAGGTCAAATGTGACATTTCCTCATCTGTGAGAGAGTTACACCCTCTTGGATGGTATTAAAAGTTACTTTTTCACTAAGCCCAGCACTTTCTGTGCCATGTGGCTGTCTGACATGTCCTTCTTGTGCACCTTGTTCCTCTGAATGAGACATCATCATCATCATCATCTCCACAGGCGCCTGCTGTCAGAGCTGAGCTTTTTATTAGCTGCCGTCATTATGCAGGAGCTGAGGACCACATTCCTGTTCACAGACACACGGGGAGAGCTGACAGAGGAGGGGAGGATTTAAAGGTTTACGACGGGGCAAAGGTCTTACACATACACATTCCCCTTAGAGGGAGGTGTGTGTGTTTGCAGGGACAGTAACAAAGCGTACATGTGGTATATTCGTTCAACCTGGAGGTGATTGACCCCAAGGAAAGTTAACTGTTTTCAGATCCAGGAGGTCATCTGGTTTGGTTACACGCTGATTTATCATTTGGTTCTGCACTTTTTAAGCACACAGACACACACTGTATTCATCTAAACCAGCACAGAAACAGTGTTCAACATTTTATTACCGTCTTGATTGATTTTGAAAAGCCTGTTTGCATAGTAAATGATTCTCACACATGCGGCAGGGAGCCTCTCCTTTCTGTGCGTGTTTCTGTGTGTGTGTTTACCCAGTCAGGCAGTACAGTGTTTGTGTACCAACACACGGGTCACTAACATCTGCTTTTCTCTGAGCAGGCCGACGCTCAGCTTGTCGGTCATGGATTATGTCCTGCAGACGAACTGTTACTGAAAGCAGATGGGTAAATATACATGACAGATGGAGGGGGGGAGATGAACAGGCAGAACGGGGATGACAGACAAATTTGGTGTGGGAGACAAAAACTAGACAGTGTGACGATAAAGGAGGCAAGAGAGCGAGGTGTAGAGGTGTACTGTAAGTGTGCTGCAGCTGTGGGATTAAAAACAGGGTGTCGGATCGTTGTACAGAGATGTTTACAAACACATACAGATGAATAACAGCTTGAAAAGTTTTAAGAGAAACACGCACAAAAGTACAGAGATGTGTGCAATGAGCAAAATATTCATGTTTTCTTCTTTATGAGCAAAATCAATCATTAAACACCCAAACTATAATATTCCCAGGGTGCTGTTTGGTTTAGCACACACCCTATATTCAGAGGCTGATCCTCGCCACAGCGGTTACTGGCTCGACTCCCTGCCACAACCTTTTGCTGCATGTCTCTACTTCCTGAGGTTTTCTGTCTCTCCTCAGCTGTAATATCAAATAACGGCAGAAATATCTCCAGATTGTGTTTATCTATATGTTGGATATCTGCTTTTGAACCCAACCCAGCTAAATCTGGAGACTGTCGCTTTAAAGCTGTAGACGCGGTTATGATAGTGAGGAGTCAGGGGATAAAGAGAGGTGAGGCATTGTTTTCTTTTGGGATGACTACAGCAGCTACAGTATGAAGTCAGCTGTGTGCCTGTTTTTTATTGGCCCTGGCATTGTCAAGTATCACTGTTGCGTAATTTGTGGGATATGAGTTAAGCTCTACTTGTCTTCTCTGTCTCGACCTTTGAGTTTAACTTGTCGGACTTTCAGCGACTGGTTGTTGTTGTTGTGAAAGAAACGCATGATGTCCTCTCCTTGAATCATTTCCTCCAGTGGAGACACACACGTCCCCACATCCACACACACTTCTGCTTCTTCTTGATGTCCTGCCAGTTTGTAGGAAGCCCGAGGTCCCATGTGAGGCACAATAAGGCGTCCCAGTGTAATTTCCTCTCCGTGCAGTGTATATAGCTGTTAAGGTGCACACGTAAACAAACACACGTTTGCAGACTACACTCCAGGACCCTCATTGACGTAACACATTCCACACTGCGCAAAAAAATGCACCCCATGTAAATGCAGGAGTTCACTCAGTCTTCCATCTTTGTCCACTTTCAAAACCATCTGAGGGCCAGGGGCACATTCCTCAGCTGTGTTCCCACTGAGGTTTAAAGGTGTGTGTGTGTGTGTGTGTGTGTGTGTGTGTGTGTGTGTGTGTGTGTGTGTGTGTGTGTGTGTGTGTGTGTGTGTGTGTGTGTGAGAATGTCCTTGTGAGGCTGGGTCAGAGAGCAGGCCGTTTAAGAAGTTAAGACTGAAACAACAGAAACACATGAGTATCATACTTAATTTGCTTATAGTTTAGGCTTAACTTTCAACTGTAAGTGGGAGACCAATGAGTTATGTTCTTTTTTTGATGTGTTTGTTGGCATCCAGATTATTCTTGTCGCAATGAAAACAGTTGAAAACATAAGATATTAACATTATTTATAGTGTCCTTAACCATGAATACTTCGCCTACTTTGACTACAAACCCAGCCTTTAGCTGCAAATGTTCTTCCAAATAAGATCCCGCAGAGCGAGTGTGTGGAGCCATGATAGTGTTAGTACAGGAGGGCGGCAGGCTGACATGTTAGCAGGGAAGTGAAAGTGTCTGGTGTCTCAATGTTTACTGTCGAGACTTGTTAACCGACTGACTGATGGTTTGATGGCAGGAGGAGACGTCCTGTTGACTCACAGTGTGAGCTGCTCTGGTGGTGGTGAGGGGGCTCTGCTTCTCTAGAGCTCTGTTTGACAAAAGCACACACACACACACACACACACACACACACACACACACACACATAGTTTTAGCTAACTGAGATGAGTTCGAGACTACCCTGCTCTGTTTATTCAGATGTTTTCCCACAGCCCCTTTAAGGCGTGGAGGCATCAGACCCCACCAGGCTGTTTAGTCTGCCGTGTATGTATAAGCCAGTGGGTTGATGTGCACTTGCATGCACACAGGCTCACAGTAGTGTCTTCCCCATTATTACTCTTTATGTAATATCATTACTCAGACTAGTGCTGGACGATAATTCGATAACAATATATATCGATCGATAGACGTGTGGAGCGATAGAAAAAAAACGGGTCGATAAAAAGTTCGATAGAAAAACACAGTTTCCCTTTCTTTTTCATCATAGCCTATCATGTAGCTTTTACTACAGTCATTACTTCCTCCCAACCAATCACAAACGCAGACCCAGGTACGCTACGGCACCAAGCCCAGCCCCTATCAAACCACAACAGACAGCACGTGTATTAGAAATAATGTAACAGCAAGGAGAAGCGGAGGAAATTGTCCCGAAAAAAGGTTTCAGTAGTTCACCAACATGGCAATGTTTTGGTTTTTAGAAGTCTGACAAAAAGCAAACAGCGGTCGTTTGCAAAATTTGCAGAGAATTAGTAAAAACCAAGTCCGGTAACACAACCAACTTGTTTTACCATCTAAACCGACCGGTCGCACCCGCAGGAGTACGAGCTGTGTCGGCCGCGCCGCGGCTCCACGTCGTCGTCGGAGGAATCCTCTGGAACCGCTGTTAGCACCAGCACAAAGCAAGTGAAGCAGACCAAACTGGACTTCGTTTCTTGCCAAAATACGACAAAGCGCCCAAGCGGCATAAGGACATCACCCATGCTGTAACATGCTCCATAGCGAGGGACATACTGCCAATAACTACCGTTGAAAAGCCTGGCTTCGACCAGCTTCTAGCCACTCTCGACCCGCGATATGAAGTGCCCGGCCGCAAGTATTTCTCAAACACAGCGCTTCAGGCATGAAAACGGGTCAGGGGTTGAAAAGGTGAGAAGGGTGCGGAGGAAATACGCTCCGGTGTAGCTTCTTAAAGTGGAAGAAAATGAGCTCATATTTTACAAAGACGCGAGTATTTGGATCATGGCTACTAGCAGGGGGGGCATTCGGCAGGGGTGCATTCTACGACACAACACCGGCGTGGATAAGTCCTGCTTCTCGTGCTTAGTTTGTTTAATAAGTCAATCACATGATAATTAAAAAAAATAAATCTCCCGACCCCAGGAGAAATATTTCAGTGTTCAGACACCAGGCTGTGGGCAGTTTCCCACACAGTTAAAACTGGTAGTATGCTATTCCCACCTAAAGCTATTCTGTTTATTTATATATTTGTTTGTTTTGTTTATTTTCATCAAAAGACTATTTAAATATTTATTTATCAGATTTTCTGGTCACTTTAGTCTTTATGTTTGTCAGTATTTACTGACGTCACTCAGGCCACTTAAGTTGATTTATTTTTTTTTTAAGTTCTTTTTAAAAAAAACTTTCAGTTGTGGTAAAAAAAAAAAAGGTGGTTGAATAAAGGTTTGAATTTGAATTCAGTGCTTGTGTGTTCTTTATTAAAAGTAGGTCATTAAGCAATAGCATAAAACATCCAGGGCTGCAATTAAAATATATGTTAAATAATTATAATAATTATATCGATAATTATCGATATCGATCAATATGATTTATTTTTTATCGATATGCTTTTTTTCTATATCGTCCAGGCCTAACTCAGACAAGCTTTCTCATTCTTGTGCCAGCTCTGACTTTCAGTAACACTGCATGTGTTAACTGACAATAACTTGTTTTATTTTTTTAATGTTATTATAGTTATATTATTTTTTCAAATTATTTTTTTTAATTACATTTAATTGAACTTTACTGTATTAAATGTTATTAAATTTATTTTATTGACTTAATGAATTTTTTAATTCAAGGTTTTTGGTATTATTAGATTTTAATTTTATTTTTTTATTATTATTAGATTTTTTTATTTTAGTTATATTATTTAGGTTTATTCTTATCTAATTAATATAAACTGTACTATGATAAATGTAATTTATTTCAATTTATTTTATTAAGTTAATTTTTTAAAGTTTTTTTACATGATTAGATTTTTATTTTATTTGTTTTATTTATTGTATTTTGTTTGATTTTAATTCATATTATTTTATTGTTTTGCATTCAATTTAATTTAATTATTTTAATGTATATTTTATTTCAATTAAATTTAAATCAATTTTATATTATTTTCTATTTTATTATATTTTATTTTATCTTATTTATTTCTTCTTATTGATTCATATGATTAATTCATAAAAGGAAGGTGTAAATTTGAAGCCGTTATGTTATCATTTCATGTGTTCTTCTAGAGTTGGCTTAATGTTCGTTTTCATCTGCAGCTCATTAACAGGACACATTTCAAACATTCATAGTCTTAAAACACTGCAGTTATTATAAAAGACACAGAAGACAGAATGAAACACAAAATGCAAATGATAAAAAAGGTTAAAAACACACACAGCCACGGAGCTGAAGAGCTTTCAGCAGATTTATAAGTTTGACATTAAAGCTTTAGATAGACCAACACTGCTCTTCAGATGTTTCATTTTCTTTCAATACTGGGTTCATTTTATCATAAATGTTTTTTTTTTTACTATAATGCAGCATGAATCACCCCCCCCTCTTATCTTTGTTCCTAACTCTGATTTCAGTCACAGCTTATCTGGGGCTGGCCCTGCTCCTGCACTCACAGTTTTGCTCACAGACAAACTCTTATGTCACATTTACCTACAAATCCCATCAGTCAGCACTGAGACTTTCAGCCTGTTACACAAAGTAAAGAACATCTTGTGTTTCTTGTTCCTGTCCTTCACTCTTGTTCTGGAAAGCATCAAAAACACTCAGAGTGACTCAAAGCACAATCTCCACGTTCATGTTTAGTTCCTTGCATTACTCAGGATTTCGAGGAATTCCTGCGTCTCTGTGTGTGTCCTTGTCGAGCCACTCTGATGCTTGAAGGTTTTTGTGGTTCCTCCTTCTCTGCAGTTACTCAAAGAGGGTGTAGTTTCCTGTTTTGAATCCAAATGTTAGTTAGTCAACATTTTAATTGCTATGCTGCGTTTCTCGACATTTTGGATTCCCTTTAGTTACAGTCTGGGTGGCAGGATGTATGGCTTTGTGATGTGCACATGCAAAAAGCACAGTAAACTTCTGCATTATGGTCACATCGTGTCGCATTAGGAGTCTGCACGGAGATTTGTATTAGTAGTCTGACTTTCAGTGACACTTGACAGTATCAACACACCCGGTTCACTTCACACAGACACGCCCGTTATCACTCATATGATTTGTTTGTTGTGCGCCTAAAATGTGAAACTTCTTAGTTTAGGTGCTCTCAAGATTTGATCTATTCTAACTGGCAAAATAAGACGTAGATAATAAAAAAGTGGAGGTAGATTGTACCATCCTTTTACGTACCGGAATCTAATAAAGATTTTCTGTTTTTCAGGCCAGAAACAAAGAGACAGGAGTCCTCGCTGCAGCCAAACAGATCGATACTAAAAGCGAAGAGGAGCTGGAGGACTACATGGTGGAAATCGACATCCTGGCAAAATGTGACCACCGCTACATCGTCAAGCTTCTCGATGCATTTTACCATGACAACAAACTGTGGGTAGGTACCGCAGACTTTTGGTTTAAGCGACTTATTTTAAATGCAAACCACAGGCTTGTTCGTTCCTCTCTTTCTTTTTCATCTCACAAACAAGTCTGCAAACAAAATATGCATGAAAAACATTTTCTCCTGTCTGCACCATTCCCCCTCTTCGTAAGGCATGTTGTTTTCACAAAGTCGAGGAGTTTCTCAAGTTTTCTTTGCAACACTAACTCCACCATACAGCAGGAAAGAGTAAAAACAGAACTTAAAACCATGTATGTTGGCAGGCCCACGGGATGTTTTGCTTCCATCTGTGACTGCTTTGTTATTTTATTGCAACAGTATCTCATCTTTTTTCATATGAAGGCTCTGTCAAAGGATAAAGATAAGATGATAAGGTTGCTAAAATAGGGATTACTCAAGCCCCCCCCCGGGGATGACATAATGCATCAGAAACGCACCAGTTCTCACCCTGATGTTACTGCAGGACCGAGGATCATTTTCTGTTCACTGTTTTCTGCTCTCCAGCTATTTTCCCTCTCCGCGCCCGCCCGCCCACCCGTCCGTTCGCTCACTGGGTCAAGTGTAACTTTTTGGACTCTCTTTAATCTCCCAGTTTGTCCAGCCAAGTAAAATAACACTGACCTCATGCTGTGTCACAACCTCGAATTTCTGAGCAATTACAACAGGGATGAGACTAAAGATAGCTGTGAGATGTGTTTTTTTTACCCCCTCTTGTTTAATGCAATTATACACACAAGATAAGAAGTAGGTTGTGCATGAATGTTTAAAGTGATATCCTGTATAAGTGGACTTTACTTGTCTCTTATAGCGTTTTCTTATTTGTCCAATGTTTTGTTTCTATCTTGAGTTGAGTGTCTATCTCAAGTCATCTCAGGACACTTGACAATAAGCAGACTTAGACTCTACTCTATGTGACTAATGAAGAGAAGAGACCCAACACAAGCCCACTATGAGAAAGCATTTTACTGCACTTAGCAACAGCGGCGATAAATAAAAGGTAGAAACCTCAAGCAGAACCGGATTTATTAGTGTGCATCTATCTGCTGTGACTGGAAAACAGGATAGAAGAAGATGCAGAGAAGAGAAATAGATAGAGACCAACAAACACAGCAGCAGCAGCAGGACTGGAGACTGGCCTAACAGTGAGCGCTGTGAGAATAGTACACAAGCGTGTGCTGTCGTTGTTGTAGATTTCATGCTGTGTGCACAGTGCGAGTAGTCCTCCGAGCAGCAGCAGGTCAGGACGGTGAAGTTGCAAACCTTGCGGAGAAGTCCGACAGCTCTTTGACTCACTCCTCCTTCTTGTTTCTTCTTCTTGTCATAAAAAAGTCAAAAGTGACCACCGGTTTGTCAAACTGATTTCTTAAACAATCATCTTGTACATGAGATTTAATCGCACAGCAGCTTCAAGTGGACTGCTGACTTATTTGAACAGAGTGTCTTAACATCATAGCATAGTTACTGAGCAGCAAAAGAATATCCAACTCCTCACGGCAGCTTAAATGTAAAATAATTGTCCAGCTTTGGTTAGCTAGCACCAAATACCGATTTCAAAAGAGGCAAAAAACAGTGAAATTGAGAGAGAATTGTGTTGGAGGGTAAAGTTTGATTTGGTGAACACCCTGACTGATAACCAGCTGGTTTTTCTATCCATCCTTGTGTTTTTGCCTCCTGCATTAACTCATGCGTATACCCATATCAGAGCCAGTCGTGGTTTTCTTAGTGGAGCTGAAATTCCCTGGTTGAAAAATAAAATGATCTTAACCAATCAAAGACTTAGAGCTTGCTTAGTGTGTGCTGGTGAGTCACATGTACAAATATTCCTTCCTGCAGCAATAACCACACACTTCCTCTGTCTCGAAAATCTCTTTTCTTTACTTTCAAACTGTGTCTGTTACAGTTTTGGTAGAAATCGTACTGTTCTCGGATACTTTAAGAAATCCTGAAATATTATAAACCAAAAGAAACAAGCTCTGCACTTCATTCTACTTCTGAGTGTGTATGTGTGTGAGCCTACAGATCTCAACAATTAGCTCTTTGGTTTGCAGTCAGGCCCCAGTAAACTTCGACTGGGAGGACTGGGCAGGGTCGAGAGGATGCATTCCTGCAGCGACCCACCAGATCTACTCTTTTTACGTAGAGAGAGAGAGGGATACAGGAAGAGAGAGAGAGCAGGAGAAATCGACGTTGAGAGAAGGGCTGTTTGTTCCCTACAAGGAACAATCTGCTCTTTAGGCTCGAAGGGGCAGCCAGACCTGCAGCGTGAGAAAAAGAGGGCCTTTAGCATGGAGACAGAACCGCTGACATCAGCATTTTGAGAGGAACGAACAGAGAGAGAAAAAGAGAGAGAAAGGAGAGAGGAAAAGAGAGGGGAGGAGGCCACTTAAAGCAGATAAAACAGAGATAATAAAGTCAGAAGAGAACATATACAAATCATTATGAAGCTGGTCAAACCTGCTCCTTCAAGGATCACACCAACGCCAAAAACCTAGACTCAGATGTGTCTGCTAACTGTATCCAGTCATGCAGTTTTACTCTGAGGTTGAACTTTGCTGCTGTTTCTTAGAGGCAATTTTCTTACTAGCTTTAAAAACCTGTCGACTTTGCTTTAGAGCTCCTGTGATGAGTCTTTAGCTGGTTATGAAACACACTGAATTACCATGTGACTCACCTGAATTATTACCAGGGATGCCCTTTTTATGAGCAAACAAGTCAATCATTAACAAGACTGACATTGGCTCCTGACTTGGCTAACATGAGCAATAAGTGGTAAATCCACTGACTAAAGAAAGCAGGATGAGATGTTTTGATATTTTTAATTTTAAGATGTAGGAGTTACAGCTTTGTCCACAGAGGGCGCCAAAGCTGACACAAACCAAAAGATTCTCACAGGAGCTTTAACAGATTTCCATCAACGGGTCAATTGTGATATTCTTGATCCTCCTCTAAAGAAAATCTAACACCTTTTTGCGGACTGAACCTGTATTAAGTGTCAGGTGTTCAGGTTTGTGCGTCTGAATTGAGTTTGTTTCGACTGATAGAGCAACTGAAAGCTTTAGGGTCTCTCACATGCCACCGCCTCTGATTTTAAAGTAGAGTAACATAGAAAGTAAAAGTAAAAGTTAAAATTTGAACACTTCTGAGAATCACTTGCATCCACATAGGCGGATGTTCAAGAGAGAAGCTTTTTGATGTCTGGTGCTTTGTGGGAGTGGTGTATGTGGTGTCTAACCAGCGCAGCAGAACCTGCAAAACTCTATGCATGCATCACATAAGATGCTTTTATGCTTGTCTCAAAAGGATTGAAGTTTCTTTTCACATTATGCCTCCACCACTCATAGAGCCTCTGCTCTGCTTGAATCATGGTGATAATAAACAGTATCTATCTGTGGTGGTGTGTGATGTTTTTATTTTGAGGGTTGGGGGGAATGGATCAGCAATGAGATAGCCGATGATAACTCGCTAATGCTAATACTCGGCACGTTTGCTCCGTGGTGTGCCGCACATACCGATACATATGAGTCTAAGGTAGAGCCAAGTAAGAAGAAACCCCCTTTTTTTTTAAGGTATGTGGCCTTTATTTTAACGTGGCAGTGCGTAGGGAAGACCCTGAATGGTATATGAGACTAAACGTGTAGAGTATATTAGTCTGACTTGTAGCTCCCGCGCTTCAAAAACTTTTTGCTGAGCTCTCGGTTTAACCTGTTACAAGCGTGCATGTGATTCCTACGACAGAAGATTAGGACCACAAGAAGAGAAATAAATAATTACAGGAGGGAGACTTTTTATATTTCCATTTCGAGATTAAAGTCGAAATTTTGAGATTAAAGTCGAAATGTCCTTGAAATCCTTGAAATTTTGACTTTAATCTCAAAATTTTAATTTCAAATCTCGAAATTTCGACTTTATTGACAGAATTTCATTTTTTTTTTAATCTTGAAATTTTGACCTTAAACTCTTCCCTATATTATTTTTTTCCTCTTTTCTCTGCATGTGGCCTTAATCCTCTTTTTCGTAGATTCCACATGGAGAAGGACAAGTGAGTAAGTGTAACTGACTTTGCGAGGAGCTCATGCCTTTAGATGTTTTTAGTCAGTGTGTTTAATTTCGACTGTGTTTAAAACTAAGTAGAGGCTTCAGCTGGAGTGTTTTCAAACACGGCCAAACAAGGATGAAATCTGTCAACTGTACAGTTATAATGTATTTGTCATTGTTTGTATACAGCGAGGCGTAAATACAGCGATGGTATCAGTTAAGGTTGCTAGGAGATTTATGATTACACAAGGACATGAATGGATTGAAGTCTGTGTTATGTGTGTTTATTGGCAACACCTCACACACACAGATCACTCAGGTGTTAGTCATGTTCAAACAGAGTCGGAGAATAAGCGTGTGCGTTTGATTCATGCCGTCATTCTTCCTTTAATTGGCAGAACACTTTTATAGGTCACAGAGAGGAGGAAACGTCGATGTCAGCCACACCTGATCCTTTTCTACGTTCTGGGGGATTTTGTAGACTATATCTAATTTGGTTCAGCTTGTCTCAAAAGAATATGATTTAGTATAGGATGTTGCGCAATGCCTGCTGGGCCTCATCCAGTGATCCTCTTAAATCAGAGCAGTCCCTCCAGAGTGAAAATATGAAACTTTAATGAGTAGGTGGATTGTTATGTAGTTACAAACTGAAATGCTGCTTTCTCCGTCAACAGTTGACATTTTTCTGTCTCTATGTTTTTTGGGTTTACCTTTTGTGCTCTTGTGTGTGAGTAAGACAGAGTTCATGTGTGCGTGCATGATCAACCCATGGCCAGTATGCTCTGCATGCAGTCTGACCAGTTGGAGCACATTCTTCAGCTCAGCCAGCCGCACAACACGTCATCAGGGATCCTTCAGGCGGGCTGCAGGGACTCTGAGGAAAACACAAAACAGTCGCTGCTAACACACGGTGTAATGTACAGCTGTTTGGGTTTGGCGGTACAGAGTGTAACTACTGAGGGGGCAGCTCATTTATTTAAGGAGAGGGTTTTTAAACAGAGGAGTTAAGTCATGAATGTTTGCTGTAGTGTGAGTAAGACATAGTTTGGACTGGAACTGCCTCTGGTCAATGATATAGATAAGCATAGATCACTTTCTGACTCACACTTTTTCTTATCAGCAGGTCTGTGTTTGACAAGTTAACACCCGTGATAACTATTTAAAAAACGACAACAATGATTAAGAGGCAGGACTTGAATGAGGACTCTGGATAAAGATCACCTCACTTTTTTTATTAATGATGTGCTGAAGGGTATAAAAAAAATTCAGGCTCATTAATTTGTTTGAGTCGAATCGTGTCAAGGTAGGAATAATGCAGGTTTTCTAGATGTATTTGCGGTACATAACCGCCCAACCTGAGCAAGCACAGGTATGTGGATGTTGGTCTGCAAGGAGGACCATAGGCTGGTGGTGCTAGCTCTGCTAATGGTAGCCACACCCAGAAAACCAATCCGCCACTGCAGACTCAAAGAGATATTCACTGTCACCCCACTGTAGGGATACACAGACTACAGTGGGGTGACGCAGCTCAAGGAAGAACATTTATGATCATTTCTTAACGGAAATGCAATCAGACCGAGACGCTAAGGCAGAGGAACTACTGTGTCTGCAGTGGAAAATGATTATTATGATGATTATTACTTCAAGGAAATGATAAAGTAATGATCGTAAATGTTCTTCCTTGAGCTGCGTCACCTGTAGTCGGTAATGGACTATCCCGAGGTCTCGCTACAAACAAGCGGCTGCTGGAAGAGAGTGGATGAGTTGTGTTTAGTCTCTCTGCTAAAGAAATTAGGCAAAGCTAAAAAGATGTTTGGTGGCTAGTACTATGGCTGGGACCCTATATGTACTGTTGATAAAGTTAGGTGCTGTTCTGAGCATTATTTGTGGTTATAGAGTGGTGTTTTGGTTGAGGTTTTCGTGTGACTCCACAGACCGCTGTGTATTGCTATCATGTTGTCGTTACTAAAGTTGGTATAACTAGAGAAGCAAGCGATCAAATGTTCAAATGACTGCTTGTTGTTGTTTCATCAAGAGCAGCATGGCAACGTTGACATTCCTCATTTTCCACCTTGACGGAGTGTGTACGTGTGTGTATGTGTGTGTATGTGTGAATCTTCATGTGTGTCATGCATAGTTTTTACATTCGTTGGTGCCTGGTGTGTGTTTTGTGCGCACCTTTTGTTCTTAAATAACTCTGTTTATGTCTTTGTCTGGACTGAAACTCCACGCCCTGTCCAAGTGCCAGGTCGGTTTTAACCATGTTGTCATAGCAACCAGGAGGACTCTGTGATTGAATCAGAGTGACATCGCACAGCAGGTATGCTGCAGTGCACCTGAGGATGACCTTTGACCGTTTGTTATTGACAATCAGCGGTTACAAAAACCATGTGTACTAAATATACTGTTCCAGATCATATTTGGATCGAGTGTGTGTTTTGATTTTCTGTATTTTTGAGGCTGTGTGTGTGTGTGTGTGTGTGTGTGTGTGTGTGTGTGTGTGTGTGTGTGTGTGTGTGTGTGTGTGTGTGTGTGTGTGTGCAGAGAGGATGTTAGGGGAGGAAATGAACATGGATTATTAGAGGTCGCTGTTGCCAACAAGCTGTCATGTAGAGACTCTACTGTAAGGATCTGCGTGTTTTCACGTGACTGCTCAGCTGGTTTAGTACACTTAGCAGAGGTGTATGTACCTTAGTTACAGCCTGACAGTTTATCACACGCTTTGGTCTGAATCCAGATGTTCTCTTTACAAAGCGTGTGAGTACCCAGAACTCTCAGCACAGACGTCAGAGAGTGTTTGGCTGATGGAGAACAGAGACTCTCTACAGCTAGTGAGGAAGTTTGACTGGAGTGATATCGGCCTTGAGGTCGTCAACACCAGAGTGATGCTGATTTCGTCAAAATGCCATCAGACCCTCTTTCCTCTTCATCTCTCAAATAAAGATCGACCAATAATCGGCATGAGAGGTGCTCCCCAGTCGCAATTTTTTCGTAGGGGAAGGTCCCGCCTCCTTCGCCTCTGATTGGCTAGAATAGCTGGGCTCTGATTGGTTATTCCTTAAGGCTGTGAAACGTCATCATACCGAACATTATCACAATTCTTAATCTCCTAACCCAACAGACGATGACGTTTACAGCCATAAGGAATAACCAATCGGAGTCCGGCACTGAGGCGAAGGAGGCGGGACCTTCCCCTACCGTACTACGAAAAAAAATATTGCTCCCTGGTCTCTGTTAAGCATACGGAGCTAGCATGCGCTACTTCTGGGTCTTTTTTAATTTCAAAATAAAAGCATGTGTTTCAAAATAAGGCCAAAATATAATTTCTACTACAAATGGATATCGGTTCTAAATATCAGATATCGGTTTCTTTGATTTCTAATAATCGGTTTCGGTAACGGTCCCCCCCAAAAAAGTATCGGTCAATCCTTAACTTGGTCACTCTTTACGTACTGCATTTATTTTGATTTAGATATCAGTTTTAAACTTTTATTTATCTTAAAAAAAAAAATATTGAGTAAAAAATGTAAGTATTAGAAAGAAAGAGTCAAGCTAGAGCCTAAACTCACTGAGGTTGGGGGGAGCTGTGATCTTTGGAATGAGTTGGTGGAATCACAGAAAAATCCTCATTTACCAAGTTCAGAAGAAGTCTGAGGCCTTTTAAACACCTCTAAGTGTTGTAAGTTTGTAATATAATGTAAGGTTGTAGCTCAACATTGACCTCGCACCTCTCTTCAAGAGAGGGTCAGCTAACCTCCTCGTAAAAGACACTTTAGTGGGTGTCATACTGTATATCTGTCACTCACCGCTGAGTGACAGAGTTCAGGGCTGCAGCATGTCTGTACATTATTACTGCACCATAAACCCACAACTGATAAAATAAGGGTTTCAGAAGGATCTGCAAAACTGATAAAGAGTTAGAAAACACTTTTTAATGAAGTGCTGCCATAACAATGTCTTCAAATAATATAAGACAATATTAGCCGAGTCTCTTCACTGTTTTAGTTCGTTCATTAAAGATAACATCTAATGTTTTTTTTTTCACACAATCCATCGGCCTGTAAGAAAATACTAAGAGGGTTTCTGGTGTCTGGGAAAACCACTCTGCTGCTTCCTCTGTCTTTATGTGCTTGTTTATTAACTTGAGCTTATTTTACTGCCATAGTTTATTTGAGGTTTTTCCTAAATGACCCACAGGTGTGTCAAAGCTTTATGGTCTGTATGTGCTAAATAGTTAAAGAGTAGAAAACAGTTTCTTAAAATGAACAAACATTCAAAAGAGATGATGTTGAATCATTGGGTGCACATTTAGTACAGATGAAGAGTATAATCTGTCTCTCTGTTGCAGCATAAAAATCTGTAATGTCTCCATCTGTGAGCCGTATTTTTATAATCTGTGTTCATAAAGCTGGGTGGAGATTAACCTCCTTTCCTCTTTCTCCAGATCATGATCGAGTTCTGCCCCGGAGGTGCTGTGGATGCCACGATGTTAGGTAAGCCTCTCTCTCTCTCTCTCTCTCTCTCTCTCTCTCTCTCTCTCCCTCTCTCTCTGTCTCGCTCTCTCTCTCTCTCTCTCTCTCTCTCTCTCTCTCTCTCTCTCTCTCTCTCTCTCTCTCTCTCTCTCTCTCTCTCTCTCTCTCTCTCTCTCTCTCTCTCTCTCTCTGTCCCTCTCTCTGTCACAAGAGTCAAGTTCTACACCTGAGGCACAGCTGTGAAACCTGTCCTCTTACTTCAGATTTAAAGAAATTCAAGACCACGGCAGAAAACAGTGATTTTTTCCTTTTTTTTGCACAGAGTAATATCATAAACTAAGACTTCACTATTCCATTTTTATTTCTGACTGAGATGCAGTCAGAAAAGTGGAGTCCTCCAGTGTGGGAAACCCCCCCGGTCTGTTTTCACTGTGTAATCCACATCCTCATAACTGTCTGCATCCCCTCTGCAGCTAACCAAACACAGACACAGAAGAGTAAAGTCTGCAGGGCAGGACGGCCTCTGATGTGTGAAATCTTTTCTGATCTTTTTACTTTATGAGGGTTTTACTTATGCAGGAACTTTATCTGACAGACTTCATAGAAATCCCCGCAGGTTTACCTTTTCTGTTTTCTCTCACACTCCAGCTCGGTCCTGGAGTCTTTGCATTGCTGGGGTTTTAACGCAGGTCAAATTATGGAATGTGCAAAGTGTGCATTATGGTCTTTTCTCACCCTTCTCCCTCATCCTAAATTCATCCCTCCATCATCACTCTCCTGCCTCTGCCTCTCCTCCCTGATCAGAGCTGGATCGAGGGCTGACAGAGCCGCAGATTAAGGTGGTTTGCAAACAGATGCTGGAAGCTCTGGTCTACCTGCACAGCATGAAGATCATCCACAGAGACCTGAAGGCGGGAAACGTCCTCCTCATGCTGGACGGGGACATCAAACTGGGTGAGGGTTTACGAGCTTATACTGCGAACTATTGAGCGTTTTATGTGCTTGTTTTGTCCTACAGAGTTAATGTTTAGCTTTTTAGACAAACCATCATTTATACATTCACTGTAACTCATCGCACAGGCATTTTCTGTAAAGTTAAAAAGTGCCTAACAGTCTGAGCCCATTTTTGAATTTGAAAACTTAAAAAATATTATAGGATGTTGGTTATTTAGCAAATGTTCGATTAAAACAGACACATTCAATATCGACCCTTACAGTTCAGTTATATGTCACAGTGTTGTGTGATATATCTGGTCTTATTCTGTGAGACGAAGTGGTGGGTAGAAACAGATCAAAGGGGAAAGACGCAGTAGCTGCAGAGCAAAAGTAGCACACTTGTAGGATTTATTCCTTGGTATTTAACCAAGACCAGTAACTGGTTTACCTCTAGAGTTTATGCAGACAATCCTGAAGTTTACAGTATTTTATCTGTGCATGTTTGGATCCACAAATCCAGAAATTAGTTGGATCCTGATTGGCCGTCTTTATAATGTGTTGTAACTTGTCTAGCCTTTGCTAAAGAATATGCATTTGAGATACTTGAGCTCGGCAAAGAACTGACACGAAGTCTTTTGAAGATTAATGTCTTTCGCAAAAGTTTAGTGTTAAACTACACACAGGGGAGGGTCTCTGAAGTATCCTGTCATACTTGATTTGAAACTCTGAGATGAGTTAAATCAATGAATCTAACAGTGGAAATAAATAAAAGGTGTTTGTTTGATTACTTAAAGTACATTTCATAATCTATAGAGGTGGGAATCACTCATGGCCCCATGATGCGATATTATCATGATACTTGGGCCATGATTCGATGGTCTCACGATTTTAAACATTTTGAGATACATTGAGTATTGCGATACTATTTATTGTGATTTGTACAGTTTTTTCAACTGCTTAGCTGATTATTTTTATTTATTTTTGTCTTATTGACACAGTATTTCATTTTGATGTCGCACTTCTTGGAAACCTCATGTGTCATTTGCATCTCATTTGTTGTAGTAACTCTTTCCTGCTCTATGATGCCATCTCTTCCAACCTCACTGTACAAACAATGGATTTTATTTTTCCATTATTATAGACTTGAGTTCATATTAGCATTGCTTTAAAAAATCAATACTTGGTGGATGAGAGGATACGATATATCACCGGACAAAATATCATGATATGATGCTGAGTTGATTTTTTATCCCAGCCCTAATAATTCACATATCTAAGGGCAAAAAAATCCCAACATTTAGAAAAGCAGGAGTTCAGCAGATTATTATAAAATGGGGACGCCGTTATTGGATTACTTTAAAGGTTTCTGTTTGATCAAATTCATAACCCTGTGAGTCATGTGTCTCTTTTTGCATCCCGCCCCATTTTACAGCCAGGATGATGACATGAAAACTAACCGTATTGTCTGATAAACCACATCATTTTCATTCCACGTGAAGCTCTGTTTTCTTTAGGCTTATATGGCCATCACTGTCACACAGACCCCCCCCCCCCCCCCCTCCTGTGGCGCTGTAGGTGGATCAGAAGTCAGCGTTGCGTGGGAAAACCGCATACCCTGAATTTTTGCATATTTCCATTTTATTGGATTTTTCGGAGCTCTCTGCATTCTTCACATTGCACAGCTGGAGTTTTGGCTCAGACTCTAAGGCCAGTGTGTTTCAGTTCCAGAAAAGGGAAATTGGATCAGTGATATCTTTAAATATAAATTGTCCTTATGTGTGTGTGTTGTGTCAGTGTCAGTCAAATATGTGACTTTGTTTTTTCTAGTATCTTGCTGACTGACATTTTGACCCGTGGACCAAAACAAAACAAAAATATCTGGCTCTCTGTTCTGCTTGCGTGCTTTTTCACTTTCGTCAGTCTCTTTGGTTCTCTGTCATTTTGCACTCATGACCAACAAACCAAAAGCACGGTGTAGAGAGTAACTATCAGCTACTTTCATGTTCAGGAGCTTCTTCCACACAAAACCAGCTTCTTTTACATTAGTTTAGTTTTTCACATCATATTTAATCAGCTTTTTTGCTTCTTCTACATCCTGTCAAAGTCGTCTTTCACTGACTTACATTCCTCCCTCGCACACCACACTTACATATAATCACTGGGAGTTGTCTCTTTAAACTCATTAAGTCGTGACACCGACTCATTTACAGCCTCCGAACTTTTCGAACTCTGAGAAAGCATCAATTAACTCTTCTTGAGGCCAGCCAAATGCATAAAATCCACCTTTGATACACGGCATTAAACATTATATTCCTCCATGCAGCGCAGTATGAAGCTATTCCCGTCATACAGAGACATAAACTTTCAAGACACAAGCTGTCAGCTGTCTGGGGTGAAATTATTTGCATGTTACGATGATAAGGCGTCTTAAGAGACACACCTTTTTACTTTAAGGGAACAAAGAGTTGGTTGAAGCAGATTAAGTCATAGTTACTTTCATGCATTTGTTAACATTGATTACAAGTCTTTTGGATATTAATGCATCAACTCTCACATGAAGCACAAATCTAAAGTGCTGTAATACTACTCATTGTCTCTGCAGGAGGAGAAAATCCTCCTTGCAGAAGTTTAGACTGCAGCTGTCTGAATGATACGTTTGATCAGGAAGTCCAAAACATTTGAATTGTAGTCTAGAAAACCGAGACAGTCACTTAAGTCCCTTTAATAGAACATGCCAGTTTGTAATTGAAGCAGTGAGCCTGCTGGCTTGTGAGTGAAATGCTCTACTTGCTGCCAAATGCCTTTTAACCCTGGTCATGCTGCACATACATAATATCCTGACTCCCGGAGAAAAATGAGCACAGCCAAAGTGAAAACAACACGCCTGTAATCTGAGGGCCATGCTGGGGAATGAGGGCAGCCTGTTTGGGGAACAGGGCGGCTGTAAATTCTGGCTTTGTATCTCTGCTCATTACAATGTCATGACAGTTTTACAGGCTACAAACTATCCGTCTGATGGAAGGTTTTGATCTGGCTTCACTCCCTCCTACTGGGAAATGCCTCTGGGGAATTTCTTTCACCTATCTCACTTTATCTTCTCTGTGCTCATTATTCTTGCAGCTGACTTTGGAGTATCTGCAAAAAACACCAAAACCTTACAGAGAAGAGACTCTTTCATCGGGACGCCGTACTGGTGAGTATGCTGGGACATCACGCTGCGACATGAGGTTAAAGCTCCTGAGGCTGTCAGGAGTCAGCAGAGTTAGATTGTTTCTGGGTCTTTTGTAGGTGATAATTGGATCACTTTAAGGTATTAGAAATTAGTTGAGCAAAATTTGAAGGATGAACAGATGCAGTCTGTCGGAGAGAAGTCACGCTGTAGCTAAACCGCAGTTATTAGAGGTACATCTATCAGTAGCATCTAGGGATGGATGATAAATTATTGTTCACGCTACATCGTCAGAAAAATCCTCCATGATGAATATTTGCCATCTCATGATAAATACGATAAATGCTAGTTGATGACTTAAGCCCGAGTGACGGACTCGCAGCCACAGCCCACACAGATCAGAATAACAAACAAACATGGCCGAAGGTCATGAAGACGTTTCTGAGCAGCTCGTTACTGAACGAGGCTCCACATGAGGGACTTCCTTCAAGATTAGGGCTTAGATGAGTACAATCAGGTATGCCTGACATCTTACAGTGGATCTGCTGCTGTTCACTCTGTGCAATAAGAGTTTTGAATAAATGTTGAAAATGTTTTCACATTTCAGATTTGTTTGATGTCATTAGTTTTCTCCATAACCTACCACTCAAACTTGTGGTTAGGTATCTTATTAGACTACTCCAACTGGTGCTCTCAAGACAAAATGAGTCAAAAATATAGATTGGAATTATAATATTTCTTTATTATCGCTATCGCCAGAATGGGAAATCTTATTGTGATGAAGTTTTTAGCCCATATCGCCCATCCCTATTAGCATCATCACAGAGCTAATGCTGATTGCAGCAGCAAACTGTTGGTAACCATGAGTCATCAATAATCAAACCAAAGTTTCCAGTTTTGACGGCATCAACAGACGGCATCTTATTTAATGAGTCTCAACATTTGTTGCATAAGCTATTGTTACAATTTCAAGCCTAATTTCCAGCATGAGCTCCGGGGAAGGTAAAATGTTCAGCTTGTTGTGTTTTGTATTGTCTTAAAACTCAACTGCTGACCCAGTTTCAGGTTTAAAAATAAGTATATTTGAGCATAAAACAGGGAATTAAATGACTGACAGGTCATCATGAATTTGACATTATTATTCCTGTTCAAAACAAACCTCTTCCTCCTGACCTGGAGAAATGAAAAACAAACCTGACCATCCCTTTTATGAGCTATATCAGTGCTGGGTTATTGCTTGTTGAGAACAGATTTCCTGCAAACCGCAACTCCTCCATAATACATGAAAGAGAATGGTATTGTGTACACACACACACACACACACACACACGCACACTTGCCCCACTAACTCAACCCAGGACTTTAATCCTCCATTGTTGTCACAACAGCACACTCTCTCCTCTATACCTGAACAAATTGGAAAGGTACCCTTGCAGTGTGAGTCACTTTGAACCTTGTTCTACGCTGTTATCCTCTGAGTGAATACAGCTTCAGACAGTTAATCATTGACTAGAACAGGTTATCATCCATCAGCATACCCTCCCTGCTCGAGAGGAAGACTGCGCCCTCATTTTGCACAATACTCGAAACACTTTAAAGGAAAATTACAGACATTTATGGCGTCATCGTGTATCTTAATTTGAAAAGATAAGAATTAAATTTGTTTCCTTTAGAGTTCCTACACAGTTGGAATTTCCATACTTTTCCATACCCTACTTTTTAGAATTATTTTTAAATTACCTACTTTTCTATTCAGAAAACACTATTTTATAACTGTGGTAATATAGTCTGTTCACATAAATATTTTTCCATACTTTATTTTTTATTTTCCATACTTTTAAAGACCTGGAAATTGATCAAATTACTTCCATACTTTTCCTTACTTTTCCATTCTTGGGTAGGAACCCTGTAATCCTTTTACTTGGTTAAATCAGAGTCTCTAGTTGTGGAGCCGTTATAAAGACTGTTGGCAAACACACTCTGACCAGGTGAAACGTGCTCCATGTTGATACTTGCAGGTTGCGATTAAGAGAGAGGGAGAGCCCCTCTTATCCCTCCTTCAGTTATCATCAGTTAGTCATTTCCTGCCTCTGCCCACAGATCACTGATGAAAATACTGTGCTGTTTCAATCTACCGATTCACGGTGTTGAAATCTGTGCAGGCTGAGTTACTTCTCAGCCCTGTTACCAAAACTTAATTCAGAGCAAAAACTGACTTTGTACAACAGACTTTCTCTTTAGTTCATTTGTCTCATGTTCCTGCATTTTTTTATCCACCCTCTTGTTCCCTCTCTCTCAGGATGGCCCCTGAAGTAGTAATGTGTGAGACGATGAAGGATGCACCGTATGACTACAAAGCTGATATCTGGTCTCTGGGAATCACCCTCATTGAGCTCGCCCAGATTGAACCTCCGCACCACGAGCTCAACCCCATGAGAGTGCTGCTGAAGATCGCCAAATCAGAGCCCCCCACCCTGGACAGTCCAAACAAATGGTAAAGAGGCACTGAATATGGAGCTGAATTATTCCTTTAGCAGCTTAAAAGTCTGCCAAAGTCTTTTGCACAATCCATGATTCATCAGGTTCATCTAAGAATACGTTCATTGTAGTCCACATGAGCTCATATACTCCTTTCTGTGTCTTACGGGGTCATTTAGTTCTGTCCTGATACCAAATTCTTGCACACTCATTGTCCTGTAGTGCACAGCGAAAGTCTGCATGCAGCACACTGTCCTCCTCCCCCTCTCCCCCTGCCTCCCCAAACCTGCAGCAGCGACTCAGCAGAGAGGCCAGACCTCAGCGAGTGCCAAACTGTAATTTGTCTCTATCAGTTTTACGACTCTGAATGTTCCAAAGCAGCAAATGTTAGCACTGCAGAAGGGAAGTTATCAGGTGCTGAAAGGGGGGATGTGAGGATGAGGAGCTGACTCATCATTTAGACTGAAAGCTCTTGTTTTATAATTCACAGCTGTGCACAGAGATGATCTGCATATAGCAGCAATCTCAGATCCAGAAATATGATCCATTCAGGATTTTACCACCATTTATCACTCCCTTCTTTTACTTCTCTGCTGTTGTGTTTGATTGATCCTTTTTTGTGTTCATTCCAGGTCACCAGAGTTTAAAGATTTCCTGAAAAGAGCTCTGGATAAAAACCCAGACACACGTCCAACTGCGGCACAGCTGATGGAGGTAAGCCCTCTCTGATGTAATGTGCAGTTATGACCAATAGCAAGTGTTTTACAGCGCTGCGCTTTGGTGTATGATTGTCCTCGCTCTGTCCTTATCTCGCACCAACACACATAATCTGCTATTTTAAGACCTGAATGGAGTGATCTATGTCAGGAAGGCGAACGGCGCCCCATGGAGGGCACTGACATGAGAGTGAGAGGGGGAGAAAAAGAGGGAAAAGAGAGTAAGGAAAGAAAGTAGATGATAACCTTTGATATGCTTTTTATCTGAAGGACAGGGTACGTTTTGGGCTTTATTTTCTGAGGGACATCTAGAGAACCGCATCCACAAATAGGAGGTTACAAGATACCCCATATATTTCGAGGAAGGCTATCCAAAGCAATTAAAGCAATCGATAAAATCCTAAAATCAATACTATTAAAAAGGGGGAAAAATCCAAGCTGTGGCATCAGAACAAGCTGCAGTCAGTGAAAAGAGGTCAAACAGACACCAGGATGAAGTGAGCTGCAGTGGTCTGAGTGGATAAAAGCAAAAATAACTGCATGTCAGCAGGAGACCGAAATGTTATTTTTTGATATTTCTCTGAGATTAAACTGGATTGTACGATATTCTTTGAATGAACATCAAAACCGACAATAAGCCGATTTAGCTCAGCGGTTAAATTGCACGCCCTGGTCCTCAAAGCAGGTGGCCTGGGCTCCTGCCATTGCATGTCATCCCCCTCTTACTCCACCCAGATTCCCGCTCCATCCCCTGTCCTATCCTCTCACAATAAAAGCATCAAATCTTACCCCCCCGATTTTGAACTTCCAGTTTCAGTAAGCCAAACTTGTTACATGTGAGTGCAGCAAACTGTGTTTTTCCTGGAGTGAAAACTCACACTAACCTTTAAAAAACTGTCTTTTCAATCCCAACCATTTGAAATGAGAGAAAAAGTGAACAGGGTGTGGATTAAAAAACGCGGAGCGCCGCGTCTATTAAAATTCAGAGCCATGGTTTCCTGTCTGTATCCCACAGCTGAGGGGGGAATGCCAACTATTTACATTCCCACCCTCAGCCAATAGTATGTCTGGATAACCCCTGAGCTCGCCACCTCTGGCCAATTACAGCGAGGCAGAGATGAAACTCCTCGACCCGGGCCCGCTGGGAATCCTGCATGTGCTCTCCAGTGGGGGGGAAAAGAGACGGGCGCGGTCCGGATTTTGGTGCCGTGCTGGAGGTTTCAGATGTTTATCTTGCCTGCTGCTCCTCACGGCTGTCACAGAGTATTTACTGGAGATAGTTTTGCGATGATGGAATTAAACTCTGCTGTTAGATGAAGTTAACATCGATGTGTGTGAGGAGTTTAAGGTCAGATTTGTCATGTAGTTATTCATCCTAGTGGGGAAAACAGATGTAGTTGAAGTGAGTCGGTGCTTCGCTGTATGAGTGTTGTGTGAGAGACTTGCCTGGTGTCTGTCCCACATGTGTTCTTGTGGAGAATGTATACAAAACAACATGACAAAGTATCAGTCACTGTGCCTGCTGCTGGGAGACCATCTGGATGTCTTGGATTCATTATACTGAATTCAACTTCTCCTCCCACATACTTTCTCATGGTCTGAATTTTCAGGGATTTTTTTTTTTTGCGTTGCTCACATTTATGTATGATGATGACTTTGGACCAAAGCATGACTCTTAATGTGGGGAATCTCAGTTTGGAGAGTTTGGGCCATTTTATCTCCGAGCCAGGTCTCTGTGCAACATTCATTCATCACTCACTGATCTGAAGGACTCAGCAATGATGGTTGCCATGTTGGAAATGCTGACTCAATCTGACCTTCGATCAAATGTGTGAAATGAAGCCAAATTTGGCCTTCACGGCTTTAAGCAGCTAGGCCCCCCTATTATCCAGATCATGTTTTAGCCCCAGCCCAGCCAATTTTAAAGGTACTGTAAGTAACATTTAACTAGTTGTAAGACAGGCTAAGATTAAGGCTGCGTTCCAGTTGTACTCCGAAGTAAGAATTTCTGAGCTCCAAGTTGGAAATTCATTTCGATCGCCCCCCTTAGGTTGGATTTCCAACTCGGAAAGTCGGATGATCCTCACCAACCCCGACTTGACAACAACGTCATAATCCAAGATGGCAGCGCAGTGCATCAACAGTAAAGAGTAACAGTGAAAGCTACCGTAATAATAACCAATAACAACTGACAACAGCTAACGACAGCTTACAATTGTAAATAACAGCTAACAACGCTAACTGTAGGCATCCATCTTGGTTTTCCGACTTGTTTACCGGAACACCGTCAACTCGGGTCTAACGTCATTCCTAGCTCCGACATCTGAGGTAACCGGAATGCAGCATTATAATGATGCCTTTTTTATTCCCTTAAAGAATAAATTAGAGCATAAGCAACAAGACTGACATTCTTTTTAAAGCCCGTACCTGCTGTAAGGGGGAGGAGTCAAACCAGATGATTGACAGCAAGCCGAAAAATTAGACATTTATTACTTTCCAACAGCAAAGATGTAAAGTCAGCGATAGATCTGTCTGTTGGATGAGATTTTTGTCAGCAAACATGATTAACGAGGGCACAGAACAAAATTACCAGAGATGAGATGTACACTTTATCCATAGGGGGCGCCAAAATCATAACGGAGAGTTCCGAACAGGAGCTTTAATGTGGAAAGGTTTAAACTGGATGAATTCTTATTGCTGAAAGGCCACAAGGGAGCAAAAGGACAAGACCACAAAACTAACAAGCTAGTTTTACACTTTCTGAGGCTTTCCCTCGTCATATTTCTGATTCACCAGTCCTGTAACTTCAATAACTCGGAAATGAATGCGAAAAAATGCTGTGGCCGTACTGGGAGCCCTGGGCTACAAATATATAAAGATACAAATCTTTACCTTCACTTACAGCATGAACAACTACACCATTCCAACAACATAACCCTGCTCACATTTATCTAATCGTGTATGACATCTCCTGAAAAAGTGCCGGAAATTTGAGTGGGAGAACGGAGTGAGGCAACGACACTGTGTGAGGTAAAAGGGGATTTTGTATGACAGCGCTCCAAAAACAACTGGAAACTTGTTTGTTTGTTTGTGAGTGTGGACTTTAGTTCACCCACTCTCACACACACACACACACACACGGTCAACATTTGTAGCAGCGGTTGCCAGTGTGACACAAAGTTCATTAAGGAGAAAATACTCCCTGTTCCTTCAGCTGAATTTCCAAAAGAGAGAGAAGAAGTCTTTTTCTGTGGATAACAGTTCCTGTGAGGTCTTTGGGTGAGGGACTTTAACGCAAAAAATGTGGCGGGAATATACCATAAGTGAGGTCGAAACAATTTGGGCTGATGTACAAAATTTAAGCGAACAAAGGTTGAATGAATTTTATTTATGTCGACCAAAATTACTGCCTCTCTTACCCTTAACTTAACCCCAGCGTAATCACACCCTTTACCCTCAAAACAAGCCTGAACCTCTCAGACACCCATCAAGGAAGTGAGCTCTGACCACGAAGCCCCAACTTTCCCAAAAATGTCTTTACTCAAGGTCTATAGCTTAAAATGTATCCTCTCAAAATACCCTGTCCTGTCCCTGCTACCCAGGTAGCTCTGCTCATTCAGCTTCCTGCTGCGGACTTCTAATGGGCTATATTGTTCACATTTAACCTTTTCACGCCCAGTCATGCATGTAAGTCCCAAAGTCACCAGCTTCACAGGGTCTAAAAGCAACATGAAACCTAAAAGAAGGGACATTTGCTCCAGTGATCCACATCCTGATCTATGATGGCAGTAAGTTAAAAAAAAAAAAAGCCACATTCAGCAGGACAGCCTGTGTTTGATTTTATCTGTTAGATTTTTCTCAGGAAAAGAGGTTCCCCTCTAAAGTTAGTTAAAACTTTAGTGAAAGCTTAAAGCTCATGTGAGGAGGTTTTTGGCATTTACAAAACTGACTTAAATTTACTATGATGCCTGTTAATGGTCTTGAGCATGAAGTGCAGTTACGGGCGTTGAAAATTACAAAACTGAGACTATTGCTTGTTGCTTATGGTTTTGTTTGCTTTTTTTAGGCCATAAATAGGCATTAGTTTAAAGTTTACGATCAATAAAATCCTCCTCAAAGTGTCTTGAAACCTAAACTTTTAGTCTGTGTCTTTAAAGATGCACTTTTCTTAGAGGAAAATGTGGTGTGAACAAAAACTGAGTAATTTAACTGTTTGTTTTTGCATTTTAATCTATAAACTCAATACAATATTGACTCAAAACTACTCCCAGGAATAGCATTTCACACATAAAACTTTGTCCACTGACCCGGACTTGACCCACATACAATTTCAGAGAATAAAAATCCTATATAGAACATTAAATATTGGACAAAATCAATGTTATGGGCCACTGGCAGAGTATGAACTGTTCCATAAATGTAATTCAAGCTCTTGCATAGAGTATTGCAGTAAAACAGTATACATTTAAAGTCTATTGAGGTCTAAAATTACCTTTTAGATATTTTAATACCTCATTTTTTAATGTTACATCTTCAGCGTGTTAACTCCCCTTTATTTTCACAGACTCTTCTCAGGGTATTCTTATTACCACTGCAGAGCCATAAATGGTTGGATTGCACTCAGCATTTACACTACCTGATTAAACAATAGCTGACTGTTGTTTGTCATTGGAGCTGTTAAAAGCTGAAGGCTAATGCACTTTTCAAGGACAAGCCTCTGCACTCACAACAACTGTGGTTACACACAACAAATGTGCACACTTCACGGTCCAGCAGCACTTGTAGCCTTTTCCCCTGTTGTCAGCCGGTCCAATTAAATTACAGTGTACTGCAAAGCATCTGAATAATAGATGATCGGCGATGTATCCCGGCAGCACTCTACTTTTAATTTAGCTTTTCATCGCTCATGTGCTCAACTTATTACTACCTTATTTGCACTTTGCTAAAACATGCACTAACATTTGTTTTAAAAAGGAAAGTTGAGTTGCTTTTGTGAGGACATTGTGTTAGACTGAACACTGTTACATTAATGTGCTATTAAGGGGGCTATTGTTGAAGCTGTTCAGGAACTGGCAGATGGCAGATAGAGTTTCTGCTGCAGTGAAAGTCCACAGTAGCTTGGCCTTCAACGGCTCCACAGCAGCGATAGTCACACGAATTCTTTCCCCTTCTTCTAATGTTGATGTTTTCTCTTCACAAAGTGGCTTTTTTTTCACAGTAGATTTACATTTTTGCAGCCTTCGACCTGCTAAAAGACAGCTTTCATATCCAATAACTCATGTTCGGTCCAGTACTCCCATCACCCCTCAAGCAACATTTTAATGGTCTAATGATGATCAGATTCATGGACAGTATTGTTTTATGGTTGTGTCAGAGGGTATCCTGCTGTTTCAAGTTGTAGCCGCTCTTGCTGTTTAAGTGCCTGTTTAATCTCATCTGATGCGTCCTGTGTCCGCAGCACCCCTTTGTGCGATCGGTGAAGTCGAACCGTCCTCTGCTGGAGCTGGTGGCCGAGGCCAAGGCTGAGGTCATGGAGGAAATCGAGGACAATAGAGAGGAAGGAGAGGAGGACGACGTCATGGAGCTGACTGCGGTACCAAACCTGAAACCTTTCTATGTTTTTAATTTCTCCTCCGACATTGTTTGTTTCTAAAAGTAGACAGGGTATTCCCTGTTCACTCTGAGGCTTTTATTTTGAAAGGTCCATACACAAGATTAAAGCTCCTGTGAGGAGTTTTTTCACATTTATGAAATAGACTCAAATTCGTATCATAGTAGTCTTATTTGTCTTATAGGTGGTATTTAATTATAAAGATGAACTTTATGAGCCAGAAAACACAAAAGTATACCTGCACATGCATCCATAATTCTTAAGGGTTGTCATGATCCCCCCTCCTATTATATCATCAACTATTGGTGCCTCATTCTGCTCATTTGCTCGTCCCTGCACCAAAGATTGCACTCTGCTTTCTCTTGTCTGTAACGTCTGGATGGATGACGTGGATATGTTCAATCCTCAGACGAGTTTTGCCTTGTTTTTCATCATGTTTCTATCAATTCCAACAATAACTGAAACAAAACGAAAGCTGTTTGTGCCATGTGAAGCTGAAATAATCCTACTCTGACCAGGAGAAATGATCAGATCACATGTTTTTATATGGCTAATATTAAATATCAAATGACAACAAACACTTCTCTCGGTTAGAATTAAATGTCTTGCTAAATGGGCTGGATCAGACCAGTTTAATCTGAATGTGGCGCTAATACAAAGTCGTTTTTTTGAGGGCACTATTCCAGTTATTGGTGGACTATGCAATGTGCTCCAGTTGTTCCACTCTGGCCCATAAAGTCCAAAGCCGCTCCTGTTCTGCTTCTTTCATACTCTCTTCTGGTTCACCCTTTTGAACTTCACCTTTCTGCTGAGCATGTCCTTCCTGCCATAGATGTGATCTGCAGAAATCCTCCATAAATCCACAGGGTGGTCTAAAAGTAGAAAGCGTGATCGTATAAGAGTGGCTGACATGTGAAAACACAAAGGAACAGAAACCGGAATCCTGACATTCACCCACACCCACTAAGGGTTAAATATAGGTGCTGGCCTCTACTGAACTCCTGTATAGAAACTGCCCCCCCTCACGCCCTCTGATCGGGTGAATTATCTCAGATTAGACATTGTTCTGTTGCTATAATGTAAACCCGGCCCTTAACTAAAGACATACCCTGCACATATACTCGTGATAGAAGAGCCTAGAAATGCTCTAACAGGAAGTGTGACCTGACAAAAGTGTGGGTCATGCGTTAAATAAGGATGTTTTCCTCACCATGAAGATGAATAGTCGACCGTTTCTCTCTTCCTCCCCTTGTGTCAACAGTCGGTGTAATGACATCAGACTTTGATGGGATGAATAACTCGGCTGCAGGGTGGTGACAAAGCACTTTGAAACTTGTCCAAGAGGCGATTTCTTCAGGAATTTTCTTCAAACTCGAAACTGAAGCTCTTTGGATTAGACTGAAAATGAAGAGATGAAGCTTCTTTGAGTATCAAGTTCAGATTTTTCCTTTAGTGTTTATTGAAAAGAGGTTATAACTAGTAACTCAAATGATAAGTTTTAACCAATAAGAAGATATCTCAAGCCTCTGTTTTGTTGGCTGTGATATTATTACAGTTTTGAGGCCAAGGGCACTTCTTTACCCACACAGCAATATTTTGACACAAACAGATACACCACCTTGAAAACCTGCCAAGCAGTTCCCAGACCGTTTTTCTCCTCCTCTGTATCACACACAGCCAGACAGAGATGTTTGCTGAGACATTAGAAAGGCTGAACCTGGCCGTAAAGATGTCTGATGGTTTTGTTTACCTCTGCAGAGAGACAGCAGAGAGATATTTCAGAGAGCTGAAATACTCCGTTTGACAAGTGGCTGTGTACAAAACTCTGAAGTAACATGTTCAGTGATGCTTTTTATCTGCAGCCCAAAGTTTCCCCGAGTTTTCTGGCATCAACTGAACTTTTTTTGTTATATCTAAAATCATAGAACGATCTTTAATAGATCTGAACAGTCATTACTTTTCCATTTAAGTTAGGGATATGGTAGTCAATCATTTATGGTGAACATTTCCCAACTAAAGAGGTTAATTTGCAACATGACTGAGTCTCTCGGAGTTAAAGATAAGAAGAGATTTACCTTCTAAGACCTGGGTGAGGACGTAGATCAGCGATTTTAGATTATGTCTCTAAGCATAAAATTACAGAGAATTTCAGGATATCTAGAACAAAAATATCTTTAAAGGATTCAGAGAGTCTGAAAAAATCTTTGTTCTAAATGGACAAGGCCCAAAACCATTAGGATCTTCAAACCCTTATTAAAAATAGACATGACTCTGTAGAGGAAATCACAGCATGAGCTCAAAATCAACACTTTTACACAATGTCCCAACTCAGGGTTTACTTTTATGTAGGATTTTCTAACCGATTTTTGCTAATGTTTCAACTTCTCTGAACCTGGACTGTCTTAGCAAGTCATGCTTTAAAAGATTTCAAGTCTTAGTCCACCTCTCCTCTTAAATTGTCAGTGCAAGGCTTTGACGGGCTTCAGACCAGAATACTAAAGTCAATTAAAACATGCACATGGTTAAAAGTTCTCACCCCTTTCATCTCTGCATGTTTTCTTTGATATTGTTAATGCTCTGGTCTTTCTGATCCTTTAAGAAGTGGCATTATTAGTCTAAAAAAATCAAAATCTTTGGCAGAATAAATCCTGTCAACAGGGACGTTTTGAACGTACCAGTATCTTGGCACCAACTCTACGAAGGACGCTCTGTTCCCGGTTGTCTCACATGATTTACACATGTTCACTACAGTAATTATTGGTACACTTATTCAAGATTAGATAGCATGTCACAAGACATGATAGATAGACATCTTAGCAACAGTGACAAGAAGGCCTAGTCTGAGCAGGAATGACTGCATTCCTAGTTTAGATTATCACATTAAAGGTGGGACACCGGGTCGACTTCAGCTCTTCGCATTTGGGCTCAAAGCAGATTTTCACAAACGAAACACATCTTTTCCTGTAGCTTAGCTTAGCTTACTGTGATTTTAGCTGTTCTTACTAATTGACCAGGACTAAGAATAAATTAAAGTCCAAAAATACCAAAGGATTGGTACCAACTATGCATAACAACACCTCTCTTTGCCTCCTTTTGATTCCTTTAGTCTCCAGGAAAGGAGCCATGCCAGACCAGTCAGACCAGTTTAGAGGTAGAGCAGTCTGTGGACACCCCAAGTCCCACCACACCCTCTCCAATCCCCTCATCCAGAAAGGGGTCTGAGCCAGAGTCGCCAACAGATGAACAACCAGGCTCTGTCATGGTGGTCCCTGTCCCCCTACCACGGCAGAATCCCCCTCCAAAACATCACGAGGAGGGGGTCGATGAAGTCACGATTGAGTCTGAGAAATCTGAAAGCGAGGTGTCAACAAAGACCTCCAGCTCAGATTCAGGGATTGAGGATGGAAAGAGTACCCCGACCCCTGAGGAGGAGAAGGTACTTTAAAGTTCTTGATACAGTTTTGATATCTTTAGGTTTGTGGTTTTTACAAAGGTTTAACGCTGAAAATGTATTTTAAGGTTGCTGAGGAGTCCCAAGCGACAGAAAAGCCACCATCTCCTCCCCAGGGAGAGGCATCCGAGGAGCAGGTCGACATCATCATAGACTCAAAGGACCCAGAGGTACCCAAGATCCAGGTGACGGAGGAAGAGAGCAGCGTCAAGACAAACGGAGGTTCACCAGCTGCGGTTATTGTAACTCCTTCACCTCTTTTAGCTCCAACCACTTCTCCTCATCCGGTGCCTGTACCACGCTCTGGGCCAAACGGAAGTTTAACTAAGGGAACCCCAGAGCGAACATCTTCCGGTAGAAACTCTGAGACTTTGCCGCCGTACATCAATGGAGGGATTATCAATAATCGGTCGTCTTATTCAGGGAGCATGGCGTCGGAAAGCATGGACATGTCGGTCAATAAGGATATCATCATCATGTCCTCAAGGGTGAGTCAACTTCCCTTTAAAGAAATATCTGTCTTATTCATAAATGTCTTACTTCCTCCAGTTAAAATACCCCCTCAAAAAGGGCCCCCTCTAGTAACAGTCCATTGATGCAGAAAAGATGAATGAACTCAGACTGATGCATCCAAGAAGAAAGTCTCTTTTAATTAAGGGAGAAATAGACGAGCACTGAAGTGTTAAAGAGGTACAGAGACAACTCCCTGCCTCTGTAGGAAAACCCCTCCTTGGAAAAACTATTTCTCGGCACCCACAGAGGAACTGAAAGTGCATTGTGTTGTGTTTTGGGGTGTGGGTGTTAAGCATGTGAGACAGAGGAGAGCCTGTCTTCTATTAGGCTTGCTTTGCACATTGCATTCAGGGAGGATGCAGAGAATGTACGAACTCAACCCGCAAATCCTTAAAAAGTTTTCTTCAATTAGGATTTCGTGAATCATTGCAAACATTCATATCTATTAAAAAGTCACGTGAAGCCTGAAATCTAATTCACATAACCACATGACGATGCTTTTCTCACACGTTTAATAGCCTTGAGCCTTTTTAATATTGGGACACTGCAATAGCTCTGCCATCATCACTCTACTGTAATTTTATATTGATCCAGTAAGAGGGTAATATTAGTGTCCCAGTGTGTTATTTTACATTTAGTTATGGTGCTATGACACACAGCAGGAGCTTCACAGAGACACACACTTGGATATCCACACACTATGCCAGTCCAGTGGCTTAGCAATGGATTGCACACTGATACAAGCACAACATTTTATATGAGGCTTCCTTAGGACATAGGAAAGCTTTTTAGCCTAGGAGCCCAACACAGATTTTGGAAGTATCCATATAGAACACAAAAGTTGTTTTTCTATTAAGAAATAAATAAATTCTGAGTCATAAGAAGAAAGTTGCTGATAAATAGTTTTTTTATCCACTTAAGAGGGTGAAACTGATTTTAATGTGTTCACTGATTATTAAACCTCCAAAATGATGTGTAAAATAGAGTATCAAGACACCTGATACCTGTACACCCATAATAAAGTACTACACAATGTAGGCGGATTTAAAAAAAAAAAAAGTGTGTTAGGTTATGTAAAGAGCTCCCACTCCATGACTTTGTCTTGCTATCACGCCTCTGTGATATTCATACGAAAGGCAAGACATTAAATGGACGAGAATATAGCACTTAGAAAATCACCATGATGAATGCTAAACTCTTTTTAAAATCATACCTCAAAACCCTTCATGAATAAGCCAAAAGTGAAAGGCTTTCGTTTGTGGATTTGTTTGCTTCTGACTTGTTTGTTTGTCTCCATATTAATTTTCTTTAAATTTTTCAAATCCACTTCCCTTTTAACCATAATGTCACTAACTTTGCTGTCTTAAAAACAAAACAATAAAAAATATTTTTGGACAAATCTGCCCAATTTATAGTCCTACTTCCCTATCTAGTCTCAGTAAGGAAGGGGTGCTAGGAAGCTGCAGGGAGAGAAGAGAGAAACCATTTTATTATCAGACACTTCTTCATTCTGCAGTAAAATATGCAACATTCGCCATTCATTAGGACGGACAGTGGCCTTTGTGCGAGCACAGTTCAGTATTCAGCAGTGTGAATGGAAGTTTCTGTGCGGCCCATTGTTGCTCTGCTGCTTCTGGATGCTTATGGACTGACCATGATTGAAATGCTATTGACTGCGTGTGGAGTACTGTCTGTTTGTGACATGTTAAGTTTTTCCAGAACAGATTATTCAGCAGCCTGCAGTCAGAGTGAATGAGCTATCTTTGTTTTCAGACAGAAGAACACTGACTTTTCTGAGCATGTTTATCTGCGCTGGTGTGCGCAGGAGAGCCGTGTGTCTGTGTTTGTGTATTTTCTGTGAATGACTGCTAACAGGGAGCATCGTCACATGGAGCCTCGATCACGATAGCACAGCTGAGCCACAGTATGACCCACATATCCTCTGATTATAGTGCCAGTGTGCACTTAATAATACACTGAAACACACAAGCACATAGATTTATTGCTATTGTAAATGTGTCATCCAGCTAGAAAGGGAATAAGCAGTCCATGATGGAGGAGGTTGTGGTGTAGTACAAACTTGTCTGTCACACAAAAGCAAATGTAACCAGAAAACAACAAGTGATGTTTATCTTTTGGAGGGTGGAGTCATCATCTGGCTGGGAGTAAAAGTTTAATTTATAACATCCTTCCGCCTACTTGTTGACCCTTGCTGCCCTGCTCATACTTCCTAAACTAGACTGAGTTGACTTAACTTTGATCAGGGAGAAATGGGAAAGGTCACCGGACAGTTCTTGGTGAGCTGATGAATGTGTTTCTGTTCTTACATTCAGCTTTGCCAGGAGGTTAAAAAAAAAGCCAGGTCACTTTGTGTCATACTTACATGATGAGGTTATGTTGTTTGGCTGAGTTATTTCCTGGATGGCGCTCCTAGTGACAGTGACAGATGGAGTATCTTTCTGATTGTTACAGTAGAACCAGACTGACAGGAATATTAATGGCTTTGTCAACACACATTAACCCACAGCTGCCTCTCTTTTAATCAGATACAAAGACAGCAGTAGGAAATTAAGTGTTTAAAGAAGCAACTCTGATCATTTTACACACCAAAGTTGGATGTTTCTGAACTATACAGTTACTGTGGCCCCAAAGAAACACAAAACTTGATATTTGTTGTTACTCAAATCAAGTGTAACTTTCAGTTAAAGGCTACAAATGAAAAGTATAACCAGCACCTCGTGGGGCACCAACAGGCCTGAGCCTTGAAGCCCCGTCATGAAAAAATGTCAGTGAAGACCAATAACATTTCGCATAGTATAGTATGATAAAAATATTATAGTATAGTATGATAAAAATGTCATAGTACACTTCGATAAAAATATGTCATAGTATTTTTTAAAAAAAAAGCTAAGTATGTAAAAAAAAAAATATAGTATGATAAAAATGTAAAACCATAGCATTGTAAAAATGCCATAATATAGTATAATAAAAATATGTCATAGTAAAGTAAAATATAAAATGTCATAATATAGGTTGATAAAAAAAAACATGTAAATTTAAGTATGAAAAAAAATGTAATTGTATAGTATGATAAAAAATGTCAATTTAAGTAAGAAATTTTTTGAATTTGAGTGCAAAAAATGTCATAGTATAGTATGATATAAATTTAAAATTGGAGTATGAAAAAAATGTCATAGTATAGTATGATAAAAACTTTCAAATTTGAGTATGAAAAAAATGTCATCGTATAGTATGATAAAAGATTTCAAATTTGAGTATGAAAAAATGTCAAAGTATAGTATGATAAAAATTTCAGATACAATATAAAAAAACTATCATAGTAAAGAATGATAAAGATTTCAAATTTTTGTGTGAAAAAAAAAACGTCATAGTATAGTATGTGAAAAAGTCATAGTATAGTATGATAAAAATTTAAAATTGGAGTATGAAAAAAAAGTCATTGTATAGCATGTCAAAAAATGTCATAGTAAAGTAAGATATAAATTAACAAGTTGATAAAAATTTCAAATTTGAGTATGAAAAATGTCATAGTGAAGTATGATAAAAATTTCATATTTGAGTATGAAAAAAATGTCATAGTATAGTATGATAAAAATGTCAAAGTAAAGAAAGACATTTTTTTTCAAATTTGAGTAAAAAAAAAAAGTCGTAAAGTATGATAAACATTTCAAATTGGAGTATGAAAACAATGTCATAGTATAGTATGTTTAAAAATTGTCATTGTAAAGTAAGACAAAAATGTAAAACTTGAGTGGAAAAAAAGTCAGTAAACCATGATAGAAATTTTAAATTTGAGTATAGTAAAAAATGTCACAGTTTAGTATGTTAAAAAAATCAAATATTATTATAAAAACTGTCATAGATTATTTTGCCGCAAAATGTCAAAGTATAGTATGTTAAAAATTGTCACATTACAGTATGACAAGATTTTTAATTTTGAGTATGAAAAAAAATGACATAGTATAGTATGTTGAAAAATGTCAAAGTAAAGTAAGATAAAAAATTAAAATTTGAGTGGAGAAAAGTCATAGTATAGTATGATAAACTTTTCAAATTTGAGTATTAAAAAAATGTCATAGTAAAGTATGATCGAAATGTAAATTTGGAGTATAAAAATGTAAGTAAAGTAAGAGAAAAAATTTAAATTTGAGTGAAAAAAAGTCATAGTATAGTATATTAAAAATTTAAAATAGGAGTATGAAAAAAATTTCATAGTTTAGTATGTAAAAAAATGTTTAAGTAAAGTAAGACAAATTTTTTTCATTTGAGTGCAAAAACATTCATAGTAAAAGGTGATAAAAATATGCAATTTGAGTATGAAAAATGTCATAGTACAGTATAATAAAAATTTCACATTTTAGTGTGAAAAAAATGTCATAGTATAGCATGTTAAAAAATGTCAAATCGAAAGACGACAAAAATTTAAAATTTGAGTGGAAAAAAGGTCATAGTATAGTATGATAAAAATTTCAGATTTGAGTAAAAAAAGGTTATAGTATAGTATGATAAAAATTTCACATTTTAGGGTAAAAAATGTCATAGTAAAGTAAGAGGAAATTTTTTAATTTGTTTAGAAAAAAGGTCATAGTATAGTATGATAAAATTTCAAAATTGGAGTGTGAAAAAAAATGTCATAGTAAAGTAAGAGAAAAAATTAAATTTGAGTGGAAAAAAAAGTCATAATAAAATATGATTAATATTTCAATTTTGAGAATAAAAAAGGTCATAGTATAGTATGATAAAAATTTCAGATTTGAGTAAAAAAAGGTCATAGTATAGTATGATAAAAATTTCACATTTTAGGGTAAAAAATGTCATAGTAAAGTAAGAGGAAATTTTTTAATTTGTTTAGAAAAAAGGTCATAGTATAGTATGATAAAATTTCAAAATTGGAGTGTGAAAAAAATGTCATAGTAAAGTAAGAGAAAAAAATTAAATTGAGTTGAAAAAAAAGTCATAATAAAATATGATTAATATTTCAATTTTGAGAATAAAAAAGGTCATAGTATAGTTTGATAAATTTTTTAAATTGGAGTATAAAAAAAATGTCAGAGTATCATATGTTAAAAAATGTCAAAGTAGAGTAAGATACAAATTTAAATTTTCAGTAGAAAAAGGTCATAGTATAGTATGATAAATATTTCAAATTTGAGTATGAAAAAACTGTCATAGTAAAGTATGTTAGAAAATGTCATAGGAAAGTATGTTAGAAAATGTCATAGTAATATAAGATAAAAAATTTAAATTTTAGTTTAAAAATATCTCATAGTATAGTATGTCAAAAAATTTTAATTTAAAAGTCAAAAATGCTATAGTATAGTTAGTCAAAAAATTGTCATATTATAGTTTGTTAAAAAACGTCGTTAAAATTCTTAAATATTAGCGGAAAAAAATGCCACGGCAAAAATTTCAAATTTAATTGTAAATAATGTCAGTATAGTTATTCAAAAAAATGTCATAGTATAGTATGATAACATTTTCAAATTTTAGTATGAAAAAATTGTATAGTATGTTCAAAAATTGTTATGTCATAGTATGATAAAAACTTTTGTATGAAAAAAAGTGTCATAATATAGTATGTCAAAGTAAGTATGACTATATTAAGTCAAAAAATGTCATAGTATAGTAAGATAAAAATGTAAAATTTTAGTATGAAAATTCTTTTTTACAGTCTAGTATGATAAAAAAAATTTCATAGTATAGTAAGATTCAAAAAATGTCATAGTATAATATAAAAAAAAGTCATTAAATGTTATTAAATTAGCTAGCTAACTCACTTTATTTGTAAGTGACCTCTGCTGTGTTGCTTTGATTTGGTTGGTGACTTGTAGTGACACTTACCTGTAAATGAGGTACACTCTGCAGCCAAATAATCTTCTTTAAATGAGGTTCGCAAGCAGACTTACCTTTAGTCGATACAAGCATAACACACAGCCTGCAACAGATCCGGTAGAGTTTCTTCATAAATATTATGGACACGAGGTCAACTAGTTAGTTAGTTAATGCAGTAGTTTTCTGTTATCAACTGAATCATTCAGGTCTGTGGCATAAAATTGGATTCTTGAGCTTTCAGATGCTCAGTTTGTACAGTAACAATGACTCAATCCATCGATACTGTGACGCAGTCAGCTTTATGTTAGATATTCCTCCTTATTGTAACCAACAAATCTCCAAACTCATAACTAAATTCACCTTTTCGCAGACTTTCTGTCTCGAATACACAGTTATAAACAGACATCGGTCCATGAAAAGATTCTTTTCACACTAAACGTTTGATCTAATCTGACCCTTTATTGACCTTTAACCCTCTCTGTCTTCTTCTCAGGACTTCTCCAGTAAGACTCTGAAGCGAACCAGGAAGTTTGTTATTGACGGCGTGGAGGTGAGTGTGACCACCTCCAAGATCATCAGAGATGATGAGAAGAAAGACGAGGAGATGAGATTCCTGAGGTAAGAGACGAAATATTACACTACATTGTCGACCTCCTGCCTTTGACTGTGTTAAAATACTTAGTTTGAACTCTTTCTAAACAAAATTTAGGAGGGTCAAGGGTCTGTCAGTGATAAGGAGCTTGTTGGGTGTTGCTTTTTCTTCACATACTATTTCAGGCGTCCTTCTCTTTTGGGCTTTAGACCCCAGGGACTTCGGTTAAAAATGATCCAAACTGTTGTGGAAAATGACTTACTTTGGCAATGGCATCTTTATAAACAATGTAGATAAAGAAAAAGGGGAGAATAAGATGTCTGTAGAGTGTTTGTGGATCAGGCTAAAGATAGCTTTAAGGTCAGCTGTATTTGTTGACAGAGAAACTTCACAAGAAATTTCACATGAAGGGACCAACACAGTCTAATGTCACTGATTTATTTTATGGTTACATTCATCAAATTTGTACACAAAAACAACAACTCTGTTTAAAGCTGAACTTCCTCTGAACCCTTCAGCAGCTCCTGATGCAGCACTCCTGCCATCTAGTGGTAGAAATATCACATTGGACATGTGACTCAAGAAACGCCTTCAGAATTGTTTGGTTTTATTTATGAGTAACTTGTTCTCTGGATGGATATAAAGTTTGAAGAAAATTAAATAGCATTTTCTGAAGCAAAACAGTTGTCTGTGTACCCAGTTTTCTGTGCTTCTTTGTGAGAAAAAAAAAAAATTCTAAGAAAGAAATTCAGTCTGTATTTGACATTTTGCGGCTTCAGCTTTTATGCAAATCAATAACTTTATTGTGCAGAAGTAGATGGACAGCTCATTGAGACACAAAAGACAAGTGGGTCAACATTTAAGAGTAAAAAACTTGCAGAAGCTTCCTGAATTTCTTTGAAAAATAAATTTGGGGTCATGGTTTTCACTGAAACAGGAAATCAGAACTTAAGTCAGAATATTCATATGAAGATTTACTGTTTTTACAGACGTCAGGAGCTGCGTGAACTCCGTCTGCTGCAGAAGGAGGAGCACCGAGCTCAGGCTGGTCTGAACGCTAAACTGGAAACACAGAGAGAACAAATGCAGAGACGCTTTGATCAGGAGATGAATGTGAGTCGAAACACCCGAACACACCCACACACGAATTTACTGTGTGTGGGCTTACACCTCATAAAACTTCCCATGAACACATCCTGCACTTTAAAGGTTCCGTTGTGTCGTTTTGACTTATCTTTTTGATGCATGTACCAGGCCAAGAAGAAGCACTACGATGTGGAGTTGGAGAACCTGGAGAAGCACCAGAAGCAGACCATAGAGAAGATGGAGGCAGACCACAACGTTAGACTCAAGGATGAGACGAAACGCATGAAAGCTGAGCACGAACGGGACCACCACAGGTTCCAGGATCAGTTAAAAAACAAGAAAAAGGAGGTATGGATCTGATTTTACACTTCTTATAAAACTTTATTCAAACTGAGAGAAACTACGTGTTAGCTTGTGCAGTAAATCACAACATAAACAAGCTTCAGATTCCTTCAGTGGTTTGTTAACCTAGTGTCAGCCTTGGTGAACTCAGCTGAAATGGCCTTCTTCTTCCTGTAGGTTAAACAGTCTGTTGATAAGCTGCCCAGGACTCAGCGTAAAGACACCTTGAAGCAGAGAATGAACACCTTCCAAGAAATGAAGATAAGAGAAGTGAGCTGTTTTTCAAGTATTTCCATGCATACCAAACTGAAACACTTTTGAAGTAAACCCAAACATAAATTCATGAAGCATTGCTGAAACAGAAAAAGAACACATCATGATTTAAATACCAAACACATCACATAAGCTCAAAAATTGTGCCTTTATAGCTTTTTAACTTCATGTGTTTTTTTCTGTTTTTCCAGGAGAGCAATTTCTTGGCCGCTCAGAAGAATCACCTGGACACCACGCTGCAAAGAATCATCCTAAACAACAAGAGAGAGATCGCAGAGATGGAGCGGGAGTGTCTGAACAGGAAACACCAGCTTGTCAGAGGTACAAGAACACTTCTGAATCACTTCTGACTCTTATCAAACCAACTCAAAGTGTTATCTTTTGATCGTGTCTTCTGTTTTAACTTCTCGTTTCTGCTTTGATTAGAGCGTGAAGCCACGATATGGGACATGGAGGAGAAGAACCTTTACGAGAGACACCAGCTACTGAAGCAGCAACTGAAAGATCAGTACTTTCTCCAGAGGCATTCGCTCCTTAAAAAACACGAGAAGGTAAATCAGAGGATTCAGTTTCCTTTTTTTTCTCCAAATGAAAATATACTTTTGTTTTAAATCTGGTTATCACATCAAAATAAAAACTTGTGAATTATCTGTTTTATATTTCAAGAGAATTAAATCTACATTTTCTCTGTACCCACAGGAGCTCGAGCAGATGCAGTGCTACAACCACCGAATGATTGAGATCCTCAAAGCTCGGCAGCAGCAGGAGAAAAGCCGGCTGCCTAAGATCCAGAGAAGCGAAGCCAAAACACGCATGGCCATGTTCAAGAAGAGCCTCCGCATCAACTCTACAGGCAGCTCCTCCGAGGACAGGGAAAAGGTCAAACAGGTAAGAGTAACACTGGTTATCTCAACTCTTATTTAAGCACTGGATGAATTATTTAGATCCTCACGCTGTTTGTGTGTCTGTAGTTTTCCCAGCAGGAGGACAAGCGGCAGAAGGCGGAGAGGCTGCACCAGCAGCAGAAACACGAGAACCAGATGAGAGAGATGGTCGGCCAGTGTGAGAGCAACATCAGAGAGCTGCAGCAGCTCCAGGTGAATTATGGGAAACTCATCTTTGACACATTTATCCTGCGAAAACCTGCAAGTCTTTGCAAGATTAATGAGAGGTTCGTTTGTGCGTTTCAGAATGAAAAATGTCACCTGTTGATCGAGAACGAGACTCAGAGGCTCAAACATTTGGATGAACAACAAAACCAGCTGCTGAAGGACTGGAGGGATCAGCTGAAACCCAGAAAGAGGGTAGGCACTGACGAGTTCGATGTTTAAGAGTCACATGTGAGTCACATTTCTCAGTCATTATGAAGCATCAGCTCTCATAACCAGCAAAAAGAAAATCCTCACAGAACCTCCAAACTCAGAATTTACACACACTAATTCTGAGTTTGGAGGTTCTGTGAGGATTTTCTGTGAGGTGGGGCTTTGCAGGTGACAAATCATTACCTTGAATAACAGACAGGGGGCAGTGTCTTTGTAGAGTCTGTACTGTAACACAAACTAAACTCTTTTTTTTTTTACGTGTTTTTCCTTCTAGGCTCTCGAAGAGGAGCTTAACATGAAAAAAAGGGAGCAGGAGGCTTTCTTCAGGATGAGTGAGAGCTCCGATTGTCCAAATCCGAGTTCCCCCCATAAACTCTCCAAGTTTGTGCCTTACCAAGACTCTTCCACGACATAAAAACCAGCTGCTGTGACGCTGCGCAAGATGTCAACTCCAACTATAAAACACACACACACACACACACACTTCAGGCTTTACAGACCGGCCTGCTGCCTCAGATTTTAATTTGCTTTGCCTGTCATGGCGGCACAACTATCCCTCCATCAGGTTCCTTTATTGTTTTAGTGAATATTTATGTTTTAACCCAGAAGGACGGGGATGTGAAAGAATGAGTAGTCTGTACCCTCCTGCAGTTATTTGTTTTCCTTTTCTGTTCGGGGTTTTATCGCCGTTTGTTTCAGCTGACACCAAACTAATAATTGTTGAGACAGTAACGAAGCACTTTTCATCCATCCTGAATTATTTGTGCCGTCTTTCGAACAGCGTCACCAAAAAAAAAAAAAAAAAAAACACACATATAAAAACAAATAAATAAAAAAACTATTTTTTTCCCATCTGTCTGTGACAAAGCAGCTGAAGTCTGCCTTTATTTATTTTACTGAAGAAGAACAACCTGATTTATCACTGTCAATGCTACATTACATATTTTCTCTTTTTCAAACTAGTGCCAATGGTATGCAGGATGTGCTTTTTATTTAGTATCTTTATTTTTTTTAAATGGGGGATGAATCCAGATCAGACTTTAAGTTTCTTTTTAAATGATTACTTAACTTTGTGATGAGATTTTAACAGAAAAAGGGAATCTTCATTGTTATTCACCAAGTGTTGCTTTTGTATTTTTGTTCTTTTCTTGTATTTTACTGTAAAATCAGTCACACTGGATGGGAACTGACATAGCCAAAGCAAAATACTGTCGTCCTTTGAAGGATGTTTTGAGGAGATTTAAAGTTAAAAATTAAAAAAATGTATTGTGTATTATTGATGTACCATGTGCAGTAAATGCACTGCCTGCTAACCAAAGTGCAATATTCCATGTATGTCTTTGCTAAGCTCAAAGAGGTTTATTTTTCTGAAACTTTGCCTTCCTTTGCACTGAGAGAAGAAATAATACGATGGGTTTAAATCGAAAAACAGATCCCAGCTTTGGTAAGAACAGCTTTACCTAAATGTTTTTTAAAGCAATAACACTCAGACATCGAAATGATCAGTTTTTGGAACATTTTCTGCTTCGTATAATTTAAAAAAGGGAGTGCAACAATTCTATCTGCTGTAAAATGCCTTGAGATTTTTCTTACATTCAAACGGAAACCTTAAGTTTGCAGTTGAGGAAATTGTTGCATGTCAAGATGAGGAAAGTTTCTATAGAAGATCGACCTGCAGATCAATACAGACCAGGTCCAAAATCAGGTACAGCTTCATCTTTGCTCTCCCTTTACAATCTCTCTCAAAGTATTTAAATTTGTGGTCTTTTCTGTCCTGTTTAACGGCCTCTATCTATGCCTTCCTCTCTGCCTCAGTTTACATGATATTGTTTGTGTGGGGGGATTGCGAGTGTGAATGAAAGTGTATCAGAAGGAACCACTGTTGTAAATAACTCTTAATAAAGGCAGATTTTCTAATTATTGGATTGTGAGGTGGGTTTGTTTATTGATTTATCCATAACATTTGAAACAGTCAATCACGGTATTTTACTGCAGAAACTTTCTCTCTGTGGTGCGAACGAGTTGTTGTGGATTCTGTTTAGGACAACTGCATTGGACTATGGATTGATTTCATGTGGGGTTCCCCAAGGCTCAATCCTGGGGCCTTTACTTTTTCTATTAAATATATCATATAACACATAAATGAATAATAATAATGCATCAGATTTCATACACCGCTTTATCAGCGACCCTCAGAGCACTTTACATAGGATACATCATTCATTCACTCACACAGTCACACCCTGGTGGTGGTAGACTACCTTACAACCTGAGGCAGACTGAAACAGGGCTGCTAGATTGCGCCTACAGCCTCTCCGACCACCATAACGCAACAATCACAATCATACACACTTGGAGTGAGGTGGGTTAAGTTTCTCGCCCAAGGACACAACAGACAGACTAGTCCAGGGGTGGGCAATCATGTGCCATGGAGGGCCGAGAGGATGCAGGTTTTCTTTCCAACCCAAAACTCCACCAGGTGATTTCACTGATTACCTTACCTCCAAGCAGAGAGCAGAGACTAATCAGTTTTGGGTTGGAAAGAAAACCTGCAGCCTCTCGGCCCTCCATGGCACATGATTGCCCACCCCTTGGACTAGGGATAAGGGGGAGTCAAACCGACAACCTTCCAGTTATTGGACGACAAATGACACATGACCACATCTAACGCATTGTCAGCTTGTTTGCTGATTCAGACCTTTTCAATCTGGTGAAGTTGAACACAAACAGGCTTCTCAAATAAATCGAGAACAGGGAAAAGTTGACATTTGGTTCAAAGTAAACAAGTTATCACCAAAGACGGGTGAATGATACCAAAGCTCGACAGTAGACTGTGAGGCCTGTATCGTAACCAGCAACAATCGCAAAAACGACATCTGTACTGAAAAGGCTGAAACTTTTATTGATTTAAAGTAAAAGATAAAGAGAAATACAAAGAAAAAAGTAAACAAGATTACACTATGAAATGATGACACATGGAAGCCCACTTGCCTTTACACTTTTCCGTACCCTTCTTACTTTTGTCCATAAAACCACTCCAAATAATTGAGTTTTGGGTTAATCTGAGATTCTGTTTTGCTTAATTTTTTCCATATGAGACATGGTAGAAGGTGGGATTACACTAAAGCGACTAGAAGCAGGACAGTATCACTGTGACAGCTTTTAGCCTTGTCTGACTGTTTTTTATGAACACAGTTTTTACCCCTATACTTTAACTTCACCTGAAAATTCAAAACTTTTGGTTAAAATGTCGTCTGGACCACTTGTGGAAAAGCACCAACCTTTCCCCACCTTCTCTGGATTTATTCATTTCTCTCAAAAAAAAAGAAAAAACAACAACATTTTTTTGCATTTCTTGTAAAGACAAACCCAATAAATCAATCATCCACACTCTCTTTGCCCTCTCTTACCTCCTCATCATTACAGAGTTAAAAATGGTCCTTAAAGAAAAAGTGACAACAGCGAAGATATGCCTCTCATTTCTGTACAATAAAAATAATTTGTTGTACTGACCATGCTTGAGACCAGTCAAGCATCAAAGTAAAACATTATTTTATACAATGGTCATACTTTGCTGTTATTTGAGCACCAAACTTCGGTTAAGAACAGACTGTACACTTACAATACTGTATATCGTTGCACAAAACACTGTAGATCTCCAATTCTCTTTTCTTTCATCAACAATCCTAATTTTTTTCCTTTCTCTTTTGTAACTTTTTCCTTCAAACTAGTGGATACAGTTGGTATAAAAAAAAACAAACTCAGAAATAATGATAAAACTAAGAAAAAAAAAGACGCACCGTGGCATTCCTCCTCTTCCTTCACGCATGTGCAAACCTTAAACTGACCTCACGTGAAATGATTGAAAAAGTGCACATCTGTTACAAGTCACTGCAACGTTAATTCTGCAGTCAACAAAGAAAGCGTTACGATAGCACAAAAAACTAATATGCATGTCTCTAGTATAACAAACAGCACTCCTACTTGGCAAAGACATCTCTATAAGTGATTGCTTGTAGCTTTTGAAAGCCCAGATATAGTCGCTGAACTCCCTCGGTGAGTTCATGTGCAGTTGTTTTTTTTTCGGGACTCAAGATTTGAACTTTTTCTCCTGCGATTTTTGATGTTTATTTAAAGATTTTTTTTTTTTAATTCAGATTCCACCGAGGACTACGTCTACAGTTGCATACAGTATATTAAGCACTGAAGCACTTTGCATATAATAAAGAGGCACTGTATAATAGAAGGCATGGTTGGAGATACATTTACTGCTGCTATAGTGTCTAACCTTTTCACCTAAGATTTCATCAAACCAAAAAAGTAAACATCACAAGACCTGACGAGGCGATGTGTTATTGCTGGTTCAGTTTAGGTAGAATACTTTTATCAAAATAAAACACAATCTAAAAAAATCTATTAAAAAAGGTACCTATAAATAAAAACAATGCTAACAAGCTAAAAAGTAGTGATATTTTAAGATTTTTGATTCGTATGGCGATGGTCTTCAGAGCATCTTCACACTAAGGTTTCTTGCTCAGATAATTCGAGGGGATCCAGCCCTCGGCTTCTTCTCCTACGTTTTTGCAGAACCACCAGCCGCTGCTGTTTTTCTCCAGAACCTCAAACACCGTACCCACCTTGAAGCTGGATGTGTTTTCATCCCCTTCAAAGTCGGCCACAGCCAGGTACAGCTCGTCCTTACTGGGCTCTTTGAGTAAAGGTGGGAGCTTGTCCTTGGGTGGGCCGGGCTTCTCGCTCTTCAGCTGGGGTTTGGGGGGAATGGGGACTTTGTTCACTTTGGGTTCTTCTTTCTCTTTGTTTAAAGGAGGCTGAGGGAACCCTTTGGGTTTAGGAGGAGGGGGTCTGCTGAGCTGGGGTGGTGTAGACTTTGGAGAGTCCAGGGCTTCTTTTAGAGCAGGTGGGGGTTTGGTCTCAGTTGGGCTGGATGGGCTCTCTTTCTTTGGGGGAGGGGGTCTTCTAGGAACCATGCTGGGGGGTCTCTGAGGGGGCTCCTTATGAGGGGGTACTGCTGGTTTTGCAGGGGGTGGTGAGCTCTCCTGGCTGTGGCCGTTGATGTGTTTTGGGGGGAGTCTTGGCTCGTCACAGGACTTGCTGTTGTTGAGAGCAGGCATATGGATGGGGGAGGAACTGGGGGGTGAACTGTTCACAGCTGAGGAGGTGCCGTTCTGCTGGTTCCCTTCAGCCGAGCCGGGATCTGAAGGTTTCGATGGCCTCAGCTTGCTCCTCAGGTTTGTGATGTCCAGTTTGTTCTCCGCTGGAGGATCTGGTTTTGCAGCAGGCACGGGTTTGGGTCTGATGACCGGCTTTGCCTTCATGAACACTGCTGGACCAGCAGCTTCAGGTTTCTCCTCCTGAACTTCTGGTTTGGGTTTTGGAGGCTGTTTGGGGACCGGCTTCAAATTAAACTTCTTCACCTCTTTGGCTGAAACCTTATGGCCGCATTCAAGACCCATCTCATTACGAAGGTGAAGGGCTTTACTTTTATCCTCTTTCTTGGCCTCAGCTGGTTTTTCAGGCTTGAAGGGGGGTGCTTTGGGGGCCACTAATGGCACGATGACCCCAGGTGCTGGAGGTTTTGGTGGCAAAGGTTTGGAATGGTCAGATCTGGATTTCTCTGCTATTTCTATTTCAAAGCTTTTATGGATGGACTCCCTCCGAGGAGGCAGGGCTGGTTTCTCCTCGGCTGGTGGAGCAGCTGGGGCCGGGGGTAAAGGTCCAGAGAAGGTTGTGGCCCCCTTGCTGGCACTGGATTTCCAGTCTCTTAGCTTGGGCCGGGTACAGGACTCAGGGGCTGTGGTTGGCTCATCTGGTAAAGGTTTAGACCAGCTGTCATCTGTGCCTGAAGGATTTGTAGAACCACCGTCCTCCAATCTCAGCTTCTCCATCTCATTGGGCAGAGGGGCGAGGAAGTTGGGGCGCAGGGCGTTACTGGTCTTCTTGTATTTGTCGATAAAGTTGGCAGGGGCCCAGCCCTCTTTGTCCTCTATCTGGATGTACCACCAACCACTGGCATTCTTCTCAATCACCTGGTAGATAAAAAGGAGCAACTTTGTTTGACTTTGACTTTTTTTTCTCATTCATTATTGGTTCTGATTTGCAAGGAAGGGGCTGGACTAGATAATGAGCTCTTTGCTTTATTCTGTTCCTTCTCAAACTGTTTGTTTTTGACATACACATGCTGTAAATTTATCTTTGACATACAGATGTTTGCTGTTCATATGTATTATTTTGCTCTGTGTTTTTGTTTTAAGTTGTTTTTTGTTGTTGTTGTTCTTAAAGTTTGAGATTAATAAAGAAGAAAAAATGAATAAGAAAGAAACTTTCTTTTCAATAATCTAAAGAGACGGGTCAACATCTATGAATGTACATCTATAAAAACTAAAGCTGAAGGCTCCTGTGAGGAACTCTGTCACTGTCACATTCTTATGTGTTTTATTTTATTTTTTTAATTAAATTTGTTTTGGTTTTACTTTGTGTGTTGCTTCCATCTTGTTTTTTAAGATTATATTAATCTTAAATAATTTTATTTGTTTGACCTATTAGTGGTACTATTTCATTTATTATCTAATGTGTTTTTATCCTTTTAAGCTGCTCATTTTTTTAACTTATTTTTCAGGTTTTTTTCAGGTTCAGAGAGGGGCTTTCTCTGTAATTGTTTGTCTACGTTTTTATTTTTTCTGTGTAAAGCACTTTGTGTTGTATGTCCATACCTGAAAATGTTCTATAAATAAAGATTGATTTGATTTGACTGTTGGTTATCTGTTTGCTTTTGGATATCATAAAAAGTCATAAATACAAATTTCTGCCTCTTTCATTGACAATAAAAAAACTCCTTACAGCAGCTTTAACTCTGGATTCAAATTCAGTACAGTTTAAGACAATACTGAACCTACCTCGACTTTGATTCCGGCTTGGAAGCTAATACCATCGGGGATGGTGGTCTGAAAGTCCGCTATGGTGTAGAACTCTTCCTCAACCTGAGGAGGAACAGGCGGCTTGGGCAGGTTCGCACCACGCGGCTGAAGGATGAGAGAAAGACATAAAAAGGTGAAGATGTCAGTTTTTTTCCCCCCAGTAAAACAGAATTTCTGTCGATGTATGATGAAAAGTGGATTTCTCACGATAGTTAGATCTCTGCGTGGAGGAGGTCTGTGCCTGGATCCCACTTCTGTGGAGGGAAAAGGTGATCAATAAACTTGATTTAATTCGATGCAAAGCGACAGTGCAGAGACAATAGTGTGCAAACTGGATTAACTGATACTGGCTGTGCATGAATAGCATGTAGGAGTGTTGATCTTTGAATATGACACCAGCAGCATATAGAAAAGTTTGAGTGTTTTGATTTAAAATTACTTTTATCAGAGAAGAAGGAGAGTCTGTTTTCTTTCTGGTTGTTGTCTCGGCTCTCTTTGGCTGCGTTGTTCTGCTGGTTCTGTTTAGCAACTCCCTCCAGGTCGTTGGTGCTGGCATGAGCCGCTCCACCTGCTGACTGCCTCTGACTCTGGATGTCAGACTTCTTCAGGTAGGAGGCAGGGGCCCAGCCCTCACGACCCTGGTACCTGAAAGGGGTGGAGAAGATGTGACAGATGTTGCATTAAGCCAAGCTCAGGTGAGTAAAGAATGAAGTGATGTGCGATATCATGGCAATTATATCTCATCTATCCCACTGGCTTATTCTCCGTTGCATATGTTTACACTCTGACAGCAGCTTGCGCACTTGTAAATATTCCTTTTATACTTTTTATTCTATTGTATTCTTCTTAGTACTTTATTGTGTGTTCTTCTCATCCAGGGCATTTTATTGCATTGTTGACTATGTTTAATCCGCATATGACAAATAAACCAATCTTGAATCTTGAAAGTTTTCCTCCTGGATGTTATCTAAGCTACCCAAGTCATGTTTATTTATTTGTTTTTAATCATATATTCACTCATCTCTTTGGAAAAATACAATTTCCCACTGCCTATCATGCCTCTGGGTTTACATCAGTTGATGTATTTACCTGATCTTCCACCAGCCCTCCAAGTTCTTCTGAATCACCTCCACGATCATGCCTCTTTCCAGGTCAATCTCATCCTGGTCTCTTGCAGAGTACGGGTAAATCACTGAGTACTTCTCCTCTGGTGTCAGAAAAAGACCAGATCGTTAGATACAAGAATGTAATGAGCATTGATTAAAATGTGGGCAAAATTAAATCTGATGTCATGTGTTCCAGGAGAGCGCACTAAGAACTTTTGGACTTTTTGGAAGTTTAATAACAATCTGTTGCTTTCATGAAACTAAAGGTGCAACAAAAAAGAGAAAGTGCTACTTTTATGATCATCTTTAAGCTTCTTTACTCAAAAGAGGTCTAAGACACTTCGCTCAATCCTCCTGTCTGAATTAATTGAACTGGTTATAAGGAGAAAATTTCATCGTAGCTGGTGAAATGAGGCAGGCTTGAGCAGCATCTTGTGGAGTTGGAAGATGTGAGATACACACAAGTGAAAAACACAAAACACACAAACATCCTCCACAGATATCAACACTAAACAGGACAAACTGACTACTGTTTCTAGCATTATTTACTGTGATTTACTTAGTGCTGGTTAATTGAAATGATACACACTTTTCTTACTGAACTTTGTATCATTTAAAAGGACAATCCACTCTGCATGCGAGGGTTTAATCGACATGCTTGGATCTCTCATGCAACCATACAAAATCATGCGTACACATGGACAAACGTGCTCACAGTCGTATGCGTGTTTGCACACGCACACGTTAAGAATAGGGGGGAGTAGAAAAGGCGTGCGCTCCACCTTGCCCAAAGCCTGTGCTGAATAGATCCCCTAAAGTTCTGCGTCGACCCATGTGCCTTGGCAGTGACCAGAACCTCCGAGGCACTGACATCCCAGCACAGTAAGTGGGGCAAAATAGGAAGTGAACATTACTTATGCCATCTGGAGGAGATTTCAACCTAAATGAAAGCAAGCTCAATATCTGCTGGGCCATGAAACCGTTTGTTTTTTACCTGGGCAGGACCTTTATTTTGTCCCCCTTTAATTTTGAACTTGGTTTGATCCATACAGACAGAACAGACTAGAATAGATAGGTAATATTGGCCCTGGGTGTTAACTTGAAGCCTTTTCAATCTGAAATAACTTTGACATTTACTCAACTCTTTCTCACTAGCAAATAGACAACAGGACCAAAGTTGGTAATGTGAACATGCTCAAATCTTCTTAGCATCATATTAAAAAAAAACAGACTCTGAGATAATGTTAGTTATTTAAACGCTCCACACACACAAGCACTTATTTCAGGGCTCTGAGGAGGACCTGCCTCCATATACACAGGGCCAGGAGTTTCAGTGTCCACTTTAAAACCACATACTTCTCAGGCTTGCCAAGACTAAACTGTGGTTTGTAATTTGCATATCGGCCGGTTGGTCTTTTTACTCAGTGTAGCTCGTACCATACTCAGAACATTATCATTACAGCATTTAACCTCTGCAGCTGGCTTCACCCTGATTTAATGTATTGCTTACATGTAATTTATGTAAGTGGTTCATAATTAAAGAATCTGAAGATCGTTAGATTGCTGTTTGAAGGTCAGCAAAACAGCTGAATACAAACTACATCTAACCAGCCACGCCTACTGCACATGCAGTAAGCTGGTGCTTTAAGCTTTCGATTCAATAAACATGAAAACATTTCAACTTATTGGCTCCGACAGAGACTATAAATTACAAAATAATGAAGGCTATGTGCGTCATTTTGCCCTTAAGAGAGATTAGAGATTATCTTTATCATTACAGCCGGATTAATGTCGAGTTGAGTCTGAGTTTTGAGCTTTTATGGCCTCCAAACTTTTCCTTTCAGAGAATACTGAACCTGAACAAAAGCACACAGATGGACATTTTCATGTACCTTCCTCCCCTGGAATAGTGAAGTCATCGGGGTCATCCTGAGCCTCCAGACAGGTAGCAGGGACCCAGCCCTGGGCGTCTTCAGAGCTCACAAACCACCAACCTGGAGGAGCGGAGGAGAGGTCCATTCACTTACAGGTAATACTTATGTACCCAGTTTCAGGAAGGAGGAAAGAAGGAAGCACAGAAGGGAGGAAGGAGGGAAGGAAAGAAAAAAGGACAGAAGGGAGGAAGGAGGAAGGGGGGGGGGGGGGGGGCAGAAGAAGAGAAAGGGAGGGGGGAAGGAAGGAAAGAAAAAGGAAGGAAGGGAGGGTGGAAGATAGGAAAGATAAAGGAAGGAAGGGGAAAGTAAAGAAAAAGGAAAGGGAGGAGGGAAGGAGGAATAAAGGGGGGGTGCAGAAGTGGGGGGGATGAAAAAGAAAGGAAAGAGAAGGACGAAGGGTGGAATGAGAAGGAAGGAAAGAAAAAAGGGAGGAGGGAAGGACAGAAGGGTAAAGGAAAGAAAAAGGAAAGGATAGAAAGAAAAAAGGAAGGAGGGGGAAGGACAAAGGATGAAAGCAAGGAGGGAAATAATAGCAAAAGAGGAAAGGAAAAGAGGAAGATAAAAGAGAGAAAGGAAGAGAGTAAAGGAGGTAGGTCTGTTTCATCTCTCTATAGATATAAATGTCTATTTACATTTTATTTAATGTTTTAAATGAAGGCTGAATGATGAACACGTCTCCTAAATACTACAAAACACGAGAAAGGCGACCTTGTCTAACAGCTGCTGAAGTTTTAATCAATCATGTGAGAGATGGAAAAAAGAAACTAAAATCAAAGTCACACACTGATGCGCCACAGAAAACAGTGGCTCTGATTTCCTTTCTGATAAAACATCCAGAGCTGTTTCTGATTTACTTCTGTGTAAACTTCTGAGTGCTGAACCTACCTGACTCATTTTTCTCAATGACCTCCACCACCTGACCCACGTGAAGACTGATCTCAGAGCTCTCCTGCTTCTCATAGTCCGTCACTGCCACGTACTGGTCCAGGAGGAGAGGGTCCCCTGCAGTGGAGTCTCCTGGTCAGAGAAACAGATTAAAAGAGAAGCTCAGTCAGCCCACTCGGCTACTTTGTTACGCACAGTGAAGGGTGAAATCTCAATAATGTAAATAAGCCTCTCCACTGACCTTGGGAGTGAAAACAGAGACACTGGGATGAATTTAGAGTGACCGGATTTGCATGTGAATGAATCAGTGACACTGACATTAAAAATATCAGAGAATATGAAAATGAACTTTACTGAGGAGCCAATTTAAAAATCATCTTTCATTCCTGGAGTCACACTTGGGAAAACTTCCTTTTATGTCATTTTAAGATCAAGTTTTCTAAAAGGTTTAGTAAGTAGAGGCTTATCTAGATAATGAAGTTTCACCCTGACGTGAAGCAGAGGGAGTAGCCGACGTGATTGGAGATGATGTGAAAGAAAACAATGACAGAGAAAAGCAGAGAATTACGGAGTGAAAAGAAGAGAAACACGACGTGTAAAAAGTTAAATTAATCATCAACGTGGCTGTGATTTCCACACAGAAACAAACCAGCACCGAGACGACCCACCACCGATGTTAGCAGCAAGCCAGCCTGAGAAAAATCAACTCTAAACACCAAGAGGGCTCACAATACTCTTATTAGCTTCATTTATGTTCTTTAAGTTGAAATAAAAAATCTCCTCGCTGCAGCTGAAGCATCTTTTCATGTGATTTTTAAAGCGACAGTACAAACCATCAGAGCAGAGGGATCACTGAAGGTGCTGAAGGAAACACACAAGCAGACAGGAAACATATTCCAGCTGACAACATTCAGTTTTGATATATGAAAACAGAAAAACACAGATGTAGAAACGTAACTGTCAGGTTGTATAACAGATTAAACTGCCACAGTTTATATTCCTTGCAGCACCTTTAGTGATCGGCAGCAGCCTGTGCAAAATGGTCTGAACTTAGCAGCTCTACTGTCACAAAAGGGCACTTTAACATTCTGTTATTATCCTCAATCTAGTCTATCCTACCTGGGCAAAACATGCTTAAATTAACCCAAAACAGGGCCAAAGATGATTTAAAGATCTCCGATGATGTTATATGATTTTATTTCTAAATCAATGCGAGCCCCGAGCCTTCAACAGAGCCACATCCCACCTGCCCAGGCCAGAGGAGCAGAGGGAAAACAGACCAATAGCGACCCGCTGGCTCACACACACAGCACGACCAAGAGTTTACTACCTCGCTTTAGGAAAGTAGTCGCTCGCTCCACAATCCCTGATGGAAAGGAAAACGGATAGAGGAAAACTGAACATATGTCATGGATGCAATTTCAGGAAATGAAATGAATAAAAAGAGAGAGAAGAGAATAAATAAAGACAAGATGAGTGATCTGGAACCAGAGCTAAGATTAGGGACTCCTTGGAGCCAAAACATTCAACTTTTAATCCAACATTCAAGTTTGTACTTTTTGTGTGTAATTAAGCTTGTGACCACTAGATGGGGACAATTTCAAGTTAGGCACTTTGAATGAGTAGTGGAGAGTTTTTCCACTTTTAAAAAACTGTTTTACTCCATATAGGCAGTAAAACAACAACAACAATAAACTATTTCCCCTCTGTATTTATTCCTTTAAAATTAAATATAACCCAAAGTTTTTTCTCAAACACATTAAACTGCGTCTTACCTGACTTCTTCTTTCCAATAGGCTCCCTGTTAAAAGGAAGAAATCATCATATTAATTTCAGGAAATATTGAAACACTTTACAAAACTTGGGAGAAATTAGAACCATTTTCATATTTTGATAATGGAAATTAAGTATGACGATAGTAATCCAAAGTGCTTGTCCAGCAGTCGTTAAAATCCTGTGTATGCAAAGATGATTTCCAAAATCAAAATTACAGATCATGTGGGTTATGTGACTTTGCAACAGGGCATAGAGATATTGCTGATTAAGTATACAACATTTATACCATGGATAAAAACAAACTGAACCTGTGTGCAGCTGTACGGCTCTGAGGATAAAGAAACAGAGACCCGTGGGTGTTGACAAATGCTTTTTCGTAACATTTGTGAGGAAAAACCAAACGGTCGACACAGAGAGCACCAAGATTTGACTTAAGATAGGAGGCACAGTGGGTTTACTCCAGTTTCTTCCCACATCATATAAACAATCAGAAGTGGGGTTAGGTCAATTTGTCACTTTCAAATTGCCTGTAGGTGTGGATGTGAGTGCGAACTGGCGACTTGTCCAGGGTGTCCCCTGCCTTTGCCCCAAGATGCTGAGATAGGCTCCGGCACCCCGCGACCCCCCAACGGGGTAAGCGGTAGAAAATGGATGGATGGAGAATGCCCTTATATATTCATCTTAGCTGTAGATACAAGTTAAAAACACCCTTTAATTTGAGTGTGACTGTGCATAAATCATAAATCTGGTCCAAACATTCATCAGGCATTTGATTGTCTACAAAAAAACTTTAACCTTTGAAGTAATTTGATGCCATAGATGTTTTTTTGCCTTTGTTGATAGGACAGACTGCAAATATGGGGAGGTAGAGAGAGAGATGGGGAGGACGTGCAGCACATGGTCAGGCCCGGACTTGAACCCACAACCGCTGCGGAGACCATGGTCCTCATACATGGGGTACGCTAACTCACTCGGCCATCTGCATGCTCCAATGCCAGGGATGTTTATAAGATGTTTATCAAAATAAAAATGCTCTTTGGGATTGTGAGAAACTGGCACTAATGATGCTTCTTAAACTGAGTTTGAGTTATTTCATGTTTTTGACTTTGTCAGGTCTTCTCAGCACAGCACTTAGACTAATTAGCCCAGTAATGAATTAGCAATAATAGCTTTTATTACACTTATCTCTTAGATTTATGAACACGCAGCAGGCTGATAGGTTAAAGATGAGTCTCTGTCTCTGATTCAGGCCCATGTGAATAGAGAAGCTCTGGATAGGCTGACGTCTCAAATGTAGTCTGATGTAAAATTCAATACAGCATCTGCAGTGTCTGGTTTAGACATTAGCTGGATAAATAGACCATCACTCCTCAGCAGCAGTCAGGAGCTGATTCGATGTCCAGATGCCCTGAAAAGTCAGTGGTGCCTACTGCTCAGCATTTCTCCTCCCTCTCTTTCTCTCTCACTCTTCCTCTTTGTTATCTAAATATTACCCTCCTCCTCCTCCTTCTTCGTGGCCTTCCTTTTTCTGTCTCAAATCCTCCACGTCCACTCAGCTCCCTCCTTTAACCCCCTTTTGATCGTTTTCTTGGCAACTATGACTTGTTTGTTTCTCCGCATCGACATGAACGCTCTCTACCACATAAAGCATTGTTCGATCGGCTCGACTGTTAATTGTGGGGGCTTAAGTCTCGATAAATCTTTACCCATAAGCACTCTCATTAATGGACTATAAAAAGAAATCCCTGCCAGGCCAATCAGAGCAGTACCAATGTTGTGGATTATTGCAGAAGAAGAACGAGCCAAGGGGAATCAGGGGTCAGGTAATGCACAGATGACCTGAATCCTTGTCTTAATATGATTATCGTACTGTAACTACTTTATTGTATCAAATTAAATAAGTCCTCCTACTTCAGGTGGAACAGACAGACAGCCACAGTCCAGACATGGAGTCCACTAACATGATGAATGGAAAAAAAGAAATCATAACTACAACTCTACAAATACTAATTGGTAAATACAATTACCAAGAAACACACAGGAATTATTTAGTATTCATGAGGGGATCTACAATTTAAGGGGAAAGAGTAACTTTAATTTCAATGTATTTCGTAAAAACAGTAAAGGTTCTTGAGTTTCAGTCAGCGGGGTGAGACGTTGGAAAAAGTTCCCAACAGAGTTGAAGGATTGTTCAACTTAAAGCAGTTTAAAATGAAGTATAAATACACTATTTTCAAGAGCTACGGGGATGATGGAGTTGTTGGTAGCACTATGTATTAAGGGGGTTTACTGTGTTGTGCATAAATAGATGTATGTATGTATGTATGTATGTATGTATGTATGTATGTATGTATGTATGTATGCATGCATGCATGTATGTATGTATGTATGTATGTATGTATGTATGTATGTGTATGGATAGAGAGTCTCCATAAGTGTATAATTATTCTAGTGGTGACTACAGCACGAGTGTCTAGACAGATCAATAAGGCCAAAGATTGTTGCAAGTTATTTAAAGAGAGAAAAGGTTGGGAGCTTGTAAGTATTACTTCTTCCCACTCCTTTTCAAAAAATATATTTTATTTTCATTGTTTTGTTTTTATTTACTTTCTCTTGCATATTCAAAATAAACAGAATCAAATCAAATCTTCACCTGTCGTGAGTGTATATGGATCCTTTTTTTGCCTCTTTTGCCTCTTTTCCCTCATCCACTTCTTTTTCCTCCCCTTGCTTCCTCTCCACCTTTCCTTACCTTTTCCCTTATTTTTTCTATCTCATCTTCTACCTTTCACTTGTCAGTTTTTCAGTTCTCAGACCCTCTGCCTCCTCTTAACCTATAAGCACTCCTTTTCCTCTCATCTTCAGCCTCTCCTTTCTTGTTTTCTTTCTTCTTACTCAGCTCCTCTTGAGGCAGAAACTCTAAGATGTTCCTCTCAGAGCAGCAGATTTACTCACCATGATAAATCTTCTCCCACAGTGGCTGCTGTGTCTCTACGACCAGCCCTGCTGTCAGTCAGCCAAACAACAGGCTGCACTAGCAGAAAGCAGTAATCCAATTTCAATAAAGACAAACCAAGGTCCTTTCTATATTCATCTGCCTCTGGTCATGCTCCCCCTCTTCTCTGCATGACTGTTCACATACTTGGGATTTTATATATCGAGGGGGAGGTGTGTGTCCTTGGTAACCTCTGAACGCAGACAGAGACAAAATGTGCTTTTACCTGTGTGTATATTTCCTCTTATGGGAGAGTCACGTGATCACACTTGTTTTGTAAACATAAAGGAAACATCCTTAAAAATTTCAGCCTTGAGCAAAACAGCAAACTAAGTAAACCAGCTGACTGCAACAGACAACGCCCTCAGAAGTGACATCATCAGGTCCCGTTATACACTAGATGACGATACGACAGGAGACGTCTCACTCCCTCTAACAGCAGGTCCTGTTAATTAACCTTGAGTACACCTCCCACCTGAGACACACCTCAGTGTAATACAAAAAAACATGAATATAAATACTGAGCTGAATTTCAGGACCGCTTTAGAATTTAGCTTTAAGCTTGAAATGTAGGATTATGAAACCATCTTGAGTTTTAAATCCTCCAGGTTTAAAGGAAAACAGACAATCATTTCTTAAAGCACCGTGAAGCTCGACGCCTTCGCTTTTGGGTCAGACGCACCAGGACTCATTGTATTAAAAATCGATCTGAAAGTGGAGTGACATTTAGCATTTTTTTCGTGTCTGAACAACTTCAGTGACTTCAAATGTCAAGGAGACGGGGCGGATGGAAGCTGCAAGACTGGACTAATGACCTGAATTAGGTGTGAGGTAGATATCCTGTGGCCACGCTAATCATGAAGTGAAAATCTGATAGTGTGGCAGCCTTGGTCTGAATCAAGCAGTTTTTTTTTTTGCTTTGACTGGAGCGTGAAACATCTTGAGCTGTGTTAAATTAGGATAATAACGCTACCAAATGAAACACTGTGCATAATCTCAAAAAGCAGAATATAATCTGGGGGTTTTCTTGCCCTTGAATGTACAGATAATGTTCAGCCAGCACTGGGATTTGGACAATAAAGGAGGAGGACCTAAAACTGGTGGCGCTAGCTCTGCTGGGGTTAGACTAATTCTTCAGTTTTAATAACTCTGACTAATTTCAGAATGTTTTTTTAGACCAGTTTGTTATTGAGATGCACCAATCCATTTTTTTCTCCGATCCAATCTGACACCGATACCTGGGCTGAGCGTATCGGCCGATATCTGGTACCGATCCAATTCTACTGTTGAATGAATGAACTGTACACTTTGCCCTGTGAGTGAAGGCATCAGGCTTGACATTAGCCTTGGTAAAAAAAACAAACAAACAAGTATGATATTAATTAAAAGACAAAAAATGTCAACATCGGAGCTGATATCCGATTCAAATATCGGATCGGTGCGTCCCTAGTTTGTCACAGTGTTTGTGAAACTCATATTTCTGTTTAAACATCTAAGAAGGAGCTGCTTTGTAAACTTTCTGGTACAAATGAGGTTCGAGAATTTCTCCAATAAGTACATTGTTGTGTTATAATAGCGATTTCATGTTTACACAGAGGTAAGACATTAGGAGACAGTGATACTCTCACATTTATGTCCAAGTCCTGCCCCCTTTTCTTCGTGTTAAATTGCTGCTGACCCTGAATGCACTCCCAGCATATATCATCTGACTTATCAACTCCATTTCCTGCTGACCGAGGCCGGCGCTGCACGAGTATGTGATGACAGAGAGGTTAAAACTAATATTGCAGCTGACAGCTGTTGGTGTAAAATCCATCTCCAGGGTCATAATGTGAGCGCGACATTATGGTCTCTATGAAACCAGCCACCCATAAACCTCCACTGCCCTTAAGGTGCTGGCAACCTCAATACCAACACGTTTGTAACCGGGATCTGTGAGTGAAGTTAAATATGCGTCAACACAGGCGTGTGTGTGTGTGCGTGTGTGTTTGACGCTGGTATTCATTGCCTGCTGGTGTTTTTTGGTTTTGGCACATAGTAACTGTCAGCGCTGGATATGACGCTAACGTGTTGAGTGAGATTTGCAAGAGACAACACGGCATGTCTGCACGCCCTCTCGGCGATCACAGGCTCAGCTGTCTGGGACCTGGTGGCTGAACCAGGTCTCTGCAGCTACATGCTTAAACACTGACTCAGCAAAAAAAACAGGCTCATTAAGAGGATTCCTGCCTGAAAAATCAAATAGGAAGAGGTGCAACAGGATAAAATCATGTCCTAAGAGGGGATAATGAACATTCATCACCAACAGGCGGGGAGTACAATGTTGGCAGGACGTCACATGACATCAGTTAAAGAAATATGACGGCTGGTTTTCATTGTTTGTGAGCCTGGGGGGTTTAAAACTGTTGAGAGCACATGTGTGTGTGTGTGTGTGTGTGTTCATATGTGGCACCTACTCCTTGGGTGGGTTGAGGTCTTCAGGTCTGGTCTCAAAAAACACTCTGACCTCCTCGCACTGAGAGATGTAGACGGGCAGCTGGATGAGCGCCTGCAGGCACAGAAGACAACAGAAAAACACTTAAAAGTTATCTCACAAACTGACAGGAACAATCACAACAAGTCAACCAAAGGTGAAATACTGTGTTTGTTTGGAGCTTGGCCTCCATTAAGTCACAAAACAAGCTATTACTACACTATCTAAAGGGCCTTTCAGGCTTCACCCCTGTGCAGGCAGATATTTGGAGGTGTAAAAAAGGGCAGCTTGTTTGTGTCATAGCGGAAACATGAAGGAAACACAATTGTAATGTTTTATTTGTTTTAACTGTTTTTTCCTGTTGTGACTAATTCTGGTGGCGATAAAAGGTTAAAAAAATCTGTATCCCCATCGATCAATTTCCTCTTATATTCATGACTTATGAAACATAAAAAAGTACAAACTATTTTTTTGTTTTATTCTATTTAACTTTTAGACCAACCCTTAAAGCTTAAATTTGGAAGTGACCATTTAACCTAACCCCACTTCTGCATGTTTTTGGGATGTGGGATAAAACTCACACAGACAAAGGGAGAAGATGCAAACTCTACACAGAAACGCCCTGACCCAGATTTGAACCCAGGACCTTTGTGCTGTGAAGCTGCTGCAGACATAGAAGGACATTGAATTTAAACAGTTTTGGCTCAATTATGCAATTAAACAATGTTACGATACAAATCATATTGCAAGGTAGTATGCTGTGTCACATCATATCGTTCCTTTTATTGTATTTTTTCATACTGGCATATTGTGTCCTATGGCATCACATCATTTTGTATTGTATTGTTTCATGTCACGGGTGGCACAGTGGTGTAGTGGTTAGCACTGTTGCCTCACAGCAAGAAGGTCCTGGGTTCGAATCCGGGTCAGGGAGTTTCTGTGTGCACTTTGCATGTTCTCCCTGTGTCTGCATGGGTTTCCTCCCACATCCACACAACAAAAACATACAGAAGTGGGGTTAGGTTAATGGTCACTTCCATATGCTTGTATGTGTTGATGGTTGTTTTGTCTCTTTATGTCAGCCCTGCAATGAACTGGCAACTTGTCCAGGGTGACCCCTGCCTTCGCCCCAAGATGCTGGGATAGGCTCCAGCCCCCGGAGTGACCCCCAAGAGGAAAAGCAGCAGAAAATGGATAGATGATGGATGTTTTGTAGCGTTCTTCTAATCGATTTAGTGTTCGCATACCAACTTCAAATAACCAAATAAGTGTTTGTTCATGCTGCTTCTGGATGATGTGAAACTTTGATGAGTTTGCCCAACTAAAATTATGTGTAAAAATGTCCTCAGATGAAACAAACAAAGAACAACAACAAAAAAACAACATCATCTACACATTGAGAGAATCATGAATGACAACACACATTTGTTTCCAACCTGGGTCAAGTCTAAGTTTTGTTGTTTTTTTTATCCTGCTGGTTATCAACTTTTACAGAGAAGCCAAACATTGAATTATTGTCAAATAAATGTATCGATCTTCTCTTCCTTATTTGCAGGATTTTCTCATTTTTCCTCTTTGCTTCTTTGCTCATTGATCTGTCTCACCTAACCTCCCCATTCATCTCACAGCTCTGTGTAGGATCACCAGGAGCAGAGACATGAGTCTTGACAACATGGTTGGAGATAAAACATCAACAACCAGATTAACCTCTCCTCTGATTGGCCATATCTCATTCTCTCTTTGACACATGGGTTGCCATGTTATCGTTCAGTGTCTGTGCCTCGCATCTCCTATCTGTTTAATCTGTTTTTTTCTACTCTTTAAAAAAATAAAATAAAAACTATAAGGTCGCTGTGACACAGATAATGACCTTAACTGCTTCATGTCTCAAACCAGAGGGTAAGGAGAACTGTAGCCACTGACCCCATAGTGAGTATCTCTCCCTCAGCTGAAGGAGCTGGGCCGCTCCCTCCCTTTTTGCTGGCAGGCAACGCTCACTGCTATCCATCAAGTTTCCTCTGCTGGCCCCGTACCTCTGATTTTAATACTCCTAAGTGTTCCTGTTCAGTCCTTAAAGGGAACAGAGTCTGTATTCTGTGACACACTCTGATATAATGTCAGGAGTGACGGATATGGAATGGAAGCCAAAGACCAAATCAAGGTGCCCTTGTCCCATGTGCCACATCCACCTTGTTAACTTATGAGCGCGAGGCGATGCCAGCAGCTCATGTTGAGAGAAAGCAGTGAGACTACATCCATAGGCGAGGTAAAACTGGTGTTTTTCATGAGCTGCAAAGTCATGCAGTGCGTGTGTGCGCATATATGCTCACTTGTATGGTGCTCGATTCATCAATCATACTATTTCGCTCCACTTCTGCGCATCAGTATGACCTCAAAACCTCGCTCCATCCATTTCTTAAGACACCAGCGCTAAGTGGCTGATTTAGGAGTTTTTACCGATGACCCCCCGAGGACTGCCTCAGTCTCTCCCCTCGCAGGAGAGAAAGTTGCACTCTGCCTGAGGTCAGAGTGCATTCTGAACCGGCTATCGTCTCCTTGGATTTATTCCTCTGCTCGTGTCGGCCTGCGGCCCGTCTGCTCATTACGATTCTCCCCAGGGAGGAGCCTGGGGGGTGGGGGGGCTCAGGGTACATTACAGCAAATGGACTTTATGGGTGTTCTTTACAGCAGGCAGCATTAATGTAATTGTGTGTGCCTGCGTGTGTATGTATGTGAATGCACAATGTGTATGTGTGTTCTTCAAGGAAAAGAGGTGAATGGAAATGAGAGGGTTTTACTGCGCACTCCTATAACTGTAGAGCACATTGACACTACATCTTATACTTCTGCACAGAGATAGAAATTGTAAATTGGGTTTTCTTTAGTCTTGACAAACACCAACATAACATTTTTTTTCATTCCTTATATTTAAAAAAAGCCATTATACAAACTGTGGAAAGATTGATAGTAGAAATACAAACATACTGTCTGTGGATTCATAGTTTTTACGTACGGTTGCATTTTGGTTTCTAGGAAAAGAGGATGGAGTTACTTTTCTTGCTTGGTTGTAGTCATAGTATGCTGGGTAACCCCCCTCCCTCTCCCATTTCCATATTTTTTTCTCTCTTTGTTTTCTTTTATTTGACTGTATTTCCTGACTTCGCTGAAAACACAACCCTTTACAACCAGGGAAATTCCATATGAGTCAGGTTAAAGCTCCAGCTGTGCCACAGAAGGGCTGACTCAGCTCTTTCCTAAGAAAAACATGAATGTTAAAATGTCATGTTTTACCTGACTACATGTGGGGGAGGAGGAAAACACCGCTTCTTATGCTTGCAGTGAAGTTCAGATATGCGCCTACATGAGTTCTGACCTGCTGTGCTGCTTTCATAACACATGTGATGAACTCTGTCAGTGTTTGGAGTAGCATTTGGCTCACTGGCTGAATTTATTTGCATCCTATATAAAATATTTTCACACACTATGAAGTTTTATATCCCAGTACATTAAATTTGAAAGTTCTTGTTAGCACTTCCAGACTTCAGTCCTCCTTACAGGTAACATGTCTGCGCTGGTTACGCAGAGCTACAGCCAAGTGGTTATATGCTAGTTTAACCTGATACAGACCTATCTCCATTTCAAGATCAAAATACTGTCAAACTACGAGGTGTACTTGTTTACATAAGGGTCAGAGAGCATAATGACATTATAGCAAGTAGCCTTTATTAAGAGCTGATAACTGAGACACAACACATTACTGGCATTGTGGGCCTCCATTGGTAAAAATTAGGGGTGTCCCAATAGTCTTCAGTACTGGCCGATACTGATTTTGATACGATATTGGCACAAACTTGTGCATGACAAGTTTTGCATTCAGCTGCAATGTATTTTTTGGACTTTAAAGTCCCACTCCAATCGTTTTTTTTCTTTTTTTTGTACTACTTAAACTGAGTTTTTCTTCTTTTCTTCTGCAGAGCTCCAGTAGCTCATTAACAATTCGCCTCTGAGTCGTGGGCGGAGACAGCGCTGCTCTGCACACTCCTCTTCATGCTAGCTTGTAGCCTAACGTTGTCGGTGTAGTAGAAGAAGCAGGTAACATAGGAGTAATTCAGCTCTCAGACACTAATGTCTTTAGGGACACGATGAAAGTTAATATCATAATTAGCTTTCTTATAAGCATTGCTAATGCACACGCCTTTACCGTGATCGCCCTCTCTATTTTCCTCTGTATGCAGAGTGTGGCCTGCATAGCGGGACTCTGGGGGCGGAGCTTGGATTGGTTATGTATGAAAATTCACTGTTTCTGAACCTGCTGTTTGAGTCTGCCAGAGATTCACAGTGACTTGAATGTAGAAATACTCAGAAAAGCAATTTCACCTTTAGTTTCGTCATGATATGTCCTGTAGCATCAGAAAAAAGCCAGATGAACAAATAAAAAACAAGAAATCATGATTTTCATCAGAGTGGGACTTTAACGAAAAGTACTGCCACACGGCTGACATCACTCCTACTCCTTATTTCTCACTGTTGTTGTGATTACAGGGGCTCTGCATGCTAGATCCAGGCACTGTTAACTAGAGGTGCCGGAGCACAGTCTGGAATGGACTGCTTGCATCAGAGTGCTGATATCTGAGATTTTAGATGCAGGCCGATATAAACAGATATTTGTTTTTCTGCTGATATCAGACCGATATCAATGTCAGATCAGGACATCCCTCATAAAATTAGGAATCATTTCACTAGCTTAATTAATTCTGGTGCAGACTTGTTAAATTGTTGACTGAACATGTGCATTTCTTTTCCTCGCCATAAATAAGTTTTTTAACACATAAATGTTAATTAAATCCCTTTTTATGAAACAACAGGTTAAAGCAATTTTTCTAACTTCACAAGCCTTTCAACAAACAACTTTGACTCCAACAACAACACTGCTGTGACTCCTCTAAATATCCCCACCCAAAGACATGCACCAACAACACCACTCAGTCCTTCCCCTTAAACTCTTTATTTTTCACATAAGTGGTTAAAGATGTTGCCTACACCAGCTGTACATTCCTCTAACCCCAGACGACACTTGGTGGAGCCGAGCTGTAAAGTCAACAGCCCCTCCTCTACAATGTTTATCAAACATTTTACTTTTTACTTCACTCTCTATGTGAAAAAAAAGTCCTTCTATTACTAGAAATCATCAACTGTGATGCTTTTACAGGACTTCAAACAGAGCGAACAAGCTTGGTCAGAACTAGCTTGTAAAAACATCCTCGAATTTCACCTCTCAAAGAGACAGGCAAAAAAAAAGTGTGTATGGTTTCAAGTCAGAGAAACTGAACAAAAACACCACCTATGGTTAGTGGATGTGCTGACTGGAGCAAGCTCAGCACCAGTGAGCTCTTCACCGTTTTTTGCAGACAGTTACCGCAACACGAGATTTAACATGGTTTTTATTTTCCTCCCTCAGTTTTATGAACTTCATGGCACTACTTCACAGAGAAACCACGTGACTTTGTGGAGGAAATATTTATTTGTCTGATCATCAATAAAATGATTCCTGGTTGCAAAACAGACTCACTCCTTGGTTACCGCAGATAAACAGTTGGCAAACTAATTTAGAGGAGTGGAAATTTTGAAACCATTTCTTTGTACTCCGAACTGTGTCCTGTAGCTCGGAGGCTGAACATCAATCATAATCTATTCATTTAGCTTGCTGTTGCTACATTTCTCTCAAACTGGAGCAATTAGTTGTTTGCTATTGGCACTTTTACGGCTACAGCAGAGCTTGAGGTTGTACAGTTTGTGTTTTTCTTGAAATGAGGTGATTAATCTCAATGTAACGGGCCGGATGATGAACAAGTTTTACACTTTGTGTTCTAACTAAGGTTGTGGGAACTTCACATTCAGGAGGTTAAATGACATCTTCCCCCTATTTAGCTACATATAAACAGATTCTGTCTGTGCAGTGTGCTTCCCTTAGGAGAAATTATCCTTTCGTTTGTCTCTGTTAGCGGGGAGGTCACAGTTGGTCACAAAGCACCTGGGGAGCTATCAGGAGACCTCTGCACGGTGAGGACTTGCTGTCACAAAAGGTTTTCTCCCAGGAGGTTAGCATCGCACCGAACAATTACAGAGACAAGGGCAATGGCATTATTCATAAAGCTGCGCTTCACATTATATAATCCAGGTTATTGTGCATATTTCAGTGTGACTTTGAGTTCATGAATAACCAGAGTTCTGGTTGGCACAGCACCATGTACAGAGGCTACAGTCCTCATCACAGTCGTCCTTGCCTTCAATAACTAATTAATCAGTCGACTTGGGAAACTGTCAACTATTGATTAGATATTAATTGTATTACTGGCATCATCATCCGACCAGAGTGATGCATAACCAGCGCAGGTATTCGGACAATAACCCACAGGAGGACTGAATAATGGTGGTGCTAGCTCTGCAAATGTTAGGTAATATTTTCTTTTTGTTTACCTGCAGACTCTGTGGTCCTGTAACTAACTGTAGGGACTATTTTTTTTTTTTTTAATGGTTAAATCTTTATTTGGGACGTTTAAACAGGCGCATTAACACAACAATCCAACAAAAATATGAACAAACTTTCTCCAATTTTGTTTGTTTTGGGTTTGGTAGTTATCAGCCCCATCAACATAGAGCAAACTTTGGACCGTAAGTCAGAGTTCACTTGTCTTTTATATTGTCCACTCTCCCTAAATAAATGAGGTTTTCCCCGGCTGTTGTTATGTCGGCACCATAAATAACAAACCTCTAAAGTGTTATACAGACAAATTGCTCAGATTACGCAGTCAGATAGGGCTCACCAGTTCACTTATTGATAGCTCGGTTACAACTTATGTTAAAGTAGAACAACATACACAGAACTATGTAAAGAACTCGGGGGGTTGTGACTATTTTCTATTTCCTGTCTCTTAGACTGGTCAGTTAGCTAGACTTTAAATTTCCATTTAAAGGACAGGAAAACTTAAAACTTTGTGACAGCTGTAATATCTGAACAGACCTTAAGAAATAACATATCCTGCCATGTGTTCATTCACTAAGTCATGCTGAAGTCAGATGTTTGGTTTGCTTGGTTTAGTCCAAACTGGCTGACTGAAAAAAAAGATGTTTCTCATGTACACACAGATGGCATAAAAAGGTTATTTTCCATTTTTCTTGTCGAAACAACGTGGGTGGGATACTTTTTTCCCTGACATCTTCCACATAGCTGATTTCCAATTCAAAGTAATAAACCGGTCAATGTACTCACCCTGCAGTACTCATTAATGGGTCTGAGCCTTTTCATGGCAACATCTCTGATATGGCTCCTCCTGAACAAGATCTTTCCTGAAACAAGAGCAGGAAAAAAAATGCTTTTAAAGACACAGACATGTTTGTGTGAACACTGTAGCTTTTTTTTTTAATATAATGATAAATTATAGATTGCACTCCTGTAGAAGCAGCTTTAAAAGTAAGCAGTATAGTGAAGGACACAAAGGACAAGGAGTGGTTGCTACAAAAAAAAGTTAGCGAATTAGGATGCAGACACAATACAGTCTCTGCGTCAATAACACTAACAGCACAATGAGCTGAGTAAGGAGCTCGGTGAATAGCTGGCCTTTTCAATCACGGATAAATGATGTAGGGAAGGAAAATTATGTCGCTGTGACATCTTGAACGCGGCTGCCCTGCGCTTATCTCAACGCACACATAACCACAGGCACAGACGAGGTGCGTCGCCATAACAATAACAAAGAACGGCTACATTTAGGCCTCTTAAAACACTTTCCCAGCTTAATGGTATGCAGAGCTGTTCAGAGCCAACATTTATTTCCTCCTCGTTTAAGCTGTTGAAATGTCTCCAATAAATTCATTTAGACAGCTGGAGGGAAAACATATAAACGGAGCAGGAAGTGAGGGCTGGAACAGCATCCTGATTATGAAATGAGACGTGTTTTTAGAAGGTCTGCATCACCTCCATCAAAGGGTGATGCTGTTTGTTTGGAGTGAATTGCAGTGGTCTCTCACTTAAGACATAAAAAAAGCTTTGCTGATGTTAAATAATGACGCTCATAGACAGACAGATTCACTACATGCGAATACAAACATATATAACAACGTGTTAGCCCTCTCTTCCTCTTTACCAAATCAACACTACAGTCACACTGAAAGCAGGCACAACAATCATGCATGGTATGATTACACAATTTCGCTGAGTAGAGGAAGACTTCACATGACCTATGTGTGGGAAATACTGGATTTGGTCAGAGTATTATGAGACCCAAAGCAGAAGCTTCACTTCTTGTTGTTGCTTTTTGGTTTCTGAACTTCACCAGCCATGTCTTTGGAGTGTCTCAGGAATTTAACAGACTATCACGCTTCCCTGGTTTTTGAAGGACAACTTCATCTTCTACAGGGAATTTCTCGGCTTCTATCACAGGTCACCACGGGGGTTATCATTTCTTATTTGAGTGGAATGTGAAGATAACAACACAACATTTATTTGACTTAATAATGCAGACATCTTCCATTAGTACTTGCTCTGCAACCAGAACTCTGTATGAGCTGTTGTTGTTGTTTTTGATGTTGCTGCTGTCTGTGTGTTTCTACCCAATTCATTCGCGGCAGGTGGCTGTCAAACATGAGTCTGGTCAAGGTTTCTGCCTGTTAAAAGGAAGCTTTTCCTCACCACTGTCACCCATGTTAGATGAGATGGGCCAAATTTGTCCCCTCTTAAGGTTGTGTCTTTCTGGTCTAGACCTGCTCTTTTTTTTGGAAAGTGTCTTGGGATAACGAATGTTGTGACTTGGCGCTATATAAATAAGATCTGATTGATTGATTGATATATTTAAAGTCCCGGATGTCTTTATTGGTAAGATAAAAGTCTCTTTTCACACTGTGAAGCACCCTGACATCTTTACTTGATTAACTAGAGTTGAATTGTGTCTCTGGTGTAAAAAGCTTTAACTGGTCAGGAAGTTATGATTCATTGACAGTTTAAACCAAGTGTACATCATGGTCCCAAGAGGACAAATCAATCCAAATTGAGTGATCCATGAGCTTAATTCCAAAATCCAAAATCTCATCCTGTATGAAGATTTGTGGTCCTTGAACAATACCCAACCAAATTGTGTAATTGATGAATTTCTGTCAGATCAAATTCATTTTAATCCACTTTGAAATTTAATACAACAATCAAAACAACCTCAACGTGACAGCGACACTGGCTCTTAGATGATTTTGAGTGTTTCCCAAATTGTTGAGAGTTTTATCAAAGAAAATAAGATCAGGAAATGTCAGGAGGGAGAATGTCCAAATTCCTCCACGCAGAGGAGAAAGGCACACTACATGAAGGAGACTAAAGGAGATTAACTGGATGAAGAATGAATCGGAGCAGACGTTCCAAATCTCTAAGGTGTTGGCAACATCTTGCCAGAGCAGTCGAAAGGACACACTGTCTGGACAGCTCACAGAAACTGAAGAGATTTGAGAGCCAGCCCTCTGGAGGCCTGCAGTCCTCCTCCTCCTCCTCGCTCTGTCTTTCCCTCTTCATCACTCCTCAAACAGAAAGCTTTCTTGACGGGTTTCCAAAGCTCTCAGGGGTCAGGAGAGAAGCACTGACTCAACACTGCCCACTCTGTATGCACAGCAGCTCATGGGTGCAGCTTAGAGAAGGGCTTGTTTGGGGAGGAGGGAGGCAGGGAAGGAAAGCTGCTGCCCTGGAGCCTTGGCTGACGCATGGTCGACTTTATGGCGAGGCCTCAGAGCCAGAACTGACCAGAAGTATCAAACAACTTTTGTTTCCTGGGGAGAGTGAGCACTGTAGATGGAGAAAGGAGACTGACAGGGGACACAGACAGGGGGTTTGTAAACCACCTCACACTGAGAAAAGGGTTCTTAGCACTCCCCTCTTAATCACTGGACCCACCACACATGAGTCTCCCATTCCTCACCAAATTTTGGCTCTTTAGAGAAGGTTTAAGCCGCTAAATCCGTTGCATAACACCAAAGCTGGATTCTTTTAGGACTTAAATTACAAAACTGAAGGACTTCTTATCTTGATCTAGACTGTTCTGATACTTTACCCCCTAAAGAAGTGGAAAACAGGCCGTACAAATCGAAGACTGATACCGAATCACTGAATGAATCATCGTCATGCGAGCTTTGTTCAGGCAAATACTGAAATATTATCATTCAGGTGGTACACTGTGAAAAAAAATCAAATCCTGCGGTTAACTTTCAATTTACCTAATTTGTGGTTTGACCTGGGGGTCCCAGCTCAAAACCATTTCAAGTCCTGAAACCAGTGCTGTGCAACTATACTGAAAACTTCACAAACATGACCCTTGACCTTGACTCAGAAATAAGTTAAATCATCACTTAAAACTTGAGTGAACAACTTTAAGAATGAAACTAAGATCTGCTTTTAGGAGAAGTTTGGCATGCAATATGCTCAAACAAGTTCAGGTCTCAGGTCAATCAAGTGAATTGTGAATCTGTACAACAAAAATACATTTGTACAGTAACAGGCTGACTTTCTTGTAGTTGTATATTACTTGAATAAGACAATTTTATCTGTTAAAATCAATAAGTGTTGCTCTCATTTACTCATTAAAGCTTCTGTAAAGAATTCTTTCGGTGTCCCCGACGGCCTTGCTAAATCCTGGCCTCGCTTTCCATTGTGGTGCATTATCTGTAAAAGTTTTACTCAGTATCGGAAAGTCACAAATTATTCCATCTTAAGGCAAAAATTCTTCCAGACTTGTTTTCTGCTGTTACAAACTTTGAAAACTGTTGCACACATCTGGATTTACAGAAAACTTGCTAAAGACAAGTTTCAATGCAATGCAGTTGCAATGCACTTCTCCCATTGCACTGTTGTTCTGTATTGTGTGGCTGTACATGTTATTAGTTTTTATTCTAGTATTTTATATTACTCATTGTTTAATGTTGCACCATCATGCCGAAACATTTCCTAGTCTGTGAATCCCGTTCATTGACAATGGCAATAAAACCCTTTCTGAGTTCTGAGCTGTAATCACAGACAGTTCAATCTGACTTCATCATCGTGAGAGGACTTGCTTCTTGACAAAAACTGGTCTAGAAAAACTTCCCCCAGAATGCTTTAACATGACGCTGCAACAATGAAGGTAAGAGTGTAAAAGACAGAGTGTGTGTTCGTTGTAATTGCTGTGTTTTTAAGTAGGTTGCTGACTAAGCACGGAGAAAACCACAGAAGACAAGTCTGCTCCTGGTACAGCTCATCCAAGCAGACAGGAGACAAGAGCAGTGATTGCTTTCCCCTGCAGACAAGAGATGAACGTGATACGAATGAAGCAGAAGCAACAAGGTCGTGGCAACTGCTGAGTTATTTTGCGCCTTTTTGTCCTTCCCAGAGGACCGAGTGGGGAATGTGTTATTTAGTTCCAGAGAAACATATTTGACCTGCCCAACATACTGTGCCTCCTACTGTGGCAGGCGGAGAAACCAACAACTAAGCCGAGTAGCTGAAGAAAATATGTGGCTTCATATACCACCAAGGGAAGGAGGGAAAAAGGCAACTTCATTTTATCTCGATCTTCAGGAATTTGATTTCACTTCTTCTATCAGAGCAAGACCGATGATATACTTCCTTTTGAGAGCCAATTCAAAGACTCTTTTTCAAAACCTGACCTAAAATTTTTACAAACTGAGACATTAACCATTGTTTGCACCCTTCTTTTAGACGCAAATGGGGAATTCGCAAACTCCGGCCAAGGTGGAGATTTTGGAAAACTGTTTGCACATTTGCATGAAAACAGAGAAAAACTGAGATTTGGGTAGCTGACGGCAGATTGTGTGCCAGAAAGAAGGGAGGGATGTTGTTGTTGCGGGATTCTGATTGGCTAATGTGGGCTCGAACTTCTCGCTACGCTCTTGACGCCATGTATGCACGGGTTAGTGTAAACAACAACTTTCTGAAAACGTAGTGGTGTGCATGCAGTTTTTTTTGTAAACGGAGAGAGTGAAAAGTCTGTTTCTGAAGATAGCCGGGCACGTGTAGACATTTATTTTTATGTTTAATTAACATGTAAAATACATACAATATACATACAACATTGCCACAAGAAATGTTAAATGTGATGTATACAAGACATCTAGCTTCAGCGAATTTGCAGTCTTCGTCCCTGGTCAGGCTTTAGTGTAGGGTAAAATATAGTGAATACTATAAATGCAATAATACAACTACAGTGGATAATAGAGTGACTGGCTAGGTGAAAAAGAAAACAGCAGCAAAGTCCCAATAGTCCTAATGCGTCACTTTTGATCCAAACAGACACTTTTGGAGGGTTTTCAGATATGAAAAAAGAACAGATACTCTTAAAGATATCTTAAAAACTTCTCCTCCAGCTTTAAAGGATGCACTCATGTTTCAGTGAGTTCACCTTGCATAAAGCAGCAGAAATTCTGCACTCTACGCACATGCTCACCAGCCACTGTGCTGATGTCGGGATAAGTGCAGCTTGAGGCCTCGAAGAACCCAAACCAAGAAGGGAAAACCACTTCCTTGCCTTGTTAGGTTGGCCTCAGCCCACGGTCCAGACTTTTGCAACGTAAGTGAAAGACTTTCTTGGCTGTCAGGAAATATTCTTCGAAAAACCAGACATATGTTAGCTTGGAGTCTATCCTAAAGGGAGGTGTTTGACCTAATCTTAGACCTGAGACGAGTAAGAGTCTTTTTCTCTGATCTATATTTATGCGGCCTGTAAGATAAATACTGTTTGTCCAGCATTGTGCCTCTAAAACAAACATTTATTCTTTTGAATTCTTTGTGAGTGGGTCACGAAGAGTTTCCTTGAGAAGTGGGTGTCACTCTCTTTGACAGAAAACATGTGTAGAAGCCTCTACCACCACTCAGAGCTTCACCGAGTGTCAGAAAGCAAAGAGCTGTTTTAGGAAGGTGGCAGAGCTGTTAGAGTAAAATATAGAGTTTCAGGGTCTAACTGTAAACACAGGAAGGATGTAGACAGAGTCTAATGTAGATGCAATTTGTAATAGTATCTTTGGTTTTCTGACTGGCTCTAATATGTGGATACAAAGCGGTGTTTTTCTATCTCTCTTCCTTCTGCCCCTCCTCCTCCTAAGAGTTCATCAAAGAGTCTTAGTGTGTGTGTGTATTTTTGTGTGTATTCTCTCAATGAGTTCCAGACCTCGAAAAATATCCTATCCCCCACTCAGCTGAATTCTGGTAAGAGAGATGAGGGTGGGGTCTTTGGGTGAGGCTTTCTTCGCTAACTCTCATAAAGGAAAGCTTTCAGCTGCATCTAAACTTCAAACTTTGTCCAAACTTGGCCTAAAACTGCGAAAATTGTTATTCCAAACATGCTGCCATAAAGTAATGACAACGAAGAAGAAAAATGCATCAGCTTGTCCAGTTAGATAATGATGCAGCCAAGCCAATGGTGTAGCTAACTAACCTCTCAAAAACAGCTCATTACTCTAGTCTTTCAGTTTTATGATCCCCAAAGTAGAAAGTTCTTATGCAACAACAAGTTCAGGTCAACGCTCCAAAACAACCATAAAACTCAGAGCATAAACTTCACTTTTATTCAAGAAGTAAGCTACATCTGAGACAATGGTGCAGCCAACTGCTCCCACATTAGATCATAAACGTGCATTTAAAGCAACTGAGTTACACTGTGAAGTAACTCGACCTTTTCGATTGAAAAGGCTCATCAGTTTAGGACTGGCCGCCAATCAAAGAGGATGGCGGGATTCTTGGCAAACTGGTCGTGGGCGGTAGGTCCACGCCTCACAGATAACAAAAACATTGGCTAAGCTCCACCATCAGAAAAAAACTTTGGAGGACAGTTTGGATCTTTTTTCCTACTAAAAGACCACAAAAATGGACAACATCCTACATGCAGGTGCGACTCAGGGGTGGAGATGGGCGATAAATTATCATTCATTAAATATCGTCAGAATAATCCTAAGTATGATAAATGCAAGTTGATGACGTACAAACAAACATGGCTGAAGGTAGTGAAGAAGACGTTTCTGAGCAGCTCGTTACTGAACGAGGCTCCACGTGAGGGATTTCCTTCCAGATTGAGGCTTAGATGAGTGCGATCAGGTATGCCTGACATAGGACAGTGGATCTGCTGCTGTTTACTCTGTGCTGAGATTTGTTTGATATCAGTAGTTTTCTCCATAACCATTAAAACTTGTGGATAAGTGTCTCATTTTACTACTCCAACTAGTGTTCTCAAGACAAAATGAATCAAAAATATAGATTGAAATTGTAATATTTTTATCAGGACTTTTATTCTTATCACCAGAATGGCAAATCTTATCGTGATAAATTTTTTAGCCCATATTGTCCATACCTACTTAGGGGCTGTATCCACTTACGCAGTTAAAGCATTAGTGAATCAAATGCTACATGGTGTTGTCAGCATCCACTAACACCTTCAGCATGAGCTGATTTTCAGCTGATCATGCATACTTCCGCCACTTCTTAATCACCGACCAATTAAAATCAACGATGCAGCATGTATCTTATCAACTGCCTTTGCATTTTCTTTGTAAATGCCATTGAATGAAAGCAAATCTGAAGCACACTTAATGTTCACTTTTGTGTGCTGGTGGGAAGTGTTATAAAAAAGACACAGGCCCTCATTTTGGATGTTACGGTAATTCTCTATATTTGTTCCTACTGATTACAGCCCGAGTCGGCTAAATATGACGGAATAATTAACAAACATGTTCTTCCTTTTTTCACAGGAACAGTGTGATTAAGACTAATTATGGTTTCTAGTGGGTTCTTTTGAGTGTAAGATAATCTGCTTTCCTCCAGCTAACCGGCAGCCAATCAGGGAGTTAATGCCGTCCACATTTCAACACATGTTGTTGTGTAAACTGTTTGTGATGCAGAAATCGAGGGAGCAGGCCCGCAGCACAGACATAACATTACAGACAGAGTGATTAAAGTGAAGATCCATCACTTTAATATTCTCTGTGAACTACCATGGTTGCATAATCTTACATCCAGGGGTGCCACAGAAAATTACCATAATTGCTGTAATAAAAGTGCATTGCATTTGTACATATGCTGATGAATCTTTTAGCTACAAATTTCAGCAAACAAAGCAAAACGTCCATCATCATTTTTATCACCAAAGACGGAGCCTTTGTTTGTTTTATTTGTCCACTGTGAAGTCCAGAACTCCTGATTAACCAACCAGCAACCAGCAAATGTTTGGCATTTTTCCTCAAACTGTTTAGTGTGTTTTTTATGTGTGTTCATAAAAGGACCCAAGGGTGCGACTGTGTTTAACTCCTACCTGGCAGGAATGGAATGATCCTGCGTTTAGGGTCTTTCTGGCCTCCTTCCACCGGGAATTTGTCCAGCAATTCCATCTGAAACCACAACAGTTCATTAAAAATGATTAGCACACAAAGCATTTCCACAAACACGCATACGAGCATGCACTTCACATAACACACAGTGAGATAGCCGGAGAGGGTGGAGAGGAAGGGCTCACGTTTTTACAAATCAGCAGTTCCTAGAAGGAATTCGGCCAATAAAGAAAGGCCTGCCAATGATTAGGAATGTCCTCAGCAGATGGTATGGTTTTTCCCCTCTGCTTCATCTGCTGCTGCAGCAAAGGGGCTGTTAGCACCACTGACATAGTGGAACAATTCAGATTCAGTATTTTTAAAGGCCAGAGAGGAGTGGGTCCTCGTATCTGTTGGACTTTTTCCATTTTTATGCAGCTGGATTATCTTTTTCTTTCACTTTTAAGATAGTTGTCTTTAAAAAACATTTGTATTTTATGTATCTAATATATCCTTTAGCTTGCAAATCAATCATACAGACCTATTTTGGTATCTAATGTCCAATCTTCCTCTAAATAAGAGATCATTTTGCTTCCAGTGTGTGCGGATGTACTCAAATCTCCACGCAGCTGAGAGCCATAAAACATCACCTGGCTGCACTGACCTCTGAACTTTAAATGCACTGCCTTTTCTCTAAAACACGTCTTTGACAGCGGATCTGCTCTTCTGGTTCAGTTCTAGGGGTGAACCCACACTTAACATCCAACAATCAGGTTATGATTAGTCATAAAAATGCTTGAGTCACAAAGTTGGGCAGCACAATGGTGTAGTGGGTAGAACTGTCGCCTTACAACAAGAAGGTCCTGGGTTCGAATCCTGGTCAGAGTGTTTCTGTGTGGAGTTTACATGTTCTCCCTGAGTGTGTGTGGGTGCAGAAGTGGGGTTAGGTTAATTGGTCACTCTCACATTGCCTGTAGGTGTGATTGTGGATGGTTGTTTGTCTTTATATGTCAGCCCTGTGATTAACTCGCGACTTGACCAGGGTGTCCCCCAACAAGATACGCGGTAGGAAATAGATGGATGGAGTCACTAAGCTTGAGAAAAGACAGTTTAGACATTTCTTCCTTTTAACACTTGAACTACATGTTACAACACAGGCAGAAGGAGAAGTCTTTCTGTTCCATGGAAATTTTGGTTCGACTGTAATTTGGGAAGAGGATGTTCAATCATATGTAGGTCACTCAGAGGCTGACCGATGTGAAGCAACACTGCTATTTCAGTTTGTTTGGAAATTGAAACAAAAACCTTCCTTTCCTTACAAACACTAAACCACTAAACTTTGCACATAAACAACGATTCTGCACCTCCATTCAACCAGTTCATTAAAAATTATATCAAATACTGACTATGGAAACAGAGATTTTTGATGTAGTGGCAGATAGGCTGGATAGGCTCACTGTGTCGCAAAAAATATCCAAAGTTTTAATTTTTAGAGTGAACAAGTGATGCTGCTTTATCTTCTTAAAGGAAGCCTGGGAATAACGGTGATGCTTCTACACCATTTCCATGCAGTAGATGAAGATCAGATTAACTGGTGCCAGTTCAGGGGAGGTGAAGTGCTTTGGAAACATTTTGCAAACCAAGGAAGGCAAGTGAACAGCAACAGATGGACATAAAAACAGAATGAAAGCTTATGTGCACTCTTCATTCTTCATAACCTGAACCCTAACCCCTGATCCACGTACTCATGTCTGAAATATTTGCGAGTCAAGAAGCCTTCACCAAACCCGTCCCGTTATAAAACCTGTGTGTTGTATGATGCTGCATGAACGGGTATAATTTGTCGATGACACATTATTGCTCTGATACTGCCAGATGTCATCATGTTGTTTCTACAGCAAGTTTCCTTAAACTCTGACCAAATGTCCTGTGGAAAGAAACAATCAGTCGAATTCGGCCAAAACCAACAGAGAGGAATGAGGAGTGGTGTAACGCGAGGTGAGGTGATAAAGAGGTTATGGGAAAAGCAGAAACACCTGCCAAATACTTTCTATTACTCGTACGGATGGCTTTAGTCTAGCCAGGAGCCAGGAGAGGTGTTGGTGCCATAAAACAAGGCGTGACGTGAAGTTTAAAAAGCCTCAAATCACTTAGGCTGATGAGGCATTTCTACTGAGGGAAGAAAGAGAGGAAAACTTATTGACAGTGTGACCTAGAATAAGGCAGGCAAAAGAGTCAAAGTTGGAAACTAATGCCAAAATGCATGAGGTGTCACTTTTACATAGACATTCATGAAAGAAAAAACATGCACAGAGACCACAGCTTTAGTTCAGCGGTCCTTTTAACTCTATTTGACTGTCCTTAGTTGTCCTTTTCAATAAGAAAGCAAAAAAACAGCCCAAAAGAAAAAAAAAGAAATAAAACAGTGATGTTCAATAAAGAGACAAATTTATCTTTTTAGTGGTTTTTCTGGTTTGTCTGAAAAAAGTCTGAAAAAAGAAAGAAAAAGAAAATGTAATGAGCGTCTAACAGTCCAATTACTCAGTTTTTTGACAAGGTGAATGTCTACTAAATTGCAGCTTGAAAGACAGACTATTTCGACCTTAGGTTGGCCTGCTTTACAAACCCTAATCTATCCTCTATCCTCCATTTGTTTCAATTTGACTTAAATGTGCTAAAGCATCATGACATCCAGCTACAACAAAACTGTTTTAACCTTATCTTTAAACTTTCTAGAGAGGCTAACAAGTGGGTTAACCTTGACCCACGCTACATTAGGGGTATATGCATCCATCCATCCAGTTCACGGCAGGGCTGACATATAGAGACAAACAACCATCCACACCTACAGACAATTTGAAAGTAACCAATTAAGCCAAAACCACTTCTGCATGTTTTGGGATGTGGGGGGAATCTGGAGTAAACCCACACAAACACATGTAGAACATGCACACTCTATACAGAAACGCCCTGATTGGGATTTGAACCCACGACCTTAGAGTCATGAGGCATCAGTGCTAACCACTACACCACTGTGCCACCCTAGTGTATGCATGTTTACTCAAATGTACTACTAAGCATACTATTGAATATGGAGTTATTGTAGGACTGAAATCTAGGTCACATGATGTGTCTGAGCCGTAGTAATATGTAGACAAGCACAGACATGGGTGGTATCTTGCAGCGTCAGCAGATCTGGCATTGTTTTTATCTTGAAAATGGAGATAAAGACAGTGTCTGCTTAAACTGGCATGTTAACAATCATTGGAGCAAAGCATGACCAGAGCAGGTATGCAAACGATAACCTGCAAGTAGGCCTGATGGTTGGTGGTGTTAGCTCTGCTCTCTGCTATAATTCTGAAAAGTAGTAAATACTGCACTTCACCCTTCCAATGCATGTATTTATGTAACTATCCAGCAAATAATTCGTCCTATAGGCGCTGGTATGTAATCCAGATGATATTTTGACATTTGTTGCATCTCAGAAATCTGTAGAAACTCAAACCAATCTGAAATGTGTTTGTGAAAAAAGTCTGGAACCATAATGTAAGTGGGACAGGTTTAAGGTCAGGACTTGAATATGAAGCTGCCAAAGTTTAGCATAATAAAGTCAAAGCTGTAATTTCCCTTTGTAAACAAATGACAGTGAAAAGAATGGGAGAAGAAAAGAGAGCCGTAAACCCTCATTGTACACCAAGTGAGACCAAGGAAAAGGTGAGTCAGTTCATTTAAAGCCTTTAGTCTTGAAGTTTCTTAAGATACCACAGACGGCAAAGAAGGAATTTAGAAAGGGCAGAAAGAGCACTTAACTCAAAGAGTCAGTTGCTTCACCGCTGACAGGGTACTAACGTAAGAGCGACAGCACAGAAGACACAGTCAGACAAAGAGAGACGAAAACAGAAGAGCCAATACCCCCCACGCTGTAATTGTTCCCATGTGTCTGAGTGTGAGTGCAGACACACCCAGTCTTTGTGTCGACTCCAAACCTCCTATCTGCTCTGTAATCAGAGCCACTCCAACAAGAAAAAGCATCTGGAGAGAGTAAAGATGTCTCTTCAAAGCACCACTTACATCACGAACTCAACACCAAATATTCATACACTACAGGGAGGGTGACAAGTCAAGCTTCAAATGACTTCCTATAGCTACTCTGAAGTATATTATGGTGAATTACACCCAGCTGAATTTATGTCAGTCAGCTGGAAGTCACTTCTGCATTACCACTTACTGGATTGCATAATGACAGAAATATGCAGCTATTTGAGCACATTACACGCTGATTTACCGACAAGATATCTCACATGAAAAATATCTTGTTTTCCAGAGCTGAGTGACTTGATTTAGTACTGGTGCAGTCACAGTAAGTGTCTGTATCTGTGTAAGAAGCACAGAAGCACAAAATCGAGGCTGCAAGGAAATTCAGGCCAAAGGTGGCAACAATTTGATTTGATAAACACTCAGATATTTTGCGTAGCGAGACTGTTAGCTCACATACAAACAAATGGAGTCGCCAACTTTCAACATTCAACCGCTCTTCTAGACAATTTGTCCTTTTAGAGTCATGAGACAGACATTTATTCAACTTCTTATATTGCCCGCCTCCCCTCATTTCAAAAACGTTTCCATTTCATTACCAGCTGTGATAAATACTTGATTCTGATTGGTTAAAACCCTATAAGAACAGTGATTCATTTTCAAGTGCAAATGCGGCACTGGGGATGATGTCAGTAAGCTCATCACAAAGTACTGATTTATGTTTTAACATTAAAATGATGTGATAGAGATCTGCTCTCTATCACTGACGTCATATCAAACACCGACCCCAGGAAGCCTTTGCCAGGAAGATGAACAGTTAGAGTCAGGAGGTGGCCTCAGCTTCAGCTTCCTGCCTCTTAAATGTTGCTTTTTTTGTTATTTCTCAGTTTTCCTTGTGGGTTCTGGATTCTGTTTTCAGGTCGGCTGAAAAGGAGTCAGGGGACCCAGCTGCAGACGTGTGCAATTAGACTGAGTAAAGGTTAATATCTTTAGAAAGTCTTTACCAGTAATGAGCATCCTGGGTCATCCAGGTCAAACAACTAAAAACAAATCAACAACCTCAGTCTCTCAATCGACTGCAAGGTGTCCATGTTGACTTATAACTACTAAAAACTGCTGACGCTCTTCTGTTATTGTAGACCTGCAGGTCTTTCACGTGTATGAGGAGGAAAAACAAACCTTTTCATTGTCTAATTACCAGTCTGTTTGGATGGCTAGTAATGCTCTCAAGTTTTAAACACTGTTGTTTTACCGAATTCTCGCTGATTCAGAGGCGAACATAATCTTCCAAGGGGCTATAATTTGTCTCACCCGTATCCGCTGTAACCACATTATCAGCCTTCAAATAAAAGGCCCAATAAAGATTTCCGAGTCGCACTAGACGCTTGAATGAGAGTATGAAGGCCAGAGAACAATGGCTGCCCTTTTTGCAACATGCCTGACTGTAAAGACCTCTGATTTTTTCACTCAGTCCACAAAAACCTTCACAGCTGAGGTCATCTTTAACCCTTTACAGACATCCACACTGCTGGATCATTGATGAGTAAAAGACACTCACTTATCTCTAAAACGTTTCAGTCTTTAGATCACCCCACACCAAAAGATGTTTTCCCCATCTTTAATAACTATAGTTGCCTAGTTGGCATTTTTTATGCTGAATTCAGCATCAAGTTAAAACCAGGGCCTGGAAACACATCGACAGTATGACATAAACTCGCCCCATTTAGGACAGCTCTTGTTTAAACATCTTCTTTAAAGGAGGTCACATCAGAGGGTCAGCTTTACAACAGTACCCAGGGGTCTTGTTGTGGCTCAGCCTTTCTTAACTATACTCCTGTGTACAGCCTGGCGTGACCCTTGGTCTTCAATTTGAGGAGCTTCGTCAAGATTGCCTGATATGGTTGGGCGATACAAAAAGTGCTCTGACAGATTTTATTTCATTTTTGAGTGTTGACAGGGGAAAAGTTCATGACATTTGTATTAAGAAAGTAATAAGATAAAGATTTGATTTGATCTGTGTCTAAGAAAAGGATAGCTAATCTCTGAATAAATACAGATTACACAAGCCTACTTCCAGTGTTAATTACTCAGGATAAATCTTTGAGTAAGTCACATGGTTTTTAATAATGTTGTCCTAACAACGTCACGGTTTACCCAGCGCTCATTTTAGAAACAAAGACTGAAGGGTTTACTTTAGAGTTACTGTTTTAGTGAAGTTAGACCACATTCACAATGAAACTGGAGTTTCATCAGAACTTTCCAGACAACTCTTTTCTTTTTTAGTCATGACACTGACACATAACTTTCTTGGTTTCAGATGCTGCCTCCTCCCAACCCACTTGTGGCCAGGACAGACTTTCTATCCATTACCTGGCTGTGTTTAATACTTGATTCTGATAGGTTAGAATCCCTATAACAAGGATAATGAATGCTCAAATGCGAACGTGATTAAAGTGACAACCTGTTTAAATACATCAGATCAATTGGGATCAATCCACAGAGAGGAGTTGGGAACATGGTATCTCTACCTGTTGACACTGTGGCAAAAATGTTGTTTTTCTGTTAGTGCTATAAATAAATAGGCTGAACAAGTTAGAGGGTATTTTGAACGGAAAATCCTGTCCCACAAAGCAGCAGATCAAGTGAGGGCACATCTAGGATGTTTTTGCTCAATTGTAACTAAAATCACAGTGACTATAAAAATGTTACCATAGATCAGGGGTGTCAAACTCAATTGCACAGGGGGCCAAAATTCAAAACACACTTCAGGTCGCGGGCCGAGCAGAATAAACATTTGTTGAACACACTAAAACAAAATGTTTTTTTAACACAAATATGAAAACAAACAGACAGGAATTTTATTCTGGAATAAATAAACTTAAATTAAAATAACTTGAAATGTCTTGCTCTCCATAAAAATATATCCAGTCAAAATTATATAAGTTATATAAATATATATAAATATAAAATAAATATGAACATGCTGCAAAAAAATGCCTGAAAAAATAAAGAAAAATTGTTACAGTGCTTGTGCTTTAAGTAAAAAACGTCTGCTGAAATGTCAGCTTCTTCTTTAACTCTTCTACTTTCTGTATCTTCTGCTCTGCATTCAGGTCTTTCAGGTTATCCTGATGTTTTGTCTCATAGTGCCGTCTTAGATTAAACTCTTTAAGTACAGCCACATTAGCGCCACAAATGAGACAAACGGGCTTACCGGCAATGTCAGTGAACATATACTCAGCCTCCCGGCGATTATGAAAGGCTCTGTTTTCAGAATCAACTTTTCTCTTAGGCATCATGAGGGGCTAGCTTCGCAGTAACTAGCAGCAACAGGCACTTGAGCTGATTGACTCGGAAAGCGCTCGGCAAGGCAGCTGAAGCGCTGCATTATGGGATCTGTAGTTTATTGTGTTACCATCGCTTTATACCGTCGGGCCATTCGTAACAATAATATAAAATGATCTCGCGGGCCGGACATAATTGCATGCCGGGCCGGATGTGGCCCGCGGGCCTTGAGTTTGACATATATGCCATAGATGAAAACAGTGATGTAGCTGCTACTTTATTTTAGCTTGACAATGATTGGAAAAGATCAGAATTAAAGCTCCTATGAAGGTTTTTTCTTGTTTATGAAATAGACCAAAATTCATATTGATGTCATTGTATGATATCCAAAAGCAAACAAGGCCACCGAGGATATGACACATCATTTTTATAGCCTTAATTTTTAATGTCTGAACCAATGTAAGAAGGTAGATTTCAGTCAAACAGCTGTAGAAACACCATAAATCAAAGTTTGTTTAATTTCTTTGTCACTGGGGTCTAACCCGGGGTCACACCTTGAACTGGTTAACAATCAATAAAAAGATTTGAAGGATGACTCTTATTTGTTCTGGCATATTCCATAAGCTCAATCAGTCTCTGTTAGATTTTATAGCTGCTCGCAAAAACATGCATGTGACGAGGAAAGAGAAAATGTGTTTCATACTGTCTCCACAAATCCAGTCATAGTTACTCACTGGACAACAACGTCGTGAACCCATACTGAACAATTTGGAGCAAGAAAAATCAATGACAGCTCAAATGGCTGAGGAGCCAAAATGTGAAACCATAATGCTTTGTTGATGTATAGCTTCATTTAGCAGACTTCATCCAGAGGAATGTCAGCTATAGATTATTTTCTATTTATCAGAGTCAGAGCTCCAAATAGATTTTGACAACAACCTTGATACAGCCTGCCAATGATTCAGTTTCACTACTTTTATATGTTAGCCAGTTGGCATCAACTAGATCCCACATACAGGCCCTGTTAAAAGAGCTGCAAGATAATCTGACTCTTGAGATTACTTGAACTGTATTGTTAATGGATACATATTTTACCTTGAGAACAACTTAGATTACTCAGATAAAGAAAGATAGCTTTAAGATTGATTAACACCCCCCATGCCTCCTTCAAAAAGTCGTGTTGCTTTATTACTGCAGCTGGAAAATATGTGACAGCTGTGCGACTCTGAATAAGCAAAACCAAACTGATTGGATTTTTTTTCCCCACAGCTTTTAAGTTGAAGTGTATCCTATATCTAAAGCAGCTGGGAATGCTGGAAAACTGAGCCTGTGAAGTGGAGCTGACACGTGTGCAGCATGGAAACTGTTCGTAGTGACATGGAAATAAAATTTCAAAGCCACAAGGATGACCCCATGGCAAATATGTCTTTCCACTTTCCACATGTCTAAAAAAGGAGAACAGCCTATTTCTGTCTCCGGGCAGAGTCAATGTTTGAATTTTGTTTGCTATGCATGTATAATCACAGTCATAATTTCGTCTTTTACCCCCCGTACAAAACAGGTATTTCACTCCTTGAGGCTATTGAAGGGAGAAATTTCTTTAGAAACTCAGGTCTGAATGTTGCAGGGGAAAAAAAGGTGAGTGAGAAGGAGCAAAAATATCTGGGGTGAGAAAGATGTCTGGCACATCGTCCAGTAAGTTCAGGAGGTGAAGGCTGTTACAAATGCAAGACATGAGTAGACCGGGAAAAGTGTGAGATATGACGCCACCAGTGATACAAGGCAAAGTATTATAATCATTCATAATGCAACGCTGACTCTAGGGTCTTTTTGTTTAGAGTTTAAAATAAAATCTTTACCATGCAGTTAGAGTTCACTTGTTATGTAAAAGAAATATTAGTGATACAGGATAATGCAGACCTGACATACTGTACATATGGACACTTTCATAACTCGGCACGTCTGCTGGAATACGATGTAGAAGTCATGCTGGAGTCATGCTGAGTGAGTAAACTCAGTCTGTGGTTAGCTATAAAACAAAGAGCACATGTAGCCTTTGTATGCCGAAGCATCCGCTCCTCAGTCCAGCTGTGTTGACGAAATGCAGTGAATAAGACTTCCTGTCTGGTCCTCACGACTTTAAAATGACTGGAGTTGTTTCATGCCTACATTTTTTTTTTTTTTACAGTGTCATTACTTCTTTGTTCATAAATACCTCCTCTGAATCACAAGACAAGACAACAGCATCGAACCGAAGACGAAGATGACAGACGATGGCAAGGAAGCATGAGACGAAAGCAGAGGGGGGGATAACAGGAAGTTGAGAAATAGAAATATGAGAAGCTGACTGACTCAGATGTTCGTCACTTTCCTGATCAGGAAACCTGGGATGACACCACAGCCTCATCCTGTCCACAGTCTGTGATGTCAAAGGTAAAAGTGATAAAATCCCCCCTCAAAGATTACATAAAAACATTTCAAATTAATTCAGGAGAAAGACTGGCACAAAAAAATTATAATCCGTTTATCAATGTGGAGCTGATGAGCGTTTCAACATTCCACCTTGCCTCTCTTCAAATACCACTTTAAGCCTCAAGGTGGCTTATGACATATCAATGCCAAAGCTACCGGGTGATAAGAGATTGGCTTGTATTCTCTCCAGCTGGGTTTATCTACATCTTCACAACTCGAAAATGCCCACCCACAGGCTGTTGACACGGCAGGAAGCAGCTGAACGGCACAGGGGAATGCCCCCCGCTGAAAATATCTCTTATGCGCTCGTATTAGTCAATGCGGCTGAGTGGATCATGTGGGCTTTTGGTGATGTAGGCAGTCATTTGAGCTTGTTTTGTACAGCAAGTATAGATGACTTATCAGCGAGGACATGGTGTTAGTTTCTCTGTTTAGGTAACAAACTGTATAGTACTTTAAAATACAGCAGTTTCGGCCAACGTACCAATTGCTCTGTGTTACTGGACATATCTGTGCAAAAGTCAAGGCCAAGAGTGAAAAACAACAGACTGACAGGAATAAAGTAGCTTCATTACAGGATCATCATCCTCCCACTCACTCTCGGTTGATTTTCATGAATATTTCCTGCGCTGGTTTACTCTGACTCCTTGCAAAAATTTTACAGGGGAGGCTTGCAGGATCATGTCTGGATCAAGTTGGAGTGAAGGCTATGAAAAGTTCGATTCATGCAGTTTCATAGACTTTCAAAATCATGTTTTTTGACTTTTTCTCTGCATCACCTCAAAATCAAAACAATCAAGAATGAGATATGAGCTGATTTACGAGTAACACTACAGGCAGCATCACAGGCTTTAGTCAACTGATTATATTAGCAATGTAACCGTTTACATAGGCGTGAGTTAACATTACATTTACCTCCATAGAGCATTACACTTCCTTATTTCATTGCTCATGCTTTGACCATTCTAATCAATTAAAAGGAATTTAATCCAATTAGATTTGACAGTATGCTTGGCTCAAATCGACTATGTGCTCATTAAAAGCGGTTGCCTCTCTGGGTTTCTTAGAGTCCATGCTCTCTATGCTCAAATGTGGCCAGGGTCTCATATCCATTACCTATGAAAGAGGAAGGAAAAGTAGGATGCTAATGAGATTCCCTCCTTGTGCAACACACACTGCCAGCGTGACGTTGGAGAATGATTCAGACATTTCTGTGGTCATCAGTGTGGTCACTGCATTCATCACTGTCCTCTATTAACCTCATCGGGACGTTTTCCGATCCCTCTCGCTCTTTGTAATTACCAGTGTCACACGGGTGGAGTGGAGAGAGATTGGCTACAAGCACTAGACCTACAAGGGGACATTGTGGGGTCGGCTCTTGACTTTTGCTGGACTTCACTGGTGAGGAGAGGTTTGAACTTGGACACTGTTTTCCTGCTAAAAGATGCAATTACTCCCTTAACTACATTATGAAGAATGATCGCCTCTTTCACACACACACACACACGCCTGGAAAACTCCTGAAATCCCCAGTTCAGTTCATCCCAACTTCAATCATATATTTTATAAGGCGGGTAAAAAATCTGGATTAGTTTGAGGTGAAAAATCCTTCTGTGTGTTCGCAGAAGCACTTATGGAATTTTTAGCAGTTCTGTGCATACATGAGTACAGCCATAGACTGCATATAGAATGGACGCCGTCTGCCTCCTCGCTGGGTGAAGCCACCCCGAGACTAGCACCCTCTGGTGACAGGCTGCAGTATAGGTCATAAATCGATGCTGGTTTCAGGAAATGGAGAAAAACGCGGAATTGCTTTTTGGCTTTAAATACATATACTGGCGGAGGGCGGAACCAAGTTATCTATAGTATATACAGTCTATGAGTATAGCTTTAGGCTCACAAACACACAGTTAAACATGCACACTTTGACATGCTCGCTCACTTACCTGCAAGTCAAAGAACTTGCTGTAGCGTCTGAAAATGATTTCAGTGCTGCCATCGCTCCAGGACACTTTGATGATGTAAACCTGGAAAAGCAAAAGATAAAAAATAACTACATTTAAATGATTTCAAAGACACATAAACAAACTTTTCAGCAATCCAAACAGCTCAGATTGTTATATTTGACGTATTGCTGACGTAATTTGGGTCACTGTTCTGACTTCTTTAGAGGGCAGAGTGATGAAAGGCAGTTTAATCAGAAAAGTATCATCATCTGTTCTCATAAACACGATAGGATATCCGATTGTTTCATATCCTAATGTATTTAAACCACTTCCTGCTGAAGAGGAAGTCATTATCCTGAGTCACAGCAGCAGGTTTGACGATGTGACCTTTTCTAAATTAACACTTGTGGCATTGCTCAAAACATGGTTACAACAAAACATCAGTTTAATGTGAGGCCTTCAACACAACAAACCATCTACTTCTGAATGTGTTTAGAGTCGCTTAGCACAGTTTGAATACACAGGGATATTGTCAACATAGGAAAAAAAAAAACTTGCACTGCTTTTAGACGTGAAACTGCTAATTCCACCAACTTCTTTCAACGACTGTGGAAAATTAAAACAGATCAAACCAAAAGCATTCAGCCTAATCTGTGAAGTCTAGAGGAAACAGATACAGTTCTTCATTTTCCCCACTACAGAAGAAGAAGAAGATGAGGGGAGAAGCAGGGAGGTGATTGGAAACTCCCCAGTGACTTGCTGTGTCTGGCTGAATGCTGCTGGCCCCACTCCCAGACCTTTCCTGGCCTCCTTCTTTCTTTCAAGGCACTGGAGTCAGATACGGCCAAGCATGAGCCAACTACAGGAGCTACACAGACCAGCAGGGCGACTGTTATCATTGAGAGAAACAGGGCTTATACCAAATCCTGTGTGTTAGCGTTTGTGTACGCCAAGGTGGGGCCATATGGATGAACATAAGAGAGAGAGGAAGTAAATAACGAACAATATTCTTTCTGGCAATTTTTTAAAGAATAAAAACCACATAATGAGGATTTTTTTTTTGCATTTGCTATAGTAAATCAAAGTAATAAGACAAATAAGCTTTGTAAACTACAAATGCCACATGAACTATGGCGAATGAGGCAAAATAGCTCTAGAGAGGAATGCAATAAAAGCTTTTCTAGTCAATGAAACACTATCCATGGCAATAACAATCTTGTCTATATTTAGGCCCCACTTAACGTGGTAAATAAAACATTCCAATCCGGTGACCGGAGGAGTTTTGAGTTAGTTCTTCTGTGCACCACAGTGCCAAGGTTTTGAGAGATGTCACATGGTCACAAAAACTGAGGCTACACCCAAGCCCTAACAGACAGATGGAGGAGACACAGGACCCGGAGGACTCTGTGTCCTTGACCGCTAACACTCACAGCGGTGTAGGGTCTGTTAGTCCCTTAACCCCAGGCATCATTTTCACACATAGAAGAGTGCAAGCAACGTATTCACACAAACGCACACACAGGCACACACCATGTACACGACACGAACATGAGCACCTGCTAAGGCCTTGGCATTGGCTCTCACTGTTGGCTCTCTGGATCACATGATGTCATATGTGTTACTTTGAACTGACTGTGAGTTCTTCTGCAGAGAAATTCAGCCACATGTTTTGTCCCATGAACTCCCACGAGAATGACTGAAGCTCCATTGTGTTCCAGCTGCAGAAAGCGAGCAATATGAGTCTTTGTCTTGCTGACGTTCTTGTCTCACACTCAGAGTTCGCAGTGAGTGATTATACTTTTAACAAGAAAAATAATTTCACACATTGGTTCTTGTCTCCTGAGTATTTGTTTCCTTCCTCTTCCCACACAAACACAGTGTTGTGACTGGAAAACGTCTCTTGAACTGGCACCGGCTCTCTGTGGCTACAGAGATACTGTTAAAGAGGTTTATCCAATCCTTATCACCTGGCACCTCTTTTAGATATCAGAATGCCAACACTTTATGTCTCATCTACTAAAAGAGCTGTACTGTAATGATCAATAAGTTTACTAAAAAAAGACTATTTTAAATAAATAGACTCCAAAACTGGCATGTTGTGCTCATAACAGTTAAGTTAAGTAAGAGAATTTGACATCATGCAAAATTTAATAATGCAAAAATGTCAATGTTGCATGTGTTCATTGACATATTCTTGGCTGTAATAATTCAGCATAAAGAAATCTCTTTTGCATGTAGTGTATTATAGATAATCCATTTTTTCAGTTTCTTTTTCATCCAAAAACAGGCTAGCATCATCGCAAAAACCTGGCACTGAAAGGGTTAAAATAATTGAAAAGATGTGGACCAAAACAATGAGCCCAAAAAAAGTACAATCCAATAATATTGAAGTATATTTTTTTAGCTTTATTTCTTAAGTGAGCATGTTATTGACATAACGGTTTAAGTGTAAACAAGATTAAAGTGATACCAGAGGTTAATAAACACTTCATGAATGCATACTGGTCCTATAAACTGAGTCACTGAACTATAAAATGCCACATGGTGAAGTTTTCCCTTTGTTTAAACATTACCCAATGGTAACTGATGACTTCACTGTTACTTCCTGGTCGTCAGTGCCTGCAGGTATGTTTCCAGGAGCCTCAAGCATGACAAAGCTCTGATGCTCAAATTGAACTCCATCCTCATGGGGATTAGTCTGAGCTGTTAGTGAGCTGAACTGATTCGCCTATTAAGAGGTTTTCTGGGATTTTCCACCATGATGGCAACAGTTTTAGGAGGAAAATGGGAGGAGAGTTTGTCAAGACAGCTGAAGCTGAACAGCAGTAACTACAACAAAAACAATGTGCTCATATTCATGTGATACTATAACTCATGCAGACCCAAGGAGGGGGGGCTGTTTTAGATATGTGTGCCCCTCATACACTCTAAAAACCCCAAAACCAGGGTTGAAAAGGAACTGACTACTTATTGGATTATTTTGACCCAGAATGTTGGGTTATTAAAATGAAGCCAGATTTTGGAGTGACTCAGTAACCCTTGTTGAGGGTCGACTTAACCCAACCTTCGAGTTAATTTGACTCATGATCTTGGGTTAAGTTGATAAATGCATTTGGGGAGCTTGGGCTTTCAATTGTAGCGCACTCATGTTAATGAGGTAGGCCTTAGCGCTAAGGGTCTTGCCTAGGGACCCACACTGGTAGATGTAGTTAGCTCCTTACAGATGCGGGATTTGAACCCCAACCCCCCGATTGGGAGCCAGATGCTCTACCTGCTGAGCTACCCCATCCGCCCAATACATAACCAGGTAGCTACCTTCATTTACTCCAAATAAATAAATAAATAAATAAATATCATATTGTATACAAAATCAAGGTCAAAATTCACAAGGTCACCAGGTCACTTTAATTGCCGTTAGGTCTAGAAACCACGTAGAATCAATCGAACCCAACGTTCTGACACAAGTATTGAGTTACTCTCAGAGAAATAACCCATAATTATGAACCCATTCAAAAAACCCTCAAATTGGGTTACAATAGAATCCATATGAGGAAATGAGGATGGATCTGAAAAATAACCCAGAAATTTAACTCAACACGTATAACCCAGGAACTGGGTTGAAGAAATAACCCGAGTTTTTAGAGTGTAGCCTACCCAAAACAACTGTCCTCACTAAAACGAATAAAACACAAGAGTTGTCTGAAATAAAGCCCTCCAACTATTTCGTGGGATAAAGAAAAAACATTCATGAACCTAGCCTGACCAGGGAACCACAACCAGATTGTGCAACTCCTTAAAGCAGCCAGAATCAACTTTAACTGTATAGATATCTATTATGTGCATGCTGTGATCTGTTCAATCAGTTTGGTTCACAAAATCATGACAACTGTAAACAACAAAATCTAACTGTCCACTCCGGCAGACTTAGTGTAGCCCACGGTAATCTGACACTCTCTTTGTTATTACTTTACCCGACCGGAAAGGCAGGAGAACTGCTTTAACCCCGGTGTGTTGCTCGCTGCTGTTCTGATCATGGAGGTGGACTCACATAGTGTTTGTTCGGATTTCTCCTCTTCTGGACATCTTGCACTGTCACTTCTTGCACGGTACGCCGTGGCATGATGTCCTCTTATTGACGCCTCCGTCAGAAAAACAAAAAAGGTAGAAATCCCGACGGGGTTTAACGAGCGATCAAACCCGGTTGAGAAAGTTTGCAGGGCGACGCTTCTTTTGTCATCCGCGCCGTTCAGATCCGTGACCCTGAATGCAACAAATGCTCTTTTTCCGCAAGGCTGTCCACGTCAAATTTCCTGTTCAACATTCAGCCGACCAGCAGGCAGAAGTTACTAATCTGTCGGTTTTTTCGTTTCCCCGTTTCCTTGTCCCGTCCCGCTGACTGCTCCGACCAAACTCCCAGCCTATCCCAGCTCGCCCACTCCCATTAGAGCGACTGGGACTCTTCATTATACTCCGTGGACCAGCCCTCCAGCGTCACAGCAAACCACACAGAGCTGCAGGATCACTCAGACACGGGTTCAAACTATAAACTGAAAGCTGTCTAAACATTTGAAGTCCTACACATTTGACCCACATTCATGCCAGTTGTCTGGAAAAAGACTCTTGGAAAGTTAACTAGCATTACTCACATACAACAAAGTCATACTAGTCAGAGCTTGTAACTAAACCCCACTCATGATTTCGCTCATTTCACTCCACATTGACACCCTACCTCTCTATCCTCCAGCCTTACTTTGGCACCGGTCTTTAACTCCTTCATAAAGCATAATAAATTACACAAACTCTGAATATCAGGTTCACAAGGCCAATGAACTTTGACAACACTATTCTTGTATCAAACCATTAGACCGTACACTATCTTTACAATGTAAAGATAGTATATAAAGATATATAAAACATTAAATGTATGATAGTAAGACACGACATAAAAGCCAAACTAAAAAGAAAGAAAGACAATGTTCATGCCACAATGAACTGTCCTGGAAAATGATTTCTAGAAAAGAGTGGGAACCCTGTATTCGTTCACCCAGTTTCAATTCAGTTCCTCTGAAATATCAAATGTAATAAAACTGTTCCGTATTTAAAGAAATTGTTTGTGTTGTTTTCCTTTGGCTGATCATATTGATACGCAGCCTGATCTGTTGTTATTGTGGGTCTGCTCTTTACTGTTTTTCTGTTGTTGTCTTTGTGTGTTCCTTTGCTGTAGCCTAACCTGTTGAGATGCAGGTGAATGCACATGAGTACGCTGCTGTCAGTTTCTATATCATAGGATTACATTGAATGTAGGTAGGCTGTGTGTCGGCTATAATGCCTTGTTAATAAGTTGAAATACAGTTTCCTCACCCAGTTTCTCTTTGTAGCTCAAGATCGTAGGTTTCCCTAATTATTCTCTAACCTTCCGCCCCACCTCCTATTTTTCTCACCAGCCGCCACTGCTTGACATGTACCATGTATTTCAAGATAGAAGTCGACCAGTAGGCTAGTTTACCTTTAAGGTATGTAAAAAAGACAATGAAAGAAGGGTTCAACTAAAAAGTGAAAAGTGTATTTTGTTATTTAAATGGTGCTCATTTATGCTAGCTAGTGCTAGTTGTTGTCACCAACTAGTTAACACTGTCGGCTAGCAAATAGTTTCCACTTCTTCCCATCCATAGACTGTGTATAGAATGGACGCCGTCTGCCTCCTCGCTGGGTAAAGCCACTGCAAGAACAGCACCCTCTGGTGACGGGCTGCAGTATAGGTCATAAATCCCGCCTCCTCCAGCAATCCTTATGAAGTTGTGAACAAACCTTAGAAATTAATTACACAGAACATACATTTTTCTCCCCCCTGGTTGTGATGTTGACATGTAGTTACCTTAAGACTGGTTTGTGCTCAACTCCGCTGTATGCGCACAATGCTACTGTGCAAATGTGGAGTGCGTACAACGCTACTGCTCAATGTTGATTTCAGGAAATCGAGAGAAAACGCGGAATTACCGAGAGTTTTTTGTCTTCAAATCCGTATACTGGCGGAAGGCTGAACCAAGTTGTCCATAGTATATACAGTCTATGTTCCCATCTCACTAGCAGTTGTGTCACTTAGCATTGGCTAATTAATGTCTCCATTTGTCAGTTTGATTAATTACAGTTAACAAATTCATAACAAACATATGGTAATAGGTTTAGCCTGCCTCATTAGTGTGGGCAATGGCAGCATGATATTTCATAGACGGCCTATCACAGCCTATTGTTTTGTTTTCTTGATCACCAGAAAATTACCCTCTTATCACATGAAAATAGTCTTTGTTATTCTGAGATAATGAGCTAATTAAATCCACTTCACTGGGAAAACAAGATTTGTATCCCAAGATAATGATGAAATGTGTCAAGATCTCAAGAAAACAACTGAAAATAACTTGTCATGGGAAAGAAAAACAGCATTGTCATCCCAACTGAGGCTAAACACGCTATTGTTGCAGGTACACAAGTCCACAGAGTTGAGCTCAACCCTTTCATGCACCGTCTGGCAGCTTCTGTGGCAATGTAACATCAGAGTACTGGTTGGTTAAAACAAGGTAATTGACTCTACATGACCTTAACGTGTAATATAGCCCCAGTTTAAGTGTACTGTCTCATCATCTGCTGTTATTGTACCTATTATAGGTCAGTTAGAAAAAGTTAATATTTATCTTTTAGGATATGTTTCTACTGTAAATACTGTTCCTATGATAGAATTGGATAAGTTCAAAGGGGAACCAGCTGAGCTTGACTCACTGAGCTGCATCTCTTGATTTCCCCAGATATGCTAGCCTGAGTCACCACAAGATGATTAAAGTTTGGTTTGACTGGAAATTTCCTCTTCAGAGAAACAGTTAAATATGATGCTGTCATTTTTAACGTCACGCTTGCCAAGATGTATCACACTGCATGTTCTGTAGCTTTTCTTTTAAAGGTATTTTAGTGTGGTTAAATCAAGCATAACCCACAGAAAATATTCAATTTATAGGCGAGAAAGAAGATGTCTGAGGGTCAAGTCTAAAGTTTGGGATGCAATTTTGTTGAAAAACAGCTCCATCTATTGGCTGATAGTAGTCATTGCATTAACACTGTACATGTGGCAGTTTTCCTTTCACTGAGGAGGCTTGTCCCCAGAGAAATCACAGCTGACTGATGTAAAATGATGGCTGTCAGAGTAATATTGAAGATATCGACGTTTACACTTTATGACAACTTTAAAGAATACGTGATTTACAATCTGAACTTCCAGCTGGGTTATGGGAATCGAAAACCACTTTGACCAAAAGAGGATTTGAAAATTTAACGAAGTTATTGCATCATACCAGATTGTGTAAGAAGGGTTGTTTGAGTCCATGTGGGGGAAGAAAAGGGAAGAGTAAAAATATGCAAAGAGTTATAAATATTCAGAAACCACAGCTTTTTCAGTCAACTTTGGAAAAAGATGACATTTACTGAAAAAAATGGGTGAAAGAAATATAAGTAGAATTATAAGTGAAGACAAAATAAAGCTTATAACAACAATAGCACACAGTAAATTTGTCTATTATTTGTGATATTGTTATAAAAATACTTTGAGGAGAAAAACAACATTTTTGTTTGGCTCTCAAATTTGAGAGGCCGGAGTTTGTTGTAGAAAAGACAGCTGAATTTCTGAGGTTTTAATACAGGTAAATCTCAGTTTCAGTGTGTGAAATGATAGAGATTAAATGAAAGGTGAAGGGTCTGTGCCATCACACATTTGTAGCTCCAGGTGTGAAGTAATGCCAGAGAAGCGCTCCTGCAGTGGTAACAGATAGCCCAAGGCTTCTCCCTGAACCACGGGGCCAATGTAGCGGTAAGGACGGATGTTGAAAATCTTTACACAGTACACTGAATGAAAAAAAAAAAGAGAAGAATGATTGTAAAAACTGCATCAGCAACTCAAAACAATAGATGCATTT